AAAACCCCACGACAGAAACCGTACTCTAACGTGGGTGCGTGGCCCAGTATATGGCGCTGGCGCAATCAGTACGGAGAAGTGCTTGGCGGGCTAGGCACCGGCATCGGCGACGGTGACCGCGGCGTCATTTGCGGTCGAGGAGAAGACTGTCTGGCCGCCAAAGACCGCGAGCAAGAGGTCGACTGCGACGCCCAGGACGCGCGTGACAGCGGCACAGCCCCATGGGTCAATGAGCCTCCCGTGTGGATGACAACGTCGACCCCTTCGCCCCCCGCCCTGGGTGTGTCTGACAGCCCGGCGGGATCCCCTTTCGGGCCGGCAACTCCTCTCGGGGCGCTCATTGAGGAGGAGCGCCACGAGCGCACCCCGTCCCCCCAGCTGGGCCCCGGCTATGAGCGCCATGAAATCGAAGGAATTGGCGGCAGGGTCAAGCGCAAGCTGGTCCGCATGGTCCGCATCGGCGCCTGCGTCCCCGAGTGGGACGACGAAAAGGGCCTCGGCGGCCGGGTGCTCGAGTCGGAAATCAAGGGCTGTGCCCGGAGCTGGTGCGGCTGGTGCTGGAGAGTAGTTCCCGGCAAGAAGGACCTCAACGTGGACAAGGCTTCCTTGTTCAGCGGCTGCGGAAACCGCCAGTGCGCCCTGTAATACCTTGTATCAATCCTGCTCTTGATGTCCTCGGGGCGTTTGTCACCGGAATCTCTGCAGGTGGGCCGCTGATCGCCACACGCCATCTTTGCTCGGCATAGTGTCTGTAATGTAATGCCTGCCAGGTGCAAGCTTCTCAGAAAGAAGAGAAGAAAAAAATCAATGCCGGGGACATTGCCGTCGTGCCGTTAAACCAATATATTCGTAGTGAGAAAAGGAGCTGGTATCTGCGCCCTCTGCATCGACACTCTCTTGGCCTTTATACATGACCCGGCCGGCTTCCCTCTTTCCGCAACAGCAAACTCGCGCCCGCGGGATCCCATTTACATATCCTACAGGAATGTTCCAACCTCATCTTCGTCCTGGCATCGCATATGATATAAAAGTATACACGGCACCGGCACCCGCGGGGGGGGGGGAAGGTGACACGGGTTTTTGCGCCGCCCACGCCCACGCCCACGGTGATTACAATTGTCCCCGGTAGACGAGCTCGGCTCTCAGCTTCCTGTCCTCCCGTGCCTGCGTCTTCTTGGGCCCCCACCTCGCCGTCTTGCGGTCCATCTTGGCCTTGAGCCACTCGTGGTGCTCGCGCGACGCGGGGGCCGCCATCTTGACAAACACCTCTGAGCAGTCGAATTTCTGGGCGAGCCTGTTGACGCTCCACTTGATGGGGTCCTGGGCGCGCAGCCTCCTCATCTCGGCGACGTCCTCCTCCTGCAGGTTGTACCGCGGGTTGCGGTGCTTGTAGCGCATCCGGGGGGGCAGATCGGCCTCGGTGAGCGGCTGGGCGTGGGGGGCCGGCGCGCCCGGGCGGTTGCGCATCCGGAGCAGCGCCGACCTGCGGGGGTCGCTGGGCGGGAGGAAGATGAAGGGCGTGTGGGCGGGCGAGGCCTCCGACGCCGGGGGGTTGTAGATGATGCTGTCGGCGGCGGGGAAGGCGGCGGCACGGTCGGGCAGGAAGGAGTCGTGAGGGGCGATCTTGAGCGCCCGCTTTGTTCGGGCGGCGGTCTTGTGGCCGCGCCTGGGGACGAGGGGTGCGCGGCAGGCGGTCGCCAGGAGCTGGGCCACGGGACGGACGAGGAAGCGAAGGTCCATGGCTGCGGATGGCGGGTTACGGGTGCTGGGTGAGTCCGTGGAGAGCAGCGGGACGGTAGCTCGGGTACATCAGTCGCGGTCGAATAGCGTGAGGAGTATCGTCCTGGCCGGCGGCACCGGGGATTGGCGAGAGGGGGGGCGGTGCTTGGCCGCTTCGTGCGCGCTCGTGACGGAGACGAGACGCGGGAGCTGCGTGGAAATTTGGAGTTTTATGTGCACAGCCCGAGGATCTGCTTACATAAGGCGCCGGTGTCTCGTCGGCAGCGCCAATAGTGGCTTGGCATGAGGTCGGCGGGTGACCCACCTGCGTCGAGGCGAAGGGGGGGGAAAAAGTCTCGCAGACAGAAATCACTACGACTGTTGACTTTTCTACTTTTAAGACTAAAGACGCGCGTTGTTGTTTTCCAGAAGGCGGCATTGCGAATGTGCTGCCGTGTCCAAAAACCAAGAGCTGCTGATGATAAATCTACGTCGCTGCGCCTGGGAATTCCGCACCTCCCTCCAACCAACCTCGTACTCCGTGGCAATGATAAAGAGCAGCTCCAGAGTCGTCCACCTTAACGCCAGACCGGAAACATTGATGAACGCATAGTACCCTGCCGGCCTCACGCGGTCTTGCCGTCGACACCATTCGGCTTGCCTGGCTTCCCCAGTCCCGGTACGTATTTCGCGGCAAGGGGGACAGGCCAGGCAAGCGACTGGGTCGGGTCGGCGGAGACTTCGCCGGACGTCATTTCGTCGACGAGCGCAACGGCGATGTAGCCGCCGATTGCAGTGAAGACGTGCCACCTGCGCAGGCGCGGTTAGTAACGGTGAGCGGCGCGAGCCTCGGCTCCGGACCAGTCGACCTCTATCCACTCACCATCCGTGCAACTCGAGGAAGAATGCGGCGGGCAGGCCAACAGACTGCCTCACGCGGTTCAACACGCCGCACGCCCACTCGTCAATGAGCCAGACTAGGAAGCCGAAGGCGAAACTGACTGAAGAGAAGCCTCGTTAGCCAGTGAGACCCTCCTTTGCCAACGGGTGCCTGCAAACGTACGCGTGCCGAACCTAGCGACCTTTTCGACGTTGGTCCTGATGCGCGGATCGGGGACTTGCTGGGAGATGAGCCCGGCGACCCTCGTGGCAATCATGTAGACGGCAAAGCCAAAGGTCGTGGCGTGCAGCAGAAACTCGTCCATGAGCATGTGGGTGGCCATGACGATGGTAAAGAGCGCCAGGAGAACGACGCCCGCCGTTTTGGTATACCGCTCCGACCGGTTCAAGGTCAAGATGCGATACAGCAGCGGGGTCGTGAGAAGATGCATGGACAACTCGTCGGCTACGCCGGACATGTGTGAGCTTCAATCGGAGTCACGCGACGGAGGAGGTCGACGCGGTCGAGGGCGAGGGCGACGTACACATTTGCGTGTGGTATTTGAGCGTCATGTGGTATCCGGCAGAGCACACTCCCACCCCGATGAGGCCGCAGTAGGAAACGAGGCGCGAGCCGTTCCTCCGCCCGTGGGCCAGGCCGTAGATTCCATAGGCAACTGCGATTCTGGATTGTCAGCGCGCGACGGGTTCCGCCGGGCTTGCGGGCCGGCGGGATGGATGTCTGGCTGACCGTATACCAAGCTGCTGAGGGTGTTGATGAACTCGGCAATGTACCGCGTCACGAGATAGTCCTGTCATGGCGGCGCGACCTGGTTAAGCCTCGTCGTTGCACCGGCGCGCGCTGTGTCGTCCCGACTCCCGGCGACGGGCCAGATGACGTACCTCTTCGCAAAAGCTGGAGCCGTGTAAGCGACGGGGACATGGGAGACGGTTTCGTCATAAGTCAAGACCTACTTTAAATATGACGTGGGCGCTCCCCAAAACGGCTTTACTGGCTGGAGTTCCATGGCATGCATAGGTCCAAGAGCAATGGCAGAAGACAACAAGGGCGGCTTTGCCGTCGACGTTTGACTTTTCCAAGGCCAAGTTCATGGAGTTCTGGAATCCCGGGTGCCGACAAGTCCGGTTTAGCAGCCAGTGATTGCCAGCGGCCGCCAGTGGCCCGCCAGTGGCCCGCCAGTGGTTGCGCGTTGGGGAAAGTGGGGCCAGCGGCAAGCATCACATGCCAATCCGATTGATCAATTCGTCCCGACTCCCGATCCCGACCACCACCAGAGGTCCGTCTCCCGCGCCACATTAGTCATCGTCTCTTGCTCTGTTCACGGGAAATGCAACATTTTTATCTTGGCTCATCGGTCCCAAATCTAGGCCAATGAAAATACTGTCCTGGCGCGGCATTGGACAATACCTACCGAGACGATGTCGGCATTGCCCTGATGCACCTCCAATGCTGCTACAGCATCGGACACCCGGCTGCAAGAATTGCTCCATTGTCCCATCGAGCCGCTTTTGTTCACTCCTGCATCACAATCTGTTCGAGCATCAGGCTCGACAGCGCACCAACTAACTACCGACTAGGTTTCTGAATTCGGCCCGACCCTGTTTTACTTTGGCGGCCCAGTCCGTCGCTCGACCTCTTTGTGCCGCGACGTCTCTCGCCGTCTGGACTGGCACCTCAACACAATCAAAGGGATAAAGTGGGCAGTGTTTCAGCAGCCGCCCCTCGACTCTCGACGAGTTTCCAGCATCCTTGCAACCGCGCCAGGAGAAACACCCACGGTTTCGAGGAACGTAGTTCCAGGGCACAGATCCCCCGTCCTCTTCTTCACTGTCCCAACCACGGGGACGCTCCGGACCCGAGTGTGACGACATCAGAGCGGCGCGCTTCAACGCTGCCAACGCCCAAGACGCCAACGTGACCTTCAAAGTGAACCGGAAGTGATACCATGGCGCTTTTTGCGGATTCCATGTGGCCAGGACTTCCCCTCAAGGAGCGGAGACTGACAGACGGATAAACGGTGGGTAATGACGGGCAGATGTCTTCAAGATGATTTTCAATCTCACTGGACGCGTTCCCGGGTTCGTTTAAAGTTGCGTACATGACGAGAAGCTTAGCAGTCGTCTCGTCAACGCGCCCAAGGGTGAGGATCCAGACGGGCACGTCCTTGGGAGTCATCAGTATATACGGAGTACGTCATTCTTATATTGACAAAACATTTTCCATGGTGTCCAACGTAAGCTCGTCTGAGACGTACAGCTCATGACGCGTGATGAGTGTTAGGGGCACAGCACCCCTATCACTGGCACCATTTAAAAAGGCATAATTCAGCGTGATACCATCTAAAGGTTCCCTGGTTCTCGCAGCAGGACTGGATCTAGTGCCTCGAGCTCGTACGGAACCTGGTCTGTTTGTAGCATGCCTGCTTCTGCTTGCACTACCACACGGGTCTTGCCCAGCATTGGACGCCCGGACAGACAGGGCATACTTGGCCTTTGCCGTCCTGGTCTGCTTTGGCGTCAGAAGGGTCGGCGCGGGATTTCGCGATTTCTGGAAGCGGCGGTTACATGGCATCGGTAACAATTGACACCGCCACGTTTGCCATTTGCCACACGACCGACGGCCGGCTCTGGCTGCGTCCACTCGGGGTTCATTATCCTCATATCGTCGTGCGAAAGTGACATGGACGGCACGGCATGTTCAAGAAGCTCTGGAGGTGTTGAGGATGATGAAGGTGTTTGCAGAGGTTGAAGAGATCAACTGGTGAAGGGGCCGAAGAGAAGGAAGGAATATGGAGCACTTGATTGAACCGGCAAGGTCTTATGTAGATGAATTCTTGTCCCGTGCGACAGCGAGTCGTGTCATGTCGAGCTCGACATTCCATGCAACGCGGCACACAGGCTATAGCAGTCTTGGGCATGTTCAAAATGTGTTCAACGAGCAACACGAGCAACCTCGAAGGTGGGTGTGACACAACTTGCTTTATCCCGATATACAAAAAGTACAAGCACGCCGCCAAGTCATCAACCGTGTTCGTCGTGGCCATGTCAGCTGCAAATGGTGCAGAACACGCCGCAGGGCCCCCGGATCGGGCCTGCTCGAGGTGCCCTCACGCCGACATGGCCCATCCAAGCGCCCTGTTGAGACGCCTCTGAGATGTCACTTGCATGACTCATGTCTTTGGCAAACTGTACAATCTGACTTCACGCGCAGCTACACGTCGAAAATATCACCAATTCCCTCGCCTCCGCCCCTCCTCATGTCGACAATGTCCAGCCGCCACCCCTCCCAGTGCTTCAGAGTTCGCTTGATCTCTTTGATTCGCTCCAGTCTCTGTTTTGACTCTTCTTCTCGGGCCTTGCGAAAGGCGTCCTCGTCAAAGTCAAAGTCATCGTCGTCCATCAAGTCGTGTTCAGCACCTCCACCTCCACCGCCGGCCAGGGCGTTGAGTCCGTTGGTGAGAAAATCGCCCAAGCCACTGCTCGAGTGCATTCTATGTGACGAGTGACCCATCGACCCCCCGGAAAGGTCCACGTCATGAAAGCCTGTGTTCGTCGCCTCCATTTCTCGGCGTTTCTCGATCCATTGCCCGCTTCGCAACTCGTGCACTTGGTGTTCAAGGCTTCGAATCTTCCTTTCAAGCCGTAATCGTTCTTCGTTCTCGAGCTCATCCACGCCCTCATCGTCAAGACCGCCACCGCCTTCTGCGGACCTGCGGCTGCGAAGTTTCAGGTTCTCAGTTTCCAGCCGCTCCACCTTGGTCCTAAGGTCCTTTGCTTCCTTTTCAACACGCTCCTTGTCTTTTCGCAGAGCCTGAGACCTGGAATCCTGCTCCTTGTGAATGGTGGTCAATGTGGCCACCTTTTTTTCCAGCGCGTCAATCTTGATCTCCAAGTCAGACTTGGCCTTTGTTGTTTCCTGCAGGTCGTTCTCAAGCGTCTTGACTTTGACTTCTGCGCTTGAACGCTCACTGCCCTCGCGAACTGCCTTATCTGTTGTTCTCTCAAGATTGCGTTTCACATCTTGCAGCTCTCGCTGTGCCTTTCCGGCAGCGGCTTCGGCACGAGCAAGCTTTTCTTCAAGCGCATTTACTTGTTCTTTTTCCGTCTCGGCGCCAGATTCCTGCCGCTGCACACGAGCTTTCAACGTGGATATTTCAATCTCCATGGACTCGATGGTGGACTTCTTGGCGTCCAGTTCAGCCTGCAGCTCTGACGAGGGCGTAGCAATAGATATCGAGGACCGATGGGCATGGGTTGAGCCCCTCGAGACTTGTTGCTGTAATTGCGTGTTTTGTCGTTGAAGCGAAGCGATTTCGCTCTTCTGCATCGCCACTTGTCAGTCTCATGTGATGTCTGCTGATGCTTGGGAACGGCCGACTTACCAATTGCTCCGTCTCATGGTTTGCTCCACCCTTGGCTGAAGAATCGCCGTCAGCCTCACGTAGTTCAGCGAGCTCGTCCTCTGCCTTTTTCCATCGTTTTTCCGAGTCTGAAAAGTCTTTGAACAGCTTCTTGTTCTCCTTTTCTAATTCTTCGATGCGAGCAACCTGCTTTCTGTAAATATCGGGTGCAGTGTCACCATCAGGGCTAATGGGGCCTGGCGACGTGCTTCCACTCGTGCCTGCACGAAACGATGTTGACCTCATCTTGGACTGTTGAGCCATTGATGGAGTTGCCGATGGCGATTGGTCGTCTGTCTTTTCGTCTTCAACGGTCTTATCATTGTCTTCGGCCCTGTCTGTGACAGGCGGTTCGGACGTCTCAGCCTGCCCTTCAACATTCGGGGACGGAATTTCAGAAATCTCATCATTATCTTTGGCGTCATCCTTCTTGGCATTCTTTTTGCCCTTCTTCTTTTTCATTTGCTCGACCTATACTGGCAATTAGAAGCTATGGGAGGGGAGCTGGGGCAAGGAACAGCATGCTCACGCGCTTTCTTGCCGCAGCGATCTTTTCCTGGCGCGCCTTTTCGTCGGCGTCGGCCATGTTGAACGATGAACTGCGTGTTATATGTCAATTCCGTGCGCACAAATAGATTCCCGAGCACCAAGGTCGGCGCAAGATGACGATTGTCTCGATGTTTGAGGAGGGGATGAAGCTGCCGTGAATTGGACAAGACCTACTCCGTACTCCGTAATGTGGGACAGGTGGCCACAGCTTGGCCTGCTCTCCCAGCTGTTGGCGGCACGCATCGACGTCGGCCAGCTGCCAGGGGTGGAGCCATGGCGGCAGGCGGCAGGCAGCAATCGAAGGGAAGGGTCGCTCCTGCCCTCGGAATCTGACCGCCCAGCTCGTACCAGAAAAAATCTCGACCGGCCACGGTGCGAAGATTGGTCGTGCATCAGCGACCGACTACACATCGTCATGCCTCGCCAACTTAGCTATCGACTGCTATGTGGAGAGTCCTCTCTCCATCTCTAAGAGCATGAACTGGACAGGAGTGCGCGCCCGAGCCCAGAAGAATAGAAGCCAAGACGAGGAGCTGTCGCGACAACGAGACTTCTTTGCCAAGGGTCGTATGCGACATGCTGTAGAAACCAAATTGGTGGCGGACATTGCAGAAAAAGGTGGTCGGAACGTTGCAGAAACCCCGACCCAAGGAATCTGTTGGACAAGACCGCCATCAGTCAAGAAGAGGCATCGAGGAAGTCCAGCGCCGAGCCCGTCACCGCCACTGAATCCCACCACAATCTCGCCGCTACGACGTGAGGAAGCACCTTTGCCGCTCAATGAGAAAGGGGCCAATGTACGCACCACCCTCGATACCGATATTGCTGCCAAGAAACAGAGGCTGCTGAGAAGAGACGACTGGACAGGAATATCCCTTCAGAAACCCCTCAACATAAATTATCCGCAACCTACAAAATTACAACATGACGGCTTGCGTCGAAATCCTCGTCACGTCATCAATTCCAGAGCGACCAGGGAAATGTCCACCCAGTCGAAAGCGGATGACATTCGGGTCTCTGTCGGGAGTCAAATTTTCAGATAGAGTCAGGATGGTAACTCCCTTAGGAGCCTCAAAGGTTCTCAACATCAGTCATCCGCCTTGTCTTCGCAGGCATCTGGAAAGCAACACATGCGCAAAATTGGATCATCAGGACGAACCGGCAGCTGCCACAATCCACCCTCCGACACAGAGTCAGCCGCCGCAGCTCATTCATCCAGCCTGAGCAATCGCTCTAGCGGCTCCCTGAGTCTGCAGCATTTGTCGTGGTCAGATCAATCGTGCAGCACTATCAGTTCGGCACCTCGTGGTGACAGTTCCCCTCAGTCGCTCTACCACCCACGGCCACGACGCTCGATTGTATCAAGTCTTCTGCATGGAAAATCCCCCAGTCCAGAATCGGAGTCGAGCATGAAAGCACAAGGCAGCAGTCAGCGCACATCTGGCATACTTGCACCGCGCGACCCTCGGCCAAATGTTGACGACATCACCTGTGAATATAAGAATCTCCTAGGTATCAGTCGACCTCCGAACTTTGCCAAGTCCAGAACACAACCTGAACTGCGGAACGCTGAAACAATGCATACCAACCACTCATACGCTGCCCATGGTCCCGAGTTACCTGTGGCGGCCCCGAGAGTACTGGACGCACATAACGGTCCCGTCTATGCAGGAACAAAGCATCCGTGGTTGCTTTCTGCAAAAACGCAAACATACCCGCAAACGATAGCAACGTGCGACTCAACGGCATCCAAATGCCGCCTCTCCCCCGCCAGCAGCTTGATGTATGGCAATCTCTCATCCACGCCATTACCTGGCGGACTAGATGCACAAGGTCTCGCGGGCATTCTGCAAGAACTCAACCAATACCCACAGCGTCACAACCGAGACAACACCACCTCTGAAAACCTCCCAGCTCACCCGCATCCTACACAAGACATTGCCGGTCTCCAAAAGCCATACCAAAAACGTCTTGGGAGTTCCGAGCTGAGCAACCCCGACTCGATAGTCAGCAATGTCGCACAACACCCTTCGTCAGCAGCCCTCGAAACACCAAATATCAACTCACATGGCACCCACCCACCATCCGCCAGACGAAAACACCCCTCGGCTGGAACCCATCAACCGGCGTTACAGACGGCGAGCTTCAAGCCAGACGTTGTATACCGCCAGCCCCAGCCCTTCATCGGCAAGCTGGCCCTCCCCGAGGCACACCGTGCGCCGACGTATGCAGCGCAGTTGTCGACCGGCCGTGCGCGGAAACGGACGGCGGATCGTCCTGATATTCGAGCATTGCCAAATCACGACCAGGACCCAATCGAGTGATCTTGCCGTGTCGCCGTGCTCCCCAGGTTATACGTGTCAGGTCAAGGCTGGCAGAAGGGAGGGGGGAGGACAAGGAAACCACACCTCCATTCTCCGGAGCGCACCGCATGATGTATCATACCACGGCGTCTTTGCCGCACAATGCAATCACATCAGTTCCAAGCTCCCCCGGCTCGATATGCCGTTCAACTCAACGCCGCTCGAGTCCCGTCGTGCCCGCCAAGGCTGTTGGACCTCGGGAGTATATTCAGCACAACCCCAGCAAATAGCCAACTGCTGACCAGCCCATGCAGCCCGATTTGCCCTGCCAATGCGCCGCGCAAGTCACATCACTGCGACCGCAAACCTTCTAGAAGACTTGCGCTTCCCAAACGCCGGCCTCGGTCCACATGGCGTCTTGGTCCAGGAGATACATCCACTGTGGCGGTGTCCCTTCAACCTGGACGAGCAAGCGGGATACCACTGATGCTGCTGGTCCCCACGATGCGATCATGCAAGCCCGGTCTCGCCAAAAAATCGTGAAAACTAAGATGCCTGGAGGGGTCAACTGCCCTGACTCCGCCGCGTCTACTGGTGGGATAGTGTCTCGGTGGCACACCAGTAGGCATGTCAGATGGTCTTTTTGTCTCGGTTGTTGGCGACATGTCGGATGCCATGTGGTGGTCTTGGTGGCTTCATGACTGGACACGGCCGTCGCCAAGTTGACTGATGGAGCATTTCTTTGGTTACGATTCCTTCCAGGCAACGAGGTAGCTCGACGGGTGATCTTTGCCCTTGGGCATTGGAGTTGTATGTTATCTTTTCTTTTCTTTTCTTTTCGTCTTCGCGGAAGAGATTGTGCAATGTGATTTGTTTAATATTGTATAGATACCTCGTGCTCATTGATTCGTCGGTGTTTCAATTCTACTTGTGCACCGTGGCGGCGCTCCAGGCTGCCTCTCAACGTATATACACACACATTGGTATCTACTTATTGGAGGCGACGCAAAACTGGCCAGCAATTTTGACGGCCACGTCTGAGCCGCCACAAGGCGATCAAGCCAGCCTCACCCAAAGTGTGCAAACCAGGGAGGTCCAATTATTGAAGCAAAAAAATATATCCGCAAAGAAAACCAGGTCCTGGCGTCATTAGCTTCTGCGACGGGCCTCCTTTCGCTTTGGCTGACACGTAGTCTTGCACTTGGGACACTCGTAGCCGTCTTGTTCAATAGGGATTCTCTTGAGGCACTTTGAGCATCGCCACCAGTTTGACGACACTCGTCGGCCTTCCAGCCACTCCTCGTTGACGGACCCGCCGCGCTTTTCAATGTCTTCTTTGTGGAATTCACGGAGATGGTCACGGAAGTGGTCCAGCCGGTGGAACGGGTCGCGGCGGCGAGAGCATCGTGGGTAGTCGCAGCTGAACGAGACCTTTTGTGAGTCCGAGGCGTGTCGGTGTTTGTAGTGGCGGTCCAGATCCGCTCTCCGCTTGAAGGGTTTGGCATTACACCCCGGGTACAGGCAGCAGACGGGGTAGTCGCGGCCGCTGTGTGATCTGTACGGTTAGCAGCCGGCAATGGAGTCGTGGACAAGAAACGTATCAACGTACGATGACTTGGACCCTCGCTCTTCAGATGATGTCCGCGGAGAAGGAGTATCTCGCTCTCCATCAAGATTCGGGGAGGAATAATGCCACGTCGTAGCAGACGAAGACGGGCTCCACTGATGGTGTACGGGGCTGGGAAAAGTGCCTGTCGATGACGGGCTCTGAAAATTGGGATGCAATCCGTTGGGCATCGGCGACGCAGATATGGGAGAACCGTGAGCGCTCCCGCTCTCGGAGCGGCAGGCACGCGATGACGAGTCTTCTTGGTCATGCGGCTTTGTGGCCCGTGACGACGTCTCACCGAGTGGGAAGTACGGTGGACTCGTGTCATAATATTGCCCGAATGAATACTCCGTGTGTTGTATATTCAAGCCCCGCGTAGTGTTCATCTCGAACGACACCAAAGACTTTTCGTCAACCTTGTTGCGACGGAGGGTAGACAGGACGATGCTGTCTTTGTTTCCTGTGAATAGTACACTCCGTCATGGACGGAGCGGTTGATGGAAAAGTTATCCTATCAACAGAAATTCGTCAAAAGAAGGTGGTCTTGGGAGATTAAAGTTGAGCTCATGGACACGAAATCACCCTTGCGCTACAAGTAGGGAGTGGCGGATGTAAGCGTTCACTCAGAACTCACTTAACCTGCGCCTTCTTTTCAAAAGGGGAGTGCCTTCTCAAGGTTGACCATGGAGTTGTGTCCAACGTGATCAATAGGACGGACACCTGAGCTCGAGTAACAACAACTCTGTGAGAGCAGGAGAGCCAAAACGAAGCATCAGAGGAAGGCGAGGGTTTTCTAGAATGTGGAACCCTATGTAGGGGATGTGGTTATTCTGTATGGTATGTACAGGAAAGGTGGACGGGCATGGTGAACAAACAATGGGACATTTCAGGCTGTGACCCGGCCGAGTGGGAATCGGGTTCAGAGGCCAACAGGTCCGAGGCCAACAGGTCAAGGTTCGAGACTGATGTGAGCAATACGTATCCAGGCTTATGGCTCCAACGTGAGTCAAATGCTTGCGTGGTACAGAGAGGCAATGCCACGGCACAGAACACAGAACAGCAGCATGCGGAGGAGACCAAGGCAAAATCGGCACAAGGCCGCTGGCAGTTTGAGAGCCAGACGGGGTGATGGATAAGCCAGGCCTGCGTGGCTGCGTGGCCAGGTGCAAGGATGCTTGAAGTGCAAAGACAGGGCCAGGGCCAAAGCCCTTTCAAGAGTGAGGCTAAGCAAGCGCAGATACTCCGTACTGGTCAATACTCCATACTCGACGACAGCAGATGCAGCAACGCTCTCGATTCGGAATCGTCCAACAGAAACATGGCTGCAGCCCCGAGACGAGAGCGCATGGGCGGGCCGGCCAATGGCAGCCGGCCGGGACCAACGCTGTTGGAACTTAGCCTTACGACTCGCTTTAGGGCTGACGAACCGATGGCCGTCCATGACCGAGATATTATGGGGAGTGTTTGACAGCCACTTTCCCTGGCCATGGTAGACCATTCGCACAAGTTCGTCCAGGAGAGGTGCCGTAAGACCAAGGGAACCCAAACACGAGTTTCCCGCTTCAGGGAACACCACGTTTGTCCTGTAGCCAAATCGGTGGGTTTCGGGTCAGGTGAGAGATCAGCATAGGCGTGAACACGGGCCGTGTTCGTTCGTACCCAAGTTCTCCGCACTCATGGCGAGAAGATGCCGCTCGCTGTCTGTACCTTATTGCCTACAGGTAAGCAGCCCAGGGCTCAATGTCGAGTTGAGCCAACGCTTCTTCAGACAGCAGTGCGGTGCAGCGACTGCACTTGGATGGACACGTAGTGAAAGCAGTTACGGAGCAGCTCGCAAGCCAAGACGGAGTTACCGAGCCAGAGAGTGAATCAGTGAAGTTGGAGGGTGACGAGGACGAAACGCCCACCGTGTCGATGCCAGCTTTGTGTGCGCGTAGCTCACAGAGAGCCTTGAGGGTAATAAGTCGGACTAACTAGTTGGTGACTTGTCAGATGGTCTTCAGACGAGGTGGAGACAAGGGGACGCATCTAGGAAGCCATCATGTCGTCTGTCTGGGGTCGTGGAGGGCTATGGCAAACCGTATTTGGCCTGATAAGGTTTCTCGCTTATGGCGTGATATCATCAGTACCGTAATCAGTTGTCCTATACCCATCGACAAGACACATGCAATTGACCAGGGCCTCGATATGTAGTGTTTTCTCAATTTTATTTTCCTTCAAAAAAAGGGTTGCTGCCGGCACAGCTTAGAACAGGATGCAGCCTGTTTCTGGTGCGACAATAAGATGTCGTGCAAGGCTCTGCAGTGATCATTGTTGCTCTGTCGGCTGGGAAGCAGCCGATCGATCGATGCAGGTCAAACTCGGGTGCAGCCTGCGAGAGACACAGCACCTCGTCAAAACGTAGTTTATTAACGAGGTACTTGGTAGAGGCCGTAAACGACGTTGGCCGAATACAGGCTGGTGCATGGTTCGTAGTATTCGAGCCGATATCGTGGGGTCCGTGTGACGTCTCATTTCCCTGGGGCTTCCAGTCGACCGTGGTTGCGGTTGTACTCGGTAGATTGCGTTGCTCTGCCTCGTCAGCCACGGTCGTGGTATGTCTTTCAGAGTTCAGAGCAGAGCACCCATCATCGTTGATGAGTGTCCCGAGGAAACCAGTGAGCCTGACGAGGTGCCTGGCCAATGCCGTCGCTGCTTGACCAACGCCATCCGTGCGACCGTCGTGGCTCGACCCCGGCCGGCGCCTCGCAGAGCCGCATTCCTTTGCTGTCGCTGTCGCTTGATGAGCACGTGGGCGCTTGGGGTAGAATGATGCAAAAGCGTGTCGCTTACGGTAGGGCGCGATGTAATCATGAGCCTGCCGATGGAGGATTTTGACTTTGTTGAGGATGAGTCAACAACATTGAACATTGACGAACGAGCTTCCCTTCGCCTGCCAGTTGATCGACACATTGGCAGCTGCATGGGCTGCGGTGCCGAGCAGAACGTCAACTGGGAACAGCCGTCCACGGGCGGTCAACTGGTGGTGGCTGGGGGCCCGTTGTTGCGCAGCAAGGCCGTTGGACTCGGGCGGGCCATGGGCTGTACATGTACGGAGTACATGGAACTACGTACTCCGTACAGGGGCAACGTTCTCGCTCCATCCGTCGGCGTCAGCTTACTTCGGTACACAGAGGCCTCCTGGCGCGCGCTGTTGACCGATTCATGCCACCGTCACTGTCTCTGGTCGACGGCGCACGCCGTCTTTTGATACTACAGTCGCCCTGATCATCTCCGAGGCATGGACGAAGCCACCAAACTACGTGCAGCGAGACAAAGTCACAAGGGCTTGCACAACCGCCGTCATCGGTGTCATCAAAAAAGCCGGCCTTGGTTCATCACTTGACCAAAAAATATAGCAAACACTATCCCATAACCCGGTGTAGCTTGCCGCTACATCAAATATCTCCAGAACACCGAGCCGAGAGAATACGGGATCAAACACTGTAGTCAAGATACAAGCGGCAATCGAGGGGTGCGACGGTACGCTGCCGACATCACACCTCGTCTTCGAGGAATTTGTAGGCAAACTTAAAGTCTGCCTTTCTGCGGTTCATCCTGCCCGCTTCCTGTTAGTCGGCCACAACACGCAGCATCACCGTGGTTAGCGTAGGGGGCCACGTACCAGGTGCTTTCGTAGTCAAAGAAGCGGTATGTTCCCTGCTCAAACTCCTCCGTGATATTTTTGGGCTCCTCATGTCGCTGGAACCACGTCTGATATTGCTTGTGGAATCGCCAGCTCTGATCCTTGAGTGCCTTGGCAGCGAGATACTGCTGAGCGGTTCCCTGCTTGTAGTAAAAGACATAGAACAGAGTGTCGGGGTCTATTCTTCCATACAGGCGAGGGTCGTCAAAGATGGGTAGCGGTTCGCGAGGAAAGCCGGACCCCGTTTGAGGCATGGGCAAATCTGGTCGGTAATTTCGAGGGACGTCGGCATCTACCACGTCTGGCAAGGCCGCCTGGCTGGCCGCCATCAGTCGCAGTGTGGGCTGTGAGGATGGGTGCATGGGCCGTTTCCTTGATGCTTCATAAGAATCGACTAAATCTTGCAATGATGAAGGCAAGTGGTAAATGGACTCCTCTGGCTCCTCCACGATCGGCTTGATACCGTTGGTGGCCCCGTTCGCCTGGACTGTTATCGAACATTCGTTAGCACGAGGAACGAGCCGGGCAAACATGTCAGCAGATCTCACCAGTTGAGCTGTCCGCGTGCTGGGCAACAGCAGGTTGTTTTCCCGCGGCCTTTTTCTTGGACGGCTTCGTCGTGATGGAAATGTCGGGCTCGGCTGGCTGCGCTGGGGCTGGGGCTTTCGATTCTGAGCTTGTTGCTGGTTGTGCTGGAGTGATGGCCGGGGAATCTGTTGCGCTTGTTCTCGACTGAACTGGTGGCAGAGGCGATATACCCACGCTCGATCCCGGTGGCGGCGGCAAAGGCGCAATCCCTACACTGCCCTTCTCGCTTGCGGCCGCAGCGGCCGCGGCAGACGCATACTTGAGACCCTCTCCTGCTGGTCTCGCAGGTGCAGCAGCAGGCTTCATTGACGAATTTGCAACACCACCGCTAGTAGCTGAAGATAAAGGGGTATGGAGCGTAGCAAGTGCCGGCAACGGAGACCTGGTCTGCGATGACGCTTTCCGCCCCGAGGCCTCGATTTCCTTGGGTAACTTCCTCGAAGGTTTTGAGGACAGATCGGGCTCGGGAGTAACTTCATCCTGAACGGATTGTGCATCTTGAGATGAGCTCTTTTCGTTCTCCTGAACCATACCATACGTGCCTTCCTCGTCCTCCAAATCTAACTCGTCGTATATGCCCTCGTCTTCTATGAACTCGTCATTCATATTATCCGAGACGTAGTATCGAATATTCTCCTCCATTTCGTTTACCTGCTCCGTCTCAAGAGCACCGTTTTCCAAAGACCTTCGAATAAGCTCCAGCTTGCCTTGGTGCCATTTATGCCTTTCTATGATCCGGTCGATCTCGGCCATCCGTTCCGCCTTGGCGGCCTGGCCCTTGCCCTTTTTCATCGTCGCCTGTATGGATTCGCTCTCGGCCTCTAGGGACTCGATTTGTTGTTCCAGGTCGTCGACCATGTTACCGAGGAATTCGCAAGCCTCGACCTTTGCCTGTTCCTTTGGATCCAACTTGGCCGCCGCCGATAGACCCTCCTTGGAGTAAGCCTTGGTTTTCATAGCCTTCTCGACGGCTTTGAACTTTTCCATTTGCTAAGAGCGTGGGTTTCGGGGTCAGTATTTTATCGAACAGAAAGGAGTTTTTGTTATATCGGTACGTCGTTGGGCACCAACCGTCTCGATGAGCTTGCGATGCTCTAATAAAGGAGCCTTGTCCTTGATGTCGTTGCTCGCCGCCCATGTTTTGATCTGATCTCGCAAACGTTGGAGCTTCTTGATCTCGCGCTTGAGGTTGTCTTCGAGCTTTTCCTTTTGTGCTGGGTTATTCGACTGTTCGATCTTGTCGTAGATGGCTTCAAATTCAGCGACCCCCTCGGCCACCTTTTTGAAGCACTTGTCGACTTCTTGTTGTAATTTCCTCGCCGCCATATTTTCGAAAGTGATGACCTTCCAAGCCCCAAGCCCCGTGCTCTTTTCCCGGTCGTGAGGTGTCTCTTTTTTTTTGGATTTAGATCAGTTTGAGCGGCGCGCCCTCCTGTCACCCCAGCGAAGACAAGAAGTCGGCCCCTTGGAGTGTTCTGGATGCAGAAGTCGCGCAGGTAGAGGAGATGTCCTCGAACTTCAGTACGGCGATGTAGAGTCGTGACTAGTGCTGCCTGTCAATGCGCAGGTGGGAGATGTGGTCGTTTGCCTGGCGTGATGCGGTGGGAGTTAAATTTGCATCGACGTGACGAATTGACAGATTGGAAAGGTCACGGCCTTGTGGCTGACTAGCGGAGACTTGTACCTGCATGTGCTTCGACGGTAGCGACTGTCAAATTTGCCAACGGCTAGCGGGCGTTCGACTTGCTACATCATATTAAAATGGAATCAATTGGTTTTAAAGATTGATTCAAACGTCAACAGACTTCGACTTGGCTCTTGAAGTTGTCCTCGCCGCGACTGATGGACAGTTTTCCTTGCATGGCACTATCTAAGAGTACTGGCTTGCACAAACTTGCTGCTAGCCAGACACACACTAGAGAGCTCACATGACACGGGACTCCCGTGCATTGGACCGAAAGGCTGGATTGAACGCTCCATAATGCGATGGCATATTGCTCATGCCAATGACTGCCGTTGTACTCTTCTTGCTCCCTATTCCCCGTATCGGCATTGCGGATGGCCACGCTGGATTTTGTGGTTTGGCGGTGACTTTTAGGCCATGTCCATGTCGTTTTGTGAAATCACTTTCGTCCGCTCCTTTTTCTTCACCGAGACCTACTTGATCGCCTTGCTCACCCCATCGGCACTATGAAAGGTACATTCCACCACCCATGTACTGAACCTGCCTCTCTGACGCAATGTCTTCGTGTAGCCATTCTTCAGCGGGTGCTGTCTGCTTCGGTGACGGTAGACAAGGAGGTCATTTCATCGATTGGGCGTGGGGTGCTGGTTTTCGCGGCCGTGGCACCTGGTGACTCGGAAAAAGAGGCACAGCAGATTGCCAACAAGGTTGTCAAGATGAAACTTTGGAACGATGACAATGGAGGAAGGGTGAGTCGTATTATTGAATCCTGTATTACCATGGGCTGCATTGCTCTTTATTCGTACGTGTTGCTGACCGGCTGAGCAGTGGAAGAAGAGCGTCACAGACATCAATGGCGAGGTGCTCTGCGGTATGTGGTTCTGCAGCTGCCGAGATAGGAGAGACTTGTTTTCATGAATGGGCTCTGACTGTACTGTTCAGTTTCGCAATTTACTCTCCTCGCGCGCACGAAAAAGGGAACCAAGCCTGACTTCCACGGGGCTGCGGCACCCGAGGACGCACAGCGGCTGTACCACTACTTTGTTGATCAAGTGAGGGCGGGATATGACGCGGAGAGAGTCAAGGACGGGAGATTCCAAGCCATGATGGAGGTGGCATTGGTCAATGACGGGCCGGTGCGTGGCGCTTTTGGTGTTTTTCTGATTGCTGACTCATCGAAAGCATGCAATTGACACCTCTGCAGGTTACTCTTGAACTGCAATCGGGAAGTCAAGACGGCGACAAGTCCGAGTGAGAGAGCCTTGAGTGCCAGTGTCAAGGATAATGAGGCTCAGCGCACCAAGCCAGAAACGAATGGATAGAGAGACTAGCTGGGTGGTTGTATCACTGGCCGATCGCCCATGGTTTACTGTCAAATGCATAAAACAGGCGATGCATTTAGATAGACTCCCAGAGGATATAAAATTCGAGACGGGCTTCGCGTTTGCTCACCCGTTCACGCATCCGCACATTGCGCGCGCGCGCCATGGGCCATGGCGGCGTCCTGCACAAGTCTGTGCTGTGCATACCGCGCATCGAGGTCAGCTAGAAACTTCCACAGCTCCGACTGGGAAGGTGCAACCCCACCATGGCATTTTAAAGCCCGGGTGCGGTGCGGTGCCTTATAACTTGCGCGTTGTCTCGAACAATGAACAGTTTCTAGCAAACCATCAGATCCCATATCCCGTACTCTGTACCACGAATTTCCTCCAGCCAGGCGATCCGCAGCGCATCTCTGTCCTCAGTCTGACGTATGGGGGTTGATCTCGTCTCTACAGCCCCCTCAAGACCGGCCAAGCCATCTGCCACGCCATTCCCTCCCTGTAAGTTGCCGTTTTCTCTTCTCGCAGGTTTCACATCGCCGCGCACCATTCGACGCCCGACAGATTCTCGCCCGTCCTATTCCACACATGTCAAGGCAAACCGTTCTCTCGTCTTCACGCCGCCTTGTCCCTTGCCTCTTTGCTCGTCAACATTGCATTTTGCCAAGCACACAGCTTGGCCCGTTTGTTTATCAAATCTCCAAGCGAGCTCGACCCTGCGACCTGAGATAACCCCGCATAGTCAAATGTCGAGACTCCTGACGGCATTATTTCATTATATTTGACCACTTGCGCTGACACTCGTTGCCAGCTGGAATTGAATCGTGTGTGCCTCCAACTGCCACCGAGGCCATTTTCTCTTCTCCTGGACTTCCTTCGCGACGCGCTTTGGGACCAGGGATACCTTTGTCTACACATCTCTTCGGCTCCAAGTCATCTACTCAGTTTCCTGGAGACATCCATCCACGAAATCATTCATCATGGCAAGTGAAACCTCGGTCAGACCCCGTGTGTTTTTCGACGTCTCCATTGGCGGCAAGGCTGCCGGCCGCATCACAATGGAGCTTTATTCCGACTTGGTTCCCAAGACTGTTGAGAACTTCAGGTGTCTCTGCACGGGTGAGAAGGGCATCGGCAAGTCTGGGAAGCCGCTGCACTACAAAGGCTCCGCCTTCCATCGAGTGATTAAGCAGTTCATGATTCAGGTAAGGCTGATGCGTTGACGCACGATTTCGAGTGCCTCAGGTGTACCCCCGTTTGCTAATGACATTAGGGTGGTGATTTTACTGCTGGTGACGGCACCGGCGGGGAGTCTATCTACGGCAGTAAATTCGAAGATGAAGCATTCCCTTTGAAGCATGAGAAGTCATTCCTTCTCTCTATGGCCAATGCAGGACCCAGTACGTGCTATTCTATTCCGTGATGAGAGTTGCGTTTGTTGTCCACCCTGTTCAGATTGTGTTACTAACCAAACGCAGATACCAATGGCTCTCAATTCTTCATCACCACCGTCCCTACTCCTCACCTTGATGGAAAGCATGTTGTGTTTGGTGAAGTCTTGAACGGAAAATCTCTCGTTCGCCAAATCGAGAATCTCAAAACAGAAAGCGGCGACAAGCCCATCAAGGAGGCACTCATTGCTGACTGCGGCGAGCTTAGCGGCGAGGAGGCACAGAGAGCCGATGTTAAGCAGCCTGACGCCATGGGCGACCCTCACGAGGACTACCCTGAGGACTGCAACGGTGAACTTGACGCCAAGACCATCCTAAAAATCGCAACCGACTGCAAGGACTTTGGAAACAAGGCGTTCAAGGCAGGCAACCTCAATGTCGGCCTAGAAAAGTACGAAAAGGGCCTGCGATATCTCAATGAGGACCCGGATCTGGACAACGAACCCGCCTCCACTAAAGAAAGCCTGGACGCTCTCCGATTTTCGTTGAATAACAACTCGGCTCTACTCAGCATCAAGCTCGAATCCTGGGACGACGCTATCCGCCACGCCACCTCTGCCCTCAACGTCACGGGTGCTTCTGACGCCGACCGCGCCAAGGCCTTCTATCGCCGTGGTGTAGCTCATGTACGCGCCAAGGACGAAGACGCTGCTCTCAAGGATCTCGAAGAGGCGATCAAGTTGGCTCCCAACGATGCCATGGTGGCCAAGGAACTTGCTTCCGTCAAGACCAAGGCTACTGCGAGAGCAGCAAAGGAGAAGGCTGCGTTTACAAAGTTCTTTTCGTGAGTGCAAGTGACGGTGTCTAGGAAGTTTGTCTGGAATTTGCTTCCAGAACACGCATGAGAAATAAAACGTACGTAGGGCATGTCCTTGGACATATATGTTGAAGTTCTGAATTACGTGCCGCCAAAGTTGGCCCTATCATGGAAAAAAAACGACCTTCCAGTGTATTTTGTATGTATATTCCATGCTCGGCCATTGCTGCCGTATTCCGGCACTGCACTGCGTCGTGTTCAGATGGCAATGAAACGAGCCGTAATTTTGAAGATGCATCCCGCGCTGGGTAGACACAGCACACTCACTTCTCCAATCATTGGCCCGTCTCCTCTGAAAGCAAGGAGCAAGCTTGTCGAAACATATGTTACCCATGTACAACAACGCCAATACTTTTTTTCCCCCAACACAACGCTGGCCACCTACCCAAAATTTATTTCCGAGCAAAGCCGGCTCGATGCTGTTGAAATCGAATTCAAGAAAAAAAGGGGAAAGAGAAAGTGAAATGAATGAAGTAGACTGGTCATGGCCATGACACAAATGCGAGGGTCATCTGGATCCCTTTGCGTCAGGGCTCTCTGCCCGGCCCCCTATTCTCATGATGCCATTCAATATAGTTCTGCCCATTTTGCCGTTCTTGCCGCCCTTGCTGGAACCTCCCATGCCGCTCACTTGACGCAACCCACTGGCCTTTCTGCTGTCGAGGCCGTCTCTGTCGCGGCGCCACTCCTTGCTTTTGCGGCGGGAAATGCTTTCGTCTCCGCCGCCGTCGCTGCCCGAACTCCCAGGTGGTCGGTCATCGCCTGACGTGTGTGGTAGGGAGTAAGGGACGCTGAGGGACTCTATGAGGGTGGCTTGTTCGAGCGTCTCGGCAAGTTGCTCGGCCACGCCGCATCTTGCGGCGTTTGCTGCGCGTGTGCGCTCAACTTGGGCTAAGCAGGCGTCGGCGCGTTTTTGCAGGCCGGTGCATAGCTCGTTGAAGATGAGGAGCTCGCCATCTGCCTGGCCCCTCTTGACGTCTTCGGGGCGTGAATCGACCCAGATGCGAACGAGGCTTGCGAAGCAGCGAGCATGGTCAATCAGATATGGTAAGCTCGGGAAGCCTTCCTTGGCTGTGGGACTCAAACGACCTAGTATGGTGATGGGTGTACTGTAGGCCGCTGGAACGCTCTTGACGCCTACGCGTTCGGCGGGGATGCCACACACTTGATCAATGTAGTCGCGAAACACGGGACGCTGACTAGTCAAGAATCTGTTCATGGGCTCCATCCATTCCTCGCGTTTCCCAAAAGTGGACATGTTGGACATCTTTTGCAGCACCTTTGCAATCAAGGTCAGTGTCCGCTGAGCCTGGGGCTGGGGGTGATCCCGCAGCAGACCAAAGAGTTTGGGCGAAAGGATGGCAGGGCAAATGAAGCGAAGGAACAAGAAACCAGATACGGCAGTATAGGCCACCGTACGGAGGAAATCGCCGTAGCGGTCCTCAGCAACAGCCCGGATATACTTCAAAATATGCCGTAGCTCGCTTGGCAAATTGCGCGCGGATTCCGCAATGCAAAGCCACACTTCCGTGGTATACTGTATCAGTCGACTCCATCTCTGGTCAATCTCTGTACCACTGCAGTGAGGCAGTCTACTGGTATCAACCTCGCAGTCGGGGTTCAGCTCGTTTATCTCGGCAATCTTGTCCTGTAGCACCTGTTCCAGGTACTCCATGCCCAGGCGCCGCATATGAAACTCGAGAGATTGTGTGAGCAAGGAGTTTCCTCGGAATAGCAAGTTGGCTTCACCAGCAAGTGACTTGCTCATGTCTCTCACAATCAGCTCCCGTTCACTGGCAGACTCGATCGACTCATTCGACTTCAAACGGTTGCTGTATCGAAATTTTTTAATGGAGGCCGCATTTCCGATGCCGTCGATTTCGTCCTCGACCAGCGCCATTAGCCATTCAGCCGCATGGCCAGACGCTTGGAATATATTGAGGAAGTTCTCGGACAGGCGACGTAGCTGACCCGGCAGGGAAGTCGATATCATCGTCGTCAAACCCGAGGGAAATCGGTGAAGGATTTCGGATAGTGGTTCATACTCGACTGCAAGTAGCGCTATCTGTTCAGCATGGGATATTTTGATCAGCATGGAACCAATCGGCTGTTGCTTGTCGTCCATAATCTGGAGCCAGTCCTCATGGTCCTTGCCGCGTTGAGGTTTATCTAGGGCAACGTGCACAGTCCCGTACAACACTTCCTGGCTCGCCCCGGCGCGCACTGGGCCTGGCCCCGTCGATGCCACGTCAGAAGTGCCATCGGTCCGCTTCAACACAATAGACACCTCCTGTACGGTATGCGGCAAGTCGACAAATTCGCAGTCTTCTCTCCAGTAGGGGTTCTTGGTTGCCGGCTTCGTCGTGGTTCTCGCGCGGACTTCCCCGTCCAAAATCACTTCGGCAACGTAATTGCCAACCAAAGGATCCTGCCCAGCCTTGAAGGGCTTTTCATATACATGTGCTTCAAGACCTGTGGGCCGAGCTTTGACTTTTGCTTCCGTTACTCTTACGCCAACAGTCTTTTCTATCCGGAATGTCTCTTCAGAGGTTCTCTCCTCCAAATCGGCCACTTCCCGAATGGAATCTTGATCGTCAGCGTCCAATTTGTATAATTCTGGCATTGCAAACGCCCTAAGCAATACAAACCACACCTCGAACTGTACGCGATTATCCAGAGCCAAGTAAACAGGCCGAAAGATGGAAAGTTTTGTGGCGGTGCTAGCATATATGGGAAAGACTGCAAGACAGAATTCCTCGTCTAGAACTGTGTGGTCAAGTTGCTGAATAGCACATCTCGACAGTTGTGACAGTTGTATGACACAGAGAGGCGAATTATCGTTTTCAAGTAGCAACTTCAATTCACCGTCATCTTGGAGGATGCTTGATATTTTTCTCCAAGCTGCGCCTGGTGACAAGACGTCTCTGGTGGATGATCGCTGTACTAGGTCGTTGGCAGAGCCCGTAGAGCCCTTGTCCCACAGCAAAATCGTCCCGACTTTGATAATGGTCGCAGATTTGGGCCCTTCTACTACTGTTCCTGTTTTATTAATGGCTGGTCCAATGATGCCGACACGACTGTTGTTCCCAGGCCCATTCTGCGGTCGTGTTGAAGCCAAAGCTCTTGTTTGCTGCCAACACAAGAGTGCAGCAAGCCACAGATTCCACTCCTCAGGGGCAACAGGGCGCAAATACAATTCAGTCGTATGGTCTGTCGCAAGGAGCTCGAGGCAATCTTTCTTATCATCAGGATGGCTGGTGGGAAGGACAATACAGCCACGAAGATCGGGGATAAGGGCCGTGAAAAACGGCCCAGCCTGGCCCGAATTAAACATGAGGCACCCCTTTTCGTCATCAATGTAGGCAGTGCCATCCTGCCAAACACTGCCCTCGTCCTCCATTTGATATTTGATTTCGCCACGCATTCGGCCACCAAGTGTCTTCATCAACATGATCAGCTTGGTAGGTTCAGAAGCATCAAGAGGCAAAGGGAATGAGTCAACTGAAGGAGATGGTGTGGGAACTGGCGATGAAGGTCGAGATGCTTGTCGTTTTAGCAGTCGCTTGCCTGACTTCTTGTCCTTGTGCTTAGACGGCGTTTGCGGTGTGGACGGCTCCTGGAGTCGGAAAACATTAGTTGATGAGTGGCTGATGGCCTCAATTGCAGGGCCCAGGGAGCGTTGGTCATCAAGGAAGTGTTGTGACCCAGATGAGCTGACACTACCAACCCGATGCCTTTGGTCGGTCGTTGTGGGTGTGCGTTGCGACATTAGCATGGCGGCATCTAACGTCCTTGTCCGAGGTCTTATTGACGCGCCGGGGTGTCTCTGCTGTTGCTGCAGTTGTGGCCCTTGCTGAGCACCAGCTTGCGATGGCACAGGGGATGCGGTGGGTTCGGCCACATCGTATGAATTGTCGTCAACGTTGTCATTCAACAACACCATGCCTTGTCGCCGACTTGCGCCTCTCGGGGCGGTCACAGGAGAACCATGCTGCGTATCGCGATGCATTGTTGATGCTGAGCTGTCAAACGCACTAGCGCCAAGTCGGCGGCCATCGGGTCGGCTGTCTGGAGTTGCAGAGCGCATGCTGCCGCTTGTTTCCGGCCTGAATGCCGCGCGGAGGGATGATGAGGCGACTATGACAGCAGCAGAAGGCGGGCTGTCGACAACATCGGGCGCTGCTTCTACTGGCGGCGAAGGAGGTGGGACTGTAGGTTGCTTGGCACTCTGGAGAGTGTCCCGGATCCGCGATGGTTGATTGTCTCCAGAGTCACTACCGTTTTCGGTGGAAGGAGGTTTTTGTCTTTCCATATTTGTTGATGGCATTAACTTACTATGCCATTTCCTGATTCCGATCGACCGTTGGTGCTACATTGAGAGCTCGTGGATCGTTGTTGATTCTGTTCACAAATCTCTTCAAGGATGCGCCCCCTTGTCCCTCGTTCTCAAGAGTCAACAATCCCCAATATCGTGGCCAATGTTGGCCACGGCGATTGTGTTCCTGCGAGGGCACCAGCAGCCTCGACAGGAAGCCCCTGGGGTGAGCAGACGAGGTTGCCGACCGTTGAGGACAGGCGAAGCCGGTTTGCCCCGCGTCTGATGTCTCTGAAATAGGAGTTATTTAGAATAGCCAGGATCAGCATGGAGCAGCCATTCCATGCGAAAGAATGACGATAACGTGGTCCGTATAGTTGACGGGCCCTCTCACGGCAAGCAAGAGGCTGCGACGGCAGTTGGTCATAGGGCGGAGAGTCCAAATGGCATGCGAGGGCTTCGCAAAGCCGGCTTGAGGGAGAAAGGCGACGGTCTGTCAGACAACGTCGTCAGGGCCGAAGTTGGAGCAAACCTGGGATTATCTGGTCGCTGGTCTCACTTCTGGATGTCTCGGCGTGGATGTCAGGTGTGCGTACGGAAGAGGGCTGGTCGACGGCAGGACAGCATAATTCCGTATGGCGATTCGACAGGTCGGTTCCTTGCAGTGTCGTCGGTCGGGGCGGCGTATGCAGCAGAATGAAGTGGTCGAATCGCCGACGGAGACGGTGTTGGAGACGGTGGTTGAATGTGAACTTTGGCGTGAGAGCGGGGAACTCGACCAGTGCATTGGCGAGCTGGAACTTGGGGCGCGGGCGACTATGTAGTTGGAAGCAGGGAAGGTGCGAGTGAGTGAGGCGCTCCTTGTACATACGAAAGTGAACCGCTGTGCGCTGGGGGATGACAGGTCAAAATGGGACCACTTTGGGACCACTTTGGACCACTTTGGGCCGTCTTGCAATTCACTGTCCAGGCGGTCAACTGGACGTTGGCAAGTAAGGTACCTACTTAGGTAAGTACTTAGGTACGGATCACGAGTGCTGTATCCATAGGTACGTCTAGCGACCAGTACCAGCCCTGATAATAAGTAAGTACCTACTAAGTACTTAATGTACTTAAGTAGGTTGGCAGAGAACATGTGTCCAGCGCATTTTGAGCTGCCCAAAGTACTGAGTACTTATTTACTTAAATACTTAAGAAGTAGACAGGTATACAGGTACCTGGCACCTCGACCACAAGTGGCTCCGCCGAGTCCTCTCATCAACGTCCATCCATCTCCCAAGACTCGTCAGGGCTCACGCCGCATGGGACCTGTGTTGGCTTGTCGTTCCCAACGAGAATTGGCTCTCAGTAGCATTCGATGTTTAAGCTGACGAGACGGCAAAATTCGCGACACCGGGGTCACAGCTCGAGATCAGCAGCAACAGCAGGTGCTCAACCCCGTGGGCTGGCGGCCCTTATTGATTGATGCTCGCTCGGTTGTCGGTCCGCCACGTTCCCAGAGCAAGACATCAAACGCGGCGCTCAAGACCATGGCCGTGGACGGGCAAAAACGTGCGCAGTTTTGTTTTCCCGCTCGACGACGTGCTCACCATTTCGCTCTGTGCCCCATCACACGCCCGTGATAACGAACAGGACGGCTCAGCCGCTCAGGCACCCCCACCTCCTGTGCCCATAGGGCCATCACCATGGATCTGGTAATTGGCAACCCCAAGGACGCAGTACCGAGCGCGCGCATTCTCTCTTACACTCTTACACACTGTCTGGCGGGGTCTGGAACGAACATGCAGTGCCAGCCGTGGAGATGGCGTCAAGCTCCGTGTCGACGGTTGCGAGTCTTATCGGGGGCAAACTGTGACTGTTTCTTGTTACTCTTATCTCTTCTTGAAAACCTACCACGTACGCTAGGCCTGGAGGCCTAGCTCACAACCCCGACATGGCGACTCCTTGATCGAGAGCAAGCAAGTCAAAAGCCATCGATCTATTACGAACGGCTCCGCTCCCGTCAAATGCCTGCTCGCTCCGGGAATCGCCCACGACCCAGAGCGCCGGGACACGGTGACGTCTCATGGCTTCGGCTCGGGCAAGAAATCAAATGCCTCAGCTCTTACGGAGTACAGTGCGGCCTACGTGATCCTGGTCCCTCGGTCATTCCAGGGCTTGCAGCACGTCCTCGGCAATTGCAAGTCCGTCTCGTTTTTGGTGAAGCCAGAATACATCCCAGTCCGTCCTTCCGGGCATGCGGAGGTTGTTCGCTGGCTGTTCGTTGCCACTGGTGACTATTCAGGCACTGCGCCGAGAGACTTGGTGCATGATATAGCTCGTACACGTTGGATCCTAGACTGGGAGCATCTCACCAAAGACGAGCGTCGGCCAAGGGCCAAGGCTCTCACAAGTCACAAGTCCCTCGGGCCTAATATAGCTGTAAGGCTTCGTGCTTGAGCCGTCGCCCCCTTCGCATCCAGCCTCGATGCCGAATTCACGAAGTCTTGCCTCGCCAGACTTTGATCCAACAGCATCTCGCTGGTAGCCATCTCGGGCTGTTCTTGTCGCGAAACCTGATGCATCTTGGAGCAAAAATGGTCTGGCCACGGGGACGAACTAGGCCGACGACTGCAGTCAAGGAAGCGAACGGTGGCGTGGGAAAACGTGTTTGGTGGTGAACCTACATGACCCCAAGACACGGCTACGACCCTAATGCAGCCCGGACACCACCGTCGACCCTAGCCGGATCTCTTCCATTAGATGCCTCGAAGCGACGTGTGTACGGCGTCCCTGCTCGGCTGGTATTGGCTGATGGTAGGGGAAACGCATTCCCCCTTGATCGGGTGGCGATTTATAGACGGGGTTCTTCGCCCTATATGTACAGTATACCAACACGTACTTTCACGCCAACGTGATTCCTCGTATGTCCCCGGGCGAGCTTCGTGCCTGACGCACGGCTGTTTCACTGAGGTGTGCGGCGGTAACAGTACATGAGTAAAGCTGATCGTGTTGTGACTAGGCTGGATTATGAAGCACTTGCTGATAGAAGAAGCGAGTAGTCAGTGTAGATAGTAATTATGGAGAATAATATAAGAGCTAACAAACAGTGTATTTATAGTATTCAAGATCGCAGTCTTGTGAGCCCCAAGTCACCGACGTCTTCAGAGCACCGTGTTTTTGGATAAATAATGATTAATATCATCGTAGGAAGAGGGGCTTGGACATCTCACTAACCTCGACGTGTTGATCAATGAGGTCCGCGATCTCTTGGCAGCTCTAACCCTGAGTGATGTCCCTCTTGACCACTAGGATAGATAGTACTGTGAACTGCGGCAGCTCCAATACAACGTGAAGATCTTGTGCGGGCTCTTTTTCTCAAAACTCAGCCGAGAAGGGCAGCTTTTGTGATGCCGTGATTGATTGTTGTGGGAGCAATGATCCGTTCGCTGTAACGGTCAGCGATAGCGACCTGACCAGGGAAATCTTAAGCCGCCAGGAAAGGTGATAAATTTGAAGTCGGCGATCGTAGTGCTGGCAGGATACTTGATCCACGCCGTCATAGTCGAGACACAGTCTCTAAAGAGAGAGAACTTGGCTTTTGGCGACAGAATCGCGCCAAGAGCGGGACTTGACCCTGCACGTAATGGCACTTTATTCCAGTTCCTGCTCCATCCCGGGCAGTCTGACATACGCTTGTCCATCAAGTCGTTATGCACGCGTGCCCCGCAAGCGTTGCACCTCTTGAACTGGCAATGATGATCTTCATCGGGACTGATCTTGCAGCTGCAGGAGCTACACACCGTCCGACGGCAGATGCGCACATGTGCTAGGATCTGGACTTTGCTCCCGCGGATCTTGTATTGCGGGCATGCATGAAACTTTGCATGCTGCTTCATGTCGTCGAAAGATTGATGTGTTCCATACTTCGCGCACTTACGGCACATAGCCGGCAGCCATTTGGAACATGCCTCGGCGTGTTCGAAGTTTTCTGAAGCTAATATCTTGTCTTTGCGACAGCGGAAGCATTTCTAGCATTCGCAGACTTTGCAATGTTCTTGGAGGTTAGCGAATCATTTGCGGCACCGGTGGCAAGAAGATGATTGTTGGCCGGATACATTTCTGGGAATGTTTCTCCTTGTCTGTCCGAAGCATGCCATTTTCCTGCACTTGCTGCACTGATATTATTTGCAGATCTTTACATGCCGCTTGTTCGCCCTTGAGAAGTCGCAATCTTAAGTGGCGGCCCGCAAATATGTGCTCCCTTTCACTCATCGGCACAATGTCCGATACTCCGTACCAGCAACAACTCCACACGCTTGAAGTAGCCTGGACTTCAGATTGGATTGAGCAGCTGGTTGGCATGGTCGTGCGTGAATCCTTTCTTCCAGGGGACTGCTGCATCGAATTTCCCTTCGCGGGTACAGCGATAAAGCAGGGAAAGAAAGAGGGCGGGCTATTGACATCAGCGTACGCGTTGCGCACTTGGATGTATTCCGCGTATAGAGGTTCCCTAGATGTCACAGCTTCTAAAGAGCCTTTCCCTAGGCAGTTCGTTGGTACCGCCTATCGAGAGGAGCTAGGATGAGGCCTACTGCCGCCAGAGATGGCGGAGAGGTCGAGGTTATGTGCGCTTGCCGACATTCTTCTCGTCCGATACGCGCGGCGGTTGCGCACCAAGGGTAGTGTTCCGAGTGCGATTGTTTCCACTCTAAAGCAAGGAAGGGACAGAACTCTCCTTGACCGTGCCGGATCGTGCAGTATCGTCCAGCATGGTAGGAACCTTCGCTTTGCATGTTACATATAACGCAAAAGAGAGAGACCTTATCCCGGCCGCTGCCTCCGCGCTGTAACGGATACACTCACCCACAATCACGTAGGCCAGGCAGGCCAGGTAGGTTGCAGGCTTCCCAACCATTGTATTCGTTGTCGTCAAGGCTGAAGCTTGCCTTCGCAACAAACTCTATTGCTCTCTGCAAGCTCCGTAATAAACGGCCCGGTCTCGTGGCCTTGTCGCCTCAGGCTGCTACCCTATGACAGTCATCCTCCCTCTCCATAAGGATAAAACGGGCCAAATAACGAGGAAAAGGGTTCATAGACTGAATGTTTTGAGTACATCAAGCTGGCTTCGTTGTGTCGCCCTGATCCTTGGTGAGGGTTTTCAACCCTTTCTCAATGGTAGACAACGCCGCCGTCTTGTCTTCATCTGGGATCTCCTCCCACTGCATATCCACCTCCTCGGGGAGGAATGGCGCCTCCAAGAGCGTGATGAGCCGCTGTTCTGGTTCCATTTAAAGAGATGGAGCTTCAGAAAGTGTAGAATGTGGTGTAGGTACATCCCTTCGGCTAGGAGCTGACGACGTTTTGACCTCTCGCCGAGGATCTATTGAGAAGGTGTGAGTGGGTTTACCGTCACCCGAGACGCCTCCCTGGACAGCGACAACCAAACAGGTAACTTTTCTTCCAGAATTGCTGAATTTCGGGCCTACTCGCCATACACAATCCCAGTCACCTTGTGGCGCACCTCTCACCAGGCACACGGACTGACCTCGGCTTTGTTCAATCACTCGTGTGTCTAGGCAATGCCTTACTGCAGACTTCGATTCTTCAAAAAGCTGATGATTCATTGCTTCATCCTACTCACAAGGCTGGTTGCCGGGCTCCTAGCGATACAACAGGCTTTTTTTCGCATTGTGTAACATTTGTAGTTTTGCTTGACGCCAGCAATCACAAGGCTCTTCCAACTCCCAATTGCCAAAAGATATCACCAAGTTTCGACGCTATTCGTATGCCACCTGCTAGATAACAAAAAACAACAAAGAACGTTCGCCAAAGCAGGAAAAAAAAGAGGGAGAAAAAAAAACCATTCCTCCATTGATCCCCAGGGAAGTGATATCATCGATTGAACAGAAACATCACGTAAGGGGAAAGAGTCGGTTTTTGTCGTTTTGCGCGGCGTTGTGGTATATGTTCATCTGCCTTCTTTTTTTTTTTAAAAAAAAAAAAAACGCAAGCGATATGAACTTAACGAGAGCCTGGACCGTCAGTTGGACTTGCCGGGTTACTCCTAAAACTACTCAAGTCCGTGTTCCCAGTTCGCCTCAGAGCTTGTCGCATTGTTTCGATATTGAGGTCGCCGCCCGTAGCTGCCATGTTCTGTTGCCCGGGCTTGGGGCTGCCAAATGGTTTTCGTGTTGGACTCATCTCAACTCCTTTCATGCTTCCGGGGTTACTTGTTGGAGGACTCGTTCCCTGTCCTTGGCTGGAGACGGGCGATCGGATGGGCGATGGTGATCGGTTCAAGGTAGCAGATGGAAGGGATGTTAACCCCACCGTGTGAAGGCTGTCTCTTGAGCCTGTTCCTCCTGCTTGATTCCCGTGTTCTGCCTGCACAACGTCTGCAAATGAGATGAAGGATAGCCGCCGTACATCGGTAGAGTCCAGCGATCCGTAGTTGGACGCAGTGTCCGGGGAAAGCCCAACGCGGTCTGCAAACGAAGCCAGCTCGGCAGCCCACTCAGAGGCCATCTGGTCATACGGTGACGTTAGTCCACCTGGCGTACCCGTGACTGTTACCGAGGCGGGTTGGTGTGACGTGTGTGTTACGATCTCCACCGCGTCGGGGTCCAGCTTCTCATTCGTGATTGCCTCGGAGGCATCGTCGAGAACGGGAGGGATATAGTTTTCGGTTTGAATGTGAGTGGGAATAGCAGGCGAGTTGGGCTTCAACACGGTGCTGTCCTGTACGTCTCTCTCGAAAATCTGCGAGCCGGCTGGAGATGATACCCGCGGGGAGCTAGAGATGGCTCGAGCAGGCGATGAGGGATGCACGAACACAAAATGCTCGCCAGTATGCAGTCGTGGTGGGGATGCCGTAATCTTTGGCGTCGTCGGTGATGGTTTGGATGTTTGTGATGGCACGGGCAACGCAGGCACTGCGTCGGAGGCAGTGGTCAACGAGGTGCTGCCGTCCTTCTTTTTACCGAAACCAAAAAGAGACCTTTTCTTGACCTTGGCACTCTTTTGATTGTCCATGTTGGGATCGCAATCGGTCTCCATGGCAGCATGATGAGTCGAATCGTCGAAGCTGCCATCGTCGGCGATGTCGCTGCCCCTGGGAAACGGCTCTCCCCTCTTTAGAGTTGGCGATTCGGCAAGGCTCATATTGACGACAAGACGAGATTAGGAAAACGGGGAAGAGGAACCCGTGAACAGGCTTGGTTTAGGTTTTTGTTGCCGTATTTTCCGCAGGAGTCAAATGAGGCAGAATGATAAGGGGAGACGTGTTATGGCACAGCAACCCCGGCGATCCTTGTTGTCCCGGGTGCTGCCAGGGATGACGACGGTCCTTGAGCCGTCTCCCGATGGTGCTGGAAGCCAGGTCTTGTGCTGCAGGGCGCAGTAGTGTCGTCTTTGTGTTGAACACGGAGCGGAGCGTCAGCACCAGTGTAGAGGATGCCAAGGCTCGAGAGCAAGCGAGCTGTTCAATCTGGTCGCCATCAACGAGTTCGCGTGATGGAGTGCATCGACGAGACGAGAGCGTTGGAGGACGAGGATTTGGCCACTTTTCAGAGCTGCAAAGGCTTTGAGGGAAGGAGGCATGGGGCATGTGCATGGGCAGATGACGCACTTTGACTTTGGGAGAACCCGCCAGGATTGGTCAGAGCTTGCCTAGGCAGGGACCAACACAACGCAGATGAGGGGTTATTGCCAGACAATGCAGATTGACAGGCAGCATTAAATCGAATGACAATCCATCCATCCCTTGACGGGCAGGCAGGCTGTCGACCGACGGTCCATTGCCATCGTCTAGCTGGCAAGCTGCCCGGCTTCCTACAGAGTTCCGGAAGGCTCCTAGCGCAGGCTCCTAGCTGACAAGCCGACACCAGTTGACCAGTCGACCAGTTGACGAACGCCTTGACGAGATCCACGACCCGCTCCAACCCCAGGGCGACAGCGACAACGCGAAGGTTGAAGCTTTTCGAACTGGGACGATGCAACACACGAAAACACATGGCTCTCTTCAGTCTGCCAGTGGCTAGCCTGGCAAAGCCAAGGTCCAGCTCCAACTGGTTCCGGCGTTGTTGAGGCGTCTGCTCCCTGCCATATCTGAACGTGGGAAAGCAAGTACGTATGCAATTCAAAGTCAAAAGCAATCAATGTCTGCATGGCCTTTGAAAACAAGGGTTCCGGGGCTGCAATTTCAAAGCGTCTCTAGTCGCAGGTGTCACGACGAGTTGCCCAGGGCCAGGGCTCTTTATCTGTGGTCTGGCGTGTCTAGTGCCGTGGGCCCGGTGGGTTTGACTCCCAAGCGGCTTGATCTTGGTGGAGGTCTTGGTTACTTGGTGAACGGAATGGGGCGCAGTCGATTCAACATGAGGAAAAGGGCGGGACGAGCTTTAGTTCAGCCCTCATTTCTTATATACATGATGCGGACAATGCCTTGATAGTATGCCAGGGCCAAGGATCCAGGATGTCACCTTGCCTTACGGTGCCAATATGTGACGCGTCAATACACCGATTGTCGATGAACTGAAAAAGCAAAGAGAACTTGAGAGGTAATCGTGCCCGCCCCACTTTATGTGGTTCGGCTAGCAAAAGCCCTCACCACCAAAGGTGGTGCTCGACAGCAAGGCGGGCCGGACACCAAGGCGGGCCAATTTTCAACCTAATAACGCTATTAACCTCTTCGCCTATAATGTACACCCTTCTCGTCCCAAATTTCTAGTAGATCTAGTACAGAATCCAGACGCCATTTACGTGCCTTTTTAGCTGCTTCAAAAAACGTCCTCTTGGCGTGGTTGTGGCGCCTTTTGTCGGCATGCTCTTTATGCTTGCTGTTCGCCTGATGAACTCGAGAAAGGTCTTTGCAAAGGCGTGATTGGAAGGAGAAACGGCGAATGGTTGACGCGACAGGTATGCATTTGTTGGCGGTGACGGGAGGGGAGCCATATGAAGAGGTGCATTATCTGTTGACTGTTTTTCTAGACCGGGAAATAAAAATAGGACATGTATAGAAAACCAGATATTACAGCCCTTTTTAAAAAAAAAATCAAAAAAATCAAAGGTCGTCACTCATTCATTGGAAGCTTCAACGAAAAAAAAAACCCCGGATGTAATTACGCAGCTCATTAAAGATCCACCTGATCAATCGCCGGCCACCATTGAGACCAGGCCCCCTGCTCGTCGAGGTTATTGCTGACTTCCGCGAAAAGCTGGTTCAACAAGGTATTAGTGTCGAGCTCGTGCTCGTGCTCGTGCTCGTGCTCGTGCCCTTGAACCGGCCAAGTCGCCTGCGCCGAGGGCCGCTCCGCGCCCCGAATCTCCCGAGTATGCGCGTCGGATCTATCCACGACACGGAACTCGTGGACAGACTGGTGTAGAGTATCAAAGTCTGCTCGTGTGCGCCCCTGGTATCGTGTCCGGTCCTCGGTTGCTCGCTCGTAGAGCACGGATGCATGGTGTATCGTTTTGATCTTGCGCGTGCCGCCCTCTCAATGTTAGCGCAACGGTGGCCACGGTCGTGTCATGCTTGCGGGCGGCTTACCCATCCGTCGGCGATTTTCCAGACAAGTCGAAACTTTTCCAGGTAGTCGAGACACATTTTGAGACAGTCGCTTGCTCGCGGGCTGCGGCCCAGGTTCATTCGGGGGTATTTCGCCACGTAGAGGTTGAGGTAGCCGGCTGAGAATGCGCAGAACCCGGCAAAGGGCGTCATGAGATGCACGCCACACTCGGAGGCCTCGTGTAGAATGGCGGCGATGTGCTCTGCCGCGCCGAAGAGGAGTCGGGAGCTGTCGTCCCACCAGCCCTCGGGGGCGGGCGCCCCCAGCATGGGCTGGTCGACTGGACCCCGTGGCTCCGACTCCGGGGTCGGCAGGAAGGGGAAGTACTCGCGGTGAAGCATGAGGGTGCTGACAAGGCGTAAGCAGGGGCGGCGGCGGCAAGTTGGGAGCCCCGTCGACCGCTACCGCTGTGGGAAGGGGATTCTTACCTCACGTAGTACAGGAGATTGAGGTAGACGAACGTCTCGCCGAAGCCGAGCTTGAAGCCGCATCTATCATCTTCAACTCCCCGTCATCACTTCGACCCGTTCGCACCACTGGGCACTGTGGTGGGGCGGGGTGACATCAACCATCAACGATCGATTCGGCTGCCGCATCGAATAAATTGAACTTGGGCAATCTCCCTGCAGGCTGAGCAAGACCCCCTTCCTCGGCGGAAGCAAGAAAAAAATCCCGTCTGTGTTATTGATTCTAATCGTGGGTGAGTAGACGAAACGTCAATCCCAGCCCATATCAGCGGTGGCACCTTGAGTCGTGTAATCTTGAGTCCAAATGATGATCGACTTCCGTACGCTTTTGAGCCAGGATCTTGCTGATTACGAATTCGGAATCACGGCCAAGGACCCTTTTTCCCGCCCCAGAGCCTGGTCAACGCCTGGCAATGATATCCAAGACGAATTTTCAACCCCTTTATCAAAATCGGAATACATATATATATACATATGCTCCCATGAAGACGCGTACAAAGACATTAGTACGGCTCGGTCATTCTGATGCCTGCCACCCACGCCTCATTTAAAATGCTGGTAGGCAGATGCAGTGACACCTACTCTGGGAACAAGCGTGTTCATATAACTGCCATATGGCTTGGCTGTAGATCCGTCAACAGCACGACGTCTTGTACAGTTTTGCGGCTTCATTTAGATTCTAACAGTTACTATACACGCGACAAAGACGAACTCTGGCGAAGGGCCAAGCTTAGTTTGTTCCTCCTGTCACGTTGAAAGCGGAGCGCGTACGGGCCAATGTAATAGGTCATCGGACTGTGGAATCATCATTCGCCCAGCTGTTTATTCGCAATGAGGAAGCAGCCTACTCAAATGGGAATCACATGACCCTCGTCAAAGGTTAAGATCTCCCAGGTTCTTTCCAGACAATTAGAGATGGGCCCTGCAACAAGTTGTATGAGCTGTTGCAACTTGTAGGCTAGTTACTTGATGCAAGACGCCCTCGTACAGGAACACCTTTGATGGTCTTTTTCCTTGTCGTCCTCGGCACGCTCCTGACTGGACATAAAGGACGCACGTGTACTTTCTGAAAAATACCAACGAGAACATCCCATCAATATACTTAGCCACCTAAGGTACCTACTCCGCTGGAACCCTCAATCAGTGAATTGCATTGTCCTAGTTGTGCCCTCCGATGTCAACGTTCACACCACCGGAGATGGAGCGACAACGGGAGAAACGAACTATCAGTGACTCGTGATCCATTCCAGGTGCCAATTCTGGGAGTAGTCTGGGCTGGTGTTACTGAAGCCCTCGCCGTGGCTGGTTCTTTGGCATCTCGCCATGGCCCTCAGCCGGGTCAAAGTCTGTCAACTGATCAGCGGGCTCGGACGAGCGACTGAGATAGCAAGCGATTTAGAAACATCGCGTGCATCTCTTCATGAGGAGAGTGCCAGGTCGTCCATCTCGTCACCTGCTTGCGGCTCCAGGGGCGGACAGGCGTAAATGCAATTGAGCGGTGTTAAGGAGTAGATCCAACTTGGGCGCAGATGCCTGGTGGCATTTACAAGCTTGACTGGAAAATACAGCAGTGCAGATGTTACGAACAGATGGTTAATGAATACTGGCCGAGATTCGCCTTCGCTACATCTGTAATTGCCGGTACAAATAAAACTACCACCATCCGTAGGTAGCGTCCTGAACTCGTCAAAACGTGAAGCGTCATTTCCCTCTGTAAAGAATAGGAGTTCCCAACCCTAAAGTACCCAGCGTCATTGGCTTGACGTCACAGATTAGTATCTAGCTTTGTGCCCCCGCTATCGGTGTGACAGAGACGCAGGCTTCACGTGACTAGCCGTGTTGACTCGTCCCGCCCACACGCACCTGCCCACACGGAGCCCCACTCTTGTTAGGCTATCAAGCAAAAATAAATCCTAATAGTTCTTTAAAGCTATCGAACTCAACCCTGGCAGATAAGATCCGCAGGCAGCACATCATGGCATCTGGAAAGACGCCTGCAGAAAACATGCTTTGGGGTGGACGCTTCACAGGTTGGTTCTTTATGGAAGTTCAAGGGCAATGTGCTGACCCCAATGACAGGCGGCCTCGATCCCCTTATGCTCAAATACAATGCGAGTATCCAGTACGACAAGCTCCTGTACAAGGAAGATATCCTCGGCAGTATTGCGTTTGCACGCGCAAACGCCAAGTCTGGCATCATATCCAACGACGAGTTCCTTGAAATTGAGAGAGGTCTCCGGGAGGTTCAGAAGGAGTGGGAGGCGGATACCTTTGTTATCATGCCCAACGACGAAGATATCCACACCGCCAATGAGCGCCGGCTCAGTGAGATCATAGGCAAGGACATCGCCGGCAAACTACACACGGGTCGCAGTCGCAACGAGCAGGTCGTCTGCGATATGCGTCTGTGGCTTCGCAACCAGATCCAGGAGATTGAGAGCCACCTAGTTGCCTTGATCGAGGTTATTGCCGGCCGCGCAGAGGCCGAGTGGTATGTCTGACTATCCTCCGAATCTGGCGACCCCTCCTGACCGTGATAGCGGCATCATCATGCCTGGATACACCCATCTCCAGCGCGCCATGCCGGTTCTGTGGTCGCAGCATCTGTTATCATATGGCTTTTTCTTTGCGAGCGATCTTGAGCGGCTGCGCGAGACTTCAAAGCGTGTGAATAGGAGCCCACTTGGTTGTGGTGCTCTTGCTGGCAATGGCTTCAATATCGACCGCGATATGATGGCTGAGGAGCTGGGGTTCGCAGGCCTTCTATGGAACTCCATGGCTGCTGTTAGTGACAGAGACTTTGTCACCGAATTTCTGCAATGGGGCAGCATGCTCATGCAACATATTTCTCGATGGGCCGAGGATCTTATCCTCTATTCCTCTACAGAGTTCGGCTTTATTTCTATCGCTGATGCTTATTCTACTGGAAGTTCTTTAATGCCGCACAAGAAGAACCCGGATGGCCTGGAGCTCTTGCGAGGAAAGGCTGGTCGAGCATTTGGCCATATGGCTGGCCTCATGTGTACCCAGAAGGGCCTACCCAGCACATATCAAAAGGACTTGCAGGAAAGTTGGGAACCCATGTTGGATCATGTGAAGACTGTCTCCGATAGCCTTCAGATCGCAAATAGTATCCTTGTTACCCTCACTATTAAGCCAGAGCGGATGAGGGCTGCCCTCGATCCATTTATGCTGGCTACCGATCTTGCTGATTATCTCGTACGAAAGGGTGTGCCCTTTCGTGAGACGCACCATATCTCTGGGCGGTGTGTCGCCAAGAGTGAGGAGCTAGGTATCCCGATGAACAAGCTCTCACTAGAGCAACTACAGGCTATTGATGGCCGGTTTGGGGAAGATGTTTCGCACACGTTTGACTACGAGAGAAGCGTGGAGATGAGATCAGTCAAGGGCGGTACGAGTCGAGCACGCGTCCTGGAGCAGGTAAAGGTTCTTAGGGCCATGCTGGCTTAGAGAGGTTTCATAGCTTAGAGGACTCAAAGGGCGGCATACATGGAGCCACCTGCTGCAAATCCTACATTTGAACCTTGACTTGATATTCCTTCAGCTGCTTCGGCAGCAGCTTGTCTATCTAAAACTGTGGTGGACTAGCTCAGGGAGCCATAGCGGGTGCTAGCCGCAGTCATTCCGGTGGTGTGCCGGACTCCCTAGCTGCCGGTCACTGACCTTGAAGCCAAAGGGGTACGTAATGAACAAGCTGCCGTAAGCTTGTTCATCTAGCACTACACAGGTGGGTGAGCGAAGAGGTAGACTATGTCCCATCACATCCATCACAACCATCTAGGCCGAGCGTAGCTCCAGAGCATAACAATAACTCATACTACACTAAGCGTGTAATACACACTTTTACAACATGTCGCGTCAAACTACTCCATTGGCCGACTATTCCATTGGCCGCAGAATCAATCCCACCATCTGGCTTAGGCCCCTGCTGGATCGCACCAACTGCAGCGGTCGTGACAAGCTGCTTTCGCCTGCATTGTTGCACCGTTGTGTCACACGGTCCGGTCACCGAGCCCACACATCGGCTTGGGTGCGGCGCCGAGACCGCCGTCCGAGGACGACAAGGTGTGTGTGACTATTGTTGATGAGGCTGGGCTGACGAAGTTGATCTCCACCCAACGTTCTGCTTGCTTCTGTTCGACTGCGATCCCAGCAAGTTGTTCCGGTACGTCGCAGGCACCATTTGGAGTTCTGGCTGCCACTCACGTCAGTCACGCTTGCGACGATCGCGTCATCAGGGCCAAGGGGATGGAGAAGGTTACGGATATGACTGGAGAGACCGGCCAAGGGGGAAAAAAGGCGCCCTTCAACGCCTTTTTTTTCTTCTTTCCTGCCCCCAGCTGATGCGCCTTGCGCTTTCCCATTTAAACCGCACAGGGCACCTTCCAGCATACCGCAACCTCGGCACGGACGCAGCGACTCCCCTCGTCGGCTCCCCACACTCATCAGCCTGGAACCGAATTTACGCTCGCGAGACGCTGCGATTGTGACCTCGAGTGCGCCGTCTGGTCGCCGCAGCGTGCTTGGATTAATTCGCTCGTCCTTTTTCTGTCTTTCTTCTTCTCCACCATGAATTCCGCTGCCAGGCTCCTTTCCTCTCGTGGCCGCTTGCCCATCGCGTCTGTTCGTGCTTCTCCATCTCCGTTTGCTCCGTCATTCGGCGCCGTCCGCACCTTTTCAGTCTCAGCGCGCAATATGGCTGCCGCACGGAAGATCAAGGTCAAGAATCCCGTCGTCGAGCTTGACGGTGACGAGATGACCCGTATCATTTGGAAGACCATCAAGGACAAGTTCATCTACCCGTACCTTGATATCGATCTCAAGTACTACGATCTGGGCCTTGAATACCGCGACCAGACCAACGACCAGGTCACCATCGATGCTGCCGAGGCCATCAAGAAGTACTCAGTCGGCGTCAAGTGCGCTACTATTACACCCGATGAGGCTCGCGTCGAGGAATTCAAGCTGAAGAAAAGTGAGTCAACCTGTGCATAGCAACCCACCACTGCAGCACATGGCTCCATGTACAATCTACTTACCTGAATCTTCCTTTGCAAAATAGTGTGGCTGTCACCCAACGGCACCATTCGAAATGCTCTGGGCGGCACTGTCTTCCGTGAGCCCATCGTCATCCCTCGCATCCCTCGTCTGGTCCCTGGCTGGGAGAAGCCCATCATCATTGGCCGCCACGCCTTCGGTGATCAATACCGCGCCAAGGACCTCGTCGCCCCTGGACCAGGCAAGCTATCCATGGTGTACACCCCCGAAGGCGGCGAGCCCCAAGAGGTCGAGGTCTTCCAGTTCAAGAATGGTGGCGGCGTCGCCCAGGCGCAGTACAACACCGACGAGTCCATCACTGGCTTTGCCCACGCCTCCTTCAAGCTCGCCCTCGACAAGAGCCTGCCCCTCTACATGAGTACCAAGAACACCATTCTTAAGAAGTACGATGGTCGCTTCAAGGACATCTTTCAGGAGCTCTACGACACCCAGTACAAGAAGGACTTTGAGACCAAGAAGATCTGGTACGAGCACCGTCTGATTGACGACATGGTGGCCCAAATGATCAAGAGTAAGGGCGGCTATGTCATGGCTCTCAAGAGTAGGTTCACCTGCATGCAAACCGCGCTTTCCCCTCACCCGAACCCGCTTAGGGAAAAAAAAAAAATTGCTGAGCAGTATGACCAGATTACGACGGTGACGTCCAGTCCGACATTGTCGCCCAGGGCTTTGGCTCCCTCGGCCTCATGACCTCGGTGCTCATCACCCCGGACGGCAAGACGTTCGAGTCCGAAGCCGCCCACGGCACCGTCACCCGCCACTACCGCGAGCACCAAAAGGGCAGGGAGACCTCCACCAACCCCATTGCCTCCATCTTCGCTTGGACCCGCGGCCTCATCCAGCGCGGCAAGCTCGACAACACCCACGAGCTGGTTGCCTTTGCCGAGGGTCTCGAGCAGGCTTGTATCGATACCGTCGACAAAGACGGCGTCATGACCAAGGATCTGGCTCTAGCCTGCGGCAAGTCCGACCGCTTAGACTACGTCACTACCAACGAGTACCTGAATGCCGTCGAACGTCGCATGAAGACCATCTTGAAGGAGAAGCTGTAAAAAAGGAGAAACGGGTGAGGAGGAGGCCAACATGCTGGGAAACAAGAGAGCAGGAGGAAATCAAGAAAGATTCAAGAAGCAATGTAGCGGTGGTCTAAAATGCCTCGGGCATTCTGCTTCCCCGTCACGCAAGGCGCGCTTACGGGTGTTTTTCTTTTCTTTTTTTCTTGTCATTTTTATCATTTTTTGCATACAGGGCCAACATTCCTGCCCCTCGGTCCAACATCATGGCAAGACGTATTACATACAGGTAGAAGAACTGGCACATGTCATAGGAGTCAAGACGGGTTGGTCTCATCTAGCAGCATGTATATGCGACGTAGAGCAATTTATGATTCATCATACCATGGAAGCCTGACTGCTATTTACAAGAGAGGAAAACCCTAGGTGCACGGCCAAGTCCTACAATCAGATTTTAGAGCCATACGATTGCGCATTCATCAAAAGGAGGCGAATCCTTCATGCCTAGTATACAGATGCAAAGTAAGGCGTCGACACCAATCTTCCCACCTCTCCTCCGGGCCATGTAGCCCATGTAGCCGTAGTTCTGGGAAACGTCTCATGTCCCCCGATTTGAGCCCTCACGCAGTACCCTTGCAATATACCAAACGCCATATATCCCCCCTTGGCAACGCCCTGTATCCCAGATCAAGCAAGCAAACCTAGTCATCCCTTTTAGCAGAGTCCTTCTTGGACTTTCGAACGGCCGGAGTGCCGTCCACGTCACTCTTTCTCTTCTTCTTGACGGGCCGACCACCAGATCCGCCGGGTCTGTACCCGGGGTCGTCGTCTCTCTTGCGCTTCCCCCTGCCGACGGGCGTGCTGAGTTCAGCATCGTCGTCCATGCTGGCGTCCCAGTCGCGCTCTCGATCGACCGTTCTTGTGGCGAGGCTGGCTCGTTTACCACGGCCGCGGCCTCCGCCGCGCTCGCCTCGGGATCCGCGCGTCTTGCGACCGCCGGCATGGTGACCTGCTTGGGCCTCGTCGTCGCCGTCATGAGCCTCTCCGTCTTGGAGGAAGATCTTGGGCGCATGCTTGCGCAACCAATTGGTCACGCTTGTGGGGTTCTTCAAGTGAGCGTGTTGGATTGGGTTGGTGCTGGGATGGGCGCGAGGAGCGAGCGTGGGAATATGTGTCTCTGGGTCTATTGAGCTGTCGATGTCGTGGATGTAGTTGTCAATGTCGTCGGCGGACAGGAAGCTAGACGGGAAGGGCTCGCCCTCCGGGGCAGCCAGGTCACTGAGGTACGAGCGCTTGGCGTCTTTGGCGGAGGTGTATGACGAGTGAGGGATCTCTTCGAGGAGCATTTGGAGTTTCTTCATGGCGAGCTCCTTTTGCGGCGGCGCGTGCTTGCCGTCAATGGGGTGGACCTTCTTGGAGCCCGGGGAGGGCCTGAGGGACACGTCTATTCGCTTGTCGAGGGGAATTTGCGGCGAGTTGTTGATGTCGAGGATGAGATCTAGCAGGCGGCTGCGTGGAGAAAAATCAGCATGGGCCGTTGATACGGTGCTGGGTGCACTGGAGGGAGGAGTCAAGGAGAGCGCCGTACTCATTCTCAACAGCTAATCTTTTTACGGTTGCAGAAGCTCTGTCCTCCTGCTTGTGTAGGTCCTCGCCTTCTTGCATCTTTTGATCGAAGAGGATGCGCATCTTGCGATACTTCTTCTTCCAAGACTTGTATCCGCTCTTGCGGTGGTCAGCCGACCCCTCCGTCTTGACGGGGGATCCGTCCATCTTGTCGGCGGCTCGTCACGAGTTGAAAATGGATCAGTCGCTCGGCGTGTCCAATAGGGTCAGTATCAATGCAACGGCGCCAGATTCTCTGGCGAGAGTCGTTGGCTCCGCAGGGTCGTGACGAGCGGACGGGCGTGATGCTCCTGAGGTGGACACGAGGGACTTGGGTCGATGAAAGGACGACACGAGGCTGACGATATTTGCAGTGGATTAAAATTTGATTGCAAAGGTCAAGTGTGTCGGCTTCCGCGTGGGTTGGAGATGGGGTTCGTGATGGAACGCGATGGACGAGAAGTGAAGGGAAGAGGGAAGGCAAGGGTTTTACAGAAATGGCCGAGGCATGGCGTGAGGGAAAGAGCGTGCGGTGCTGCGGCTGCTCCTGGCGGTGCGTGTCGACTTTGGGCGCCTCCAATGCGCCCGCATCGCGGGCCCTTGGTTGGTCCACGCCCCGTCGTGAGCCGCCAGGCCGTTGACGCGCAAGACGGGCTGCCCTTTGATTTTCTACTACTGTACGGAGTACATAGTTACTTAATGTCGCCAGGGCCGATTTCGCCTGTCCAGCAGGACAAGTTACAACTCCACGGCAAAAACGGGCCTGGGCCTCTCTGCGTGCTCATGCACTTCGTGACAATGCTGCGTCAAGGCTTTTGGGCGCTTGCACTACTTCTATTCATCATGTTTATGCAGGTATTCATGATGCGACTTCGTGGCCTAGCCTCTCCAACTCATCCTTGATAAATGTGCCGGCATTGAGCAACTCCGTGCTGCCGTACACAACCCGCTTCTTGCCCCGGTCCTTGGTTCGCGCTACCCATTCCTGCAGATTGCCGTATTCATCAATGCTGCCGCCGCCCACCGTGAACACCACTGCCTCTGTGAAGCCCTGCCTTCGTTGTCCAAATGTTGCTGGCTGCCCTTGACCTGCTGCACCGGGCATGCCACCCGGCGCGTTGGCTGCACCACCCGAACGCACTGCGCTCGGCGGCGGCATGGTCCCACGAGCATTGGCTGAGCGGGGATCAAAGTACAAGTAATTTTCCGTCTTTGCTATCGCAGATGATGACGCGCTGGATGGGTCCATGATGGATTCGACAACCTTGGTTACTGTGAGGTCCCGGTCGGCTGGCAAGAAGTTCTTGACGCCCGATATCAGAGACTCAAAGTTGGAGGACAATCCGGAAGGAACGCCGGTCTCCTTGAGTCTGTCTGCCAGGCGCGTGGAAATGAACGAGAAACGGCCGAACAGATCAGACGACGGTGCTTGCTGATTGGTGTTGTCTATCGTCGTCAGTTGTGTCATCTTGGTGGTGGCACGAACCCTATACATCACGTCAGTAGTGCGCTTGTAACTGCTGGTAGCCGACCTAGTACTCACTGTCGGATGTACGGGAGACAAGTTATGTCCGCCCCGACTGCTTCAAGAGCCTTGCAGAGGCTTTGAAAGTCAGCCCGACTAACCTCCTGCTCCGTGCTCAAGAACCAAATGATGAAAAGTCGGAGCTTATCGGCAGGTTCTTTGCCCTTGTTGTCGTCCCTGATAATCTCTAGTATTTGGGCTTTGCTTTGCTTCATTATTGTTTCTTCGAGCTGAAAATAATTGTCCAATTGTCGGTCTTTGATGCCAGACAGCAGTGCGGCTAAAATGTTCATGTGCATGTCAAGAATGCCTTTTCGCTCTCGCATCTCAGGGAGCAGCGTTATAGCAGCCTTGAGGTGTTGGGCGCTTGCACTAGTGTCATTTTGGAGATCCTCCAAATCCGAGACTCCGGTCTTCCTCGTGATAGCCGCCGTGTCTTCCTTATATTTGGTCAGTTCGGCATCAATGTCTTCTGCCACCTGAGGGAATGGGACTCCAGCATTCTTGGCCCAGAAAAAGTCGTTTGCGCCCAAGTCGTATGCCTTCCTCGTGGTCCCTTTGGAAGGATTGCTCTCGTCCACAGGTGCCTCGATGGTGATTCTATTTAGTTTCATATCCAGCACGTCATGGACGAGAGATTGATAAGTCCATGAGTGTGACAGCATAGGAGTCAAGTCGACGTTTCGATCCAGCAGGATCAGGACCGGACGCGAACTCGGCGTACCGGAGACGGCTGGTCTTGCGGTGGAAAATAGGTTGTCTTTTGAATTAAGGATATGGTCTCGAAGCTTGCGGTCGAGGCGAGCAGCTACCATCTCAGCAGCTGCGCCCTTGGGACATCGGATGATGGGGATAGCCCCTGGTGATTGTTGTTAGCAAGACTGTCTCGGTCATGTCTCCACGGGACACCATACCCATAGTCACAACGACACTGAAAAGACCGCTCACTACCCTGTCCACCACGGCTTCGAGCTCCTCATCGCGTGTCTTTGCGCTGTTCAAGGCCCAGTAAGTGTGGGCCTTTTGCATACCAAGACTGAAGAGGTCTGGCTCTGCGACTATGAAGTTGAGATACTGATCAAACAACTGAGCAATCTTTTCGGATGTGCCAGCTGTTGCTGTTTGTGTTGCGAAATCTTCCAGTAATACTCGGGGCAGCGAGGATAGGAAGTTGATGTAAGCAGGAGAGTAGAGGCCTTTCTGGAGGTCGCCTGTGATTGCTTGAATGTTCTGAGAGTTCGGTTCGACAAGATATATGACAGGGACGTCGGGAATGGGGTGTCGCGAAGCTCCAATGTGCCTGAACATCATGCGTCAGTTGTAACCGCCTATCTCTGCAGATGTCACACATACATGTGCATGGTAATGCCCATGGACCGTAAGTCGCTCACGCGCATGACGCTACTAATGACGTCCCGGCCAAGGTCATCGAAGACGAGCACTTTCCATATCGGATTGCCATCAACGTCGAGTATAGGAGCAACAGGCGCATGTAGTGCGCTGGCATGTTCAGTCGCCTCGTTTGATTCCACCGTTTCGTTGAGGTTGAGGATCTTCTTGAGAGACGCTACAGATATGCATCATGTTTAGCGACGACAAGGAAGAGCTAGCCGGTATTTTGCATACCTATCTGACGGTCCCGCAACGAATTGCCCTTGGTAGCCATCGCTGCGTATTGGCTGTCAAGCACCGGAGAGACGAGCAGGTGGGGTGTTTAGGACTGCGATTACGGCTGCTCCAAAGCCGGAGGAGACTGGCTGGCTGAAGAATGTCCAATGATGCGTGTTGATGGATGCGAAAGGAAACGAAAACGGCTCGAACCCGGAACTTTGCAGACTGGCGGCGTCGTGGTGCAGGTGCACAGCTCAGAGCCAAAATATCGTCACTGGAGCCGACGCAACCTGGTCGTGGAGCTCTGGCGTCTGATGGGTGGCAGAGGCCACAGTGTACGGAGTACGAAATTGGTTATGGCGTCTCCTTTCTTGGCATAGCAAGCAAGTCGCGGAGGACGGGCGACTGTAAATCCGATGGGAGCTTCAGCCCTTGGAGCTTCGGGCACGGGGCCTTGGTGGGGCACTTGGGCCCTCAAGCTGGACCGCGGGCTCCCTTCGAGCCTTATTGCCTGACATTTCTGGCCGCAGCAAGCGAGCCATCACCTCCGAGCCCTTGGGTCACTGTTGACTTTTCCACCACCATCAACCACAGTCTCCATCACCTCCTCGTCCGTCGCCATCTGCTGCAAGCTGCATCCCGCCTCGTCAATAATCGTCGGGCGCTGCGGCACCGCCTGGATCTGGTGCTAGTCTTCTTTTCCATTCCTCCACTAGGTCCCGACCTGTCGCCGTAATTTGGCGTCGCCCCTTTCCCCGTCAGCGGGCAGTCTCATGATCTCCCATAGAGCGCGTTCAATAATCTTGTAAACAGCGCAGAGGAGAGACAGGTCATGACGACTCAGCCCTTGAGCAGAAATAAAGGTTAAGACAATTGCGAGACGCGCTCTGGCCGATGGGTATGCTTCACCTCTGACCCCTCCCCTATGTCCATGCAACATCCCATACTTTCCCCTTTCCCACACTACTTCACTTGCGATGGGCTTGAGCATTTGCGGAGTAACAACAGTCCGCCCTTCCTCCAGCCATCCCCGAGCCGTCGCCAGTATGAATGGAAAGCAGCTTCAACTGTATCGTGTGATTTGGCGCTTGCCTTGATGAACTGCGATCACTTTTATTTTTATTTTTATTTGGTCGTCATTAAAGCCGCGCGAGTTGAACTACCGACGCCAGTCTAGTTTATCTAGCCATTTTAAAGAGACGGGCTTGTGAGTTGGATCCTCGAAAAGCTGAGCGTCGCTTCTGTGCGGGCGATGGGGAAGCAAAGCTGCCATGATTAAGGCACGCGTCACGTGTCTTGGGCCTCGACCTGGTCATCGGGTTGCGTCTTGAGATAAATGTGATAAAAGAGTCAATTTGGTCATCTTGGAAATTAAATTCCTGAAACTGTCGAGGGTATCTGAACCTCTTGAGGATTTAATTGTTTGAACGGTTTACATCTCCGATGGCATCACCCGGCGTCTGGTCAGCAAACAGAGTGGAAAATAACAGCCGTGGAACAGCAGAGCCGCAGACCACAATCTCTGGACTTTGCGGCCTAGCAGAAGCAAGAAACAAGAAACAAGAGGCACTTCATCAATGCGTCGACATGAGGCGCCATTGCGACCTGGCTGACACCCATCATCAACACAGCTCGGCCTTGGATGGCACTGGCAACGCCCCTTGGACAGACACACTGGTTAGGCGCGTGCCAAGTCGGGTTTTCAGCAATAACCGGGGCTCCCCTCGCGCAAATTCAATGAAGCAAGCTCACTTCCATGCGGACTCTTGATCCCGCGTGCTCCTCGCTGCATTCTCATTGTCGCTACTACAGGAAATGAAATTGACGGTACTAATGTGTTTTTCCTTGATAGATTGAACGTCGGGCCCAACTGTCAGTCATTGTCCTTCGATCATCTCGACAAGGCCAATCACCCAATCCCTGCGCTTTGCACTGATTCCCGCGAAGTGGACCCAATTACACTCACCCACCGATATTTTGCCGGTAACAACGGCTGTGACCCTGGGGGTTCCTTGCTATTCAAACTCCGTGAGTAAATACTTGATCCCAGTCAGTCCTTGGTAGATGTCGCAGGGAGGCGCCCTCGCCACCTGTGCACACCACAAAGGAGGCCCCCCCCTTCCCTTCTGGTCAACCGCCACCAGACTGTCTGTCTCATTGATCGAAATTTGAGGCTTCTGCGTGCTTCCTCGGACATGCATCCGCCAACCTTCTCTCTCATGGGCTCCCGTCACACCGTCGACGTAGGCTCATCTCAGGGTTCCGTAATGCTCGCTAACACGCCCTGCTAGCTTAAGACCTTTTCTACAATACTATCGTCCATGATTCGTGCATGTTGGGAGGGCGACTGAAATCCACAGAAAATGCAGTCCTGGCCTGGGTCGGGCCAGAGCGGCGCAGGCGGACAAACCTCATGGCAAGGAGCTTTCCCCTATGGCCAGGATGACCACTTCGACTCTAATCAAGTCTGGCCACAGTCTGTGGCGGATCATGCTGGCTCATTTTCGCACATGAGCAATACCCAAGATGCGCATACACAAAACTTCTTCAATTCCCCGTCACACCAAGATGACGCCTTTCTGGGCGGGAGTCTGCACCCCTCCCAACCCGGCAACCCCAGCTTCCATGATCTTGGTTTGGATCAGCAATTCAGTCAAGCTGGGCAGGACGTGATGGATCCTGCGTTTAGTAACCTGCACCCTGATCTCTATGGTCAACATGCCAAGGGCAACCTGAATTTGAACCAGGTACAGACTCATCCACATGGCCACGGTCAAGGCTTTCCACGGCATGAGTTTCAGTTCCCGGCCCAGAATGAGCAGGCCTTCAACCCCTCGGTTTCTCAGTATAATGCGAATCAGCTCATCTCTCGAGCCCCGAGCCAGCACAATCATTCACCCATACAGCACTTTGATACTCTGCGCGGCGGATTCCAACAGGATCAGCCTTTTCCACACCAGCCTCAGCAGCCTTCTGCCGCTCTACATCAACAGTCGTTCTCGCACGCACCTAATTTCGTCCACAATGCGGTCAAGGGCCAACGGAATCACTTCGCCCAAGATTCGAACCCTCACATTACCTATCATCAGCAGCAGCCGCGTCCGCAGGGTCATAACCAACAGGCACTCGACCCGGCAAGCTTTGCACCGCAGAAGTTGCCTACCTATTCTCAACCAGGACAGGGCTCACCGGCAGGCCATCATGCTCATTTGTCTGGCATTGATAACTCCACAGGACAGCCAAACACTTCACCTGCAGCCGGGTCATTGCTAGCAGATAACACTCCGTCTGAGCTAAATTCTGGTCATGTACACCCGTCCCCAGTGTCGACTTCCGATTCTTTCCAACCCAAAAAGAGGAAGCGAGTGAGCAAGGCCTCCACTGAAAGCCCTCTTCCTACTGTGGAAGTTCCGCCGGCGACGGCAGACTTTCCCGTTGACTCCTCCAGTAAACGGGCTGAAGATCTTGACTCGCTGCCTGTTCCCGAGCCCTCTGCTGAAGAAGCCAAGTTGATTTCTGATTTCGGAAAACGCAACAAAACGGCACAGGTCAGATACCCCACAATCAAAGGACTCCCGTATATGGTCTACGAAGGAAGCGTCAAGCTTCCTGCACCCAAAAGCTACGATAAATTGGCACCATTGGTCGCCTTGCCGCCTAAAAGTGGTAGGCCGATTGTGCCGCAGCTGGGCTACCCGCTGCCCTGTGAAGTCCAGGGTCGATTCAGCAGTAAATACCGACCATCGCTCGACAAGAGTGGTCTAGATGAGAGACGGGCGGAAGCTAAAACCCTGTTGGACGAATACGATCGATCAATGCAGGCGCTTGGCAAACGACAGCCGAAATACACCGAGTATCCTCGTACGTACCGGAAAATGTTTGATGTTTACATGTGCCTACGCTTCTCTAACCCTGTGTGTGTATTAGATGCATTCAAGGAGCAGCTGAAGTCAGATGAGGCTTCCAAGAACAAAGCGGAAAAGAAGGCCAAGAAAGAGCTCGAAGACGAACGAAATAAACCAGTGAGCTCAAACCTCCCTCTAGTTATGAAATTTACACTTGTCAACATACTCATCACCCATGGTTAGGTCCGACAGGCATCTCGTCCGAATGATCCAGTCGAAGCGGTCGTTTGGGATATTGTAGGGATCATTCATATCGATCAGGCTACCCCACGAACATCTTCCCTCATTGCTGGACGCGTTCAACAAGCTGGCGAATTTTTCGTCAAGCTGCGAGCTGAGATCAATCGCAGCAAGCTTGATTTGGAAGAGGCGATCAAAAACAAAGAGCCAGAGACTGTTACCGAAAAGAAGAGAGTGGAGGCGGAGCAAAAGAAGGAGGCGTTGTATCGGGCACTGGATGCCACAGTCGAACACGCGGACGATGCGGTGTTGGACAACCTTGGCGGACACCAAAAATTAGTCCTCAGTCTCGTCAACACCTTGATATCGTCGATCAAAGCCTCGGATTTCTCCGGAAAGCTACCCAAAATTGTCTTGGAGCTGTTTACGCATTTCCGGATAACGAAGAAGATCGTCGACACGACCAATTTTGATTCTGTACGGAAGCGGCTTGAAGACAAGGGCGACGACGAAGTCAAGGAACTTGTTCGTGAGATCTCAGCCAAAATCAAAAAGTTTCAAAGAGCCAACGAACCCACTACGGCAACTGGGTACACGGGAACATCTGCAGCTAGCCGAGCGAAGGCTGGAGGTAAATTAGCATCAGATGGCACGTCAACAAAGCGCGGACGAGATGAGGAATTGGACACTCGCACCGTTAAAAAAATAGCCGTTGAAGCAGGAGCTGGATCGTTGAGCAAGAAGCTGGCTCAGCCAAAGGGTTCGCAGTCTACTGGTAAAATCACGGCATCAAAACAGGCAACCTCGGTGCTTCCTGGAAAACCTCGACCTATTGCGAAGACCGTGGCTAGGCCCGAACTCCTTGGCGCGGATAGTCCCAATACGTCTTCTGATGACAAGAATAAGTCTGATGCGGGAAAGCTGGCAGCAAAGGCTGACAGCAAACCCGGTCCCGCGTCGAAGACTGAGAATAAAGGGCTTCAACCGAAATCTGTGTCGAGTTCTGCTAGCGCTTTGTCTGGAATTGCATCCTTATTAGATTCCATCAACGCCAAGAAGCCGGAGGTCGCTCCCGCTACCTCCAAGGACTCCAAGGGTCCAGACGACTCGGAGACGCCAGAACAAAGGGCTAAGCGTATCCGAAAGGAAGGACGGAGGAAACTACGCGTGAGCTGGAAGCCTGAGGGAGAGCTTGTTCAAGTCCAGGTCTTCCATAAAGATGACGAGGAAGATGAAGGACGTGATGTGAACATGCTTCGCGACGCCGGAGATGACCGATCCGAGGGCATGGTACTGAAGCAGCGTGCTGATGTTGATGACGAGGATGATGACGATGATATACCCTATCAACCATGGGTTGGCCCTACGGCCACTGACTTCACCCAATTGCCACCCGACGTCAGATGCAAGAACTATGTCACGCGCGGTGGCAACGTCGCGTTCGAGACGAGTGAACAGAAGGAAATCACAGCGCGAGGCCAGAGAGAGCTCATGGCGATATACACGAACGTGGACGATATTCCCCCGAGTCCCAAATCACCTCCGCAGGAATCGTCCAGTCCAGCTCACTCAAAGGCTTGCTATCTTCCGACTGAAGGGGCAAAGTTTGAGGAACTGCAACTTCGTTGGCGAGACGAGCAGAACATGGGGCTGGACCAAGCTCTGGGCGCAGCGCTTCGCAGAATCGATGCTAAAAACCACCCATCGAACAAGCTGGACGACATTCTCGGCCGACTTAAGGGTGCGCCGGATAAGTCAAGCTCCCACCAAGCAACTTCGCATCCACGGGCCCTCCCGGGCTCGTCCACAACGCAGCATAACTTTCCTTTTGCGGTGGGATCCAGCAGCGAAGCACAAGTACTTGCTTGCCTTTGTCAAGAGAAAATCACCGCTTGGCGCGATCCGAACCCTGTTCATGTTGATCCCAGCCGTCCTCATCAGTATGGCGACGCGAACTTGCAGATGATTGGCAACCACATCGAGTCAGTGGCTAGAAGCTTGGCTGGCAAGCCATATCCAGCCACCGCGCCGCCCGAGTGGCTTACACACGACGAGGAGAGGATTCGCGAATGGTGGTTAGGGTACAACAAGGAAGCCGCCGCTAGGCAGAGAAAACTGGACGAGGAGCGTGCTCGATCCGAGGCCGAGGCCAACGCAATGAGGGTTGTCACTGGTGCTTCTGGCCAACCCCCCGACCAAGACTGGAATGCTCATTACCAGCAGCAGTCCTATGCACCATATCTAGCTCTCCTGCAACAGATGACGGGTGGTCAGGCCGCTGGCCAAACGCAAGGAAGCTCATCGCAAGGCCAGCAGAGCTCGATCCCTGACAGTCAGCTCCAGTCGATTTTGGCCGCCATCAACCAACCCCAACAGCAACAGGCTCAGTCGTCCAATGCCAACCCTCTGGCCAATCTCAGCCCCAGCGACCCTTCATATCAGCAACTAGTAATGTTGACACAGTTAGCACAGGGGCATCAGCAAGGTCAGCCTCCTCCGCCCCCTCCGCCCCCGCCGCCGTCCAACGAGCGAGACTGGGATCGTGGTGAGAAAGAAGGGAAGGAAAGCCGCAAGAAGAAGGCAACGTTGCCACCGCACAAGCCCGCCAACAAGGCTCTCATCGGAACGAAGGCCTGCACGTTCTGGCAGCAAGGCAAATGCGCACGCGGGGAGAAGTGTACTTTTAGACATGACTGAGTCAAGGCTTGTAAAGAAAATGGAGGGGATAGCCCTTGGGACGCGGCGTCTGGAGCGTATTTCTATTTCAATTTGTTTTTGCTTTCCCTTGCGACGTCATCATTGCAAATCATCAAGTGGTTGGGCAGCTGGTTGGAGACAGCATGGCACATCATGTACGGCAAATGTGAAGCGGAAACGGGCGGATTGGCAATGTACAATATTCTCAATGCATCGCGCTCAGAGTCACGAGCTTGAACAATGTGCTCTTGTTGACTGCAGAACCTCGTTGGATAGCCCTGATTGCCCACCAGTGGGTGTAGGAGCGGACCGCACGCGTAACAAAACATGCTGCTCTCAAGGCCCTTGTGATGAGATGGATGCCTCCGCGTCGGATGAGCAGGGGAGTAGGGGAGTAGGGGCCCTCCTCCTCAAGATGGCTGGCTGCCTTCACTCCCCAGTCTTCATGTCAGTATCGGCCCCCGGCCGCACAACAAGGCCCCTCAGGCTCAAGTCGTAGACTACATCTTCCACCTTTTTCACGTCATACTTGACGGCGTCGGCGCGCTTGCGCAATATATCATTCTTGAGATTGAGCAGCTGGAACCCCGCAAAGACGTCCTTGACAAAGGCGCTAATGGTCATGGGCAGCTCAAAGTCGCCCAGGGTGACGGCATTGGTGGCCAAGCGGGCAAGTTCGGGCGTGAGGTCCGTCAGGGCAAGAAGATACTCTTCAATAGTGAAGTGGAAGGCGTCGCGATCCTTGAGATTCGTGGGCACTAAAGGCCGCGGTCAGCGCCGGCCACGAGGAACCGCTGAGCATCGTCCATTAGGGGGGGAAGAGGGCGGTGCTGCAGGTCCCGATGGACAGGGACAAGATGAGCAGGAGAACAATGCAATGTACCTGAGAAGATCGAACCCACGTCTTCCAGCGTCAGCAGGCGCCCGAGCTCGCTGGGCTCCGAGTCGGCGTGGAAGCCGCCCAGCCAGGCGCAGTACAGAGTCGTGCCGATGGCGTTTTGCACGGTTCGCGCCCATTTGGAGTTGTATCTGGGTGGGATTAGTGTCTTTCTTTCTCCATGCCTTGGCGGGTAACGAACTTGTAGTAGGGGTGTTTGGAGGCAATCTCGTCCAAGTCCTTGACGATGACGACCTCGTCCCTGACGGCCTTTTGTACCTGCTCTATTAATGCCGGATCTGGGCGATGTTAGCACAGCCCCCTTTTTTTTTTTTTTTTTTTTTTTTTTTTTTTTTTGAGCGAGTGAGCCCCGTGCTGGGCAGGGCAAATGTTGGACGGGCGTACAGCGAGACCGGGGAGTCGAGTGGACTCTGGACAAGAGGCCCTGGGCGGAGGCGACGCTCCGTTCGAGCTTTTGCACGATTTGCGTGAGGCTGTCGCGGACTTGGGTTTCTTCCTCGAGCTTGGACTCGAGATGGCTGAAGATGGAAGGGTCGAGGAGGCTAGACTGGGTGGACATGGTGGCGGGATGAGGGGGCGAGGTGGTGTGATGACTCTATGAGACGCGAGGTGAGGTCAAGTCGAGTGATGAATTTTGATGGACACGCACACGGCCCGGCGGTGATGGGCGGACAATAGCTATTGTGGGGCCTTGATGATTGAGCTGCGATGCCATGCCACGGGATATGTAGGGCGGTATGGCGCATCAGAGACCGGGCTTGGATGGCCATGCGCGCGTGTTTTGTTCTTCTTGGGCAACTCTTATCAGGACGCCAACAGCGAAGGCATTCACGAGCAACGCGGCGCCAAATACCCAGCTAGCCTCGACAACACAAATCAACACAACGTCCGCGTCGGCGTCCCATGTCGTCTTCTTCGCAGCCGAGTCATGCCCAACCGCAATGAAAATGCGCAAGAGGTTCGCATCACCTGGAAACAGTGTAATACCAGGGACACAGTGGTCAAGGACCATGCGTAAACGCAGAGGTGTTCCCGTCCCTCTAACCAAAAATAAGAATAATCACGATCAGCCTCGTTTCGAGGCATTTCAGAGATTAAACTGAAAAGAACAGATACTACACTTGATCTAAGCCATACGGCAAAGAGAGCTGGAGAGGAGGAGAGAAAACTCGAAAAACTGATGAGGTCGCGGGGGAGATTCTTATACTTGGCGACGAAGGGCGGTGAAGGCGGGCGCGGCAGGATGAACCGTGACGGCTGTTGCAGCTGTCAGGTGCGTGGCCGGTGTTTGTTAGCCCATCGTTATCTTGCGCCGTGCATCATTTCACGACACCTGTACAACTTGTTGATTCCATGCATTCTGTTCTTTCCTATTGTCGTGCATGAAGCATTCGATTCTGCAGGCCTCGGACGGACTCGGCGATGACAGCTAGTGGTCACCACGCGTGACGCCTCCGATATCTTGGAGATGGGAGCTGGAGATTGGCAGGAGAAAGGAGAAGAGAAGGCGCTTGGCGAGAGATGATGACACATCAATTGCTTTGCATGCAAGAGGGAATCGCACCAAGATACCTGCAGCGACCGGCTGTCATTTGATTTTAACCTGTGTCTGCACTGTGCAGCACCGACTTTGGACTGTCATTGAGCGTCGACTGGACCGGCCTTGGACTCCATCTGCTCCTTCACCTTGGTTCACCCTCTGGTTCTGAGCCTCGAAACGCCTACCACTACAGCCGCGTACCTCATGTTCAAAGCTTGAATGGCTCGGCCTAGCAGCGTCCAAGACCTAAATATTACCCCGACTTCGCCCGCAGTCTCCAGTCTTGTCGTTGGGGTCACTCTCGTCAATATCTTGGAACGCTGGATCCGGCACCCTTCAATATGAGCCAGGAGCTCGCCAAGCTGAAAAAGGGCCGCACCCGCGTCGTCATTGCCGCAGAATTTGTGGGCTACGATCTCAGCTCCAGGTTTCTCAATGAAAACGGCATCCTGGAAATTGCCTCCACACGACGACCGCACTGTCTGCCAATACGCTACCGATGACCACCGCGAGGCAAAAGAAGTCGTCTACATTTGTAGATCAATTGGGAAATTCGGACGGGGCCATTACATGCAATTCCCGGGAATTTAGAGCGAGCCGGGCCCGTCGGTGGCCCTTTGTGGAGACAGGCTGATGACCTGGCCTTCTGGGTTGCCTGCCACGAGGCAATCAAACTGTTGCCGGGACTGACCCAAGCTCTGCGACAAGACTGTTTGGATTGCATTTAGTTATTGCGCCAAGGTGCTGCAGCTAGACGGGACTGTCTATACGTCCGTCGGTGATGGGCTCGGCGAGCGGGCGGTGGCATTCGCGGACGGTTCGCAGCGACTTTTGCCTTCTTCCTCGACGGAACAGGGCTCAGCTCACTTTTGTCCACTGCGAATTCAGTAGTCTTTACCTCGAATCGAAAGCAACTGCTCAAGATATAGCCGCCGCGCGTCGCCCCGAGTCCCCCCGGCATCATGTTGACGGCCAGTTACAAAGTAGTCCGTATTATGCCTAACCACATTGCTCGACTGAAGACGCTTTGAACCGAGAGTGACCGAATCACGCTGCCCGCTTTGTGGAAGGTGCAAAAGAAAGCCCGTCATTAGTAAGCGGCATTTTCAGAGAAATGTGATATGGTGTTTACGTGGTTGTGCTTGGATATCAATCAATTTCTGTTGGCAGGGATTGCAACTTCATCGTACCAACGCCACGTCGGACAGGGGAGCGCAGAAAACGCCACAGGGTGAACCAGCGAGGTGGAATTCTTGATGAAAATCGGTGCACGTTTTTCATTTTACGCTCGTATCTTGGCGACATGTTGACGTGCGATCAAAGCCTTTCACATCGGCGAGGTGTTGTCGCCGTCTCGGGGCAGCAACGTAGTCGCCCTCCGTTTTCCCTGACTTGACTGTTTTTTCTTGGTAACTTTTTCTTCTTCTTCTTGTTTCAACTTTTTGCTGGTGATTGTTCGTCATCGGATTGGGGGCCTCGGCTGCATTGGCTTGTGCGACTTCACTTGCCTTGCCTTACTTAGTATTGTTCCCGAGCACACAGCACACATTCACCAACTTGAATGAGTGTTGAGGTCGATCCGCAAAACAATAATAGAAGGGCTCCAAGCAAGCGCCATCACCTGAGCTGTACAGCACGCAGATTGGTAAAGGGCGGCGATCAAGTCATCTCGCGTGGTGAAGCGACTGCGTCGCAGCCGAGTCCATCACGCCCAATACCGCCTCTTGTCCCGCACAAAAACGGCAGCACGAGCCGCCATGCCGATCCGAAACCTTCTCTGCGTCCTGGGGAGCATCATCACGGTCGTTATTGCAGACTTTGTCGTCGTGGAACACTTGGACGGCCGCCCGAGGGATGGACCAGGCTTGGAGCTGCCAACGCCAGTCAACTCGTCCGGCTCTCCATCGTACTCGAGTCGCAGGGCCAGAATGGAATTGACAAGACGTTGCAACAGGTCTCGGATCCGACTCATTCGCGACATGGCCAGCACCTGACTCATGACGAGGCAGTTGCCTTGGTGCGTCCCCGGCAGGGCTCCGTCGCCGCCATACACGAGTGGCTGTTTTCGAAAACATTACGGCGAGTCAGTTCCGAGATCGCGGGGGGTTTATGGATGTCGTCGTTACGATTGGAACGGCGGAAAGTCTCTTGGCTGCCAAGCATGACGTGTTTCAGCAAGACAATCAAAGGGCCATCGGAGCGCTAGCTTACTCTGTGCCGGTAGAGGTGCGAGCGTACAATACGTCCGTGCAGCCCACCACATTCTTTGAGTCAGGACGCTTGTTCAAAAAATCTCCCCGGTCTGCGGAGGCCGAGAGGGCGAGGCGTCATGGAAACAGACGAGGCGTCGAAGAAGCGTCGACGAGGATGCGAGGCTGCGAGAACAATAATGCTCCCGCTTGTCTCCGTCGACTGTACAGGATGAACAATGACCATTCCGAGCCACACGGAGCATGGGTGCTGGGGTGGCCGGATTCGATGGAGTAAGGACTCGCTTTCTCCCACATATTGCCTTGAGAGCTTGGGCTCACGCCACTCGCAGCAAGCGGCGCAGTATGACCAGCTGGGCAAGTATGTGGACAAGTATGCGCCGTATGCCAAGGGGGGCAACTTCTCGGTAGAGCTCGTCAACAACGGGACGAACCCTCAGGGCGAGTATGCCAGCGGCGAGGCCAACATGGACGTGCAAATCACAGTTTCCATGGCCTTCAGAGTGCCAGTCCGGTTTTACGCCACGAGGGGAGAGGAACACGGATTCATGCCCGATTTGGAGTAGGTGCTGCTGATTCCTTGGTCGATATCATCGCACTTGCGCCCGCCAACCAGCTGTGCTCTCTGGCAGCATCCCTGACCCCAAATATCAATGCCTCGAGCCGTGGCTGCAGTTTGCCCGCCACTTGTTGGATTTGCCCGACGGCCACCTCCCCCAGGTCATGTCTATATCGTACGGCGGCAATGAACAGACGGTGCCGAAGCCGTATGCTCTGAGGATCTGCCAGATATTCGGGCTCGTCACGCTCCGCGACATGTCCATCATCCTGGCGTCCGGGGACCAGGGACCAGGCGTTTCATGCCAGTCCAACGACGGCACCAAGACGACCAAGTTTCTGCCTGCTTTCCCGGCTGGGTGCCCCTACGTCACGGTGGTTGGTGCCACCGAGGGGAACGCCCCAGAGAGGGGCATCAACTTTTCCTCGGGGGGTTTCTCGGAATACTGGCCCAGACCCTGGTGGCAGGAGGCGGCCGTGTCGCGGTACCTCGACGTGCACGGAGACAAGTGGAAGGGGTACTACAACCAGGCTGGCCGTGGCTTTCCAGATGTGTCTGCACAAGGCACAGGATATCCTTTTTTCAACCACAACAAGACGGCGCGCGGCGGAGGCACCAGGTAAGACGACCGGCTTTTGTCCATGTGGAAGCTTGCCCGGCCATTCGAGAGTACCCAAAGAGTCCATAGTGCGTCGGCACCACTGTTCGCCTCCATGATTGCCGTCATCAACGACAGTCGTATGAAGAAGGGCAAGCCGCCGTTGGGGTCTTTGAACCCATGGCTGATCAATGTGCCAGGCGTGCATTTACAGAGTGAGACGTGGAATATTCATTCCCGCAAACCCCCCCACCGCATCAAAAGCCAACTTGGATGAGAAACTGACGCCCGGAGGTTGCAGCATCACCCACGGCAGATCTGAAGGCTGCAAAGGCAGAAGCTTCAGCGGCGCAGAAGCCCCCGTGATTCCTGGAGCAGGGTGGGATGCTGTAGAGGGATGGCATCCGGCTACCGGGCTGGGAACACCTTTGTTTGATGAGTTGCAAAAGTTGGCGATGGAATCAGGCACGGCGTAGGGGATGCATCAAGAAAGGCGTAACGTCGAGCATGCACGAGCACGCACTCGCGCTCCACGCAACTCACTCGGGTTATGCGGCCGTCTAATTGAAGTTCGATGCCAGAGCACGGAGCGGAGTGGGCCGGTGCAATAAAAAATGCACGACTAGTAAGTACCACTAGGCCAAAGGTGAAGCTTAAGCTTCACTTGAGGGTGGACATTTACGTGCGACAACCGGGATTCTGGTCTGACTAGACCCATCAGTACTACTGGGTTGACCCATGGGCATATAAGTCGCTAGTTGAATAGCTGACTGATCATCCTGGTCTGTTAGCAATGCAGCCTTATATCAGGCCCACTCCCCTTGTGACTAGCAATACATAGGTACAGCAACGTAGGTGATGGTGTCGTCTTGGGGATGGATAAAGGATGCTATATAGCGATCCACTTAGGCTAGGTTTCCGGTAGTACAAGTTTCACGATAGAGTATGCTTGACTTGCTTACTACTGTATATCATATAGGGCAACCCAGGGGAGCTCCTCATCTGTCATTGTGTGATTGGTCTCTGGCCCCTGATGTAGAGCCTCCCTTTACAACAGTTCAAATGCCATGGAGGAAAATGGCAAGATGACGTTCCGAGGCCAGAGAAGCCCATGTAGCCGGGGAGCCAACGGCCACAAGAGTAATGGCCTCCCAATGTCATAGAGCAGTGGCCGCCCTGGCACATAAGTATTCAACCTTGGACCCGATAACACCGTCCATGCGTCTTCTGTCTCGACACACTCCTTCCATTCCACTTCACCAGCCTACTCGCCATGCTGCAGACGATACGGAACGGGCACGGCCGAGGGCTTGATGCCACGCTCCGAGCCATGCTTGAGGCACTGCTGGCAGGCGTTGCTGCACAGTACTTCACGTCTAGATCGTCGGAGCTGTACTCTGAGATGCTGAGCTGGGCCCTGCTCCCGTTGCTAATCACGTACATCCGGAGACCCAATCGTGGTGCCAGGCTCGGTGATGCCAGTCTATCGCTCGGAGATGGTGTCAAGCTGGCCACGGCGGCCAACTGCATCGTGGCAGTCGGCCTAGCTGTTGCAACATTCTGTGCTGCAGAGAGCGATTGGGTTCGGCTAATTGTGAGATCATTCGACATTCACCGTCTGCACATTGAGTTGGAACTGACGTCTTCTAGCCTGCCCTGACGCCGGCCCTCCTCGCGGTCCAGGCAAAGCTGCACGGAGAGGCACTGCCGCTCAGGACCAGGCTCTCGGCGGCCTGTGCCTCGACGACGACATGGCACGCCGTCGCAGCTGCGGTATTTGGAGTATGCACACTGTCGTCGTACTGGAGCAAGGCCGCCGTCCGGATAGCGGCCGTGGAGTTTGGGGGCCTGCTCTTCGCCTACGCAACGCTGGCGTTGAAGACAGCCGGGCACCGCGGTCGATTCCCTCGTCGACATGGACAGGTACATGTGTCGGCTCGTGCCTTACACAGTGGGCGCCTTGCTCGTCGCCGTCGCGGCGCAGGTACACTTCCTGGGGTTCGTGCCGTTTGGTGCCGCCGCCATGATCATGGCCGGTGTGGCAAAGTCTTATGCGACCTTCCGCACCGTCGAAGTGGTTTGTGACGACAGTTTCTCTCCCGCCCCCCCGGTCCTGTCGCTCGACTAACCCGCTCGGCCAGGTTCATGATGCGTCGTGGGCCGGTGCTACCGTTGTCAAGATGTTGACCATCTTTGCCAGCCGCAACCCCTTCATCCAGTCGTCCCACGCCCGGGCACTGCTTCACATTGTCGGATCCGCCTTGACGCTGGGCCAGCTCGTTGCACTGACCCCGAAGCACGTGTCCAGAAGCAGACTGCTGTGGGCGTTTATGCTGGTGCCCCTTGTTCCGTACCTGGCGCAGACGGCTGCCATCCGCGGTGCGCAGTCGAGAATGTCGGCGCTCAGTCTTGCGCACAAACACCCCGTCGAGGAGATGATGGACGAGGCGAGCAGTCGCTTCGAAGCCATGCTGGAGAGGCAGTCGAACTCGAGCGAAGCGGCGAGCGACGAGTATCGCCGCCGCTACAAGATGGAGCCGCCGCCCGGGTTCGAGGCCTGGTGCGAGTACGCTGCGGCTCGCGAATCCCGCATCGTGGACGATTTCGACGCCATGTACTCGTCGATTGCGCCGTTCTGGGCGCTGAGCGGCCTGCAGGTCCGGCAAGCCATGCGGGAGATGCGGGAATCGGCCTACGGCGACGTCTGGACATGCACCTACTCGAGCAAATCGGGCCACACGGGATGCACTCACCCGTGGCGCGACTTTGACAGGTACACGGCGCAGCTGTTCAACCAACACGTGCCGGGAGGCATCCCGGCCGCCGTGCCGGACGTGGAGTTTCTGGTCAACCACCTCGACGAGCCCAGCGTGCTCCTGCCCAGGCCCGTGTCGGGGGCCGGAGGCATCAGGGAGACGCAACTCTCGGAGAGGCCGATATGGGCGAGGCTGGTCCAGCACTGCGACGCGGAGCGGCAGCAGGGTGGGCAGGAGACGACGCACGCGTCCGGCCTGCCGTTTGTCCGGAACAAGTCGGCCGACATGGACCTCTGCCGCCACCGCGAGTACGAGCACATGCACGGCCTGTTCATGAGCCCGACGTCGATGCGGCTGCTGGAGGGGATGGCGCCGGTGCTCTCGACGGGCGCGCCGTCCACCATGGGGGACATTCTGTTCCCGAGCCCGGCCTACACGGAGGACCGGTTCGCCTACCGCCCCGAGCACGACGTGGGCTGGGACGCCAAGAGGAACAATCTCTACTGGACGGGGTCCACGACGGGCGGCTTCGCCTCGGCCGAGTCGCAGTGGTCCCGATTCCACCGGCAGCGCTTCGTCGGCCTCGCCCAGAACCTCGCCGGCGGGCGGCGGCTCGACTCGTCCTTCCTCAACAGCCGGCTCTACGACGTCGCCTTCACCGGCGTCTTGGCCGGCGACAGGGGCCCGCTGCGCCAGCAGACCTTCGCCTACCGCACGCGGCCGTGGGAGGACGCCAACGCGGCGCTGCGCTCGCGCCTCGTCTTCGACCTCGACGGCAACGGCATCAGCGGCCGCTGGTACAGGCTCCTCGCGTCCGGGTCCGCGCCGCTGAAGCAGACGCTCCTGCGCGAGTGGCACGACGACCGCCTCGTCCCGTGGGTGCACTACGTCCCCGTCAGCCAGGGCATGGACGAGCTCCCGGAGCTGGTGGCCTTCCTGACGTCCTCGCCGCGGGGCGAGCAGCTCGCGCGCCGAATCGCGGGCCAGGGGGCCGAGTGGTTCCGGCAGGCGCTCCGGCGCGAGGACATGTCGGTGTACCTGTACCGGCTGTTGCTGGAGCTGGCGAGGTTGCAGGACCCGGAGAGACCTGCGCACCCGGTTTCGTGAGCCGCGTCGGCGTGGCCGCGACCTTTTCGTTTCCTTTGCCTTCCTGGGCGAACGGATAGCTGGCGACGGCCGCCGTGCCGAGCCGTGTGGGTCCTTCCGGTGTCCGGCCGGACTCCCGAGCTGCCGAGCATCCGGCTGTTCCACAGACCGTGCTAGAGAAGGCTTGTGCGAGGAAAGTGGCAGACGATCACGACTCAGCCGAGGGCCTTGCTGGATAGCTTTTGGTCGAGAATGGACGCGCGCCAAGCTAGGGTGGTAATGTCGCGCGGTGACGCAGGGGCCATGATGGCGAGTTCCAGCGCAGAAGGTTTTCGGGGAGCTTTGATGCAAGAGGGCGCTATTTACGGCTCAGTCAGTCGAGTTGCTGCCCCAGGTCCCATTGCTTGCGGCCCTCGTCATGGCCGGGCGAAAAGCGTTCCCGCTGTTGTCGAACTGCGGAACGTGGTGGTCTCGTGTGAGGATTTGGTACCAAGAATCTCGATGTCAAGCTAGACGCATCAAAGAGAGCTTTCAACGCCTATCTATGTATGCATGGAAGGAATACTTGTCTGGGTGCTTTATTGTGATGCGGACAAGATGCGCCGCGCACAGTGCACCCGGCTGTTTAAATTAACTCATGGATACGGAAAGTCTGGCATACTCCGCATACGGAGTAGCTTCTTCGCATATGTACATGGTAGCATGGATGGGGCGACGCCGTCCGCGCCCCACACCAGTGACACCACACAGACGGACGACAGGCATGGTGCCCCACATGGCCCTCGCCGTCTCCGGTCATCGGGGCGCCCCACCAAAAACTTGCCGCGCGACTCAGGCGCAATTGCACGTCTTCTCCTCCACAAACACATCGCGACAAGTCCAGCCCGGCACGCCGACTTTGCACCTCCATCCTCCAACTGGCGCGGCTCCCTCCTGGCTCAACCACAGTCATGGAGTCCTTCGTCATTAGGACGCCCTGCTCCAGCGCCAACATCGGGCCGGGCTTCGACGTCATCGGTCTCGCCCTCACCGTCTACCTCGAGCTCCACGTCACCATTGACCGATCCAAGACGGGCACTGAGCACCCGCTCAACTGCAGGATCACCTACGAGGGCCAGGGCGAGGGAACCGAGGACATCAGTCTCGACCCGCAGAGCAACCTCATCACCCGCGTTGCGCTGTACGTGCTGAGATGCCATGACCAGCGCTCGTTCCCGGCCGAGACGCATGTGCACATCCGGAACCCGATACCCCTGGGCAGGGGGCTGGGAAGCTCGGGCGCCGCCGTGGTTGCCGGTGTGATGCTGGGCAGGGAGGCCGGCGGGCTGAAGCATCTGGGCCTGGACCGGCTGTTCGACTACTGTCTGATGATTGGTATGTGTGCCCGCGACGTGATGCTGCGCCGCGCGTCTGCGCCCGACGGCCAAGTTGACGAGTGCCGCAGAAAGACATCCGGACAATGTGGGCGCCGCCTTGTTCGGCGGCTTCGTCGGCACCTACCTGATGCCGTTGAACCCCGAGGACGCTGCGAGAATAGAGATTCCGCTCTCGGAAGTGCTTCCCTCGCCGGCTGGCGGCGTCGATACGGGAAAGAAGCCTCCCTCGCCGCCCGTCGGCATCGGCCACCACATCAAGTTCCCCTGGGCCAGGGAGATCAAGGCCGTGGCCATCATTCCCGACTTTATCGTGCCGACGGCATCCGCGAGAGCTGTTCTCCCGGCAAAGTATCCCCGTCAGGATGTGGTGCGTACACGGCCCGCCAGGCAACCCCCTGACTCCGCCCGTCGCGTTGCTAACTGCCGCCCATGTGCTGCTGCCAGACTTTCAACCTCCAACGAATCGCCCTCCTCCCCGTCGCTCTTGGCCAGTCGCCGCCGGACCCCGAACTCATCCACCTCGCCATGCAGGACAAGATCCACCAGCCCTATCGCCAGACCCTCATCCCGGGTCTTACAGAGGTGGTCGAATCAATGTCCCCCAAGACCCAGCCTGGCCTCCTGGGCGTGTGCCTCTCTGGCGCCGGGCCCACGATACTGGCGCTTGCCACGAGCAATTTCGACGAAATTGCAAAGAAGATTATCGCCACGCTGAGGCACTACAACGAAAACAAGGACCTGGCTTGCCAATGGAAGATTTTGGAGCCTGCCGAGGGTACGCACGTAGTTCGATAGACTGAGTAGAGAAAAGACAACCAGACCGAAGAGCGGGCAGCTCAAAATAGCTACAGAAGCTACTGCGCAGTTTCAAACTCAAAAAGTCGTTTTCAATTCCTGCGGTCGGACGGCCTTTTTTTTTTTTTTTTTTTCCCTCTGATATTGCGCCGATCCGCAGATAGCCGTGGGTTAACCCGAAGACCGAGACCCCGTCATCGGCGCTGCCCCACGTTTGTCAACCTCACCGTACCCAACTGGGGTCTTACATGGCCGTCGTCCATTGTCCCCATCAACTTCACCATCACCAGCACATCCCGTCAATCGCCACACGCCATCACGTCTCGTCATGTCCTCTCCGCCGCCACCAGGGGTGTACGTGCCCGTCCCGACTTTCTTTGCTCCCAGGTCTGGCTCCGCCTACGACTCGGCCGTGCCCGCAGTCGACATCACCACCCAGTCCGCCCATGCGATCTACCTCGCCAAAAGCGGCATCAGGGGCCTCGTAATATTCGGCAGCACCGGTGAATGCGTACACGTCCACCCGCGGGACCGCAAAGCCGTCCTCCAAGGCGTGCGAGATGCCCTTGTCCACGAAGGCTTCGACGACTACCCCATCATAGCGGGAACAGCCGCGGCCAGTATCGAAGAAACTGTCGAACAGCTCATCGACGCAAAAGGAGCCGGCGCCCAGTGGGGAATGGTTCTGGTGCCGGGGTACAATGCCGCCGTGACGCCACAGGAAGGCATCGTCAGGTGGTTTGCCGCCGTGGCAGATCGGAGCCCCATTCCTATTCTCGTGTGAGTGCCTGCCTTCCCTGTCCAGTCCTACTATACGTGCGCTTGGCTGATTTTCTCTTCTCCCCCCTTTTCTCCCTGGCTCAGCTACCACTTCCCGGGGGTGTCAAACATGGTCGAGGTCACACCGGCTACGTTTGCCGCGCTTGCCGCCCACCCCAACATCGTTGGGTGTAAGCTCTCCCACGGGGACGTCTCTCGGCTCGCGCAGATTGCGCTGAATCCGGCCGTCGACCCGGCGCGCTTTCACGTTTTCACGGGCCTGGGACAGCAGCTTCTCCCCGTGGTGAGTGTCGGCTGCGTCGGCGCCATTGATGCTTCGGCCGGATTCTTCCCCAAGTCGCTCGTGAGACTGCTCCATCTGGCGGTCGAGACGCGGCCCACGGATGCCGAGGCCAGGGAGAGAAGGGAGTTGCAGTACAAAGTAAGCTGCATGGACGAGATTGTGAGCAAGCACGGCGTCGTGGGCATCAAGGAGGCAACGAGCAGGCTGCGAGGCTTCGGCGACGTCGACGGCTGCAGGCTGCCGCTGTACGGGGCTGTCCGAGGCGGCGAGGATGAGTGGAAGAAGTGGGAGGGTGTCTTGGCCGCGCTGGACGAGGTGGAGAAGCGGCTGTGAGGCCATATGATTCTATTCGAAAACGGGGTTCTGACGAACGCACCAGAGCTCTGCCTGATGCGAGAGGCCGGCTACTTCCACCGCGGGCCGCAAGTGCCACGCTTCCCACGCGCGGCGAGCCGTACGTGTAGATGTCGGTCTTGATGCCGCCGTTTGCGCGGATCAGAGCCGGAGCGGGCGAGCGCAATGCTCCGGGTATCCTTGAGTGGTCTTGTATGGAGCAGCTACATCCCCGACGACGGGAGACAATGTGACAAGAGTTACACCACTGGGCCAAAAGTGCAGCTTCACGCCCGAGGGGATTATCTTGGTACATGTATGTGACGAGAGCTCGCCTGAGGGCTTGGGGCGCCTAAGCTCAATTCAACACGCAACACGGTTTGGTATCAGAGGTCCTTAGTCTCCCAAGAGGTCCTTGCGGCCACAGTCGTCTGTTTATGCGGCAGCCTTCCGCCCCAGGTCTGGCGACCATGTCCGTTGTGTCACCAACATCCGTGTGACGATGTACGCGCGACAGGAGGGCTTCAGTCTCGTATGCTCTCCGCACGAGAGCCCGACGACACATGGCCGTCTGTTTCTCTCTATTCTGCGGGGCTTCTAGCACTCTTTCCCCAAGATTTCCCAAGACGAGTGGCTGGCAAGATTGGCGCGTTGCAGAAGCGGAGAGGATGCTACGCCGCCTGGGGCTCTACGGATGATTTTGGAAGAGCAGTGGCTGGCGAAATGGAGATTTTCGGGTCCGTGAAAATTAGAAACGCGCCAGGAGCTGACGGAATTCTGCTCGGCTGCGTCCTAGGGGCGACGCGCGGCTGGCGAGAGACGGATTGCGCGGTGGGCTTGTGCGAGAGGGCGGGTGATGACTGATGCGAGATTGTCAACCAGCATTCGGAGTGTTGACGGGGGCGGCGAGAAAATTGCAGACATTTGCTTCTGGCTAAGGAGGGGGGCCCGGATGATGCCGACACTGTCACACAAAGGCCATGATGACGATATGCCGCAATGCGCAGTTCTTGTTCAGAACCTGTGGTGTCGTCACACCAGCCGAACTCCAATGGAAGTCTTGCCGTTTCCCACAATCTTGACAATGTCTGAACCGCTCCAACACCGCGACTGCAGTCATGGCTGAAAGGCTTTGTTCGACACGCAGCATGCATCTTGTGAGTTCAACGGCAGGCTCCCGTCTGTCCGCGCTGCAATGGAACGAGTCGCTGCTCTGGACTTCGCCAAAGCGTCATCTTCAGCGCGCAGGAAGTGCACAGGGGTTGAAGTCGCTCAGATCGACGACAGAAATGAGCAGCAGTCATCTCTCCTGGTGGCCCCTTTGGCAGTTCGTCGAGAGCCTGAAGCTGCATTTTCGAATATAAATGCTCTCTCTCTTCTTGGCGTCCTCGCCCACCCCTCGCCCTTTTCATCTGCGCGTCTGCTACTTTCACCTCTTGGAGCCTACTCGACCCTCCGCGCGAGTCCGGCCGTCCGCATTTCATCCCCAACAACTGCCCTCCTGCATACCCGAGACCTACGTCGCCATGGAACTCGACACCATCGACAAGTTGGCACGTTCGTTCCGGCTGACATGTGCTACCGGTGTCCTCATCATGAACTCTGTCTTCTACGGCATGATGCGTTCTTTCGAGCTCAACGTCCCTCCTGGCGTCTCTCAAGCCGAAGGCCTTATCATCATGAGTTACGCATGGGTCGCTGAATCGTCCCTCAGGTATCCGTCCTCGAGAAGGGGTTGCATCCCTTGGTTGGCGCTTTTCTCGGAATTCTACACAATAGCCATCTATGTCTTCGTCGCCGCGCTATACGAGGCTGGCACTCGAAGCTGCAGCAGCTACGCCGACACACCAATTGGCGCCTTCAAGGGCGCCCTTGGGTTCGTCAGCGTCGAGAATTCGTGCGGAATGCAGACGGGCATATTTACTCTTGCCACACTGACGGTGTATGTTCAACCAAGGTACCCGCGACTCCTTGACGCGCTGACAAGATACTCCGCTGCAGATTTAGCTCGCTTACTTGGTGGGCTTTCTACCTCAGACTTTACCGCCATCATCAGCGAGAACAACTTGGTGGTTAGCTCAGCGGCTTGATCACTGAAATGTTGCCTTCTCGTTGCCTCCAAACTCTACAGCGTTCAGTGTCACCCGGTTAGATGACCGGGACAAGACAAAGGAGGTCGGCCAACGAACAGGCCAGAGGGGACAAGGGACATGGCTTGACCGACAGCTTTGCAGGCGCCTATCGTCAAGTGGGTTGGTGGATGGAGATGACGGACTACGGGGGGTGGGCGCCAGATGGCCTCGTTTAGACTCGATGTCGGCTTTTATTTCACAATGGAGATTACCCCGTAGTTCGTGTCAAGATTCGTGTGCAGGAGCTGGCCAGCAGGTTATTCCCAAGACAGAACCGATCCGACCGGAGCAAGCCAGCGGCCACCTCTAAGGCTCGGGGCGGGGGTTGGTTGAAACAGAGTCGGCCCCGACAATTCCGTATTCGGGATTCGGGCGGGACGGCGGCGGCACTCGGCGCCGACCACAGCCGCGGCAATCGGATTGCCACGGCTCCGGCGGCCTGGCCTGCCTGTTACTGGTCGTGCCTGGCGGATCCGCGACGCCAGCCGCGGCACGGGCGGCGCGCTTACTCAACAGCCCGTTCCTGGAACAGTGGAGCCGTCGACTTTCTTTCTGCGCATCATCGCTCTGCATCCAACTGTCCGATTTCTTTCATCCTTACGAATTCACCCATTTGCAACCGCTGACCCTCTGACGTCCCCTGCCGCGCCGGCCGCTCTCACCGCAAAGCATCGCGGCGTCGCGACCATGGCATCGGCCTCGAGCAAAGTGGGGGGCCTCGCCGTCGCCATCCGCGTCGTCGTCCCCGTGGCCCTGGGGTCCGCCGGCTACGCAGCCTACAAGATCAACTGGCGCGCGGCCATGCACAGGTTCGTAACGGGGCCGGGGCGCAGCTCGCGCATCCTGCTGCTGCTGTTTGTCGTGCTCAACTGGAAGAATATGCCCCTGGCGTGGACGGTACGTTTTCCCCCGGAGGTGGGACCAGAAGAAGGAGAAGAAAGAGAAGAGGGAGAAGAAGAAGGAGTAGAAAAAGAAGAAAAAGAGCACCCCTGACGCCCGCCTCTAGTACCGCGTCTTCTACGCCATCGTCTACCACAACATCCTCCGCAAGTCGCCCGACCTCACGCCCAGGGCGCTCTTCAAGCCGCTCGTCTCGGAGACGCGCGCGCCGCTCCTCGAAATCGACTACAACCTGCACAAGTCCAACTCGACCTACTTCACGGACATGGACGTGTCGCGCAGCCACCTGGTCAGCTACCTCACGCGGCGGGCGATGCGCAGCCTCGCGCTCAACAGCCGGACGGGGCTGGTGCTGGACCCCCAGACGGGCAGGCCGGCCCGCGGCGCGATGGGCGTCATGCTGGGCTCCGTGTCGTGCTCCTTCAAGCGGGAGATTGGCGCGTACCGGCCCTACGAGCTGTGGAGCAGGGTGCTGGCCTGGGACCGGAAATGGCTCTACATGGTGACGCACTTTGTGCCCCGGGGCGCGGCCAAGCCCACCGAGTGGCTGGACCCGCGCTTCGGCGGCGCCGGGACGAGGGGCGGCGCCGACGCCCCGGCCGGCCGGGACGCGGGCATCCACGCCTCCGCCGTGGCCAGGTACGTCTTCAAGCTGGGCCGCTTGTCCGTCCACCCGGCCGTCGTGCTGGCCGAGTCGGGCCTGCTGCCCCCGCGCCCGGGCGGCTGGACGAGCGGCGAGAACCAGGTCGGCGACGAGGCCGCCGACGTGGGCCACGTCGACCTCGCCGTCGACGGGGACTGGGACTGGGCGAGGGTCGAGGCCCAGAGGCGCCGCGGCATCGAGGTCGCCCGCCACTTTGCCAGGCTGGACGAGTGCCATGACCTGTTTGACGGCGGCGCTCATGGCGCCCTGGCAAAGATTGGGCCGTGCTGACCGCGGGCCTGCGTACCTCGGCCGCGTGTCTTGACTCTTGGGGTGCGTGAGGCAGGCGCGCGCCTGGGGGGGGGGAGAGAGGGGGAGATATATATATATATATATATATATTAACGGAAGACGGACGCGGTCTCGTGTACATATCCTCGCGGTCTTTTTCTTTTCCTTTCCCCTATACGGTATACATTAGACAGGGTCGGAGAGCAGGCTCCGACACGGACTGATCAACAGCTACTATCAAAACAAAGTCTTCGTTTCCAAGCACGTTCCAGAACACCCTCTTCCCTCCCGTCCTCTACGGCAAGACGCCCACGGCCGCGACAAGCACCATCGCCCACCAGCCAACTTGGCGCTTCGCCGCCCGAGAACTGTTTTCGTTTTCGCTCGTCGGGAAATTGCTGCTGCCGCCGCCGCCGCCATCACCACCGCCACCCGGCGGCTTCATCTGATCGCTTCCCGACATGGTCATGCAGGCGTTCTGCACGGCCTGAGTGGCAGCTACACGCAGGTCAGCAGCCATCTACATCTACTCTCCCGTCCCGGAGACGGCGACGGCGCCGGCGCGGCCCCCGAAGAGCGGACCCCGAGTTCCAAAAAGGGGAGGGGAGGGGAGGGGAGGGGAGGGGAGAAGAGCAGACGGACGCAACGCACCCTTCATGTTCTGCACCGCGCAGCCGACCTGTTCCAGGCACGGGGCCGCCGTCTTGATGATGGACTCGATCTTGCTGCACTGGCACCGCAGGTCGAGCAGCGAGCAGTGGTTCCTCATCGCGCCGTTGGCCAGACAGCCCAGCGAGCACGCCGGCAGGAGGTCCTGCAGCGAGGCGAGGTCAAAGGCGGCCGCCAGCGCTGGCAGCCACAGCGAGCACACGGCGCGCAGGTTCATGGTCGGTCGGTCGGTCGTGTTTGCGGCGGCTCTTCTCTGCTCTCTGCTCTCGGTTCTTGTTCCGGTTCTGGGGGCTTGACGAGCGGTCGACTGCTCCGGCTGTCGTCAGTGCGCGTGCGTGGCCGTGGAGGAGGAGGAGAGAAGCTCCGTCCAGAGATGAGGGTTCGGGGGGATGACGATCACGGGCATCTTGCCCGGCGGACAATCCAATCGTCGGCAGCGGCGTGGTGCATGAGGGCGTGGACGTGGATCGACGGAGCACGTCCAGCAGCAATGGCTGCGAGCTTTATGCGTCAATGCGTGCGGCGGCGCTGCGTCGCATCGCATGCACGCCGCACGCGTGTGTCATGCAGGGTCCGGTTCTCGGCTCTTTCTTGCGCTTTATGCCGCGCCTCGCCAAGAATCGCTCTCATCGGCCGCGCCAGGGTCGTTGCGTTCTGCCCAGCCGGCGACGTGGTGCGAGGACGAGCGGTGAAACGGCTAGTCTCTGCCGTCACGTAAAATCATGCACGTCGCCAGGGAGGGCAGGCCGGGGCCAATGTTGCGAGAGTCACGCACGACGAGAGGCCGTTCGTCTGCGTCGAATCTTCCACCGCTGCATTCGAGAGGAAAGCAGGCATGACGGTCATTCATTCTCCCGTGCGGTTCAGACGGCATAGTTGCTCCCGTGGGACATTGCCTGCGAGCATGAAGCCGTCGGTCTTCCAACGGGACAACATTCGAGCCAGCCTCACCAAGCCATCAAATTATTCTTCGGCTGGTTGCTCAATTAATTACTATACATCTATTCTACATCTTTACTTTGTGACATATTTTGCCTTCCGCTTCCTAGTTGATGGCCACCTGCAGGTGCTGAGCCTCCCAGTTCAGGCCGTGTGCGATGGGGGTCTTGTCCACGCTGTCGGACATCCTGACGGGGTCGCGAGCAGTCAGAACAGACGCAACGGGGCTTCTGCGGTTGGGCTTCGATCCGGCAATACCGCCGTAGACGCACTTGGCGCCGTTCAAGGCAGCGTTTGCGGCAGACTTCCACACCTCGCCAACGTCCGAAATCATGGGGGCCGTCCAGTACAGGCGGCAGTCAGCCTCCTCGGTGACGTACTGGGCAGGAATGCCGTCTTCGACATTGTCGCGGAGGATCTGGTCCCGCACATTGACTGCAGAGCCTGTCGACCGCTGCATGGGCAGGGGCTTGAAGCGCCTCAGTTCAGCCTGGGCGCTGGTGTCCTTGGTCAGCTGGGCAATGTAGTTGGCGTAGGTGTAAATGTTGAGGAAGTTGAGGATCTGCGACCCCTTGATGCCGCCGACACCCTGCATCGGGCCTTGCTGGGGACGACCACCCATGGCAATAGACTTGACGCCGCCTTGGAGCCGAAGCATCTCGGATGCCAGAGTGCAGGTGGATGAGCAGGCGCCATCGTAAAGAATGACAATGTCTTCAGCTTCGAACGCCTGAGAGAGGTTTGAGCGGATGCCATATCCGGATATGTCAATGCCCATACCATATGTCGTGTTGTAAGTGGTGAGGTGGTCGCTGAGGTTCCATCGCATCAGGTTGGTGTAGTCGGTGTCTTTGCGGACATGAGGCTGGAACTTGTCCGCAAAGGTGGCAAAGTTTTTGTTTTCAACGTCCAAATCATAGCGGTAGTTCCACCAGGTCTCATACATTTCAATGAGATCGCTGTTGGCTTCGGTGGCGGGATTGACACCCTGGACGGCGTCGGAGATGTAACGGGCCAAGGCAGCGAAGCTCTTGCTCTGCTTCCAGCGAGAGTTGCCGTCCTGCACGACCGAGGGGAACAGCTGGCGGAAGAAATCGTAGCCCAGAAGAATGTAACCGCCGCCGTTGTTCTGCAAGTCAACGATGAGCTTGGTCTTGCCAGCGGCCTTGGCCTCGCGCAGGAAGTCGCTGACGACAGCCTGGAATTCGGCAGGGCTCTTGGGCTCGAACGACATCAGATAAAGCACGGCGACGTCATCGAGACCGGCGCCACTGAGATAATAGCCAGAGACGACACCATCGGAGGAGGCAATGACAGGCTTGGGGTAGCCAGGGACGGTTGCGTTGGCGATGGCGGAAACAGAGGCCATGTTGGGCTTGAGGGGAAGAGGGGTGCAGAACTTCTTGTACATGGAAGGGCCGTCCATGACGCCAGTCATGTCACCCACAACGGCGGCCTTGTTCTCGATCTCCACGGTTGTGCCATTGGCAAAGGTCAAACTCGTGCTGTCGCCATGGTAAAACAGGGCACTGCGACCGCCCGAGATGAAATTGCCGACTCCGCCATTGGCGGCGGTGGCCTTGGACCAAAACATGGTGTTGTAGGATGCGTCGACATCCTGAAGGTAGCTGGCAGCATTGACAGTATCTTCGACGTACTTGGCGGCATCAATGCCGTTGATCATGGTAATGGCCTGCGCAGTCTCGGGGTTGGCGACGACTTCGGCTGATCAGGTCGCCCGTGTTAGCCCCCTTGAAAACGGCCGAGGACGAAGCTCGCGAGGAAACATGGATGCCGACACTTACTCTGAAGCTTGATGACGGGCAAAGACTCGCCGTCCTCGCTGATGGACACAATGGGAGGAACAGCACGTCTCCATCTGAAGGCTCTGGCCAACAAGTCGGGGTAGAAGACGTAGTGGCCATCCTGGCCCGGGGCCCAGACCTGCTTGTAGAGGTCTGTCTGGAAATCAAACTCGCCCGCATACTTGCCGGCCTGGACATTGGACCGAACCGCGGCGAGGTTGCCAAAGAGGTCGAATCCGGGGTAGAAGTAGGACGGGGGAGGGTCCTTTTTGTACGCCGCGTCACTCTGCCACTCGAGGTAGGGCTCGATGGCATCGATCAACTCGACAGCCTCATCCTTGCCAAGCGGAACCGTCTTGAGACACTCGAGGGCGAGCGATGCTGCCACAGTGGGGACGGCTTTTCCTAAACACCCCAGTCGACTTGGTTAGTAAGCACTCTACGAGTTGCCATGTCGGGCTCCAATAAGAATGGATCAAGCTGTTCGTCCCTGCGCCGCAATTGCGACTTCGCCGGAGCGCCGCCAGACACACGCAAACGATTGCCTTTTTTTTATATTTTTTTTCAGCTTACCTGTCGCCGTTCTCAACTGCTCCGACCATGATGCGCTAACCTTGGCGCAGGGATTTCGAGTCGCCGATGGGGGAGGCGTCGTCGTGGGAGCGGGGGGAGTCGTCGTGGTCGAAGGCCCGGGTGCGATGCAAGAGCAGGCACTCGAGATTCTCACGGCCATGGGCCCGTTCATGTTGTCCTTGCAGCCATCCGCGGCGTACGACGGAACTGCCGTTGGGGCGGCAATATCAGTGACCCTGGTGTATGTGGCACAAAATGCCTTGGCGCTCTCAAGACGTCCCGGAGTCTGCGTCGCCCTCATGGCTCGAAGACAATTGTCGGCATTGCAGCGACTAGCACCACTGGCCGCCGCCAACTCGAACCCGCCGGCAAGCAGAGCCGCAGCAACAATGGCCTTGCCGCGCATTGTGGGCAAGTAAGAGTCTTGGATGGTCTCGAAAGCCGAGCTCGGGGAGTGCCTGATGCCTCGTTTGCATGCGACAAAACAGGCCGATGGAACCGAAATATATTCAAGGCATCCAAGCTTGACGGACTACAACGAAGCCGATGGGGGCTACTCTCATATTTATCCGCCCACCGCTCCTTCAGAGAATGGCCTAGCACATCCTACCGCTTCTCTTGGACCTCTCGAAGTTGGCCGTGCCGGAGGACCGCATGGACAGTCTGCGGACCAGACCCTGGGCAGCACATTGCCTCGGACGCTTTACAACACTAACACTTTCGGAGAGCCATGGTCTGTGGCACGCCAAGGTCCGGTTGCCCTGTTTACAGCGTCAGCTAGTTCATAGCAAGTCCTTTTGGTCCTGTTCGCACCTGCTGGTCTCGTCAGCGCCCAGGCCATGGTGGAGGGTGGCGGAGGCGGGCTGGCGGGTACCAACGAGATAACGACGCTGTCGACGGTGAAGGCAGCACATTGGCTCAGTGGCACAAGGCGGCTAGCAAGTTGATGGTTGGACTGGCCGCAAGCCGCGGCTCACCGGCACGGTTCCGGTGAGGCAGCTCGACAAGCCAAGTTGGTAGTACTATGTATTCCCGAAAAGATGTGTGGAGAACTGGAGCCCAACATCAAAGGGTTAAGGGCGACAGGGGTATTCCCCGGATGGGACAAGCAGTTCGCACGGCTCCTTGGACCTGCTTTATATGGCAGGTGGTCAAATCACATGTGTAACTACGGAGTACGGAGTAGATGGTATATGTCTCGGATGCCGTTCCTCCCCGCCTCGGCGTAGCAAGACCCGACTCGGCACAATGAGTTGGTCCCGCCCGCCGGGTCGACAGGCTTCGCAAGGCAAGGCAAATGTGCCTTTTTTTTTTCCCGTCATGTCAAACATGACGGTGAAGTGAATATCCTCGTCATCGCCATGGCCGCCAAGGCAGAGCATACGAACCACTGGGGTGGCATTACGTTGGGTTTAGCGTGAACTTACGCCCAGCCACAGCGCAACCGCGAGCAAACAAACTCGACTCGTGTGTCATGACGGTCGACTCTTATCGGATAGTGTCATGCAGACGCGCGCTTTTGCCCCGAGTCTCGGGGGTGTACCGACTGGAATCCGAGACACAATTTAGCTCGGCTTGTTAATAAGAGATGCATCGATTGCCGACACGGGAAGGTCGAGGGGGAGAGGCATCAATTACTGTTCACGGAGGCAACCCATGGTGTCATTCATTGGACGAGTCTTGTCAGCAAAAGCAAGCTGAATGAAGGGGTCAATGGATACTACTTTTTTTTTCTTTTTTTTTCTTTTATCTGTCATGAGTCATGACGGCTTGAGACCATGTCGAGCAACAAAACAAAAGTCCCACGTCCCTGCCCAGCTGCCAAGGTCGAGTCAAGCAAAGGAAAGCAAGGCAAGGCAAGGCAAGGCAGGGCATGCGCCACAACGTGGTGGCACTTAGCTCGAATGTTCAGTTGTCGGGGAAAAGAGGAAGGTCCCGTCATCTTGAATTGGGCACATGACATGACGCTGTGCCTGTGGCGCATTGGCCATGGACAGTGCTAATTGAAAAGCGCAGATTTAAGGGGTTGTAAGGGCCTTCGTCCGGCATTGTGATGTTTTGAAAGAAAAAGCTGCTGCCCGTTGAAAAATCTATATAGCTGTAGCGTTATTAAAAAATCTGTTGAATTTATAGTAAAGCTTTTTAGTGTCAAGTAAAGCTGCTATAAATCAATACTAAGAATATACTGCTGACCGCATTGAGGTCTGGCGCCAGGAGGGGATCGGCCCGGATGCCGATCTACAGTAAAGCAGGTTTATAACGATCCCCTGCTATAGCGATTCGGCACACACGCCTGGGCGTGAAGTACCTTTCCTATATGTTATGTATATAAAAGTGACTTCTTACCTATAGCGATTTTTCTCGTAAATATTGCTTATTAATATATGTAAGTTTATAATTACACACCACCTTACCCCCCCTAAAATCCCTTATCAGGCCTTATCAGGCCTTATCCACTAACAAAAGTGGGGCTCTTTCCTAAAAGAGTAGTCGCATCTTAACGATATAATCCCTGTAGTCGGGTTATAACGATGGAAAATTGCTCGCGAAGGTTATCGTTATAGACCTGGTTTACTGTACTCAACCTGGCCGTAAGAGGGGACCCCTGCACAGTGGCATTTGCTTGTTTCATCATCGTTGCACTGCGTGCGAAAGAGGCTCTTGACGTTGAACATGTGTTCGAGCCAGTCGTTGTCGACTTGCAGTCATCCGCGCCGATAACCACGGCTCCCTCTTCGACCCTTCGACCCTTCTACCCTTCGAGGCTGCTTTTAAAGTCGCCCCCAAGGTTCATCTGGCCTTGGTTCCACGAGTCCCATGGTACAAGCGTCGGCCGCCTGTGCCGTACATTTCAACGTAGCTAGTGCTTATGAGCTGATTCGAGACGGCATGAGTTTGGTGGAGCCCTGCCTGAGGCTGCAACGTCCGAGACTCTCGCCCGAGCTGCTTGAACCACCATGAGAAACTTGCATTCATGCTGTAACCGCTCGAGCATGCAGTCTCCAGACTCGCTCGGGAGAGAAAACTACGGGGCCGGGTCTGACAGGCATGCGGCTCTGCTCCATGCCTCTCCCCCCCTTTCACACCAATCGCAGCGAGATGCTTAAAGCTTTGCGTGTGGGCGGCCTGATTTCGCTTCTTCTCTCCCAACGACTTGTCTCCCCTCTTCTGTCATGGCTGATTTGCCTCGCGGAGGGGAGAACATGGCCGACCGATGGCAGGTGCTGACTTGAAAACATCAATTGGTCCAGGTGACTTCTCAAAGCGGCCTCCTGAACAGACACGAGCAGCCAGCCCATCAAGCCGTGTCTGATCCATGGCGAGCGGAAGCGGCGGCGGCGGCACAGAAACGCACCCCTTGGACAGAAATACAAGACCGCCCGAGCTGCTCGTCAAGAAAGCTTCGCAAGCGGGTGTGTCGGCGGACATGAAAGCATTGCCGTGCGTTGCTGTTACCATCGTGTTCATGAGAGGGGGCGCACCATTATGATTTCAACCACGGGCGAGCGACCGTATGGGTAATTGCTATTCTACCATCTATCAATCGCGACGGGGCAGACAAAGTTCAGAGCACGTCGTCCTCCGTCGCAGCGTATATTCTTCTTTCTCGAAACGTATTCTATCACTCGGACGATGCAGGTTCCTGCTCCCCTCGCCTAGAGCCGGCATGCATTCCGTCTAGACCAAGAACTCCTCCTCCGCAAAGTGCCGGAGCACAAGCCACCCTTCGTCAAACGCCTTCTTCTCAATGCGCACAATTATGGCCGCATGGCTGTGTCTATGGTTGTGGATCCAGACGGGATATTTCCTCCACTTCAACGTGTCCAACGAATGAATCATTTCAAACTGATGCGCCGTCAGCGCGAGCGTGGGCTGCGTTGGCGTGGACAGCCTTCTCTCGCGCTGTATCAGTCTTCTGTCTTCTGCGCTCATGGCGTCGACGTCGTCCTCGTCCTCGGTGGCGAGGTACTCTTGGTTCTGGGAGCTGTTGAGCGCCTCGTAGGTGTTTTCGACCTCTTCGCGCAGTTCCTTGATGAAGACGGGGACGCGGTACCCGTCTATGCTGACGCCTGCTCGGCCCTGCTCGTAGAGCCGGATCCGCTTGGAGCTGCGGATGTTTTGGATGACGGAGTTGCAGAGGTAGGCGAGGACGCCGATGGGCACGAAGACGGCGACGGAGATCATGAACGGGATGCGCTTGATCCAGTTGACGATGGAGCCTGTCACGGAGGATATGGTGGCTGGGCCGCGGAGTCTCGGCGACGGCTGCACGGGGTTGACGGGATCGAGGATGACACCGTTGTAGCCCTTGAGGTAGTTTACCTTGACCGTGTCCAGCTGGCGGTACGGGTCGGTTTTTGTGATGCCAGTGGTGTAGTAGACGGCGCTCCTGTCGTTGACAATGTTGGTGTACAGCGTGTGGCGCCTGAACTTGCGCAGGCCCAGCATGAAGATGGATGTTGGCTCAGCCAGGACGGAGAGCAGCGGGCGACCGGTGTCGCGGAAGTTGTCAATGGTGAATAATTGTCTGCCGGACATGGATAGAGTCCGGGCTCCCATGATGTTCCAGATGTGATTGTGCCAGCCCTTGAGGGGCGTGCGAACACCGAGATGAGGAGAAGCAAATGTGGTGAAGTTCTGGGATGAAGGCGTTAGATGGGTTTGAGCCCAAGGCAACAGAGGGAGCATTTCGCTTCATTACCATGCACTCAAGCTGGTCCAGGATTCCCTTTGCATACAACAAGCCGATGGCATAGCGGCAGACCAACCCTCCGAGAGAGTATCCAACGATGCTAATCTTTGCAATCTTGCCACCGCTCTCCTCGACGGCGCGCAGCTCCTCCTCAATCTCGGAACAGATGCGTTCACCGCCGCGCTCAATGCCGTCGTAGGTAAAGCTGCCGATGTTGCGCTTTGCAAACAACAGGCGCAGTTCGCTCGGAGGATACAGGCTGCGCAGGCTCTTTGCGACATTTCTCATATGATCAGGGTTGCCCCATAACTACGAGAACAGAATCTGCGTAAGCCTTTGCTCAACCAAGAAGCCTCAGGGGGGGGAGGGGGAAACTCCTACCCCATGAACAAGCACACACAGGTGGTCGGCAGAGGGAGCACCGCCCTCGTACTTGGGATAGGTCGGAGGCGGCATGGCGATGGGTGGCAGCGCCTGGAGGCTTTTCAGACAAGGGCCAGCGATGCGATGCCGGACGTACGCAGAGGCAGCTTGAGCTTGGGGCGACGACCAGACTCTGAGGGCTGGTCTAAAAGAAGCCCAAAGCGACGACCAGAGCACCATGCAAGGCAGTCCTGCGTAAGTACAGCATCTGAAGGGTTGGGACGGAACGCGTTGATAACACTATATTTTGTCTTCCCCAGGAGAGGATCAACCGGGAAGTGGAAGACGGACAGAGGATAGCGCGGAACGGAGCACGAGTCAAGCAGCAGACAGTGCCTGGCGCGTCCATGTCAGAAGGGACAAGCGCCACACACAGCCGAGGCTCGACAGAGTGCCCAAGTAAGGAGTACCTACAGGGTACGGAGTAACCCGACCGTGACTATGATGGCTAAACTTTCTGCGCATCTGGCCAAGGCGCCTCGAACATAGTCGACAAAGCAAATCGCATCGGCCCGGCAAACAACTTGGCATCTTCCGCGCGCCAGCGACTCAACGTCGACTGGTTTCATGCGCGTCAATTGTTGTCCATCAGCCACAGAGGCGCCGAGAGGCAAGCCTCATTCACGTCTTTGATGGCCACCGCCGCACTGCGCTCCACTGGTCACAACCTGATTGGTCTGTGCGTCAGGCCGGGACTCGATCCATCATCACGTCGCCCGTTGACGGCAGTTACGGCACAAACCGCCAGACATCAACTCGTTTGTTTGATTCGACTACCCAAATGTTGCACGTCGAGTTCAAATCGACGCCGCAGTCACTTTGCGACTCGATCCAAGTTTGTTCAGGCGCCGTGCGTCGCCAACACCGAATGTGTTCAAGCCACCTTTGATCGTCCTCTCAGCTCAGCCCTCAGCTCTGTTTCTCACTCAGACAGGCTCGACCTTCGCAACGCCACCTCTGATGGCCTAGTCAGAGTCACGGCATCCCCATCAGTCATTTGCGAGCTGCTCCTCGTACGGAGCACACCATCGCCAGCCATTTTTCATCCTCGCCATGAGCTTCTCCCTCAGTTACATACCATGCCCTGCCGGCAAGAGCTGCACCGCATTTCAGTGCATCTTTGGCCATGGCGGAGACAACGCCGCCGAGACCAGACATGAGGCACCGCCACCATCATCAACTTCACGTCAAAACGATGCATCCTCTGTCTCTCGTGACCGCTCGCCTCCCTACGAAGAGAATCCCCGTAAACGCCCCAGAGTAGAGCAAGAGAATGCTTCTTTCCCGTCTCAACCGCCCCTCAAGGCACACACTGCACCCAGCAACGCCAACAAGGACAACTCGTCCAACACGACGCCTCACTCTGCCACCCGGCCCGTTTCACCACCACTTCTTCAACGAATCACCAGAACAATGGACACAAAGGCGAGGCGCCCTTCTTCAACGCCACAAAGGTCTCCTGCCACCGAGAGTTTAAAGTCGCCAGCGCCCCCCGGCGTTAACGCCCTGACGAGGCCGGCATGTGAATCGACCAAAAAGAGGAAGCCCGAGTCCCTCAACCCCCGGCTTCTCAAGAGCTCACCCGCGAGCCATGAGACTCGTTTAAAGCTCCTCAAGTTGCTACACCACGAATATACCCGGCTCAACCGGGAGCTGCGCCAGGCTGCGAAACCAGGTGACGTCACACTCGTCATGTCCGAACAGGATCTGATTTTCGAGGCGTTGGATCAGGAACAGGCCGCGGCGCTGGAGAAACCGGCTGTCTATACAAACGTCATGAAGAACAAGGTCGTGCAGCACAAGAGGATGGATGTGGCCCAGTGGAGAGAGCTGCGCATCAAGCAGGCTCCTCGACCACAGGGGCAAAATGGCGGGAATATACCCAAAGAGATCAAGACCGGTCTCACAGCCGTTCAGGAGGTAGAGCTTCTCAGGAGAATCGTTACGAGTGTGGAACATCTCTCCAACCACGGCTACGTGTCGTCCGTCCCGCCAGACGACGCTGTGGAATCCGGCCGGGCGGGGCTGGAGGCCTCCAAAGGATGGGAAAAGTGCGACCGATGCCAGCAGCGGTTCCAGGTCTTCCCGGGGAGAAGGGCAGAGGACGGGGCGCTCGTGTCCGGGGGCGCATGCAACTTCCATTGGGGGAAGACGTACGTTCCCGAAAAAGCACCGGGCGACACGGCCAGGGTCCCGAAACGATACCGGTGCTGTGGACAGGAAGTTGGCGATTCGCCAGGCTGTTCCACCCACGACAAGCACGTCTTCAAAGCAAGCGACCCGAAGCGGCTGGCGGCGGTGCTCAACTACGCACCGACGCCGGAGAACCCCGGCGCCCCCAGGGACAGAGCTGTCTGCTTCGACTGCGAGATGGGCTATACCGTCCACGGGATGGAGCTCGTCCGACTCACCGCAACCTCGTGGCCCTCGGGCGAGGAGCTTCTCGACGTGCTGGTCCAGCCGGTGGGCGAAATACTGGATCTTAATTCTCGGTATTCCGGCGTGTGGCCAGATGACTTGGCAAACGCTCTGCCCTGGGTGCCAGACGGGCCGATGCCCTCCAAAACAAGAACGCGGCTTGGTGCTGAACACGACTCCACAAAGTCCAGACGCCTCAAAAAAGTCTCGTCGCCGGAAGTTGCCAGAGATCTCTTGTTTTCGCTGATATCCCCCTCAACACCACTAATCGGCCACGGCTTGGAAAATGACTTGAACGCCGTGCGCATCATCCACCCTACTCTCATAGACACGGTGCTTTTATACCCCCACAAACTCGGCTTACCATACCGGCACGGGTTGAAGATGCTCATGGATGTCCATTTGAACAAAAAGATACAGCAGGATACGGGGCCAAAGGCTTTGGGTCACGATTCTGCAGAGGACGCTAGGGCTGCGGGGGAGCTGGTACGGTTGAAGGTCATGAACGAGTGGAAGGATATGCAGAGGGCGGGCTGGACGTTGGTAAAAGGGCAATTTTGGCCGCCTGGGAAGCCGGGCGGGTTGACAGAGGCATTTATCGAGGAGAAAGGGGCGACCATCATTTTGTAGATAAAGCGAGCTGTAAATTTATTGTACGGTAAGCCCGATTCGCGAGGCAATTCGGGGGAAGAACAAGCATGGGGAGGAGTATTCGTCATTAGTATTTTCCGAGACGTAGGATTACATGGTCGCTCCGTCAGCGACAAAAGCGTCGAACTGGCCCTCTTCCACGCCTCCTCATGCCATCTAAGCCCGTCCGACAGACAACAGATACTGTCCACCACTGCCCGACTTTCCAGTGGGCAGATACGCCACGTTGGGGTTGGATGACAGTTGCTGCGCAATCTCCCTGCTCGCTTCAATCTTTCGAATCTGCACCAGCCCGTCGCCATTCTTGGCAATGGCTTTGCTAATCGTCTCCGCAGACTCAGCCTCGCCCTCGGCCCGGATGACGTTTGCCTGTCTCTCCTGCTCGGCCTTTTCGACAATGAAACGAGCCCGCTCGGCGTCCTGCTGTGCAATCTGCTTCTGCTCAACGGCCTTGGTGAATTCCCGGCCAAATGTCATGTGGGTGATGGACACGTCCTCGAGGGCAATGTTGAACTCGGCGGCGCGGCGCGTGAGTTCTGTGCGAATCTTTTGCGACACGGCTTCTCGCTGGGTGATGAGCTCGGCGGCATCGAACTGGGCGACGATGGCTTTTAGAACTTCGTTTCCGATGGAGGGGAGAACTCGCTCGTCATAGTCGACGCCGAGATTCTGTCCACGTTAACATTCCATCAGAGGTTCCGGGCTGTCTGTGCATGTGCGAGAATAGTACCTGGTAAATCTTGGGCAGAGCCTTGACGTTTGGTCGGTGCAGCACACGGAGCGTCAAGCTGACCATCTGCAAGTCCTTGCTTCCCGTCGTCGTGGCGATATTCCTCGGCTTCGTGCGGACATCGAAAATGACGCTTCGCTGCAGCCATGGCACCAGGAAGTGCGTCCCCTCATTGATGACATCTTCCCTGACTCCAGATAGCCTGTCGAAGATGACGGCTCTCGTTCCGCCCTTGACGTCGAAGATGGACTGGCTGACGAGGAATGCGCCAGCCGTGGCCGGCACGGCCAGGCGGTACATGAGATTGAGAGCTCTTGCTGCGGCCGCCATTGTGCACGACCCTCAAACTGCGGTGAGGTGGGAGACTTTTTACTTGGCGATGGGCGGATGCGATGGATTAGCAAGAGAGCGAGCTTGCTCTCCCAGCTGGCTGATTTTCGGGTCGTGGCCGTGGCGCTAATCCTGTTCGGGTAAGCTCGGGACGAGGCCTCTCAAGGCCTGCACGTCGTTCACCCGTACCGGACTCCCGCCTTTCGTGCTTCACAAACGTCCGACTATTAGGAGTTCAACGTCACGCAATTCCTCGACATCAGCCACGATGAGACCGACGCAAGTTCTGAATGGCGGCGGCGCCCCAAATTGGAAGGCTGGCCAGTACGTTTTTTGTCCTGTTCTCCGATATGTTACTTACTGGTGCCGCGTGCGCCTGCGGCTTTTGTCGCGACGGCAACGTTGGTGTCGGCTTCGCCATTCTGCACGCATCAATTCGTAGGGCCCGGATTTGCTAATTCGTGTTGCTTCTTCAGCTGGCTGGGCGACTGGGGCTCCTTTGGTGAGTGTGCCCTGACTTTCTCCCGACAGACGACGAACCACGCCACCTGCGAGGAATGGTGAAATCACGCGCCCTGTGCTCAGGGAGTAGTGTGGATGGCCAAACCCCGTGGTTGGCCAGACTCGGCGGCGGAAATCTCATTCAAGAGGAAGAATATATTCTCAGGAAATCGATGGCTCCGAACGCACACCTCGGGCACGTCGACTCGATGGCGGGACCATTGTCGGGCACGTCGACTCGATGGCGGGACCATTGGGGGGGGGGGAGGAAACATCGCGAACCGAGGTTACTAACTCGATGCAGGTGGCGCCAAGCAGAAGGGCATCATTCTTTACGGCATATCTGCCAACAGACAGAACCCCACCGCCGGCATGGTTCACGATGCCATCTTCAACACCTTCCGCCGCACCAAGGGCCAGCTCTTCTACTGGCTTCCTCCTCTGGTGGCCGGATACTACTTGATGCAGTGGGCTACTGAGCGGTGCGTGACAGAACAAGGACGAGGCTGCAGCTCGATATTCTAACATGTCAGTAGCAACCACTACCTTCAGTCCAAGGCCGGCCGTGCAGAGTTTGGTGACGACGCCGAGTAAGCATGGTTGGGCAGGCGCACGCGATTAGAAAAAAAGGCATTTGTATATCAGTCTAGCCAGGGGCTCGAGACATGTGTAACCAGACAAACATGCGGCGAGCGCATATTTTAAATTCCATTTCATTTGTCGCGGCCCGGCCATCTCAGCGTTTTATTCCCTGTGACAAATACCTTCCCGTGTTGAATCCCGTGTTGAATCCCGTGTTGAATCCCGTGTTGAATCCCGTGTTGAATCCCGTGTTGACTGGAATTGCAGCTGGCTATTCCGCACTCACGCCTAGGCGACGCGTAATGCGTGATCTTTGCAAAATTCTTTTCCAGATGCCCACAGCTTTGGAGCCTTCGTCCGGAATGACTAGGAACCCCTCGTGGTTATCGACTCTACAAGAGCTTCACGTCCCAGTAACTACCAGGTACGGAGTACTTTGACGCGCCAATCGCCCGCTCGCCACCCGTGCCAACGCCGCTCAGCTTGCTTACAAGAACCACTCACAATCACGTGGCTCGATTTCGGAACCGGCGCCCCAACTGCCGAAGGCCCACGGCTGGTCAGAAAAATTTCGGTCCAGCTCATGAAGCTGAGGTGCCAAAATCCGATTCCATCCTATTACTCCGTCCTTGTCGACCGATTATCTACCCAATTGGCATTGGTTTTTTTTTGTTTTTGGTTTTCTTTGTGCTCGTTTTTGAAATCTACAATTTCACAAACAGCAATCTTTTCATCCATCTTTCCATAAACAACAGCCCTTTCCTGGAGGGCGGGATTCTTGGTCGCCCTCGCACACACTTTTTCTCTTTTCCAGCCGACGCCCTCAACCCGAGCAGTCATGGCGGCCGAAAGACCCGACAAGAAGGCCAAGAAGGACAAGAAGCGCAGCGACGAGTCGGGAGTAGCCAAGCCCAAGAAGGACCGCAAGGACAAGAAGGACCGAAAGGACAAGCAGGAGAAGCTCGCCGCCGCGCTCGACGAGAAGCTGCAGCACGATGCCGCCGCTCAGGTCAGGGCCGAGAGGGAGGACGATTCCGACATGGAGGACCAGAGCCCCGCCGAGCTGCCGCTCGAGAGGACGGTCGTGCCGTTTGCCGTGCCGCTGGCCGGCGAGAAGGGCATGAAGAAGGTGTACAAGACCATCAAGAAGGGTGCGTGTGTGCTTTTGATTCGCGGCCAGGGAATCCGGGGCGGCTGTTGTGCCGTTCGAGAATGACGCGACGCTAACGATTGCGCAGCTGCTAGGAACGGCACGCTCAAGCGCGGCGTCAAGGAGGTCGTCAAGACGCTCCGCAAGTCGCCGGCCGGGGGGGCCGGGGGGCCCGGGAACGCGTCTTTCCCCGGCGTCGTCGTCATTGCCGGCGACATTTCTCCCCAGGACGTCATCTCGCACATTCCGGTGCTGTGCGAGGACCACAACGTGCCCTTTGTCTTCATCACGTCGCGGGCCGAGCTGGGCGCCGCCGCCAAGACCAAGCGGCCTACCAGCGTGGTCATGGTCATGGAGAAGCAGGACGGCAAGAAGAAGGCCGTCGCGAAGGAGGACAAGGGGGACGACGACGAGTCGTTTGGCGAGGCGTACGCTTCGTTGGTGAAGCTCGTGCAGAAGGAGTACTCGAAGCAGTCGTTCTGGACCAAGGGGGAGTCGAAGGCATAGGTGAGAGGACGCTGTGTATAACCACCCTCCCCCCCTAAAAAAAAAATAAGAAACGAAAGAGGGAAAGAGGGAAAAGGAGAAACAAAAACGATTCGCCTTGACAGAGAGAGGTGAGGCGTGGCGGTTGGAAAGGCTCATAACTGCGTGTTTGTCGGAACTCGAGAGACGGGGTACTTGCTAATGGGGAGAGGGGTTTTTTTTTTTTTGGTAGAGGCTTTGGTTTCGATCTGGCTGTGGAAATACCAGAGGGATTGGCTAGCAGGGCCGAATTGGGCTACGGGCGGCGTTCAGGTACATTTACATAATCAATTGAAGCATTTCCCAGCTTGGTGTCGTGATTCACACAGAGTTCACATACCGCTTACTATCAACAGCAGGGAGGACAGCGACCACGTAGATCTTGACGACACAAGGATTCTCAAATGTGATGCACGATCAATTAAAAACTAGTCCAGTAGGGAGGGACATCTACCCAACTACTTCCTTTGTGTACAAGCAAAAACGAGGGCCGTCCACGACGATGCTCGGCGAGCCCATTGCTCATTCAATACCAGCTGACCCTTTAGTCGAAGGGATTAGTACGAGTACCCCACCAAGTCAGGAACAGCGACAATCCAACCGTTTCCACGAGCTTGGCGGCGACGCTGACACCGACGGTGTCGATGGGGCGTTTCTCCGAGATGATTTGGGTGAGGAACTACGCCAGGTCAGCAACGCGTCTCGTCACCATGATCTCATGCTCAGCGCCGTCCCAGCGAATGCCATTCTCCACATGGCGTTTTGGCAGGAAGGGAGGAAGGAAAATAAGCCGAATAGGCAGTCTTGAGAGACGGCAGCAAAGCCAGCGTCACGGACCCCCGGGGGGGGGTGGGAGAAAATTTTAAATTGTTACTTACACCGGGAGCAGCGGTCGCAGCAAAGATCAAGCCGCCTAGGTACGCGGCGCCCTTGTAGCTCAGGGTCCCCGTGGCATTGATCAAGGCGCCAACGCCGTAGCTCTGGAGGGCCGAGCCGACAAATGAGGTGCCCCAGGCGAGGGCAGCGCCGCTGGCTTCCTTGGACTTGATGAACTCCTCCTTGGTGTTGGCCTGCTTGGCGCGCTGGTACGTCTGGCCGAAGACGGGGCCCAGCACGGCGAGCTCGACGCCGTGGTTGAAGAAGGTGCCCAGCGCGATGGCCGAGGGCTTGACGGGGGGGAGGTCTGTACATACACGTCAGCATCCCAATGTGTCGCGGCAGACGGGCACGTCGCCTCGTCGCGGGTGAGCGCCGCTGGCTCCGAATTCAGAGAGACGGCGACACCCATCGGGGCGGGCTGCGCAGAGCTGGCTGCAGGCGAGGAGGGAGGCCGTGATTGTCGCGACGGCGCAACTTACAGTGCAGAGACATTGTGAGCTTCGGCAAGTCTTGGGGGTGGATGTGTTTTCTCGGACAGGCACTGTTCTTTCTTGTTGCGTGATTGGAACCCAGGAGGCGGGGGAAGACTGACGATGGTGAAAGGTCCAAGTTCAGTGGACGCGATCCGGCGTCGCTGCTCACCCCCCTCCTTTTAAACCTAGGCTGCAGCTGCACCGGCTGTCCCAGGCCGGCAGCCCTCCCTGATGGCGTGAGCAAAATGTTGGCAAATGGGTTTTGTCTCAAATCTCGATTGGGCAAGGACGCAGACAAGCACCTTGTGGCTGGATGCTGGATGCTCGGGGCGATGATGTCACCACTTTGTGGGGACGTTTCCTGGCAACGCTCCAACTTGCAGCCGACGGACAGAGCTGCAGGTGCCGTTTGGAATGGCGCCTGCGGCAATCCATGTCTCGTACGGGGGTTACAGGGGTACGGTTGTGCAGGCTCGGCTTAGCTTAGGCCTCGTGCGACCAGTTGACGCGCCCCTACTCGCTCCGTACACCGCGAGAGGGTCGACTGGCTTGCTCGGGAACCTGGAGATATGGGCAAGCTTGCCATCGGACTGACTACCAGCCGCACATCCAACAACCGTGCGCGGCGACTGCCATGACCTCGATGCGACCCAACATAAACATGCGCCGCCAAAGACATCAATACACAGGGACACACGGGGGCGCTGAAAATGCTTCAATTCCCATCCCGCCACTACTTTGAGCCTGCCTCTCCCGCCAAAGGCCCTTCCTTGCCTCGCATTTCGAAACACCGCTCCCGCTCCATTTTATCTGTACAATGTGGTGACAGAGGTTCTGTTTCCAACAACGCAACACAATACGCTGTAATGTGGTCTGCCTTCCCAGCCTCGATGCCGCCGTGGTCGAGCCCCTCGGTGGCCGAGCACAAACAAGAAGAAAAGGAAAATTCGCAACGGTTCCACTCCAAGAATAAACGCCAGATGAGTTTCGTCCACCCCCCCAGATTTGCCTTCGTTTACGCCATATGCTGTCCATCTTCACCGCCTCGCAATGCCAAGAGTGCTCTAACATCATGAACGTATTGTAAACCTTCTAGCATTGGAATCAGGTGCATCAAGTCGTTGTCTGTCGGGTCGTTGATCCAGCCTTGAATCGGGATGGCATTGTCTGGGTGAGGTCAGCGTCCAACGTCTTGGGAGCAAACAGCGCCATCGTCAACCGGCGAACCGACCTTCATGAAACAAGTAGCTCAGCGGACTATTGTCCAGAATCATGACTTTACTCAAGTCTGGTTCCACCGAACTGAGATCTTTGATGTACGCGCCCTGTCGATACGTACAGTGCTGCCGATAATATCTGGCAGAGAAAAACTTTCGCTCCGCCTCCAGCCAGTCAATGACCGGGTCGGCATACTCTTGCACCGAGGCCGTAAAGATGACCAGGTTGAACCACTTGCAAATGCGCCGCAAAAACTCGTCGCAGTACGGTCGCTTGTTGACCCAATACAAGATAGGATGCTGAGCCGCGCCACCCGGCGCAGTGCCCATTCCTAGCGATGCCGTGTTGAGTCGAACTTCCACCATGTGGCCACCGCTTCTGCCGCCCTTGGACATGCTGTGAATCAAAGTCTCATCGAGATCAAGGATCAACGTCTTTTGGTGCTCGACGGACGCATCGAGCTTGAGATACGACGGTTGGCGCCGTGGTATCAATGGTCGGGGAGGTGCCGGCGTCTTGGGATACTTGGTCAGAGCTGCAATCGGCGACGTCGGGGACTTGAGTTGCGCCGATAGATCTTGGTCGTCTGTCTTGGTTCGTGCGACGGCAGACTGCGCGCGACGGTGCTGCTTGCGTTGCCGCAGAGCATCGTCGTTGTGAAGCTTAATTCGAATCGATCTCCGCGCAGAGCTGAGCTCTGCCGCGGGGTTGAGTGACTTTGACCTGCTGTGCCGGCTAGGAGAACCCTTGGGTGTTTCTTCCTCTGACTCTGACGACTGGCCTGATGTTGACGAACCAGACGACGGCGCAGGGCGCGGCGCCATCCGGCGGTAACCCCAACGCTGCGAGCCTGCAGACACGGGTGACTCGGTGTGGTTGGTAGTATGGTGGCTTCCATGCGATCTGTAGCTATCCATGCCCCCTCCTTTATGGACGCCAAACAGCCTCTTCATCTGTAACAGAGGTGCGAAGACGCCGTGTTCGTCGTAGAAGCAGGCAATCAGGTAGACTCCAGGTGAAGCCAGAGTAGCAAACACCCAGCGGATAGAGCTTATGATGCTTGAGACCAGTCGTCGGGGTATTGCGTGCCACCAACTAGCCCGCTTGTTGCCGTCTTTGCTCGCGTCCATCGGCGGCGTGTCCTCCGTGGCCACGTAACTGTGCTTTTCGCTGTTCGGCTGCGAGCCATCGTAGTCGCAGCCGGGGAACGGGTCAGAGCTAGCTGCATCTCTACCGTCGTTTCCGTCGGTGGACTTTTCGTCGGGGAGCAGTCCGGCGCTGATGTTGCCGAGGCTGTTGGATCGAGATGGGTTGGGGCTGGCAGAGGGGGAAACACGAGCGGTAATGATGTTGAGGGAATTCATCATAGAGACGGGCGGCCAGCCATCAGGCTATGATCCGAGGCTGTCCAAACGACGGACTCTAGAAAGGGTCGGGCAGTCCGGATAAACAAGGAGAAGGGACGCGCGAACGTGTCGCAAGAAGAAAGGCGAGAGCGCCCCCGAGGTATGCTTCGAGGTCGATATCAATTCGTCAGGTATCGCCAGGCTTTGCGAACATCAATCAATCACAGCACGGGGAACAAGTGTCCGGTTGGAGTGGTGGGCGAGGTGTCTAGACGGGCATTCGTAGTTGGCCGACAGAAGTCGGCATCGGTAGGCGGTTCGGTTCAGGTTGACGATGTGATGGTCATGCGGAAGGCGTTGACGTGAGGAGCTATTAACTAATTGATGCAATGTTTGGCAAGGTTTTGAGGGGCGAGCAGACGTCGACCTGCGGGTGTCAGGCGCAACAGACGGGTCAACTTGTCAACTGCGTCCAGACGACCGTTAGCGACTGGAGCAAGGAGCACGGAGTAGGAAGTAGCGAGTACCATGGGGGTACTTGAGTAGCCAGCCATGGTGGGTGGTCTTTGCGACGCAGAACCACTGACGCTGGCTTGACGAGCCGATGCAGGGTAGGTCCAATTCCAGAGCACAAGAACAGACACAGGCGGCAGAAATGAAAAAAAAAAAAATGTACTGTGTCATGTCCAATGCATCTTGCGTGGTCTGTGCGCTATTCCATTGAAATTCCCGACATGCTCTGGCTGGACGGCGTGTGTCACTGACGCCGACAATAATGGCACGTCGACTCCACGCAGTCGGCTTGCAAGAACAGAGCACGTCATAGGCACGGGTTCACAACGATTCAGGCACTGTCCAGTTCCAGGACGGGAGGAGAGCATCAGACTCGAGCCTTGGACAAGAACTGCTTAAGCAGGTTCCCTCTATAGCACATACCTAAGTACTTAGGTTAAGTGCTTAACTTGGGTAGACACCTGCCCGGAAGCTTTCAACATTGAATTCCAGCTATTTAGGAGGTACCTACCTCGGTACTTAGGTACCTATCACTGGCAGGTACACAGTACTTGGCTCGCTTTGCCCACGTCCTTGCCCCACCTTGTTCCGCCCGCAAAACACTGATACCTTCTCCGAACCAGCCTTCTTCTTATTAGCCAAGTTCCAGACTCCTTCCGGAGCGCTCCGGATGAGCATCTACTAGCAATTTTTTTTTTCCGCGAGTGACTCAACCGTCAGCCCTCGTCGCGAAATTGCCAGCTTTGCCACGACCACGCTCTAGTCACCCTCAAGACCAAGTTAAAATGCCGTCTGCTACTGCGGGCTACGCGCCTGACCTTGAAAAGTATCTCAAATCCTTGAAAGGGCAGCCATTGGAGGCTGCGGTCGAGAATCTCATTTCGTGGGTAGCCCGCAAGCTGCCAACTCCACTCAAACGCTAACGACGTCGCGCAGTCTGCTAAAGAGAAGACAGATTCGCGGCTCTGAGGCCTGTGCTGTGGTCACTGCCCAGATGCTTTTGCAGGTGGTAGCTCGGACCAGATGGCAAGAAGTCGACGGCCTCATTGATAACGTCACGCGCATCGGTCGACGCCTGGTGGAGGCGCAGCCCAAAGAGCTAGTCATTGGCAATATCGTGCGACGAATCCTCGCCCTCATCCGCGATGAGGCCGCCGAGGATCGGAATGAACCCCTCAGCGAGACCCAGAGCGACCCTCCCATGACTCCTCAGAGCGAGCCCGCAAGCCTGTACCTTCTCCGGGCTCATCTTTCGACATGTACGGAACAAGAGCCGGCTGGAGACTTCCTTTTCAACCCAGCCGTGCCCCAGACGAGGCCCGGTTCAGTAGCGTCGTATAGCTCAGTCAATGTCCCGAAATCTCTCTTCCGTTTGCTTTCCGCTTCCCCGTCTTCCAATATCGATGGCCTCAGCTCGCCGCACCGACAATCCGGCACTTCGACGCCTCAGACCACCAGCCAGGTCCATGCCTTGCGATCCGAAGTGATTGACGGAATCGAGGAGATCAAGGACGAAATCAGCCAGGTGGATGATCAAATTGCTGCCCTTGCCGAAGTCCAGATTCGCCCAGGAGATCACATCATGGTTCACCAGCCTTCGCCCACAGTTGAGCGCTTCGTCCTTCGAGCCGCCGCAAAGCGGAAATTTACCGTCTTGATTGTGACTGAGCCCCCCCGAAAGAAAACCGAGCAAGTACAGCACGCTGTGTTCCGGAAAGGGCTGGCGACCGCTGGCATCACCGTCATCAACGTCATGAACTCGGGCTCGATGGCCTACATGTCGAGGGTCAACACGGTGATTCTCAGCGCGCGAGCCATTGTTGCCAACGGGGGTGCAGTCACAAACGCCGGCGCTGCGGCCATTGCCCGAGCCGCACACGAACAAGGCAATGCTGTTGTCGTCTTGGCTGGCGTGTACAAGTTGAGCCCGGTCAATCCATTTGACGAAGACGCTCTCATTGAATGGGGAGACTCTTCAAGCTTTGTAAGCTTTGCCGATGGAAGTATGGTCAACAATGTGGAAATTCGAAGCCCCGTAACGGAACTGGTACCGGCCGAGTATATCGATACATATATTACCAACCTGTAAGTAGGAGCATCACGGGCAACCCACATCACCCATCTTGGGCTCTGCAGCCCCAACGGAGATGGATAACTAACGACGGCCCTGAAATAAATTGAATAGGGGGGCGCACTCGCGCGATCATCTTGCCAGCTTGATCGGAGACCATTACCGACAAGAGGATGCTGATTTTCATCTCGGAGACGCATCCGACCGATGATGGCTCCAGACAACTGGCCCAGCGCAACATCAACAAAATTTGTGTGAGGGGAAATGGCGGATGATGTCACCCCAAAACAAGAATACGCACGCCTACGATTTGGATATGGATACACCGTACTCGGCAGACCTCTCCCAGGTCATTGTTCAAGTCTCGGGGCTGAGGGCTGAGGATGACTCGAGGATGGGTTATGGGTTATGGGGGCGGGGCCACGTCACCACGTACAGGCAGCGATTGAAGGCAGGAAGGCAGGAAGGCAGGCGGACAGGAAGGCAGGCGGACAGGCGGACAGGCGGACAGGCAAGTGGGATGGATGGATGCTCAGGGTCTCGTGGTGGACCCGGCCCTGCGAGAGCGAGAGCCTGGGCGGAGTTGGGCTGTTGTCTCCACCAATCGGATTCCTTCACGGCCACGAGCCATGGCACCCCATTTGGGCAAGCTGACGATGAGGCAGACGCGGTCGATTTGTGGCCATGGCGAGGAAGATCGGGCGGGAGACGTAAGTCGTCCAGACTGTGGCTGCGAGACTTCCGAGAAGAAAGCACGTGTTCTTGTACGTCCATAGATGATGATGAGCTCACCTCGCCATTCTGCACCTTGACAGACCACCATACATCGACAACACACCTGCTTGTTTGCCTTTTGGGCATCGATGTTTGACTCCACGGCAGCCATACCCGTGCGGCGGCAAACGGACACCCGACCCTTGTTCATGAACTCGTTGGTTCGGCCTTTGATAAGTTAGTATCCAAATAAGAGAAGGACCCTTATCCGCTGCCCCGCAAACGCAACTTTACCCTCGCATCATCCAGACGTCGGACCAAACACTACAAAATCCGTGGGCGATTAGGACACGAGTCGCATGACAAAACTTGCTCAGCGATGAATCCAAACATGAACAACCTCCACGTCAATGTCGACAATGGCCACGGCCATGGCGATGGGCCTCCCCCGCCGTATTCAGAAACAGACATCTACTCCAACTCAGGTGGTCCTCGATCCGCCGCATCAACCACCTCCCACACCGGCTTCACGCCCCTCGACGATGCCTCATCCACCGGAGAAGTTGTCTACACACCTCCATTGACGCCTCGCACATCGTCAAATACACACCTGGAGCCCCAGCAACCTGCGCTGCAGCCTGGCCTCACATTATACTTTGCCTCGCGACCCCCGCCGGCCAATCCTCCCTCAGAGACGCTCACTCACACTCTCCGGATTGAAAGCACCTCTCTGCCAGATGACTTGCCGTATCAGAATGACTGGGCTGCGAGAGATGTCACGCCACAGGACTGGGCGACCTTTGTCAACTTTCTCCTGCCGGACCACACGACCAGGGGCAATGAGGCACTTATAGAGAGAAGGCTGAGCGTGGAGGGGACGAATAATGCCACTTTGACAAGCGGGAGGTTTCGGGCCGAGGCGCAATTGGAGCAGGCGAGGGAGAAGGCGGATGCCACACCGAGGAGCAGGTCGGAGATTGAGGCGACCATCCAGGAGTGGAACGACGGCTTCTTTGGACCGAGGGGCATGACTGTGAGGCTCGATTCAGGGGCAAGGATGCCTGGTGCTTGGGAGGCGGAGATTGAAGACCCTGAACAGCAGAGGGCGAACAACTGTTCCATGTTCGGCAGGCTCTCCATTGGTGGCAATGGAATTCGATATGGAGACGCAGTGGTCCTGGACAGCAATGGCATCAAGATCAACGGCCTTGTTCTGAACAGCGATGGCATCTCCATCGGCAAGAAGAGCAGCCAGCCGTCGGGAACAGCAGCGGCGCCGCCGCAACAACGAAACCTTGCAGGGCCAAGCGGACCGACAAGCTCAACTGGCCCAACAGGTCCGTCGTGGACGTTCGGCAGCCGAGCAGGATGGGATCGCCATCGCCACGATTCCCGTGGTCCCCTCCACGGTGGCCATGACTGGAACCATGATGGGCACCACAATTGGCACCATGGAAGCCACGGTTGGCATGACTGCCGCGAGGCCCAGCACTCCGAGGACCGCGGCAGACGATGGCATCCAGACCGCAAGGACAGACACGACCGATCGCACTCCGCCTCATCAGATTCGTCTGACTCCTCTGGCAGTTCGGAGTCGTCAATCGGCTCGCTCCCTGACTACGACGACATCGAGGACCACCAGCTTCCACTTTACGCAGAGCGACTCAAGGACTGGACCTCTCGGCCCGATCAAGTACGCACCAAGAGCGACGTCATCGCTCTGGAAGCAGAATTGAAGGCCGTTCCAATGGCACCTGTAGATGCGAGCTTTGACAGGAAGGCGCTCAAGGGCCAAATCAAGGGTCTTCACTCGAGCTGGAAATCCATCAAGCGGGCCCAACGACAGGCGCGAAGGGCTTACCGACGGGAACGGCGTATGCAGCGCAGGGCGGAGAAGAGGGAACATCGAAGCCAGAGACGTGAAATGAAACGGGCTCGCAGGGATCACGGAAGACGTGGAGGACCATTTCACGCGCCGCCGGTGCCTCCTTTCCCCCCAGCGCAAGCGATGCTCCCTGTGTTTCCTGCGCCGCCGGCACCTCCAGGTCCTACCGCAGGCCCCAACCCTCCTCCTTGGACTCGTAACTGGCCACGATGCTGTACCGGCCCGTCTCAAAGAAGTTCATTCTTCTTCGGCCCTGACGGACCCCTTGGAGAGCGGGGACCGTTTGGCCGGGGAGCATGGGGCGGCTGGGGCAGGGGCAGAGGCAGAGGCAGAGGGAGCGGCAGCGGTTCGAACATGCCTGGTGAACCAAGGGGCCCTACAGGTCGCGGCCATGCGGGCGAAGTACCGGGCTCGTGGCCACAGGCAGATGATGAGTCTGACATGGCATCGCAGATTCCTCCACCCGGAACCGTGACCGCCGCGAAATACAGGGCTGTAGAGGAAGTCGAGGGTGAGATCACCAAGTTGACTGTCAAGGCGGCGGGGACAAAGGAGCACAGGGGCGCAATGGAAAAGGAGATTGAGGCCCTGAAGAAGAAGTTGGAGGCACTCAGGATGGAGGCGGACGAGGCCTATGCGAGAGAGTTGGCCGAGTAGATGACGCGTGGTTGTACTGTAGCACCCAATGTTACACGCGTACGACCCAATACCTTTATGGTCGACCTGGTCATCAACTACTTAGATAACTGTGAATTATCGTAAAAACCCGAATTTCGCTATAACACAGGATCGTTATAGATCGTTATAGACATTACTCCTCCGCACCTTGGTAAGTAACTGAGTCTCGGGTCCGTGGGCCGTGGCACAGACGCTTCCCTTCCCAGCTCGGGCCATTCTTCAACGAGACAAAGGGTCCGGTTACTGGTAACTACACACGGAGTACATACGGGCCATACATGCGCCTCACGGCATTATTCAACGGCTTGCTAGTTGTTCGTCTATTTTGTTTGAGCCCTGCCAACTCGACCGACAGCATCTGTTCAGGGTGACCAAGGCAGGCGTAGTAGGCGATGGCACCGTCGTGTGTCCGGGCTCGGGTCTGCAACACAGGGGCAGGCCTTCGAGCTATATGACGGCATACCTTGTCTGTCCAACGCCCAATGGGCTTTCTAAGAAGAATGGGCAACACGACACGGCAGTGCTCTTTCACGCCGTTCTTGACCTGCGAAATTATACGCCGACTACAAAGGGCCCATGTTGCTGCGAGGCCAAGATCCGCCCGGGCGAATCTTTGCACGGGAGGCCGACAGGGCTGTGTTTGGCCAGCCAGGCTGGGCGTCCGAGGCCGGGGAGGGCAGCCAGCAACAAAGCAAAACACACGAGAACCAGGACCGGCGAGGTAGCAAATACTCTTTGTGAGTTCAACAAGAAAGCCGCCTTGTTTTCTGTGCTGCCGGCATGGACGGGACGCTGCCTCGGCCACCAGGCTGGTGGCCGTCCATGAGCCCATTGAGCTGTGAGAGAGCAATCGACGCCCAAAACCTCGATTCATTCTAGATCACTTATCCTCCCGTGAGTATGGAGTAGCCCGTCGTCCGTTTGGTCTGGCAGAACCTCAGGGATAACCCCCCGCAGGCGCCGTCTTCTACATGGCAGACGGCGGTTTTGTTTCTGCTCCCGCCACCGGCCGAGCCCTGGTGAAGCTGGTGCCTTTGGGACAAAGGTGAAGAATGAACAAAGGAATATCACGCCATGAGCCTGTCCAATGCCTGAACACGATGCACCCAGACAGGCCAGAGACTAGATTAAAAGGCCACCGTCGTCCCGGGCGTCTCTGTTCTCTGTCCTTCTCCCCAACGGACAGCATCAGAAAATCTCGACTCGACCATGGATACCAACTTTCAACGCTTGCGGGAGACGCCCGAGTACGTCGTTTACTTTAGGAGAAGGGGGTCTCTTCAAGAAGAAGACGTGAAATCGTACTTGGCGTTCAAGTACCCGTCTGAAGAAGGAACCGGTTATCTGCTTGATGACGTAGTTCTGATATATCATTTCCATAAAGTACGTACCACATTGGAGCATTACCACGAGTTAACATGGTTGTATCTGACTTTTCAAAAGGACGCCTGCAACATAGACCGTGAGGTGGTAACTTCCGACTGTGGTCTGGCTCAGCAGCGGCTGTGACGCTTGACAACGACACCCCAGGCGAGAGGTGAAAAAAAAAGGGAATATAAAGGTCTTCTGAAGGACTGAAACACGGAGGACACCACGTTGCCCTGCCCTAGTCCCGGCACATGAGCAGCCTCGCTGGCCTCGAACTCACCAACACGGCAGCTCTTCTGCCATTTTCTCAGCTTACGAGGTGGCGACGGCCCTTTTGTTCTACTACGTGATATGACGGGAGGCTTTTTATTTCAGGAGACATGTTCATCTGTACGTGTCAAGAGTTATTCGCCGCTTGGCTTTACGCGCGGAAACTTGCGCTGATTTCCTGGGCATATGAAGCGGCAAAGAATGGGCAGGGTGTGATTTCGTCGGCAGCTACGAATAAAACTGGGATGGCGTTTCATATGGGATGGTCTCTTGAGTGGATTTGATGGTTGACGGAAAATAAGAGTCTCTTGCTTTGCACATGACGTGCCTCGGCTGGCTTTGACGTAGTGACAGATAGATACGACGAGATTTTTTCCCCCTTTTGCGTCCGTCTCACTAAGCATCTCCCGTGGACTTGATACAATGCGGAGGAGCAATTCCCTTGGGACCGACGCGGTGTCGAAGCTGCCAACGGCTTCTCCCTGGCGTGAGCTTGATGACTGGACGACGCGTGGATGGCATGCATGATGCAGCGCGGCCGACTGAGACAGAAAAGTTCCGATGGGGGCGGCACATGTGGTTGAAGGGTCCAATGATGTATCCAAGACCATCCCTGTATACGGACGGCATTGGTCGACTTTGCTATTCCCGTACAAATCCCTCGATGGCTGAATCGTATTTTGACCCATGACCCATGCCCAGGCGTCGTGACTGATGAGTAGCTACAAAAGCTACACGTTGGATGTTGGGGACCTTCAGCGGCCAAGAGACTCCTATTGCTGCGTCTGGGCGAGACTCGCACGTTCGAGATCAATCTGCATTGCTTCTCTTTTTTTCAAAAATCGCGTCGGCCACGCGGCGTGGTGTTGGCTCGCACCGCAATTCAAAGGTCGGCTGGATCATGACGCAGTCAGCGCGGAGCATCATTCCAATAGAGACTTGACGTTACCGGTCAAAAACCTGACGACTATTTGTATGGAAATCTTGCAAAGAACTCTGCCGTGAGTCCGTGCTAGATGGCAGTCACCCGTCACGGCTAGTAAAGGCGTTCCGGCGGCGATTGATTCACTCGGTCAGACTGAATGCTGGATATTGGCAATGGCAAAGTCATTCATTGCTGAAAAAGCTTTGAATCAACCCTCGGAACCGGAGACGTTGAGCTTTTGGCGAGGCGAGGCGAGGCCGTCTTCACTGCTCAGTTCAAGGTTGTGAGACGGCAAACGAGGCTCACGAGAACGTGGCCGCAACAGGACGTGAGCTAGACTGAGGGACACGCGGCTGGAACTCTGTGGCGGCTGTGCAGGCAGGACTGACCCAAATTGTCCAAGCAAACACGTCAACGGTTGAGATTCCTTACATCTTCTTATGCATCAACGCAGCCCCTTCGTCAGGCCACGGACGCCCGCGGCTTGAGGCAGCATGAACAAACGTCGGCGGGCACAATGTGCAAGAAGTAGTGTTTCTCAGCTTGATGTCCTGTCGGACCATGTCATGAGTGATCGGCCTTTACGTGCTAGTCTTCCCACCGGTTCTCATTCCCGCGAGTTTGATGATATTGCATAGAAGAAAGCCCTGTGAGCATTGAAGGCTACTGTGGCATGGCACATCATCTTTGTGTGCTATTTACTGTCGAATATAATCATGTTCCATTCATTACACATCAGCTTTATGTTCCATTTATTATCCGCCACTTCATAGCATAAAGCCAGGTCGGTAAACGCCAGAACCTTGTAGGTGACTTTTTCATTACGAAATAGAAGCCTTCCGCTCGCTTGTGCCGTATCTTTCATCATGTCCATCTTGCAAGGGCCAGACACTCGGTGTTATTGTTTCAAACCAGACGCCTCCATTGATCCATGTAATGCACACAGCCCCCTGCCCCTTTTGAACCCTTGAATGACAGACCAGAACTCGGACCTGCTATTAGTTCAACAGCCATACGCTGCCGCTCTGGCCTTGAGCCTTTCTCAAAGCGCTGGAACCGACCCTGGATGCTTCCGGCAGCAACTGGACTTGTTGATGCAGAAGCTGAGCCTTGCAATTCGCCTTCTACGGCCTCAGCGGAGACTCTTGGTCTCGACTCTCAACATGTGCAGAGCACAGAAGGCGACAGGGAGCCTCACACACGTATATAGAGGGCCAGGGTCTGCCGACTGATGCCATCGTCTCGTGCGATGCCCGTGTCCCTCTCCAAAGACGCATTCTCACACACATCCCATCGTCCCCAAGTCAAATACCAGCCCACAAGCCGCAGCGCCATGGCATCGGCCAACAGAAGACCCCTCACATACCACGTTGTTCCCCGGTTCGACATTGCTGCCGACGGCGGTCCTCTGGCACTCGGAACGGTGGTCTCTGATTTAGCTACTCTTAGGCCTCTCAACCACGGACGGCATCACGTCGAGGTTCCGGACGAGCTTCTCTACGCCCCAGTGACGCAAACAAACTTCAAGGATACCCTAGCCAAGGTGCGCGAGCTCAACGTGCGGGCTTGGGCCGAGGCCTTGAGGCTTCCATACACTGCTTCCGCCAGCATTGGCCTCTCCAAGGGCGTTGAGGACAGCGTGAGCTGCGAGGCAGTAGTGACTACCTACTTCGACCCAGACCTGGCCGGTGACTACGTCAAGACATGTTTTGCGGTGAGACCGATACAGGACGTACTCGACGCCGCCCGAGGGCACAAAGCCGACTTCTTCATTGTCACTGGCCTCAAAGTCGCAAAAAGGCTCAAGTTCAATGATACTAGCTATCAAAGACGCGGTGTCCAAGGCGAGGTTTCCGGCGAGGATCCGCAGGTAAGCTCCGCCAGGGGAGGCGTAGAGTGCAAAATCTCGGGTGAGAAGAAACAGCGTCTTGCGTTTGAGGCCGACGACATCGTGATTGGTTTTCGGGTACACAAATACCACTGTGTACGAAATAGGCACACGAAAGACTTGAGCCATAGAGATGAGGGGCTCCTTACTGGTGACCTGCAGGGAGACGGGGGTTCTGGGGGCAGGCAGGGCATAGATCCGGTGGACGAGTTGTTGATCCGAGAAGACGATGAATTCGGGAGGCAAGCTGGTCATGATGGAGACGATGAGGTTTGGGATTGTGCAGCTATATAGACCTGCATATTATCAACGATCGATTCCTGAACAAATGTCCTTTAGCCTTTGGCAGACATCCCCTACACTTTGATTGTCCCAGAGACCGTCATTCCACGGCAAAATTTGGTGATAAAGACCATCCGCATTGTTTGCCGTCATGTGATGGCGAAACAGATCTCGCATGGTCTTGTAAATACAAAAACTCTCCGCCACTTCTGGTATATGTCGTCTAGCAAACTCCAAAATGTTGGCGGCTATTGCTGCCGCCATGGGCGCGGCATACGATGTCCCAGAGATCAGCCTGTAATCTCCTTCCCAGTACGACTCGATGCCGCACCCGAGAGTTGCAAAGTTGTCGCCTATTGACGATAGCGATGGGTTCAAATTCAAGTCTGGTATTCCGCGTTCGTCTGTAGCGTAAATGCAAAACACACCAGGTTCTTTCGCTGGCCACGGCCGCGGTTTGTTGCCTCCTACGTTCGAGGCGGCAGCAAAGATGAGCTTTTTATCATGTACAAGAAGTTTTAGCGCGTCTTGCAAATCTCTTGAAGGGTTCGAGCCTAGAGAAAACGAAAGATTGATAATGTCGGCGTGTTGTCCAGCCCACTCAAGAGCCTACGCCGCTTTCGAGGACTGATTAGCGTGAAATAGGCACAAGATGTTTTTCCCTTGTACATACTGCCTCAATCAGCATGCATTCTTGTAGACTCACCTCTAAGAGCTGCTCCTGATTTGTGAACTTGAGCGTATCCGAGTTTGTAATTTTGGCGACGAATATCTCTGCCCGTGGCGCAAACTTGAGAAGCAATCGAGTCACATGCGTTCCATGGCCGTGCTCATCTTTCCAGTCTCCCGCATCCGGCTCGGAGTCAGAGTTCCTCACGAAGTTTTTCCCGGCTCTAATTCTTTGCTGGACATGCTCATGGCTCAAGTACGTGTCTCGCTGGTCACAAAGCAACCCACTATCGATTACTGCAATGCGTACGTTTCCGTTGGCTGCGCGCTGCCCAGACACACTTGGCAGCTCTATGTATTTCTCAATGAAGTTTTCCATAAGCTTTGTGAAACTTCCCTCATCCTTCTTGGGAGTATTCTTCTCGGTTCTGGCATCGTTAGTGTCTCTTTCGGAATGAACCCTTGAATGAACTCACAACTCTCTTTCTGTATTGTCGTCTACGGCACTCCAAAGAGGAAATTCCGTTTCAACGTCATTCCAACCTTGCGGGTTGTCCTGATTCTTGGCCATATTAGATGATAGCGGATCACCATCGCCGCTAAAGAGTGCAGACTCCCAAATCTCCAGGTGCATCCGAAGGGGACTAACAATACTCTTATTGATGACATTCTGGACTGGATGCCTGTTGAACTCGATACCTCCAGTCTCGATCCTATATAGGTCCAGGTAAAGCAGGCAGCCTTCAATGGCCGCCCGGTAATATCTCATTGCCTCGTCTTTAAAGCTGTTCCTACACTCGTCAACCAGAAAGTCGTACCATTTTTTGGCGGGCTCATCTACGGCTGATTGATAGCCTTCCTCGCCTTTCTCGATATCTACAAGTAGCTGTGCGAACGACAAGAAGAACGTGGGGCAAGGTTCGGCAGGTTGTCCGCTCTTGGTCTGATGCCCCGACTCTTGGTGTTGTTTTGGTGCTTCAAGGAACGCCTCGTGTCGCTCACAATCGCCAATGAGACGGCAGGGGATGTAGGCTTCATTCAGCATCTCAATTTGGCTTACCTCCTCGTTGCGAAGAATCTGCACAGACTTGGCCGTCAACGTGCAGTCTTGGTGAATCCAGGGACCTAGATATAGAGCCTGCAATGATGACGCAAGCCGAAGAGCGAGTTTGAACTTTACAAGTTTGTCATTTGTGTCCCTAGCCTTTAGGCTCCCCGTTCTAAGGAGATCCTCAAGTTTGTCGTGGATGGCATGCTCCTCCAGCTTTGAGAGGAGCCCAAAAGCCGTCCCGTCAGGCTTGTTGAGGGTACGCCAGACTTGGTGCTCGCGGAATGACAGGCGTAATGGTGCGCGGAGATTGCGTTGTCCCTTGATCTCGGAGCAAATGTCGACTCGACGAGTAATCTCATACGGCGCGCCAGACCTGGTTTTCAGTCAGGCATCGGTTAATATGACTCAAGAGTTTTGTGCTAGGTAGCGATACAAATACTCGCCTTTCAAAGGTGCAGATTGTCTTATGCCATTTGCTACGCTCAGAATCTACAGTACTTTCCGAACAACAAGAGAGGAATAAGTGATAGGCGGCATCTTTTTCTTCGCAAAGGCCGAAATCCGACAGCCGGAGAAGAGCGCTGTGCTCTTCAGCGCAGCTCCGATGAGTGGCCAAAAGGTTGTACAAGGTGTCAATAGATGCCGGCGACGGCTGCTCGGTTTGGAAATAGGACAATATTGACATCCGCGGCATTCCGTAGCACAACCACTCCATCAATTTATTTAGTCCAGTTTTTCTTTGGGAATTGCTACACGGGCATGACACTTTGGCTACACGGGCATGACTCTTACACGGGCATGACTTTTACCACTTCTGATTGGTCGCATTGTCTCTGTTAACGACGCTGGATTCTGCCACCTCAGCCGCAAGTACCTGGGCCATTTTAACCTTGCTTCTGTGTAAATTACTTCATTTCGGCTAAGCTACTACGCAGCAACCCAGTGGTCGCGCAGTCGGGGCGACCCCCTCGAGCTTGCTTTCTTCATTTTCGTAGCTTTTAATAAACCATAATACGGCACCCTATGCTGTAGAGATAGCGACCAATTCTTTCACTACAATCTTGTTCTCTTCTCAAGACGTCAATGTCTTTGCCTCGCACACCTCCTCGCAGGTCGCGGAGCCCTAGTCCCAGTGATCAATCACAAAGAGGAAAGCGACACAAATCCAGTCGGCGACGCAGATCTAGTCCTTCCACAGTTGAAGACCGACCACAATCCGCGAGTAGCTCTGCTACGAGTATCGGTCAGTTCTACGGCCTCGGGGACGAAAATGCACTCGATAACCTGTTCGCCTCTTTCCCGCAAACACTTTCAAGTCTCCCACACCCCCATGGTTCACAGGGCCGCCATGAGCCTGCATGGGGCCTTCGATCTGACTATGAGATATATCTTCAAAATGACTTCTTCCGTGGAAAAAGATGGAGCCAGCGAGTCAGAGCGCTTATACCAGGCCCAGAATTTGATCCATTCGCCTCTGAACCTCCCGAATCACCCCCATCCGCCCAGCATCTCCCAACAAGGACAAGAGCCGAGTTCGAGTCCGCAATGCGCATAGTACGAGAGGTTACCGGCGAAGGTCGAAGGCTAACTGTAGACCTTGCTCGATCATACGAACGTGTACAAGCTTGGCGAGAGAGATGGGGATGGTCACCATTAAGTTTCGAAGCATATGACTCTCCTCCACCGTACTCTCCACCTCGTAGGTCACCCACACAACCTCCTCGAATATCACCGACGCCCGAAAATATTAGTTCCTCGCCTATGCGACAGTCTCTATCTCCCGCCCCGGAGCCAATTCCGAACCCAATAATCCCTGGCGACCCAGCGCCCTCGGCCGAAGTTCTTTTTAAAACAACCAACGCATTTGCAAAGGAGAACGGATTTGGTATTATTCGGCGGAATAAATATTCCTATAAGGGACGGTTGATTAGGTACTCCATTCAATGCGACCGGTTTGGACAATCTCGGGCCTCGGGGGGTTCTGGTCTTCGAACCCGAAGGTCTCGGAAGTGTGATTGCAAATGGATGATAATTGCTGAAGCCCTAGAGGAAGGCAAGTGGCTTCTTCGACAACATAGAGACCCGAAACATCACCAGCATAACCATGAACGGAGTATTACGCCATCTGCGCATGTTTCCCACCGCCGCCTTACTACACCAGTTAAAGCAACCATCGAGTCAGCAAGCCGTCGCGCGGGTATTCGAGCCAGTGATGTAGCTGCTATGGTTGAGGAGCAATTCCCCGATACAACACTCCTGCGGAAGGATATCTATAATGCCCGTTCGTTCATTAACCGAGAGAAGCTAAATGGCTATACACCTACTGCGGCATTGATCAAACTCTTTGATGAGAAGAAGATCCCATACATCGCGAAATGGGCCGATGATGATCCAGATAGACTGCTTGGTCTTGTCTGGACCTTTCCGTACTGTCTACAGATGTGGAAGCGCTTCCCCGAGGTTATTAGCTTTGATAACACATATAACACTAATCGCTTCAAGCTTCCTTTATTCCAGGCTACTGGCCAAACCTGTCTTGGAACTGTGTTCAATGCTGCATTTGGCTTAATAGATAACGAGAGGAGGGAGGGGTTCCAATTCCTTGCAGAGAGTGTTCGCAAGCTCATTACAAAACACTCACTCAGGGAACCAGATGTCATCATCACAGACTTCGACAAGGCTATGAAAGCTGCCGTTAATGATCAGTTTCCAAATGCACAGCAACAGCTTTGTATTCATCATATCCTTTCAAACGTTTTGCTTAAATCGAAGACTAGGTGGACGGGCCAACGTGAGGACAGTACTACTAGCCCTAGCGCTAGTGACAGTGAAGACATTCCCTCACAGGCGGATGGCGGGTTGAGCACTACAGATAAGCATCTGATCGAAGATCGGTCGAGTAGTGATAAGATTCCTCATACTTACCAAGGCGTTGTTTTAATGTGGAAAAAGGTTCTCTATGCCGAGACTGAGGAAGCGTTTGAGCAGGCATGGAGAGATCTTTGTAAAGAGTTCGACGACCAACGAGCGATCTTACAATACCTCTACTCGACTTATATGCCTGTTAGTGCTCAATGGGCACGTTGCTTTATCCGTCGTTATCGTAACTTCGGAATCCGAGTTACGTCCGGCACAGAAGCAAGCAACAATAATATCAAAAGCTATCTATTAAATGGCATGAGCCACCTCTACCGACTCGTCGAGGCAATGCAGGATATGATACATGACCAAGAACGTGCCTTTAAGGATGCCTGTGGACAGGATGATGTCCTGACTGCTCCACAATACCTAGGTTCGATGGGAAACTATCTTGGTGAACTACGAACAACCATGTCATCGAAAGGACTTGGGTTAATCAACAAGCAATACTGTATTGCTCGCAAATTTCTGCCGACGGGGAAGAATCCCTTCCCCGACTCTATTGGACTTTGCGACGACGACTGTACGGTCTCTATTGAGCTGGGAATCCCATGCTATCATAAAGTCTACGCAAAGCTAGATTCTGACACACGTTTCACTAAATGGGAGGTCCACCCACGCTGGCGACTACGGGAATCGGCATCTCAAGATCCATACCGACGAATTCTTGACCCGAAAGTTGCCACTGCACTACGTGGAAGGCCAAAGAATACAGCGCAGGTTATCCCAGAAAGCCTAGCTATTACATCAAGTAGCCGATCTGATAATCAACCAAGTGGGCGACGAGGTCGACCGCCAGGAAGTCTCAATAAGCCAACTCTTGCTAGGAGAGTGCATAAAGCTACTCGAGAAACCATCACACAAACTGGTGGCCAAATTGGCATCTCAGCCCAGCAAGGGCCAGGTAGACCTTCTAAAGTCCTAAATGCTGGGAATACGACAGGCGTGCGGTACAGTGGACGGAGGACGCAACGAAACATTCGCAGGACAAGGAGTCAATGGGAACTGGCTAAGAGTGATGACGAAGATCCAGATTGTATCGTTGTGAGGCAATAAATTAAGTAGACCACATCACGTCTTTTGCCAGTATTTGACAGTTACTGGCTAACAGTACAAGGACGGTAGTTTAATCCGAAATGCAGGCTTGCAAGATAGCAGAAGACCAATCGCGCCCACAACGATAAGTGACTGCAATTCATGGTGATGTAGGAGCTTGTTAGTGAAGTTGGCTACACCGCCTTTCCGAGGAAGTATCTGTGGGGCCAAGAAAGTATGCGACCAATCAGAAGTGGTAAAAGTCATGCCCGTGTAAGAGTCATGCCCGTGTAGCCAAAGTGTCATGCCCGTGTAGCAATTCCCTTTTCTTTTAACATCGTGCTCGCTTAGCGAAGGTGGGAGAGTCCGTTTCCCCGGGTCCTCGTCGATACTGCCATTTTCTCTGGCCAATCTCGCATACTCACTGAATACGGCTTCCGGTTCCATAGCCTCTGGTCTGGCTCGGCGGTCTGGTGTTGGGTATCTTTGCATCTGTAGTTTAGCTCCTGTCAGTCGGCCATTGTTAATCTACAAGACAGAGGTTGTTCATATGCCGCACTTTGGATGCATATGACTTGAGGTCATCCTTTATGCCGCTCTTGATTTTGTATAGGCATCTTGCTCGGTCGTCCCCTATTGCTCCCTCGAGCTCGGCGTCGGAGCGTTCTCGGACGTTGGCGTATTGCCTCACTTTCTCATGGGCGCCATGAGCTATGGGGAGTAGCAGCTCAAACCGATTAAATTCGCGGAGATTGTATCTCTGGATCATGTCGTCAACATGGTTCGTGTCTGTCACATCAGCGAGGCTGAGGGGTGACTGCAGCTCATTGATAGCCAGCTGATTAGCAAACTGGTGCAATTCGATCCCTTGGTCGGTCGGACATGATAAAGTCTCGGCAATTGTGATTCTCGGCTGGAAAAGGGCCTCGCTGTCCATATTCAGCACCTGTTGTGTTTGTTGTCGACGCCGACAGGTACCTGTGGACCGCAGAAGCTATTATTATTATAATTATGTAGGCCGGCGACAGCATTATCATAAAGGAGGAGGAAATGCATTTTACCTAAGCGAATGTCGTGGAATGGCCCAATCACATGTCTTCTCAAGGACGTCCCTGATCAACTGGGCAGGCACCATCACTTTTCGTCAGGCATAAACCCAAATCAACACTTGCACTCGGGCTTTGGCCTCATCATTCTTGTGGTTGCAATCTTGGTTGGACACCCGCACTTCCTCGTCCCGGTGCTTTCTTCTTCTTCTTCATCTCTCTTGGCTGCGCATGGCCTAAAACGCGAACTCCAATTCGAGCGATCGGTGCAGTGCAGCTCTCCGGCAGCGGCAGAAGCCTCCATGGGGGACCCCATTCGAGACCACAGCATCTATTCGCAGGCTGAAAACTGCAAAGACCAGTTCGATAGATACCTTGAAGCGCCAAGAGTGCATGGAAACCACGTCTCCAAATGCTATGACCGGTTTCTGACATGGGCAAGTTTCCTGGGTGTGTTTGCCAACGACGCTGTTTCCCTGGATCGTCGCTTGAAACACAATCCGGATATCAAAGAGCTAGTATTGTCGATGCTCCGAGTTCTATACAAAAACCTCACATGGGGCATAGAGTACCATGGGCTTAGGTTCGCACAGAGGAAAAGCGCCGTGGACACGATTCCTGACCATGATGCCATTGTATCCGGCATCCTTGGTTCCATCGACCGTCTCCATCGACTAGCCGTGGTTATTCGACACTCCCCTAGGACAGATGAGGCACAGAGGGTTCAGAACTTTGCCAGCAAGCTAGACCCTCACGTGGAAGCCGATTTCTTCCATTTTATTTTCGAGTGTCTCCGATATCTCTTTCCAGATGCTGAGAAAACCCTACTATCCCAACTGCGGGATAGTATTGTATACCGACGTAACCGACTGCTCTGGAATCGGAGACATACAGAGAAGCTGTCACGCCATAGAAGAGACACGGAACCTGCCTGCCCTCCATCTTCAAAAGATTTTGGCCCTGGCCCTCGTCGAGAGCTTTTCAAGAGCAAGCAATCCCAAGGGCCGCGCAAAATCCATCCCCTAGCCAAAACAGATGACACTTTATCCTCAACACAACCGTCTCGAAGGCTACTGCAACAGTTTGACACAGTGCCATTGTCACGTGGTCGAGGAGAAAGCAGCAGAAAGCCTGGACGTAGCGTTTGTTATTCCAGTCTCCCATCATTAACTCGATATCCAAGCCGACCTAAGTCTGCTGCCGGTGGCACTAGGATGGCATGCCCATACTGTCTCGACGAGGTGGAACTTCCACCGAGCGCTTCTAAGAAACACAAGGATGCCTTGTGGAGGTACAGTTTCTCAACGTGCACGAGCTGATTCATTGCAGACCCTAACTCGCCATAGGAAGCACCACGATGCAGACCTCAAACCGTTTGTGTGCGTGTCGGAAGACTGTGGAACGTTACCACCATCTTTCTCAACCCTCAAGCAGTGGAAATATCATATGCAAGATAATCATGGCAAGGACTGGACTCAATGGATACACAACCGTCTTTGGCAATGTCCTTTCTGCAGCGAAGGAGAGCCGTTCTTGACCAAAGAATTGCTGCTCCAACACATGACAGAAGACCAAGCAGAAGAACATCCATCGACTTTGAGCGATGTCGAAGCTGCGTGTATTATTATGCAATGCAAACCCCTTCAACGAAGGGTGATCAGTCAATGTCCCCTCTGTGATCCACGTCTGGAAATTACCGATCTTCTCAACAGCACTACGAAACCTGGCAGCACCAGTGCACAGTCTGACGACTCACAAGAACACTTCGCGATGCACCTACACAATCTCGCTCAGTGGTCAGTCTTTTTCTGGTACGGAAACATTGACGATGTGGCAGACATACACGACGGCTCGACAGCCACTGTCGCAGTTGATGTCAACTCGGAAAAACGCGGCGGCGACGATACGCAGCAAAACACGAGAGCCCGCTCATTTCACCTTGATGTGGGAGAGGATGAGCTGGAACGGCTGACAAATATCAGAGCCATGTTGGAATCATCCAAAGAAATGCAATCTAGCCTTATTTTAGAGTTGAACTCTGCTGTATCCGGGCCTGTTGACAAGCCGCAGAAATCTGAAATCCAACATGAAACAGTTATTTCCGCAATGTCTTCCGCATTTGGAGAGTTAAGTCAGCGAGAGTTAAAGAGAATTCGAGCGTCGAACGTCGAGTCAGATGAAGACTCCGATTTTCACTCAAATTCCGACTCGAGAGAGACTGGCGTCGAATTTTCCATCGTCAACGACTTGGGCTTGAGCATGACTCCGTTTCAGCGTCTGGGCCAAACCCCTTCCCAAGTCTCGTTAAGGAGCGTGATGTCGCCGGCGGAGCTCCGTGGACACCTAAATCTTGTCACAGTGTCTCATGCTAATGCCGAGGACTCGATTCGTGAGGCAATTGGGCTCAGTCTAAACACTAGCAGGACGAGTGGAGGAGAGACAGAGAAGCAGTACTTGCCAATTAGTGAGATGGAAAGGATATTCACTATCGACACTATTAAAGCTCTCGCAAAAGAAAAGTACAGCAAAGCGACAAACGCAGAATTGGAGATGAGAATTAATCAGATCATGCCACGGCGATGGATCCTAGGAGTATTGCTCTATATGCGCAGGTTCGACTTTTTCGAGGCATTTGTTCAAGAAGCCATCCTGGATGTTCACTTGCCTCTCGCACCTACGAGTTCTGCCACGGAAACAAGCACTCTAATAAGAAGTCTCGGCATAAAAAACACTACCTTACTGCGTAATTGGAATCCCGCGGATCGGCAGCTCTTCTACTCTGTTCAGGCTATATTTTTCATTCCTTTTTTCAGCATGCAAGTTGGCATACTGAGATTATATGTTATGGACTCCATCGTACCACTGCCATGGCGACATTGTGAGTACAAGACCAGTGGTATAAACTCAAAGACGTACAAAGTTGAGGTCCACCCAAGTCAGCATGACTTCAAACCGATTGAGGTGAGCAACTGTTCTGCATGGTCCACGTGGATTTGTTCTCTGATAACTAGAAGAGTCCAGACAGTATTTTGTATTTCGAACTCAGGGAGATGATAAATGATTGTGAAAAGCTAGACGTATCCTCCCAAAGATTTGCCAAAGTTCAAAATGAAAAACATCTCAGTCAGATACTTCTGACATTTCAACATGGACAGAGACAATTCTTACTCTCCAGGTGGCCTGACGATAATCTCGAAAATTATTGGAAGAACAGTCCAAAAGCGCCGGAACATACTACCGCAAAAACCAGATGGGCAGCTGACCAGTGCCTAGGCTTAGCTAATGCTGTTAGAAAGCTACAGGAGCTAACCACGTGGCAAGATGAGAAGGGTGACGGAATATTGTTGCACGGTGCTACCAGTGTCGATGGAACAGCGTGGGGCCTTCATGGAGATATTAGGCCAGCAAATATCCTATGTTTCTCGTCAGATGGCGAGGATGGAGATCTCCTGGCCCTTTGTTATATGGGCCTGTCGCCCAAGGGATCACATGGTTGGCCCTATCGTCCCCCGGAGATGCGGGTGTTCCGGTCCATTTGTCCCAAATACGATATATGGCAGCTGGGATGTCTATATCTGGACTTTTGTACCTGGTGGCTAGAAGGGTATGAGGGAGTTTCCAGGCAGAAAGTTGGGCGATTAGCGCAGTCAACCCCGTCTAGTACGGTATGGGAAGAGAAGTTCTTCGTTGTTTCAAGCACAAGTGGAAAAGAGGAAGCTAAGATTAACCCGGCGGTCTTGGAGGTAATACTTGTCATTGGAAATTGGAACAGAAACCCCAAGAATCGTCCGAGATGCTGAATCGCTAACTGGACAACAGGGTATTGCGGAGTTGCGCGAGGCGCATGCAGACGATCCTTTCGCACGACCGATGTTGGAGCTGATCGAGAAGAAAATGCTCCTTGTGGATATAACAAAACGCCTTTCAGCCGACGGCCTTTGTGCTGCAATTTCCCAGATCGCCGGTCAGCTGCAATAAGCTTACCTGTCGTCTTCAACACCCAAGGACTCTACGATGCTTCAGATTGGAAGATTCTCACAGCATGTGATTGCCTTGTCGGGCCCTGGATGGACACGCACCCCACGGTTCTGGACGACAGAATTCGGAAGATGTGACTGGGCCGAAGTTCTTTGTAATAACCACAAGCATACCAAAGACTACATCAGACATATAGTATATCAATTACACATTTTACAACTCCTAACAGATAGGGTCAAGTTGCCATGGCTACAGTTTTAAAGAGAGTGAGTGTATATTCCAGTCCTGTACATATCTGGTCCGTAACTAAACAGGAAATAGCATAAATGAGTGACTAGAACCGCAGATTGGCAGAAGGAGTGTGCAGCGCGGTTCAATTGCCGTCCTTGTCGTATTGCGTCCGAGTAAAGTTCATACCCAATTTTAAAGGCCAAGGGAAGAGCTATTCTGCAGTCTCGCTGCCCTTAGGTTGCGGCAGCTCTGCTTGTCCTCCGTCCTCGTTGCCTTCTCCCAGCTCTGCTTGGTGCTCGTCCTCGTCCCGTTTTCCCAGCTCGGCTTGCGCCTCCTTGTTGCGTTTTTCCTGCTCTGCTCTTTCCTCTGCCTCTATAATTTTCAGCACCCTCGCCTTTATCTCTTCCTCGGTCTCGTGGTACCGCTTTGATGACTTCTCCCTGAGTCCATAGGGTAAGTCCGTGTCGTTCGTCATGTGCAGGAGGAGGGTCGTCTGAAACTCGGACCATTCTTTGGCGGTAGGCTTGAGACGTTTGCTTTGCTTCAGCTCTTCCGCTTCATCTTCACCCTATTCGGCGACTAGATTAACCATCTTCATCCACCTCACGGTAAGAGGATAATGCCTACAGGAACCGTCTGGGGACTTTTATGGTCCACCAAGATATACATATAACGGCCTCTCATGGCGAAGAAAGTATTCCTGCGTCCATAGTCGTTTCGGAACCTCTCGCGTATGTTCTCCAGTCGCTCCAGGTTGTCCTCCTTCGACAGTGTATCAAAAGTCCTGCATGCATAACAAGCTGAACGAGCGTCATGCCTGTGCAAAAGGTGAAACCAACCTTTTATATTCCGCTTTTGCAAATATGCAATGTATTCGTCGTTTTTGGGTTTCTTCTCCCCTTTAGTGTCGGCCATGATGTCAGGTCGTTGGTGTTTCTGCGTTGCGTGTCTTGGTGTTTTTTTATGTTGGACTGAGCGCTGTATGGTGCGATGTCTCTGTAGAAAATAAAACCGTCAAGAACGAGGATGAGCAGGGTATTTATGGTTGCTAAGTCCCTTGGGGATGAATCTGAACAGAGCCCGAGGAATGCAGCCAGAGCTTTTCTGAGCAGACTTCACGCACGCTGTTGAAGTCCAGACGAAGAGACTCGGGCACAATGAGGGCGACAAAAGAAAGCATACAAGAGCGCACTTGTGAATCTTCTGATGGACTGATTCCGTCTTGCTGGCACAAGGCTTGGGATCAGACCGCGTCTTCTGCTGGCGACTAACTGGCTCGCATAGGCTTCATTTCACCCACTGAAATGGCAACGAATCCTGATGAATCTAGCAATGTATGAATACGAAGCTGCTGGTTCATCTGCATAACTCTCTTTGTGTCCGGATTCCCGAAATGACACTATCGAGTCCTGGGCGCCGACCTGTCAGGTCCAAGCACGCGAGGTCAGCTTTCTCTTAACGCATTCTAAAGGGAGGTTGTACTGATCTTGGACATATGGTGATGGGCCGGAGGATAGTCCCAAGACCAAACATGCAGAGGCTTGCGCCGTTTCCGACGATGCCATGTATCCTGCTCAGCTGGACGATGGGAAACATGCACGAAGCCACGCCGCTCCAACCACGTTCTAGTTCCACTGAATCACTCTGTCCAGATCAGCGTCAGGCACTGCAACACCAATAGACAGATGGTAAACACAAGAACAGGAATGATCTTTTGGTTTCAGCCCTTCTGCCCCCCCCTCTGCATGGACTGCAAGGGAGAGCGGTTCGGTGAAGACAAGCTATTCAGACCAGACAAACGCCCAAACAAGAGCGATGTACTGGTAGTAAACGCGTTTCTCAACGTCAGTGACTACTCGCACACGTTGGGTCAGGGGAGCGCAAGCAACAACGAGTGAAGACGTGCTTCATTCAGTCTTGTGCATCGATGTGCTGACTCGGGGCCTACTCTTATATCAGTCGGAGACGGCCTCAGACCGCAAAGGAACAATGCTCGTTGTTTGTATGGATACGCCCCCTGGTATCAACTTTTGATGCCACGGGTTTGAAGCGTTGCGTTTGTCAAGCCCATGAGCGTGGGCGTGGATACCCAGAGATACTTTCACCATAAGCAACAAGGAAAAAAAGACAATACTCACGGGCTTTTTTCTTATCAGCCACATGTCTGGTGGTGTCGGGATCGCCCCCGAGCTTTGAATGGTCCCCAAAATGGCTTTCAAGGGCACACTTGCAAGGAGGAGGACGACTCTTACGCTGAGAGACGGCCAAATAAAAAGTTTGTCCCGGAGATTCAGATCCTCAGATACCGGTGAAGGGACACTGGGCAGTCGTCTTCCGCTTTCTACGGCGGGATTTCCCCTCGCCACTTGTTCTCATCTCAGGAGTCGGGACACATCAGATATCTGAGTATCCCACTCCTGAGGACCCTGAAACGACTCCAAGTTGGCCAAAAGTTCAGATAGCCCGCGGCGGATCCTTTCCATCGCTCTGGCCTTGTCCCCCTGCAAGGTGTTCTCCCTGAGCGGAGTTTAAGGGGCTTTGAGTTGGGAGCGGAGAGAAGGAGCTCGTCTGATGTGCCTCGAGGACAGCCCGCCTCATAGAGCATCGTACCACGCTGCCGTGCCCTTTCAGAAAGGTCCTTTATCTTGCTCCCCAGCTCCTTTCTGTTTTCGTGTTTCCTGACGTCTTCCTTAGCGCCTTGGCCCTCACGTACGGAGAACCAAAGCGTTCCTGGTCACCATGTCTGGGAAGAAGATGAGCGCCCTGATGCTGCAGTCACTGGGGAGTACAACCACTCCATACACAAGGCCTTTGTATATCCTGGTTCCAAGAGTGGCGCCCTGCCCCTTTCTAGGAGTCAGCCCACGTATGGGGCTCGGAATTGTGCACCAAGGGCTCCTGATGAGACCGTGACGTGTCAAACCTGGCGTGGCCACGACTCATGAGGCGGCACAACAAGAGGAATCCAGCCCTGTCCTTGTGCTTGGCCCGGAGTGCAGGCAAGCCGCAAGAATGGAATTACCTGCATATACAGACTCACCGAGCCTCCCCCGGTCTGTTGAGTCCTCCGTGCCGACTGAGCATACCCAAGACGGTGCACGTTTAACTACAAATATACACATACCAAGGCGCACGGCCAGGTCTTCTGGCGCCGAGGCGGAAACAAAGAACAAAGGGCCCATGTGGGCTCTTTCAGACAGTCCGGGGCTGCCCTGAGTTCCACCTCACATCATCAGTACCAAAAGCCTTGCGTCTTGTGAACAAGTGCCCGCTTTCTCGCTCCCCCCCCCCGTGATCACAGGCTGGACCGAGCGTGTCGCAAGCTGGAAACCCGCCGTCTCGGCCGGTGCCCAAGTATAAACGGCGCTATTATGGTGGTGGTTATATGTACAGACACATCCTTTTCTCTTTACTCGTCTATTCCCAGCAGTGACAAAAGAAAGCCATTCATCTCACGCACCCGTACATGCCGCTCTTGCCCCGCGACTCTACGTCGAGGATCATCATCCCCCCCTCCCCCCAATCCACGCCCGGCACTCCAGCTTCTCATTCTAACGCTTGCTTTCATCCCTCTCGACCAGCGCGCCGACGCCCAAGCTTCTCCCCACGGCAACCTTGATCTTCCTCCCCTCCTTGTCGTCCTTGTTCCTGGAGGGATCCCTCCCAACCTCGCCCACGGCGTCGCCCTCATCCACACCATCCGCGCCGTTGGTCTCCCTGCCGGCGGCGTCCTGGAGCTGCTGCTTGATGGCGTCGAGGTCCAGACGCATGCAGAAGGCGTCCTCCCCGTCAGCGTAGTACTTGGCCTCGACCTTTTCGTTCTTGAAGCCCAGCGTGTCCTCGTACAAGTGACGCGCGGCGACGTTGGAAACGCGCACGTGCAGCGAGACGTATCTCGCGTCGAAGGTCTCGACCATTGCCTGTTCTGCAGCACGTCAGATTCGGTCGGCACCAGCGACGGGCGCGAGCGAGTGGGCGAGCGAGTGGGCGACAAGGGGGCAGAAACAAACATACGGCTCTGCCTCATCAGCTTCTCCGCAATGCCCAGCCGCCTGTGCGTCCTCATGACGCTCAGGCTCGTGATGTGGCCGTGCGGCACGCCGTCCGTCGGCTCCTCCTCCATCTTGGCGAGCACGTAGCCCACAATCTTGGGGTAATCGTACGGCCCCCTGGGCGGGCGGCTCACGTCGACGGCTACGTAGCTGAGCTGGGGCCACGACAGCGCATGGTACAGGTAGTACTTTAGGAAGTAGTTCTCGGGGAGGTTTTCCAGATTGGCGTGCTGGATGAGCGGGAGGTCCGCGCTCGTGAGGACGCGGATGTCCATTGCGGGCTCTTCTCTCTCTCTCTCTCTCTCTCTCTCTCTCTCTCTGCTCGACTCGTCTCGGTCGGTGCAGACCGGGCGAGGCGCTCGGACGAATTCGACGACCCGGGGGTGTAGTGTCGGCAAAAAAAAATGAACAAGTAAAACGACGCGCACGATATCGATGGGCGCACGAGGCCGACGGTGCGCGGGTGCGCTGCGCGAGGCGAGGTGTGACGGTGAAGAGAAGAGGTCAAGTTTTTTGTGTGTCGTCTTGGGCCTTGGCGGAGCTAGAGGGGCGCCAAAATCGGCCCCTCCCCTCCCGAGCAGCCCACGCGCCGAAGGCAGCTTGCATGTGGAGCTGCAGTGGGTCTTTAGTAATTCCGAAAAACACCTATGTATGTACGTACTTTTATACCAAGACTTGTACTTTTTAAATGCTTAAATAGTAAGGATGGTGACTTGCACAAAAATCTGGCCTGTCACTCATCATTTCGGCTGACGAGCGGGACGCGCCAACATTGATCCGGATTCCGGACGGCCCCACTCGCCCAACATAAACCTATACTGAACTGTTGCCGGAATCCTCATCTTCTCCCCCCCAACTTAACAACTTGGTCAGCAGTCACTCGCCATGCCACCAACACTGGAACTTGATGGTCGACACCCGATTACCATCGAGTCTGCTATCGAGGAAGAAAAAGACGTCATTAATTGGGCTTCGTATGGACCCGCGACTGACAAACTGTACAAGGGGCTTTGGGAACAAAGAGAATCGATAGAAGCTCTTGTCAAACATCATCTGGCGTTGGGCAAGCGAGACAGGTGCAGTGTGCTGCCGCCGTCGGCCTGGATTCGAGGCAGCTTCAATGTTTGCGTCTTCGTCGAGGTCAATTCCAACCATCCATACAGCAAGGTAATCTTCCGTTGTCCCATGCCACACAAGCTTGCCGAAGCCAGGTATCCCGGCAGCATAGACGAAAAGTTGGGCTGTGAGGTAGGAGCGTCAATATGGGTGGAAGAAAATTGCCCAGAGATCCGCTCACCCCATCTGTTTGGCTTTGGCTTTTCGGACGGCCGCCATGTAAGTCTTGGTGGTCCTGGAATTGCTTGCGCCTCCGCTCATCAATTAGTTCACACATGCGACACGCATGCCATTCCTTTCGCGTATCATCCGTCTGTTTTGGCACTCTGCATACAAACTCTCCCGACTTCCGTTGCTGTCCCGCTATGTCTGGAATCCGCCAAGCCATCAAGTGCGTACTGCGTACATGGTGTTGGAATATCTGGGTCCTGAAACGGGTCGGATGCTTTCGGATTCGTTTGATGCGCAACGAGACGATGAAGCTCAGAGGCGGCGGCTGTTCAGGGGTCTGTCGCGGATTCTGATTTCTCTCGCGCGCATTCCCCAAGCGGAAATCGGGTCCTTCCAGTTCCACAACAATGGCACCGTGACGCTGACGAATCGACCCCTCTCGTGTTCGATGATGATTTTGGAGAATGACGGGGCGGAAAAGACGATACAGCGCGACACTACGTATAACTGTGCTGATGCGTTCGCATCGGACACAATCACCTTTCACGATCACCGATTTCTCAGTCAGCCAAACGCGGTGTATAGCGAGGACGACTGCCGGGGCCAGATGGCGGTCAAAACCTTGCTCCGAGTCTTGTCACACCTCTACATCAAACCAGAACTCCGCAACGGCCCATTCTTACTCCAGCTTACTGACTTCCACGCGAGCAACGTCCTGGTTGACGAGCATTGGAATGTTACGGGCTTGATAGACCTGGAGTGGATATGCGCCCTTCCCTCAGAGATGCTCGAGTGTCCATATTGGTTGAGCGGCTGTGCCATCGATCAGATCAAAGGCGAGAAACTGGAACGGTTTGATCGGGTACGACGAGAGTTTATGCGCATATTCGAGGAGGAAGAGCAAGCTACCAAGGCCAAGATGAGGCACGACATCACTCTCTCCAAAGTCATGCAAGACATGTGGGAGTCAAAAGGAGTGTGGTTTTGGCATTGTTTGTCGTCTGTGAATGCCATGTATTATCTTGTCCAGACTCATCTGTGTCCGCCCAAATCTCTTTCAGTCGAGGCCGAGGAGTGTTTGTCGAGATTCTGGTGCGGAGACTCGGAGGCCGTTGTTCGGAAGAAGATGGCGGATAAGCAAGCATACGACGATCAAGTTCGAAAGTTGTTCAGTGAGTGAATGAAGGACCAGAAGGTCTAGCGCAGGGCCCGTCAAGGTGGAAATGGATAAAAAGAACCGTCCGTGGTTCAACCTGCCAATCGACATGAAACTCCGGCATTATCATTCATTTGTTCCGTCCATTCTTGTTGTTGCTTTTCTCAATATGCTCCCTGTTTTGGCGTCTTTTGACTTGAGCAGCCTTTCCCGAAGACACTAGAAAAGCCATGTCTTTTCCCTTCCCGATCACCGCGACATTCGCCTCCTCGACGACTCCACTGTACTCTCCCGACGAGTGACCTTCTTTCCCTTGCTCGGGCATTCTAACCTTGGGCGGATATGATAGGGCTAAAGTGTTTGGTCAGGCGGCGCAACAGAAGGGATGCACTTGAAGGAAGAAGTTGGATAGTGTACATAAGCCAGATCAGGAAGATGCTGTAAGAGCGGCGAGTTGATCCAGACATATCGAGGCAAGAGCTGTTTTATATATATTCGAGCACAAGACAGGTGATGGAAACATGCGGACTACCACAGGGCTTATGGGTCATCCTACGTGCTATTTTGAGGCCCGTTTCTGCCCTGCCAACAAAACGATGTGTAGAGCGACACTGGTGCCTAAACAGCTGCAGGAGAAGACAACGCTGCCGCCTAAACAGCTGCGGAAGAAGACAAATGCGAAGATGATCAACGGGGTGTGGAATGACTCACACTCTGGCCTCGGCCCAAAAGCCTGCGATAAGGACTCCATTTTCTTGCGCTTGCGGGGAAATTGTCTGAATCACTGTGTCAATAGCCATCAGAGAGAGAGAGAGAGACTGACAACGGACGAAGTTTGTTGACAGAAGCAGAGAATCCATTTCGCCTGGTTTCAGAAAGGCCACATGTCCCTCCTGCAGGACAAACAGGGCTGAGTTTCAACGCAGGCAGGCAGCGCGCACGCATTGTTGAAATGGACATGGAGATTTAGCATCACCTCTTGAGTAAAGTACCAAGAGCCTGATGCCAACGAAATGTTGACCTAGGGGTAAGCAGAGCGGGAGGGATGCCGGGCCCTTATTCTTCATGACTAGCCTCTTCGAATTCTCCTTCTTTGGAGACCTTGCCGGGGGCCGCGTGCGGCTAGCTTGGAGGCATCAACAGCATCAACAGCAGAGGGTCTGCCATGTTACTCACATGAGTGGCGTAATCTATACTGCGTGCTTGTTATACAGGTGAACTTTTCAAGGCTCATGACTAGATCTACCCTTCAGTCATCTCCTCCAGAGGCATATAACGCATTAAAAGAGGCAAAGCGGGAAGCTGCAGCCAGGCCTGAGCTTGCTTGCCAACGTGCCGTTCAATCACTCTACGTCGATGACCAATTTAATCTCGCTTTGCCGGATTAAAGGGACTCCCTCTAGCATATCAAGTCTATCACTGCTACGGGACTGCTACATATCTGTGCCAGGCCAGCCAACCTCTTTACTCCACATCATATTCATAGTTTGTAAAGCCCTTCATGCCTCTCTCGCTGTCCCTGGGCCATAGTCCTGACGAAAGACATCTATCTAATAACCACACATCAGAAAACACGGCTTAGCTCCGAGCTTCGTCTACTGCCCGTCAGGCTTAGTACGGATGGGCAGATCCTTTGTGTTTCCCGCAGCAGCAGGAGGTACAGCAGCCCCGTCCTCTGTCTTCTCTTTCTTTGGCGCGGAGCTTTCACCCGCAGCAGGAGGTACAGCAGCTCCATCCTCCGTCTCCTCATCCTTTGGCGCGGGGCCTTCACCGGCAGCGGACTGGGTTTCCTCAGCCGCCGCCTCAGCAGCCTTGGCCGCCTTTCTCGCCTTCTTTCTCTCCTTTTCCTCCTGCTTCCTCCTCTTGGCAGCCTCCTCTGCAGCACGAGACTCGGCACTGCCGCCAAACGCCGCCTTCCATTCGGCAACCTTTTTCTCGTCAATGCGACTGAAGAGGTAGGCAGCCTTGCCAATCTTGTGACCAGTCTTGAGGATTTCAGGGTCCCAGACGTCAGGGATTAAAGAAAGAGTGGTGTTTAGCTGTCTGCAGATAGCCTCCGATGTGGAGGGCATGTAGGGCGAGGCAAGAGAAGCCAGCAGGTGGCACAGGTTGAGGGCGAGACCAATCACAGTCTTAGTTCTCTCGGGCTTCTCAACCAAGTTGGCGTTGTCCAGTCTGTACTGCAGCAGAGCGTTGCCCTCGGCGCTGATCTCCATGAGCTTCTTCACACCGGCGCGGATTTGGACCTTCTCCAAGAGCTCGACATACTCGGAGAGGAGGGCGTTGACTCGAAGGACCCAGCCAGCAAAGTCGAAAGTGTCGTCGGTATAGGTGGCAGAGAATTCAGGAATGGTGCTGTCGCATTTGGCATTGACAAACTTGACAATACGATTGACAAAGTTGCCAAAGTTGGCAAGCAGCTCACTGTTGTTGGCAAGCACAAAGTTCTGCCACTCAAACTGAGTATCTCCAGTTTCGGGACGATTGGACAAGAGGAAATATCTCCAGACGGACGGGGAGATGCCTATATCCCTGACCTGGTTGCCGAAGACGCCCACGCCTCTCGACTTGGAGAACTTGCCGTTCTCGTAGTTGAGGTACTCGGTAGTCGACAGATGGTTCAGCATAGTCCACTTGTAGCCAGTTCCGATCTCTGAACCAGGGAAGATGACGGTGTGGAAGGGCACATTATCCTTGCCCATGAACTGGTACAGCGAAACGTTGTCGGGGTTCTTCCACCACTTCTCCCACTCATCAGTGTAGTTGGCCGTGATTGACGGGTATCCGATACATGCGTCGAACCACACGTAGATGACCTTGTTCTCGTACCCGGGCAGCGGGATCGGGACACCCCACTTGAGATCTCTGGTGATGCTGCGGCCCTCGAGGCCCTTTGTCAACCAGGACTGGGTTATGCCGACGCCATTCTGAGGCCATCCGTACTTCTTGTGCGCCTCCTCAAACCATTTCTCAATCTCGGACTGAAGCTTGTCCAGCTTCAGAAAGATGTGCTTGGTGTCGCGGGGGATAGGTTGGGCACCGTCGACCTTGCACCGGGGGTTGACCAACTCAAAGGGATCCAAAAGCCCTCCACACTTGTCGCACTGATCACCTCTGGCATCGTCATATCCACACCTGGGGCAGGTTCCCTCGACAAACCGATCGGCCAGGTACCCATCGTGCTTCTCGCAGTACGGCTGCGTCGTGGTACGCTCTTCCAGGAATCCGTTCTCATGCAGTTTTAAAAAGATGTCCTGGACAATTTCCGTCTGCTTCTGGGTGGTAGTGCGACCGAAGTAATCGAATCCAATCTCAAACCAGTCGTAAACCTCCTTGTGCTTGACATGGAACTCGTCACACAGCTGCTGAGGAGTCTGGCCCGTCTCGAGCGCTTTCGTCTCCGTCGCGGTCCCGTACTCGTCCGTTCCGCAAATGTAGAGGGTCGGCCGGTCGCGCAGCTTGCTGAATCGCGAGAAGACATCGGCACTCAGAACGCTGCCCACAATGTTGCCCAGGTGGGGGACGTTGTTGACGTAGGGCAGGGCACTGGTAATGAGGATGTTTCTCTTGCCCTCGACGGGCAGGATCGGGTCGTCAACTGGCATGTCCAGTTTTTGCCTCCTTCTTTTTCCTCTCTTCCTTTAATAATTTTTTTTGTCGAAAACTCGCTCCTCTGGGGTTTCCGGATGAGGAGCTGGGGCTTGTCACTCTCAATTGCGCTGGGAAATGACGATTGTTCATTATTTGGGGATGCAGGACGGAAGCAAGGCAGACACTGAGTCACACAGGGCGAGGGAGGTCCGCACGTGGATGGAAATGGCGGGGTCAAATTTTCGGTGCGGAAAACTCGGCCCTCCAATTTTGCGGAGGGGCAGCCAGACTTGGCAGGCGGGGCAGGGTTCATGAGAGACACGCATTTTCAAGGCGTTGAAATTGCAATCGTAATCAGCATCGAAACCGTCATCTCTAACAGAGGGGCCGAGGATCTCCCCGGTACTACGGAGTACCTGCTTCAGGACTTGAGTACTTACGTATTAGGTGCTCAAGTAACTACCAGTCGTCACCGCCTTCTAATCTGGCTGGTCTCGCCACAACGGCGCCCGCGCATCCCCATCCTTGCCTTCACCAACCATGCCCTCCACGCCAGACCCCTTTGACCATGTGCTCAACATCGAGGAAAACTTCTACCAACGAGGCTACAGCCAGGGCCTCGTCGACGGCGAGAGAGCAGGCCGCGCAGAAGGCCGCTCCTTTGGCCTGCAGCAGGGGTTCGACAAATTCCTCGAGAGTGGCCGCCTAGCCAGTCGAGCCATCGTATGGGCCAACAGAATAGCCCCCCGGGCGCGGCACAGTCAAGCAGAGGGGCCCGACGGCTCCGAGGCGCAGGACAACGGCAAGACGTGTGCGTTGCCCCCATTGCCCACGCACAACCCAAGGCTGGACAAGAATGTAAGAATGCTGTACTCCCTGCTTGAGCCGGATACACTGTCGACCGAGAATACGGACGAGGCTGTTCAGGACTTCGACGACCGGGTCAAGAGAGCGCAGGGAAAGGCCAAGGTTGTAGAAAGGATGGTTTCCACGAACGCATGATGGGTCCTCGATTTCCCTGTTACATGGCATACATGATGAGCTATCAAGACTATCTATCTATCTGGCGTTGAGTACACAGTGCGGCGGCGCAATCTCGCTCGAGCAGAAACCGCGTTGGGATTTACCAGGGCATCAGCTTTAAAGGGCTCGGAGTGTTTGTTTGAATTCTCAATCACAAAGGAGAGCGGTTCCATGACACCTTCGTCAGGCTGCACCGTCTCTATGTACAAATAAGTTTCCTCTTGCGACGCCATCTATGCAAAAGTCCGGCAAGGGTATCTACAAACAAGTTAGCAAAAAGGAACAAAAAAAAAAGGCCACGGAAAACACTACACGTCATCACTCACCCCTGGGGATATGTGTTCTCCTCAGTCAACTCATACTTGTGCACACCCCACGAGCCAGAAGCGAGGCTCTGGCCGCTGGGCAGCGGCGGAAATCCGCCCACAAAGATATCCTTGCCGCCGTTCTTCTCGAGGCACTTGGCCAGGCCCGTCTCGCCCTCCTGCTTGGCGGCAACGAGCTGCCTCTCGCCCGCCTCGCCAATCAAATCAACCTTGGGCGCTGCGGCGCTGCCAATCGTCAATAGACTAGCCACGTCGGCCTGGTTGACGACGCTCAGCTTGGGGTAGTGGCGGCGGTGGTCGCGCTTCCAGTAAGGATTGTCGGCGATGTCGCCGGCCGGCAGGGTGACAGGGTCGTCGTAGGCCATGGGGTCGTTGCTGCCGGGTGTAGGATTGCGGTAGTACGGGTTCAGCGTGACACCATTGGAGCGGTTGGGGTCAATGGAGAGGGCCTTGCGGATGGACTCCCACACGCCTTTGGACTGGACGGTTTGTTTCTATCGCGAGCAGACGATGTTAGCATGCTTTCCACCGGGGTCGGGTTGGCGGCGATTGGCGACCGATTGGCAGGATAGCATCCATTGAGGCCGGTGCTGGATGTGTACCTTTGCGATGGATACAACGCCTCCGGCAGCCTTGGCTACCGCTTGAGCCGACATTTTGGCGTTGCAGTGAATCGAGTGCGATCGCTGGGGTGAGGTTGACGATTGACGGGACAGACGAACCTTTTGAGGTTGGATATGCGGTTGTGATGATTGGGTGCTAGCCCGGGCGGGCCGGTGTTTTGCCGACATTAACCCAACCCCGTTGAGCCCCCTCCCAAAGACAAAGACGTTGTAAACCAGACAGGAATCAATTAAACAAGGTGTGTTAGGTCGAGGAAGCTAGTGATTACTGGGGCGATTCCCCAACACCGTCGATGGGTCGCAGTTGGGGGTTCATGATTAACATCTTGAACTGAGAAATTCACGATGACGGCGGAATTGTTCTTCTCCTTGACCAGGCATCAACGGGACCTGACCATTCCACGCGCCGCATCACTCAGCAGGGTTTGCCAAAACAAACCGGAAAGCAACAGAAACAGAACCAAATTCAAAAAATAAAAACTCGCTTGCTATTCCTGCCCTGACAACATGTCACAACTCGTCGGTACAATCCAAACCGTCAAGCTCTATCCGTCCCCCGTTGACTACAAAACCGTGTAACCCACACCCGGAAATCACCAGCAAAGTCCCCAGACCCAGAGCGTACCGCACAAAGCAAAAATAGCCGACTACTTCTTCAGCTCGTCAACCAAGGCCTTCACTCTCTCCACCGTTCCGGCGGGACTACCCGGCTGGGCAACAAGCACCTTGCCCTTCTTGTCAACCACAAAGACGCCGCGCTGCGTACCCTTGGGCTGCTTCTTCAGCCCAATGGCAGCGATAAGAGTTGCCTGCGGATCGCAGAGCAAGGGGTAGGGAAGCCTCTGCTTCTCCTTGAAGGTGGTATTGGCCTTGGGCGAGTCCGCGCTGAGGCCGTAGATGGCGAGGCCGCCGGCGGTGAGGGGGACGTACGAGTCGCGAAAGAGGCAGGCTTGGTTCGTGCCTGGAGAGGGATACGTCAGCGGCGTCGACATGGAATGAGGACAGAGGCACGCGGTCAGGCTTGCGCGGCGGACCCGCGATAGGAAGAGGGGGGGGAGCAAATGCTCACATCCGGGAGTAGAAGCCTTGGGATAGGTGAAGAGCACGACGCCGCTTCCGCTCTCCTCGAGCAGTTTCCTCAGCGTGGTCGTACGGCCATCATTAGTCTGGACCTCTCCGCCGAAACCATCCAGGTCGATGACCTGGCCGACAGCAATCTTTTTGCCAGACGGCGGTGTCGCGGCGGGCGCAGGGGGAGGGGCGGGCTTCTCGTCTTCCTTCTTTGGCGCAGACTCTGGCTTCTTTGCCTTGGCAAGCCTGGCGGCCTTGGTGGCGGCCTTTTTCGCGGCGGGCGCAGGGGCAGGCGGTGGCTGCGGTGCCTTGCGTTTGCGCAGTTCGACGGGCATGGTGGGCTCTCTCTCGGCAAGTGGCTATGCTGGCCGGCTGGCTTTCAAGGGCATGCGCTGCATGCGCAAAGGGCATGGGGAGGCAGAGGAGGTGCGAGGAGAGAGTGAAGGGGGGCCGGATGGGAGAGAATCGAGCTTGCGCCGGGTTTTTATACGCGCGCGGCAATGCAAGCAGAGGCTGCGTGCGCGGGGAGCCAGAACTACCGAGAGAGGGAGAGACTGAGCAGTGGGCAGTGGGCAGTGGGCAGTGGGCAGTGGGCAGTGGGCAGTGAGCAGTGAGCAGTGAGCCAGTGCCGGGAACAGGCGTTGATTACCTGCTCAAGTACGGGGTGCTTCCTACTAAGTACCTTCTTGGGCACCTCGGGCTGCCTAGGAACCTGCTACCCAAGTACTTAAGTAAGTAGGCAGGTACCCAAGTTAAGTAAGTACTTACTTAGTAGGTGCCTGTACGCCCCTGTAATCGAGGACTTCAGAACCATCATCACAAGACAGGTCAAAAGCTCTCATGAGCTGGCCAAAAGTCTGCCAAGCTGTCTCGCCAGAGCTGATGAGGCTGGGGACCGGTCCCGAGAATACCTCTCCGCGCGATGTTAGGTGCTTGTTGGTAAGTAAGTAGCCAAGCCAACGTGGAAGCGAGCCACCAGCTACTTGCGACATCTTCTCCTTCAACAGCCGGCCACATGCGCTCGCTGTCCCGGACCGCCTGCCCTCGCGGCCAATCGCTGTGCCTGCCGGGGGAGGCGCTTGGAAACTTGACCCCAGATGTCCAGTCCAGTCCCGGCTCTCGGAAAGCCTGCCCGCGGTGATGTCAAGTGCTGGGTGTGATGTGATTCTGGTGCGTGCGTGATGCCTGCAGAGAGCCCGGACCGCCGGAAGACCAGGCCACCTCAAGCCCGCGCAAAGATTGAACCTGTGGCGAGGAAACAACATGCAAACACACCTCTCCGACCACACGGCCGCATCAGCCATCAACTTGGTGCGCCCGCCGTGAGCAGTCGCCACGGCCCATGGCCAGGGAGTAGTAACTGCAAGTCCAAATCTGGGTCGGCCGGGCAATGTTTGTCGCTGTACTCCGTGCGCACGGCGCTTGTTCGCCTTTCGCAGCGCGCCGGGGCAACCCTAACCCTGCCGCGCCGCCTCGTGGTTGGGAGAACGGGCGCGGCGCCACGGCATAGCAATCAATCCTCCCTCTGCAAAGCTATTGAAGCCTCGGAGCAGAGCAGAGCAGAGCAGAGCAGAGCTCGACAGCACGGCGCCGTGTCGCTGTCGCTCACCCAAGCGAGCCTGCAAACCATCATTTTCGGAAACAAATAAACAAGTAAATAAAAAACCAGGCTCCCGCGCCCCCTCGCAGTTTCACCGCCTGCCCCTTCGTTATTCCATCCCCACCAGACCGGCCGACGTCGCGAGCACGTCCATCGCCAGCATCGCCAGCATCGCCAGCATCGCCAGCATCGCACAACATCGCACAACATCACCCAGATGCGCGGCTCACATCATGGACCCTCGCGTACGTCTAGCCCGCTCTGACCCAATTGCGCACACTCTCACCCTCGGTAGAAGTTCATGGCGCCAGTCGCGGCCTTCACAATGGCAAGCCTGTTATTCGTGTACGCCGTCCCCCGCACGCCAGTGGCCGTCCCGCAGGCACCGTGTATTCGTCTGACCAAGTGTAGGTATACGAGGTCATCCATAAGAGCCGCCAGGAGGGAGTCAGGTCGGAGATAGCACATACACGCATGCGGCCCAGACGGAAAGGCACACGTATAGAACCCAGGTCATGGCTGCATTGAAGACAAAGACTCCCATGCTATGTATGTACAGGTAATTCTACACCGTGGCCTACCCAGTTGCTTCGCCCCTCCGCCCTCCCCTTCCTCGCCCTGGGCTCTCCGCCAAAGTTGTCCTTGTCCGTTGTTTGGAATAAGGAGAAAACACATCCAGATGAAGGCTTGTTGTGACCAAAAAAAACGTGCCGCGAGACAAACAACAAAAAAAAAAAAAAAAGGGGGGGGGGGCGAGGGAAGGGATATATTTTGCTCCCCATAAACCGGATTCGTCTATACCTACAACCATTTCCACGTGGGGGTATCTCGGGCTCGGCTCGTATCAAACAGCCCACATCTGATAAATATGTATATATGGTATGTATATGTTGAGGGAAAAAGATGGGACATGTGCTCCCAAGGTCGGTAGGGAGGGCTCAATGCGGATTAATTTCTTTCAAGGCGGCCCGAGTTGCGCCTCGGTGCCCACTCACTCATGGCCACCTCTCGTTTCGTATCCGTGGCCTTTGGCCCTGCCTTCTTCCTTTGCTCGGTGAAGAAATCTCATGACGTATTCGTATGTCAGCATCGTGACCGTGGCCGCAGGCACAGCGCGCATCATGTTGGTCCCCAGCCCGGCGTAGAATGCCCTCCAGCCTTCCTCCCGAAGGATAGTCCTGAATGTCATGACGATGCCGCGATACTTGCGGCTGTCCGTCGCGGAGTTTTTGGCTGGACTCGGTTCAGCGATGCCCAAACCCTGCAAGAACTGTTCTCCGGCTACCGGCCGCCGCTGGGTCTGCAGGCGAGTTCGAATGACCTCGTGGGGGTAAGTGGCGCTGCTGGCCAAAATCTTGGAGAGCACCGATGCCGAAAGAATGCCAAACCAGTGTGCTTCTCCTGCGCCCTCCCCCATCCCCCGGCCGGTGAACTGGGTCTTGAGATACTCGTACGTGGGAAACTGGACAGCCACGTGCGTCAATCCGAGGAGTGCGGGCGTGAGACCGGAGTAGAACGATACCAGCCCTTCAGACGTGTACATCTTCCGAGCAGCATCGAGCGTAGATCGATAGTGCCACGGATGGTTCAGCGTCGGTCGGGCAGTCGGGGTGTTGCCGGGCTTCGGATACATGTAATGCGCATGATCTCGGGCCGGCGACTGGCTCTGTGACATGAGCCGGGTTTTGATGACCCATATCGGATTAGTGACGATGGTGCTGCTGGCACCGGCGACAATAGAAGACCAGAAGTTGACCAGATGCGTGTTATCTGCAAATCCCGTGTCAGTATGAGACGCACAACTCTTGATCGAGTCTATTTGAACGACTTGGATGGCGGGGAAACCTACCGGAATACTGGGCCATCCAAACCTTGCTCTTGTTGTAGACGGTAAACCAGACTGCCCAGGTGGGCAAGTATCCCATGATAATCGGACCCAGGCCACGGTACATGCCCCGAATGCCCTCCTCCCTCCAGATCACGCTGGCTGTGCCGACCAGCCCATTGTACATCCTCGGCTGTCCCACGTGGCGTCCATCCTGCAGCACTCTATACACACCCTGTGCCTGAAGCTTCGTCTTGATCACGTCAAGGGGACAAGTGACGACCCCCGAGGTAAATCCGCCCACGGCACCGGCAACGGCGTTGAAGTGCGAGTCGGAGGCGGAGGCGGCCCATTTCTGAAGGGGGGTCAAGGCCCCGGCTTGGTGCATTGGAAAATCGGCCGAGGGTCGATATGAGGCAGTTGCATGTCCTGGTGACGACGAGACCCTGCCTGGCTGGGCAGACTGGTCGTGCGACATGCCACTTCCTCTCGTGGCCTTGCCGTGGGATGGTCTCCTGCCGTTTCCACCCGCTTGCCGTTTGTACGCAGAACTGCAGCACGGGGCACGGCGAGCGGCGAAAATGCAACGAGAAGCGTAGCCCGACCCGGAGGGGACGTCGGAGGGGCAAATCCTGGATTCTCTGACTTGGCAAAGGCTCGGAGTCCCCCTCCCCGAGCGGTTCGGAGCCGCGCCTTGTGTGCGTATCCAAGGAGTGGCGGTGTCGCTGGGAATTCACAGGCCGACGGGGCCAGGGCCAGGCCAGGTTCAACGGCGACGTCGGACGTCGTCCAACTCCAGCGAAGAAGGCGGCGGAAGCGAATAGCAGCAGAGACGGTGTCGGTGCCTGAGAGCCGAGGGCCTCGCGCTTGAACCATTCGAGCCGATGCCGGTTTTCAAAGGGACTGGCGGATACTGCGGGGAACGAAGCGCAACGCTCCCACTCGCAGAGACCGTATCCCACCTAGCGGACAGCCGCGGCCATTGGCCTTTTGGGACGAGTTGACGGGGAAGGGTCGGGAGACAGGCGACGGCAGTGTGCTGAGAACAGGCAAGTTTTTCTCGGTATGGTGGTGCGGTGCGTGGATGGCAGAAGGGGGGGGGGGGCTGCTTAGAGCGTGGTGGACTCAACAAATGTTGTCGAGGTGAGGTCAGGGCCGTCTGGTGGGCTGGCGGGCTGGTGGGCTGCTGAGTCGTATGTACATCTGTAAGTACACCGTCGGCCGGCGAATGAGGGCTGCAGCCTGCCTCGGACGGCAGCACTGGAGACGGGCTCACAACGCAGGCCAGTGTCAACGTCGAGTCTTGACGGCCAGCGTTGATTGAGAGCTGCACCGGTTCGGCTGCTCGTCAATCACGCGCGCCGGCCAGTCACGGCCTGTGCACGATATCAATTGGCCTTTCTGATGCTTCGAGGTACTCGGCACGCCGGCCCCGCCTCGCCTCACCCTGACTGACAGGCACAGGCGCCGTGATGTCACCGATGTTGCGCCTTGCACGTGCTCGGCATCGCACTTGTCGGGCAATGCTCACCTCGAGTTTCTTACAGCCGGTCATGTCATGGCGCAAATACCGCATCCTACACGGCTAGAATGTCGTTCGAAACACGGACTGCACGAAAGGTCACGGCGAATTGCGAAAGAACATTAAAATAAAATATAAATTACATCGCCGCCAATAGTACTGCGTTGCGTTGCGGTTGTGACGCTGCTACCTACCCATCAGCAGCCCGAAACGTCCGTAACAAACGGTCAGTCTTGAAGTCACGTGCTGAACCGTTTCCCGTCTCCCCAAGCCGCCAAACGGAACCTCGTCCACCCACTCACGTGATATTCCGACCCGGCCTCCTCCCCCAATCATCGTCGCCGCATTTACGCGCATGCCGGGGCAAAAAGAAACGCAGCCCAGAAACTCGCACCTGTACATCTCCAAAGTCAACCAGCCTCATTGCCCATCATGAGCGGCTACTCCCTGGCCCCCTTCATCCTCCGCCGCCCCTGGCTGGCCAGGGCTATCATGCCCGCCGCGAACTGGTACGCCAATGCTGCCGGGTACAAGCAGCTCGGCCTGAGGTAGGCAACAAGTCCCCCGACTCCAACGAACCACCGTCCCCTTTCCAAACTCGATCTTGCCTGATGGAAACATTTCCTCCCGCAAGGTTGGGAACAGAAAACAAAAGCATTGCGCCAAGGCACCAATAGGCCTCCAATGGGCAGTGCAGACAGTCGCTTACCGTCACGAGTCGCGCACGCACAACCCTCGGAAGGGAGCTGATCACGCAATGAACCGCAGATACGACGACCTCGTCGAGGAGGAGCGCGAATCCACCCAGATTGCTCTCAAGCGCCTGTCGCCCAAGGAGTCGTACGACCGCATCTTCCGCATCCGCCGCTCCGTCCAGTGCAGCTACCAGCACAAGCTACTCCCCAAGGACCAGTGGACCAAGCCCGCCGAGGTGCGTTGCTCGCCAACCCGCGCGAGGCGTCTACGTCGCTAACGTCTGCCAGGATACTCCGTACCTGCGTGACATCATCGCCCAGGTGGAGGCCGAGCTTGCCGAGAAGGATGCCCTCGACTCCATGACCGTCACGAAGCGAGCCTGAGGGCGGGCGTGGAGCGCAGAGGACGGAAGAACAGGTGTTGTCGAGGAGGGGGAATATAGAGAGTGGGTAGATTAACGAACCCGATAGACGGTGGTTCTGCAAGTTGAACGGACCTGGCTGTCGAGTGTACTCTTACCCTGTATACATGTCTAGTCGAAGAATACATTGTCATTCGTGTATAGTATTCACCGTGCCGTCTCCATCAATATTGCTACGAAGAGGACAATCTGCCAGGGACATGGACAAAAGTCTATACGTGTCGGCTGGCACGCATACGCCACCCAGTCCTCGGCCATGCTCCAACCCATCGTCAGTTCAAGAGGGCGATTTGTTTCACGGCGCCGTATTCCTCAGTCAGCGTCTTCGTCAGGTCACAACCAGGACCTTGCGTACATAACCTGCGCGATATCATGGTCGCTTCACAATAATTACCATTATGACGGCTTTCCGCCCACGTGCCACGCTATCTTACACCTCACTCCCTCGCACGCCAAGCCAAGGGCAGAGCGACGCCATAACACCCACCTGTTCATCACCCCGATGCCGGGCGTGCCTTGTTTAGCACTATGCTAATAGATTCATTCATACAGTCCCCGCCGTCAGAACCTAAGTACAACAATGCAATGCACCTTTTTACATATGGTGTGTGCTCCTTTTTTGTTGCGACATCACTTGCCGTCCCCTTTTCATATCCTCGCCACGCCGCTCGACGCACACAGGCCCCATGTTTCTGTTCCTCAATTCTTACATGCGTTGATAGAACAACAAGTAAGCCACCTTGTTGTCCTTGATATTGTCTTTGGTCTGTCTGTCCTTTGAGGCTCCGCTGCTGCCGTTAACTATGCTGCTCCATCTCTTGTTTCCGCTGGCCGAAGTTGTGACCTGTTTCCAGCCATCCTCGTCCCCAGAGTCTTCGTCGAGTATTGCGCCAAAGCGATTGGCAGAGGAGCTCGCGGATACCGACTGCTCCTTGCGGGTGTCCTTGGCTTCTCCTTCGGCTCCACTTCCGGCAGCCTCTTCGCTGCGGATTCGTCGCAGTAAGGTGTCGTCCAGGCGAATCCACTCCTGGTCGTCTTGTCGACGCACATCAACGGTGTAGTGGCCTCCGCTGGCGTTCTTTCCATGATGATATACAACACTAATCAATTTATAACGGGGCATCGGGCCGTCACCAATGTTTTGCCGGCGCTGCCTGGAGAGAGCCTCACGCGGAATTTCGAGCTCCAGGGGGTATCCGATGCTCTTCCAAATCTTGATGGTGCCATTGGCTGTGGCATCGAACTGGAAGCGCTTTAGGTGCAGAATAAGAACTGGTGGCAAAGACTCGATAAAGACCTGTTTGGTGGCGATGACATCCTTGCCCCGAGGTGAATTGAAGTCCCCCTGAAGACGCTCGGGTCTAGTAAGCCCTCTGAGTGCATCTACAACGTTCCGCACATCGGCTGAGCCAATATCCAGTTGTAGTGGTTGGTAAGGCTCCGTGGTAATAGAATCCTTGAGCCCGGGGACCCGGAACTCGGATCGTAAGAGTCCACCAAAGATCTTTGTTATGGGCGAAGATGTGTTTGATCCCGATGATCGACTGACTGCGGCCTTCTGCTTGCGGCCAACCTCAAGCCAGTCTCCCGAAGACGTGACAGCTTCATGGTTGGCGGAGCCTTCGTCTGGAGCTGTCTTGGCTTCACCGGGAAGGGACTTGTTCATCACAAGGGTGCATTCATCATCCAGAGACTGTAGAAGGAAGCCAAGAAATTCCTCGGCATCTTGCTGGTGACCACGCTAATGTGTATTAGCAAAGGTGTAAATTCAAGAACTCTTGAACTTGGGGCTATACGTACTCTCATGCTAGCGAAGCGTGGAAGCTGCCGTATGGCTTCGTAAACGAAATCTGGCGTGAAGGGTTCGCCATAAAGCTCAAAAACTGGAGGCTTCAAAGTGTTGCGAAGCTGCTCAGAAGACGACGCAGATGCAACTACCTTGAACTCCTGCAAAAACATGATCCTTCATCCATTGTTGTTAGATACTGATGGGGACCGAGAGGAGCGGCGTCTTCCTTACATTGCATCTATCAGAGGCGTTTCACTCTTGAAGCTGTGAGCAGCTCTCTTGCTCACTTGGTCGAGAAAATCGTAGAAGGGAGCGCAAAATATGAGGACTTGCAACACCTAGTAAGATTGGTCAGTAGTGAATAACCGCAATGACTGACGCAGCCCTGGAGAACGACATACAGAGTTCATGTAGCACATGTTGCCCGTGTTGACGAGGCCGCGAGGCTCAATTAATGTAGCTTTTTCAGTGCGGTCAACGCTGAAAGATCGGATGGCTTCCCCTAAATAGCTCCTGTTTGCCTGGGAGAAATTGGATCCGGGGACAGCTGGCAAGCCCTCGACCGCGTCGCCATTGACTGAAGACCCAGGCTTAACGCCGTCCATGGCTGTCGCATTCTGGGCAGCTGGCTTGGAAAAGAGGTTTGCCCAGCTGGTTGGTGCAGCTTTGACTGGAGGCGCTGGTGCAGTAGTTTGTTCGCCAGTCGCGCCATCCTCCACGACAGTGACACTTGGGGTATCCTGAGAGGGCCCCTCCCCATGTGCGGTCCCATTGACGGCGTGTCCGTTCGTGATTTTGCCGTGAGACATCTCAGTCACTTCCTTGGACAGAGAGGGAATCGCATCATGAGGTGCGGTTGGGGATTGGCGAAGAGTCGACTCTGCAGGCGAATCGGCATGGGCCGCCACGGCAGGCTTAGAGCAAGACTCCATCGCATCGTACGCAGATGGCTCAGCCTCTGAAGATACCGTGTTAGGCGCTGTAGCAGGAGTTGATTCGACAACAGCTTCAAGGTGTTCGGCGGGAGGTGAAGCCGCATATTCAGTAGAGGGGAGTAGCTTCTTCTTTGTTCGCGAGCGACGAGAACGTCGAGGGAACGGAAGATCAGGCCTGGATAACCATGGAAGCTGGTTTCATGAGTAAGTTTGCCAACAAGAAATTGGCCCTATCGGCCTACCATGGCAGGACTTACCGGGGGTCGGAAAGGCTGTGGCTCTGGCAGAACGACAGGCTCTGGAGCGACGACAGGCTGCTCTGGCACGACGACAGGCTCCGGCACGACGACAGGCTCAGGCTCCGGCACGACGACGGGCTCTGGCACGACGAAGGGCTCTGGCACGACGACGGGCTCAGGCTCCGGCACGACAGGCTCCGGCACGACGACAGGCTCCGCAGGCTTCGCTGGCTGAGGAAGTTCTGTAGGCTGCGGTCGAGGTTGCCATTGCGAAGGAGCGCCTTCAGCAGTTTTTGGGGTGGGAGGCGTCTGGGGAGTGGCCATCTGCGATGAATGGGTCGACGACGGAGTATGCGGCGGCATCGAAGCAGGTGCTGGAGGAGGTTGATAGGGCGTCGCGAGATTCGGTGACTGCTGGGCTGCGCGAGGATAGTTCGGAGGGACGCTGACGCCCACCATGGGAGCGTATTGATGCATGGCTGGCGATCTTCCATAGGTCTGGTAGGGCACGTATGCCGGCGAAGGCATATTCATCGGCGGCAGGCCATAATACTGCTGCTGCGGCGCATAAGACATGTAGTTGGGATATATCGGCGCCATGTGCTGGTGGTATTGCGGCATGTACTGAGGCTGCCTTCTCCGGGGCCCCCCAGAGCCGGGACCATTGGCCATGTCGACGGCTGGTATGCCTCCTGGTCCTCCTTGTGTGTTCTGCCCAGCCGGCAGATGGCGGTTACTCATCCTGCCGGCCTGGGATGTTGATTGATGGCGGGAGTCGCAGCTTTGGGCGACACCCGCATCGACTGTCGCCTGGAACAGCCGTCGCGAAGGGCTTGGCCGTTACCGGCTCTCCAGGTCTCGAGTTTGGAGGGAAGGGCTCACGATGCTCCTGTGGAGGCGGAGAAGAACGAGTCACGGCAAAGGCCGGACAAGGCGGCAGACTGAGCTGGAGCTTGGCAAACGTATGCGCAGATTAAGGGGGGGCTGGAAATAATGGCCGCCGCGCAAAGATACACAAAAACGGGAGTGCGCAAAAGGGGAAATTATGATTAGAGGCCGATACGCAATACAGACGAGTGGACAGCCGGGGCGAGATGATGATGCAGACGGGTGAGAAAATGCGATGGTCTGGAGGAAGGTTGTGGAGGCGGCCGGAATTTTTGACGTTCAAGGATGCAAGTGTGCGAGCAACGAAACATTTTTTACCAGTTTACGGAGTAACAAAGCGCGGCGCAGCGCAGACCCCCGCTAGACTACTCCGTACTCCGTGCTCCGTAGACCTTTGGCAACGCCTCCCCTGTCAGAAGCCACCGTCTCGGACGGTTTTTCCCTAGTTCCGATGCGAGCGAGGAAATGTTTCTACCCGCGTCCCCACGCTGCTTACCAAACCCGGTCCCCGGTCCACAGCCTCTAGCACTGTGCTTTGCAGCGGGGAGCCGGTCGCATCATCACATTGTCCACCCGACCAAGCAATCGTGTTGTCTTGTTGGCCAGACGGAATTGCAATGCCCGTCATATTGGCCCGTAATGAACACCTGCGGGCACACAATTCGATACCTCATCCATCACCAGACACAATTGCGCGGCCAAAGGCGCGACGCCCTGTGAACCGTTATGCACGACATGTTGTTGTCTCGCTTCTTCTCCATTTGCAGCAAACAGCTATACACAGAGGGCGCCTCCAAGTTGTTGTTCCAAAGGGGTACCCCAGAACGCTTGATTCATCCATCACTCATCCTTGAATATCCATCTGCCGCCAGGTCGCGTGGCTTCTCGGTATCGCTCTGCAACGGCTCGTCTCATTCTTTTTGCTGCTTCCTCTCTGTCCGCCTCCAGTTGCTGCGTGTCTGGAAAGTTGGCATCCCAGAAGCCCGGGGGCGACTGCATGCGAGAAAATTTATGCCGATGCTTGCCATACTTATTTGCCAATTCCTGCGTCTTGGCTTCGATCCAGACTTCCATCCGTTCGTGCTTATCCATCGATGCTAGCCGGTACGAAAAGTCCCCTAGATACTCTTCCAAAAGCTTTTGCTCCTCTTGTCGCTGCGCGCTTGTTAATGGCGGGCTGGGTCGTTGCGAAATGGCAAAGGCCCTAAACTCTTTGCCGCAGCAGTGCATGTCTGTGCAGCCCGGCAAACATGCCCTGTCGCCCCTATCTCTTACTACTTCGGTAAAGGCGAAGTCGTGGCCTTCATTAGCACGCGGGTTGACTTTGAAATCTTCTAAGCAAAGTTTCGAGAGTGGTCTGTGTCTTAACGACCTGGAGTCCTCGCGGTTTGTGGCCTGCCGCGGTGGCGCAGAATTGCCGCCTTGCGTCTTTGCTTCGGAGACGGGTTTCAGGCTCAAAGGCCGTTTAGCTGGAGTTGATTTACTGGATACAGGTCCATCCTTGTCAAATGGAAGCTGTCGCCGTCCTGGGATGTTAAGATCCGCGTTGTGAGCTGACGCCTCGAGCACAGGCCTTTTGGATAGTCTGGATCCAATGATCTTCTCATCTTCTGGCTGCGCGGGGGGGTCATTGAGCAAAGCGTCTAGCCTACTCTTAGTAGAACATACACTCGGGGATTTAACTTGTTCAATGAACGGCTGGGTACCGTAGCTTGCACCCTCTTCAGCTAGACTTTCTATCGTCATATTGAGTTCGGCCCAACGATCTTTTCGCTGAATCTTGACTGGAGCCGGTCGGGTTGTTCGTGCATTTACACATAGGGGCATCAGAGCTGACGATTGCCGAGGAGCTGTGGTGGTTTGCGGCTGCTTTTGGGCTTCGGGATGAACTGGTGTGAACGTGGTAAATTTAGAACGGGGAGTTATTTCAGATTGTGGTCCGACTTGCTGCAATAACTGACGCTTCCTCGGTGTTTGGATTTTCTTGACAATGTCCCCCAAGTCGATGCTCTCTTGCGTGTGTTGCACCGGCGAAATCAACATTACTGGGCTTGAGCTGCCGGCTATTTCGGTTTTGATTTTAGGCACGACAGCTGTTACAGGGTTGACTTCATTGCGTTTGCGCTTCCTAACTTCTCTCTCGGAAATAATCTCTAGAGTGTCAGAAGACTGCTCTTCTTTCATCACCGCTTTCTCACTTTCAGAAAGGGCCGCAAGCACCGGAAGAGGCTGGGAGATGTCGTCTGAAGCTTCGCCCTGGGTTGTTTCGGAGTTTGCATACGGTCCTTCAAGCGCTTCGCCAGTCGGTCTCGGCGTTGACGTGAGCTCTGGAAGTTGAGGCTCGGCTTCTTCGGGCCCTCCTTGAGACATGAAGCTGAGAGAAGGGTTGGGGATTTGTTCATCGGCTTCCAAGGCTGTTGATGTCGGTATTTCCATTGGCTGAGCCTTCTGGTCCAAGATCTGTATACTGTATTGGTTTTCGGCGGCTTGTATTTGTTCCATTAGATGTTCGGAATGCTTAATCCATCTGTTTCTCTCATCTTTTCTGCGCTGTAAAGCATCCTTGGCTGTTTTGAAGTTGGCAGACAAGGCGTGATATCTCCGTAAAATCCTCGAGCAGTCTCGACATGGCGGGGTACCACTTGAGGTACATGTCGAAGCCTTGTTGACACCAGTCCGATCATCGGTGGAAGAACGAGTGGTTTCCAGCGCTTGGTCAAGTAGTTTTGTGGTCAAAGACGCGGGAGTTGAACCCAACGTTGGAACTGGCGGCCGTAACTTGGCAAGCTGCCTTCGTAGCTCTTCATTTTCAGCCTCCAGCCTCGACACGATGTCTGATTTCTCGGCACGTCCTTCTTCTGCCGCCCCGGATGTCTCAATTCGACTCTTTTCTAAACTGCGCGCCTGCGCCTCTGTGTACGGAATTAGTATCTAATTAGCTTGACGATGGCATGTGCCAGTAGCTTACCGGCAGCCAAATCCCTGCCAATCTGGTCGCACACATTTGATAAAGCTTCGAACAGGGCCGGACGACCTTTTTCAAACCAGGAAGCCGCCATAAAGAAAGTCCGATGGCATCGCTAGCCCTGCGGGGGATGAATTATCAAATATTGGGAGGCAGAATTGTTCCTGGCACAGTGCTGAACGCGTAGGTAGGCAGATGGAGACACGCCACTCAATCCGCATTCACGTGATGGGACCGCGGAAGGTAAGTCGGGTCGAAGGCGAAGCCCGGCAACAAATTGAACATGAGGTGCAACAAGGCTCCGCTACAATGCTCAAATGGGTTGAACAGAATGACCCGTACCCGTTGATGCGCGGCCAAACTGGTTGTGATGCAAACTCGATGACGAGGTGCGCACTGCGCGTTAGATGTGGTGGGGCTTGGCCGGGGCCACCACAGCTGTGGCAAGGCACAAGACCAGGCACATGCAAGCTCAGCCTCCAGTCTGATCTGGAATTTGGGGCTTTACAGGTGCCACCCAGTCAGTTTGCAGCTGCTGCCAGCTGGACGGCCAAGACTCAATAGCATGACTTCCACCTCAATTCAAAATGTCTCAAGTGCCAGTCTTTTATTGCACGAACATGCGTTCTGATTTCAACTCTGACACGGGATCGGGATTTCTTCTCCTCATCCAACCAAGATCACGCACCCCTTATCCGCATTTGAATTCCGCACGATACCAGGACGTCTTGTTCGTCTCGTGACCATCCCCAGACCGTCTCGAGCAAGTGGTGAACTCGTCGGCATCCATCCAAGCAAGGCGAGGGAGGACCGACCTGTCGGCTGTCTTATCTTACTTATCCCCCAAGCCGACCGCCCAAAACAACAGCCTTGCCCCGCTTTGGCTGAAGGCGCCACTCAATCATCGCCAAGCGCCTGTCCACTCTGGGGTCTCGCTGGTAGCTCTCCTTCCGACCTGTACTCCGTACTCCGTTTGCTCTTTTCTCTGGCACGGTAAAAAAAAAACGAGCCCCGCTAAACCACCAGCGTTAACGCCAAAAACTTTTCCTATTTTCGTTCTCACCACTTCAGAATTGCATTCGACGTATCGATATATCACCGATCAATTGACGATTCTTCGCTAACTGCACCTCTTTTTGCCCTCCCATTGGTATGTATGCGCTCTTGTAACTTCCGCACGCACTTGGGCCCGTTGTTCGACTATCGTTGGAAGGCAACAACGGTTTCGCCTGCCCGTATCTCTCGCCACGCCACCACGGTTTGGCCCATTTTGAATTTGATCATTTGCAATAGCCGCCAGGAGGACGGTGACCGCTGACGTCGTAGTGCCAGTTCATCAATCGCAAACATCCTTCCTTTTCAACCGACCTCAGAAAGATGGATTACTCTGCCAATACCGGAGCTGCTCGTGGAGCCTGCTACTCTTGTGAGTCTCAAATTCTTACGAGCGTCGTCTGGCTGCTCAATCTTGTATCATGTGGACCAGACCGCCACACCGTGGCCCCTATAGTACTACTTCAAGAGATGTCGCGGCAATCGATGGTGAAATTTTTTGAGACGAACATGGCTAACGTTTTGAGGCGCAGGTGGCAACCCTGGTCATCAGGTATGAATGATGATCTCTCATCAGCCCAGACGTGCCAACTGGTGGGAACTAACGTGTTGCCGCCAGGCCCGCGACTGCCCTTCCAAAGGCCCTGCTAAGTGGTAAGTGAGATTGACCAAATCTTATTAATCGATTGCGCTAATATGCAACCATAGCTACAACTGCGGAGGTATGCTTGCTGCCCATGACGGTGTTAAGAGAAGATGTACTAACTTCAGTTTAGGCGAGGGTCATATGAGTGAGTGACGGGCCGCTTGACAACCTCTACCACCTGCAACTACTGACTTTGACAGGCCGAGACTGCTCTGAACCCATGAAAGAGAACAAGTCCTGCTACAAGTGTGGCCAACCTGGTCACATTTCTCGCGAATGCCCTCTGGGCGGTGCTGGAGGCGCTAGCGGTGCCCAGTCTACTGAGTGCTACAAGGTAGGCCTGACAAGAGTCTACGCTTATCCCAACTACACATGTTTCATAAGTTTTTTTAACTGATGAACTCAGTGTGGCGAGATCGGCCACATTGCCCGCAACTGCTCCAAGGCTGGCGGTTCTTATGGCGGTTCCTTTGGCGGCGGCTATGGCGGCGGCGGCACTGGAAAGACCTGCTATTCTTGCGGTGGCTATGGTCACATGTCCCGTGAGCAAAGTGCTATGGAGAAAATTCCTCGGCCAAGTTACTAATGCGCCATGTAGGGGAGTGCGTTAACGGCATGAAGTGCTACAACTGCGGCGAGTCTGGACACTACTCTCGTGACTGCCCCAAGGAATCGTCCGGCGGCGAGAAGATTTGCTACAAGTGCCAGCAGGCTGGACACGTCCAGTCCGCCTGCCCTAACTAAGATGATGGACATGTCGAGGCACCGTGGCCTAGAGGTCCTCTCAGTTCTTTGTGGATCGGAGAGGAAGTTGGCGTGGCAGCTCCATGATACCCACGACGAATTTCGTACTCTTTTTTTTTATTTGACTCTTGCAAAGGTTAAATGTTCCTACCCTCTCAAAAAAAAATTCCTATCATCTCGGTTTCATTTTATTTATCACGGAAAGATGGCAACCCAGGCAAACATGAAAAGTACTTTCCCCTTCGCATCATATGATATCCACGACACCAGGTTCTAGTCGGGTCGGGTCTTGTTCGACATTGAGTGTTGGTCTCGAGGACAGATGAGAATGGGTCATATATGCATATGTATATGTATGGACTTGGTATTTCGGACGATGGCTTGACGGGAAATGTCGACGTTGGGATCTGAAGGTTGAAGTTTCTCCATTCTCCCAGCTTACCTGCTATTGCAAGAGCTGGTCTTACTTGGCGACACGCCGTGGCAGATTATGGTATCGGACGATGAGTATCAATCAGACTTGAAGAATTTGCGAAGTGGCTCAGCTTCAAGTGGTCTCAAAGTGGGCTGGCATCTATCTCTTTGACAAAGGATAGAGTGAGAGAGAAGACAGACCAGAAGGTCGACAAGTGGATAGTGAGAATAAGATGCCCTGCGTTGATGAAACCTATTGTGTCAACTCGAGGCTGCATGTGTGCGCAAAAGCAGCTCTACGAGTTCATTTCGCACAAAATGTGCTCGCATACGTGTGGTCTGCGTTGCATGCTTCATGGAGAACAGCGTATAACAAAACTGGTTCATACTCTGCACACGATGCGGCACGTCAGTCCGACCTGTGCGCAGAAGTGGCGTTCTGCCCGTACACCAAGACCAAAGCTTGAGGGACTCTGCCGAGCGGTGACGAACATGAGACGGAATTTCTTCAAGTCGTTTCGCATGGGGAGATCAGGTAGGCGCTGAGGTTGGCAAGGTGTTTTGGTTCCCAACTCCCGTTCGTTCGACGACGCCTGGTTGACGTGTCATTCATTTCAGAAGAATTTCCCAACTACGTTTCCCATTTGAGCGGGTGCATATTTCGCGTGTTGACACAACAACTGGCAGTGACAAACAAAACACGGCCAAACTATCCACAACCTCGTCAATTTACAACATTGCCTTGGGGAAGTTCTTGTAAACCTGTCTGACGCCCAGATCTGACAAGATCTCTTCACTACCTCCGAGCACAGCATCAAATTTATAGGTCCTATGGAACATTTCGATATGTTTACCCATGCCAGTCTGCGTCAGTCCACGGCCGCCCCAGATCTGGACGGCCTCGTCGGCAATTTCGTGTGCGGCGCGGGTGGTGCTCATTTTTAGGAGACCAATCGGCCCGGCGAGGTGTTGGGCCTGCTGCTCGTACGGCATGTGGCACATTTGGTACGTAATCGTCTCGAGCCATGCGTGGTTGGCTTCGACGAGGGCAATCATCTTGGCGAGCCTGATGCGGGTTTGGGGGCTGATTAGATGTGCATGACGCGGGATGATCACGCATTCTGAAGAAGTAACTCACTTATTACGGATGACGGGCTGGTCGATGAGGCGCTTGCCGAAGACGAGACGTTGGTTGGCCCACTTGAGGCATTCTTCGACAATCATGCGGGCGTTTCGGACGGAGCCGCCTGCGGGGGGGCACTTAGTACGCGACGTTTTCTATCGGGGACGCTCGTGAAGACGGGACGGCGGTGGCGACTCACAGGCCATGGTCCATCGTTCGTGGTTAAAGTTGCTGAGAATAACGCGGATGCCCTTGTCCTCCTCGCCCAGGAGGTTTCCGACGGGAACTTTGACGTTGTCAAAGGTCACGTAGCTGGTGCCGGCGGCGGGGGAGTACGACGTCTTGATGGGCTTGGTCTCGACACCCTCGCCTCTCTCAATTACGACGACGCTCAGGCCCTTTTCTGTGCGGACCCCCGTGACGAAGTAGTCGCAAAAGGTGCCGTTGGTGATCCATTTCTTGGTCCCATTGACAATCTGGACATCGTGTTAGGCGCCTCGGGCCGTGGAGATGGCTTGCTTTGCTTTGGGCAGTGCACCCGACTTACATAGTGCTTGCCATCGGCCGTCTTCTGGGCCGTTGTCCTGAGACCGGCGACGTCAGAGCCGGCAAAGGCCTCCGTGATAGCCAGGCAGAGCTTCTTCTTGCCGCTGAAGACCTGCTCCGCAATGCTCTTCTTCCACGCCTCATTGTTGGCGAAGTTGAGCACGGCGGTCAGGCCAATGGTCATGCCTGCCATGTTGCCGTCCTGGAAGCCTCGGGTCATGGTTCTGGAGAGCTCCTGGGACACAATCATGTCATGGAAGTAATCGAATTCCTCTCCCTTGACAGCGCCATCCATCAGGTCGACGCCATGGAGATGCTTCCCGGGGCCAAGTCTCATGTGAAGAATTCCCTTCCTGCTCATGAGTTCAATCATGTCCTGGCTGATAAGCCGCCCCGTGGTCTCGCACTCTTGGGCCTCTGGGAACAGGTGCTCGTCGGTGAATTCGCGCAAGGCCTTCTGCAGACGACGGTGGGAGTCGTTGTAGTACGGGTTCTTGAAATGCCGGACCAGCCACAACGGCTCAGCGTAGGGAACAGGGCTGAGGTCGCCGGGTTTGGGGACAATGACTTGCGGCTTCTCGCCCCTGATTGTGCCGATAGCAAGATCAGCGTATTTGGCAAGGACTTCTTGCCGATGGAGGTTGTAGAAGGCCGTCGTGGCATCTTGTCCGGCGACCTGGTGCAGGACGCTCTCCCCTCCAGGGTGGGCAATTACGAATTCGGACAGGTCGTAGACAATGCTGTCGATGACGCACCAAAGTGAATCCTCTGTGGTGTGCTCCCGCACCTCATCGCGGGTGAATGTCTGGGCTGGCGGGACCATTGTCAACGCCTCACATTTGATCTCTTTGGAAATGGGTCTTGTTTTCGGCTTGTCGTGCCTGTCACGAAGGGGTGACCGCAGGCTCTGGAAGTTTGAAGAAGCCCTTCCCCTTGGACACAGGATGGTGGGACTTTGATGAACAATGGCTTGGTGATGAGGAGGAGTAGTCGAAGCCGAAGCAGGGTTTTGAAAAGATGCTCTAGCCAGCGAAATACATCGACGACGGACAACTTACCTCGGTCTTTGGTGGGGACGCGATGTTCGTACTGCTGAGCATTGGCCCGATTCTGATTGGCTGCATTGCATGGATGACGGCGCATCGTCTTAACCTGCCGATGCCGCCTTTCGTATCAGATGAACAAGAAAAAATGAAACACTGTAGCAACCGCAGGGATGTTCAATAGAATGCACACTGAAGCTAAAAAAAAGGGGTGACACATTTGTAGATTTTCATTGCAAGCTCGCTTGATGATAAGGAGGAGTAGTCGAAGCCGAAGCGGGGTTTACGGGTGTGTAGGGTATGCGGTTTCATGTCGGGCTTGCTTCTTTTTGTCGGCTGAACAAACGACACAAAAGCCCAAGTACGAGTGCGAGTCCTGCAGCCAAACTTCTCACGAAAACTAGTCAGTCATTTCGTGCATCTGTTCAACTTCAATGGATGAATTTTTGTGCTCATTCCGTGTGCGGCACTCCATCCTTGGCCAAATTAGGCAACTACTGATTTCATGATACTCAATACCCCAGCCAGTCTGACTCGGGATCAGGCGCCGCTCCATCTCTTGATGCATCACTTCCCATGTTCACCAGTCCCTGGACATGATAGACTTCTGTTTGACCGTTCTGGCTCGTGGATTCCAGGCTCAGGATTTTCGGAAAATTGAAGAAATCAAAGACGTCGATATTATCGAGCTCATTCAGCGCGACAGGATGGGACGACGTCTTGTCTAGTCCTGTTTGGCGGGTGGCAGCTGTCAGGTTCACCAAATTATGAGCGCTCCTATCGCGAATTTCCATCAGTTCTGCACGTAGGTAGAATGGTGACTGTCTCAAACTCGGCTGAGAAAAAAAAAAACAAATACTGACTTTCTCATACCACCAAAGCTTGCGACTCCTTGCCGCTCTCTTCGCACAACTCTTGCAAGGATTCTGGCGTATGTGTTTGCAACCTCCCAGTACTGGCCAACATATCCGAGAATATCGATGAAGAAGTCAATCTTGGGATCTACTGGACAACCAACTGTGGCGGCGTGAACAATGAGCAGCCGAGCCGCAATCCACAGAGCAAACGCAAAGGGGGGACCGACAAGATCCAGACCGTTGGCCTCGTAAACGTCTTGTGTGATGTCCCTCAAGCTTTGAACCGCCGATAGACATCTCTGCATGGCATAATACGACGGCACAAATATATGTGATCGGACGGTCGGATACGCGGCAGACGAGTGCAAGCGCACCACGGCGGTGACATACGCACTATGCAGCATAAACCAGTTGGCCACCCGACTGGCCGGATCCGAGTGGCACAAAGCTGAGATTCTGCTGTATTCGCTTGGTAAGCTCTGGAGCCAGTTGTCCAGGGCTGAATCCAGGGACCGGTAGGCGTTGCGCCACGCACTCATTTCAGCCGAAGAGGTGACATTGACGGGCCTTTTCAAAAATTCGTGAATCTTGCTAATAATCTTGAGGACTTGGCAGTGATACGAGAAACTACCCAGATTCTCTGGCTTATTGACAGTGTACCCCGACGATCCCGGATGGTCGGCATCCGTTCTTAACGAGCCCGTTTCCACCGGCACGTTTCTCGAAAACAAGTCATACGAGCAAGGAAGAAGTCGCTTCATCTTGAATTCTTCTAGCATGAAATCGAACTTGGTTGTGGCAATTGTCGCATATCGATCGAGCAGATATACCACCCAGCAGAGCCGCCTACGACTCTCGTCCTCTATCCAGGAGTCTGGCTGAGGTACGACAACTCTCCGGATGGACCCCGTACTCGGTACATCCCCTGCATCCGCAGAAAGATAGATGCTGCTCTCTTCACAGAGATCCAGTTGCTTGATATTCTGCACCAGAACAGACAGCAGATTCCAACCCCGTGGGCCGTTTGATGTTCCCAGCTCGTCCAAAGCCAGGATGACTAAAGCTCGCTGAGCTTCTATGCTGGCATGTTCCATGGCATAAATCATCACCTTGTGCTTTGACACGGCGTAATGGTGAGATCGCATTGCTGAGGACAGCCGGGCATCCTTCAAAAAGCGCAGAGTCGTCGCTACAATTGCGTGGAGCAATATCCTGTCGACTTCGCTCAGAGAAGTCGAGCCAAAAAAAGTACCAAACGTCGTCTTACGGTCAAGGATTGGACACCAGGTATTGCAATTCTTGAAGTAAAGATCAACAAGCGTATAGACGATATCTTGAGGGGGGAAATCTGTGCCCCCTGACAATGAGGTCGAGCCGGAGCGTCCGCTATCCAGTCGGGATGGAGGCGTGAGTGATTCGGCACCAGCAGATGGCAGCGACTGACTGGGAGCAGACGTTACCGACGGAGCACTTGGCTGGGCGTTCTCGGAGCCGTCGCGGCCCTGCCATGAAGGACTCGAAAAGGCAGGGCCTCTGGGCTGTTGGATTGACGTTGCTCGGCATGTTCCAGGCGGTCTTGGACCAGGAGCATCCTGAGCGAACCCGTCCATTTGAACCAAAGCATGGTTGCTGACGGCGGGCGATAGGATCTGCGACTGTGCGCCGTGATCATTCGCGATGTGGTCCTCGACCCGGCGCCACAGAGTCTGGAGGAGAGCGTCCACTCTGTTGACTTTGGTCTCCAGCTCAAGCGTGAAGCCGACGCGACTCCCCGGCTTCTGCCTCTCCAGATAGACACATGTTCTGTTGTGCCGTGCACACCAGGAGCATGCGGGCTCTGCCCTGTCGCACTTTACCTTGCGTGCCTTGCACAACTCGCACCTGATTTGGCTTATGGTCAATCCCGTACGTACACACAAAGAATAAAATCGAGGGAGGAAAAAAGGAAAAAGAGGAAAAAGAAAGAAGGAAAGAAGAGCGGACGGGATGAGGGCGACTCTACGCACGAAGTCTTCTGATATCGCTCTCTCTTCCTCTTCTTTCCGGACGAGGCGGGTCCGTCCTGATGAGTTGCATCATCACCACTTGACCCGCCGTCTTCGTGACTGAAGACCGAGTTGGACTCATCCTCGGCCGTAGACACCGGGACTGCGTGTGTGTCTGGCATTTCAACCCATGACCTAGGACACTCCACAATTGACATTGGGTTCAGGAGAGCAGAGATGACAGAAAGATGAGACGGGCGCTCCCTTAGCCTGCAGCGCCGAGCAGCAGCGTATCCTCTAATGAGGCAGCAGTGTTCGGTATCGAAACCCAGAGCTTGTCCAGAAACGGACTCGACTGTGATGCAGGTAGACCGGTGAGCGAGATGCTGACGAGGCGCGGCGCTGTCGGCCCGAATGGTGCTGGCAGCACTCGGCAGCCTCAGTCCGCCTCCGTGGGAAAATACCGACGAGCTATTTCGCGCTCCTTGATGCTGATGCTCGCCTCGCTGGCGTCCGGCCTTGCTCGGTCTCCTCGGCCGACGCCGACGACCAAGTCGAGAACCACTGCCGCCGTCCCGCTTCGGATGCGTCGCCCCCCTGGGAGTAGAAAAAAGGCCAAGACGATGGATAAAACGCCCGAGGACCGCCACCGCAGGAGCAACGAGGAAGCAGCTGAGCTGACTAGTCAGACTGCGCTTCCGGCCAGTGGCGGATAATAATCCTTCACGTGCGGGGAAACAGACGACAACAGAGGCGCGGTGGCAACAGTGAGCTTCTTTGCAATACGTATTTCGCAGGGAAAAACTTCTTGGTCCTCAAAAGGACCTTGCTCTTGGACAAAAAGTGGCGTCCACTGACATGGTGCCCTGACAACTCCACCAGGATATTATCCTAGGTCGTGGGCCGCTTCGAAGTGCTACTTGGTACAAATCTGACGGGCAAGGTCGACAAATCCCGCACTCCTTCGCTACGGGTGTCACGAGAACATGCAACTATGCTGCTTGCAAGAGTAATGCATGTAGAAAAAAAGCTCCAACGTGGGGAATTGAGCTGGACCAGTGCATAACGCCGCATCGAGAACGTCAAACATTGACAAACCACTGCGTCATCTCGTCATGCATTCATTCTGTATCATACAAGGGCCGCATGACTCGGAGGCGACGGGCCAATGTTGCCAGTCAGCCGGCTCGCGACTTGTCATGTCCACAGCCGCGGTGTGGCGGCCGTCGTGGCAAAGCAAGGACGTGCTATATACGTCAATTCATGTCATGCGTCTCCGGCGGAAAGCAGTCTACGATGTGGTCCAGCCCTTGGTCATCTGGACGGCCTTCTCCCAGCGCTCAAATCTCTTGTTGGCCTCCGCCGCAGTGATGCGGGGTTTGAAAACAGTCTGTCCCTCGGTGTTGACGTCTTTGAGGTCGTCGAAGGACTCCCAGACGCCGGCGGCGAAACCGGCGGCAATGGCGGCACCCAGGGCAGTTGTTTCGCGCATGGCAGGTCGGTTGACAGGGATACCAATGATGTCGGATTGAGTCTTAACGAGAAAACGGTCCGTGTTAGCCAGTGGCTTCCCCTCCAAGCTTGAGAAACCGAATGTACATGTATGTGCTGGGGACAGCTCACCTGCATGATAAGATCAGCATTGCACATGCCGCCGTCAACGGCCAACTCAGAGAGCTTCTTGCCACTGTCCTTGGCCATAGCATCGAGGATGGCCTTGGTCTGGAAGCAGGTGGCCTCGAGTGTGGCACGGGCAATGTGACCACGCTGCGTGAAGGAGGTGATGCCGAAAATGGTCCCTCTGGCATCGTCAATCCAGTACGGAGCGAAGAGGCCGCTGAAAGCAGTGACGAACGTGCAACCGCCATTATCCTCAACCGTCTCAGCCAAGGCGCTCAACTTCGAAGAGGACTCGATGAAGCCGAAATTGTCAACCAGGAACTTGACACTAGATCCAGCGACGGCAATGCTGCCCTCCAGCGCATACATGGTCTTGCCCTCGCCAAAGTCGAATGCGACGGTGGAGAGAAGTCCGTGGGTAGAGATGACGGGCTTGTCGCCAACGTTGTACAGCAAAAAACAGCCAGTACCATATGTGTTTTTGGCCAGACCAGGCTTGAAGCCCTTTTGGCCAACCAAGGCAGCAGACTGATCACCCAGACATCCCATGATCTTGACGCCCTTGAGGCTGCTGGTAGCGAGCGAGCCGTACGCCTCCGCATCAGAGGAGCGGACAATCTGGGGCAGAGCAACCTTTTTACGGTCAATTCGGAACCAGTAAATGAGCTCGGGATCGTATTCCAGGGTGTGAATGTTCATGAACATGGTCCGCGACGCATTGGAGGGGTCCGAGACGTGGACGTTGCGGGCGGTGCCGCCGTTCAACTTGTAGGCCAGCCAAGAGTCGACGGTGCCGAAGGCCAAGTTACCCTTTTCATAGCTGTCCTTGACCTCGGGCACGTTCTCAAGGAGCCACAGAAGTCTGCCGACAGACGCGTACGTTGACAGCGGGAGTCCGCAGCGGGCAGTGAGCTCTCCAGCTCCAATGCGGGATTTGAGGCGGCGGACAATGTCAACGTTTCGAGTGTCGGTCCAGACAATGCCGTTGTACAGGGCCTTTCCTGTGGTCTTGTCCCACACTATCGTGGTCTCACGCTGGTTGGTAATACCAACGGCGACAATCTGCTCACGAGAGTGGCCCTGAGCTTCAAACTTCTGGACAGCGCCGTCGATGCACCGTTCAACGGAGGAGATGATCTCCTCGGGGTCGTGCTCGTGCCAGCTGCCGATGTGTGGTTAGGCATTGGAGCGGCAACGCGTGGAAAGAAGAATGTCCTGGGCCTACTTACCCAGGGCTGGGATAGATCTGCTTGAACTCGAGCTGATGCAGCGCCACAACCTCGCCATGCTTGTTGAAGATGAGGAATCGAGAGCTGGTGGTGCCCTGGTCAATGGCACCGATGAAGGTTTTGGAAGTGCCAGGAGACATGGCTGTTGGCGTGGCGTCTGAATTGGCAAAAGGGACGGCGAACAATGGAAGAGAGAGCCTTCAAAGACCAAAGAGTAACAAAACTGGCAATGCCAAAACCAAGTGCGGCATGAATCACGTAAGCTTGATGCCACGGCTGAAGATTCAAGAGACGATGCGGGGAGCCTGACAGCTCGGGGTGAGACGCGGGGAAAGTGGGAAGGAAATCCGGACCCGACGGGGTATCGAACAGTCAAGCCGGGAGGGAGTGCGAGAGGATGCGAGAAAGATTTTGACGGTGTGCAAGAGGAGGGAGGGAGTAAATACTATCGCCAAGGAGGCTCAATAGTCGCCCGCGCAGAGTGTAGACCAAAGCTCGTGAGTCGCGACCTGGTTCGGAGTAAGGACCTCGATTGGGCGGGAGGCGAATGCGGAGACGCCTCACGCCGGCCGAACTAGAAGGACTGGCGTGACCTCTGGATGCCCGCACGAAGAATGGCGTCCTCGGCTCCGTCCCCGCCGCAAGCCATCTTCGCTTGGGGCGGCATGGCGCGCGCTGACAAAAATCGACTGCGCCAGGCACTTTTGCGCGATGGGTTCATGCTCGTGATCAAGAAGGTGCTCACTGCTGAGTCAGCAGGCGGCTGTTCAGTGAAAAGACAAGGTGCTGTTCGGCCTTCTCGGTCAGTCGGTCAGTCGGTCAGTCGGTCAGTCGTTCAGTCGGTCAGTCGTTCGTGTTCACAGACGAATGGCCAGAAGCTCGCCAGGCCCGCAGACCAGTCACATTAACCACTACACAAGCAAGAACTCGCCACGGCAATCCTGCAGCATTTACGCCCTGGGATTTGGAAGCCGTCTGCTGGGCCGAGTGTGGATTCCGCAGCTGGGACAGGGAGGCGTCTTTGAGATTCGGTCGTCTAGAACCTAGACCCTAGACCCTAGATTCGAGATTCGAGATTCGAGATTCGAGATTCGCGACGACCGCACGACACGTAGCATGTACGTACCCCGTAGCGGTACGTACTGCGTACCCGGATAGACCCGCCAAGGCTAGGCCGGCTAGGCTGGATCATGCCGCGGCCAAAGTCCGCGTACACGACGCCGTTGCCGCATCCCTGCACCTTCCAGCCAGGAATGGAATGACACCTGGGACATCTGGCCTCGACGTCCCAAGAAACCCGCTAGCCCGATCGGTACCTCTGGTCCTTGCCTGCAGGCAGGTTGCAGTTCACACCATCCAAGTGCTTCTACTCCGTACTGCTGTAGACTGTACAGTAGACGCTGGCCGTCGTGGCTTGAAGAGTGCGTAGGGGATTGAGTCGCTGGACGCAGGGCCACGCACAACAGCCCAGGTCGCCGAGGTCGTCGTCCACATCCACACGGGTACTGAAGTATGCAATGCTCGACATGGCCCGTCGCGCACCGAACCGGCGACCCACCTCTGTTTCTGTTACTCGGTATATCTCCGTCTTTTGGCTGCGTCAAAAGTTTCTTCGGCGCCATGTCCCCAGTCCCTAGCTCCCTAGTCCCTGGTTGCTTGCTCGATGATTACCAGAAAGAGCCGCACGCCCCAACCTCATTCACTCGACAGGAGCGGGTCTGTGCGAGTTTCGCACCCCGGCCACGATGCAAGCCGGCAACATGGGGAACGAAAGACGCACGGGCAGGGGAGGCGTGGCGTCAGTTCCAGAATATCTGGCCACGACCTCGGATGCACATCAGGGAGGTCCTTTCCGTGGTCCGGTCCGACACGAGGTTCCCGGCTGTGCTGAAAGGAACGGAGTATTGGCCGATCCCTGATGCATGGCTTATGCCTACGCACTGCGACGATGAAATTTAATTTTTTTATTAATATTTTGCTTCAGGTTAGCACAAGAACCAAGGCCCTCAAAGCTTGGGCCAAGCAGTAAACAATAATTGGATAAAACGTTTTGACGGGGTTTTGGCCTAGGCGGCGCAGTCGCCAACATCCTGCCGATATGAGCCGGGCGGCAAACGAGGGGAAAAAAAGGAAAAAAAAAAGGCAGCTGGTACGTACCATCGTTATGGGCTGAGGAACCGATGCTAGTACTACTCCGTAAATGGAGCGACCTTTCAATTTCCGCGGCATTCTTGGTCGGGGTTGCATTACGTCCCAAGTCGGCCAAGCGGGCTGACGATGCATCGCACAACATACTGCACTGGGAGACGGCGCAGCCTCCTCAACAAAAAGACTGTCCATTTCCATTTGGCGCTCCGTTGCCGCCGCGCGCGAGGCAAGAAGCGCCTCTCATCTCGCGATGCCGGACGTGGCATCTGGTGTGGTGCTGAGGTGAGGTTAGGTTGGGGCGCGAGCGAAACGGGGCGACAGGGGGATATTATTACCATGATCATGCTCCATGGATGATGGGACAATGCAATGGGGGAATGGGAGCAGGCTTGGCAGCCAAGAACAAGATTATCGTGCCATGAAATAAGGGTTTCGGCAGTCGTCGGGCAGCAGCAGACGGGTACAAGGTACAAGTACACACTACCACCTTGTGTCCTGGTCAGCAGCGCCGCGCCATGTTCCGGTACTTGAACTTGGAAGAGGAGGACTCCCGCCGGTGGATTCACAAGATCAGTCGGCCTGGGATGCTCGATACATCCAAGTACGACATGTGGCCTTGGCACCACCGATTTTCATATCTGCCCGGGTACCTAAGTACGTTCTCAAGTATCGGCCTAGCTCTTAGCAGGTACCTCCCCAGGTAGCTGCTTAGTAGGTAGTACTCGAGAGCGCACCTTGCTCAAGTACATGCTCCGTACACATACATGGTCAGTGGTCACATTCAAGACTGGTGGTTACATGCCCATCTCCATCTTCCCATCTTGCATCTTCCCATCGTCATCCACAACGCTTCAGTCTCAGCTGGCGCAGACCTTGCAGCCCGGCCTTGCGCGTCTGGTACGGAGCAGCACTTCACGGGCCTGTCCTAGGCGCTGCCGTCGTCCAAGGACGGACGCCGCCGGTGCGCCGCACGCCGCTCCCGGTTTGGAGGCGAACATCTTGGTCATCGAGTCGAGTCTGGTTGCATTTTCCTCATCTTTCTTCATCATCGCATGCATCGTGTCCCCAAGAACATTGAAGCACACACCACCCCCCCTTACCTCTCCGTCGCTGTCTCCAGTACGACAAGAAACCAAAACCTTCAACGTTACGTACCGTCTTTCCGCCTCCATGGCTTTGCTTTAACCCCCTCGCGGGCATACATAATAGACTCATGCTCCCCCCCCCTCCCCGAATCTGATGCAACTCTAGGAAAGGTCAAACTTGTCGTCGTGCCGACCCGACGCTTCCGTTTCCTGTCCGCCTAGACGAGACGCCTTGATTTTACATTCTCACTCTATACCCGTAGCACATTATCGCACAAGTCTTCAAACTTCCCCAACATCTGGAACCAAACCGTCCTTCATATCTCATCGTCGACCCCTCTGTCTTAGCCCTCCGAGACAGCACTCATGTCCATTCTCCCGTCGACTCAGGACTCGGTGTCAGGGTCCTCCATTGAAAAATCCGCACCCACCGTCAAGGTCGACATGGGGGCTCCCGTCATTCACGATGAGCCTCTGTCAAGGTCTGATATGATCCCCGCCGAGGTGCCGCCTCAGTGGCCCAAGGTTCGATCCAATTGGCAAGATGCATTTTCCGAGTTCTTTGGGACCATGATTCTGCTCTTGTTTGGCGATGGTGTCGTTGCCCAGGTCGTTCTCAGCAATGGCACCAAAGGCAACTATCAGAGTATTTCATGGGGCTGGGGGTAAGTTGGCGCAGAACCTTGGCCGTTGGCAAACCTGTCATTCACCATTGACCATTGATTGCTGACAAGAGAGCACGTAGGATTGGCGTCATGCTCGGCGTATATGTCGGCGGCAAGTCGGGCGGCCACATCAACCCGGCTGTTACCCTGGCCAACTGCGTCTATCGCGGCCACCCTTGGCGCAAATTCCCGGTCTACGCCTTTGCCCAGCTGCTAGGTGCCATGACAGGCGCCGCCATCATCTATGGAAACTACCGCTCTGCTATTGATGCCTTTGAGGGAGGAACTGGCCTCCGCACCGTCAGTGGCCCCAATGCTACTGCCGGCATCTTTTGCACGTACCCTGCCCCTTTTATGACGCGAACCGGCATGTTCTTCTCTGAATTCATCGCCAGTACGATTCTCCAGTTTGTCATTTTTGCAATGGCCGACAACGGCAATATTGGAGCCGGGCCTCTGCTGCCACTGGGACTCTTTTTCCTGATTTTTGGTATTGGCGCCTGCTTCGGTTGGGAGACCGGCTATGCCATCAACTTGGCTCGTGATTTTGGGCCTCGTCTGGTTACATATATGATTGGCTATGGCCCCGAAGTATTTTCCTTTGGCGGCTACTACTTTTGGGTATGATCTCCTTCCCTGGGCTGGCTCGTACAAGAATAGAGAGAGAGAGAGACGTCTACAGAGACGATGATGAGCAACGACACAATTTGAGTGGGGGCCACGAAACTAACAGTACTTTCAGATCCCCATGGTTGCCCCCTTCCTCGGCTGCCTGACCGGCGGCGGTCTCTATGATCTCTTCATCTACACGGGCGAGTCGCCCATCAACTCTCGCTACCTCGGCTTCAACCGACTCCTCAAGCCGCGCCGCAGCGTGTGGTCAAACACATATAACAAGTCGCCCGAATCTAGAGTATAAGGCGGAGGCGGGGATGCCTTGCACTTTTGGTTTTTTGTCAATTCTCAAACGGCATGCGTGCTTGGCGCCCCGCCACGCCAAATCATAGTCGGCATAGACGACGGATCGCTCTACTAGTTGATGCAGCAAAATTTCGGGGATAAAGCAGGAGGACTCGAAAGAGTAGACACGGCAACAGAAAAGCTGAATTCTTTGGCCTTCAGTCGACGTAGGCGCTGCTCTCACAGGCCGTTTCATTTAGTGCACTTTTTTTAAACTGTTACTGTGCGGGCTAATAAGTCGCAAGAATATGCGCAGGATAGGAGGGTGTCGGCGACGAGCCATATACCAGTGGGATTCTCATGGTGGTGGGGAGAAAGGAAAAGTTGTCACCGCGTTCAACTTTGCACTCATGTTTTCATTGCGTTGACGTGTCTTGTCATTCGGCCTGTGCCCAGTGTGCGTCGTAGCCCTTCTTGGGCCGGGTGACCTGCAAGCGGCGGCTGGCCATCAACGTCGCGGCGTATTCGCCATGGGGCTAGCCAGTCTCACGCTGGCATGTCATACGTAGCCTCGACATGGACAAAAGAGGGCATGCGACGGGCCAGGCATGCTGGATGGCGGCGTGCCAGGCCCGACCGGGACGTTTGCCGTTTAACAACCGACTACTGGTATTACGCATGGGAAGAAACGTGGTGCCGGCGGTGGGAACTGCATTGGATCCCCTTCTCCGTTCGCCGTGCTCCCTGCTCCCTGCCCCTCGAGCGAAGGCCACGGTGAGGGCCAGAAGAGTCGAGGCCCTGGGCTATGCGGTGGCAAGTTACGAGTCAGTCCGGATACTTGCCGGGCGCTTCGGCTTGTTGGAATTTGGAAATAGCCGCCACAGTGTCTCGAGAGTCTGCAAGTAGAGACGTTCCATGGCTCTGGGAAGGGGCGGACATGGAGTGGTGTTGACGATGATGATGGGAGTCTTGCCTCCGCGCGGGAGACTTCCCATGGCCGTGGGAGCCTTTTATACATCTGCATGCTGTTTGAGAGTCGCTCTGCCGTCCGTCGGTTGTCCGTTGCACGAGGTCTGATGTCAAGGGTACGGACAATGGGGGGGTGTGGGGACGGCGCCACTCCGATGACAAGGAAGAAAATCAAAAGCCACATACATGAAGTTTGACGGCGGCGGGCGGAAGTGGCGTGTCAGCTGCGTTTACTGTTTACTTTAGGGTTTTGGGGCTCGGGTCGGCCTCGCTATACCGACCCGAGCCCTGCGACCCACCTTTGCGAGCGGAACGCATCTCACTGGTCAGGACGGCGGGCTCGGCATCCACGCACCGACGTGCATGAACTCGACTCGACGCTCAACATGTGGCGGCCCCTTCTGAATGAAGGCCACTCTACTCCGTACCGGTCTGTCGAGAGAAAACGGAAGGATAATGGACTGCAATAAGAAGTCATGCCTCGATTCGCCGCCACCGGGTCAGCCGCCGACACACCACGCGACGGGAGCGAAAACTTGGACTTGCTCTCGATGCCGGCACGCAAGGCGTTCAGGTGAAACTTGCGATGAACAGTACGCCGCCCCGGTCTCCAGAGGACAACAAACACCAAAGCGCCGTCGCGACGATAAACCACCCCAGGCATGCCGCCCCGACTCGCCCGGCTCTGGCGTCCCGTCGCCGCGGCCACGGCCTTGACCGTCGTCACCGTCGGCGGAACCGCGCTGCACTCTCGCGCCAACAAGAACCTATCGCATGACCGGGCTCTCGTGCCGCCGCGCCGCGACAGCACGGGCAGGCTCGTCCCTCCCGTCTTCCCAGCCACAAGGTCCCGGGCCGAACAGCTCGCCGAGCTTCGAAGACACGATTCCAAGGACGCCGAGTACGACTTGCTCATCATCGGGGGCGGCGCCACCGGCACGGGCATCGCGCTGGATGCCGTGACGCGAGGCCTCAAGGTGGCCCTCGTCGAGCGTGACGACTTTTCCGCCGGAACCAGCTCCAAGAGCACCAAGCTCGTGCACGGCGGAGTGCGGTATCTCGAAAAGGCCGTCTGGAACCTCGACTACCCGCAGCTGGAGCTCGTCATCGAGGCCCTCCGCGAGCGAAGGGGCTTCCTCAACATTGCGCCTCACCTGTCGAGCTCCCTGCCCATCCTGCTGCCTCTGCAGAGCTGGCGCCAGGCCCCCTACCTCTGGGCCGGGTGCAAAGTGTACGACCTGCTCGCCGGCTCTCAGGGCCTGGAGTCTTCGCACCTCCTCAGCCGCGCCGAGGCCATCGACTCGTTCCCCCTGCTCAACAAGGACAAGCTCGTCGGCGCCCTCGTCTACTACGACGGCCAGCACAACGACTCGCGCATGAACGTGTCCCTCGCCATGACCGCCTCCCTGTACGGCGCCACCGTCCTGAACCACGTCCAGGTCACTGCGCTGGAGAAGGACGCCAACGGCCGCATCTGCGGCGCCCGCGTGCGCGACCTCGTCGACGCCGACGGATCCCCCTCGTCCGGGGCCTTTACCGTCCGCGCAAAGGGCGTCGTCAACGCCACGGGTCCGTTCACCGACGCCATCGAGCGCATGGACGACCCGCGGCGCAAGGCGATTGTCGCGCCGTCGTCGGGCGCCCACGTCACGCTGCCGGGAAGCCTGTGCCCCAAGGGAATGGGCATCCTCGACGCCGCCACCTCGGACGGCCGCGTCGTCTTCGTGCTGCCCTGGCAGGGCGTCACGGTCGCGGGCACGACGGACAACGCCTGCGCCGTGGAGACGGAGCCGGTCGCGAGGCGGGACGACGTCGACTTCATCCTCGACGAGGTCAGCAAGCTCCTGGAGCCGACGAGCGCCCTGACGCGCGACGACGTCCTGGCCACCTGGTCCGGTGAGTGCCCCTGAGCCCCCTCCCCCTTGCCGTCGGTCGACAACCCGAACAGAATGGCGGCGGGTGCTGACGACGCGGGCAGGCATCCGCCCGCTGGTCCGCGACCCCAAGGCCGGCAACACCGAGTCTCTCGTGCGCTCGCATCTCGTCACCGTCTCCCCGTCCGGCCTGCTCACCTGCGCCGGCGGCAAGTGGACGACGTACCGCCAGATGGCCGAGGACGCCGTCGACGAGGCCGTCCGGGCCTTCGCCCTCTCCCCCCAGCCCGTCGCGCTGCCCGACATCAGCGGCGGCGGGCTCCCGGGCCCCGTCACCGACGGCAAATGCAGGACGCTGACGACGCCCGTCCTCGGCGCCCACGGCTTCTCGGCCTCGCTGCCGTCGCAGCTGATGGAGCTGCACGCCGACGTCGACGCCGACGTCGCGCACCACCTCGCCACCAGCTACGGCGACCGCGCCTGGGCCGTCCTCGCCGCCTCCCCCCCCTCGTCGCCGGTGACGCGGCTCACCCCGTCGCTGCCCCTCATCGAGTCGGAGCTCCGCCACGCCGTCCGCTCCGAGGCCGCCTGCACCGCTGCCGACGTCATCGCCCGCCGCACGAGGCTCGCCTTCCTGGACGTCGAGCTGGCGCTGCACGCGCTGCCGCGCATCATCGACGTCCTGGCCGAGGAGCTCGCGTGGTCCGAGGCCCGCAAGGAGCACGAGTGGCGCGCCACGCTGCAGTTCATGAGGTCCATGGGCCTGGGCGACGACAAGCTAGCCGCGACGAGGGACGACGTGGTCAACGGCCGGGTCGGCGCGCCGAGGACCCCCGGCGCCGCGGAGAGGAGCGCCGACGGCACGGGGGTGCCCCTGCCGAGAGAGCTGGAGGCCGGCGGCGCCATGAGGGACGCCGCGTAGGCGCCGCGGGCGTGGGCCTCTTGTCCGAGGCGCTCACTTCGTCCACGCGCCCCTTTCTTCTGCGGCGTCGACGTCGAGGCGTCGGCCACGTCGGGGGTTCGGCTGGTGCGTGGTCAAGGTCTGGGGTCTGAGGAGAGCGAGTCGCGCCTAGTGCCTGCCTGGGTCGGGTTGGGTTGTACGATGTATATTTCCAGGTGGACTGGGCAGTTCACCAAATCTTCATTATCAGTTGCTTGACATGGCCCTGTTTCGCCGCGGCCCCCTTGCCCCTCCCGGAGCAAGCGACCTGTTGCGAATCTACGACGTTTCTTTTCTGCTCTGCTCTGCTCTGCTCTGCGGTATTCCCAAATGCACGGTGCTCCTCCTTGCGCCTCCAAATACAAGTATCCAAGCCTGCTCTACTCGTGTCCCCAGACGTGCGAGCTCCCCTCCCCCTCCGAGACCTTGCCGAAACGAAAGTAGAAAAGAAAGAAAGAAAGACGCCCAAGACTGTCACCTCGTACCTGTCTTATAAAGAACCGAATAGCCTGCCGCCCCAGCTACCCCGGCAATTCCGCCACCGAGGGGCGCCTCTCGTCGTCCCCCGGAACCGGCCGGTACACAGGAGGCACCTTGAGGACGGGCCGAGGCGAAACACACTCCGACTGCAGCTCGGCAATGCTGTTGGCGTAGTCGGTGCCCGTGCCCGCGCCCGCGCCCGCGTCGTCGTCCGGGCCGCGACGCCGCCTTGCCCTGCGGGCACGCCGGCAAAGCGCGACCAGCAGGGTCACGACCAGCAGGCAGAAGACGCTGGCTGCGGCGCCGATCCCTGCCCTCGCGCCCACGGAGAGGGTGCCGTCGGGGCCGGCCGGGCCCGACGACTGCGACGGCGATGGCAACGGCGACGGCGACGGTGTCGACTCCCCCTCCTCCTCCTCCTCCCCCTCCTCCACTGCTGCCGCGGAAGTCGACGACGGCGGAGGGGTGGCCCTCTTGTCAGTAATGTTAAAGTAGCTCGAGGATATCTGGTGCAGGCTGGTTCCCTGCTGCGAGGCGTTGCCTTCAAACAGCCACAGGAAGAAGGTGTGCGAGGCCCCGAGGTCGAGGTTGTGCGCTTTCACAGTCCACGTGAAGCCGGACGAGGGGCCCTCGGTCGTGGCTTGGGAAGTCGAGGGAGGAAGCGTCAGTATCTGCCAAGACTGTACGACTCCTACCGGACGCGGGAAGGCGAGGCGAGGCGAGGGCGCTCGTTGACGTCCTGCCTCCGTGTTCCCCTGTGCCCTTCCCCCGTCGACCCGACTCGAGGCAGGAGGATGGACCGTCTTACCGTAAACGATGGACCCGAGTTTCGGACGGCCGCCGTCGTCGGGCCGCTGCCACAGCGCTATCGTGTACTTCTTCAGATCGGTCGTGTACTCGACATCCACCTTGTCGCCGGTGACGAGGACCGCCGCCGCCGGCGGGCTGGTGAACTGGCATTTTGCCAGCGGCAGCATGGCCAGGCAGAGTGAGAAGGTCATCATTCGGCACAACATGGCGGGCGTGTTTGCGGCACGACGGCTTTCTCGGGCATCACGGCCGCACACCGGGGGGGCGAGGGCGGTGGCGCGCATTAGAGAAGGGGACGAGAGCGGCGTCGGCTTCGGCGTCAGGGAGGCGGCAGAGCAAGCGAGGCTGGTGACAATTGGCTGTGACGCTTGCTTCGGAACAAAGCCCCTCGGAGGGAACATATAACTATACGCTGCCTGGGGATGCGCGAGGCACGAGGCTCCGGCGTGTTCACGTGTCGAGGATGCCATGTTATGTTGTGCATCGGCGTGCGGTTCGCGGCGCGCACGGGAGGACGGCAGGACCCGACATGACATGACATGACATGGCATGGCATGGCATGGCATGGCACGGCACGGCTTCGCATTGGCTCCGCGGGCTTGAAGCTCGAGCGTGCGTGCCGTGACGTGCTGCCCGCTACTAGTTCGTGATGGTTGGTTGGTTGGTCGGTCATCTGTGAGGGCTCGCGCGCGACGCACGTCCCCGACGTCAGGATTCAGGAATCACCACGTGGATTTGACGGCGCGTCTAGGACTGAGAAGCAGGGCGGCCGGGCCCGTCGGGTCCAGCAGCGGCGTTGAATCCAGGGTTGAGACTTGCCGTGCGAGCGCAGCCAGCGTCGACCAAGTCGTCTGCGTCGCGAGACGGCGACTCCTCGCGCGAGGCGAGCCGGCTCGTGGGGCGGGCAGTGCCAGGGAGACTCGGCGACACAATATCGCAACAAGGACGACCTGCGTGGCTCGGCCAATATAGGAGCCGCCACGGAGAGCTTGGGCCATCCATGTATGCCGCATGCGTCGTCGTTTCCTTCGCCGACGCTGCATCCCGTTGGCTTCTGTTCCCTCCGGCATCGTCCATCCATCCGTCCACGGCCATTGCTGGCTCGCCCCAGGCTCCTCGTCGTGGCTGGCATCTTCGCACCGTCGATGTCCTTGCTTCTGTACGGTTCGGCGATCGGCCGACGGCTCCTGGGTCAACTTGGTACTATTCAGACGTAGCCTCGGGCGAGGGCGAGGGCCCCTTCGCGACGCCAACAACAAGGCACCGACCACGTCGTGACTGGGGCAACAGCGCCACTGACGGCATCGGCTGATGTCGCATCGTGGGGTCGATACTGCCATGCGCCTAGCCTCCTCCACATGTGTTGGTGCGCCAGCAAGTCGTGTACCTCCTGCGCCAACATGTTTGTAAACAGACGCCTTGTGATACCATCGGCAGGTAAACTCTACACATTTTGAGTGGTCAATAAATATCCTTCCATTGGGAGCGCAGTTGTATCCACGATTCTGAGAGCCCCAATCCAGGTCCAGTCGCTGGGCTTTCCGTCACGCCCGGGAGGGGTGGCGGATGCCGCCATGTATCAGCTCTTCCTTCCCGTGACTGCACATCCGTCATCTCTTTGCTTCGAGCGTCGAGTCCCGTGTTGGTCATCCCGTGGACCGTCGGGCACAAGTGTAAGCGAAAGAATCACCAGCTTGGTTCCCGTCGTCGACGTGTGAAGCCGTTGAAGAGCGACTGAGTCTCTGCCGCCAAAGGCCATCCAGGAGTGCACAACGTGAAGCAGCGAAAGGGCTTGCACGTCATGACATCTGGCTGCTCCGAGAGTTCGAGACGGCACTGGGCCCCAGGCCATGCTCACCCGTGGCCGCCTGCTCCCACCACCATTTCTTTGTTCTTGCGTCACCAAACGTAGCCGATGTAGAGGCATCGAGACCGAGTTCATGTGACCGCCCACGATAAAGGGCAATCAACGAATCGTTGGCCACCTCGCAAGAAAGTAGCGCCTCCATGCCACCATGGCAAAAGTGCCCTGTTCGACTCCCTGTGATTGTGGATTCGCTGGAGCAATGTCCGCGTTTCTGCATCGTATCGCAGCCCTTGTAGACTTTCGAAGCTGTGCCCTGCATGGCTGGAAGAGGATAATGCAACTGACTTGGGTATCAGAGCGCCCCTGTCCCGGAAATAACTTGTTACGACAAAACGTCGGGTCTCAGGAGCCGGGCGTCGAATCGAAATGGAGCCAATTTACAGCCGGGAAATCAAGGTGCCCTCTGGGAGCCACCCCGGATGTCCATCAAGTCGTACCTGCTAATGGAACACAAGGAGGAAATGTGTCGTGAAACGTTTTGCCACCGGGAAACGTGTCTGCCTGTCACTCGCTTTCCCAGCCAAGAACGGTCCTCAGCCTGTGCAAGGCGTCTAGCCTTTCCCGCATCAACTGCACGTCGTCTGCTTGCTCGCGCAGCGTATCCTTCAACAGCTCCGACGCCTTCTTCTCGTCGTTGACATCTTGCGCCGTCCCCGTCGTCATGTCATCCAGAGACGGGCGGATTCTGTCACTTCTTCCAAGAGCGGCCCTTGCTTCTCTCACCTGACTCCAGAAGAGGTTGGTCTTCTTGGCGTACGCCGTCTCCGCAAGGGGCATCTCCCACTCGCTCGGTGTCGTCTCGACAGTGCGGAGATATCTGGCCATGAGTGGCCAGCGTAGATCCTCAGTGCCCGGGAAGTGCACGAGAAAGCAGCCCTTGTCGGTCTCCGAGCCGCCTCCAAGTTCGTGAGCGTTGAGAAAAGGCCGAGGTATGTAGACGACTCCATCTGCATATCCCGTACCGTCCGGCCCCCCGGTTGTCATGGCGAACAGGCGCGCAATGGCCTCTTGGTCAGCATCATACCCCGGGTCTGCACCTTGGTTGTACTGCGGGTAGCCGACGGCCTCTCTGAACATGGTGACCGACCAGGGGTGCACATGGACGAAGAAGACGCCCGCGGTGAGGCCGTCCCAGTCTCGTGTCGCCACGACATGGATGTCGGCCATGTCGCGCGGCGGGAGGAATATCTCGACGGGGATTTCTGGGTTCAGGACGACGGAGTCTGCCTCCACGCACCTTGAGGATGGACTGACATCAGTACGCTGGCATCCAATGACCAAAGCAGGCTGGCCGGTCGCTCGCCAAGAGTCAAAAAGTCTTGTTGTTTTTGCGACGCCAACCACCAACCCATCCCGTGATGAGGAAAATCAAGGACAACAGAAATACGTACATGATCCACTCTACGCGTTCGCCCGCCGGCTTTGCTAGTTCCCTGACAATCGTGGCCAGCAGATATGTCTGCTTCGTCCAGAAGCCGGCGCCGGCCTCGTGCCGTAAAACATGCACCGGATACCCCCATCGCGCTGCGTGCCGCTCGTGGCTCCGCAAGGCGCCCTCGTGCATGCGGTTCGGAGTCCCGTACACCATGGAGACCTTGGCCACCCGACGCGGAGTCGGCGAATGCGTCGGATGGGGGAGGGAGAGCGTCTGGAGCCGGTCTCTCATCAGGTATATTTGGATCAGAGCGTAGACCAGAGCGGCGACAGTCATCAGACGTCGCAGCTTCAGTTTTCGGTGTTGAGACATTGGTTCAAGGGACTGTGTGTGTGCCGCTGCCGCCATCTGGGGCATCGATACGAGTCGTCCTCGGCGTTTCTCGGATTCACGACGGTAGCAAGTCGAGGGGTATTGTTGCAAGATGAGGGACGGTGGAAGAAGAAGACGGTCCTGAATTCTGCGCGCGTCCGAAGATTCACGTTGTTGCGCAACGTGCGCTTTTGCCGTGAGCAAACAGTCATGAGCGACGTCGAGGCGGCTGACTCGAGAGACGACGAGTCGTTCCTTTGTGGGCTCATAATGGCGCGGTATGCTCTCTCATTACTCGCTCCCAGGCGGGACGGCTGCTCCTACGCCACCATGGGCGAGTTCGAGAGGCCTTGGCATTCGCAGGCCATGCCGGACGCGAAGCACGGAGCCTGAGTTTGAAGTTTGGCCTTCTGTACCCGAGCAGGAAACGAAGCATGAACATGAGTCGCGGCGCTCCAACACGAAAAGACCTGTGCTGCAGATAAACGCCACCCAGCCACGGCATGGGATGGGACGACTGTGTACGGAGTACTCGGTAAACTCACAGCCGACATGAGGCTGAGCGTCGAGCGGCGTCTGTCAAACAAAACCCGACTCGCCAGAGCCTGACGGTTCGGTCCACAGTCAAAGCCTAGCATCGTGTAGCTTTCCGAAACCTCGTATCGTCGAAGCCGCGTTGCCAAGAGCGGCCGACCAGAAACTTAGAACGTCATGATGCGGGAGAATGTCCGGAATGGAAGGAGCAGCGCCCCCGACGCCCGCATTCCAGGCAATGAATGGTGAATGGTTGGTACGGGACGGGGTAGCAGGTTTTGTCTTGTTTGTTTCGAATTAACGTTAGTTCATGTTCGGCACGGCATGGCCACGACCAGCTCCATTGGTTTCAATGCTCGCCGTCGGATCCTGCAGATCTCTGCACTGCAGCGCACCAACGTTGCATGGTCGGGAAGAGCCGATTTCATGTCTCACAGACCACGATGCCACGGTGCCACGATGCTACGATGCCACGATGCCACGATGCCACGATGCCACGATGCCACGATGCCAATTCAGGACAACAGCACGATCCCGCGTCTTCGCGGCTGCGCCCGTCGCCCGGCCGAGCTCCTAATCACCTTCTGCGGCTCAAACGTCGACGGGACGGTAGAGTTGATCGTTCCATTCCAGCAATGCTTCTCGAAGCAGTCCACACATGCGGGCGGGATGCTGGTTCCCGTCCGCTCAAGACTGCGAGCCAGCACGGCGCAGCCAACACACACGGTCCAATTCGAATCCACAGTGCCGTTCCCCAAAGTCACCACATTGTATCCGTTTTGGATAATCTGATTTCTATCCGAATCATTGTACGAAAGGTCAAACGTCGAAACATTCGCGTAGAACGTGTACGGAGTGTTGGGCATGTACACAATCAGCGCGCCCGCCGAGGCGTTGCCGCACCCGAAAAAGGTAGGCCGCCTGTTCAGGCCCAGATTGACAAACGAGTTCACGTCGGGGACGACCGGAAAGGCAGTGTTGTTCGTCTCCTCGCCGCTCGTGGATCGGTTGTACGTCGCTACAAGGCTTGTGCCGTTCGGCCACAAGCTCTGCGTGTCGGCCGATCCGTCAATGGCAAAGATGACATCGACGTTGCGCGCCTGCAGAGTGAGCGGATGCAGCGGGATGTTTTCCAGCGCTTCGCCGCCGTCGACCAATGTGACGAGGCTGGCGTTGGCGTTGACCCTGTTGCCGCCATCGAGCTTGTAAAACGGGTTCGGCCAACTCGCAACGTCCCGGTTCTCTTCACCAAGGCTCCCCAGCGTCTTGTTGAGTGCTCGAGTAAGGACGTCCGGGACCCCTGATACCTTGCCAATCTGCAAGAAGGCTTGATTGAACAGCGACGACGACGTGCCCATGACGAAGCCCGCATTGTCTACGCCCGTAAAGCATTTCGCCGTCCGGCCGATCGTGCCGCCGTTGAACTCGGAACCGACGTATTTCAAAGGCGCAAAGGCCGCCGCTTCTGGATCGTAGGACCCCATTTCCCAGGGGTTGAACTCGAACACGGTCGCGTTGGGCGGAACTTGACGCTGGTCTGGGGCCCGCTCGAGCGCAACGATGATGGGCATGGGTGAGTTGCCAGCCATGAATTCGGTGTTGTTGGCAATCGACGAGAATGTGTACGCTGTTAGGCACATCACAATAAGCCCTTTGCTCCTTCACATGTAACATTGAGAACCACAACATCCATCTTCATACCTGGCCCTCCGTCTGTCGAGTTTACGAGTTGATACGACAACGCCCGTCCCCAGTAATCGGTGATTGTGGTGTTGAATCCAGCATCTGATTTATCCTGAACGCTCTGATACAGCTCGTTGTAGTATTGTCCAGGACGCAGACCCTCCGGACCTAGCTGGTGGCGTGTCGGCAGGGTACAATCTGGAGACGGAAGCAAGCGTCAAGGGAACACACCTTGGAGAATAGAATTTTCAAACTGCCAAAGCGTACTCAGAAATCCACTCGTCGACAGGACGATGGAGTCTACAGTGGTGAAGTTTTGCACGAACAGACTTCCAACGAGCCAGCTTCCTCCGGAGAGGCCGCTCAAGTACGTCGTGGCCTGGAGCAGGCCACCCAACTGGCCTTTTCCCGTAGAGTTGGATGTGCGATTGTCAAACGCTGAAATCGCACCTGCGCCGTTCATCAGAGCTCGGTACCCGCCTCCGGACACGGCGACGCCAATTCGGGGTAGCACGGCGCTCTGGTTCCCGCCTTCAACTTCCTTGACGATATTATCAATGTACGCACTGGTATCTAGGCCGCTGATGTTGAAACGCGAGAGAAGACTTTTCATTGCTGGAATGGTCTTGTTGTCGCGAAGGCTGAGCCATGTTGTTTCGTTGGCCGACAGCCCGCTGGCGGCCCGAATCGTCGGTCGTGGCGAAGGGCAGGACACCGAGGCCGGCGCGTAACCATCGGGACTATTTGGGACCGCTCGGTTCTCAAGAGCCGTGCATGCGACTGCTGTGCGCTGTTAGCCGAGACAACAAGTCGTCGCTTATACTGGTCCGTGTTGGCTTGGCTGACCTTGAAGTGGTGCCAGCAGAAGTGCCAACAAAGCCATCCAACTCGAAGCCGACATGCTGACTATTTCCAGCTAAAGCCAGTGAGTGGGTGTTGGTGCCCTAAAAAAAAGCCGGTTGATGTCTAGAAACCATATTCTCACCGTTTGGTGCAGTAGTCCAGCGGCCTCCATGAAATATATTCTGCCCTTGAGCAACAACCTAAACAAGTTTACTCGGACGAGTTACAATCATGGCTGTAATGCAAGCACCCAAGGCGTCTGCTAGTTCGCGGATGCCGCTCTGAATTCTCCAGCCGCCATCTTCAGCCTTTGCCAAAATATTGAAATTCTTCACATTCGCGCTGGCTCTAGTTTGCCGTTAGACTTTCGTGTGGTCCGTTGGGCGCAACCCCATGGCTCACTCACCGAGCACAAACACAGCAACAGCTTGCTTTCCGCTGCCACCAAACACTTTAATAGTGAATTCCTCCGAAGCGACAGCGTGCCCAAACTTGCTTGGACCGACATAGTGAACATCCCAAGACAGCGAAATCCTGTCGTTCTCGCCGTACCCAACGATGCGATAGCTAACAGTTCCAGCAGCCCCCGCGCCCACGTGGCGCGACCTGCAACGCCACATTCCGCTCTCTCCAGCTCTGATCTCACCAGGGGGCTCCGACTCTGGCGTGTCCGTCATCCATTCGCCATGGTCGAGGCGCGGGGATCCCAGCTCGAGGGAGAGCTCCTCGTTCGTGTGGTTGAGCAAGACGACTATGAGCTCTCGGGCGGCCATTTTGGATGTATCTTTTTTTTTTCCCTTTTTGTTTTCTTGACTTGAAATGATGGCTCAATGTTGACGCCAATGGTGGGAAAGCAGCAGTAAATAAGCTTGGCTATCTTTTGATGGAGCATAGCTCACCTGCTCCACGGTTCGAGGCTACGATGTCGCCTCTCTGCTGTGGCTTCGGTCTGGACTTGGGCTGGCGTAAAATGCATGCCCGGATAGGATCTGGGTATGTAAGCCTCTCTGTAAGCGTCATTGCGCCACCATCGTTGGCTTCACGGGCTGTCAGTGAGGACCAGCCTATTGGAGAAGCATCTTGGTATTTGTCCTGTCCGCTGGACTTGAGAGTTGGTTCTCGTGACATCTCGTGGATTTGGGTTGGGATGAGATAAAAAGGCGCTTAGATTATTACGCCCACCCGACAATAGACCAAGCCTATGTCGCAATTCTATAGCCGGCCTGGACGATGTTCCATCAAGCGGAGAGATTGTGTTTTCCCACGTCTTTTGGGCAGCTTCCACCACAGGAGAGCGCCAGCTACCGGGCGCGCATCGGGTAAGGCTATGGAATAGGAGCTGGTAAAGTACGGAAGCAGAGCATCCAATAAGACATCAAGCTGCTTGGCAGATTTGTTCAAGACGCACAATCGAGCGGCGGCCTTGATGGGTCCGAGGTGACCGGAGACGAGAGTCTTCCGCTGCCTGTTGAGGAAAATGCATCCCTTTTTTGCATCGAGGGCGGGTTGAGATAGCGAGACCCGGCGCCTTCGTCACTATAACCTCCAAATCTGCGTAATGACCAGTAAAACTGTGGTCTGTACTGCATGCATTGTGTAGCATACTCGCGAGAAGGTAGGCTGGGTTGTTCTAGGCTCACCGCCAAACACTCGCGATACCGAAAGGCATGGCCTTTTGACCCTAATTGCGTTGGCGATTTATCTCTCCACGTTTTACGCTGACAACCTGAGCTGGGTGCCGAACATGTCTGGGGCTATCATCCATTAGGTTTGGACTGGAGATGGTGGCTAACAGCCAGAGGCGCCGCCTGCCACATTGCCGAGCGACCATACCTCTGCGAAGAGACTGCCGTAGTTCATGGCAAGACAACACAGATGTTGGGTTGGGCTGAGTCTCGAGCCGTAGACGGTGCAATTCCTCAAATTGGAGACCGCTATTGCGGAACGGCTTCAGTTGATATAGAACCATTTGAACGTATTGCTTGGTCTTCAGCATGAATTTGGCAGAATGTTGGGCAAGGCGCTGCCTTTGGTGGAGGCGTTGCGGCGTCAGCTTCGGGCAAACGCCGGCACAAGATTTCCTACTACCGAAAGTCGACCTTGGCAAGACTCTGACAATACCTAGCGATTTGCTGGTTCAATTGGCCCTTCAACATTCCCGGTGAGCATGCTCGATAATGAGTGCCATTGACCGGTTTGCCCCCTCTAGCGGACAACGGCCTGGGCCATCTACGCAACGCTTTGAAGAGCAACCCCCGCCGCTCGCTTCGAAGCCAAATAGGGCTGTTCCGGGAGCAACATGACGGAGCGGCGTGATGGACAATGTCAACTTGTAAAGTGCTCCTGGTCGAGCCCGTTCGTCTTGGTTAATGACCGCCTGCTGATATCCCAAAGCGCAGTTCGACTGCCAAGTGTGCAGATGGACTTGTCCGATCCGTAAGAGGCAAAGACACAGCGTTGCAACGGAGCGTCTGTTTGCGTCGCTGTCACCGAAGAGCCGATACAACCATACAAGGAACTTGACAACCAGAGGTTTTCCCTACCCATCTGCGACTGATACAAGAGGACGAGTGAGATTATGGGATGCGTTGGACGGTGGGCCAGGCGGCCTCCCGGGAGCGTGAACGTGCGCCCTCAGCAGCGGCTGTGCGAGCAACGTGGGGTTGAGGGACAAATCCCCGAGTAGGCCAAGAGGCCCGTCTCCCGTGACATTCAGCTGCAGTCAGCTGAAATCATCGATGAATAGCGGCAACTCATAGCTCCAAGTGCCACCACACGATGTGGCCATTAACAGACGGCGACGAGTGATTTACGCCGCTGATGGAAAAGAACCCGAAAAGGCTTCTCAAGCCTGGTGGAGCTCGGAGCTTGGGCTGTCCAGTTCACTGTCGATCATTAATACAGAAAAGTGCCGCACTGCATCATCAGGTACATTGTATTACTATTTATCTGTTTCGGACATGCAAGACTTGACTTGACCGATGGCTCCTGGAGAAAGGGACCTAGATCTTGGATCGGTGGGCAGCCATAGGGCTGTCCCGTTTGAGCTCGACTTATAACTAAACCCTCAACGTCAGCCAACAGCGAGGCCACCAAAGACACATTCTTTCTGCCCAAACAACCTCTTCGCGTCACAAGCTGGTCAATCCACAGCCTCGATTGCCGCGCTCTTCTCATTGCTACTTTGGGCAATGTAAGCCGACGTCAATATGGGCTCACCGAAGGAGAGCTTCTCAGATACGACCACCAAGTCCTATCGTCTCTCGTCTCGAGCCAATAGCTTCACGTACGAGCGACTCCATAAAGGCCGGCAGTTACGGAGACTGCTGGCTGCTTGCTTATCGCGATGGCTTGTGACATTGGTTCTCTGCGCGGCCATATACGTTGTGCTATGGCGGTATTCAACGAACATGGCAATGCCTAAAAAGAGAAAGACGGATTTCAACGCGTTAATTGTCGGCCTGTCTATCCTTCTGAGCTTGAACCTAGCCAGCTCGCTAAAACACATGGTGGCCACCTTGCGGTGGTGGGTATTGAGCTTGAATGAATGGAAACCTCGAGAGGTTGGCACCCTCGGACAACTGAACTTACAACTACCCTTCCAGAGAACAAACATGTCTAACACTCTCTAGGTTGATCTCATTCTCCAGGGCGAAAATATTAGCCGCATGGTTCAATTACTCTACCTCTCTCAACGACACACCCTTCGCTTCTATGTCGTCATTTGGGTGCTCATCAATGTGGTATGCCGCCCAGAAGGAACAGGTACTGCTGATCAATGGACCTGACGCTGACTTCGCTTGGAGGCTGCGCAAATTGGACTGGCCTGTCTAGGCTTGACATACAACGTCAATGGCGCCGACAAAGTGGTCCCCACGATCGACGGCATCGTGTCTATTCCAGATTTGACCAGCATTCAGACAAACAGAGTGCTGGCGCATCGCCAGAAATCGCCGTCACAACTGCAGACTCTGAATGCACTTCGATTCACAGCAAACAAGTGCGTTTGATTCCAGAAACGTGAGAGACACTGTAACACTACTCAAGACGCTCACTAACCTGTCTTGGCTGCAGTTATGGAATGTCTGCCCTGGCGAGTGGCGTGAGCTATCCTGTGTCTTTCAGTCCTCCAACGCCTGGCACGCTATTCAACCCGGACACGATAGCTCTGACATGCGACAACTCAACAGCATGCCACTCTACCTTTTATGAATCTACACCGGAAAACTTACCGTACTACTTCATGGCGGCGACGAACCGCTCGGTGTCCACCACCTCGAAATGCCGAGCTTTCAGGGTGACACGAGGAGGAAACGGCGACTTTAACGACATCGCAATTGCCGACGCAAACGCAACGTCATTCAGAGTGCCCACCAAGAATGGCCCCGACCAAACGACCTTCATTGTCGATCCAGCAACAGACCAACACGTCGGATGGAGCCTTGTTTCGGCCTTTGAAGCATCCAACAGCGACCCTTGGTTCTACAGATGCAATATTTCCGTAGGCCCAGTGGTCAATGCCGTTCTCGAGGCGCATCGACTCGGGGATAACATCAAACTCATGGCCCCCGCGGCTATTGCTTTGCAAGGCTACGGAGCATCCGTGGGCACCAACCTCACCGACCACATCCAGTTTCAGAGCTATCCCGCCGAATCGCTCTATGGGTCTCCCGCTGGCGGCGACACGGTCCTCATGGGAGTCATCACGAGTGTTTTCGCGTCCGGCGTCATCTGGACTACTACTCAAGCCAATACCAACATCAACGCAACTGGACGCCTGCCTGTCCAGGGAATTACCCTTGACATCAACTCGTGGGCCTACGTGCACCTTGTTCTCGGCTTAATCATGGGCCTGCAGCTGCTGTTCGCACTCATCTCTATAGCCTTGTCAAACCGCGTCATGGTCCGGGATCACAGCCACTTTGGCGAGGCCGCTCTCTTGCGATCTACCATGTACGATTTGAGCTATCGAGCCATCATGGCAAGTGAGAGGGAATTGGCCAGCTTATTTCCCAAGTCGGTGACGATTCGATATGTTCGGGAAGAAAACGGTACATATTACCTCCGAGTATCAAACTAAAACGTTTCTGTTACGGTATGAGGGGTCATCTCTGTTGAACGGAGTGTGTGGACAAAAGTGTTTATGCATCGTTAAGTCAGCGTGCACATGATTCCATTCAAGCGACACGTCGTATCCCACGATTCACACCAACATGATATGAATGTCCATTCACGTGACAGCTCAATATTCGACTCATTCCGAACATCAGTGCCAAGTCTCTCACCAAAACCAGCCACAACCCCTCCTGGGGTTTGCGACTTTTTGCGACCTGCCGCGCCGTCTGCCACCTCCATTTTTTGACAACTTCACCAACCCCAGCGTATCATCCCTCGAGCCCTTTCCCGATGCCGCTTGTGTTTCGAGGCAGGCTCTTTCAGCAGGGCGCGCAGGAATACCGTCAATGTAGCTGCGTGGCCTTTGTGCCTAGGCGCTCCTGCAAGACTCGTTCGTTGGTGAGGCATCGGCAGGTGGTGTGGTTTTGGGGATGGACGGAGGGAAGAGGGCAGAGGTGTTCTTGTGCTGTTGCGTTGGCGGAAGAAGTCTGGATTACACGTCTGCTACTAGGTGGTTGCGGTAGCGAGGTGTGAGGTGGACGGCGTGCCATGGGGCATTTAGCCCCTGTCCGTACTCCAAGCTAATCTACCGGCCAAGTCCCCGACGACCTTATCATTACAGGTACAGGGTTGCGTTGAGAGTGCCGCTGTGTCAAGTTCCCATGGTTTGTGGTCGATGGTGGAGGCTGGCCACGGCGTGATGGCCTCGAGAGGCAGTCAAGACGAAATCGGCCACGGCGGCAGGGTCCTTGTGTACGCACGAAGTAGATGCAGTAACAGACCTCTGTGTGCGGCGAGACTGTCGATGTCGAGCCTTTTCCTTTTCTCGGTCAACTTCTTCACGTATGCCAGCTGCCGTATGCTCCGCCAGGAAATGCTCGCTTGTTTGCACGCATGAGGCCTCGACAAGGGTGTTGCCTACGTCTCCTCGTTGGTGCTGTGCTTTCTCAGCATATCGAGAGCTACGTGTCTGTGACTTAGCATGCTACCGAGCCAAATATTTGGGTGTTGCCATGGCCGCTGCTCGCCGTGGACGCCACGGGACACGATGGCTTCCAGAACTTGGTCGGTTGCGCCCGCGTGCAAATACGCTGCGGATGGCAGAGGAAAGGGGATAAAGCTGTTCCACGGGCCGATTTGCTGCCGGCCCTGTAACTACCTAACGTCGTGTTCCGATTCATGGCGACACCCGAATCAACACCGGCGGCCATTGGGCGTGAATTAAAGGAACAATATCAATCAATGGCTGAGGTCGGATGACTTTGGGTCCTCTGGGTCCAGTTCCAAGTCAAGTCAGATTGACGTTTCACAAGACAATCAAGATGGCTGCCGTTGAGGAACATGGATAAATCGTTATCGCAACAAGGTGGCCAGGAAACGCGCATGTCCTTTCTCCATCCATAACATGGAGCGGGCTTTTTCTGCTCAGATCAGGCTCAAGAGTCAAGACAAGCCGCTACACCGCCAGTCAGCTCGCCAAAAAGCATTAGTAGTGGACTTGGTGGTTCCCCGGGGGCGACAATGAGGAGTTGGGCGCATGGACAGACTTGCTGACCCCTCCGTTCAATATAAGCTGCCACTTGCTCACCCTTGTCTGGGCGAGTCACCTAGCCAAAACGTCATGTCATGTCATGGCCTAGTATACGCTAATGCCGACCACCATGGCACTGTGCAGAGGGGGGGTGTTTCTGCTGCTGCAGGCGGCAGCAATGAGTTGACACTCTTTTTCTGGAAGACTGGATGGAAATAATCTTTGGCGACTCGTTCGACCAAGCCACTAGTTAGTTGAAACAGAATGTGGCTGGGCTTGCTTGGGCTTCGGCCAAGCCTCGCCGGTGCGATTAATGGCCTCTTGGAGGGCGTTTGAGACCATTCTGCATACAGTCGGGTGCGTTTCTGAACATTTCCCATCGCACCACCAAGCATTGGGCCAGGGTTGGGGTTAGGGGTTACTTTCCGAAAAGTGGGGCTGCCGTCTGCGCCTGTTCCAGCTCCTGGGGAACGTGCGTAGATAACGCGAACCCCGCCTCCATGCCGAGTCTCAACCTTTCTTCTTGGCCCTCCACTTGGTCTTCTAGAACTGCTCTCCGCGCGCCGGGGGATCGCCGCGGGGTTTGGGGGATCGCTGGGGTGTGGTGCAAGAGAACGACTCGTGCGTATCACGGAGAATCAGCTCGAAGGGCTCGTCTGCAGACAGGAACTCGGCTCGGGGTCCTATTGCTATTGCAGTCATCCGCACCTGCCGTCGGAGTGGCTGACTTTTGTTACGTTACCGCCACCAGCAGGGCTGTGGCCCGACAGTGTACTTAGGGCAGCCCCAAGGCCGCAGCACTATACTACTAGTGCGCATGGAGATTTGCTCTAATTGTGGTCGCGTGTAATTGAAAAACTCGTCTTTTCTTTTCCCCACGAGTCCAGGATTCAAACTACCTCCGCAGGCAAGAGTGATCTCAATGTTACATGGCCCCATGTCGTTTGCTGTCGGCCCACGTTTTGACCATCCATTTCAGTTTGTCGGGACTTGGCAGGCAAGATACCGAGCATGTCCTCTGCTGCTGCTACGAGTCTAAGTACTCGTAGTAGCTACTCCACACGTGGACGGTAATCACCTAAGTACTTGAGTACCCAGGGTGCTTGCGGAGATGCCCAAGTACCTAGGTACTTATCTTTGCACTCGCAGTAGCTCACTCCACTCCACCAAGCGCACTTGGGTACTTGAGTACTAATTAGGAACCTTCCAAGCTCCCTCTAAAAGCGGGCGCGTCACGGGTCCCGTGTCCTGACCCTTTGTTGATGACGCTTGACCTGTTTTCCCTCTCCCCAATTCGACGGCTGACGACTTCTTCACGTCACCAGTACTGGTATCCCTTCATATCAAAGGAAAGGCCGGCTTTGGCAAGCTCGGTCTTCCAGGCTCCGCCCAGACGACTTGCCCGTCCATCCGCCATGCCTTGGCTGTTGCTGGACGGTCCGTGGACAAGCCTCCCCGAAAGATAAAAAGCGCATCCAAGTCATCACTCCACTCACACCACACGAACCAACAGTCAAACTAACGACTATACACCATGCGAGCGGGGGTTGCGCTTGGTGTTATCCGGCCCTGGTCAGCATTTAACCTCCTAGACCTCTTTGCCAACCGAGTTTGTCCTGGCGGCGAGCCCGTGGAGCAGGCCTTCCGGGTAATTGTGTGCTCGGCCCAGCCAGATAGATGGCTGACAATGGACGCAAATGCCGTCTTCACGACTCGTGGGTTAGAGTCCGGGGCTCGTCTTGGCCATGTTTTGTGTGTACGGACTATTGTCATGCGAAGAGGGCCCATAGGGCTCAAGGCTCAAGGCTCAAGTGCACAACAAATTGTCGGCCTGCCGAAATCGTCTAGTTATACATGAGAACGGGAAGCCCTTACTGCTCGTGACCAACGTCCGCCACCCCAAACTCTTCCTGGCGAGGAGCTTTCTGCATTGCTCGTGGCGAGCCTGGGTGAATCCGTCAGCCGCACCGTCCGGGTCAGCAGCAAGAAGCAACCGTTGACATCGAATCGAGTTCCTTGCCTCACCCAACCTTGACACCCTTGCACTGCAGCTGCTGTGGTATATTTGCTTTGGCAGGCGCCACCGAGGACTTGTCGAGTCTCCCGTCGTCACGCGACTTCCCTCTCTCTACACTTCTTCGCGTATTTTGCCGTCTTTTCCCCCGTCGTTCGAACCTCTCTCCTCACTCTCCTCACTCTCCTCACTCTGAGCTCACTCGTCAACACGCCGCCCACACGTTGCCATGAATTCCGAGGGCATTTATGCCCGCCCGGGCAAGGGTGATGGCAACGGAAGCGATCCTGAAAAGGCAAGCTTGAGGCACACCCAGTATGAGGACGTCGAGATTCGTGGTTTGGAGACGTCTCCCGAGACCATGCTTCACAAGGGCCTCAAGGCTCGTCACATCACCATGATTGCCATTGGTGGTGCTCTTGGAACTGGCCTGATTGTCGGAACCGGCAAGGCTCTTGCCCAGGCCGGACCCGGTTCTCTCTTCATTTCGTACACCTTTGTCGGCATGTTGGTCTTCATGGTTATGGCTGGTCTTGGTGAAATGGCTGCTTGGTTGCCCCTGAGTTCGGGTTTCACCGGTTATGCCACCCGATACTGCCACCCGTCTCTTGGATTCGCTCTAGGATGGTGGTTAGTTTGCTCCCCTTGGCGTCGCTCTGCGACTCTACACTCCCCAACAGCGGCTTCCTGGGGCCAAGTGTTATATAAGTATGCGCTGACCTGACTTTTCAATAGCTACTGGATGAAGTACATTATCGTGACCCCAAATCAGCTCACGGCCGCGTCCCTCGTCATTTCCTTCTGGGTACCCCGCGACAAAGTCAACCCTGGAGTCTTCGTCGCAATTTTCCTCGTTGCCATCCTTTGCATCAATTACTTTGGAGGAATCAAGTTCTTCGGCGAGTTTGAATTCTGGCTGTCCTCGTTCAAGGTCATTGTGGTGATTGGAATCATTCTGTTCGCCCTCATTATTGCTTGCGGCGGCGGACCGAACCACGATGCCACCGGCTTCCGATATTGGAATGACCCCGGCGCTTTTGCACAGCTATACAAATCGGGTCCTCACGGCGCTCTGGGCAAATTTTTGGGATTTTGGTCCGTCATGGTCAACGCTACCTTTGCCTACCTTGGAACTGAGCTGGTCGGCGTAACCGCTGCCGAGGCCCAGAACCCACGTCGATCCATTCCCAAGGCCATCAAGCTCACATTCTACCGCATCTTGTTCTTCTACTGCCTCAGCGTTCTACTTGTGGGCATGATTGTTCCTTACAACCACGAGAAGCTCGCCTTTGCCAACAAGCAGACGACTGGCGCCAGCGCTAGTCCTTTTGTTGTCGCCGCCACTATTGCTGGTGTCTCTGGCTTGCCTCATATCATCAATGCTTGCATTTGCGTCTTCGTCTTCTCTGCCGCCAACTCGGATCTTTATATTGCAAGCCGTACCCTGTACGGACTGGCGAGTGACCGTTCTGCTCCCGCCATATTCCGTCGCACTGACAGCCGGGGTGTTCCTGTACCTGCCCTTGCCGTCGGTACAGCTTTTGCTTGCCTGGCCTTCATGGTTGTTTCCGATGATTCCAAAAAGGTTTTTGGATACTTTGTGAACCTGACCACCATCTTTGGTCTTTTATCTTGGATTTCTCTCCTGGTCACTTATATCTACTTCCTGAAGGCTCGTCGCGCACAGAACATTCCCGACAATGCTATGCCGTATGTCGCCCCTCAGGGCCTTGTTGGGACCTACGTTGCTCTTTTCTTCTGTATTCTCATCCTACTCACGAAGAACTTTGATGTTTTTATTCATCATGACGGCGTATCCTTTGACTACCAAAACTTTATCACTGGCTATCTAGGCATTCCTCTCTACCTGATTCTTCTATTTGGGCACATGATTGTTACCAAGAGCCGTGCAGTAGCACCACATGAGGCCGACTTTTACGCCGGAAAGGACATTGTTGACCAGGAGGAGAACGACTTCCTGGATCTTCAGAAGGAGAAGATTGCCGCCAGTACAGGATGGTCCAAGTTCTACAACCGCTATGTATCATGGCTGTTTTAGGGGAAGCTGCGAAGTTGTTTGGATTGAGCTCATGTGCACGAGTCGCTTCTCGGATTGACATTATTATGCAGCAGTAGTAGATACGAAGAGTTGTATGTCGCCTTGTGAGCTGGCCACGAACATTGGTCATGTATTATTTACGAAAAAAAAAAATCCAAAGAATAAAAAAGTGGGTACCTTGTTGTGTCTCGGTCACATCCCATCATTTCTGGATCCATCATTGCGCTTGACTTTGCCACGAGCCAGAGCCGCCATGTTTGTCGCCGAGTGCGGTCTGTGAGAATGCGAGATTGTCACATGGATAACCCTGACCCTAAATGGTTGCTGAATCTCTTGTCTCGGTCGCCAAGGCAGGCCCAAGGCCCAAGCCAAGCCATGGCCGGCCGGCCCACAGCTTATCTGCAGTTTCTCACGGCCCCTTGGCAGGCCGGGACCTCCGCTAATAGTGGGGGGGTCGATACGGGCGCGATTCACGCTCATCTGCGGAGTGACACAAAACTCCAGTTCTCGTTGCAATTCCAAACAGTCATGCAAATGAACGCGACGCGAGTGACGAGGACCGAAACTGTCATGCCCGCGCCGCGCCCACAGTGGCAGAGTATCTACTCCGAAATCGGACGACATTTCATGGTGAAGAGCGGGTTGCTGATATGGCGACAAGCACAACTATTTTCATTGTAGGAGGCCTCCCCGGGGGGTAAAGTAAAGGCAGAGAATCTATTCGTCTATCGTTGACCCGCGAATCTCTATGCCCATTGCTCAGGCGTTGTAAAGCAACCAAAACCAACTGCGGACATGAAAATGAGACAAAGCCAAGCGCGGAAAAAAAAAACACCCTCCATTTTTATTGTCGAGTCTCCCAACGCCGGTGCTAGAAATGCTGCAAAAGTGTATGTATGGCGCTCCCTGTTTGTGACTGTGTTTCGCAGGAAGAACCGACTCCGTTTTCCAAAGATTCTTGACAGATGACGCGGCTGAAAAAAAAAAGAATAAAGAAATGAGCGCCCCCATTCTATATGATTCCTGGTACATTGTGCGCGGCGTGGTGCACGAAAAAAGAGAAAAAAAGACGAGCAGCCGCGGGGGCTACAGGAGGGCTCGCTGGCGGGCCTTCTCCTCGGCGAAGACGATGCGGCTCATTTCCAGGACGCGCTCGAAGCCCTCGCGGCCCTTGAGGGCGTTCTCCTTGAAGCGCGTGACGAGGGTGTCCTCGATGCTGTTCTTGATGCGCTGCCAGCCGCCGCAGAGGGCCGTGACGCGCGCCGACTGCTGGAACTGCGTCTGGTGGGCGCCCAGCGGGGTGTAGGCGACCTCCTCCTGGACGTTGACGAGGTTGCTCCACGTCAGGTTCTGGCTGACCATGGTGAGGGCCTTGCGGGCCGGGTCGACGTAGGACGCCTCGAAGACGTAGCTCACGTCCATCGAGTTGCCCATCAGGGTCTTGAGCCACTCGGGCGCCGACTGCTTGCAGGTGATGAGGCGTTCGGTGCGGAGGATGCCCGTCTCGGGGTCGACGGTGCGCGAGAGCGTGTCCACGGCGATGACGTGCTCCGACTTGTTGTTCCACGGGCCGTACTTGCGCCAGTTGGCCGTGGACACTTCGTCCCACGAGTAGTTGTATGTCACGGCGTTGGAGAAGACCTTCATTGTGGGTTTTTTTGACGCTGCGTTGCCTTTGCGCCGCAGGGTTCTGGGACGTCGTTCGGCAGACGGTGGTTGTGGTATTATTTTGCGCGCGAGTCTGGTGTGTTTGTTGACGGGGCCCCAAGCTCGTGACTCACTGGGCCAGGTGCGCGTAGTTCGTCTGCGGACGGTGAAGATGTACGGAGTATGCCGAAGGAAAAGGGAAAGTCGACTCGCCGGATACAAAAAAGGGAGAAGAAATGGCAATGCTCGCAGTCGTGTTTTGCGCCAAACAAAAGCGGCGAACAAGCTTCGAACCCGTAATGATTGCTTGCTGAAACGTTGGGGATGAGTCTTTTTTCTTTTTTCTATTCAGGAGAGAAATTCCTGATTGACAAGGGGGCGGGCAGAGGCTGTAGATAAATTTGCCTCAGGTGCCACTCAGTTCGCTCCGCACGGCCTACTTCGGAGCGAATGCAGCGTGCACGCCGCCTGCAGACAGGTATTTTTTTTTTTTTTACGGTGGCACCGTCGCTTACTATTCCTGTTTGGGTTGCACTAAGCCCGATGTGGGCGATTTCATCTTTGTCGCGCGATAAAACACCGGGAGCGGAAAACAACTACACAGCCCTGATTGGCTCGGGCGTCTGGGTGTGTGGTGTGGCCGACACGGTCTGCCCGTGGACATCGGCAGAAGAGAGTCGACTCGGCAAGTCTGCTCTGGAGAAGCCCAGGGTGGCAAACAAGGAGGAAGCCGGGAGGGAGCCTTTATCGTAGACGAGGCTTTCTCAGTGCAAGCATTTGAATCTATCCTCGGCATTGATTGCTTCGCGGTCCGGTGGCCCTCATCATCTGTGTTCACTGGACTACCTCGGCAGAGCTTCCTTCAGCTTCGGCTTCACGCAAAAACCGACCGTCTCTAACTTGACGTCAGTATGAGTTTGTGGTGTGCGTGATCAACTCTCGGCTCGTCATCATGCTTTAACAAATAGGACAGTATTATTTCAGATGCTATCTCATGTTTGTAGATTCTACAGCTTAGTAGTCGTCTCCGCGGCTAATAATTTCCTTCACGGTTGGCCGAATCAGGATAGTCTTTACCATTGTTAGCACACACGATACGATAACCCCGTTGTAGGCAGTTGCGACTTACGTGCTCGAATTGAGCAGTATATGAGCCCTTTTTGTCACACAAGGGCGGGTAGGCCTCGACAATGCCGCTGTTGACCAAGCTGTTCAACTGAACCGCAGTTAGCGCCTGCGTCATGAATCCCGTCACGTCACAAGAAGCTAGGTTGCACTCACGCCAAGCAAGTACTTGTCCTGGCCCAGACGGTCCAGATAACGACGGCAGAAAGGCAGGGTGCCGAAGTTTTTGTTAATCACGTTGAGCAGCGTTTTGGCTGAGCTCAGGCGTAGGTCCACGTGCTGGATGTCTGCGTTCTTGGCGTAGTGGGAAACTTCCATGTCGTCTCTTACATAGCCGTTGCCGGTACTTCCAAAAGTCTCAATGGCAAAGACATCCCCTTCTTCCATCTTGGTCTGGTCGTTGCTCTTGACAATGGGCACGGCCTTGGTACCGTGAATGCTGTAGGGCAAAATGTTGTGGCCAGTCAGGTTGCGAATACTCTTGACGGGGTATGTGGTGCCATCAATCTCCACCTCGAAGCTTTCCATGGTTTCCTGAATGACGCCCCCGATTTCACCAACACGGGCATCGATACCGGCCTCGCGGATGCCGGCATTTGTGGCTTCCTTGACCGCCTTGAGCAGATTGTCGTATTTGGACTCAAAGGCAACCGTGAAAGCAGAGTCGACAATCCGGCCGTTGACGTGCACACCAAAGTCTACCTTCATAACGTCATCCTGCTGCAGAACCATCTTGTTGCCGGCATTGGGCGTGTAGTGTGCGGCGCAGTGGTTCAAGCTGAGCCCGCACGGGAAACCCATACCAGCAACCATTGCGTCGCCCTCGTTCAATCCCGGGTGGCCTGTAAGAGACCGGACGCTGTTCTCGATGGTTTCGGCGATTTCGGTCAGGGTCTGGCCGGGCTTGATGGACTTCTGGGCATACTGGCGAACCTGTCTGTGAATCTCAGCGGCCTCGCGGTAATCGCTCAGGAACTCGGTGTTCAAGTTTTCCAGATGACGTTTTTCCTCGCTGGTAGTCCGGTAGCGGTTCTCGTCTTTGTATTCGACTTCCTCGCCCTTGGGGTAGCTCTTGTTGGGAAATAGCTGGCTCACCACGACGCTCGGCGGCTCGGTCTGGGCGGTAGGGCTCTTCTTCTTCTTCTTGGGCTTTCTCTTCTTCTTCTTCTTGGCAGCCCCGTCGACGCCGTTGCCGGCAGCATTCTCATCGGCGTCGTCGTCAGAATCCTCTGCGTGGCCATCATCGTCGACTGTAGGCGCAGGCTTTGCGCCCTTGCCATTTGCCCTTGCGGCTTCACTCACTGCAGATGGAGCCCCGTATCAGCCACAAGGTCGGTGGTGCATATGATCAGATGTTAGATTTACCTTTGAGCTCTTTCAGAGCGTCCGTGGGGACTTGGGTTGCCATCTTGACGACGTCCTTGAAGGTGAAGTGGGCAGCGTCAATCGATGGTCGCACCCGTAAAAAAAAGGTGGTCGACTGATCAAAGTACCCCGCCACTTTAGACAAAAATGGCCGAACACGATTTTGGCCAGAGTCTAGAGATGCCCCGCGAGCGGAATCCGGCCGGTCAGTTTATTTTGTCAGCAGCAGACTTTCTCTTTGTGCAGCAAGCCACGCATTAGTTCTTGGGATTTCCCGTGCGTCAACTTGCATGCTATTATTAGCAGATGCAATTCCATTTTGACGATATAAGAGGCCAGTCTCGGTGCGCCGACCCAAGCAGGCGTTTGGCGCAAACCCCCATACAACGACGCAGTTCCAGGAACAGCGGACAGGCCATGGACGTTGTCATGGCATCGAATTCTCCCGAGCGGCCAACGCAAAGTAGTTACAGTAGTCAACCATGTTTGGAAATACTTGGCACAGAACAGAGGCCGTCCTCGAAACTGACGTGACAGTTCCATATGTGGGGTCGGTTACGTGGGGTTCCCGAGGTTGAGCGCCAATTCCTACAACTTCGGCATACTCCCTCTTCCTCGACATCCCTGCCTTGGTTTTGGTCAAATATATCCCCAAAATGGACTCCCAGGTCCAAAGGTTGGTCGAAAAGGCATGGAGCAAATATCAACAAGCGGCCCCTGGACAGAGGCTGTGTAAGCTCACCCACAAGCCAAAGGGCCCCCGCTCCCAACCTTCACTCTAACTCAGACCGAGGCCACGACTGACATGATACTCTGCGGTTGAACAGTAATTGGCATTGGGGGTATCCCCGGATCAGGTAAAAATCTTCAGAGCTAAGCCGTTTGAATAATTTCAAGGTCCAACTTTCTCAGGTAAAACGACGCTCTCACAACAAGTCTCCGAAAGACTCAACCAACATGCCGCCAAGACATTGCCAACCGCCCCTCCGCCGGCAACGTACGTTCCCATGGACGGCTTTCATTTCACCCGGGACGAGCTTTCCGCCATGCCGGATCCTGCTAATGCCCACGCTCGTCGCGGCGCGGCATTCACCTTTGACGCAAGGAAATTCCTCACCCTGATCCAAAAGCTTCGGGAACCGATATCAGCACTGCCGATTCTGGCGCCGTCGTTTGACCATGCTGTCAAAGACCCCAAAGAGGACGACATAGCCGTGTTGCCAACGCACAAGATTGTCATCTTGGAGGGCAACTATCTCGCCTTGGACAGGGACGTATGGCGGGATGCTGCAGCCCTTCTCGATGAGCTGTGGTTCGTCGAGGTGGAATTTGAAGTTGCGAGGAAGAGATTGAGGGAGCGACATGTACGGGCGGGCATTGTCGGCACGATCGAAGAGGGGGACAAGAGGGCAGTTGAGAATGATCTCGTGAATGGAGAGGAGATTATGGCGCGCCGCTTGAGGGCGGATGAGGTTGTGCGGAGCGAGGAGGACGGATCCTGGGTTCATGACTGACGACGCTGGATATAAGACATCTCGGTAGTACCTAGACAATCTGGCTCATCACGATTACTAATCTGAGAATGCGACACGGTACGTAATGTGCTTTGTTTAGAAGCGATTATACTGGTAATCATCTTGCTGCATTCATTCTTTAAATGCTAGGAGCAAACTAGTTCTGTTGAAGCTGGGCTTATAACCTTGGAGGTCCCAAGGCACTCGCTGAATCGGCCTCGGTGAGTTGGGCTCCTATAAGCGCCTCCCGGACTATGATCCCAGTTACACGGAATCAACCAGCACATGGTATTCAAGGACGGATGCAGCAAGATGATAAGAGTTGGCCTGTTTCTAAACGAAGCACAGAACTCCGTGTCCAACGCGCTGATTTACGTCACAGTCTCGGCAAGTAGAAATTTGCTGCAATCCCAATACGATGGCTTTCGATGGTCCAACGATGAGCCGTTGCACCATCTATGCCTCCTTGGTCTCATTCGACTCTCTCAGCTTATTCATCTTGCTGGCCATGGTCAGCCCTGTACCCCTGCCGGACTGCAAGGCCGTTATCCACGTCTCCTGATCTTTCATCGGGAGTCCGTTCCCATCCAGCCCCAGGACCTCCATGAGCTTGGGAATCTCGGTGTGGTCGCGCGTCGTCTTCATCCGATGGCACCAAGTAATCCTCTTCCGCTCCACAGGTTCGTCATCCCCGCGGTCTCTACTGCCGCCGGTCGCGCCTTGGGTCGACCCTATCGCCGCAGGCCGCTCATACATGGGCGTCGTGATGGGCGTGACGACATCAAGTGGCTCAAAGAGGAACTCGCCGCCTACCTGACGCTGGTCCCCGGACTTGAGAGACAATCCCTTGGGAAGTACCTTGAGTCCTTGGCCGATGCTGTCCAGCGTGCTCCTCCACATGCTTTTCCTCATGTACGCGGGCTTGGAGCCCAGCGCGAATGTCTTGGTCATGCCGAGCGCATCAAAGAGTGCGCGCGTGGGGTCGGTGTACAGCGGGAATGGACAATTGGTCGCCTCGATGTACATGTTGATGAGAGCTGGGTCGCCGCAGCCCACGACGACAATGAAGGTGCTGACGGGGAGTTGGAGGAGGACATCGGGGCTAATTGAATCCGAGAGCGTCCGTAGGTATTCCTGGCAGTTCTGAGAGCCGTCGAGTCAGCATCTATTGCAGTCTCAACGAAATCGTGGTGGAACACGGCTACCTACGCCACAGAAGAAATGTCGGATGAACACCACCAGCACTCGCCTCGCTACATTATTCCCACTATACAGGCTCTTGAATGTCTTGGACTTGCCATCTCGGTCAAGAACGATGTAGTCGTCGATTTTCCTGATGGTTTCGGCCGAGGGCAGCTCGTTGTTTGTGGTCACCTCCCCGTCAAAGTCCTCTGGTTTGGTCTTGTCGATACCAGTCGCGGCCTGAGGCTTGGGGGCGGGAGCAGCAACGTCGTCAGTTGGAAGTGAGGACCCCGCGTCTGCGACTGTAGTTCCATCATTAGTGATTGGCGAGTCTTTGCGCTCAGTCGGAATTTCGCCTTTTGGAATCTGAGGCGACGGGGCGTTGGCATCTGGAGGGGCATCGAGCTGCTCCTTGGGCGGGGCATCAGGTGTGGGAGCCTCCATTTTTGACAGCTCCTTGATTATGCTCGACGCTATATCTTTTTTCTCAGTCTTGTATGGACGCGTTCAATCTGCTGCAGGGAGACGAAGTCGACACGACAGCTCCAAGATGCAGGGGCTCTGGAGATGTCCCTGAAATCTATCCCGCTTGCGCTGTCCAACTGTGTGATGTTTGAAGCTAGTTCGACGCAGCGCAACTGTCACACGATAGCGGGGGCACTAACGCTAGATATTATGTAAATAATATAAAAAAGCCTTAATTAAGCTATAAAAGAGAGAATTATATAATACTCTCTAAAAAGAGGCACTGAAGTCTATAATTTATATATATATGTTATAGTCTGAGCTATGCTCTACCTAGTTGACGATAACGCGACGCGATGCGATGGGACATAGCCTGTGACCTATATAGTGCTAAATTGAGCAAGCTTAGGACAGCTTGTTTATTACGTACACTTTTAGCTTAATAGTTAAGAGTTCAGCAAACTACTAGGATAACTGCAGCTAGCACTTGCTATAGCCTAATAGGGCTAGTCTATTATAATATATTATTTTAATTCTATATATTGTTAACAGGAAAAATATATATATAAAAACTAAGAGAACAACTATTATATATAAAGTATCCAACAAGTATTCGACAAGGCTCTATGTTAGTGCCTTATGTACACTTGAGCTTACAGCTTGAGTCTATTACAACTTTATATTTAAAATAAAAGTAAGTAGTAATTTTATTATACTTAGCTTAAAAGCTATATTTATTAAAAGAGAACTACTAAACTTTACTTTAAATTTAACTACTATAAGTAGACGGTAAAGTAATAAAGAAGCTATATTAAATAGTAGCTTTAAAGATATTATAAGAAAGTGTGATGGACCAGCCCTATTGGGCCATAGCGGGTGCCAGCCGCAGTCATCCCGGTGGTGTGCCGGACCCCTTGACCGTTGAGTCAAAAGGGTACGTATTGAACAAGCTGTCCACAGCTTGCTCAATCTGGCACTATATAGGTCCTGCACGGGCTTGTCCCCCTATCGCGCATTGCAGTGCAGCGCATCCATTGCAGCGCATCCATTAAGGTCGAGCATAGCTCAGACCATGACAGAAAGCTATATATTACTTTAAAGTATAACTAGCTTATAAAAACTATAAAGAAACTTAAATTAGCTAAATAAAAAAATCTTAATAAAAATACTTAACTTCTTTAGCTAGCTTTTATAAGTATTAAGTAAGTAGGGACGCTCCTATTATATATATTACATTAAAGAGGCAAAGCAGGAAGCTGCAGCTAAGGCCTAAGCTTGCTTGCCAAGTGCCGTTTCCGCTCTACGTCGGCCACCTTCAATCCTGCTTTGCCTAATTATCCTAGTATATAATAGCTTTAGGCTACATTATATAAAAGCCTAGCATCCCCCTTTCCACCTTTAGGGTGCTCCCAAAACTCCAGCGCAGCCTGTGCGTGCAGTAGATATTTTATCTACATGTCCCTGTTCTTGTGCTTTAGAAACAGAAATACTTAATTAAGCCGCTGTATCGCAGACGATACACAGCTCTTCAGTCCCTCGTTCTCTAGCCAGTTTTGCATCGCTAGACGCACAAGCCGGTGCATATCGAATGAGTCTTGCCCCTCCCGCTTGTCAAAATGATATAGATTACAGAGAGTCAATCAGCCTTGATCACTACTCAAGTCAAGAGGACGAAGGTCCCAGTAGTATGGGTCAGGACGCTTGCTCGACTGGGGCGGAATATCGTTTGACACCGCTGAGGAACGACAGCATATGCCTTCAGGGTGCCGATTGCCTCCAAGGCCTCTATTTTCCTAGCTATAGCTAAAAGAGACTTCGGGATGTCCTTCTCCGCCAGAAGACTGATGAGCTTCAGGCACTCCGCCGCCAGCAGATCATGCTTCGAGATGTGGTGAAGTTGCAAGAGTCATGCTTTTAATGCTCAGAGATTTCTAAAGCGGCAAACGAATACGGACTTCAAGCAGCAACTTCATGAAGCTATGTTCACTCGCTACTTGTGTGATAAAAAGCTTCAAGTTGTGACGAGTGCCGAGTTTGCCGTCCAAAGTTATGTCGAGATAAGTGACAGTAGCCTGTGCCTCGGATTTTTCAACCCCCTTTGGGTACACTTTTATCACGACTACACCGCGGGGGCGTGTAACCAACGAATTGGCTGTTGGAATGTGTTGTTGAGCCGTCCGTCCATTCTTTCTTGAAACGCTAAGAAGACTATATCTAAGCCTAAGGATAAAATGTCACTCTATCCATATAGCGGCTATAACTAGAAGAGGCTCATGCAGGCTAGATATAGTGTGTTGATGTTGTACGATATTCCAATTACAATGCTAATATAAATCATACAAGTAATGCTCTGGGCAGGGTCCGGCTCCGCAACATTTGCAGGGGAGAGCTTTCGCGTAATCTCTGAGGCTGGACTAGCCGAGCGTCACGTAGGATGGCCGCCGTAGACGGGTGAATGGCTTCAAATCTTCTAGCTAGCATTTGTGGCTCATGGATATACCATTTCCAAAGTAATTTGCCACTCCACCCCAGCCTCACCGCTGACAGATGTGGTAGGGAAGAAGCTTGTGCCAGGCTCCAGCAATAAATGTAACAATGAATGACGACCTAGAGTGTCTTGCTTTTCATCACAATGTAGGCACAGTACACTGTTTCTCTGCGCCATTTGGACCTCGACCCCATGTTCGTCTGCTGAGACGCAGCCGAGGCTGAAAGGGCTGCTCAACACCACAATCCCAGCCTGGCCGGAGTAGGCGGGCGGCTGATAAGTAGAGCGCCGTCGTGGCTTCAGCTGCAGCAAAACGGCAATGCCTTCTATGCGCTGAATTATATCCTCCATGACTAGTATGATAGGCTAGCAGTGCTGGGGACAAATTTTGTGCTCTTCTACACAGCAGACGTAGAAGGCAAATACTAGAGCTTAACAGTCATTGTGAGTCGTTGGTACAGCATCCCCGAGGCTGTATTCACGCAAACATTTGTTAGCTGGTAGATTCGAAGGGGTCAGAAACCCTTTAGTCATGGTAAACTAGTTTCCCTGCAGTGCTCCTGCATTCCCCTGCATTTAGACAGTGTTAAATGTTGGCATAATAAATCAACGAAGCAAAAAGCTGAACAATTTAGTTCAAATAGGAACAGCGAGGGCTCCTCAGCCGGTGGCGCTAAGCAGAACCCAAAACCGAGCACACCAACCCATTTGCTAGATGTGGTGTGAGCTCGATCGGGATATGGCGCATATTTATTGGGTTAAATATCGAATTCGACACCTCCGTGGAGATTTTTTATTCTGAAAGCGATTTCTCTATTGCCGGCGAGCCGTAGGAACGAGACTGATCAACGATTTAGCAAATTATACTATAGTTATGCGCGGGGGGCACAAGGGTTTTCTGTGAGGCATCTTAGGACTTCCTCTACGTAAGGAGCTGTGTGTTGATGGCGTTCAACATACGGGACAGCTGCATAACCTTTCCTTGCCATGGGTGTCACCAAATTTCGTGGCGGTATGAGAATGGTAGAAAAGCAGGATATAACCTTCCGGCACTCCATGTCAAGCAGCTGAGCAACAATGCAAAAACGCAATGATACCGACAGGTCTGAACTGGAAGGCACCTGACACAGTGGCATAAACTCAATACATATATACACTCAACCAAGTGGCGTAATTATGTCCAACCATTAGGTGTAATTCCACCGCTGGCTGCAGCTTCAAAACCTGGTCGATACCCAGCAGGTCGTCAACGCAACATCACTCTTCTCGACTCAACAGCCCATGTCTTCGGGTTGGCTCCGAAAATTCCTGGTGATGAAATCTCTGGCACCGCATTTCATCGCGTTGATATGGACCACCATCAGTCGGCAACCATGGCTAGGGGACGCAAGCTGCCCCTACTAGCACTGCTATTCTTATCCGCCATTAGTTGGGTTACTGCCCTAAGCCAAGTGGACAACTTTTGTCGCAGGTTTGGACATCAGACGGTGGTTATCGATGACAAGCTGTACATTGACGGCGGCTGGGTGAACTACAACGACTTTCGAGCTCACAAAAATTATTCCAGTGCGTCAAACTTATGGATGTACAAAGATAATGTTGATGCCAATGAAACAGAATAACATGACACGGCTAACTTGGTATTAAAGATACCTTGCTAGGATATCACGATCTCAATAACCTGGTGCGTAGAAACAATGAGCTTTGGCCTAATTTGACCATGAGTTTAAACAAGAGCGACAGGCAAGTCAGCCCTTGATGTTTCATTTCGTTTATACTTGCAAGAGGCGGGTCTGCATTGTGCAACATAAATGCCCTTGATGGATTTGGTGCCCAACCACTGGTAGTTGGCAGAAAATACTGACTCTCAACCTGGCAGTATCCCCACGGTAAGCGGAGGGGCTCTATGGGGTGATAATGTCAATAAGAAATTCTATCTATATGGCGGCGAATGGAATACGGGATATCCTAGCGATCCTTACCGTCTTTTAAGCTACGACATTCTATACGACAGGTGGGAGAAGGTTGACACGGGCGAGATCAACGCACAGATTGCTTCGTATGGCGCTGGAGTCGGGGTATCCCAGACCGGTATGGGGTACTACTATGGAGGATGGATAAGTAATGCCTCGATGAGTGGATGGAGTCAACCGCGAACAATGAGCTCAAACTTCTACCAGTACGAGTACGATACGAAGAGCTTTACCGCGAAAAATAGCCCAGAAGACAACGAGGCAAGAGCAGAAGGTGCCATGGTTTGGATCCCAGCGGGCGATGCCCAGGGCCTGCTGGTATATATGGGAGGCGTTGTCAGTAATTCAAGCAACGGAACGGTGGACCCCCAGCCACTTGACAAGATCTTCGTGTTCGACGCCACGAGCAACATGTGGTCGACTCAGATGGCAACCGGCGAGATACCGCAAAATAGACGCCAGTTTTGCATGGACGTGGCCTGGGCCCCCGACAAGTCAAGTTTTAACATGTAAGTCGCAACTGGTGTCCTTCCCAACGATGTAAAAGCAGCTGGCGATACTCACAAAGAAAAAGTTACCTCTGGGGAGGCCTGAGCGTACCGCCCCCGGTCGTCAATGTCACCTCATTCAATGATGTATACATCTTGACACTCCCATCATTCGTCTGGATCAAGGCGGATCCGAAGAATCCTGGGAATGGCACACGGCCAGATGGCCACTACAGCGTTTCCTGCAACATGGTCAAGTCAATGTCCCAGATGCTCATAATTGGCGGCATCTACACGAACCCCAATGCCTGCGATCTTGCCGACACAGCGTGGGCGCAACACAACTTTTGGACGGGGACACGCTATAATGAAGGAGATTACAAGGACTACTGGGGGCTGTTCGAACCAAATCGTACCAGCAATGTCGTACCTAGCGACGTTTACAAGGCCGTCGGTGGGAACAGGTACGGCAGCGCAACGCAGACGAGCCCCAAGGGAGGATATGACCCTACCAACACGGCTCTTCGGGACTTGATGGGAAGGAGAGCAGCGACGTCGACGCGTGCTCCAACTCGCACACCCACGCCACCACCCGTCCCCGGACCGGGTCTGTCTGGCGGTGCCATCGCCGGCATCGTTATTGGCAGTGTTGCAGGGGTGGCCCTTCTGCTGTTTGTGTGGTTCCTTATAGGCAGGAGGGTTGTTCGCCGCCGAGAAGAACGGCGGCAAAGTGTAGCGACCCAGGATGCAAGACTGCACAGCGTGAGGAGTACGGCAGCGCCACCGAGTATGGCCACGTCCATAGAGCCCTCTAGCTACGTGGCATCTCGATGGTCCCGTCCAGAAAGTCCGCAAGAGCCGTCTGAGCTTCCCTCACAGCAAGACGGCCGTCCGCGTGATGTGTTGGGCTCTGTAAGCGAGCTACCACCGACGCGAGGAGGGGATGGTATCAAGCCTTGAATCACTCTTGCCAGGGTAGAAGTTTGATAATTCAATAACCAAGACGGGTAAGCTAGATTGTGTACTGAATAATCTGTGCAGACTTGCTAATAATGACGTCTCCTGGGAAGATCTCACCTTGGTCATGAGTCACCTTGGTCATGAGGAGGCGCGCCGCCGCAGATCCCCGCCAGGAGCACCAGTCTTGAAGCGACGTAGCTCAATCGCATGCTGGCTAACATTGCCCATGCCAGGCAACATATTATATAGGTTATTATGGCCCAAGGTAGTAATAATAACCTAGTTAGAAAGCATGTTAAGGACTGGCCTTACAGGGGACTGCGTGTAAGGTTACTAGTATCAACTATAAACTTGAAGAGAAAAGAAGGAAAATTAGAAGTTCCTTATCCCCCCTTCAAGCCGCCTGACGGCAGTGGGGCTCAGCGCCCGGTGGCGGCGTCGCGCCTCAGCCGTGAACCATTCTCAGGCGACAGAGGGTATTGACGCACACAAAAAGTGGCTCGTCACACAAAGCCTGTTTTACAATCACCATCGTCAACATGGTCAAGCAGAACAAGCAGGCCGACTACCGGATGACCAAGATGATCAGCAACAACACCGAGATGAACGAGACCAACAAGCAGATGGGGTCAACGGACCCTTGGCTGAACGAGGACTTGAAGACCAAGGCGATGCCGAGGCCGACAAAGGCCGTCTCCCTCCAGTGGTCCGTGGCCTGGATGTTCACATTCAAGTGGTGACAAATTCGTTCTTGGACATAGTGGCTAGTATCCTAGGTGTCAAAGAAATGTTTGTCGGCCATGGCAACACTGCATGGAGGATCTGAGCTGCTACTTGAACGACAGACGATACTCGCTTCCCAGGCCAAGATGCCTCTCTAGTTCACATTATCTCAGTCTTTGTTGCCAAATAATCCCGCATCACCGCACAGTTTGGAAGACGAAACATTATTGCAGCTCGCTGCTATCAAGCTCCTCAAGAGATTGGCAAACGGCACGATGAAGCTTGGCGAGGCATGCGGAGCCTTCACCATCACAATCCAGGAACGGAATGGCCACGGGTTGGCATCACACAAGCCATCACGAATCAACGTCGGGTTTTCCCTCGATTTTAGTGAACTCGACACACTGTTCCAAAAACATGAACTAGAGACAAAAGACCAAATGGCAAAACATGAACCAAAGCAGCACGACGACGCGGCCACCGCTCAGAAATAACATCCCTGGCCTCGATACCGCAACCAGGGCTTTGCCTGGTCCCTGCCAATGATCTGATATTGCCATCTCCCATCTCTACTTGCATACGCCCTGATGTCGTTGTCTGCTCAGCGTTCTGATCGCCCCGCAAACGAAGGCTGTCTGAGGACCGACTCACCTTTTCCTGACCCTCTTGGACGAGGCAAAACTTGCTGCAGCAAAGCTATGTGTTGGTTAGCGGATGTCAATTCCTATGAAAAGGGCAATCGCAACGTACGTCTTTGATGGTACACTCCTGATTGTCGGCCTACAACACATTTCAGTAAGTACTCAGCTTCAGCATGTCTGTGTGGCAGAGACGGCCATGCTCACGATGCACTTTTGGTCCTCTCGGCGGTTGAGGTCCAACTGGGCCGCGGCCAGGCCGGCAAAGAGGGCAGTGAATGCGACGACGAACTTCATGGTGGCTAAGAGAAGCTGATATGTTGAGTAGACGGGCTGTTGAGTGATTTGATTGGAAACGACGCTGAAAAGTGCTTAGACTCTGTTCAAACAAGACAAGAACTTCTGCCCTACTTATAGCCGCGACATTGACTGGCCGCGCCAGCGCAGAGCGTGACGCCTCGAATCCCTGCGCTGGTTACAAAGAAGCATCCTGCTTTACTTGGCTGCCGCGGAGGCGGGAGCGAACCCTCGGACTCGTTTTGCGGCTTGTCCGTTGGTTTGAGACGCGGTGTACCTGGCATCCTGACACGTTTCGGCACAAAGGCCGGTTGCCATTGTTGAAAGGCGAGTGCCGAATCCTCCTCCGGGGCTGGAACGAGACGCAAATCGTGGGTTGCGCAGCGTCCCGTGCGTCTTTCAGTTGACAAGTCGGACCTTGCATCTCCCAACAGGGCCTGGCTGGCTGGTCTTTCTCATCAGTTGCAGTCAAGTGCCGTGGCCCGTGGCTCATGACCGCATTCCTAAGGAACCCCCATCGAGCTTGACAAGACAAGTGGCCCAAGCGCGAACCGGCAGACCCTTGAGCGTTTCCATTTCCATCCGTGGGCGGCGGATTATGCATGGACTGGACGTGGTTCCTGGTCTTACCGCGGAGTACACACATGCGACATCGATTTGCCAGACCGAGTCCTGTGCGAAGTGCACCGCGCATCAAATGTCTTTGAGTGTTTCCATTGTGCGGCCATGGGAGGAGGACTGCGGGCTTCTGTTCTTTGTGTAGAAGTGCCGTCTCGCCTAGATTGGGCTGCCTCCGGTGACGCGTGGTTGACTCTCTTTGGGAGAGCATGGAGTTATTTTCTGCTACGGAGTACTATTCGCGAATCACGTCGCCGCGTCTGCACGACGTGCGTAGCGCATCAGGTGCAAGGCGGACCACGGGCGGAATCTATGGGCAAAGAAGGGACATTTTGAGAGATTGCGTGTCTACCAAGCCCACGTCCGCCCCATGTATACTGTACGTTTTGGCATGTACTGTCTTTGTTCTAAACGCTCCCGTTCTTTCCAACCTACACGTGCGGCATTGACGCGTCCTGCGATTTGTGCTTGTTCCGCTTCAATCAAGAGGGCGCCGGGCCGATCATGCTGGTCCCAAATGCTTGGGTTGTCTGATCATCCGAGGGTATCAACTCGCCTGTTCCAGCCTCCAAGCCATGCCGGGGGTTATCTCCCCTCTTGTCAACGGTCTCGCTCGCCCGCTCACGCCCAGCGCCCAATCAAGGCCATGATGGCGCATCCCAGGCACAGCGACAGCAGCATCAGGGCCAGCCGCTTCTTGTTATGGGTGCGGTTCGGGTTGAACATGAAGTCGCGCGCCAGCATCTCCACCAGGCCGGTGTAGATGAGGATGCCGGCCGAGACCGAGTCCAGCACGCCAGAGACGACACTGGCCGTGTAGGAGCTGCCGCGGTACGTGTCGTGCAGCCCCAGGCCGATGGCGATGGAGACGGGCGTGGTCAGGCCGTATGCCAGGCACAGCGCCCACGGCAACCACCGCCACCGCGTGGGGATGGGGATGACGCTCAGGCGGGCGCCGATGCCCAGACCCTCAAACGACTGGTGGAAGAGGAGGACGGGGAAGAGGGTGTTGAAGTCGGCGGCGCCGGCGACGCCCAGGTTCAGGCCGATGATGACGCTGTGGAAGATGACGCCAAACTCGAGCACGAGGAAGGCCGAGATTTGCGACTGGAAGGCGCGGTGGGTTTCGCCCGAGTCGCCAGTCAGGTGCGCCAGCTCCTCGAGGTCGCTGTCCGACTTCTCGCTGCGCAGACGCGAGGCGGGGGAGGCGTCGGCGTCGGGCGCGGGCGCGGGCGCGTCGGTGATGATGTTCTCGACGGCCCCGTGGGCGACGCCGTACCGCCTCTCGACGTGGTACTCGCACACAAAGTCAATGAGGAAGACGACCATTGCCGACGCCAGCGCAATCGCCGGCGGCCACGAGTACGTCGACCAGCCGCCCGTCAGGCCGACGCAGCTCGCGGGCCCAATGGCCTCGTAGGCCGGGTCGAGGAGATGCACAAACGCAGTCGCGATGATGACGCCGGCGCCGAAGTAGCGCGCAAACAGGTAGGCGGCCAGGGGGATCCTGAGGCGCCGGATCCGCGTGGCCAGGACAGGGAACACGGTCACCGCCGTGGAGACGACCAGGATCACAAAGATGGATGCGACGCGCAGGCCCAGCCTGTCGTCGTAGTTGTTGCTGCTGCCGCTGAGGTAGCAAACGATGTCGACCCGAGGTGTCTTGTCGAGGTCGACCGAACTGGCGTTGAAGGGCGAAGAGCCAGGGTCGGCCATGACGGGCGACGGTGCGTGTAGGAACCCAGGATCAAAGCGTCTCTAGGGAGTGCTCTGCGCGTATTCTAGCTTGGCAGACGTGTGCGAGATTCAAAGGTTGAGGAGGATTGGGGCCGTCTGTATCATATAGATAGATGTAGGCTGTTTGGGGTTGGTTTTTGATCCTGGTTCTTCTTGACAGCCATCTCTTCTCAACACAGCAAAAGCCCTACCTGACAGGTCTACATGCAGCCCTCTCGATTCTCGAGAACCTCTGTGGTTTCGGGGCTTGCGTGAATTCCCCAACATCAGTGCGGCTCTCCAATGACGGCATAGCTGTGGCTGCGTGCTCCGGCCTTGGGCACGCGATGCGAAGGGGGCTGACGACTGAAAGCATTGCGCATTGCATCGAACTGCGGCCCGGATCACGCGGCGGTAGTAATATCAGTACACATCCTATGGTCTGGACGCCGGAAATCTGACACATCATTTGGCGACAAAGTTGATTGACGGCGACGCCAACACGGGCATGGGAGCTGTTGCGGATACTGCTGGGGGGAGGAGAAGAAGAAGAGGAAGAAAAGGAAGATGGCGCCGGCGCTGGCGCTGCATTTGACGCCGCCTTGGTGCGTATTGTTGTAGTTATTGTTGACCTTGGGTGCAGGTGGGGCGAGGAAAAATGGAAAAGCAAGAGATAAAAAAAAGCCATCAAGTCATCACAACCCTTTTGCTCATCTCCGCGCACCGCCACAATGGACGACCACGACGACGGCATTCTCAACATCCAAATCTCCGACGACGAAGTCGATGCCATCAAGAAGAAGGCCGACCGGACTGGCCAGACAGAAGATGACTTTCAAGCTGTGAAGCGGCAGTACCGTGTCCGAGTCGAGAACGGGGACGTGAGTCACCCCATGACACCACCATCACCACCACCCTGGCTGATTCGGCCGCGCTGTTGATTCAATCCGGGAACCCATGAGTCTGACTGCTCCGTATGCAGATTCACAAAAACGTAGCCCTGCCTCTGCAGCCGGGCCCCAATAAGATGCGCACCCAGGAGCTCGTTCATGCAGTCGAGGAGCTCTACTTTTTCCGTCGCTACCAGGAAGGGGTTGACTTGATCGCAAGGGCGTTGGAGAATGGAGGCGCGGAAGCTCTCGATAACGACTCGCGCCGATTGTTGGAGTCTTATGAAATCAAGTGTCGTCAAAGGATGGCCAAACCCAGCTGATCGCGACACGCCTGTGTCGACGCGCCTGGCTTCATCGGCATTGTCCGAGTAAATATGAACATGGCGGCAGCCCGTACGCCACGATTTTCCTTCTAGCCATCAGCGAAGTGGGTTTGCCCGTCAACAGGGGCAATTTAGCATGGCGCCCGATGGATTCGCCCGCAGCCACAGACAGACCTGGTCAACGTCCTTGAAAACATTACACAACTCCGAGTCCCAATACACATCTCGTGGAGGGGGGCTTCCTTCGCCGGGTTTGGTCACGCCGGCAGGACTTCACGGTGCCCGGTGCCCGGTGTGCTTCCTATCAATCTTGTCTTCAGACAAAGAGAAGCCGACTTACCCGGCCGCCGGAGAGCAGCGGCTCGCTTACCTTGCACGTTGTCTTTTTTGCCATGTGTGGAAATACATATGATCTGCAGTACGGAGTACTGCAAGGCAGTCGGGGTCCAAGTCATGTCACTTCACGACGTGCCAACAACTCACGCAGCATAACCCTTGTCTCTGGTATTATACTCCGTAGATTAATGGCCATAACTTGCAGATGATTGCATGTTGCCATACAATCCTCCAAGCAGGGCATCACTCGCATGTGAGTATAGAGATGAGACGCTCCAGATTCATTGCTCAATGAGAATCATCTGCGTCTTCTGCCGATATCAGCGGGCGCTCGCTCGGAAGCAAAAATGACAAACTACGGAGTACCAGTCTATCACTCCGGGCTTCGGCCTCCCCAAAGACCAAAGACCAATCCCCGATTGGACCAGTCAATCAACCAAATCTTCACAGGGGGGAAATTCACAAAATGTACTCGACAGGCGCGATCTGTGGAGAGAGAAGGATTGTTCCACAGCTTAAAACAAGTCGGTGGAGGCCTATTTGAGCGCTACGATTAACACAATCTCTTCCTCTCGCCGGGAATACGAGTGCTCAAGTCGCAAAACGCTCTTGCCTCGGCAAACACCGAAAAAATCTCCTCTCTTCAAGACCAATAACTTGCAGCCTGATCAGTCAGAGTACCCAATTTACCCCTTTTGCCCGGTGCGAGCGACGCCGCACACGCTGCCGACACGGAATCCTCGATCAAGGTTTCGTACCTCCCTGAGCATCATCAGATGACATTTTCTTGCCCGATAGGCGTGGCAATCAGGACCGGGCGGTACCTCGTCTGAGCAGGTTGTAGCCGCAGTACATGACACTCAGCTGGCAGCGGCCTCCCCTTGCTCGACAGGAATGGCATTGGCCGAGCAGACACCAGAGGATTGAAGCTTGACACGACAGATGAGCCCAAACGGGTCGACATTTTGCATATCTGACTCGGCGGCCTCAAAAGCATCAACGAACGGCTGGCCGACACCAAGGTCAAGGGGCTATGAGAACCACGGATGCCGCCTCACTCATGACCTTGGTCGCCGTCCAAGGCATCATGTCTGACAACTGACTACGTCGGATCCCATCCCGTGGCCATGCCCTCTGCGCCGGTTCCTGACGTCTGATAGGAACTGGTAAGTGCTTGCATGCAGGGCACGCCAAGCTCGGCCAAAGGATAACGTTGTGATGGGGCATATAAGGCCGAGTGTGACCCAGAAACAGAGATTCCAATTTGAGTGATTTTGAGACAAAAATTGACACGTACGTCGATAACATGCCAACCAGATCTTCAGATGATGATACGAGCATGTACACTGGCATTGGCACTGGCTGTATGGCCGACGGCATGCCTCACCAGAGATGGAAGGGCGGCAGTCCAAGAAGCTCTACGTCCACTGCCAGCCAAGGTCCTCTACATAATACATGTTGAATCTCCCCGGCCAACTCTTGATTAGTGCAACGACTTGTCCAAGACCCTCCCCGGCAACGTTCACGTACGCAATTCTCCCGGCTACGACCTCTCAAACACATATTGGTCAGCTCGTCAGTCGGCGCTTCGGCCGCAATGCTTTGTCACGCCGCGGTCAACACGCCATGTGTCCCACATCACGAAGACACTTGCGTCTCTCAATGCCCCCTTTTCAGTCAAGGGCGCCGGCCACACAGCTTTCCCCGGCGGATCCAACATCCACGACGGGGTGACTGTCGACCTCGCCCACCTCAACGAAATCACCGTGTCCCCGGACAGGAAGACGGTCTCCGTAGGCCCTGGAGACCGCTGGCATGCGACAATGTGCGCAACTTTGGAATCGTCCTTTCGTCGGGCGACGTCGTCAATGCGAATGCCGCGAGCAACGCCGATCTGTACCGCGCCCTTCGCGGCAGCGGCGGGTCGAACTGGGGCATCGTCACGAGGTTTCCCGGCGTACTTTGAGCAGGGAGACTTGTGGGCCCGGTCCTTGGAGTTTGACAGCATCATCGCGAACCAGACCATCCTGCCTCTCATGGCAAGCCTGGCTGCGAGGGACCTGGCCACCGATCCTGGCGCCCATGCGTACTTTGTTCAAACGCACGACCAGGCTTCGAGGCGTTGGTTGTTCTTGGTGAGTTTCTTTCACGCGAACCCCCCTGCTGCCGATACCACACTGGCTGTACTTGACGGGTTCACGTCTCTCCCGGGGCTTGTCCTGGACAAGACCCTGGTGGGTAACTAATATGTCGACGGTCTGCCGACTGATCGACGAGCCGGTTGGCAGAAGGGCTACTCGGTGGGACACGACTGTCGCAGTTGATTCTGTGTCGTTGTTATCGGTGCCATGTATATGGATTGGGTGTCTCGTGTGATGGAGACTGCTGGGAGCAGGCAGTTGACGCCGTATCTCGTGTATCAGCCGATTACGGACAATATCCTGGAAAAGATGCAGCAGAACGGAGGCAACTCGCTCGGTTTGTATCCTCAAGATGGTCCGCCCATGATGGTGCAGGTGTCTGCGCGTTGGGTCGACGCTCTGTTGTTGAAACATCGGCTGGTGAATTTCTCTGCGAGATTGAAACTCTTGGGAGGAAGGACAAGCGCCTTGGGGGTTACGTTTACATCAACTATGCAGGGCAGTCCCAAAAGGTCCTCAGAACGTACGGCAACAACTGTCCTTGGCTTCGAGCCATGGCGAAGAAGTGGGATTCAGATGCCCTGTTGCAGCGCCTGTGGAGAGGATACTTCCAGCTGCACCCAGGGCCTACGAGGATGTAATAGCAAAATAACTATGTCACAACCGTCTCCATGTGCCACAATGCAGTGTTGTATGCCGCAGCGCGAGTTCAGACTTTGGTGCGCAAAAAAAATGTACGCTGCTGGATGGACGGGCAGAGCAGCATAAATAAACGACCTCTTACCATGTTTGTGCAAGAGGCAAAGGCAAAGTAAAAAGAAGATTCGTCAGAGACATTTGTTTACAAAGTCTGCATCGGCAAAGGCAAAGTAAAAAGAAGATTCGTCCGAGACATTTGTTTACAAAGTCTGCATCGGCAAAAGCAACGTAAAAAGAAGATTCATCAGAGACATTTGTTTACAAAGTCTGCATCGGCAAGGATTGTTCCAGCCTCAGTGCTTGACTCTAATAATTGTCTTCATCATATGAAATGCCAGCCATCTAAAGCAGCAATGCCAGATGAGAAAACTTCCCGCGAAGTTCAGAATGTGAAAAAAAAGTCATCTTGGCACTACCATCAACAATGGCGAGCCATGATGGTGACCCCCTCGCCTCAAGAATAAGCCCCATCGAGTAACCCGGTAAACCGAGCAATCGCATACCTATCGACCTCGACAAAAAATCCTCAGCGACCGATGCCACACTCCGCGTCATCCACGGCTACCGCCATCCAAACCTGCTGGTCTACTGCCAGAAGTCCCAGCCACACCATCCCGACGCGGACTCATATCTTCATCCAGAGGGGCCGGGAGATGCGACTAGGTTCTAGTAGAGACCCGCAAGGCGCGGACGTAGCGACGAGTAGGGCGGATGGTCCACGATGAAGGCCAAGACGCAAAAGGTCAGCCGCAGTGCTTCTATGGCGGCGCGTTTCCGCAAGCTCTCCGAGGAGAGACGTCCGGGGACTTTCTCCCAAAGCAATACCTCAATGGCGAGACGCTGGCCGAGGCCAAGTGTCTCTGTGCGTGAGCTTCGAATAGCGATTTGTTGAGCGAGGGGGTGGGGAAGAAAGGAGAGAAGAAAAAAGACGTCAAGCTCGAGGGGTGAAGTTTTATCGAGCCAGGAGGCTCCACTTTTCCTTTGCCCCAAAACCTGTACGTATTCCGCTTGTCAAGTGGACCAATCAAGCGTCTGGATTGGGCTTAGGAGCTTGGCGCCTCGTCGTACCCAGAATTCACCGTGACATTGGACATTGTCACACATTTTATAAGTTATTTCACCACTACCGTGCGCGTCTGTTCGGGAGCTTGCGGACGAGCCGACCACGATTCACCTCGAGCGAACATTGCAGCGAGGGTCTCAGGCGACTGTAGCCAAGGAGTCGGACCACCGGGCGGGCGCAACCATCGTGCTCGCGACGGCGAGAGGACCACTGCATTTCGAATCTTGACCGACACGGCGCAGTAGACACCATGTCGGGAATATTTGGAACCACAACGAGTTCCGCGACGACTAACAGCGTCGGCGACCTCAAGTCGGACGTGGCTCTCAGCGATCCCCCTACCGATTCCATCTCTGATCTCTCATTTTCACCGGCTCCCAATGGTCCTGATTACCTGGCTGTTGCCAGCTGGGACAACAAAGTCCGCATCTACGAAATCGCCCAGAACGGCCAGAGTCAAGGCCGACACGCATACGAGCACGCACAACCCGTGTTGAACTGTGACTTTTCAAAGGTGGGCACCCTTTTCCGGCCTTGTGTTGTGAGCGTGTGAACATGCCACGTGTGCTAACAGACTCGGGCGCAAACAGGACGGCACAAAGGTAGCCTCGGCCAGTGCAGATAAAAACATCAAGGTGTGCGATCTGGCGTCCCAGCAAGACATCGTCATCGGCGCGCACGAGCAACCGGCGCGCACGTGCCGGTTCTTCGAGAGCGGCGGCGCGGCCATGATCGTATCCGGGTCGTGGGACAAGACGGTCAAGTACTGGGATCTGAGGCAACAGGGCCAGGCCGCAGCCACGGTGTCGTGCCAGGAGCGTGTATACACGATGGACGTCAAGGACAACCTCTGCGTCGTCGGCACGGCAGACAGGTACCTCAACGTGATTGACCTCAGGAACCCTTCCAAGTTCTACAAGACCTTGCAGAGCCCGCTCAAGTGGCAGACACGGGTTGTCAGTTGTTTCACCGACTCGGCCGGCTTCGCGCTCGGCAGCATCGAGGGCCGGTGTGCCATTCAGTATGTCGAGGACAAGGACTCGAGGTAATGTCGACCCCGTTCCAACTTTGGATCCCGTCCACGCCGCACACCGGGAGACGCACACGCAAGGTCCAGCAGCCACCTCCCACCACCCGTTTCTAACATCTTCTTCTCGCATAGTTCAAACTTTTCCTTCAAGTGCCACCGAGACCCCGCGGTCAACAACGTCGTCAACGTCCATGCCGTCAACGACATTTCGTTCCACCCCGTCCACGGCACCTTCAGCACGGCCGGGTCGGACGGCACGTTCCACTTCTGGGACAAGGATGCCAAGCATCGTCTTAAGGGCTATCCCAATGTGGGGGGCAGCATCACGGCGACGACGTTTAGCAAAACCGGTAGCATCTTTGCGTATGCCGTTAGTTACGACTGGAGCAAGGGCTACCAGCACAACACCCAGAGCTATCCGATCAAGGTCATGCTGCACCCGGTAACCAATGACGAGTGCAAGCCGAGGCCGTCGATGAAGAAGAGGTAGATGGCAGATGGCAGATGGCAGGTGGCTCCGACAACGGGCCTCGCATCATGGGCTTGGACCAAGCGTGGGGGACAGGGGGACCGGACCGGTCAGCTGGGATGAGAATTCCGACAAGGCACCAGCGGTTGTATTATCAGGGGCGCAAAACTGCATCAAGCATCTCTTGCTTGCTGCTGGTGACAGCGACGGACGCACAGGGACATGTTGAAATAATCGCTGTCGAGAGCTCGACAAGCAAACGAGTAGGCTAATTTTCTACATTTCTTTTGCCCTTGCCTCCCGCCGACATGCCGGCATCACAGATGACAATGTCGCAATTGGTAGTTGTGCGGCTGCACTAGCGCACGCACCTAGATTATCAGAACGTCCTATAGCCCCGTGGTTTCAAACGACAACGCTTTGTACAGAAACGCAGAGGCCCTTGGTTCCCCGGCGCCTGGCCAGGCCATCCCCAAGAGCCAGAGGCGCCGCCGAAATCAGCCAGCCTTGGCCTTGGCCTTGCTGGGGGCGCCGCCAAACACGTCCTCGACCATGCCCTTCCAGATGTCACGGATCATGCTGCTGCTCTCGTGGGCGCCCGGCTGGCCGGGGTCTTGATACAGGAACTTGAGCTCGACGCCGTCCAAGGCGATGCCCTCGACTCCGGACAAGGGCGCCCCCGGAACGACGTTGTCTGGGTCGGCGGCGACAATCGTCACCTCCGGCCTGGCAGCGGCCTCGGAGGCAGGGGGCGTGTGGGCGGCGCCGTAGTTGTCCGGGAGAAGGGGCACGCGCGGGCCGTGGTCGACTCTCGACGAGCCGGCGAGGAGGCTCGGCGACGGGAGGACGGCGGCGTCGATGTGTGCGGCGGCGGTGTGAGCCACGGAGGCGCCCGGGGCGGACGAGTGGAAGGTCTGCATGAGCGGCTTGGAGCGGTTGGCGAGGGAGGGCTGGGGTGTAGGTCGGTGGGCGGTGGCGAGGCCGCGCGACTGGTGACGGTGTCAGCTTTGTGCTTTCTTTTTTCAAAGTCGTTCTTGGTGGTGTGGTGTGGTCTGGTGGATTGGGCGTGGACGTACGTCGGAGAGCTCGCTGGGCCGGTTGCGCAGCAGCTCAGCGTATTTGGGCATGAGGACTGCGCCGGCGCTGTGTGCGGAGCCGTCGAGCCGTGGCGAGGCGGCGCTCAGCGCTCTGGAGATCTTGGACATGGGCGCGGTGACGCGGGACATGGCGGGTGGTGAAGTGGACGGCGGAGGACTCGGGGGAGGGCGGAGATTCTGGAGGGAGTGCGAGGGAAGGGCGCGGGAAGGGAAGGGAAGACTGCAACTTTTTATGATTGCAAGTATCTTGTACATGGGCCCCGGGCTGCCGTCGACGTGTAGTCATCACGTTTGGAGTACATTGGGTATGTACCGGCCGGTCCATGGTCCATGGACCTGTTGAGCTTCCCGTTGAGCTGACGTTGAGGTGGACGTTGAGGTGGTGGTGCCACTGCCACGGCCAGGGAGCCGGCTGCGGTGACTCCTGTCTGAGCTTGCAGAGGTGGGTCGCGGTGCTGGGACTCGGTGCAAATACCGGACCGTGGTGACTCGGTGAGGCATCAGGCATCAGGTGTCGAGAGGGTAGCATCATGCGGCACCGAGTGCGCGTGGATGGTGTTCACGGACAACACTCCGTACAGGTATTGATGTGTCTCAATGGCAAGGCGAAGCAGAAGCAGATGCATGATATGATGCACGGTGTGTATGGGAGCCGTGCCAGCCGGCCGAGGGTGAGGGTGTGTTGTCACGGCAGTGTGTGAGCTTCACGCTTCACGGGACGGCCATGGGCCAGCCAGAAGAGGCGGCACTTGAGACGAACCATGGGGGATACGATGCACATGTGGGTTGCTTTGTACGGGGGACTCGTTGCTGGATTCGTCCACGCACATGTATTTCGTGCATATGCTCGGTGCGCCAGGCACACCAAGACACTTTTTGAGCCGAGTCGACATCTGCACGGCCGCAGGGTGCGGGCTCTTGGAGACGGGCCAGATTCTACTATCAACCCGCTGACGTACAGAGTATCATCATGACCATCACGAGCCTGATTGGCTGCTCTACTCGGTCAACAATTCGATGGGGGCTTGGTGTTAGGGTTAGGGTTTATTATGGGATAAATACATGGCCATGAGTCCATGACTGTCCACCCGCAGACGGATTTGACAAGTCGCCCGACATCATCGGGTAAGCAGCTCACCGGCTTTAGGTAGAATGCGAGCCACAAGCTTATCCCATAAGCCAGATTGACTTGCGTCTTACCAACCTCATGACGGCCAAAACACGCTCGGGTCGAACATCGGAGCTTGCGTGGACCTTGGTGCGCCATCTGTCAGAGGATGCACACAAGCATGAAGTAGGGATTCAGCGCTTATTCGAACTTGAGGCGAACAGGGTCCTCCAGCGGTGAATCCATCTCAGACATTCAATTCTTCATCTCTGGCGAAAGACTTTTCGAGAGCATTTTGGAATCATGGTAGTGGCCAGAGCAGACTGATGAGTGATGAAGCAGCTTGGCACAAGTAGGCCAAGTGTTGCAGCTGCAGGCAGCTGTCTGGCTCGAGCTTGCCGGCTGCTACTTCTCGCGTTTGTTGATTCACCATGGCAGGACTCTATTAACTCTTTTCCACTGCCTCTCCTTCAACTTCGCTTAGACTACGCACGATCTCTGCCCGCTCGGTGCCCATCTCTCCATCACCAACAAATGCACGGGTAGTTCTCAATGAGCAAGACAGCTATGAACGCTGATTCTATTCAACAGGCCTGCATGGTAGGATGCCAATGCTCTTCAATTATTTCACATAAAGACTCGCTCACACTCGCATTGTCAAGCAGGCTGACTTGGGACGTCAACGTCAAGACGAGCTCCCGTTGAGCAACCAAGAGCGCAAAGGCCCTTCCTTTGCGCCTTCTAGACGGAACGGCACAGGTCATATCGCTCCAGACTTAAAAAAGGGACTAGAAGCGAAATGGAGTGGTAAGTGCATCCATCTCAATAAGCACAATGCGCGGAAACTGATTAGTTTGGCAGTGCAAATTCATGATGAGGAATCCGAGCAAATGCTCGGCCTCGTCGTCGAGGATAGTCGTCCATGGGCAAAGAAGATTGCACAAGACTTTATGAACCGAAATCAAGTACTCACGTAGGTGCGCGACGCCCGTCCTGACTTCCACTCACTAATGATCAAAACTCCAGGGCGCCGCCAACAATTCGGCAGGAATCACAGGGACATAAAGGCACGAAAGGGAACAATTTTCAAAACGTACAACCGGCCAGACTTGGTAGCCTCATACCTCCTGGTGGGAGTGTGCGGCACTTCGGTGCCTCCAAGCTCACAAGAACACTGCCGTCGAAACCCAAAGGCCGAGAGACCAGTGCAAACGATCGGGACATGACGTTGATTACCCGCAACTGCGATCTACAGACCCTTCGTCGGAGCCAGGAGAGCACAACAGCGTCCCCAACTCCTAGCTCAGCAGCTCCTGCTGGCCAGTCCCCCGATTGTCGTGAGCTCGTGACTATGGCCACTCCTATCCGACCCCCCAAGCCCCGTGACCTTGAGAATGTTGTTCTGCGTGGAATCTGCAAGTTGCTGCATCCAAAGGACCAATCGGTTCTCCTCGAGATCTCATATGTTATGAAGATTCGAAAAGACACAGATGAGGGTTACCTCATTCTTTCTAGGGCAGGAAAAGAAGACAAGATTCATAACGTCTTGGAGCTCCTTGCTCCCGATTTAAAGGAAAATCATTGCCGTGTGTGCTCCAAAGTTGAGAAGAACGGTTTCGATTACAATTTCCAGTTTCCAAGTGTTCCTAGTGCTCACAAATTCAAGATCTATCTCGAGAGCCTTCAGCAAGCAGCCATTCGCGAAGCTAACTCGGAACAAAATAAAGCAAATACAAGTGCCACGTGTGTTCAAGCTACAGGGAAACCTCAAACTTCACTCGATATCACATGTCCTGTCATCGAGTCGCCATCTCATTTACCTACCTCAGAGACGACAGATCTGGAGCGGCCAGCGATAAGCACGCTTCCGTCTACAGTCCCGACACCTACCAAACAGGCCAATGCCAACGGAGCAGCTGGTGGCGTGAATCTGGTAGATTTAGAGCCTCCGTCCCGCTCTACCCAAAAAGCGAGAGAGTGTATTATTGAGGATGCAGCTGAGAAACTTGTCGAGCTAATCGAAAAAATTCTACCCGAGGCTGCTGCTGCTGGGTTGTTACTCTCGGATGATGCAATAGCCGATATAGAAGAGACTGCCATTGAAGACTGGCTTGCCAGAGGATTCCTCCAGTCTGAGACGGATGACATGAAAGCTGACCTCGTTGAACTTCTCCGCATTCTGGTGCGATTGAAGCGCAAAGCAGAGTCTCGAAGGCGGGCACAGCCTGTGATTAAATCCCTTGAGGGCTTTGACAGAGAGCCAAGTTCAACCCGTGTAACTTATCATGCATCAGAATTGGAAAAGCTGAATGTGAGCCAGCACTCTGCACACTCGGGAGGCAAAAGAATAAAATATACCCCGTCGGAACTTGAGGGCATAGGGGGTACAAGAGTCACGGCTCCTGTCAATTTGGGCAAAAGCGTCATGATGCCGCGCCGAATTACCGAAACTACAAGACTTCCTGCACCTGATCTGAGAAGCGTTTCAAAGTACAAAAACTGGCTGGACGAGAAGCCCGGTGAAGTCGCGACTTGTCGTCTCGAGCCGACAGCCGCGGCAAGCCCAGCGCAATCACCCCAGATGACGAATCATAACGGTATTGCTTCGAACAAGGATCACTCGATTCCAGCGGGGTTGGCTACGTCACGGTGGGCTCGTGTTTAAGCAGAAGTTTTGGCTTCTCAGGGATGGGCACAAACAGCAGGCAATACGGAGTAGACGACGAGGGAACACCACATAGCACCTTTGATATTTAGCCAGGTATTCAATGGATAAATTTGCAGAAACTGTGGCCTCGATTGCCCAAGTGAAGTTGGTCGCTAACGTGAGACTCGTATACAAAGTACACGGCGGTGAGGAATCTTCTGTCTCAACATATACTTTCGAACGCTCACGTGGTGATCTGATTCGTTTAGGGCAGCGCGCGTCTCTGGGGCGTCAGACTCGACTTCTTGATCCGTGCCAACTCCCTCGCAACTTGGGCGCAGTTCTTTGTGCTTTGCTCTCCTCAGATGACCTCTGCAGTTGCCTGACAACGGCCAGCTGGGCTCGTGTCCGCAAACCTGGATGCCCGGACACGAGAGAGTTGAAGGAGACGACGAATCGGGGATCCCCCAAAGAAGTCATACCCGGTCCAAGGCCACTCTGTCAATCCAAGGCCGAAGCTCCGAGCACGAGCTCCAGCGTCGATCATGTTCTCGCCCGGGCCAGGACATACAAGTAAAAATAAAAATAAAAATAAAAATAAACGCCATCTTGCAATCCTCAACGGCCCCCCGCCCCGGCCCCAAGCAAAAACGTCATTCTGTTTGCAAACAAAGCCCGCCAGCAGGGATATCTTTACGAGCTCCAAGCACAATACGAAGCTGTCTGCCGCTTGCCGAGCTGCATGGGCGCCTTTTGAAGGCTGCATCCTCTGCGAGAGCGGAAAAAGCATCCCACCCCACGGGCTGCACCCTGGAATGCTGAGCGGCCCAGCATGCACCATGTACGATGAATTGATGCGCTGACGCATGCCGCCGGCAGCCGCTCCAGTGGGACTTCGTCCCCCCGGTCAGCAAGCAGGCCGGGGGTGGTGAGACTGGGAAAATACGAAGGCCAAGCTGGCGCTTCGTGCATGCGGCCGATGATATCTGGCTGTTGCCAAGTGAGGTCCCCGCGTATGACTGGGTGTCATGGCGGAGGACCTCGATCATGCCGCGAGGAGATGGCGACGGTCCGAATTCAAAATGGGCCCATGGTCATGGGCTCCGCTTTTGGGGTTTGTCTTGGCCGGAGTGCGGAGAGCTCAGAGTACAGAGTTCATGACGGGTCTGGAGCGCCGTGGGCCGTGATGATGCTTTCAGAGTCGTCGCAGCTAGGTTCTGGCGTGGCGTCGGGGCATATAAAGAGGCGGTGGTGCCGCGGGAGTAGGGACGAGTGCACGACTGCTTGACGTTGATCAGCGCCCAGGGCTCTGGTTCTTCATTGGCATCCCATCCACGGCCCCTTCTGTGAGACACGGCTTCCCTTCCAAAAGTCTTTTTTGGCCGTTTCGAAAATGCACTTGTCCAGCGTCGTTTGCGCCGCCGTCATGGCTGTTGCTGCTTCGGCGGTCCGAGGTACCAATTCATTCACTCCCCGAGTCTTTCGCGTCCTGCTCGTGCGTGGTAGCTGACGGGGTCTGTAGTTTCCTGGGATGGCGGCTACGACAGGCCAGACCGGTCCCTGCGTGATGTTAGCTGCTCGGATGGAAGGACGGGGCTGATGCCCAGGTTCCAGAGGCAGAGCGATTTGCCCAATTTCCCCAACATTGGCGGCGCCGCGGCCATTGAAGGCTGGGGCTCGCAGAACTGCGGGACTTGCTGGAAGTTGGAGTACAACGGCATCAGCATCAAGGTTCTGGCTGTTGACCATGCTGGCGACGGGTTCAATATCGGGAAGACGGCCCTGAATGCCCTTACGAATGGGCGGGCTGAGGAATTCGGCTACGTCGATGCTGCCGTCACGCCCTTGGCGCCCAGAGACTGCGGGTTGTGAAGTCCGCCTTGGTCGTGTGTGTTGGGTATAAAATTGTTTGTCTATCTGGTGTCTGTATAGGTCACAGCGTGATGATAACGCGCCCTCTGTAGGCTACTTCATGTCCCATGACTATACCAATTTGAGTCGAGATTCGATGACACGTATGTTGGCTGTGCTCAAATAAACTACATGCGCATGCACAAACAAACGAAACAAGAAAAATCTGCGTCAAGAGAGGCGTAGATGGGACTCAACCATGGACAACCGACTTTCGTTGTCGAAGGGGATATCGACCCGGCTCAACAACGTCACCCGGGACAACGTCGAAACCTTGCGCCGATCCTGCTTCTGCAGCGTGCTGGCGCGCGCCACTCTGGGAGTCGGATTCTTCGCCCAAGTCCAAGCCCGTGTCACTGTCCGGCTCCTTTTCCGGCACGGAGGCCAAGGCCAAGGCCTCAAAGTTGAGCGGATCCTCGTCAGTCGATGCCAGGAACAATATGCACATCATGGTCTCAGCGTGCATGGCAAACTCTTCCAATTTCCACCCCGACGGAAACCCTGCAAACGGAATTGTGATACCGACCGCTGCCACGAGAGCCATCTTGACTTCTCTCTTGTCGAATAGCTCCTCTGCTCTGCCTAGGAAGTCGTCCAGAAGTCTCCGCTGCCCTCGGAACGCGTAGCAACGTCTCACAGAGTCGTAACCTGCGTAGTTGCCAAAGTCGACGAGTGAACAAGCCACGGACAACCTCTCCACAGCTAGGTCGTGGCCACAGTCACAGGGCACACTGTTTCTGTGGTATACACGGATATCCGCGGAACAGACTATCTCGAGATCCGGGGGGCTATATGTATCCCAGGGGTGCCAACATTGCCGGCCAGTGATGTATGATTGCCACACGTCGTTGAGCTCGTTTGCATCAGCCCGGACGTATGCCTTTCGGACCTGGTCTTTGGTTGGATGGGGGATCCTTCGTATGCCGTGTTTTCGCAAAACCTCGTCCCAGCTTGTCGTCATGATGATTGGTAGCACGTAACGAGCATTTGGCAAGCTGCTGGTCGGCGCCAAGCGTTGGTGAAGAGGTTTGGCCTGGAATGGAGGTGTGAATCAATCTCAGGACGGAGACCTTTGGTATGAAAATAAATCCAATATGTTTCTGTTAATGGGCTCATATGCCGTGGATGAAGATTGAGGCTCAGACTTGCCCTTGCCAGCTGGTTGCACCTGCCTGGACAGACGCCCAGCTGCTCAGCTGCCGCCAGGACCACCGGATTCGCTTGGGCAAGAAGATGTCAAGTGAAGCGGTTGACACAAGTTGACACAAGTTGACACAAGTTGACACAAGTTGACCTTTGACATTGTCAAGCCCGTCACTCCAACTTCATGCACGCAGCTGGCTTAAAGTATGTGCTGTGCGACATGACGATGCACAAAATTTCCGTGATAAATCGTCATGTTCCGTCGCCAAATGCCTCCCGTTTGCTTTTACCTCGATACGGTAGTCTGACCAGATCAGGACGTCAGTGACTAACCGTCTTTTGATTCCGCCGCATCCTTGCGAAACTCTAACGTCCCTCGCCACAGCCTGACGCATTTTCCTATATCGCAACAATATCGCAGCAGACCCGGCGATTCTCTCTCCCGAAAGTCAACCCGACAAGGCGCGTTTGCCATCTTGACGCCGATCCGTGCTAAAAGTTCCCATCATACTTCCCGATGCTAAAAGGAGCTCGCCCGAAGGAGTCGCGGCAGCTCCAGCAGCTTCGGCTCAACAGTCAGAGCCGGCATGAATCGAGTAAGATAAGGAAGGCCGGTACGGCCATCTCTACATCTCGAGGAGCCTGTGTTCTATGGTCCAACTAAGCTCCCTTGACACATGACTGCCTGCTCCCCTGAGGCGAGAGCCTGGCGCGGACGATCAATATTGTCTCATAGTGCTATGTCGCTTGGAGATGGCGAGCTGACCAAGATGATATCTGCGCTTCAAATTTGGCGCCATGCGCAACAATGACTAGTCTTGCCTGAAAAAATGAGTTGACGACTCGACTGCCGATACTGCGGTAGGCTATTTCAGTGGGATACTCGTACCGGCTTTGCTTTGCGTTGCATGACCGGACAGCATGCAAGAAGGAATGTCAGGATCGCGTTGGCCGCAAGGTGTATTCGAGATATACAGTTGCTGGATTAAGTTAATCTCTGACACAAAACTAACTGTCCATATCGGAGAAGACCTTTTACTCACCACGCGAGCAAAAAAATGAATCTGTGCACCGGGCATGGGATACTTCAACGATCCTAGACGCCGACAGGCCAGGACAAAGCAACAATCGCCTTGTTACAACTCCTCGGCGTACAGACTCGAAGAAGACGTTATCGGAACACTTGTTGGCCTTGTCTCGTTCGCAAGAGAAATAGCCATTGATATGGAGCGAGCTGATTTGTCGACAGGTTTTGCCAAGGCAACTAGAGCACACGCCATGAGATCGAGACAAGATCAGCCGTCCCAACCGAGGCCTTGACCAGCACATCGTCTTCCATGCTTTTATCAAGGCTTCAACATCAAAGGTCAGGTTTTCGGTGTGCACATTCAGCAGGAACCTGTCAGTGAGGCCAGATATTGTCCTTCTTCGGGGCGGGTGAGCCCTGAAGTATTTGAAATGAGACCTCCAGATGAACTGTAGCAACTTCTTTGCAAAGAGAGGCATAGTTGTGATCTGGACTGTGCATCCGGCCAATGAGGAAGCTTGCTGGATTCTTTACCTCAGAAAGATTCCCACGGAAAGACTTTGTCGGCAATTGCCTTCTGCGGAGGCATCTTGAGGAAACTCCTTGACGCCCCTTGACGCCCAGACGGGGGCGGTGGGGAAGTTTGTGGTCGTTATCCGAGTACTCCGGGGGGGTTAATTCGCAATGAGAGGTCAGTTCTCCTAATCATATGGCTGGATTAATCAAGGGACACGCCTTGATTCTGTTATGTCTTCTTCACGCTGCCAAATCCCTGATGTGGCTGATCAAATAGTCGTAGCAGCGTTGTCCTGGCCGTTTCAAGACTATCGCGGAGCTTTTCCTTCGTTGGCTCTAGGCGCATGTAGTCTCTAATGGAGTGAATACCACCATCTCTCAGTATGCGGCGGCTCATTTCATTATGTAATGGCATAATGAGAGTTATGATGAGGAACAGTATTGGGCCGAGCTACCCATGCCTCCACGTGTGTCCAGCCGACGGATGGGCATCTGATACTGACGTGAGCTTGCCATTTCCCTCACCGCCGGGTCTGCATGACCGCGCATCGACGGTTTCTGATCGCGCTCCCCGCCGCGTCGTAGATTGTGCGGGGAGACGGGGCCATGGCGCGGGGAAATGAAGGGACGGATCATGGCTTCATGGAATCCGCGGGCATCCAGAAGTTTCAAACCAGGAAACGGCTTCCCGACGACGCCTTTGCCGACGACTACGACGACGCCACCGCAAGGGGTAGCCCAATGCGCCCACAGTGGCGTCGCTTTGCATCAGGGATACGGCATCCACCATCTCTTGGTGCGGCGTAGATGGGAACGAGGGGGGCCAGGAGTAAAATGGGCAAAAAAATCCCCCGAGTCTTGCTGGTCCCCGAGCCGGCGGCGCTAAGCCGGCTTTTGGCGCACTATTCCCACATCTCGTAAGGCAAGCTTTTGCATTCAGCGGTCGTTTGGCTTTGTTCTCGAAGGGCCTGGTCGATGACGCCCTGTTCGAGAGGTTATAAAAGGCGTCGAGATGCCCTTCCACCAATGGGATATTGGTGGTCACACGCGTCGAGACCTCGTTTCCATCGTCCGAACACTACCCTGGGGACGTTTTTCTGTTGCTTCCTTCATTTCCAGTGTTCATTGCTTGGTGAAGCCGCACATTGTTCAACATGGGGAAGCTCAGCCAGTTTGTGGCAGAGCACAATGTTGCCCACAAGTTGTACAAGCAGACGCTTCTCAATACGGTCTGCATAGTTGCGGGCATTGCCATCTTCTTCTTCGGCTATGACCAAGGCCTTATGGGGGGCGTGAACACGACACGAAACTACGCGGAATTGATGGGATTTGGCCATTGGGATGACCAGAAGCAGCTGGTCGTTGTCGACAAGCCGCTGCTGCAAGGCGGTATTGTGAGTTTGACCCCGAAGCCGCGATCCGTGTTCGCGTCCCGGCAGGAGTTGCTAACTGCGCTGCTCATCGTCGAAAAGGTTGCCGTGTATTACCTGCCCGGTACTCTGGTTGGCTGCCTTCTTGGGGGATGGTTCGGTGATCGACATGGCCGCATCACGACCATCGGCCTCGCCTGCCTGTGGTGCGTCTTCGCGGCAGCTCTACAATCCGCGGCGCAGAATGCAAATTGGATGTTTTGCGGTGAGTTGCGGCCGGAGGGGAAGGGTCTCGCCGCGATTCAAAGTGTTTTGGCTGATCATGATGATGCGTACATAGCCCGGGTCTTGAACGGCATCGGAACCGGTGTACTGAACGCCATCACGCCCGTCTGGGCCACGGAGACGGCTGCCCACACATCCCGCGGACGCTTTGTTGCCGTAGAGTTTACCCTCAACATTTTGGGCGTCGTCGTGGCGTACTGGCTTGAATTGTAAGTTCTCCCCCCTTTGACCAACGGACGGCATCACGGTCCTTGCAAGGCAGGACAGGACAGGACATGGAGCGCTAAGGCACGAAGCAAAACGATAGCGGCACTTCGAAGTACAAAGATCCCAATTCCTCATTCATCTGGAGGTTCCCCGTGGCGTTCCAGATCGTACCCCTGGTCCTGCTCCTCGTCGTCATTTGGTTCATGCCCGAATCGCCCCGTTGGCTCGTCAAGGTTGGCCGCGAGGACGAAGCCCGTCTCATCCTACAACGTCTCAGGGGCGCCGAGGGCGAGGAGGGCAAGCAAGCCGAGGCCGAGCTGCAGGACATCATCAACATCCGCGACCTGGAGAAGGAGACGTCCAACCAGCAGAGCTACCTGCACATGTTGTTCGGCATCGGATCCGGCAAGCTGCACACCGGCCGTCGCGTACAGCTCGTCGTTTGGCTGCAAATCCTGCAAGAGTGGATTGGCATTGCCGGCATCACCATCTACGGGCCTCAGATCTTCACCATTGCCGGCATTGGCGCCTCGGACCGTCTCTGGGTCAGCGGCATCAACAACATCACGTACATGGTAAACTTGTCCCCCCTCTGCCTTCCCAATCCCACCCGCAGGCTAACAGGGCGACCAAGTTCGCCACCCTCATCTGCGTCTTCACGCTCGACCGCATCGGCCGTCGATGGACGCTGTACTGGGGCTCCGTAGGCCAAGCCATATGCATGTTCGCCGCGGGCGGCCTCGCGCGCGCAACCGCCGATGCCGCCGCCAGCGACCGCGCGCAGATCGGCGGCGCGGCCACCTTCTTCGTGTTTCTGTACACGGCCATCTTCGGGGCCACCTGGCTCACCGTCCCGTGGCTGTATCCCGCCGAAATCTTCCCCCTTCAGGTCCGTGCCAAGGGCAACGCCTGGGGCGTCGTCGGCTGGTCCATCGGCAACGGCTGGTGTGTAAGTGTGACTGATGCGTGCCTCTTACCGGCATTCCCCGGCGCACACGTGGGCTGGCTAACGCGCGCGCAAAGGTCCTTCTGCTCCCTTACATCTTTGACAAGCTCAACGAGAGGACGCTCTACATTTTCGGCGGCGTCAACGTGCTCACCATCTTCATCGTGTGGGCGCTGTATCCTGAATCGAATCAGCGAACCCTCGAGGAAATGGACCTCGTCTTTGGCAGCGACAGCATCTGGGCATGGGAGGCCGAGAAGAACTTTGCCAGGCTCAAGGACGAGGGCCCACGGCTCGTCGAGGCCGCCAAGTCGGGCCACGGAAGCTGGAACGGACTCGGGGAGACGTCATAGGCAGCTCTCGTGGGAAAGGTCACGCCGTCCCCGTCTGCCACTCCATGGCTCCCGCCGGTGGTGCTGAAAGACTATTACAATTCGAGACGTATTTATATACTGGAGTGGAATGCACCAGTTCCGGGGTGGCCGCGTCGTCCCGGCCGTACATACACATATCTAGAAAACGAATTCGCACCGTCTGTCTGTCTCTATATGCTGGAACCCCGTCGCAAACCACCCGGTTTGTCACTGACTGACCTGTTTTCGCAAAATGCCATGACGTTGGTGAGGGGGAACAGACAAAAAATTAAAGAAACGCACTCCCTCAAAACTCCAGATACCGTCTACAATGCACATCACACAGACTCAATCACTGTCCATGTCCCCCTCATCGTCGGTCAGATCCACAGCCAGCTTGTGCGCCTCGTGCTCCATCATCTCCCGGTAGGTGCTCCAGCTCAAGGCGGCAAAGGCCACGATGATCATGCTCCCGCCCACGATGGCGGCCCAGCTCAGCGGCTGGCCGGTCAGGACCCAGTCGGCGATAGCGACAATGAAGATGGTCAACAGGGCGGCGACGCTGGACAGCACGGGCGACGTCAGCGAGATGAGCACGAGGAAGCAGCCGCTGAAAGTGGCGTTGGACAAGACGGCCAGCAGGATCAGCCAGCACGTCGAAGCGTCGGGGATTTCGAAGCGCTCAATGTGGAGCCAGTGCAGGAAGGGGAGGGGGATCCAGAGCACGGTGAGCGTGAAGAAGCCGATGCAGGAGCCGAAGACGTTGGCGAAGATGGTGCCGCGCACGGGGGACACGCCATCGGGCGGGCAGGCGTAGCGCTTGTAAAGGACCTCGTAGAGGCCGTACAGCACGGAGCCCACGCCGATGATGAGGTTGCCTGCGAAGCGGGAGCCCGCGCCCGGGTCAGAGGGCCCGGACGCGGACGAGGTTGCTTCCTCGGAGCCGGTGTCGCCGTAGGCCACGACCAGGACGCCGAGAATGGCGATCATGACGGCGACGGACTTGTCGACGCGGAGGGGCTCCTTGAGGATCGGCACGGAGAAGGCGTATGCGAAGAAGGCGCTGCAGTTGTATATGGCCGTCAGGTCGGATGGCGTGGTTAGGCTCACGGCAATGTACCAGCTCAGGCCGGCAATGGTCAGAGCCGAGGTGATGTATATCGTCATGCGCGCCAGGTACATGACCGGTCTGCCGCGCCGGGCGACCGAGGGCGTCGTGACGTTGATGGTCTGCAGCTCAATCATGGTGACGGTCGAGAGGACGACTTGCAGGTGTCTCCGCCAGAACTGGTCCCACGGCTCGTGACGCTTCTGGAGCCTCAACACCAGAACCGTCATTGGCCACAAAACTATCCACGAGCTGTGCGTTAGATACATCATGCAGTACGCTTTGCCCCAGGCCAGGTCGTGCTGAATGTAGGCGGACAGCTCGGTCTGTACGCAGAAGGCAACGAGGGACACGGAGAGGAAGAAGCCGGCGAAGAGGTATTTCTTGCGGGCAGAGGCCTTGGCGGCTTCGAGCGCGCCGGTAGGATTGCGCGAGTGCATCGTAGATTGGCGGCTGAAGGCGCCGCGTTGCGATGAGGCCGCGGTCATGGGCGGGTGGGAACCGGCTGCGGTGTCGTGGGTGTCGGGGGTCGGTTGTGACGCCGGAGAGAGAGAGGGCCGCTTGGATTCCACCTCGGCCATGTGGTCCTCTGCCTTGAAGAGCAGCGGGGTGCCGGAGCGTCCTCCACGTTGAAGGTTTGGCCGACGATCGCTGGGCATGGTGTCTTGGCGGACAAAGGGGGGTCGTGGTGTGTCGGCAATTGGGGTTGTGGTGACGAGAGAGGCATTCGATGCTCAAAAAGCCAACCGTAGACTGATATGAAGCTTCGAGTTGTGAAGCGGCACGAATGAGCCTTGTGGACGAGGCCTTTTCTTTGTCTTGTTCGCTCCTTTTTTTTTTCCCTCCTCCCGATCGAAGCCAAGGAGTCAAGGGAGCGAGTCAGGCCCAGGGAGAGCAGGGCCCGTTCCGTTGACTATGACGACAAAATGCCCGAGTGCCCGAGCCAGAGGAGAGGGAGAGATGAGAGGCTAGAAGCGCGGCCATGGACTCAAGGCAGAGCGACGGGAGGCATGATATAATTCCGCCGTGACGTCCGGGGTCGGAAAGAAGCCAGGGCGACGAATACGAAGATGCTCCCGAAGCGCACGTTGGAAGAGCGACCAGTCGTCGATCCGCTGGAGGATTGAAACGGCCGCTCAAGTCCCAGGCGGGTACCTCGGTGGCGCGTCCCTAACGGGCCTTGGCCGTGGGGACGGGCAGCCCAGGATTAGCCCGGCACGCCCCGATACCAGGGTAGGTACTTCCGTACCGCAGCCGTGACTTTCGGTTCTCATGATCCTTGGACTTGCGGCCCGTGTCACGAGGCCGCGTGCGCTTCGGTCCGCCACCTGTGGTTGTGAATGGAAAGCAGCATCTCGATCGATCAATCTGCGTCAAATGCTACCGTTGTACAGCGATCCGCATGCAACTGTCAGCTGAACCCGCACGGCAGCGCGGCAGCTATCCGTCGCGGCCGCTTCAACTTGTCTGTCCGGGATCAAGGTCATGAGTAGTTAGTTGGTCGTCTCACTCAGACCTTCAAAAGTGTTGTATTTTTTGTATTTTTTGTTTTTACTATACTGCATATGACTCTACTGTAAAATTACATGCCAAAAAAAATTACTTGTAAATGTATTCTTACAGTTTTTAGCACTAGATTTTTATTTACGATTTGTATCAATGTATATTTATCCGGGACTCTCGCCACTCACCAGGACCAGAGTTGACGACAAGGTACACACACACCAGGGGCACCAAGTCATCAGTGTTTCACTCTTATTCTCGAAGCAGTCCCATGCATGTCCATCTACTTTGTTTCAGGTCCAAACAACACTTTCTTGGCATCATAAGCATAGTCCAAATCGCCGTGCCAGTAATTGGCTGAGTCAGCCTTGGATATTTGCCACGCATCATCGAGAGCCTCGACAACCTCGGCCGGTAGCGGGCCCTTCTCCAGGTTGTTCAAGTTGTCCTCCAGCTGTTCGACGCTCGATACACCAATAAGAATCCCGTCGTTGCCGTCCCTGATCTTCAGCTTGGCGTGGTGCACTGCCCAGCGCAGCGCAGTCTCGATCATGGTCAGGCTGTGCTTCTCGACGACTCCTTCCACGAGCCGCATGGCCCTGAATGTGCTCTCGCGGAAATAGCGCCGTCGGTAATTGGCGCCCTGAATGGAGCTGACATCCGAGAACCGACCGCTCTCGGGCATCATGTCGTGCGACTTGATCTTGCCCGAGAAGAGACCGCCGGCCAGAGGGTTGTACACAACGATGTCGAGGCCGTAACGACGGCAGGCAGGGAAAAGCTCAGCCTCAATGTTACGCGTGATGCAGTTGTACATGCCTTGATATATGCTGGGCCGAACCCAGTTGTTGTATTTGCAAATCATCATGACCTCGGCCACCTCGTATGCAGCAAAATTGCTGATGCCAAGGCGAACAAACTTGCCAGCCTTGTGAAGCTTGTCCATGGCTTCCAAGGTCTCCTGGAACGGCGTGCCACGGTCGGGTTTGTGCAGATAGAGGATCTGATAAACGCCCATCATTGTCAGTCGATCTGGCTCTGCCGAATTGCATCATCCCGAGCATCAGGCACCGGAAAGGGACTCACGTCTACGCAGTCAGTACCCAGCTCCTTGAGACTGGTCTCCACCGAGGCAATCACCTTCTCAGCCGTGTTATCCCCAGGCGCCGCTGGATAATGCACCTTGGTGGCCAGCGTCAACCCCCTCTCCTTCCACCCGGCCTCTTTCGTGAATGCCTCTTGCTTTGTGCCGACATAGACACGAGCTGTGTCCACCTCGTTATATCCCCTCGCCTGGAACAGGTCAAGCGCTTTGTTGAAAGTGTCCAGATCGGTGACGCGGGCGCCATCTTCGGAGCTCGGTCCAAATGTCATCAGACCCAGGATGACACGTGGGTTCACATTCGGAACGATGAGGGGCATCTTGGCGGTAGGTGCGAATGCTAGCTAGAGTATTGTCAAGTGCGTATTTCTTGTCCAGCTGCGAGACAAGCAGTTGAGTGGCTGTTTGTAAATCCAAAAAGCGTGTGTATCAATGTCCACGGTGTTGGCTCTTGCCTGCTTCACGATTGAAACTCGCGTGCGGGGGAAGTCGGTGACGCTTTCCTTGGAATCTTAAACCCGGCACTGCTCCATAATACAACGTGGAGAATCGCGGGGCTAGTACTCCGTACTCCGTGGTAAACTGGTCTTCACCGATCGCCGGGAGGAAGGCGCTGCCTTGGTTCCTTCCATATCCAGGTACAGAGCCGTTGAAATCGTGCGCGCCATATTTTGGCCAGATCAGCCTTCGTTCTTGGGGGGGTGGCGACGTGGAATTGCTTTTCGTGCTTGCTCTTCCGGTCGATGAGGACCGGTGTGCTGCGCTACAGAAGTTTTGCTTGCGATCGAGAGGTTCTTCTTTGACAGCTGTGGACAACTGGCTTTGTACCTTTCGTACGGACAAGCCCGGTCAGCGAAGCGGCTCTGTCCGGAGGGGCCTTTTCGCTTGTTGATGAGTTATTTGGGATGACACGCACCGGACAAAGGTATGTGCACGTCCTCCTTGCTTCCCACTCTTGCGTCAATTCGTTGGCTTTCGGCCGGTGCGGATCGCTCATGTGCAGCAAAGGTTCGCAGTTGGAAGCTCGAGCAGAATCAAATGCTGAGCGCATTCGATACTCAACTGTCTCTCGTGCCTGAATCGCCCTCCAGACTGACACCCGTCGTCGTTTTGGGCGAGAAAACGGTACGCTTCAGACGTTTACGACCTGACACGGGCACGTGCTGCCTTTGTTCCGTCTTGGAGTCGCATGATCCTGAATGCCCGACAGCGCCGGTTACGGTGGTGCATATGTCTAAAGCCAAGATGATAGTTAGGATCAGCAGGTTCAATTACACTGGCTGGCTATCCGATCGCGCGTCGATGCACCGCTCGTAGCTTGCCATGATATATGGCATAGACAGTTTCGGCGTCTCCATCACTTGGTCTCGAGCACAGCCAACCCCATCATGGTTCGACCTTCGGAAGCACGAGGATCCGCCGGACAGGCAGAAACCGACATTGAGCCCAGCACCGTCGCTTGCTTGCAATACCTGTCCCTGCGGCCCCCGCTGGCCGGACCCGAGGGTGGAAAGGATGGCACCACCGCCCCGGGCTCGGATATCAGGCTTGTGTGTAAGCCAACTCCCTCGACGGACATTGGTCTGCCGCAACGAAAAGAACGGGTGATGGAGCGGCACTGCCTCTCTCGGCATCTTCGTCCTAAGGACTCGGGAGCTCAGAGTGGGTAAATCCATAAGCCGGCACCCATTCCGGCCAGCGGTCCTCCGGCCATTGGTCAACAGGCAGAGGCGCTCATCGCCAGTGGTGTGATAATTGCGACCAACACAGGCCATATCTGCCCACCACAAGTTGAACCACCCTGGCAAGCCAAAGCCGAAGAGTGTCGACCACTATTCATGGAATCCCTTAGCCAAAATAAAAATAAAAAAGTTCAAACGTCGTGTGCAGGAGGTGTCGTGCTACGCCGTGCCACCAGGTACAAAAGGCACTGCATGCAGCTTCATCTCGACGTCACATCCATCCATTCATATCAAATACAAGCCCTATAGGAAAGACACAATCTCTGCTCCATATTCTCTACGAAACTAGAGTCCGCTCTGTGCTGCCATAATCATTTTACTTTTACTTCTTTCTTCTTCTTCTTCTTCTTTCTTCTTCTTCTTCTTCTTCTTCTTCTTCTTCTTCTTCTTCTTCCTCTTCTTCTTTTTCAAGCACTGCTCGCACAAAATGAACCCTGCCGTCTCCCGCACCGCAGCGCAAAGGTCGTTTTCCCTCATGACAGCCGCTCGCTCCGCCGCGCGGTCTATGGAACCTCATCCCTTCCAGCGCGTTTCCGCTACACGAAAATCAGCCAAGGCCGACTGGGCCGGCGAGGCAAAACGTCTGGGTAAACAGATGGCCATGTATGTTTACGCCGCTCCCGGCAAGATTTGAGCGTCGAGGGCGGAACGTGCTGACGCGGTACAGATTCGCCCCTGGCATTACCGTGCTACTAGGGTGGCCGTACCTTGCCAAGGTCATTGCTGATGGCCACGTCTAACCTTGTGGCTCCAGATGCGCCTATTTCTGTGGAGCTGCTCGAGGGGATCGTGAGGCGGCCGACTGCGAGTGTGTTGGGCTTTGTTTCAAAGACAATGTTTGACGTATATATTAAGCAGCAATGTATATATGGTGTTTCGGACACATCATCTTCCAGCATATGAAAATCTCATCATTCGCCGCACTCCATGTCGTTCACACAAGATCCGTCGCAGGACGGAACCTCAAGCTTCGGCATCTCCAGAGTGCAATGCTCAGAAGATGCAGTCCCATTCGCTGTGCTCCCGCTCAAGCCGGACCCCAGCGGACTCCGCAAGTGTGACTCGGCTTCCGCCTTGACAATAGGTTCACGGCTCCCGGTGTCAATCGTCGCCCAGCCCAGGCCCCTCCTGATCCTATTCTCCTTGGCCTGTCTCTCCAGTCGAGAGAGCTTGTGTCCGCCCGGCGGAGGGCCCAAGGCGCCTCTGGCATCGCTGCCCTTTGATCCATCGCGAGACCTCGCAACAGGTAGATGGCGGGCGGCGCGAACCATCCAAGGCCCTAGAATGGGGATATTGGCGGCAATGAGGCCGACAAACTGAGCAACGTCAGATGGGCGCAGGAGTGAGTGTCGAGATTCTGGGAATTCATGCTCACAGTCTCCCGGAGGGACCAGACGGTCGTGAGGTCGGTGCTGGTCGCGTGTTTGATGCAGAGAATGAAGCGGACGATGGCAGCCAGCATTATGAAACCTCCCGTGCAGAGCCAAACGCCGCAGAGCAGCTTCCTGTAAGCGCTGGTGAATTCCCCATTCGATCCCGTGGCCACGGTAGACCTACCTCAGCCGCGGCATTTGAACCTTCCAAAGTAGCGGTAACGGAATAGCCATTATCATCAAGTCGGTGCTGCGAGGTGTAAGCCTTACTCGTCGTTCTCTCTGGACAGGGTGGGAGACATCATGGCCTGACCTGACGTTCGTCACGACCAGCGTATAGTGCACCGGCGTGCCCTTGGCGCAAGCATCTACACTCTCTCTCGTCAACGGGTGTGCTGGTACGTCGAGTGCGGCCCCCTTTGAGGTGACGTACCGCCGGGATACGGATGAATCTGCCACTTCTTGCGTATCGGCGTGCAATGCAACCAGACGACGGCGATGGTCGCAACATATGCCGCGGCGCAGACTACAGCGGTCGTCTTGACCAGTTGCCGCTGCTTCAGGTCAAGGCTTGCAGGCGTCAGTTTCCGTTGGTAGCTTGTCAGGATTTCACCCACGTTAGCCTTCCGTAGAGAAAGAGCATGCATGCTTTCAGTGTCCAGATCAGAGAGACGTAGATGCACCAGGTTGCCACGGCGCACTTGGCTCCGAATACGATGCTGCTCTTCTCTTCCTCGCTGAGTTTGAGGACCACCCGATGCTTCACATCTTTGAGGGAGCCGTGCATTTCTGGGGGAAGGGGTCAGCTTCGTCAAAAGCCACGGACGTCCAGTCCAGCTGGTGTCATGTACCTATCAACTGCAAGGTGCACAACTCGGCCTTTTGCCCTCGGGTTAGACACCGTTTCGAGCTCGTCAGGGGCAGGTTGGTAACCCACTGTCCAGAGAATGGCGGCCAGGACGGCAAAGTAGTCATCTCCGTCCCACCTCCTTCCCACAACGTTGACGCGGCAAAGTATTCGCGCAACGAGGATACATAGTCCCAGTGCGTATTCGGTCCATGCTTCGGCTGTAAACGAGGATAAGGACATGGCAACTCAAGCCTATTGTCGTCATTTAAATCGTTGGGCTGACTCGAGGTTCGATCGACTTCTGGGCGGCTCGTCGCTAGAAATAAATCGGTCTTGAAAAACCCTTCTCCGTAGTTGGATCTTGCTGGTGTTGATCTGGCAAGGACCAACGCGAGAGCGGCGACGTTTCTGTACTAAGCTGATTTCGCTCGTCTTGGCTTCGGCCAGCAATCGCAAATTCGAGGCTGAGGCACACCACTTCATGATAATGACTCTCTTTGCTTTTTTGATGAATTCGTGTGGCATGTCAAGGACCGCGGAGGGTATTTCTTGCAGTGAACGAGCACACAGGCCAGCGAGTGCCCAGGGCAGCGGATTCGACGCATCGCAAATCATACGCGGCAGAGCTAAACCGTAGAGTTTACTGGCTGCCTGGAGATCTTTGATTAGCCTATCATGGGGTAACAGTGGGAGGAAGGAGGGCCAAAATTACAAGTCAGGAAGCCCTTGGTCTGACTCGGCGCCTTTGCACCGTTCACCCTGCCCTTTCATCTCGTAATTATCCCGAACAGCCATTGACATTGCCTACGCTCCACCACGTTGGACCGACTAAAATGGATAGCCATTGGTTCTTGGGTCGAGGTGGCGCCTGAACGGATTTGCTTTTGTTTTGTCGGAACATCTCCCTTGGGACACCGCGAGGTATTTTTCCTTCTTGTTGGCATGTAAAGGCGGCTGCGAGAAATACCAAGAAAAAGCACGGTACCAAAGTAACGACCCCCAAACGATGTGTCAAATATCGAAGCCCTTGTTGGGGGTTGAGATGGGATGGGCAAAGCGGACCATCAAGCGGTGCTTGCGTCGTCGTACGGGTAAAAGTCCGGTCTTTGCTGGTCAGGTCACCGTAAGCTGCGTGCGCATCGTGCAGCCCCCTTGACGAGAGTTCGATCTCAGGAGTCTCTTTGCCAGAGTCAGATCGTTTTGACCCTCTAGAGGGGAAGAATACTCTTGAGGGGAACTAATCACATCACGTTGTGACATCCAGCTACCCTCTGCAGGGAGACGGTACTTCTAGCCGCAACTTTCGCATTGACCCTTCTTCAGAGTGAAGGTAAATGAGGCCATACCCAGGTTCCTTCGGTCATAATTTGCCAAGACGCTTGCTTGGGTTGCTTATGCCAAATCATGTTCGATACGGGAGGACTCGAGCCACCCATGCCCCGGAAGAGCAACATGACTGACAGAAGAGAAAGCGCCATGTCCATTTTACTAATCAGTCCATCCGTCAAGATATTGTCAATAGCGGCACAGGCTTTGCTGTCTTGGGCGGGACCTCTTCAGCTTGCCGTCGAGTGGCTGGCAAGTGGTTTCCCGGACTTTTCCATCATCGTCTTTGTCCACGACAGTGCTCTAATGAAGACGGCAGCAAAGCCAGCTTTCAGTGCGTGCGGTGCTAGAGGTGCATTTCGACGATGAGAGGAGAGAGGGCAAGCATTTCAAACAAAAGTGCTCCGTAAATGGCCGGCCTAGCTGGCGATTCGGTTGAACCGAATCTGAAGATTCTGTGCCAACTACAAATCGTCCGTTGGCCAGCACCCGATTCCCGTCACTAAGCTCGAACAGCGCAGGGCATCTCCATTTTGGGGGAGCAACGCCCTTCTCTCGCTCGTCACGGCGCGAAGCATCCAAGACACGTGCATTTACGACCGTGGAGTCCCCCTTGCCGTCTGAAATAGTACCATGTCCGTCGGAGGCGGCGCTGGGAAATCCGGCGGGTCGATATACTCGGGAGCTTTTGTTTGAACGGAAATCTGTCTCTTATTCACCCACTCCGTTCAATAGCGTGCGAAATTCTGAAACCAAGGGATCAAGTTTGACATCTGGATGAGGCAATGCACCCACTCCTTGAGGCCCTGTACGTCGGCGGGATTTTGTTCCTGACCAACGGCCCGGAAATGCGAGTCGCCGGCCATGATTCCGTACAGGGGGAATATTACTCCCTTGACGTCATTCCGGTCCGGTCCATATCTGATGCGGCCTATGCGGCCGCTATAGTGACGTTTATCATCTCGGCTGTTACAACAAACAATACGGCCAGATATGTGGCCATGATGCTCATGGTTGGTCATCTGCTGCTGTCTTTGGGGAGGTTGGTTATTCTGACACATCGTCTGTTTAGGTTCCAGGTGTCTGCGACGGACTTACTACTGCTCTGGTTTGGATTAGCAATACTTTGCCACGTCCGCCGGCCAAACGAGCCGCAGCCCTCGCCTTCATCAATGCCGTGCTCAACAGTGCGTCCATCTACACGAGTTATTTGTACCCCAAATCGGCCGCCCCCAGATATACTGGAGCTTTTATTCACAACTGTGTCGCGGCAGCAGTGGCGACATGTGCCGCTTTTTTTCTGAAGAGGATGCTAGTGCGGCTGAACAAGGAATTGGATGGAAGCGACACGGTTGAGGGCGCAATCAAGTCTGGGGAGGCCATGGAGCGTAGATTCCGCTTTGTGGTATAGATGTCTTTGTCACGTATTGCGTTTTTACATTCTGGCCGACCTAGGACGAAAAGATGTCAGGAGAGAGAGTCGCCTTGAATTTTCAAGTTGACCTGACCGGAGTGACCAAGCCCGAGAAGTCCATATCGATATTTTGTGCCGTCCGCCTTTTGCGAACTGTGATGCGTGGTTCCTGCGGTTGGTCATGGATACAAGGCCCTGCAGGGAGATCTTTTGAAAAGATATTTACGTATTTCATGTCTTGATCGAATCAACAGTGGCTGAAACACCTTGTCGCCGTGCTCGGAGAATGTAGAATTCCCGCCAAGGTTAATGAGTGTTGGACTTTGGTATTCGACGGGATGAGGTCTAGTCACGTGCGACCCTGTTGCCTAAGCAGGTAGGCGGCGTCAACCTCGTCGCTTCACGTTCTGCCCTTGCGCGCAATCACATGCTCGTTGAGCAGACCGCGCAACACCATGGCGACGCCAGAATGAATATCCAAAATGAGAATCAAATCATTGAAATACCGGATGATGACTCAACAGCGTCTGAAGATGAGAATTCGACGGCTGAGAGAGCTGCCAGTCGCTCAAGAAAGCGCAAAGTCGGAGACGATGACGTCTCAGAAAAGGTGCACTGGTCTGACGGCTCTGATGCAGTGCCCGTGAAGCCGGCAAAACGAAGGGCAAAACGCAAGTCAATCGCAAAAAACAAGCAAAATCCAAAGCCTAGCAGTGGACACGAGGCAAGAGATGAGCCTGATCTCGGAGACATTCCGGACTATTTACAAGAGAGACGTCGAAAGTATGATGCAAACAGGAAACAGTATCACGAGGCTGCCCTCATGCTTCCTCCCGACTATACTGATATTGATTTCCTTGAATCAACAGGAACGAGAGAGCTCAAGCAGAGACCCGAGTTTGATGCCAGAAGTGGTGTCAAGCCGTCTCGGCCGTACAAAGACATTGAGCTACCCCAGTCGGCCGGGCTCATCCCAGCACCCATCGCTCAATACTTGCGAGACTACCAGGTGGTTGGGGCCAAGTTCCTTCATCGCAAGTTCGTCTTCCAGGAAGGATGCATACTCGGCGACGACATGGGTCTTGGCAAAACAGTCCAGGTCGCTGCGTTCCTCGCAGCCGCATTCGGCAAAACTGGTGACGAGCGGGACGATAGACGAATGAGGGAAGTTCGATTTCGCCCCGATCGCTGGTATCCCAGAATACTCGTCGTCTGCCCTGGATCTCTCATCATCAACTGGAAGAACGAGTTGAACAGATGGGGGTGGTGGCACGTTGACATATATCACGGCGCAAACAAGGACGACGTCATGGGCACGGCGCGATCTGGGCTCCTCGAGATCATGATCACGACATATGACACGTACAAAAATAACCGCAGTGCTATCAACATGGTCCCGTGGGATGCTTGCATCGCAGACGAATGCCACCGACTCAAAGAGAGGTCGTCCGAAACGACCAAGGCAATGAACGAGGTGAATTCGCTCTGTCGCATCGGGCTCACCGGAACCGCAATCCAAAACAAGTACGAGGAACTGTGGACGCTGCTCGACTGGACAAACCCAGGACATCTCGGGACCAAGCCGGAGTGGATGCAGGCCATCAGCAAGCCCTTGACCGTCGGGCAGTCCCACGACGCAACGGTGGCCCAGCTAAGTTTGGCTCGACAGACTGCCAAAAAGCTCGTTCAGAACCTCTTGCCCCGCTACTTCCTGCGGCGCATGAAGAGTCTCATTGCAGACCAACTACCGAGGAAGACGGACAGGGTCGTCTTCTGCCCCCTCACAGACGTACAGGCCGAGGCGTACGAAAGCTTCCTCAGCTGCCCCGAGATTCATCTTCTGCGCACGGTATCGGATCCATGCCCACACGGCAGAAAGAAGGGCTGGTGCTGTCAGACCCGCCTCCCCGACGGCAGACGATGGCCCGCCATTGTGTTTCCGAGCATGATGACGCTGCAAAAGCTAGCGAACCACCTCGCGCTGCTCACGCCATCCACCACAGACCTCGACAGCAAGCACAAGAAGGATCTCGAAACGCTCAAGCTCTGCCTCCCGGACACGTGGAGGCCACTCTACGAGAAGAGAGACCAGATCAGAAGCCTTGTCGACCCCGAGCTTTGCGGCAAGTGGAAAGTCATGAAGAAGCTGCTGAGGTTCTGGCACCAAAACGGCGACAAGGTGCTTGTCTTCTCCCACAGCGTGCGACTGCTCCGCATCCTGCAGCACCTGTTCACGAGCACGAGCTACAACGTCAGCTACCTAGACGGGTCGCTGAGCTACGAGGAGCGACAGGACGTCGTCGACACCTTCAACTCCGACCCCATGCAGTTTGTGTTCCTCATCTCGACCAAGGCAGGCGGGGTAGGGCTCAACATCACGTCCGCCAATAAGGTCGTCATTGTCGACCCTCACTGGAACCCATCGTACGACCTGCAAGCCCAGGACCGCGCGTACAGAATAGGCCAGACGCGGGACGTTGAGGTCTTCCGCCTCATTTCTCAGGGCACCGTCGAGGAAATCGTCTACGCGCGACAGGTGTACAAGCAGCAACAGGCTAATATCGGATACACGGCCTCGTCTGAACGCCGATACTTCAAGGGCGTGCAGCATGACGAGGACAGAAAGGGTGAGATCTTCGGCCTGTCCAACATCTTCACGTACCACGGGACGTCCAGCCTCGTGAGGAACATTGTGAACAACACCAACATAGCCGAGGCCAAAGCGGGCGTCGACATGGCAGACGTCGACATGGAGCGGGCGGCCAAGGACGAAGAAGCGCTGAGCCCGCTGATACGGGAAGAGGGCGGCGCCGAAGACGGCGGCGCGGGCCAGATGGCTGCCCTTCTTACGGCCGAGAACCAACAGCAGCTGCTGGAGTCCAAAAAGTCGGGCGCGCCCAAAAGCGACGCCATCCAGGCAATCTTGGCGTCAGCCGGCGTGGAGTACACTCACGACAACTCTGAGGTTATCGGCACGTCCAAGATTGAGGAGCAGCTCTCGCGCCGAGCCGCCATGCGCTCATACGCCGACGGGGATGCAGAGGGACAAAATACCCTGTTTGCAGACAGCCAGGACGAGGACGATGGAACCGTGCTGCACAGCACGTATCGACCGCCAGAGGATGTGTGTCTGCGGCAATTCTGTTCCATGGGCCAGGAATTCGGGTTCATTAATGCTACGGAGTTTGCGCTCGTGGTGGAGAGTTGGTCGCAAGAGGCGAGGAGAAACTGTCTCGACGCGTTCTATAGGAGGAGGGAGGCACAGCTGGAGGGAGCGGAGAATTCGAAGGCGCACAGGGCGGCTGAGGCTGCTGCCGAGGCGGTGGTTGAGGATGGGGATGCAAAAGACGTTGTGAACCGCGAGGACGTGGCGCAGGTTAAAGATGAAGACACCACGGAGGACAAGGACAAAAAAACAAAGACGATTACGGATGAAAATACAAGGAGGGACGTCGAGCATGGGGACATTGACGCTGAAGGCATCAAGTTGGGAGACTCGAAGACAGAGGGCATGACGGACGACAATATCAAGGAAGAGGGAGTCAAGACGGCGGATGTTGAGCACGGAGACGAGGGTGCCCCGGAAGGTATTGAAGTGAAGCCAAAAACATTCAAAGTGGAGGGCACGTCAAAAAAAGATTCGATTTTTATTTCCGATGACGGTGATGACGAATTATAGGCGTTTTGAGAGGACTTGTTTCCGGAAGATACCCCCCTTTCTTTTTTGAATGGCATTGATTCGCTGGCTGCGATGTGCACCCGTTCGATAGTCCATGTTTGGCAGGTAAACTGCGGCTTTGTATTTATTTGGTCAAGACTCCAATGACATGAGGCATAACGGCGTAAGGAGGTTCATCTGGTGAAGTTGCCAGGTCAAACTTGCTCCATGTGCCGACGTCGCGCAGCGTCTGGTCGGTAGGTCTACAAATCCGGCACGGCCCCATGAAGAACATCCAAACACAGTTGACAAAGCCTATCCGATCGAGTCAGCGGCAATCCTCACCCCCCTCCCCCCCCCCGGCGAAACGCAGGATCAAAGCACTCACGCTGATAGAGAGGCATGATGGGAAAGCCCCGGGTCGTCTTGACGTGCTCAAAAACATACCACGTGCCGCCGGGCTTCAACAGCTTGTACAAGCGCTCAATATTCTCCCTTGGGTCCGGAATGCTGCACATGCACCGAATCCCCACGATGCAATCGACGCTCCCCGGCTCAATCGTGCCCTCCCACGCCGTGGAGCTCGTGACGTCCTCAACGCCCACGGGCACCACCTCGTACACGTCTCCCAAGCCGACCTCCCTCACGCGCTTGCGCAGAGCCGCCGCCGAAATGGGGTTCGGCTCAATGCCATAGATCTTGGTGATGCCGCCTCGACCTGCTCCTGTTCCGCTCTCAGCCCTTCTGCTTCTCAGTCCTCCCATTTCGCCCGTCCCAAAAGAAGCGTTTTCGCGAACGCGGGCCAGCACGTCCGCCCACATGCCGCTGCCAGCCCCGACCTCGAGAACCGTCCCGTGGACAGGCGTGGATACGACGTGGTCATGGACTTTTGCGCCCGAGACTTTGCCCTCGAGGAGTGGAACGATGACTGGCTCCGCGTTCGCCTTTGTTTCCGGACCCAGCGTCACCCAGAGGTTGCCAAAGAGCTCCCTGCCAAAGGCCGACGGCGACAAGAGTTTGCCATAGTCGCCCGAGGATACGAGACCGGAGATGGTACTGGGTATGTGGGAGATTGACGAGGCGATGATGAGCCACGGCTCGACGAGGTACTCGAAAAGCTGCTGGATATGAGCGACCAGCGACATGGTGGGTGGGCAGAGCTGTAGGGGTCGATGAATAAGGGGAGACGACGAAAAACTCCAAGTTACACGCAACCGAAGTGCCTTGCTGATTTGAGAAGATGAATCAAGAAGAGAGGAAAGAGTGGTGAGAAGTGCGAGTGGAGGAGGAGAAGGGGGCAGCTCAAGTCAGGTGCCTGTCCTGCTGCCAACTTCCATCTTTGGCAATCAACGGTCCCGGGCGCGGCGCCGACAATACGCCGTGGTCTTTTCCTGGGTTGCCCGCAAAGTCGGGCGGCCAGGCGGAGCGGTTGTCAGCCAATGCCACGAGTCGCCAGGGCCGAGGTGGGGCCGGGAACACCGTGCCGGATCCACCGACAGGCCGAGCGAGAAGGCGAGAGTGACAACATGTACCTATGTAGTTGGAGCCCTGGCCGTCGCAAAAGAACAGACAGATGAGTCGCAGAGCGCCGTGGTCAACACTCGTCACGTTCGCTGGCGTGGGGCAAGAGCCGAATGATCCATCATTGCGAGCAAGGGGCGATCTGATGCGCTTCTGGAAGCCCCAACAGCAACGGACGATGCATCAAGATGCCATGACTGGGAACTGAAGCACCCTTGAAAGAGAATACTCGAGCCTCGCCCACGGATACCAATGGACCACGACCTGAGTCGAGCAATGGCCCTCACCCGAAAAGCCTGAATTCTCTAGCCAGTCTACATTAGCAATCGACACTGTCCACGCCTCGCGATGCCGGTCCTCATCAGAATCAAGAACCCGTTCCGACGCCTTGCAACGCCCGCCCCAGCCTGGTGCCCTCTTCATGCTCTCTACAGCAGCTCGAAATCATCCAACTGGTCCCTGTACTTCATGATGTTCCTCTTGATTTTACTGCCCACAGACCACGTCACAAAGTCCTCGGTCGACCTCGTCACCAAATACGCCGGGTCTGTCACCGTCTCGACGCCCACACGCACGTGGCCCTGCTCAATCATCTTGGTGGCCGCCTGCACCGTCTCCGCCATGCGCAGCCGCGTCATCACAACAGGAAGCCGCCTCCTCGCAAAGGCACTGACAGTGACGCTGTTCTCGACGGCAGAAAGCTTCGACTTGCTGGACAGGATGCCCATGTCGTAGAGCTTGTTGAGGAGGAGCTCCTCGTGCTTGCGGCGCGTGGCGCTTTCGGCGGGTAGCAGCGACAGACGATGGGCTAATTGTCGGAGAGACTAGTAAATCATGGACGTCAGTCTTCTTTCTTGCCTTTATTTTTGCTCTTTGGGGCAATTCAGTCGGGTATGCAGTTGTTGATGTTGTGTGCCACCCATGATTGGGGGGGGGGGGGGGAAGCACAGTCTGTTGTATTTGTGGTAATCCTCGGGTTTTTGGATCATGTACCGACGGATGACGGCCTTGTCGCGGTGGTCATTGTCGGATTTGTATGTGATGAAGTCGGTCTTGCGGAGGAGTTTCTGCTCGTGGTACTTGAGCTTGCGGACCATGCTGGGCAGCTGCCGGCATCAAATTCAAGATTCTGTGTTTGCAGAATCCAGTATATCGTTTCGGGTGAGTCACTCATTCCACGACTCGCCTTTGCAGCCCACGCGAAAAGTATACCCCTCGCAGGTGGTGACGGTGACGGCGTCGCGAGGTTTGCGTCGAAGTCGCCAAATTCTTGGAGAAAATCCACGGGAAATAAAGTGGGTCATCCGCCCACCCCCACCAACCAGGAGCTAGAGCTAGCTGCGCACCTCCATGGATGGACGGCTCCCTCCTGCTCGATTTTCTGCCAACGCCTCGTCCACGCATGCTCGCCAACATCAAAGAAACGTCGCCAGCAATGCCGGCACGACTCGCCTCGTGCGCCCTGCGCGCTCTATGCCCTCCCCGGGCCGTCGTTCGCGCATTCTCCTGCACACCCGCAGTCGCCTCTCCCCCCCGGGAGGCCCCCCATCCTCCCTCCCATCACCACAAAGCCCGGCCGCCAACGCCCTCGTCCAGCAGCAATCTCCTCTCCATGGGCGCCGACCGTCACAAGCGCAGCCCCCCTGTCCGCGCCATGCGTCCCGGCGAAGCGGCTGCCAACATGATGAGCCGCTACACCGACAGTCAAAACAGGAGCAGGCTCGAGTCGATCGAGGCGCTGAGGAATTCCAAGAATTCGGCAGACTACTTGAAGCAGATGCCCAGGAGGTGGGAGGCTGGCGACGTGTATTCGCCCCACGACTTGAGTCCCGTGGAAATGCAGAAGTGGAGGAAGAGGTCGTTGAGGAGCAATGACGTGGTGGACGCACTAGGCATCAGGCCTTTGGACATGTACAAGGTGAGGGCCGGCGGCTTCCATGAAGGGGACGACGACGACAAAGTTTTGCACCGGGTCTTGTTAACGTTTTGGTACAGAACTTTTCTCTGGTGCAAGAGTTCACCACCTCGTCGGGTCAGATTATTCACTCGGCCGGCACGAGCTTGCGGCCCGTCAACCAGCGCAAGATTGCAAAGATGATTCGTCGCGTTCAGGGGATGGGCATTTATCCCACGATTCACGATCATCCCGAAATGATTCGGGATGACTTTTTCCCTGACAGGAGATGAGGTGACCATGGGACGGGGCAAGCGGGTGCGGCTCGACTCTCGGACGTAACAAGGGCTCAGATAACTTGTCATCCGTCGACTTCGTCGGCCGCCGTGTCTCGATTATTCATACATGCCTGTGTTATGTACAACAGCCTCGAGCTCCGTTTCATGTATAGATACAAATACCCAAAATTTTATGCCTATTTCTGTTATACACAAATCATGTCTTCATGATACGCTTAATTTTGATTTGACAGAGGCCAAACTCGTTAAGCCGTCTGCCGGCTTTGTCAAGCTCTGCCCACGTGGCCCGGTACTTTTTCTTTGCCCAGTCGCGGTAGTTTTCCTGTAGTTCCTGTCCGGGCAGCGCGTTGTGCGCAATGGCTAGCCTGTTTCTATAGATCAGTATCCAGGGCTTCTTTATCCCCATTGTCTGTAGCGGTGGTCTGGACTCACGTCATCGAATCCGGCTCCGATCCGACGTAGGATGCCATATTCAGAATTAGCCCTCGCACTTCCTTCTCGTTGCCACTTCCAGCCACGGCCCCCACGTATGAATTGTACACGGCCGGCGGGACTTCCAGATCCATCCGCTCGATTCTCTCCCAAATTTCACGAGCCTGCTTGTCTCCACCAGGTTTCTTCTCCAATGCCCAAAACACTGCCTGTAAACTTGCATACGACGGGCCCTCACGAGACTGGGTAATCTCATTCCAAAAGTCCAGCGATGTTGTTGGCTTGCCGCAAGCCGCGTAAGCCAGCATCAGTCCGGTGTATAGCTTGGTGTTTGGTTGGATAGAAGTGTCCATCTTGAGCATGTTGTGTATGTTAACTAATCCCTCGGGATCGGGATGCTCCGCGACTCCCTCCAGATAGAGGATATAGGTATCCATAGTAGGGTGGTAAGCCTTGTTTCGGTGTTGGCGCATGTGTCGAATCAGATGAGAGGCCATATCTGGGCGTTTGCGATCGAAAAACGATGATATCAATTTCATCCTGAGCTCGTAGCTGGTGTCCTGAAAGAACTGTCGGAGAAGTTGGTATGCGCCCCATGCTCGAGATGTACTAGTCTCCTTGTCGAGACAAAATTCCACAAACGCGTGTTGCACGACCTCTCGTTGCTTCTCGCTGTAGTGGAAAGAATGGAGAGACAGCAAATCAATCACATCAAAGTGCTGTTCATTCTCGAGAAATTTGACACAAAGAGCTGCTACAGTTTCCGGGCCTAGTAGCATCTGCTCCTCCTCGAGAGCGTCTAGAAGCGCAAGAATAGTCTCGAAATCTGGAGGCACTTGCTGTGATAGCAGGGTCAAATAGCTATTTGAGCATTGACGAAAACAATCGAAGAGATCCGTTGTCCCGTGGTTTTCGTTGTTCCACGGTTCGAAATGTTTGACTTGTTCAAAAGCACGTTGTGCGCCCTTGAGGTCCGCAGTTTCTAGCCGCAGGCGGAACAGTTGAAGATATGTCTCTCCATTCGGCACAAGGCCCCTCTCGGCACAAAGCGCAAGGATGCCCTCGCCCAATTCCGGATCCTTAGTCTCAACCGCAACTGTTAGAAGGCCATTGATGGTACTGATCGTGGGGGGAAGCACCCCGTTGTGATCGACCATGTGTCCCATCATGGCTTCTACTTCCGCCAAGCCCTTCCCAAGCAGTAAGATGGACTGCAGTATAACGTCCCAATGGTTTCGCGTCGGTTGTGATTGCCCTAGTTCGAGGATGAGAGGCACCGCCCAGTCCCGGAGGTTGTTTCTTCTCGCAAGTGATGCTATGTCTCGATATACCTGGGGCTGAGAGTACTTCTCATTAGTTGGCTGGTTGAACCAATGCTGAGTCTCGGTGACCTTGTCGTTGTGGGCAAAATATCGAATCATCGCCGCTTGAATGGTAGCATCGTATGGGACACCGTGTACCATGGCGTAATTAACCAGCTCGACAAGCTGCGCTTCTTTGCCCTCTCTCGCAAGTCCACAGGCGACCGATACCAGCAGTCGATCTTCCTTGACCAAGTAGGCACTGTACGAAGAATCCGCCCACTTTGATTTCAACATTAGCAGTGCTTCTTCCGAGCCACCGTACTGGCATAGCATCTGGATGAGATAGCTCCATTGCAGCTGCACAGTCTGAGCTTCTCCGGTGTAATTCCCCGAAGACCAGACTGCGTACAATGACTTTGCTAACTTCAAATAACTTTCGCCTCTTTCTTGCGGTTCAACATCGAGAAGAACTTGTCGTATCATGGACAAATCAGCCCAAGACATCGCCTTGGAGGACTGGTCATCCCCTCCACCAGCCGTAAGATATTCAAGCAATCTGTGGCATTGCAACGCCTGCGTGCTATTCAGCGGTACCCTCCTCTTCAGTTTCGATTGCATAAGCTTCCGCAGCGAGTCGATCAATTCTTTCCTCGGCGGCGGTCGCAGATTGTCAAGCATCCGACTTCTCCAAACCATGATCTGCATCCATCCTGGCTCATACTCGGGTTGTCGGATTTCTCGCGGGGGCTTCGGGAACAGTGCATTTAGAAATGTTCTCGCAAAAGGCCTCTGCACCACGGGTCGCGTGATCAGTCTTCGTCGGACCTGGTTCACACAGGGAAGACAGACAGGCGCAGAAGTCGGTCGATAAACGAAGAGCCACCGACTGTGACGAGCCAAGTTCACCCTCATGGTCGCTGAATCCTATGAGCTGATGGCACTTGCAAACGTAAGTGAACCATTGAGCATGTAGGGAATGCATTTCCCTTGGAAGATCACCATCAAGTCGAGAAAACTTTTGCCTGCAGGTGAGGCGGTCTTCCGTGAAAAGTAGGCTGCAACAATAGCAGCTATTGCGAGTCGAGAAGCCACGAACAAAATTCCCGCGGTTTCGCCGACAACGGGCTGCCTACCCTGTAACTCCTAATACCTGCCACCCATTCGTTTCTAGGCATGTGTAAGCTTCGAGCGAAGAATGAAGCTTCTTGAACCTTGCAGCACTCGCGCAAAGCAACTGCTTGTCCCCGCCACCATGTCTTCTACACTGGTCAGAGAAGGCTCTTCCCAACAAGTCGATAGCAAACCAAACGCCTCCATCGCCCCCGTCGCCGTCATCGATACGCCTTTATCCAAGAGCGCCGCGCTCCTTCGACCAAGTCTTATCCTGGGACTCCTCGCCCTGCGTTTCAACGCGCTCGTCGCCGACCCCGTGTCCACTCTTCAGCTTGCGCTTCCCGCTACCGCCTTGATCCAGGTTCTATATGCGATCATCTGTCTGCCCGTTGCTGGCTCTCAATCCGCCAAGGCATCTAGGAAGCCTCGTCCAGGAGAGAAGAGGAAGGTTGATCCAAACGGACCAAACACTATCTCGGTATGGCTGTCGCTCTTTTCCCCCTCCCCCGATATGCGTGAGCAGCTTAGAGGATGGTCATTTCACTAATTTCAGACTATGTTGCCGCCAAGTAGACCGCTATTCTCGCGTTACTCCTAAGTGCAATTTCCACACCAGCTATATACGTGCTCTTCGTTTTGTTTGGCGCTCCTTTCTTGGATCATGTCGAGCATACGCTCCTCTGCGCTGCGCACTTCTCGTTGCTTGCTCTCTTCCCTATATTTTACTCACGAGGTGTTGAGGGCGAAGCCCTTATCGCGGTGGCTGGTGCTTCTGCTCCTCTGGATGAAACATTTGGCGCATTGATAGGTGCTGTGGTTGGGGCATGGCTTGGAGCAGTCCCTATTCCGCTGGACTGGGATAGGGAGTGGCAGAAATGGCCGGTCACGATAGTGGTTGGCATGTTTGCAGGCTCTTCACTATGCAGCACAGTGTCGGGGTTGTTTCTCCTTGGCAAACAATTGACCAGTACAGGGGAGACCCACGGGTAATTACGACTGGGATCTTTGCAAGTTTAGCTGATATACAAAAATGATGTGGATGGCGGGAGAAGTACTTGCATGCAATCCGAGGTCGAGTGCCCGACACCAGCCGCACGATTCCCAGTTCAATACCACATGGTTGCAATTGCAATCGCAAGGCACGAGAAGCGAGATTGATACACGGCGCACATTAGAGAACTATGATTATAGGTATCTAATAGCTGCCGCCAAGTCCGTGCAAAGACTCCCAAATCCAAACCACTGGACCGCAAAGAAAAGAACAGTAGGGAATAATGAAATCGCAAAAGCCGTTAAGAAGGAGAAGAGACATTCCTCAAGCAACCTGCCAAGACAAGAATGATGGTAACGAATTGCTTCATCGTTTTGAACGTATCCATTTTGCGTTGCCCAGACGTGAAGAGGCGACGCTGACAAGGCCACCATCTTCCTTCGGCGTACACGTAATCCGCCAGCGACACCACGGTCGATTGAACTTATCAACGATTGTTGACGTGGACGATATAAATGGCGTGAATGATACCGGGGAGCCAAGCTGCGAGAAACAAGGGTTTTGTCAGTCGAAATCACCGGTGCTAGAAACCGGATTGCTTGGCAGTATGGCCGAAGGCGATGTGCACTCAGACAAGGAATGCACGGGCTTGAAACGTTGCTCGGAGGGCTTTGCACTCACCCAATATGCAGAGACAAATGTTTATGAGGAGGTCGCAAGCGCAGCCAGCCTCGAGAAACACAGCAAGAGGAGGCAGGAAGAGGGCGATGAGGTACTTGCAAATGGTGCTAGCATCCAAAGGTCAGTTTTATTCCGTCCTGCGATTCAGACCTTCCGCCGATATCTGCCATCTGCTTTATGGATGGAATATGATCCCGCGAGTCCCGTACGTTGCGCGCGCCTGGCGTTGAAGAAATAGACAAAACCAACGGAGCAACTCTGTACACGGACAGCATGGGACCAATTGACCATACCCGCCAGCAGCAGCAGCAACACCGTCGTAGCGAAGCATGTTGCTTCCGAGTGCCGGTGCAAACTTACCTGCCGGAAGGCATGTTTTCGGTTTGAAGCGAACAGTCGAAGGGTGCTCTGGTAGTTTGAGTGTTGGATGGGGCGAGAGCGACGTGACGTTAACACAGGATACCTTGGACGAGGATGGACGATTGGAAGGTGGAAGGTGTAAGGTGTGTTGAGGAACTGGAGAGGGGGAAGCCGCCTGACGTATTCCGTTTATTTATTTATTTCAGCAGGAGCGCCCAAGGCAATGTCACCAAGCCAAGTACGGAGTGATTTTTGCCTCTGCCAGTGCTACTTGGTTACTTGATTGGTCTTACAAGGCCGAGCCTGAAAGCAAACAAACCCCAGGCTCGGCTTGCGCGGGGGGCCGCCTCTCGAGCCGCTCAACCAACGTCGACTCGGTATCCAGTTGTGACAGCCAGCACTCCATTGTACCGCAAAGTCCAATCAAGGATGCTGCGCCACCAACCAGCCGGGCTTGCCCAGCCCTCAAGCCTTGACCTTGCGTCATCGATTCGCTACAAAGGGAAATGAAGCTGAAGTGGATGCCGGGTAAGCAAGGCAAAACGACTGCGCCAGCCGGCGGAGGGCAGCTAAACACGCATAACCCTGCGATTGAACACGCATACCCCTTGTACATGCAGAGTCATGTCAATGTCTCTCTCTCCTCGCCGGGTTTGGCGGCACCGTGCCCCTGGTTCTCTGCCCTGCCATTTTTTGCAGTTACTCCGTACTGCTGCTGCCTCGCCCCGCTCCGAGGCACCAGCTACGTAATCCACCGTTGACTGCACTTGCGCAGCACTGGCGCTGCCAAATTGCCAGGAGCGCGTCACCAGTGGCGTCAGGTGCCGCCTAATCGCGTAGCGCCCATTTACTTTATGCATCATCCCAGCCTCGTGCGCTCGACGACGGGCGACCTTGCGACCGTATCTGCTTGCCATTTCCGAACCTGCTCTCATAGGCCAGACATATAAGTCACCGTTAGACTAAGATGACAGTAATCGTGTATTCCCTACTTTGTTGGGTGTCCAAATCAATCACAACTCCCTTCGGGCATCGATCAGAAACCGAATAGCTAATGCTACGAGCGGCGCTCTACACATAAGCCCCGAGCTTTCGAAAACCAACTTTGCGATGCCTATCGGAATCTTTTCCACCCTTACTCAATTAGACTCTTGCCGCAGGGAGCGAGGAGAAGGTGCGGCAACAGAAGAGAGTACCTAGAACCTCTCCCAGGACGCTGCAATGGTCTATTCCTGCAATCATGAGACAGTTAGTAGCATTGAGTCCGCTGGGTTTCCCAAGTCCCTAAAGCAGGGGCCCGATGGAAAAGGCCCAATTGTTGTGGCTGATAGGATCTCGAAATATTCTTTCGAGGTAGATGCTAATGAAGAATTCTCAGCCTTCTTCTTTGGCACCCAGAAGAACCTGTGACCTAGGGCTTACACGACTAAAAGGTCACCAAAGCATGGAGGAAGCAATCAGACCGAGTAATTACAGCTCGGTTTCTCTCTAGGTTCGGAGAGGCTTGCCCAGTGTCGGCGCTTTCGCGTTGCAACGGCAGAGGACATCCCATGGAGGAAACAGGCCGAATAGGTTGTTTCTGTCAGGCAGCAAGGTCCCGTTGCATCGAGACATGAAGATTGCCGTGTCTCGGGCAAGAGACCAAGGTATCGCACAATACAGAGTATGGCTGTGTCTTTTGCTCAGCCACCGGGCAAGAGAGGAGACGCAGTTCGGTTTGATCCAAACTACTCCGTAGTCGGCTGCAAAGCTGCCTGGAAGCAGCACCAGACTCGCGCTGGACTTGACCTGATCAGTGAGGCAACATGGACATGAACCGGGATAGCTTGCCAGGGCTGCTCATCCGCCCATGGATCACGGAGTTTGGCGGTCGACAGAAGGGAGGGGACTGCCAACCGATTTCTATCCCCAAGTCGCAGACCGACTTCCACTCGTGCCATCTGGCTCCACCAGCGAAATTGGACTAGCTGCGTGGGACGACACGTGCCGTGACTGGATGACATGGCGCATGTCGTCGTCGTCGTCGTCGTCGTCGTCATAGTAAGACCATCGGTGCCGACCATGGAAACAAGGCAGTTACAACTTACTACTCCGTACTCCGTACTCCGTAACAATTACTCCTTGGTGAGCCCTAGCGAGCCTTTTAATAGTGGGGCGTCGCACGAGTACTCATTACGGAGCAAGTCGTTGATAGACGGGTGGCTTTGGGCCCGTCGCATATGTGGCTTGCGTGGCTGCTACGTAAAATGTCTGACATGTTGGTTGCGAATCTGTGGCGGTGCAGGCCTCCTCGAACCGCCGAGACCTGTCCCCGACCGTGGCCATGACGTCATGGACCAGCTGACTTGGGCCACGCGCCGACCATTCTAACCGCCAATGGAACATAACCGTTGCGGTCCGACGAGGCGGCGCCGGAGTCGTGATGCTGCCAGAAGGAAAAAGTCAGCTTCGTTCCTTTGGAGGAGGAACGGTTCCGATGTCGCTACTACATCGACTCACTAGTCGCTACCCCTGCCGTCTCGAGCCGCAACTCTCCGTACGGAGTACAGACCTACGAAAGCAGGTGGTGAATACGCCATCAGGACAAGGGCATCCGCAGCTCACGATTCACAGCGTATCCGGTCATGCATGAGCGTCGTTGTTTTTCACTGTGCTCATTCGCCCACTGTAAACCGCATGACTGTCGACACACTAGATCTAATAGGAGCCGTTGCGACGCGAGTGGCTCCCTGTACCGTACTCCGTACCGCGCACAGAACGACGCAGCACCAGCAACAAAGTCCCTGTCCGTCAAAGCCCTGTCTGATATTCCGCGACTCAGCACACGGCCAAGTCCAATTCACCCAATCACAAAAGCCGCCCCTTGACCAAAACGCCCAGACTCCAAAGCTCTTCGCGCCCTTTCCTGGAAACACGCAAAACAGCGGGCTCGGTCAACATCAAAGCAATTCCCCCTCTCCCTCCATGACGAGATCGTCGTCGTCTTCCCAATCCACACGCGCTGCCATCTCCTCCGCGCGTCTCTGCACTTCTGCCAGCCCTGACAACTCGGCAACGTTGTCCTTCTCCTGTAATGCTCTCTTGACGAAACCCCATCCATCTGTGCGATAAGCATCCAGCACCTTGGGGCTACAAGCGCTGCAGCAGTCGTACGATTGGCCTCGAATATTGAGGTTTTGGAAAGTAGAAACGAAGCCGCGGATTTGGTGGGGGACCAAACCTAGAGGATGGTTGGGGGGGTCGCGGTCGGGAACGTTTCCTGGCACGTGTTGGGGTGCTGGCGCCTCGTTCCGGAGAGGGTGTTGGAGGAGACTGGTGAGCAGTTCAACCAGGAGCGCGGATGCGATGGCTGCCACGCCGGGTCGAGTCACCGTACATTGCTGGTCGAGGGTCTGGTCCTTCATTGACTGCGATTCCATAAGCATATGATTGTCTTTACAAGGGCGGAGGAGAAGCGGAGGAGAAGAGGGCGAGCGTGGAGTGCTTGACTTACATCTGCCGGGGCCACGACGTCGTTGCAAAAGTAACAGCCGAGCGATGTCTGTGCCTTGTCCCTCAGCTCGGCTCCATGTCGCATGACGACGTACGAGTCGAATCCAAGAGCAGCATTCATGACAATCTTCCCACGGGCCTTTCCTATCACAGTCGGTAGCCAACGTGACTCACGGGTGTCCATCAGTAAGAAAATAACGTCGTGGTCCTCGATCAAGCGCTCGAGCTTTTCCAGGTCCGCCCTCGTCTTGTCCTCGTCTGTAAATGCATGACCGAGCATGGGCACAGAGAGAGCATGCCCTTCGCTTTCAACGCCGGGATAGATGCGCTTCAGCATGTCCGCTGCGGCCGCTGCCTTTGGCCGCCCGCCGTCGGTGCAGTCGCTGAACTCGAAGAGCGGCTGCCGAACGGGATTCGAGTACGAGACCCGGCCGTAGTCGACGAACGTCACCTTTCTCACGCCCCAGCCCAGCAAGTTTCTTGAGACGTAGCCTCCCAGTGTTCCGGCTCCCAGCAGGAGACACTTTGTGCTCTTGATGAGGTCCAGGTCCAGGTCTGGTGCGAGGCGCCACTTCATCAACTTCAGGTTCAGGTCGACGGATGAATCGGCCAGTCTCGTCGGGTCCATGTAGTCTGCGAGATTGGCTTTCTGGGCCTGAAGTTTTCCGTTCCGCGACCTCTCCCACCCTGTGACCTTGGGCATGTCTCCCGTCACCATCGTTTCCACAGGGTCCATTGCTATGGGGAGCACGACACTCCTTGCTTCGTGTCTCCGCGCCCAGGTGTCTCTGTAGCACAGAATGTTGGCCCTGGACGCCCGGAAGCGCTGTCGGATGAGAACTAAGAGATTTCTGAGCGGCCAGCCAGGTCCTTCATCGTAGGTGGATGGGTCAGCGAACGCGACGTAGCGATCCTCTGGCGGAATGTCGTTGAAAAAGCCCTCCTCGAAACTGCCCAGCGTACCGACTTCCCAGCGAAAAGTCAGACTGTTCGAGCCTTCGGCGTCTTCGGCTTGCGTCCGCTTGTTGCGGACTTTCTTGGCGAGGAAAAACCCATGTTGACGACTGTCGACGCTGTATCGCCATGTCCCGACCCTGTCGACCAGCTCTATGCTTTCATCGGCGGTGAGGCGTTCAACGGGCCCTGTTCGTTTCCATTGAGGGTCGGAGTGTAAGGCCGGGAAGGCAAACCAGTACGTAAACTGATACTTCTTGAGATCGGCGTATGAAAGAATGACAAAGGACGAGAGAAGTGATGGCACAGAGTAGATGGTGCCGTCGTTGATTGCGTCCCAGATCTATTTGTTTGTCAGCGGTACACTCAACAAGTAATTGGTTGGCCTCGTCTCAACGTGCCTGCCTCCCGGCTTTCTTGATCATCTCGGGCTTGTCCGTCGACTTGAATTGCTCCAGGGTGTTGACATTTTTGATGATACCCTCTCCCCTGGCGGTACCAAGAGGTGCGCTGTAACTAGTCAGTCAGCCGAAAAGACATTTGGAGCTCGGAGTATGCGACGTCTCACTTTTGGTTGGTCAGAGCATTACCAAGAATCTGCATCTTGCAACTGGCTTGGGGTTCCTCAACTCTCGGCTCATACAAACCGAGAACATTTCTCGCAGAGTCATCCAGCTTGTCATAGTCGAGTTTAGAAGCAAAAAGAGCCGAATAAAAGGGCAGCTCAATTTCAGACGTAAACGGCGCAAACTGGAGAGGCGTGGCCATGATGAGCCGCCGCCGCAGCTGTGTGTGCGATGTTCGCACGAGATTCGCAGCCTACGTGGCTGATGGCACGTCGGTGGCAGACAAATTCGCGTTGCGCGAACAGGGAAGAGATGCGTGAGAAAGCAAGAATCGATTTGCTTCGTCTTCCGGCTCGTGCAGGAAATAAAATTTAACAGATGAAGACGGCGAATGGGCGCAGAGACATGTCGGTAGTCGAGGCTGTCATATGACAAAGAGGGTCATCACGAGCTGCGTGTCACCATGTCAGACTGACGATGTGGAAACTGGGTGTGTTTTCAGCCGAGTTGGCGCCTACGACTGGAAGCGTCACGTCGTGCCCCGCCGCGGGGTTGGAGCTAGGCAAAAGTGGCCGAAGAGTTCAGTCACCAGCAATTTGCCATTGGACGTGCATGATTAGATGGCATGCATGTGAAACTCGGGAACAGACAAAGGATCCCACCGCAGAGTAATTGTGGACAAGTAGAGATGCGCAGAGTCATGTCGGGTCACTATGAGCCACGCTTGGATGCTGAATCGTTAGATAAGACTATTGTCACCAGAATATAATATTCAAGCCATACGACCGTCGTGCATGACACAACGCATCCGGTATGGTGTAGTGGCTAACATCGCTCGCTCTCATGACTTTCAAGTCAGAAGTCCCGAGCAGCCCAGGGTTCGATTCCCTGTACCGGAGAGCCTGAAGGTCCCTGAGGTGGTCATGAAATTCTTTGCCTTCTCTTTTTTTCCTCAGCCATACTCTTTTTCCGTCAGTGCGTTATGTTTTTCAATATTTATTGTTCGTGTCCGCTATACATAGAAGCATCTGTTTGTTTCAAATGCTAGCTTGCATAAGTACGGAGTACCTACTCCGTACGGAACAGATGGTCTCCATCAAGAATTTACAGTCAGGTAACTTACTGGTGGTACTGGCCATGTCTCACGAACACGTTTGCCTCCAAAGGGTCCTCATTTTGCGTGTCGAGGGAGAGAACTACTATTAAAAACCACTAATAATAAGCCACCGTCACACGTGCATGAGTTCATACAGGGGCCCCAAGAATACAATGAGACTTGTGTCAACCTGACCAAAGCGTCTGTCTTGTCTAAAGCGGGCGTTTTATGTCGGTCTTTGGTATTTCTCTTCCCCTTGGTGGCATTCAAGAAAAGAGTCCTCACTGTGACGTCCAATCCCGGTGCTTCCCCGTTGCCGTTCACAAATAGATCTCGGTAAAGTTGAGCCGTTGAAAGGGTTCTTGGCCAATGCGGGCGACCACGCGAACCCCACCGACACGACGCGAAGATCTTTTCAACGTCGAGCCATTCACGAAGCGCTGGACTCAACGTCATTGAGTGAGCCGAGTACTGAACTGATTGTCCGCTGCGGCGACTCGCTCGAGATGCTTATTGGCATCTGTGGAGGTGAGGGAAGCTGCCGTGAACGTCCTGTGTGTTCCCTTTTTTTGTCTCCCCCATTCTGACGGCAGAAAACTCTGTTAGGCATTTGCTCGGGCAAAAAGACGGTCGCCCAATATCTCGTTGAGCACCACGGATTCAAACACCTCTACCTCGAGCAACCCAAGGAGGGCTGCACTGCGTCCCACGAGGATGCGCAGACCCAGGCGTCCTCGTCTGCCGCGGCAGTCGACGGTGCATTGAGCTTCAGCGCCCTCACCACCAAGAACAGCGGCGGCCACTCGAGTTCTGATACATCACTGGCGCTGAGGCCACAAGCACAGCGGCACACATTCGCCTCCCCTGAAGCGCTCCTCGACTTTGTCACTCTCCGCTGGCGAGGGCGCTTCGTGACAACCGACATACGCACCGAGGCCGTGCTCGACGTTTTCGTGCGCCGGCCATTCTTCCTCCTCCTGTCCACTGACGCGCCCCTCACCGTCCGGTGGCGGCGGTTTCAGCAGCGAGCCAGTTCCCCCGGAGAATCAGGCATCACCCTCGAGGACTTTGTCTCCCACAGCGACGCTCACCTGTACGACCCTGACGACGGCTTTCAGCCCCTCATCTCGCGCGCCACGGTCAGGCTGCTCAACACGTCGTCCTCGCTCGCCCACCTGTATGCCACGCTTGGCAAGCTCGACATCCCCAACCCCGACCGCCTCCGCCCCGGCTGGGACACGTACTTTATGGCACTGGCGTCTCTAGCCGCCCAGCGCTCCAACTGCATGAAGCGTCGTGTCGGGTGCGTCCTCGTCGGGAGGGAGCGCCGCGTCATCAGCACCGGCTACAATGGCACGCCGCGAGGGATCCGCAACTGCGCCGACGGAGGATGCCCCCGCTGCAACGAGGGGAGCAGCTCGGGCGTCGGCCTCGCCACCTGTTTGTGCATACATGCGGAGGAGAACGCCCTCCTCGAGGCGGGTAGGGAGCGAATCAGGGATGGCTCCGTGCTCTACTGCGATACGTGTCCGTGCTTGACTTGCAGCATCAAGATCTGCCAGGTGGGCATCAGCGAGGTTGTGTACGCCCATGGGTACAGCATGGACAAGGAGGCCGCAGCCGTGTTTGGTCAGGCCGGCGTCAGGTTGCGGCAGTTCATCCCGGTACGTCTTATGCGGCGCCCCCCTTGTTGTTATTAATGACGGCCGTGTCCATTATAATCAATCAGTCGGCGCTTTTCTCGACCGCCCTCTTTATTTTGGGGGGGCGGCTGTCCGGGAGGGTGGTTTTCCGTGGCGTGCTCCCGCTAATTTGGGAAAATAGCCACCGAACGGACTGATTCACCTGGAGAAAATGGAGCTATACTGAGATGCATATTTCGTCGCGATGAGCTGAGCTGAGGGTTACGAGGCATTGTTATATGGCCGTGGCGTGTGTTGTGTGGAGCATTAATTGCATTGTGGAGTATGCGAAGACGGCACAGGCCGGATAAGTGAGTTTTGCATTTCCTTTTGTCTACGAGTACTCCGTGCGCGCAGTTTCGATCCCCCGAGTTTCTTGAGGCGTGACCATCACAGGGGGGTCTTGAGCCGGTTCAGAATTAATTTTGGAATGGGGATATATGGGTCGAGCAGTGTCCAAGTTTGGACGATTTTCCCCCTACGGCCAAGTCGCCACTCTGTAAGCTTACTGTATCCCTGTAAATACATACTACGATAATATCTACGGAGTAATAGAAATAAAGACGGCAAGAGCTGGCACAGATAACCAGATGACCGCCCATAAACTTCTTTGTTGGGTCACTGGTGGCCACACTTGCAGGGGGCTCGATTGCCTGTGTGTGGCTGCCCTCTTGTCACAAATTCACAATGTGGTCACCGTGGCCGGGCGGCAGTGAATAATGTAATGTGACAGGCGCATTTTCCTTGTGTAGCGCCACCTCATGGTCCGCATCTTGGTTTCATTGCCGGGCGCTCCGTGTGCCGCGCGGCACGCTCCATTGCGTTGAATGTGCAGAGGTGCGTTTGATGTAACTACATAACCGCCAGATCTAATGAATAAACTACTCGGCTACTGCATCGCACTGCAGAGTACAATGTCCGGGCCGTCGATGCACAGAACCTGTACATCCATACAAAGGGAAGAGACAAGCACGTAAATAGGGCCGGGCCACAAGATCACCGGCATACTGACAATGACGAGTTCACGACACTCGAGGTAAATCAACGGCGATAGCTGACTCCAGGGTAGTATCCATCGCAGGACTCTGTGAGTGGATTCATGTCCAATCAACATGTAGCCAATCACAGGCCCGACCAATCACGACTACGTATACCAAGGACTAAGGTGCATTGTCACTTGTCTGAAATAAAGAACGACTCAATCGTCGTCGACACACGGGGGTTAGCAATTCAGCACACGAGTCAGAGACACGAGCTGTTTGTTACCCCTATTCCCCCAGCCCGACACTACAAGATGAACTAGCGGAGTTCTTACGGTGTATCTTTTTTTTTTCTCCCGACATGCCCGCAGTTAACATGCGGTGAAGAGTCAAGACCGGCTGGACCCTGCCGCAGCCCATAATTTTCCTTGCGGTGTGTCATTGCACTTTTATGCAGCGCAAGCATCAGCCGTGCCGAGCCAAAAACATCAGTCCCGTCAAGGAAAGGCAAGATTTTTTGGCGGTCAGAGCAGCCCACTCGTGCGTGGTTCCACTGTTGCATACATGGTTTACACAAAAAACCGATGCTTTTTTTTTATGAAACTGACAACCCAAGCCACCATGGAACGTTCTTGGGGGGGTCAAAGGGTAACCTGAGCGGGAGTGGCATCGCGGGCCACGGGAGACGGGAGCCAGGACGAAGACGGAGGGAACGAGGCAAAGATCCCATGTGATCGCTCGGCTCGCCAATGCAGGTCAAGCACGGAGTACATAGTATGTCGTTCCTCCCGACGGTGATGGCCATGGGTCGTGAACCCGCACCAGTCGACGGGAATTCGGTAACTTTGATTCAATTCTAGGCAATCGGCATTAGTAGAAGGGTCGCAAAAAATGGATGGCGCCGTCGTGGCGCGGCCCTAGACTAATATTATCCCTGAAGCGAGATGACATGGTAAAAATAGGGGCAAAGACGGGATTTTGGAGCAGAGTAGGGGTATCTGTGTGCAATTTCAAGGTCAATCTCAACCCCCCGTATGCTGGTGGAGAGGGGAATAGGAAATATTTTTCATCAACAGGCCTGATACGAATCATCCCAAGTGCTACACACACCATCAGTAGCGGGAATCAAAGAGCGAGAAATGTTCCAGGCCATGACCAAGAGATCCGACAGTCTAGGCAAAGGGGTTGGGGAAATATTGTTTCAACGTACGACGTTGGAAACAGTCGTCTCGCCCCATGACAGCGGGATGGCCCTCGGATCTGTTCCCGCGAAAAAACGCCTCTGCCTCCCGCTGACAACACACAGATGTCAGGTCCACTTGGTCAAGGCCATCAGGCATGTCTAGGGGTTCTAGGGGGTTCTTTCTGAGCGCGTGTGTGGCGAAAAGCAAAGCGAAAACAACGAAAAAGACGAAACACTGTTGTTCAAGCCGAGTGACCTGAGGATCGACAGGCCACGCAGTGACCTCGGGCTGGCACATGTGGCCTGTCCCGACTTGACACAGACGTGCCCCGACTAACCCACGGGGCACGTTGGGACTTGAGTTTCCAAACTTCCAAGACTTGGGTTGTTGGGATCCCTGGGTCCCTAGCTATCCATCGGAACGCGTCGAGCGGGACCATGCCCATGCCCATGCCCACGCAATGTCCTCTCCGTATGTACCATGTCGCAATGGCTTTCTCGGCAAGCCTCGCAGGTGCTAGTACTATGTAGTAGCGGTTTACGGAGTACCAAGTACAGAGTAAGTACTTTGTACCCCGAAGTTGTTGTTGTTTTTGTTTTTGCTGTCAATACCTAGGGAGGGGATCCTGCGGTGGAAAGGGGTCGATGGAACTTCTGGTCAGAGACTCAACACACAGCATGTCATGGGAAAACACCGACGCATTCACAAGACCTTTGTTTTGTTTAGGAAGAGGGATTCCGTAGGCTAACGGATTCTCGGCCAGGCCCACAAGGGTAAGGCAGCAAAGGGCCATGACCACATATCATTCCAAAATCTCGTGCGCCCACGACGGGCGCAATTGGCGGGGAGGCCAGGATTCGAGATGCAGCGCACAGAGTCTAGTGAGTACCCGGAAATACTAGGAGTACTTGCAGGTCTCGTGGGTCTGAGTCTTGGACAAGGCAGGGATGGGGCAAGGGTACCGAGATACTACGTAGATAGAAGTCGGGCTGGTATTTATTAGTCAATTTGAGGTATCACGGCATCCTCCTTTGCGCAAGCATTCACCTACCGCTTGGAGACTTGTGTCATGCCCCAAAACGCCAGCTGCACAGGTCCTTGTGCAGCGCATACTCATAGCCGCCGCTGACATGTATCCATTCACTCTTGCCGCGGGCCGGACTCAGCGACCGTGGCCCATCGCGAGAAGTCGTCGTTGATGAGCCGAGCAAGACCTGGGTGGCGTGTTGCTGGTTTCTTGGTTGTGATGCCCAACAAGGGACGCGTCTCAGCGCGTGCCGAGCTAACCTGATTAGGCATAAGTGTAAACAAATATGTGTCACTCCACCGGCATGCCCCCGGCAGGCGCGACTGGAAGATCAGCCTGCCAGCCTGAACTTGCACGGAAGGCACTGGACCCAGACCCAGCCAGCACCTGCTCTGCCCCATGCTGCTGCTGCTGCTGCTGCTGCTGCTGCACAATACTCCGTACTCCGTACCGAGTCGGCAAAAATCGAGCCCGTCCTGCCTGCCTGGTCCAAGTCATCGGCCCCCATGCTGCTCCTGGCCCAGCAGTCCCTTCCCGCACCTTGTCGAACATCTGAACACCTGAACACCTGAACCCTCCACATGTTCCATTCACATTCCAGTCGCATGTTGTGTGTGTAATGCATTTCTTCTTCACCAGCACGAGCACCCTTGGTACCTCGTCGTCTTGCGACTTTCTATGAGCCGCGGATCAATTTTCGACCCCCGTTATGCGCTGAGAGGCGAATGCGCATTGACTTCGACGGAGAGACGAGCACTTGCTGTTGCAGAAGTGAGCAGTGCGAGCTGAACGGATGCTCCGTGAAGATTGAATGCTTTTTCATGTTGGGAAGAAAACAGACGAACGGAGCTGCAACATGTGGTAACGGCCGCATGATCGAACCACGCTTGCCTTGCCGATAGAGTACGGACGACACTCTTTTGTCTCCAGTGCTTCTTTCCTTCGCTCCTGCGCCCTTGGTGCCGTTGATGCCGCACGACGCACATCAAAGGCCGTCCAACCTTTGATCTTGTCAGGTTCATTCTGTCCAGCATCGTTTGGGCACAGAGCTGGAACTGGCGCCGCGGACTCGCCACCCATAAACTCCCCCTCCCCCAACCGTCGCAAACGCCGCCTTCGTCACTCACATTCATTTCGTCGGGAAAGTGACCTATCTGAAATCTGCAATCCGGCTGAACCTCACGTCATAACCGTAGCTTTCAACTCATTCTCGACTTCAGGAACTGGGACAGCCAGAGGTCTATATACAAGAGCGTTCAATTCATTAGCCTGACGCTTGACATTCCTGACTTGAACTCATCTCGCGATAGCCCCGGAATCTCGAGGATCGCATTCCAACCCTCATAAACACTACAATGTCTTTCTCCAACGGTGGAGGTACGCTGGCTCTGCCATCGCCTACACATGCTCATCATATGGACGTGTCATCGGCCGTGCGCAGTCTTAGGCGCTCCATCTCCCGATCACCATCAAAGTTCTTGTCGCGAACAAGCTCCCAGAGCTCGGACAGCTCACGACAAACCTCGCCTCAGTCGCCTTGCCGACGATTCGGCGCAACCCCTCAACGACAATATCTCTCACCATCACAGCCGCAAACCGCCCCTCCCGCAATCACTTCGACGTATGCCGCTCCCCCCAACCAATCTTCTGTTCTAACACCTCTCCGGCCAAGTGTGCGACTTTCGCTGCGGTCTGCGAAATCTGCCAAGGCCTCGTCAACGTCGTCTCGCCCGCTGGCTCGCGCGCGGGCCTCGCCAAAAAGTCCCCTCAAACGAGCTTTGAGTGCTGCTCCCGATTCCGGTAATCTGAGCCGCCCACTAGTTACTTCTTCCCCAACGTCCGTCACCCCGCGTGGCCAGGAAAACAAGTCGTCGCCTCGATCCACGCATAGCACTGGAGAAAAACCATCACGCCATAGCTTTCATTTGGACGTGTCAGGGTCATCACAATACGCAGCGCTCAAGGCCCTAGACACCCCTACCAGTGAACCTTACATGGTGTCAACGACTGGCGCGTTGAAGCGCAGTGATGCGACGATGAACCTGGACTACCCCAATCAAGGCAGTCCCGCCTCAAAGCGCCGTAGCTTGCATGGAGTCGCTGCTCTCGGTCCCTCTGGAGAGTTCAACATATTTGGCGCAAATACCTCATCGTCACAAAGCTTCGACATCCACGAAGACCCCCAAGCATGCGAGTATGAACTAACCGGAGTAAACAATGCCCTTGCCACCTCGACCCGTGAGCCTCTTTCTTCTCCTAGCCCGGTAGCAAATCTTCCCCGGCGATCTTCATCACTGCGGAAGTCAACTTTACAGCAGAGATACGGCGACAAAGGCTCATGGGGTCGACGGACGGGGGAAAGACAACTCGCACAAATGGGCGGAGATCATTCCACTCCGGTTCGAAGCCGGCCTCGTCTTTCTACAGACCACTTCCTCCCCCCACCGGTACCTCGAGACAGCCCGTTTAACGCTGGAAGTCCTCTGCCCAATGCTTCTATTCATCCCTTGGACAACAAAGCGCAACACCACCCTCACCCTCTGTCCAAAACCCTCACAACCTCCATCTCTGGCAACACTCTAACGGAGGAGCCTTGTGGGTATGCACCAGGCGCCAATGCTGCTGAGAAGCCCAAACCACACATGTTTTCCCGATCTCTGCCCTTGAACGCTACCAGACCGACTGCATGTTCCACCAATGACCACACCAAGGCCGTTGCTACGCCCAGCCAGTCACACCAGCTCTGGATCGCCGCTTTCAACTCCACAGGCCTCATATCAAAGGTTAACCGAAATCCTGAGGAAGAGGCCGACAGGAAACTTGCGCCGCCAGACACGCCTTGCAAAAAGCATTCCAATCCATTTGCTACGTTCCCTCCTCCGGTCGGCAGCGCGATGAAGAGAAAGGGTAACAACCGAAACTCCTTCGCTGGTGTTCCTTCAACACCTTTCCATCCATCCTCATCCCGAGCTCCCGACACCTTTGGCCAACCTACGAAGGGACTTTCTATTTTTCAACGCGGTTCCGCATCAAACAGTTCACGTCGCGGCAGTATCCTCAGCCTAGACGGCGAAGATAGAAGATTATTTTTCGATACCACCGAATTGCCAAATATTTTGGATGGAGATATTCCGCCAACACCAACCAAGACGACAACGCTGACAACGAGCTTGAGCAATCTCAGTGAACAATCACTTGAAAGCCCCAGTGCCAACCGATCATTTACCCTGCCGCTTTCCGCCGTGAAGCCAGCGGCATCACGGGAATCAACCAGTAAGCACTTGTTCCTAGCGGCGTCTGGCTGACTACTGACTGATGTGCTTTAAACTATTTAGGGAGCCCAGTTGATGGCCGCAGGACTCCTCAAACGCCCCAAGAGTCATTGCTTCCTTTGGATACCAGTCGTCTGTCTATTTCACAGGCGCCTGATAATGTAAACGAGAATGCTATGCCTCCACCAGTCACTCCCACTGCTGGTCGTGACTTTCGGTCATCGACCAGCATTTTCGTCACACCGGTCAATGCCCGTACTAGTAGCCTCGACATTGATGCCAGCCTGTACTCGAGATTTGACAAAGTTGAGAAAGTAGGCAAAGGAGAGTTTTCCACGGTGTACCGTGTGACCAAACTTGAGCATGCCAATGCATTTGCGCTAGACAATACCACACCAGGCAATGGTGCTAGTCGCAGCCCTGCAAAGGATCAAGTGTTTGCGGTCAAGAAGAGCCGACACTCCTATTACGGACCCAAGGATCGGGAGACGAAGCTCCGCGAGGTGCGCATTCTCCAGGCACTGACGCACGCTGAACATGTAGTTCAGTATATTGATGATTGGGAACACAACTTTCACCTGTACATCCAGACAGAGTTTTGTGAGGAGGGTACACTGGAAAAGTTTTTGGGAAACGTTGGTCGAGATGGTCGGTTGGACGATTTCCGAATCTTCAAGATTTTGCAGGACCTATGCCTGGTAAGCAGCCACGCTGAGTATGCTGTTATTGTGGTGGTTTTTTTCCCTTTTCTAACTGGACCTGGTGCAGGGACTGAAAGAAATTCATGACGCTGAATTTATGCATTTGGATATGAAACCGGCGAACATTCTCATTACCTTTGAAGGCGTCTTGAAGATTGGCGACTTCGGACTGGCTCAACCATGCAATTCAACAGAGGGCGTCGATGTGGAGGGTGACCGTGAATACATGGCTCCCGAGATGCTCAAAGGCAAAGCCGGAAAATCAGCTGATGTCTTCTCGCTGGGTCTAATGACTTTGGAGGCCGCTGCAAATGTTGTACTACCCGAAAATGGCCCTACCTGGGTTGCCCTAAGATCAGGGGATCTGTCCGAGGTTCCTAGTCTTACTTGGACACCCTCGCTCGAAGTCCAGAGGGATGCTATCGGAAATCCCACCGAGTCGACACATGACGATGATCTTCAAGGAGGAAAAACGAGAAGTGCTGGTAACCTGTTCGGCTCGTTTAAGCGGTCGGAACTACAGCAGCCCCCCAAATTCATGCTCGACGCATACCACTCGAGTTCGCTGGACTCTATTGTAAAATGGATGACTTCGCAGGAGCCAGCAGCACGCCCTCTAATCGACCAGGTTCTTGAATTAGAAGGCCTGCGGTGGGTCGCTGAGCACCGCAATGCACCTGCGACAGTGTACGAGGGAAACTGGGGCCCTGCTGAGATGTTTCCTGTTTCTATCGCCAATGACAGTGATACGGAAATGACCGACGTCTGAGAAACGAGGAAGATGGAAGCAGCAAACCGTTCTTGGCACTTTTCATCCCAACGATGATCATGATACCATCAAGACCCTGAAACGACCGTTCAAGACATATCCTATGCGCCAGTGGGAGGGTTCATTGGTTCGTGGACATTGGCGACTCTTGTACTGGAATATGTACAAGTGAATACTTTTCAGCGACGTCTTTCGAGGACGATATGAGAAATGGCTGCCACTGGATGGGGAACCAGGTGTTTCAACCGAAGAACGACATGGATGACCATCAATCGTGCGATACTTACTCGTACTAGCGACTGTGGCATTTTGTTAGTGGCATTACTTTTGACTATCGGAGCTAACCTTGTTGTCAAACTGTGGGGATAAAGGAGATGCCCGATTCCTGTGATGGAATCCATCAGCGAAGTGTTGGACTGGATGGTGTGGGCAGGAGCCTAGTCAAGACGTGGTCTTGCAGATGTCAGAAACAGCTATGAGCTGAGCAACCTAGATGGGTATCTCAAGCTCCTTTTTCGTATCTCTTTGGGTGGAATGTACAAGGCGTCTGTGGATTGTGGCAACAACATGTAGGCATAGATATTTTGTGTTGGGCGGAAGGTGGTATTTGTGACTGGCACTGTTGGTTGGAGCATGACGGATCTCAATGGCGTCCCTGGGCATCGGGTTGCCGAATCTGTTAGTCACGGTTCTATGATGAAATGGTATGAAGATATTACGACCCATCAAAGGTTTTGAGCTGTGCTCCTGTCTGATGTGATGCGAGAAGGTACTTAGTAGCAGGGCAATCACGGCTAATTGAATGCGGACATGGTCCGGTTACAACGGTACCACGAGGCTTGGGTCTGGTGGGGATTAGCTAATCACGGTACCTGGCTGAGTACGACTACGGAATATGGAGGATCGGATCAAGCAAGTCATCTATCTAACCCAAGTCCCTTTCCGTCATCCTCGTCATGACCGGCGTCACGATAGACAAAGGACGATCCGGCCCCACCACACCTGAAGGCACTCGCTCATACTGGCACAAGGAGCCGTCGACGGTACTCCTCGGACACAGGACAACGCAGAAGCTCCCCACCACGGCGGATGTCATTGTTGTTGGGAGCGGGATAACGGGTGCTTTTGCTGCAAGGGAGGTAGCAAATGGGAGCAGAAGCGTGCTACTTCTGGAAGCAAGAGAGGCGTGCTGGGGAGCAACAGGCAGAGTAAGCGAAGAATCCGCACCCCTAATACACATGTTTGAATGTGCAGTAATAGTTTTAGAATGGTGGGAACTGCCAACCCATGGTGTACGGATCCAAACCCAGCATCGCTCGATTCGAACTGGGCACATACGACTTCCTCAAAGACCTTATTGCCAGACACAAAATCCCCTGTGATTGGCGCACCGTCGGGGGCGTACACGGCATATTCGACGAGGATGTGCTGGAAGCAGTCGAGAAGATTATTGACCGGCTACAGACCAGCCACCCGGATCTCGCTGAGAAGGCCATCCTCGTCAAGGACGAGCGTGGGAGAAGGGCACTTCGTGTGCCGCAGGCCCGTGCCGCAGTGTACCAGCCTGTGGCCGCCAAACTGTGGCCGTACAAGCTCGTGGCGTGGGTTCTTGAGAGCCTGCTGAAGGAGTTCCCGGATACCTTCAACATGCAGACCAACACGCCTGTTGAGTTTTTGCAGCACGCCGACGATAAGTGGATCGTCCACACCTCTAGAGGACAGGTTGCTGCCAACGATGTACTCCTTGCCTCAAACGCCTATACGTCTTGGCTGCTACCCAAGATGACGGGTATCATCACGCCTGTTCGCGGGCAAATTGTGGGGTTGACACCGCCGCCGGGTGGCATCCCACTTGAACATTCACATGTTTGGGCAAAGGGCGGAAATGAGGACTATCTGGTTCAGCGAGACGATGATGGGATTCTCATTCTCGGCGGGGAGAGGTGTGTGGCCGCTGGTGCCGAGGAGGGCATCTGGGATGACAGCCATGTGAATGCCGACATTGGGCGGAAACTTCGCCGCCAACTTGGGCAGAGTGTCAAATTGCGCGCCCCGGGCCAAGAAGAGAGGAAGAGGCTGGATGCGCAGTATGAATGGACGGGTATCATGGGCTACGTGAATGACGGTCACCCTTGGGTTGGGAGAGTTCCCACGGAATTAGGGGGCGAAAGGGACAGCAATGGACATGGTCATTTATGGATAAGCGCTGGGTATAGTGGACATGGGATGACGGCTGCCGCAAGATGCGGGGTGAGAGTGGCGGAGATGATTGTGGGAAAAGAGGCGAGCTTTGATCTTCCAAAGGAGTATGAGGCGAGCGAGGAGAGGGCGAGGAGGGCGAGGAGGGCGAACGGGATGGGTGTCGGGAGAATGTCGTTTGTGGATGAGTTGAGGGCATTGCTGGAGGAGTAGGCGGAGACGGGCGAGATGGAACGAGTCTCACGGCTGCTGTTTTCATGCCTTTGAGACGACATTTATTGGTGACAGTCCACCAGTAGATACGCCAGAGGTTGAGTATCGACACCTCTAGGTAGGTAGGTATGGGAGGTGGTGCGTGGTACGTTCGATTGATCTGACAACTTTGTGAGGGATATTTTCTTGACAACGAGTGTAAATAGACCGCATGATGGAGCGTATTCATTCAAAGAGCTCGCGTAGCAATCAGCAGTTGGCATCACCTCGATATGGGTGAATCGAATCTGGGTAGTGAGACTGTGTTCTCAGTTGGCTCAGGGTTGGGGTTAGCGTTATTCGCCGGAGGCCGTTCCCTACCACAGGGCGGCATCGTCTGTCATGTGCGCAGGTGGGCTTGGGAATCTGGAAAAGAAGCCGGTTTTGACACAAGCAGGAGCACCTAGATCTCTCACATTGTAGGCAACCAACAATTTTTCGATGTTCCAACTGCACCATTTTCTACACTCCAAACGGTGCACACGTACTCCGTACGGAGGAACTACTCTACGGAGCACATCGATATTAAACCGATAATCAACCGACCACCCAATCACAGCAACCTATTTGCAAGCACCACCAGACGTTTGCTACTGTGATGTTGTCGCGGACATTTCGGCCACAAACTCCTCTCACCTCTTCGCCCCGTCGACGACCGCCATTGATGCCGCTCAATCACTTCAGTATGGCGAGCAAGATCACCCCGTTCTTCCTCCGCTCGTGTGCGCGCGCTGTCTCGCGCGCGCCGCGGCCTCAAACGCGCGCCATCTCCGTCACAGCCTCCCGGCCGAGCGATACCTTGATGATTGTACGTCCTGTCCTCCATCGCCCGGCGAACGAGCCGACTCGCGTGATACGGGCCTCCGGGGAGTCAATCGGACCCCGCGGAGCAGAGACGACCGGTGTCCAGCCCCGACAAGCGGGCGGGCAATCTCGGGCGGCCCCGTGAGAGATGGCACTGCAAGCATGCCGACTGCTGATAGAACACCATCCTGTAGCACCGAAACACGGCGGACAACAACCCCGACATACCTTTCAGATTCAACAAGGAGAACGAGACCGTCATAGCCGAGATCCTCAAGCGGTATCCCCAGCAGTACAAGAAGGCCGCCGTCATGCCCCTTCTCGACCTGGGCCAGCGCCAGCACGGCTTCACCAGCATCAGCGTCATGAACGAGGTCGCTCGCCTCTTGGAGATGCCGCCCATGCGGGTCTACGAAGTGGCCTCCTTCTACACCATGTACAACCGGACCCCGGTGGGCAAGTTCTTCGTGCAGGCGTGCACGACGGTACGCAGTTCCCTCACTCTCCCCCGGCGGACGTCGGACCAACAGGGAACATCTCGGGCAGCCGCGACGACGACGGCGTTGCTTGGAACGGGGCAAAAAAAAAAGAAGAAGAAGAAGAAAAGGCAAAAAGCACGCTGAATTGCTAACTCGTAACGTCTAGACCCCTTGCCAGCTGGGCGGCTGCGGATCCGACGTCATTGTCAAGGCCATCAAGGAGCACCTCGGCATCAAGCAGGGCGAGACGACGGCCGACGGCCTCTTCACCTTTATCGAGGTCGAGTGCCTGGGCGCCTGCGTCAACGCCCCCATGATCCAGATCAACGACGACTACTACGAGGACCTTACGCCCGAGACTGTCGTCGACCTGCTCAAGGCCCTGAAAGCCAGTGCCGGCGGTGCCAGCGCCGCCGCCGCCGCCGCCGCCAAGGTCCCCAGGCCTGGGCCCCTGACGGGCAGAGATACGTGCGAGAACAGCAAGGGCCAGACGAACCTGCTGGATGAGCCGTGGGGCGCCGAGAAGACGAGGTCGGATTTGTAGAAGTTTATCCCCCCCCCTGCGATGCATGGGATGGAACATGCGTCAACCGAGAGAGGCTGGGATGCCCCGGGGATCGTGGGGGCTGGAGATAGCTGGGCTTCCGGGACAACGAGAAAGAAGAAGGCTGTACATAACACGAACACACATCTGCTGAAATGCCACATGGTATAGACGTTTCATTGTTCTTCGTTTCATTTCGGGACAGCAGTCCTTGTGCCCCAGCCCCATCTCACAGAGTCGTGCGCCGCTCAAACATACGCATGCGGCGGTGGACAGTTTCAACCTTTGACGGGATCAAACCCCCTTTCCAAGCCGGAGGATCCAGCCGTCACCAATGCTCGCATCACCGGCGCCCAGACCGCCCCAGACGACGATGCCCGTCTCCTCCAGATCCGCCATGGGGGCGCTCGCGAGCCACCCCCTCGCGGCGGGCATCCCCTGACCGCTCTCGTCGTCGTACTCGCCCATGCCGACCCTTTGCCATCGGCCCTCGCCCGTCTTCTTCCCCACGGCCTGGAGAAAGGCGGCCCTGAGGCTGGCGGGGCTCATTCCCAGCGGGGGCACCTCAAACGTCCACACGTCGTCCAGGAAGGCTTCGGCTGCTGCTGCTGCGCGGCCATGTGCGCCGGGCGCGCGCTCGCCCATGGCCAGCACGAGGCACTCCTTGCCGCCGCCGACGGTGAGGGCCTGCAGGGCGGCCGCGCTCCGCGGCGCCGGCCACGCCTGTCGCGGCTCGACGTGCATCTCGGCAGACGAGGCGTCGACGTCGCTCTGCAGGATGGTCTGCCAGCCGGCGCGGGCGTGGATCGCCACCTCGCCCTTGGAGTGGCCGTCGTCAAACGTCTCCAGCTCGAGGGGCAGCACGTCGAGCTGGCCGCCGAGCTCGGACTCGCCGTCGTACCCGCCGAAGCGGAACAGGCGGCTCTTGGAGATGCAGATTGCCGTGCCGCTGCGGGACGGGCCCGGCGCCGCGGGCAGCTCCGTCCAGGTGCGCGTGCGGACGTCAAAGGCCCAGAGATCGCTGGTTCGGTCTCCGCCGGCGAGGCAGCCCGCGTGGACGAAGAAGGTGCCGTAGCCGTCGGACTCCTCGTCCACGGCCTGCTCCGCCACGTAGCCCACGACGGGGTCCTGGGGGATGCCCGTCCTGGAGGTGTCGCCCAGAGCCCACTGGCGCCAGGTCCGCGGCGTCGCGGGCTCGGCGGAGGCGGGAGGCACGGAGGGGAAGTCGCGGGGGCGGTCCGTGGCCGTGGCGCAGTGGAAGCTGCGCGGGCTGGGCTGCGGGACGATGGCGCCGCCCCTGACGGCGGGTTCGGGGTCGAGGTGCGACCAGGCGTGCGAGCGCGTGTCGTACACCCAGACGCGGCCGGCCTCCTCGAGCGGCTTCATGTCGGGGCCGCCGCGGCCGCCGAAGAGGAAGATGCGCGACCCGATGACTGCCGTTGCATGGCCGACGCGTGGGGGAGGCACACGGTCGAGGCGGGGCCTGGTGTCGTCGGCGGTCGCATCCTTGTCGTTGCCCTTGCCCTTGGGCCCTTCGCCCTGCGGCGCGTCGTCGGCGTTCTTGGCCTGCTCCGACGACGGCGTCGCGTCTTGCTCGACGGCCGAGGCTGCCTTGGCCTCGACCCTGTGATAGTCGGCGCCGGCACTGCTGAACGGCAGCCGGACGATGTGCATGTCGTTGTCGACTGGTTGGCACGGCTCAGTCTCCCCGCCAAAGATGTAGGCGCTTCCGGAAACGACATTGAGCGAGTGGGAGGAGCGCGGCAGGGCCGGGATGTCGATTCGCTCCCACGTTCCTTGGACGGCGGCGGGCTTGTCCTTGTCCTTGCGGGAGCTGCTGCGGCCAAAGTCGAGCCGTGGTAGGGACGGGAGGCTCGCCTGCACGTCGGGCATGTTGATGTTGATGCTCTTGGGGAGCGACGGCATGCTCTGCTGCGCCTGCTTGAGGAGGTCGGTCGACCGACGCTTGAGCTGGTTGAGCGGCTCCATCTGTCGGTGCGTGCGGGCAACCAAACGGGTGATCCAGCGCCAAGACGAAGAAGATGGCCGGATCGACTAACGAGGTGAGACGGGAGGAGATGAAAAGAGCCGGAGCGACACGGGCATCCTGTGCACTGCCTCGAATGTTGGCTCGCGTCGTGCGGAGCACAGATTCGTCAGCGAATTTTCCCAACGTTGACAGGCTGCCGCGTTAGAGAAGAGTCGTCGGCACTCAGCAGAACTCGAGGCTTGGCTCCCCAGGCCGCCGCCTGGCCAATCAGCGAGCGACGGTAGACCTTCCATTTCGTCCACAACAGCAAGCAGCCGCAACAGCGGAGAGCGCACACATTGGACGAAAGCACTACGAATTGCATTCTTGAGCCCGCTTATGCTGGCATTGTTAGAAATCTGTAGATTTTAACTGACGACTTTTACATTTAACTTGGAGCAGCCTTAAGCCATGGGGGTGGGTGTATGTGAAAATGCACACGGGGTTCTGCATGGGCGACGGTAGCCCCAACAGCTAATCTCGGCGGCCCGACGGCAAACGCCCCCTTTTTGGCTGCCGGGGCGCATGTTCAGTGCCAGCAGCAGGACATTCAACAGTCTGTGAATGTACTCCGTACGTACTTAAGTAACAGGTACTTTACTACTGACAGCACTACGTAGCAGTTGTGCGTTTAAGCGATTTAGGCCCCATGTGCATGCATGTGGGGTCTTTGTCAAAATAAATGGGGGGCAGGGGCCACGGACGAGCATCAGTCAACGACACCCTTGGTTCGCACAGCGCTCTAGTACCTTGGCATGGGAATAACTCCCCTCTGCCCGGGTCTAGACCCCGGGTCCGGAAACAAGAAGCCAGACTCTGTTGATCCCTCTGGGCGCCCAAGAGTCCGAGACGACAGGCGCAGTCGACGGCCGGCCAGGCCATGCCTGCTTCTCACAACACAACACAACACAACGGGCTCAACACGTTTCACGGCTTGAAAATTGCACGCACACCGTCACACCACTGCGGGACGACGACAAGAGTCGCGGCAGGACAAATGGGCTTGTATAAAATCTAGCATTCTCAGGTCAAGGTGCACAGCACCTCGCAAAATGAGTAGCTGCAAAAAAATACAAAAAAAAACTTCTCTCGCCATATTGACAGGCAGGCCGTGACAGATGATGACTCTATGTACACAATGCTCCTCGGATGTACACTGTGGCCAAGGGCGGCGGCCCCCCCCCCAACCCCCTTCCACTCGCACCCTTCAATCGTGCACTGGGCTTGCTCTAGTTCTGAGCTGGCCGGAAGCTACTGTACCGGAAGGAACCAGCCTTCGCAAGGCAGTAAGGCGTCTTGTTTTGCTTGTTGACCTGGCAGACGGTTCCATCGGGACATTGACCCGCGAGCTGGGTACGGCCGTTAGCGGTTTCGTGCTACCAGGCATGTACGGGTTAGAAGATACTTACCACCCAGCTCTTGAGCACGGTGCATACTCGCCAGCCCTTGTTATCAGGAGTGCATTCATAGGCACCTGGTGTGCAGGTCTTGCGGTCGCCGCCAGGAGCGGGCGTGCCCGGGGTTGGAGTAGGAGTAGTCGACGTCTGGAGCGTGGTGGGTGGAGCCGCCGAAGGGACGGTGTTGTTGCCGTTGGAGGGAGGCGATGAAGGGTCCAGAGTTGGGAATGGCGGCTCATTGACTTTGCTCGTGGTGGACGGAGGCAAGACCAGCTTGTTCTCATCGCCGGGCAACTTGGTGCCAGCGCCGGGCCCGGATGGTGGGTTGGGAGACGGCGTGGTTGGCTTGTCAGCGCCAGGAGCTGGCTTTTGGCATTTTCCAACGGCATCACCGAGCTTGAGGCTTTTCGCCGTCGACGTTTCAACATCCGGGCCGGGGTTGGGGAATTTCAAATCAGTTCCCTCGACAGTCGAGCAGCCGTTGCCGACGTTGGCGACGAACATCTCGGGACGCGAACTCCACGGTGTAGTGCTGCTGACGCTCTCGCTGCCTTGACCGGCCTTGACGGTGATGACGGCACAGTTCATGTACATCTCGCGGTTTCCGACTTTGTTGAACCAAGACCAGGCGAACAAGGCCTCACCGGCCGGGGCGTCGGCGGGCAACATGAAGTCCGAGACGGTGTCTCCGGCGCCGGAAGGGCAATTCCCTTGCCAGGACTTGATCACTGTCCAGGTTTTGCCCTTGTCGTAGGACATGCTGGCCTGGCAGCTGCCTCCTGAGTGGGGAGCCCCTCCGGTGATGGTCATTTGTTGTTTCTGACCAGCAGTCCATTCCTCAACAGGCTTGCCCTGAGCGGTGCCGAGGAGTTCGAGGCTGTTGCGGCACGGGAAGTTGGAACCACTGGAGCTCAAGGGACTCGTCATGTCGTAGTCCACATCGGTTGTGAACTTGTTGAAACTCGACCGAAGAGAGGGAGGCGATTTCATCTGCATGTGGCCAGCAGCGAACGATGCCGCCGAGAGGACGGCGGATGCAACCGAGAAGGCCTTCATTTTGAGCGCGAGGGAAAAGGCAGGCAGTCTGTTTCTGTTTCAACGTTCGACGTTTCTAGCAGAGCAAAAGAGAGAAAGAAGTTCAAAGAAAGAAAGAAGAAAAGGCACAGTATTCAAGGAGAGACTGTAAAGAACGAAACTGAGGAGATGAAGATGATTCTACATGTTGAACCAGACCTGCCAGTTGCCATGTACTTATATTCTTCTCTCGACGGCAGGATTCGCACGCGCTCCCCCGCCCGTTCCTGAACCAGAAAGGGTGTTTGGATCGTGAATCACGGCGCGGATAGCGGTTGGCATCCGTCATGAACCGTTTGTTGCCCACGACGAGACCAGAACCACGAGAGACAAAAGTCTGGTACGGTCAGCCCCCTTAATTGCGTCAACCAACCACGTCCCGGTCACCGAGTACTGTGTGATTATGTGACGGAAATTCTCTTCCCGGGCAGGGGCTCCCTGTGCCGTTGCAGAGTATTTTTGGGATTTCGGGGGCTTTGGAGTAGCTTATAAGTTGGCCGCCCTTGGAGTTGTCGCGTGGGTGGGACGAGGAATGCGTCATGCATAAAGAATGCACGACTTTTTCTAGCATATGTAGCAACAAGTCGAGCCTCTGTGAACGTATCAAGTATATGGCATGACCGTGTTGAAGGCCCCAAAGGTCCCTCCCCATTTGGCAAGGTCCAACTTTTTGGCTGGTGCAGTTCATTACCTTGAAACTTGGCACCACCGACCCGCGACAACGGCAACGGCAGCGGCGACGGCAACGGCTACGACGACGGCGGCAACGGCAACGGCTACGACGACGACGGCAACGGCAACGGCAACGGCTACGACGACGACGGCGGCGACGATGGACCATGGGGTCGCCGGTCGCCGGTCGCCGGTCGCCGTTCACGGATCACCGGGTGGTCGACAGAGGCGGTTTGGTTGTCTGTGATTGACGAGAGCGCACACAGCGATGACATTCTGAAACCAAGAGTGTCTGGGAATTGGTCGGTTGAAACTAGTATATCCATCCGCGGCAAACGAAAATTTGCTACGGAGTACAGCTCGTAGATTTCCATGCCGCACGTTCCATCGACGGGCTGGGGGGTCCAGGATTCGTCGTTCGTCCAAGGTTCGATCGTCCAAGGTTCAGTGTTCGATCGTTTTCGCCCGGGGTCCGTCGTCTCCGGCGTTCAGCGAGGCACGTCTTCTGTAATGAATGAGTCATCAGGCTCTCGGCCGCTGAGCACACCGCGCAGCACCTCAACGCCGACGACGCTGTCTTTTTTTTTTCCTCCCAAAAAAAGAAAGACCACAGACTCCGTCACGGCAGACGCGCCTCGTCACAATTTTTGCCGCGCACCATCCATTTCCGTGTCCATGTCCGTTTCCTCGCAAACAAAAGACTCCGTCAGGACTCGACACATCGCCCCGTCCGTCAAACCGCTCCCCCCTCGAGTCGCGTGCCGCGGCCGAGCTACCGCCTGTCCGCCCTGATGAGCGTGTCCTTCCGCCGGAGGGAGATGGCCACGGTCGTCGGGATCCCGGTTCTTCATTTCGCACTAGCCCGAGTCCCATCCGGCCACGCATCGTCGAAAATAGGCATTATACGGAGTACAAAAGGTCCGCTCTAGAAAACAAAAGAAAAGACGCGGAAACCCTCCCTTCCCCTTTCCAAGCAACCCGCGTTGTAATACCACGGAGCACCACTCGTACGTAGTGTTCTAATTTCGGCCGCCAAGCTGCTGTATCATGACTTGTGCCGTTTCCCCGGTATAGACCACCGTAATTGAGTAACGTTCCAATCCGTCGTCTCCCTGGCCATCTGGTCAATTGCTTCGTGCAAAAAGACAACGTTGCGGACCAAAAGTACCTAGGTAACTACTGAGGGCACGAAGGTACCTTGGTTAGCTAGTGCGAGCAACGAGCTGACCAAGTACCTTGGCACTAACGCGGTACGTACCCAAGTGCGGAGCGCCGCGGCCGCCCAACCACCACTGATCCTTGCCGACCACCGACTATCAGTCATTGTAATCCCGCCCTCGACACAAAAGTGCCCAGTGTCGGCGGGCAAACTATTTCCTTGAGCACCTACTAGGTCCCTGGCTAATCACTAGACTGTCGCGGACATTGATGGCAAAGCCAGGTTCCCCAGAATAGAGCGTCCCCAGAGCGTGTTGCCTGTCGGGGGGTGGAGGCCTCAGGCAGCAAACAGTCTATAGTTGGTCAACAGCAAAACACGACATGCTCTTGGACATGGTCAAAACACGCAACAATCAAAAACACAAGCAGCGCTTCCGTTCCATCCCCCCCTCTACCCCCCGGCATATTCATCCCGCAGTACTAGTCGACCCCTCACAGCGCCTACGTCTTCTTTGGCGTGGCAAAATAGGCGGCAATGGCTATGAGCGTCCAGTCGGCCAAGAGCAAAACGCCTTGAACCCTTGGCTCCTGTCAGCGCAACCTCTCACTCTGAGAAATGTCGGTCAGATGCTCATTTACGTACCAGTGAAGCTTTGCGTCCACCATGAGGACGTTGAGAAGCAGCACGGCTGCGAAGAGGCTGATGACCTCAAAGCCGTCAAATACAAGCGTCACCTCGTCCAGGTGCCAGATCCAGGCCAGGAAGACGACACAGGGCATCACCAGCAAGGCAGTCTGGATGCTCTTGCCAACCGTCTGAGTGACGGCTTGGCCCAGCTTGCCGTGACCTGCCAGCAGTATCGGGATGTAGTCCACGTTGGCCAGTGGGAAGAGAACGAGGCCCACAAACGTCTTGGATAGACTTGTGGACTTGGTCAGGGCCTCCATGCTCTTTACCGCGAAGTCAATGTGGAAGTAGAGAAGAGCAGTGCTCCCTGCCAGGAGCAGCGCCGCCGTGATGAGATGGAGATGGGGCTCGTTTTGATCGCGTACACTCTCGCCGGCCCCGGCCTTGGAGAAGGGCGCGCTGTCGTCTGGATGAGACGTGTGTGAGGCGCGAACTTGTCCAGCTGCAGGGCCGGCGGCGACGCCCTCTCCGTCTCTTGCCACGTCGTTGGAGATTGTCGTGTCTTGCGCGGGAGCCTGGGACAGACCATGGTAGGAGAACGGGTTGTATCGTATCGACCTGGTGGGAACGTCTGCAACCTCTTGCGAAAACGTGTCCCAGTGCGTCCAGTGTTCGCAGAGCACAAAGCAAAGGTAGACTACGATCAGGACGATGGCGACGCCTCTCGATTGACGGCGAAGATCTCTTGTTTCTACCTGGTTCAGCAGGCGGGACGCGGTGGGTATGAGGAGGCTGGTTGATGAAAGGGATAGAAGGTTGCTGGCCATGTGTGCTGCTGTCCGGTTCAGATTCTGGTAAGGTCGGTTGTAACAGCCCCAAAACGTGCTGATGCCCAGGAAGAACAGAGTGTTTGCCAGTATCGACCCGGTAATGGATGTCTGGAGGACGTCGTATTCGTGGCTGCGGAGCAGGAGCGCGCACGAGATGAACTGAATGAGGTTCCTACATCAAAGCCAGGTCAGCGCCAGCACTGCTCCCCGTCCCGCCATCCCATCCTTTCCTGATGCTTACCCGGTTGACATGGACATCCAGTCTGCGAGCAGTGGCCCGAGCCGCAGTCCGATTTCAGTCATGGCGAGGTTCCCGAGGTAGTTCGTGTAAAAGGTAGCGGCGAAATTCACCGCAAAGCTGGATTTGGATTTGCCATGTGTGTAGTGAAGAACGAATCCCACAGGGGACAAGGATATGCAAGGGTTGATCCACCAGTTGTTCCGGAGAATGTACTTGATTTGGGCCTTTAGAGTAAACGGCCTCTTGGGCTTGACGTTCTTGAACATCCAGAAAGCTCTTCTTTCTTCTCCGTCCTGCCCGGCAGGCTCGGGTGTGCGCCCTCGAGGTGCCTCCTCGACAGAGTCGACTGCGCTGTCGGTAATTTCGCCCACCCCCTTTTCTGTCTGTGAATGGTCTTCTGGGAAACCAGCGCAACGCGCGTCTTGGATGGAGGTGCTTGGCAGGTTGGAGTCTGGAGCAGAGATGGGGAGTTCACGCAGACTTTCCTCGTCTGGTCTGGTTCGGATGAACAGATTTATGCCGGCCGAGAGCCGATGTGCCTCCCTCGATTTCTGAAAGTGCCCAACTGACGGAACGAATGTCGTGTTAGCAGTGTGTAGTAGCAAGTTCTGGGAGAGCGAGGCATGGACTCACAAGACATTTTGGCTTTGCCTCAAGAGATAGATGGTCGTGGCTTCGCAAGCTTCCCCAGGCGCAAAGCAGCTATCTATCTACTTGTGCCAGACTGGTCAAATTGTAAATGACAAACCTTGATCGGCAACCTCTGACAAAGGCTACAAGAGCAATGAAAATATACATACACACACACACACACGCGCGCGCGTATAAATATATATGTAGACCATTTCTCATGCTCCCCGTCCCCAGCCACCGACTACGTATCCCTAGGTGAGCCGACAGAGCCTCGCATCTACTCGAGTCGCAAGAGACATACCACAACTCCATGTACGCAGTAAGTAGCGTGGATTCAAAGCTGTGGTGTTGCACTGCCCTGATGTTGGCAGAACAGCCTGATTGCTCTGCGGGTAACTCGTCATTTGTTACATGCATTCAACGCCAACAAGCACAACGGCCAGAGGCTGAGGTGATACCGCATGCGTGGTCATCTGGACAAGGAGATTCCATTTCCCCCGCAACCTTTGAGCAACTGTCGTTGAATGACCAAGCATCGGAGGTGCGGAGTGCGAAATCTTCTTTTGAGACGAGTTGTTCTTTGAAAGCCATCAACGGCGTGGCACAGCATCTTTTAGTAACACGAAAGCCTCGAGCTTGCGCTCCCTTATCAGCGTGGCGTTCCATGGACTGCGAGCTCGTCTTCCCAGCCACCGGCGCTGGACGGGAAAAGAATCAAGCTGCATGTTCACGCTGAGCAGTTTTGCCGGAATTTTCGTATGTACGTCGTGTCGGTACCCGGTACCCGGTACTCGGTGCTCGGTACTCGGTTCTCGGCACGGCCCGAGTCTAACTGCATTCTGCATTCAACCTTCAACCTCCAAACCGGTTTTATTTTCTTCATCGTCTGGGCCACCACGTCGTCGACGGTTCATCCCGTTTCCCTTGTGCCGGTGGGCGGCACCCAGCAGACTCGGGCAGCCCTTTGGCTCGTTGCGTCTGACTTGCAATATTGGATGCGCGTATGTGACAGGCAGCCGCCGTGGGACCTGTCATCCTGCCTGGTTGCACAAGGCCGTCTTTCTGTCGTCCGGGACATCGCAAGTTGCCCTCCCTTGCGGCTCCGCTTCCGCTGAATCTATTTCTGGCATCGGCGTCGCCCACCTCGACAGTCAGTTTGCCCGATTCCGCCGTCCTGTTGAACGCTCTGGGCAACTAGTCCACAACTTGCACTCAAGGTCCATGTCGAGACCAGTCTTGCCGCCCCTTCTCAGCTGTCGTGTTGCCATGGAGGATATTTATCGGAACCTTGGTTCGCCTGGTCACTGGAGGCGAGGCCACGGCCCTGAGACATCCTTTCAAATTATTACGCTCTGGCACAATGCCGCGACGGGAGCCGTCGGCACACTGACCAAGACCACTGATCCCACCAGCGTGCATGATTGGGTTGCCGACAAGGCATTGGACACCTAGGGGGACGTGAACCCTCGTCGTCTGAATGGCCTGTCTTGACGCCGATGCCTCCCGCTATGCACGCAGTTGCATCTCTGGCACGGCGGCCCTTCTGAGCCATGTCCACGGGGATGATGCGCAGTCTCACCCGTTTTGCTTCTGCTATGCGCCTAAAATAGCAGCAGTCTGGGCGCAGAGGTGGCCAAAGGACGCGGAGCAGGGACGCACCGTCACGCAGGTCATCTTCCTCGCCCACGAAGAGGAGAAGCATGCCTTGCAGAAAGCTACCCTCGGACAATAGAGTCTCGGCATGTGCATGAACCCCGTGTTTCCCTCATTTCCGTCTTGTCATTGGAGGCCAACTGACCTGACAAACGAAATTCGCGGCGTGGATAAGCGAACCGGCTATCACAACTTTACGAGTCGGCGGGGCGAGAAGCGCTCCGAGGGAGATTTGGAGGTGTTGCTGGCGAAGACGAGCGGAAGTGCCTCCAAGCCCGCGAGCACGTCGACCAAAGTCAAAGGTGCTAGAGAAGCTGCTGTCTTTTATGAGCAAGACCGTCTTGCTCGAGGGGTCTGCAACTGGGCGGCACCGGGAACAACAACTGCGAGATGCTACCTGCAATGAACCCGGGCCGGACGGGCACCTCGGTCTTAGAGAGTCACGTCTCGGTGCTACAGCACGATGCAAGTCACGGATGTAGGGTACACTCTGACGCGAGTGCAGGTCCCAAGCGACGCCGTTAGTTGGTCAGGGCTTGCCCTGTTTGCCATGCGTGATACGGAGTAGACAAGACCGTTATTGATACATGCCGAAGTACCTCTTCTCATTGTCTAATAGCATCACGCCAATTTCAACCTCGAACTCTCCCAGTCTACCGGACAGACTGTCTTCTTCAGCTATCGCGATGCAGCGTCCATGAAGACGCTCGCCATCTTGACCATATTCTTCCTCCCCGGGAGCTTCATATCAGCCCTCTTCTCGACAAACTGCTTCGATTGGGCTGGCGTGGATTTACGGTTGGGTTCTATCGGTGCAAGACGTGCTCCTCAGATGAGCCTGTAGTGGGCGATAACGATACCACTGACAGTCTTGACTTTTGCCCTGTACCTCGTGTGGCTGGCATTCCAGAAACGTGAGCGAGACAAGATGGTAAAAGATCAGAGGCGGGGAAGAGATGTGGGTGATGCAGGGTCTCACGATTTGCGATGAGGTGAAGAATCCCAAGCTGTGGCCATGAAGAGAATTGGACCTCTACGGTGCCGAGTGAGTTTCTGACGCCACACATGAAGGAGAGGGCGCCATGGATTTTGCTTCCCGGCAGATGGATATATGCACTTTCGCCATGGACATTGTCCAGGGTTAAATCTATTCGCCCCCCCCGCTTTAGAGAGAAAGAAGAGACGTACTTGGAGCTGATTGAATGTGTATGAGCGAGCCACGCCGCTGAGATCGAACTTGTCTCCCAGCTCGAGAGTCAGCGCCGATGCGACGGATCTCGATCGTTGTTCGGCAGTGCCACGTACTCGAGTAGTTTGGCCCGGTTTCTCCACATGTGGCTTCCCAGTTCCAACGACGGACCTCGAACTCGCAATCCCCACCGCCCGTCTTCAACAACATGGTCAGGCATGGTTGACGACGCGACGCACGTCTCTCCCGCTCTGCCCCCCCTTCTCTCTCTGGAGCTTCTCAAAACCATGTCTCTGGCGAGTCCTCCCTAAGCAACGCCGAAGACGCTCTCGTGGCCATCGCTCGTGATGGCGTCCACCGCAGCGGCAGCACCGGGCACCCTCGTCCCAGCACAGCTCGGCTTCCTCGCCATATTCAACCCTTCTCTAGGCAATACGGACGACACCATCGACGACCAAATCGTCTACTACGCGTCCGAGACCACACAGAGCCCGGGCAAGCGGCGGCGGCGCACCCGGGGACGTCCCACAGAGGCCATTTCCCAGGAGGAGCGGCACGAGCGTCTGCGCCAGATTGGCCTTGCGCAGGGCATCATCAACTTCAGCCGCGGCTTTGCAGACGATGCGTCGCTGGACACCGTCGATACAGAAAAGTCAAGGGTGATTGCCCATGAGCTGGAACCGGGATGGTGGATCCTCGCGGTAAGCATGACTGAGCGCGCTCTCGTCAAGAGCCCAGAAAGACCATCTCGCCCACCTCTACCTCTACTGAAGCGGCTGAGTCCAACTGAAACGGCGGACAGAGCATCAATCTCACAAAAGTCCCGCTTCCCCCGCGCCTCGTCACCAAATCTACCGCCAGCGAAGCGCGGCAAGGAAAATACGACTACTCCAGCAGAGAGATGAAACCGGCACCGCTCCTCGTACGAGACCTGCTGCGCGCGCACAGCATCTTCCTCCTGCACCACGACACGTCGCTCAGCGCCTTGTTTGTGCGGAGCAGGCGCGCCAAATTCACCGCCGTGCTCAGCCGCTACTGGGACCTGTTCCTGTCCACGTGGAATGTCATGCTACACGGGAACCCGGCGCGCAGCATCTTTGGCGGCATCAACGTCGCAGCCTCTGGCGAGCTCGGCGTCGGCGTGGGCGAGGAGGAGAGAGGCAGTGGCGAGCGCGAGGTCTTGGAGGGGCTGGTCGGCAGGATAGAAGGCCTCGTCGATCTTGTCGTATCCAAGTTTGGCACCGAGGAGCCGGACGACGAGGTGAAGACGCACAGGGACAGCCCCGACGCCCAGCCTTGGTTGGGGACGGGCGAGGAGCCTGCAGCCGAGGACGGGGCCATATTTCTGGGCACGGGCGCCCTGAGCAGGAGGTCGGTGAGGGACGTGACGCAATGGATGGAGGACTTGTATCAGTGGGGGGATCATGCGTACGGCGTCATTGACAGTCCCACGTCGATGAGAGGGAGGAGGGCGAGGAGGCGGCGAGAGTCTGTCGGCGACACCCGGGTGGCAAAGGCAGCTGCTCCAGCAAGCGCAGATGAGGAGCGTCGTCAGAGGCAGCCGGAGCAGATTCAAACCGAGCCCCAAAGCCAGCGGCAACCAAAGCAGGCGCAGAAAGCGAAGGACAGCCAGGACGCAGATGCCCAAGAACAGCCGCCGCCCCCAGAGGCAGCGGGCGACCTCTCCTCCAAAGGCGGCTCAACACCGCCGCCCAGGGCGACCGAAGACGGCAAGCTCGACAAAATGCTCAGCTACATGAAACTGGGCTACGGCTCATACTGGACCATGCCCGGCTCAAGCAACTCCAACACGCCAACAAGACCACAATCCGACAAGACGCCAGCCCCCTCGGACACCAGCACATCCAAGCCCGGCGACAACGCGGCAGCAACGCCCTCCGCCTCGCCGGCGACGTGGCGGCCCAAGTTGCCCAAACGCTCCTCATCCGACGCCGCCCACGGCCACTACCTCATCGGCCTCAAAGGCAGCATCTCCGAGCCGTCCTCGGACAGCGAACCCTCGTGCGGGTCCTCCACGCACAACAACTCGCGCACGCTCCTGCGCACCATCAACATTGAGCTCGAGTCGAAAGCCTCGTCCCCGCCCGCGACGACAATCATCAAAGACTTTGCCCACCCGGCCAGCCCCCTGACCCAGTCCCAAGTCGCAGGCAGCTTCCTCCCCGGCTACGCATCCCACGACCTCAACAAGTCGGAAAAGCTCCGCGTGGTCGTCTACGTCAACCGCCCCTTCGTCTTCACCTTCTTCTTCAGGCTGCACACAGACTCGCTGGCCTGGGACTCGCTCTACCGCTCGCTGCACTACCAGCTCGCGCCGCTCAAGAAGCCGCTCCTCGCGTCCACGCGGTACCGCCCAGGACACGGCCAGGGCCACGGGCGCCCCGCCCCGGGCACCATGTTCAATCTCGTCTGGGACCCCAAGCAGCTCACCAGCCACTCGACGATACCCAACATTCCCGAGTCCTCGGCGTCGGATGCGTGGTCGCGCGCCGACGCCGTCAACACGCACCTGCACCTGCTGAACATCCACGCCTCCACGAGGCCGAGGGTGGCCGGGTCCGAGAGAACCCACAAGACGAACAGAGGCTGGTGGATCGTCTGGACGCGCCTCCTCGGGACACCGGCGCCTGCTCCCGCTCCTGCTCCTGGTAGTGGCAGTGGCAGTGGCAGTGGCAGCGGCGCCGTCGCGCACGACGAGCAGCCACCCTCTCCAGGGCTGTCCGAGACTGAGGCCTCTCGAGAAGGCGGCGGCGGCGGCGCAGAGCATGAGAACCAGGAGCACACCTCTGCGGTCAGCAAGGAAATCTTCCTGATCAGGAGGGCCAGCGACCACGCCGGGTTCCGGAGTCTGTCGGCAGGCGACGGCGGAGACGGTCCAGACAGCGCGAGCAACTTGGTCCAGGGCATTGGCGTCGACACGCGGAGATATGTCGAGCAACTCCTGAGCTTCCTGTGACGACTCACGAGCCAAGGTCGCCTGTTGGCCACGCCTTCAGGGGGGGGGGATTGCGCAGGCGGTGCGTCACGGCTGCACACGCCAGACCGAGAGCGTCCCTTCCTGACTCCTATTCTCGTGGTCCCCTTGGCCGCCTCGCAAGGTTGGGACTACGTATTTATTTATTAATTACCTGGGCGGGCCTGGCGTTTGTGACACGGTTTTGACAAGTGCATTGATTAACTTACTCAAGTAGATAGAATCTGGGTCAGCAGTGGAAATATCTTCACGACATCTCGGGCTGGCAGTCCAATTTTTGATGGCGCGTTGGATTGTATTTGTTCAGTAACCCCCTATCCAAGGTCCCACTCACTGCCGTGGCCGTCGGTCTTGAACCTCAAAGATTTCTATAATATGTACTTGATCGAAAGTTAAAGAGAAACACTAATGCGCCTCGACTGCAAATATTTGCTGGCTGCGACAACAGATGGACCTGTCCGTTCACGTTCGCCGGATATCATGTGTCAAATTTTTCCTTGCAAAATCTTCCCCTTGCATTCTGTTTGCAGTCGGTTTCCAAGGTATTCAACCCAACAAGTTGGAATGATGAAAAGCCCAAATATCATAAGGTCATGCATGATGCTATATGCGGTGGTGGGCCACGACCGCGGCTGGAAATCAGACGAGCTGCACCGTGCACTGCACAGGTGGTCCGCTGCAGCTGCCTTCTCTCATGATCCCCGGGTATGAATAGCCTAGCTGAAAAACCACTTAACTGTGACACGTCCGCCATCGAGTGATTTGTAGAGCTTCTTGAACATCTTCTCGCTGACATCAATGTTGTTTATGTCGCAGCCCATGCATTTATCCCTCACGACACCAGTGACAGATTCGCCATTGGCTACCACGGTGACTTTCCTGCCGCACATGGGGTTTCCATTGGACTGCGTGCCCATCAAAAGGTGTGATACAGCAACAATGTTCTCGGAATTGTCTTTACCACTGTCGTCAAAACCGCAAGAGCCCATACCGACGGCGTAATAGGTCATGTCGCCCGTGTGCTCTTCGCCTTGGCCACCGGTACCGCTTGAAGGAGCCGATGAGGATGGGGGCTTGGGGTCAGAGGGTGGAGGAGCGTAGACAGAGGTGCTGGGAGGAGCAGGAGGCGCGACATAGGCAGGGGCGGAGCTAGTCGGAGCAGGAGGAGCGACGTAGACAGAGGTAGAGCTGGTCGGAGCAGGAGGAGCGACGGAGACAGGAGTAGAGCTCGTCGGAGCTGGAGGCGGAATAACAGCCTTGGAATCGGGCTGTTCAGGAGCGACTGTCTCGTGGAAAACTTCCTGCGGTTGAGTCGGGGTGGCGGCTAAAGTAGGAGTAGGTTGGGCTGAGTTACAGGTATCGTAGGCAGAAACGGAGGTGCCATCGACGTATTCGGTGACAGTGCAAACTTCGGTAGCCGTCTCAACAACGGTTTGCACAGCACGAGCGACGTGGTGGTGTTTGTGGTTTCCGTGGTGAGGCTGGGCAGCAACAGCCGCAACAAAGGTGGTGTAGGCGACGACAGAGCACTTCATGATGGCGACTGTGGTTGGCAGTTGGAGCAATGTAAAACAGCGTCTGGCCTTCTTCCAGGGTGTGCAATGTTGTTCGTCTCAAGGGATGGAAAATCCGAGATGTCGATTGACCGACAGACAGGATGCCGTTGGGCTGGCTCAGAGTGGCGGCGTGATTGGACAGGTTATGCCAAAGCGAAGGAGTGAAGGCGATGGAGTCCTGCTCGTGGTGAAAGCAAATAACTGGAGACCGCTGGTCTTTGTACTGAAGGAGAGTGTGATGCTGCGTGGGAGGAGGGAGGAGGAAAGCGAGGATTTGAAGGGGGGGCCTCGGGGGTAGAAAAACACCAGAAACAGAGCGGCTGGGTTGCAGTCTGCGGCAATAACAGTAAGGTACGTACTCGGTGCCGAGTACAGATTCAGCGTGCTTGTACCTAATTTAGCGCTAGCTGCATGCAATGTCGGGGCTGACCCAACCGAGTGGCTTGAGGGACTTGAGAAGTAACTACGGAGTACGGAGTAAGCCAAGGAGGTACGTACTTAGGTGGGAGGGTCTGTGAACGGTCTGACGGGCGAGTCTTAACTCTCGATCTACCAAACGAACGCAAGTACGGAGTACCCAGGCACCGAGGACTGGCCGTCTGTTGGTATGGCCAGCAGGTACTCCGTACTCTGTATTTTCTCTATAGACAGACGGCACTGGACATCGTCCGTGGAATAGACTGTCCATCTTCGCCTTGGCGAGCTGGTCCGTCCTTACTTTTGCAATCGTGCCCCCACACGTCGCAACCTCCAGGAGTTCATCGCCGTCCATAGCGACGGGTCCAGAGCAGAAAAGGGGAGTAAAAGTGGGAAAGCAGCCTCCTTTCACCCCGCTCGTCAGCGCCACGTAATTGTCGCCGGGGCAGAAATAACTCTGTACTCCGTACTCTCGCCGTTTGTCGTTTGTCCAACACCAACATGGAAAGGAAACCTTGCCAGGGGTAGCCAGCCGGCGCCCCACCAGGCACAGAAGTCCAACGTCCCCAAAAACGCCGGCGTTTCATTGGCGAGTGGTGGGTGCAACGCCCGCACATATGCAATGTCTGATCAGGTACCCGATCGGGCCGACCAATGGAACGTTGGATGTGCCTGAGGCGCACGTTGACTCTTGACTCTTGAGGCCGACAAGCTGGTAGAGTGGAGTGCTCCGTCCCTCCCAGGCCAGCGCGAACATCCGCCCACCCGATGCTAGATTTCCCCCCTGAACTCGCAACGCACCACCGTCAGACATGCAAAACATGAAGCGCCTGGCCTGCATTCCGCGCTGCCCTTGGCCACGCACCAGCAGGTCCATTGGCCGTGCTGCAATGTCAGCGACGGCCCCCCCTCCCGTCGGGTTCTGACTGTTGATGGAGGCAACCAACCGCGTTCCAAGCTCGTGCATCGTTTTGCCGCACTCTGACGGAGGACGTACAATAACATTGACATATTGCGCATCTGGCGCGAGAAGTTCTGCATGTCAAGTCTGGGCAACAACTCAGCGGGTGCACGGCAACGGCGCATACTTATCACCCAAGTACCTACCTTAAGGAAGTAGGTACCTCCCAAGTACTCAAGTAGGCACGTACCTGCCGTGTGTCTGGACACTCGGCGTAACCAGCAGTGCGGCGTGCATAGTACTGTATCCATACGTATGCACGAGCATCCATGCACTCAAACACTTTTGTGCAAGCACATGCTTCGCAATGAAACTTGCAAACTTACCTTGACACTGTGGCGCATAGAATGGAAACGCAGCCACCGCCTCACACGGGCCAAGCTGGGATTTGGGTCGAGACGAAACAGGCGACGAATACATCGTCTCCACGTGCTGTCAACGGTGTCCCTGGTGGTTCTACTACGACTGATAGGTCTAGTACTCCGTACTCCGTAGTACATACTAGTACGTACCGCGCAGGAATCCGGAAACCCCAGCCGTTGCCGCCTTGGTGCGGTCGCACACTTTGGCGACGAACAAGTCGACCAGCGTCAAGATGCGACAAGCTCAGTGACACGGCGCCGTCGCAACTGCGGAGTACTCCGTATTCCGTATCCATCAACTTTTTCTGCATGTATTCTCCTCGTCCGTGTTGTCACGACGTACTCCGTACTATGTAGTGATGCCCATCGCCAGGCTGTGCTCTGTGCTCTTGGCCCTCGGGCGGCATTTGAATGAAAGCAGAAATAATGACTGCCGCTGAAACACCGGGCGATCCTCGTCGAACAGCGCCTCGACCACAAAGGCCTTCCTGGCCATGTGGACGAACCGCATGTCGGCTCTCCTGCGCTTCTTGAAGCAAAAGTATACCACAGCCTCCTCGTTCAGCGCAAACAGGTCCTTGAGGGTCTCCATGAGGAGGGGGAAGGCGGGTTCAAAGTACACGCATTCTGCTGCGATGATTACATTTGGCTTCTGCGCCACGACCTCCTGCGGAAGTGGCTCGCCCCTGCAATGGAAACGGGCAAAAATCATGTTAGCCAGGGACGTGCGATACGACTGCGACTACGGAGTAGACCAAACAGTAGACCAGCAGAACAACAAACCTCACGCACCAGTTGAGAATGAGAGCCTTGGCCCGGGAGCCAACTCGATTGAGCGAGATGTTTGTTCGCATGAGCTCCAACATGGCGGCCTGATCGGTGAGCAAGAGCCGATTCTCACCACCACATCCCAGAGCCACAGCGAGACCAACCAGCCCGCCGCCTGCACCAAGCTCCAGTCTGCCAAAGCTTGTGAGTCAGCAAGTTGCGTCTTTTTTGTTTCGCCAACCCGTGCATTATTCGACTCGGATGGCGAAGTCGCTCCCCACACACCATCGAGTGCTCGGAAGATGCACTCGACATTGTTTGTATGCATGGCCATGGTGCAACGAGCAGTTTAGGACATGTGGTTCTGCAAGAAAATGCCTTCTTCGGAAATGGGAACCACTCACATTCTAGCAGTCCTCATCTCCTCTCTGTGGTAGCGCAGCATGTGTTTGCCCAGCACAAGTCCTGCCGGCCATGTTTGGCCACCGCATCCCGTCCTCACGTCCTCATGGTAGGCGAGTGGCTCTGCCAGCTGGCCGTCGAAATCGACGCGTGCGTCTCCGGCCTGCTTCAGGGTTGGCAGAGGTGTGAGATCGTCGCTGACGGCCACCGGATCTAGTGGCGGTGAAGGCGACAGACTCGTCATGGCCAGACTCTGGCACTGAGATTTGCAACGCTGGGTATCCCTCTCTTTTTCTTTTTTTTTCCCTTTTCAATCACTGCTCGAGAAAAAAGAAAGAAAGAAAGAAAGAAAGAAAGAAATCACGTATTCGACGGATTTCACTGTGATATTGACAGTTTTGCAAGGGCCCCAGCGTCGGCTTGCACAAGGGAAAATGAGAAGGAGCGATGAAGACGAAGTCCGCCGAGCCTGGAGAGAGGCAGGAAGCTCTTAGCTGCCAACCCACCAACTGCAATTGCCGGCGCACCGCCACTTGTCCATCTTTTCACCGCACTTGTCCCACCCATGAGCGGCCTGCAGTCCGGAGTCCGGATCCTCAATCCCCCCCCCCAAAACAATTCAGCAGTTCAATAACTGTAGTCCAATCACACTTGATCTGATTTGCCGACGGTTTGGACGATTTGGCGTCTTTCGACGACCCGGCACCTCTCCTCATTGGGTTGGGGTTTGCCAGAGAAGAGAGTGCACCATCGCCAGAGAGACCGGCATCCTGCTGCATGTACGGACTACTCCAGTCCACACATGCGTAGAAAAAAATTCAAGAATGCCGGGATGCGTGCGGGGTCTGCGTTGCCGCTGTGCCCGGGCGAAGAAGGAGAAGAAGAAGAAGAAAATATCGAGACGTGGGCTGTTCTTCCCGAAGCTTCATTCACAGAACTGCATCGCGACTACTACAGTCAGCAAATGGGCCTTGGTTGTATCGCATCTTGACGACAAGGAACCTCGATGCCCCACTGCGAGATTGGAGAGGATTCGGACGGACTGCTGGGATATATGTCTTTTGCCATGACGACACGGCCGAATCCCCGTCTCCAAACGTCGGCGTGCGATTTTACGTCGGGAAGTACTTGAATCTGGGGACAAGAGACGCGGCTGGCAGCGCAATCCACACACGCGTTGGCGCGTCAAATAACTACTGGTCCTGGTCCTGGTCCTGGTCCTGGTCCCGACGGCGGCGATGATGGGACAGTGAAATTCGATATCGATTAAAGCCATGCCTCGACAAGCCCATTATCGAAAATTGAGTTTCGTCGGGCCCCATTTGAGTCGATGCACTTTGAGTATCCATCTCCCTTGCTACGGAGCCCCGTCGCCCAAATCGACGTCGCAGCTTGCCGGCCCGGCCATGGCCCATGAGCCATGAGCCACGAGCCACGAGCCATGAGCCAAATGCTCTGGAATGTCGCATCCCGCTATTCGAGTTACCAGCCCTCTCGCCCTCTTCCCAATGCCTCTCCCTTCCCCGCCTGCGCATTTACCAGTTACCCCCAGCCAAGATTTTTGCTCCCCAAGACATGCGCCTCCATTCGCAATGGACATTGTGCGCCCAACCCGCACAATGACCCCACGACCGGATTGTCTGTGGAATGAAGGGGCGAGTATTTCTGGCCCAAGAGTCTTGAAGATGGCTGTCACAAGCCGGATAGCGCAGTGGCGTGCGTGCGTGGTTGGTTTCTTGCTATCTAATCGACAGTGTCCTTGGTCGTCCAAGTCCTTCCGTTCACTCTCCTTACCTTGGTTGCGTCTTCCCTTTTGTTTTCTTCTCCTGTACGCTTGTTCTTGTGTATGGCTTCATGACCGCTTACTTGCCCACTCCGCGGTACGGTGTAACGGTGCCTCCTGTTGCGCACGCGAGGTCGTGCCGTCATCGTGATGCCTTCACCGTTGGCGCTTGTGGCGCTGCTGCCGCTCACTTGGCTTGCGAGCTGCGAGCCTAGGACATCGTTCCCCTTCAACGCACAGCTGCCGCTAGCTGCGCGGATAGACCACTTCTTTTCTTATTCGTTTTCGCAGTACACTTTCCAGTCCGACTCGAAAACAATCACGTACTCTCTGGGCCACCATCCCAGCTGGCTGTCTATCGAGAGTCGACGCAGGCGCTTGTACGGCACCCCGAGAGACGGAGACGTTCCGCCAGGAGACGTGGTCGGGCAGACCGTCGACATCATTGCGACTGATGATGCGGGATCAAAGACTATGAATGCCACCCTGGTGATTTCCAGACGGCCCGCCCCCGAAGTCCGTATTCCTGCCCAGGATCAAATGGCCAAGTTTGGCAAATTCTCTGCGCCATCGTCCATCTTGTCATATCCCGCCGCCGACTTCAATTTCTCCTTTGACCGGAACACCTTTAGCATGGCCGGGCTGAACTATTACGCCGTTTCCGCAGATAGCAGCCCCTTGCCAGCATGGATCCAGTTTGATGCGCAGTCGTTGTCTTTTACCGGGCGAACACCGCCGTTTGAGTCTCTGGTTCAGCCGCCGCAGACCTTTGACTTCCGCCTCGTTGCTTCCGACATCGTTGGCTTCTCGGCCTCGTCGCTCAAGTTCTCCATTGTCGTGGGCAGCCACAAGCTTACCACTGAGCAGCCGATTATAGCGCTCAATGCCACGCGAGGCACCGCCGTCACCTATGATGGCTTCAAACACGCCATCAAGCTCGACGGGAAACAGGTATCGCCGCGCGACCTGGCCGTGACCACCAAGGACATGCCGAGCTGGCTGTCGTACGACGGCAAGACAGGCAGAGTCCAAGGTACACCCAAGGATGGTGATGATGCAGCCAATTTCACCATTTCCTTCAGTGACAGTCTTTCAGACAAACTGGATGTTTTGGTGGTCGTCAATGTGGCCACTGGCCTCTTTGACTCGACCTTTGAAGATATGCACATTAGGCCTGGCAGCAATCTTGACTTGGACTTGACCAAGCACTTCAAAAATCCTGCCGACATTGCCGTCAGGGTGTCGACCAACCCCACCGAGGACTGGCTCAAGGTGAACGGGCTCAGGCTCTCGGGTCGGGCGCCCACGACTTCAAGGGGCGGCTTCAAATTGACCATCGACGCATTGTCAAAGAGCTCGGGCCTCAGCGAAAGCGAAGGCATCAATGTGTACTTTCTCGTCCTTGATGGGACGACGACCACAGTTCCTTCGGCTTCATTCACGGCTGCCACAACGACGCTGGCCACTGGTACTGGCGTCTCTAACAATAAACAGACTCACCCTGGACACATGACCACAGGAGAAATTCTACTGGCAACCATCATCCCGGTGATATTCGTCGCAATTCTACTGATTGTGTTTGTGTGCTACTTCCGTCGCCGTCGTTCCGGACAGGGATACCTGGGCAGCAAGTACCGCTCAAAGATCTCACATCCCATCCGCCGTCATCTGACAGCGGACCGCTCAGACCCGTCGATGGGAGAAGCCACTGCCATGGGCGCTTTTTTGCACACAGAAACGGAAGTGCTCAAGCCTGCCAAATCGGCATTTGCGGAAGAAAGCTCGCCCATATCCTCTCACAGAAGGAGTTCAGAAACTCTAGGTGACCTCTCGGCTTCTGGGATACCGCGGAGCATCATGGTCAACGCCGCCCGGACAACCACCATCCGCAGCGTCAGCAACGTCACCAGCGAAGACGGAAGACAATCGTGGGTCACCATTGACGGCGCCCACGGCGGCGTGGCCCAGAGCGATAGATCATCACAGTCCGACGTGGCCTTCCCCCAGGCCACCCGCCAACTGTTCCCGGGCGCAGACTATGTGCCGGGGCGGGATACGGGACTGGAACTTGGCCTCCCGACTCTTGAGGAACTGCCCAGCCTGCTGCCAACTCCCCTCTTGGCGTACGATTCGAGGTCGCCATTTTCACATGACAACCTCGGCCACGAGTCCGAAATGACATCCGGCTCGGCGGCCGTCCCCGCCCAACATAGCCACCAGGACACCACGGCTTCCTTGACAAAATGGCCCACCCAGTCGACGGCCATTGTCGACGGCTCGGAAGCGAACTGGGTGGCACTTGAGGAAAGCGAGGCAGGCGGAAGCATATTCGAGATACGCAGACCCGATGCCGCGGCAGTCAAGCCGGCCCGGCCCTGGAACGAAGCCGGCTCCCAAGACGGGGGCAAGAGTGTCACCACAGAAGTGTCGTTCGCGTCCTCCGAGAATTGGCGCGTCATAGGCCGCCTCAGCCCGAGCAAGACGGAGCGGTCGTGCAAGGAGGCGGGCGCCGACATTTCGTTGCAGCGTCCACGGCCGAGCGCCTCTCGGGAAGTTGCGCAGCAAGGAGGCCACGAACCTGGCGCCGGGCCGGCATCGTCTTGTAAGAAGGGGCATGTCCCGTCGCCGCCGGCCTCGGGACCGCCAGCTCCGTCAACCAGCAGAGTATCCACGATGGGCGATTTGGGCGGAGAGGCAACCGATATGTCCGGTGGAAGGGGGTTTGACGAAGCATCCTGGATGAGAAATCACTCGAGCAAGATGTCAGTCGGGAGCTTCAAGGTGTTTTTATAGGCGAAGGCGACGGCGACGGCGGAGCGGCTCAAGAGCAGCGTATTCAGTAAACAATGATACCAGTAGCATAGTTGGCATGTACGAATATTCATATGTATTCTTTACAAGAGCAAGCCTTGCCCTCGTTGTGTCCGTCTCATCCAAGAGCGGCGCCGTTTACCACGGTGCGAATTGCAGCTTCGTGGGACGGGGGACAAGGGGGAAATTTTTTCTTCCTTCATGCGACCCGATCGAGGGCTTTGCTGCAGCTGTTGGAATGCGCTGAAGGCTCCCCTCTCCCCCGTCCCGTATTTGGATCTCGGTACTATTTCCATCGCTGACGCCGCGGCGATTACTCTCCTTCTCCTCGGGTGGCGAGCTGTATTGCGACAGGAAATTTTTTTCTTTTTGGGGGCAGTTCACAGGAAGACTAGCGCATCTCAAGTCTCGTCATGATAAAGAGCTGCGCTGACGGATGGCTTCTCTTCAATGCAGCCTTGCCCTCGGGTACTTGCCCGTTTGAGCAACGCACATTCATAAACGACGCGTGCCATGATTGCAGCAAACGCGCCATGCATCGGCACTTTTCGGCAGCGACCCCATCTGCGGGTGCGCACTGACGATGTCTGATATAGAGTGCCCAATCAGTAATTGGCGTCATTTCTGGGGATCGACGTGTGGTCAGGACGCTTGGCGTCCAACTTTGTATGGTAGGTAACTGAACTATACAATATGGAACTACCTACCCACCTAGATACTCCGTCGCTTTGGCGCTCCGTCGTGCGTATTGCCTGGCTGCCTACAAACGCAAATGTATGACGATATGATGGCGCCGTGGTGCTCCAGGGTGCGGTGCGGTGCGGTGCGGTGCCGGATCGCCCCCTCATTGATCCCGTCTTCCTTCACCTCGGGCCCGAGTCAGCGAGGGGAAGAACCACGGGCACGCATCGAGAGGCGTCGTGGCATTTCTTTGGAAACGCACTGTTCCCTCCGTGAGGAGTAAATAGGCTCTTAGTGCAGAATGCGACGGGTCTGGTCCCAACCAGTTGGACTCGGGCAGAGCAGATGGACCGTCCCAACGAGGACGACGAGGGGGACACGCGACCATCAGCCACAGTAAAATTTTTCCCAGCAGCACGCAGTACAATACCACCCACCCAGCAAGGGTTCCAGATGGGGAGCAAACCTGCTACCGGGGGAGCAGAGTCTGGGCCCGAATTGGGCAAACCATCAGCAGCCTCGAGCTTTGACGCAAGGGCCAAGCGTCGCTGATTCGGCAGTCCATCTTGGGATGGCTAGCCTCGTGGGTTGTGTTGTGCTGGCCGCCGCCGCCGCCGCTGCTGCTGCTGTTGTTGAGGTGTTGACAGGCAAGACGTTTCGGGAAGAGTGGCGAGTGGTTTGTCGGTCCCTGACGAACCATGTGGATGGTCGATGACGGCAGAGACCGAGGTCCAGAGGTACGAGAGCAGGGAGAACAGGCGGGCTCGGCCATTGAATCATGGACAGAACCCGACGGGCGCACGGCGCACGAGAGGAAGAAATGAAATGAAACAGAACAGAACAGGGGAGCTTGCTTGGGGGGATCGAGTGCTCAGCATGCGTAACTACTCCGTACTCGAGAAGTTGACAAGTTGACATCCATCTCGGCAGTCGCAGTCGCAGTCGCAGGTCCAGGTCTGGCCAGGTTCAGTCCCAGGACCTGCAACCCCGCTCCAGAGTCCAGACACAGACAGGCAGAGGCCACAGGGCAGAAGCCTGAAGCCCCGGGGCCCGGGAACCCGGGAGCACCGCCATAGACGAGGAGCATGCCACGCCAGCAGTGGCCGTGACAGGCTGACGGCACGCACTCGGGGGCAGACCAGGACACCCGCGCGCGCGCAAGACGCACACCGGCACGGCGCACACCACCAACCTCCACCACGCACGAGGCACGTCGAGGTCCCGTTTTGAATTCTGCTTCACATTCTACCTTCTGCCCGCATCTCCAACGCCCCCCCCCCCTCGTCCGCCCGTGGTCTCGTCTCCGGAGAGCCGATTTAAATTGTCTGCTCCCCTCTGACGACGACTCCTTTATCTCTCTCTCTCTCTCTCCCGTCGTCCCTGTCTTCCAACTCCCTGGCGTCTTTGCAGTAGCTCCTACGCTGCTGCCCGCACTCTGCAGCCATGGGCCAAACCCTCTCAGAGCCCGTTGTCGAAAAGGTTCGTTGCTCGCCGCCTCGTCGTGCGGAAACACCCTTGACGTCGTCGAATGTCGACTGTCCTCGAATCCCTCCCCGAATGCCTTGCACGTCTACATGTCCACACTTGCTCCTGGCCTCGTGGCGTCCCGGCATGCTCGCTTGCTCGCTCGCTCGCTCCTTGCTTGCCTTGACCGCGAAATGCATGCGATGCTGTCTTGCCACGGCCTCGGTGGCCGGCGGGCTCTCATCCGAATCTTGTTTCTCCCGAGTCCCATCCCAGGGATGCATCTTGGCAATCTGTACATGCGCAGCTCACAGCTCGCATTTCGCAACTCGCATTTCGCATTTCGCAACTCGCATTTCGCATTTCACCCCCCCCCCCCCCCCCCTGGGAGGAGCTTCGCGTCATCGCATGCCCTGAACGAGAATCACGAATCACCTCCTCCCCTCCCTCTCTCCCGCTGCCCCCCTTTGCCTGACCGCAGAAGCGTGCTCGCTGTGATTTACACATCGCACATCGGTACATATTGCTAACTGGTGGTCCCCCGTGGCCCTCATCAGACTTCCGACAAGGGCGAGGATGACAGACTCATCTACGGTGTCTCCGCCATGCAAGGCTGGCGTATCAGCATGGAGGATTCTCATACTACCGTGCTCGATCTCGCCGCCGGCGCCGATCTCGACCCCAAGATTCACTCTTCCAAACTCTCCTTCTTCGGCGTTTTCGACGGTCATGGCGGTAGTACGGTAGCTTTATTTGCGGGCGAAAATATTCATAATATTATTCTTAAACAGGACACCTTCAAGGCCGGCGATTATGCACAGGGACTGAAGGACGGTTTCCTCGCTACTGACCGAGCCATCCTCAACGGTATGCAGCTGGCAATGAGTCGGCACAAAGCCTTGAACCCTCCTCCCCGATATGTGCCCCAGTAAACCTCTCGTCAATTTATTTTACCCTGCATGTTATATCCTTGCCTCCCTTCAGCATGCCATCTCGAGAAACAAGCCCGCCTCGCCTGATCCTACCAACACTGACGTTGTCTCATGATTCCAGACCCCAAGTACGAAGATGAAGTCTCCGGCTGCACTGCTTGTGTCTGTTTGGTTTCGGGCAACAGGCTATATGTTGTACGTCAAAACACACCGTCATCGAGGCCACGCCGATTACGCGCAGTCGAAGCCCCCCCCGACCAATAGGCTAACGCTGGAGACTCACGAGGTGTATTGGGCATCAGAGGCCGGGCAAAGCCCATGTCTCAGGACCACAAGCCTCAACTTGAGAGTTCGTTCAATCAATCCCAACGCCGCTCATTAGGTGTCGTAACGCGGCATTTGGCCTGTGGGTGGAAGTGTACTGGCGCCTGACTTGCAACTTTCCTCAAATATAGACGAAAAGAACCGAATTACAGCCGCCGGTGGTTTCGTCGACTATGGGCGTGTCAACGGCAACTTGGCTCTGTCGCGCGCCATTGGCGACTTTGAATTCAAGAAGAGCGCCGAGCTGCCCCCGGAGCAGCAAATCGTTACCGCATTCCCGGATGTCGAAGAACACGAGCTCACCGACGAAGACGAGTTCTTGGTCCTTGCCTGCGATGGTGAGTCGCGTGCAGGCTATCTATGATGCAACGGAGTTTAGTATTGACAAAGCCTCCTAGGTATCTGGGATTGCCAATCTTCACAGGCAGTTGTCGAGTTTGTCAGACGCGGCATTGCTGCGAAGCAGGATCTGGACAAGATCTGCGAAAACATGATGGACAACTGCCTGGCATCCAACTCGGAAACAGGTGGTGTTGGCTGCGACAACATGACCATGTCCATCATCGGCTTCCTAAACGGCAAGACCAAGGACCAGTGGTACGAGGAGATCGCCAAGCGAGTCGCAAACGGTGACGGCCCTTGCGCTCCGCCGGAATATGGTATGGGATAGCCCCCCAACTTGCGGGCGTGCAGGTGGACTTTGTGTGTACCTTGGCCCACATCAGAAACTTGAGCTGACAACCGCTTCCTTACTCCCATCAGCCGAGTTCCGTGGCCCCGGCGTCCACCACACCTACGAAGATAGTGACAGTGGTTATGAGATGGATGCAGAGAACAAGGGCAAAAGCTTCGGCGTTGGTGGGTACCGAGGCCGAATAATTTTTCTCGGCGATGGCACAGAGGTTCTCACCGACTCAGATGACACCGAAATGTTCGATAGCGCCGACGAAGACAAGGACCTCGAAAGTCAAGTGTCCAAGAATAACTCGACGTCAAAAGAGTCAGAAAACGCGCCGACCTCTGCCCCTGACTCCACGGCCGCCGAACCGAAACAGGAAGAACAGGAATCAAAAGCCCAGTCAAAGTCTGGCCAAGGACTCGTCAGGGCCTCAGCCGCTGCGCCCGGGCGGCAGGATGACAAGAAGGGGTCCGGTCCCGAATCGACCTCCGACGAGAGCAAGAAGGAATAGGTGGTCCTTTCGCAATCAATTGGGGTAGGCATCAGAAGATGGATGTGGTAGAAGCGGAAGCACAAACACATGCACACACACACACAAATGGGTATCGCTCGGGCTGGCTTACGTTTTGATATGTTTTTATTCACACGAAGTTCTCGACTTTTCTTTTCTTGTCTCCTCTATTTTTGCTTAAAGGCTAGTCTCTCACGCGCGCCTCGTGTGCAGGGAACGAAAGGGTAGGGGCGTGGGCGAAAGGGTGTGTATGTGGGTTGCATTCCTCCGAATTGACCAACCGGTTGGACGATTAGACATATGATGTTTTCCTTTTACTCTGCCACGAAAGTATTGTTCGTCGTCACTATGGCTCAGCTCAGCGTACTATTACCCGGCGGCCAGGTGCAAGAAATGGATCACACAGGCAGAAAGGAGTTGCAGGCGAGACAGACAAGACACGGCAGAACTACCCCCGTTTTTCACCAATACCTCCAATCTCGTCTTGTTGTGTTGTTTACAACCTGGTCGACTTTTTGTTTGTCGCACTTCTTCGCATGACCTGTCATGGGGGGGGCCACCCCGTCTCGGCCAGAGCACGAGCGTTTGGGCGAGGGAAGTCTTGAAGGGGATGCAGAAGGGATCCTGCACGGAACTGACGGGTGTTTCGATTTATACAGCTTTTCAAGATCTCTCTATATATCCCGTACGCACTAGGGCTAGCCTAGAGCACATGATAAAAGCCGTCCCCCTACATGAAGAGCTTGCGCTGTGCATGTGCTTCGCCAAGGTGTGGGCTTTCGAAGCACTCTATTGTATATTGTACACGGTTCTTTAACAGTTCTGTATTTCCGGCTGGTCTGATTCCTCCATGCCATTCATCCTTGGCGCGGGGCCCTGTGTTTTGGGAGCCGGGGCGCCGCCGCGATTCACCTCGAGGTTCTGATTGTCGTAGCATTCTTTTCGGATCAAAGGCCGCGTCTAGGTGAACTGTGATGCGGGGCCGTTGGCCGGACGCATCTCGCATCCTGACCGCGTAGTCGTGCGAGAGGACTATTCTGGAACTCGCCTCGGGGTCGGCGGCGAGGGCCGAGTAGAGAAGGGGCTGGTCCATGGTGCGCCACGTCGTGTCCAGCGCCGCGGCGAGGGACTTGACGGGCTTGTAGCCGTCGCACGAGCGCAGAATGGCCCATTCGGCGCCTGCGACCACCCCGCGGTCGTTGGCTACCCTATTCTCCGTCAGCAGCCGGCCCATCTTCTTGGAGAAGATTTTGACCGGGAAGCCGCCCAGGAGTCGCTTGAGGATGACGCGCTGCATGATCCTCCGCGGGCGCCTCCGCAGCTTGCGGTCGAGGACGGCGTAGAAGAAGAGCACGCCGAGGGAGAAGGGAGCACGGGAGGAGATGGCCAGTGACATGAGAAAGTTGTAGGTCTGAGTGTTGGGCTCCCGCCCGTGCTGCAGCATGCGCGATAGAGCCCACAGTGCGGTAGGCCAGTCCTTCCTGCTGATACAGGATTTGATGACGAGGTTGGACGTGCTTCTGATGGCGACCTGGCGGCCGTCGGACGTGTGGCGGTCCAGGAGGGACTTGAAGGATGAGAAGTCGGGGTGGGAAGGGTCGTGAAACCGTAGGAATTCCTCGAGGATGCTGTTTGCCGCTCCGGCCGTGTACCAATCTTCCCCGTAGCGCGCAGCCTGGTCGGCGAGGAAGACGTCCAGGCTCTTCCCGGCCTTGAAGGCCGCGAAGGAATCGTTGCCGGCCATGGTTTCGGCAATTCCTCTCCGCGTGGCGGGGTCTTCAAAGAGGCCATTCTCGTACATGGCGGCGATGATTTGCCGTCTCTCACTGTCCCGTTGGACGAGCTTCAGGAAATGGAGCCAGGTCCTGGCATTGGGGTAGAAGTATCGCGCTTCCATCTTTTGGAGGAACTTGTGAAAAAAGCCAACGTCCCGCTTGGAAACATATCCGCCGAGAATGAGGTTGAAGGTCTCGGCGTCCATGGGCAGGCCCCATCCCTCGGCGAGCGTGAAGAGTCGATCTGCGGATGCGCGGTGGCCGCCTTTGTGGGCCATGAATCCTACAGCCATTTTCAGGGCGGACGCGGTGATGCACTCTCTTGCTGACGCGTCTTCAAACGCCTCCAGAATAAGGCGGACTCGAATGCCGTCCGTGTCGATTAGCTTGCCGTTTTCCCGGAGTTGTTTGTAGTACTTCATGGCCAGGTACGGCCGCAGCTTCCCACAGACAAGAGCGGCAATGTATGCCTCGAACGATTCCTCGGACCACCACGCTGGTTTCGGTGTCTGCTCGTACGGGTGATCAATCCAATACGTCTCCAGCTCCTTGTGCACCCAGACGTTGTCCTTGGTTCCCGGCGGGACAGACATGCCCGCGTCTTGGGCATTCTCAATCGCCGGCCACAGCTGTTTGGTTTTGTAATCGACGACGGCTACGTCGCCGAGCTTGAATATTTCTACGTCTGGACAGGCCCTGATCAATTCGTCCACTGCCTTTGCCAGTACGGCGCTTTCGCCTCTCAGGATGACGGCCGACGGGTTCTGGTGGTCGGAAGAGACTCGCAGCTTAGTGGTCAAGCCCGTCGTGGCATCCAAGAACTCGATCCGTCTATTTCCCACAGACATGTCCCACAACGAGGGAAGCACCACCCTCACGGCAGCCATGTTGGGAGCTTGGCTTCGTTTCGGGGTCATTCGTTTGAGAAGGCTGAACGTCTCGCTCCAGTCAGGCACCTTGCCGCCAAAGTGCTTCCAGACTATGTCGAATCCCGCTTGGGTACGGGCCACCTCGTGTGAGTGGCCTCTACTTGCCTTGGTCGCTGCGGGGGCCGGGTACTCGCGAGCAGCTGGGACGTAGGGGGAGTTTTGATTCTTGTCCACCGCAGCCAAGATTCGTGGTGAACGGTGCCTGAAAGCGCCTCTCATGAAGGCGTTTCTCGCATGATTCGACTTGGATCGTGCCACCTCGCCGCGTGCTCGGACTGCCTGCTCTGTTCCTGGCGTCGTGGGCAGAGCTTGGGAATCAAGGATCGCTGCTTCTGTGGCCCTGCCCTTCTCCTGCTCGGCCTCGTATTGCCGGCGACTGGGTAAGAAGGAGGATGACGGCAGAGGTCCCCTGGAGCGCAGGCCGCATGGCCAAACAGGAGGCGCTCCAGGCGAGCCGATGCGTCGGGACCCAAGCCGCCATGTTGACTTGATCCCCAGGGACATTGGTCATGAGGCGGGCTGCATGGTGGTGGTGGTAAGTAATGGTTTGAAAATGTCTCGAGACTGGAGCGCTCTGTTTGAGATGGCTCCGAAAAGGGTTCGCAAAGGTCAACGGTCCACAAGGTCACGTGCCAGGCCGACTCTTCGCACCGCGGCCCAGTCAACAACATCACCACTACCATGTCTGCCAGCGCATGGCATGGCGAGCCGTAAAGTCTAGCTGCAACTCGTCGCAAGTTCAGTCAAGCTTGCCGCCCTGGATACGTAGCGTATACGGGTCGGCTGTCTCATCCCGGCTCGTACTGCATGCGCGACCCGGCAGCAAGCTTGTCAATGAATTATACTGTCAAGATGCAGCGCGTGAATGTCATTAATCTTTGTGTGCTCCAAACTGAGTATCGCAGTATCCCCGACACCCGCAGTTCCCACGTGGTGCAGTTCGCCGTACGACACGATCGGCCGTGAAACTGATGTGAGTCTGACAATCCCAAAGACTCCTCCTGCTTCCCAGTCATATAAAGACAGCAAGGGAACGCCATTTGCCTCCGTATCATCATCAGACAAGATGAAAAAAAAAGGAACTATCGACGAAGAGGGTGTTAAGTATACAAAATAATCTATCCACAAAGAGATAGGATGGAAGTGTAGAGTGAGAAACAATGGAAACCCCCCTTCATCGGAATCCTCCAGATTCCGGCAACTTGCCCTTGTTCGGTGCCCTGGGCCCGCTTCGATCCAAACCAGGATGCGCCTCATACCAGCCATGATCATCGACCGACGGCATCAACTCCCCCCTCTCGGCCATGTGTTTAACGTCGCTCCAGTAGGCCAGTTTGCTAACCTCCTCGTCCGCATGTTTAACGGCGGCCTCGAGCGCTCTCTTCCGTTCCAAGAGTTTCTTGTCGTCCTTACTGTCGCCATCTTCCAGCTTACGTGCCGTCTCATCGTACTTCCGCATCAAATGGGATAGGAGCTGTCGCCGTGACGCTTGAAAGACAAAAAGAGACATGATTTCGTGCATCTCGTCCTGGAGTTGACTGAGGTCCATGGCATGTTCAAGATAATTCTTGACAGCCTCTCTCTTCTCACGGTCGATTCTCGATGCCCGCAGGGCCGACAGCAATGATTCTACATTCTCAATATCCTGGGGCGCTTCCACCTCCTTGATAGACGTGCGTGTCATGCTGGATTTGCTGGCAGCACGGCTGCTAGCCACGCTCGCGGCGGATCGCCGATTGCTGCTGTGGGAAGATGCGGGTCGAATAGTAAAGTAGTCCGAGTTGAGCAGGTTGCCGGGGGAATCCGAGGCTGCGCATCTTTTCCTTGCCCTTTTCCGAATCCAAGCTCTCCTTCTCACGAATGAGTTCCACCACTTTGGTTCATGCCACGAGAATTTTTTCGAAAATGCAAACGAGTATTCCCAGCCGCCCTCGTCCACACCCAATTCATAGTTTATTCGCCACTCAGGCCATATCCACTCCCATGAAGGGTCGGGGACTACGGCAGTGTAAATGTTGGTGAGCGACGGTTTATGATAAGTGTTGGCTGTTCCGCGGTCAGTACTTCCAGCTTGGAAATAAACACCGGCGGGCCGTGGCTGAAAGTAAACTCACTCCATGCAGGCGGGTCAAGTCCGCCGAGCGCCTTGGACGAAAATAGTGCCATACCACACATGAAGGCCCCTCTTTCATTCTCGTACAGGATGTCAATAGCAACTTCCCGAGTTGCTTGCGGCCGCTTCGGCATGATCCGGTGCGTGGGATCATTGAACACGTCTGGCGTCGCCGCTGCGTAGGTCGGTGGTCAGTCCCAGCTGGAGAAAAAGAGGGGGGGGGGGCTTTCACGTTGCCTTGAGAGATAGACCTACATTGGACTTCAATTGATGGCTGGGTCGACAGCAGGGCACCAGAGTCCTCAGGGCGAAGTCGATTTTCGCTGTCGTCCGACACGTCGACTACTGCTACACCTTTTTGCTGGCCATGGCGACTGTGTTCGTTTGCGCGACTACCTTCAGTCCGGGCTGGCGCATCTTCTGGTCCGCTGTCACCCACCAGTGATGGCAGTTGAGATGTTGTTGAGCCCCTACGAGTGTCAACATCGGATGCAAGAACGGTGTGTGAATCGTCATCCAGCTCATCACGGTTGACCAGGCCAATCTCATGATCGTAATCGCTTGGTTTCAGGCTCGCGACGCGGCGAGAGCTCCGAACTTTCACCATTGCGCATCTAAGCTTGCGAGCATGGCGGATCTCAACGTACGCTAGCGAAGCGCTCACGATGTTTCAGAGCATGGGTATGACGACAGGATGAGGTTGGGCGGTTGGGCGGTTGGTCGACTCGGGACGTGAAGGTGTGGCGCCGCCCCCTGGTTCGACGGCTGCAGAACAGATGCCGCCGCCGCTTTCGGATTGCGTCAGCGGAGCGGGATTGCCGGTGGCAAAGACTTGCGTTGTCGAATGTCTTTTTATCGGCCAAAACTGTTGCGCAGGAATTCTATGAAGAGGGAGAGATTATGAGGGATTCAGTGAGTAAAGCTGCGCGGCGTGAAGGAGCAGCGAGAAGGCGTGTTTGGATTGACGAGAGTCGGGTCCTGGACAAGGGCAAATAAACATGTAAGAGGCAAGATAAAAGAAGAGGTAATGTAATGGGAGGAGATGGACAGCGTTTTGAGAGCAGGAAAAAAATTAAAACAGGTGGCCAAGGCCAAGCAAGGCGGGTTTCAGCTTGCTGACCTTCAGCTTCGGTCTACCCCTCGACTATTCATTGACTCGGAAGATGATGAGGTCGAAAAGAGCACGGCGCGCAATGACGCACACGCACACACAAAGAGGCTCCAGTAAAGCTTGCAGGTCGAGTGTGAGGATTGTTGCTTCGATCGATGTTTTGTTGGCAGGTGGGACTCACTTATAACAAATTAACTATATTGGTCTGACTTGGGAGTCGGGACTCGGGAGGGGGTCCAGCAGGTAGCTGAAGGCAATAAAACGGCAGGAGCAGTCACAGGGCGGGGCGACGATTCATTCATGCTGGCTACCGGTGGTCGAATGTCCGCCTTTTCTTTTCCTGTTCCATTTTTCTTTTTTTTTCGATTCGAATCATCTGGCGACAGGAAGGATAATTATTAATCACAAACAAACCCCCAACACCAACGCCGTAGCTCATACTGGATGGAGGCTGGGAAACTCACCAGCCCGGCTCGCATACGTCATGATGCGCCATCCAGCCAATCAGCATGGCCGTGCCCGACAGCTGCGCGACTGACCTTCAGGCGCCAGAGAGCCGTTGCGCGCGCCAACGTTGGACATTATAGAGACTTCCGGATGACTTCCAGGACCCCCCTCCCAACCAGGCAACTTCCTCCGTCGACCATGTCGTGCCCAAGTACCCAAGTACCCAGGTCGTCATTTCTGGAGACATGATGTCGACGCAGCTCCAAGGTCCTCCTCCCTTCCAGCTAAAATAGAACCGTCACTCCCTCCTGTCCAGCCACCCCCTCCCGCGGTCCAACTCTCTACCTTTTATGTCACCCTTCGTTCTCGATCGTGAGAAGCTTCAACCCCCGGCCCCTCCGTCTCGCCACATACCCAACACTGCCATTACACGCCATGTCCAAGTCACGTATGCCTCTTATCCTCGGCCTCGGTGCCGCTGGCGGTGTCGGGTACTATCTCTACAACGCAGGCGGCAGCCCCAAAGCCGCCGAGAACAAGTTTGAAAGTATGTCCCCTGCCCGGCGCTGCAATTGACGGCGCTGCCCCCTCGCGAAACCAGTGGCATCCCGTTGCGCCGAGCGTCGGGGGGCGCCGGCGAGCTCTGGCAGCAGCGCGTGTCCCCCGGCAGAAAGTCATTGGCGCAGCTGACACGTTCATCCCCCAGGCGATGTTCACAGCGCCGCCGCCAAGGTCAAGAACCGCCTGCCCGGCAGCAAGCCCGACGCCGAGAAGAAGCTCGAGAACTACGGCGCTGAGGCTGGTGCCAAGATCGACAAGGCTGTACGTATCCGTCTTGCCCCTCTACCTAGACAGCGCACACTGCAACAGCTGGGCGCCGTGGCCATGAACTGACAAGGTTGCAGTGGGCCGAGGCAGACAAAAAGGCCGGAAGCATCAAGAGCCAGACCGAGTCCTACGTCAAGGACGCCAGGGCCGAGGCTGTCAAAGCCGTTGACAAGTTTGACAAGACGGTCGAGGACGGTGCTGCCAAGGCCAAGAGCGGTATTTCGGGATGGTTTGGCGGCGGTAGCAAGTAGGGCCGTTGCATTGTGTGTTCCTTTTTCAGATGTCTAGGTCGGGCCAAAGCCCATGTGAAGGGGGCCGTTGTAATTAGTGAAGTTGACGAGAATTTTCGACTGACGTGGGAATCAAGTAATTACTTCCGCCAGTCACTCGTACATGTGGTTCTGAGCTTGTGACATTGCCATTGCTTGGGCCTTGTCGTCGTCGTTGATTTTTGTTGTTTTGTTGACAGCATTTCTCACATGATGCTGACCTCCATCTAACCCACTCACATCCAATCTCCCCGCTGGACACGTCTTGATATGTACAATACGTGCGCCATGATATAACCTTACAGAGTCCCGTCATGACTCCAACTCCTCCGCAACCAGCTTCAAAATCTCCTCCACGCCCTTCCTCGCATTCCTCGGCTCCTTAGCCACCCTCTCCCAAACCTCCCCGTGCCTGGGTTCGCTCAAGACACACTTGCTCACCACCTCAGACCTCTTCTCCACCGTGCCATGTTGACACAGGAACCGGTAGTACCAAGCCCAGCTGTCCCCGCAGTCGCTGTCCAGCACAAGCGCCTTCTCGAACCAATTCTGCGCCTTCTCCAGCTTCCGATCCGCCCAGAATATCCTCGCCACGCCTACAAACAGCAACGGGTCATTGTCGACCTTCTTGATGGCCTCCAAGCTACGCGGCTTGCGCTGCGTCCGCGGCTCAAGGTGCCAGATCTGCTCGACCCACAACAGGCCGCTCTTTGGCATCTCCTGCTGCGCCTTCGCCATGATGGACTTGGCCTGCGGCATGTTCCCAGCGCGGCGCTCCAGGCGTACCGACTCGCACCAGATCCGAGGCGACTTGGGGACGGCCAGGCGGGCCCTGTCCAGGACGGAGCGGGCCTTGATGGTCATGCCCGACTTTTCCTCGAAGCGTGCGTACAAGAGCCAGAGCGGGACGGATCTGGGGACGGCCTTTACGCCAGCGGCGTACGCTTCCCGCGCCTGACTTTTCCTGCCGAGATCCTCGTAGATCTGCCCCTTAAGCATCCAGAGCTTGGCGGCGGCGGGGAAGAGCTGGAGCGCCTGCAGCACGAGGTCGAGCGCCGTTTCGACCTGGCCTTGTACCCGTTCGAAGACGACGCTCTTCATCCAGACGCGGTCGGTGGGCGCTTGCTCGCGCGCAATCTCGAGCAGCTTGCGCGCTTGTTCTGCGTTGTCGTTTTCGGATTCGAGTTTAACGGCTGCGAGCCAAATGTCCTCATTGTTGGGGTTCTTGTTGAATGCGCGCTTCAGGACGAGGCGGGCGTTGTCGACCTCGCCTGCTTGCCACTTCTCCTTGGCGAGCATCATCCAGAGGTCTTCGCTCGTGGGGCACGCGTCCACGGCCTGCTCGAGGACTTCCCAGAGGGACTCCTTGGTGCCGTGGTTGCGCTCCAAGTCGGCGGCCGCCATGCGCAGGGTCCTGCTGTTGTAGAAGACGCGTATGGCGTACGCGTAAATGGCCCTGGCGGTGTCGTATCTGCCACGGTTGATGCTGGCTCTCGCGTCCTCCATCCACGTATCCTTGCGGTCGTCGTCTTCGTCGAGACCCCAGCCCAGCGTGGCGTGTATGATGTTCTGGCAGGTGAGGATGGCACCTTCGTCCTCGCACTTTTCTGCTTCTGCGATCCATTCTTCCCGCTTGGGCATGGCGGATTCCTTGGCCAGGACTCTCACCGCCGTCGTCACGACGTTGCCCTTGTTGGCTTGCCCTAGCTGTTCCATCAGGCGCGCGGCCGCGATCCAAATCTCGTGGGACGTCGGTACCGCTTTTCGAGCCCTGTTGAGCACCTTTTGCGCGTTTTCGGGGGACTCGAGGCGTGCTAGTGCGAGCCACAGGTCAACTGACAGTGGTATCAGTTCTGTGGCCTTTGCCAGCATCAGCTTGGCGTCGTCTTGGTTCTCTTCCAGGTTGACGGCTTCCTTCCAGAGGGCTTCTGATTCGGGGATGTGGTCCAGGGCTTGACGAATGACTCTCTTCTTATTGCTAGATATGCTTTCCAGTCTCATGGCCTCCACCCACAATCTCACAGACCGATTGTTGGCCTCGATGGCTCTCCGGGCGATAATCTTGGCGTTTTGTGAGTCGTGGTTGAGTCGAATATTCTCCAGCCAAGCATCCTCGCTCTTTGGACACTTTTCGCAGCCTCTGTCAATCGTTTTTCTCGCAGCCACAATCTTGCCCGCCAGCTCTTCCAGCCGAGCCGCCGCTATCCAGCCAAGTGCGTTGTTCGGATTTGTCTTCACCACTGATTGCAAAAGTTCCCGCACTCGGTTAATGTCCCCCACCTGGGCCTGAGCCTCATTCATCTGCATCTTGTTCAGGCTCGTGATGTAGCCTTGGGGATCGATGCTCGTGGAACTGCCGTTTGAAGCATCGCCACTCGTTTGGGACGCCTGCTCTAATCTCGACTTGAGCACTCTGTCGCGGGCAGCACCGATCTGTGCAAAGTTGGTCATCGTCCCATCTGCCTTGTCGGCAGCACTCGTCGTGACCCCATCATCTGTGACCGTTGTGCTCATCTCGGTAGAATCGCGCGCAGCAGCAAGCACACTGTCTGGAACGGCGTAGAACCTCTGCCTCAAAGCCTGCTTGCTCCGTCGGTTTTTACCCGTCAGGTCACCAACCTCGGGCAGATTCGCCCATTCCTCGTCTGTGACCGTCTCCAGCGCACGCTTCAAATCTGAAAACTGCTGCTGAATCTTGGGGTTCTTGCGCTCGTACTCCTCCTGTTCGGCTTTTTCTCGAGCCTCACGCTGCTTTTTCCTCCTATCCATGCGCTCATCTACCCACTCCCATACGCGGTCGGCTTCTTCGTCGTCTTTGTCGTAGATGCCGCCGGAAAACAGACCAACCTCATTATCGGGGTCCTGGAATCGCTCGTCGTCGTCGTCGTCGTCGTCCTTCTTCTTGCCGTCGGGTGCAAGACCAAGTTGAGCAGCACGTTTGGCGAGAGCCTCCTTGATCTGGTCTTCACTGGGACCGTCGCGCGCTGGGCCCAAGTCAGATCTCGTTGTGAAGCCCGTAGCACCACGACCGAGGCCGGCGACGTAGTTTTCCGGCGCCTTCTGGTTGAGGAAGTCGAGTTTCGACGCCATTGTCGTCTCGTGCGCGTGCTGCGCGGGCAAAAGCGGAGATAAAATCAACGCTGCCAAAGACGAGCTTGATAGATGGATGAGCCCAGGTGAAGCGCCGGGAAAGCTGCCCTTCGTTCCACGTACTTAAGTAAGCATGCATGTGGGGCAAAAGCATGCGCTCCAGGTGGAAATAAGCGGCCAATCCAGCAGGCCTTACTCCGTACTCCGTCCCGCCCAAACCCTCGACCTCTATCGATAACGCTCGGCCCCAGAAAAAAAGTTTCCCAGCCAGCAATTAGCAACACCAAGTCGATGCTGACCGCTGACCGCTGACCCCTCGTCGCGAGATCCAAGCTCACAACCACCTTCGCATAGGAAAATCCCCACCACCGCCCTGCACAATGGGCAAACTCAAGCAGCCCAAGCGCAACGGCGCGCCGTCTAGCCCCTACGACCGACCATCCGGTGGCTCAAGTCATTCCAGCGCAACCTCCAGCAAGAACAATGTCTTCAAGTTCAACACCAATTTCGGCCAGCACATTCTCAAAAACCCAGGTGTATCCGACGCCATTGTCGAAAAGGCATATCTGAAGCCCACGGATACCGTCTTGGAAATCGGCCCCGGGACCGGTAACTTGACGGTGCGCATCTTGGAGCGTGCCAAAAAATGCATCTGCGTCGAGTTGGATCCTCGCATGGCCGCAGAAGTGACGAAGCGTGTGCAGGGGACGCCAGAGCAGAGAAAACTAGAGGTCATACTTGGCGATGTGATCAAGACGGAGCTGCCGCAGTTCGATGTCTGCATCTCCAACACGCCATATCAGGTACGTAACAGGGCTTTCCGCAGACTCCTCCCGCGAGGAGCGAAGACGTGGACGGCGGCGCTGAAAGTGTTCCAGATCTCAAGTCCCCTCGTCTTCAAACTTCTCGCCATGCCCAACCCCCCACGCACGTCTGTCCTCATGTTTCAGCGCGAATTTGCCCTCCGACTAACCGCCCGCCCCGGCGACCCTTTGTACTCGCGCATCTCTGTCAACGCGCAGTTCTGGGCCAAGATCACGCACATCATGAAGGTCGGCAAGAACAACTTCCGCCCCCCGCCGCAAGTCGAATCCTCCGTGGTACGGATTGAGCCAAAACTGGGCAAGGACAGACCCAACGTAAGCTGGGACGAATGGGACGGATTACTACGCGTATGCTTTGTCAGGAAGAATAGAACCCTGCGGGCAAGTTGGCTGGGCACAAGGGAGGTCTTGACCATGGTCGAGAAGAATTATCGGACGTGGTGTGCGATGAGTGGTGTGGCAGTGGATGAGAGCCTAGTGGAAGGTGACGACGTCGAGGAGGAAATGGACGTGGATGCTGGGGCGGGCTTGGGTGTCGAGGAAGGTCATGGCATGGATGTGGACGATGAAGATGCGCCAGAGTTTTTCAGGCAGATGAACAGTTCCGCCGGCAACGCGCCCAAGACCAAGAGCAAACGGAAGAAGACAAAAGTTGCGGAGTTGGTTCGAGAAAAGATACGCAAGGTGCTGGAGGACGTTACCGAGTTGGCTGACAAACGGGCTGGCAAGTGCGATGAGAATGACTTTTTGCGGTTGCTGTTTGCATTCAACGAGGAAGGAATTCACTTTTCATGACGTGGTTTCATTTTGGTTGTGGACAACATGGCGCCGGTATGATGATACAAATACACACACACGATGGGAGACTTTCCTGTCAACCAGCATCTGTAGACGAGGACATGGCTGGCGTTACTGCTCAGGGTGAATTAAAGATGTCTTTCAATTCCGGACAATACCAAGGGCTATTATTGTTTTTTTGCCTAGTCAACCAGGTATGTTGATCAACCTTCGTCCAGTAGCATAGTTCCAAACACATCTGCTGAAGGTGTATAGAGCACGGTAACGATCCTGAAACGTCCTTTGATTTTCCATCTACAGTCTGTTTCTGCTTCTAGTAGAATCTTCTATAGGCTTCAGCTGATCCTCATCGTCAAGTTACATGTCCTAACCCATGCTCCAGATTCAACTTTCCAGATTCAACTTGGTCGCATCTCGTTTTTGATTGTCTCTTGCATCATAAACCGTGATAATTACAAATATAGTAGTTGCCCAGTTTGCTTTCTATAACAGCCAAAGTCGTAAGGCAAAGCAAAAACCCTGCTACCTCATCCTCCCCAAAGTAGATGGCAATTCGGCTTCTTGCCAGTATGAATGCTGCCAGTTCCGTGGTATCACTAGACGCCTGCAATGTCAATAAATGTCTGCGTTTGCTGCAAGGCGAATTATGCTCCTTCATTGACGGTCAGTACGTTCCTCTACTCGTCTGACGCAGGGCGTATGTAATGTAGACGCTTTGCCCATCTATAACCAAAAGAAACCATCAAGACATAGCTTAATCAATTTTATCTCCCAGCCTTTGATCAGTCATAACCATGATACGGTTGGAAGGGTAAAATCCAACGCCAGCGCTTTTTTTCTTTTCTCATGCGATGCAATTGCGCGGGGAAAAAAAAAGGGGCAAAAACAAGCAGCAACAAGCAGCAACAAGCAGGCATCGACAAAGAAAAACTCATGACATGGCAAGCCTCCATACAGTAGCATGATTACTTGCAGCGTGCTACCCGCCCAGAATAGTGCTGTTCGGCTTATGGGACGGGTCGTTCGCCGAATTTGGCTTCACTGTCGTCCGACCTGACACTGTAGCACTACGGATTTGAGCACTCAGTGGTAGGTTATATTTCACCACTCCCTTCACAATCAGGTCAAACTCATTCTGATAAATGCAGTTCCATCGTTCGGGGCCGCCAGTGGTGCCGTTTCCTGGGTTTGGGAGCTGCATCTCTCCTGTCGAAGAAGAAGCACCTTGATGAAACAGAGAGCCCCCAAAAGTCAGAGGACTGTCAAATTCGGTGATCTGTCCTAACAAAATGTTGGGCATGGAGTCGGCGTCATCCCCCTCGCCTTCTCCAGGACCTTTCGGTGGGTCATTTGGGGGATCATCTCTCGCGTGGATCTCGTGGGATTCCTCCGGATATTTCCACCAGTCTGAGTCAGATCCAGCATGTTCTGACTTGGCAAAGATCTCCAGATGCGCACGGTCTACTGTAACCACAACAATATTGGGATTGTGTGCTTTAATAGTCAAATCGAACATCAGTACCTGCTCGCTCGTAACAACGTTCTTGATCGAGACGATTTCAATGTCTGTCATGGGCTGAGAAGTAGCAAACATAAACCCAATGGCTCCTGTGATGACCAAAAGTAGCATCATTGTCAGCACAAGGCACGCGGCGAAACGATTGAGATATGATGACCGCCTAGTGTAGGTCTGGGACTCGGCTTGGCGCAGTGTGTGAGGTCCACGTCGTCGCCCGCCCCGTGCAGAGCGTGTAGTGCCAATCAAGGGCGTCCGTTCATCGTCGGCGTTGGTAGTGTCGTCCAAATCATAACTCGACGACATCTGCATCGCGGAGTGTTTTTGATTTAGATGCCCGCGAGTAGAGAGAAATGCCCTCGGGCTTGAAGTATTGGAGGTATTGCGAGGGTTGTTGGCATTGTTGCTAGGGGGGAGTTTTGACTTGGCTGCATTGGGAAACGGAGACTCGTTGTCGAACAGCGAAGCGTGGCCGTTGCCTGGCTGTCGCCCCCATCGACCAATGTGGTGATGATGTCGCACCGTTCCTCTGGCGGATCCTCCAGCGCTACGTCCACTGCCCTTGCCGTCCTCATCCCCAGGTGTAAGGCTGTCACTAGCGTTGCCATTAAAAGTATTCACAAACTTCATGCTTTTCTTGGCAACCGGCCCGTGGCTGGCCCCCTCCATGACGCCATAAATAGACCGCAGATTTTGTCGGTCAACCTGACTGGCCATGGATGTAGCACTGGGTGTCCGAGAATGGAAGCGACGGTTCGTCCTTTCCGTGTTGTCTGGTGGATTCGAATCATAGACAAACGTCTCCTCAGAATCAGAAGTATTGGCCTCATCAACAGCACTAGCTATCTTGGCCTCAAAGTTGTCGGCTTTGGACGAGGCTGCAGAGCAAAATTATATTAGTCTCTGATGGGATAGATGTATCTGGATAGATTGTTGCCTTGTTTTGTGCTGGGATGCGTAGTGCGCTTAGACATCTTACCTGTACCAGCATTAACAGCTGGTTGCTTCCTAGCGGTCCTTTTCTTTTCCTTCTTAGGTTTGATGGTTTCCGTGCTTGGCTTGGCTTTCAACGTTCCATTGCCCCCTTCTTTCGTAGCCGTCGTGAGTGCTACCTGTGGAATGCTGGAGACCGTCTCAGTCTCGACAGTCATGCTCTGAGTAGAACCTGTTTCTGGCTTTGATTTGGTTTGCTTTCCAGGCATGGTACTAGACTGTCTGGATAGTAATGGTGGAGGGGGGACGGAGCTTGGTCTTCTTGAGTCTGCTCTGGTGGTGCCGCCATCGGCTCCGTACTGTCCATAAACGGGGATCATCTTCGACTTGAAGGTACGGCCCCCATCGCTGACGGCACCGTCCGAGTGATTGTCAGGGGCTCCAAGCTTCTCCTTGACTTGTTCCAGCAATGCAGAATCGCTAGGCCGTGCAGGCGAGTTGTTGTGGCTGACTTCTTGGACAGTTTCCAATAGCCCTCGAGCCGGAGTTCGTACACCTGAGGGGGCGTGGGAATCGTCTGTGTCGCTGTCCAAGGCTGGCGCTTGCGTATCTGGGACGTGTGGTGATGGACTTGGCCTTTGAATACTGATCGCTGGAGCCTCCTGTTCATTGCGGCGTGTAGGAGTCGTCGCCCTGGGTCGAGCAAGATGAGGTGGAGGTGATCGTAGTCGTGGGGACACTGGCCACCTCGGATTATCCTTCAAGTCCGGAAGGACTGATGGCTTCTGCGGCGTTGGCGCGTAAATCGGGGGTTCTCTGATGTGAGGGCGCAGGTCCGGCGTGGCCGTCGATGACAAAGTTCGGGTCGGTGTACCTTGGTCTTGGCTACCTTGTCGTAGCTGACGCGTTGGGCTCAACTCTTGATGACTGTTCTTGCGAGACCTGCTCCCGCTGTGCCTAGGATGAGACGAAGTAGCTCCACGTGGATGCCGAGAGGGCGAACCATCTCGTGAAGCGGCCGGCGACTCTGCAACAGAATTGGCAGCCGATGATTGTTTCGAGGTCTGACTTCCGGTCGAAGAGCTGTGCGGCGGTGACGACAGGCCATTAGAGCCAGAAGTGCCGTTGGCCTTGCTGCTAGACGAGGCGGCACCAGCACCGGCAGCGGAACTAGCAGCGTCGTTAGATGCAGCAGAGGGCTTGTCCATTATTGTGAGCGAGGCTTGTGGTGTCTGTCTGCAGTGTGCATGCCCAAAGGCGTGGCCACGGGGAATGTCAAGAATGGCGACTGGATGAGTTGGGAAGAGACTGTGTCATCGTGTGTGGCTCGTCATGGACGTGGTACGAGCTCGGATGCCACGGGTGACACGAGGCAAGCTGGGGCGAGGTGTCCGAGGTGAAATGTTGTCGCCAGTTGGCTGCTGTTGCTGACAAGTGCGCGCGCGGTGACGAAAGAGAGCAAGCAGGGTATGGATGGGGGAGTGATTGATTTGGGCCTGCAGGCCAGGCACGGATCGAGAGAGTCGAATATTTGAGCCTGGGGCCAGCGAAAGCTCCGGGGATTGGATGGTTGAGCAAACCTGGGCAGAACGAATGACACCCTATGCCTGGTCGTGGAGTTGGCTGTGGTGGCACTCAGCGTCTAGGCTTAGCGTGGTGGAATGGGAGGGTGGCGGTTGGCAGATTGACAGACCGCGACAGCTTAATAAAACAGGCCAAGCCTGGCGGAAGCTGGTTTGCTGGCACGCGGCAGTCTGCATAAAGTGGATGATGTCGTCGAGTGCAAGTCGGAGTGTCTGGGCGATTGGCTGGCACGCCCCGACCAAGTGCCCCGTACCTAGGGCCCGCACCCAGACACCTGAATCTTCGGGGTGGTCTCGCGGGTTGAGGAGTACTCTGTACTTGAGCTGCCCTGGGCTACCCTGGGCGAGGCGTAGGGCCGCCAGGCGATGCTGGGTGCCAATAAACTGGCGAGCTCCAGAATTTCGTTCTCAGGCCAACTGGGAAGCCCGAGCTTCGCTGCCGCGGCGTACAAGTACGTAATAAAATATAACAGACTCCCGTAGGATGGGTCAGCCCTTGAAAGACAGGATTGTGATGCGAATGTTGCGTCAACTGTAACAAGGTCCAACTTGGATGGGGCGGAAGGAGGAGAAGTGCTCAACATCGACTGGTTTGATGCGTGCTTGTGGCGCAAGGCAGGAACGGCCCAGTAAGCGATGGGCCGGCGCGACGTGACGACACTCTTCTTGTTGACCAGTTGCCGGGCAGGAGCGTATGACGTTTGGTGTGCCAACCTTGGTTTCCCCGGAACCTCGCGCATGATAGCACGGAAGTAGGGAGTACCAAGGTACCTGCTGGGGTCTGGTAGGAAACTCCAAGCCCCACTCACCTCCTGGAAGCGAGTGCCTGTTGCCTGTTCCTGCCTGCCTACTCCTACCCTTCTCGTGAATTTTGCAGCGAGACTCATATGGTCCATGGATGTGTCTCTGTATTATCAAGCACAGGACATACTATTCATCGTGTATTCTGTAGATACGGAGCACTCCCTACCACGACTTATCCGAGGCGCCATGTCCTGTAGTTGAGCACCGAGCAACCAGATGCCGCAGAGTGACAGACCTTGTAGCAGCGCTCCTTGTTCCTATGACAAGCGGTACCCATTCTGCGGGCCAAGACATTCTTATGCGAGGCCCGTTGAGCTTGTTTATCCTCGCCGTCGATCTCGCACCAGAAGCAATCGACGCTCGACCCTTTGCCGGAACAGCATTGAAGGACAAAGCACCCAGCACACTGTCGCCGAATTTCCCCCCTACTCTGTGCTTCAGAGTACTACATGGGACCGTCGGGGCAAACTGGTCACATGAACACCAAGTTTTCCGGGTGGAAAGTCGTCCGACATGTGCTGTATCCTCTACGCACTGCTAAGTCGATGATGAGGAAGAGTCAATAAAAAGCAAGCACGGCCACCGCAAGTCTCAGGCCTAAGCTAAGGCCAAAAGGCTCCTCAGGGAGCGGATTTGAATGGTCACGGCGGCCAAACGACACGTCGTTCGACTCGGTCACCGACAAGGGCTACTTGCGTACCTGACGAGTCCAAATGATCCTAGCTGATTAACTGCAGGCCGAAGCGAACGAGCCAACTCTCGATGGGCGGTGGTCCTCCTGTGCTCATACTACCAGATTGTCAGCGGCCGCACTTCGAGTCAGCTTTTCGACCGATCCGAGCAATTTTATAAGCAACCCGCGAAAGGTCCTAGCTATCAAGTGAAAACGGCTTTGACTACTCCGTACGCATCGCGGGGTGCTTATTTCGCTACACTACGGAGTAGTTCTCCGTCGATACAACACTGCAAACACAGCGCCCATAGCCCATCCTTGATCCGAGCATCCGGTTGTCTCTGTCAGTTCAGAGGTGAATGCCTCGTACGAAATGGCTGGCGAGATGTTTTGCTAATGTCTCGGCGTGTTCTGTTTTGGGTGAAGGCGGCATTTAATGCATCAATGGTGAACAAACTCCGCAGCCTAGAACACATCATTACAGAGTACTACTTCGTACGACACAACGCGACTGTGCTTCCGGGGTGATAATGCGGCGCACCTCGAAAACAGGCCAATGTTTTCTTTATACGGGGGACCAACCAGCCAACCCACATGATCAATTTCCGACATGAGCTTTTCTCCCTCAGGACGGACCCATCGTGTCGATGATGCCCTGCTCAGCGGTGAGTGACGGTACCAGAACTGGGATAATAAGGCTCATCAGCCAGAAGTTAGAACGTCAGTAAAAATACGAATTGTATTCGTGCCAATATTACCCAGTACTTTATAAAGACAAGCACGACAACAGATCCAAGCAATGTCAATACCATTGCAAGTCATGTCTCAGTACGGAGTAATCAAAATTACTAACTTACGTACGGTCGACATTATCAAGGCCCGGGGTTTCTATCCCCTTATTTCATCACCACCCTTATACGCGGTACATCTGTAGGCAACTGCGCTGGCTTGTACTCACTACACGACTCGACTTGGGCAAGTATGCAAGAGACCTTGTTTGGCAAGAATTTGAGGTCAGAGATCAAAAGCTTAAGCGGATACCTCTATGTCGTTCACCGGCGTATTGTTGAAAGGATTTGGTCTCGCACTCTTTCCTACCGCTTCATAAGGCATACGCATCGCCCTGGCCAGAACGGAGAATGGCTGATGCCGTGCGGAGCAGAACACACGGCCACTGGTCGAAAGGAGACCATTACGTGTCCGATTCCTGCATCCACGCGACAGCGGCGAGCTGCATCAATCCAGCCGCCCTGGGAAGTATCTATCCGAGCGACCCGACCGTTGCCCTTCGCGCCAAGTCCTTCATGGCTCAAATCTGGCGCCCTGACGATTCAAGCTCTCAGTACTACGCGTGGCCCCGAGGGTTCAACGCATGTCGACGTCTGACAGTGCCATTTCCTTCGGTGCCAGCACCACCGCCACTGTCATTGCCTCGGAACTGCAATGATCACAGCCATGAAAAATATGAACATCGTCGCCACTGACACGTCGCCACATGCCATGCACCCCAGACACGCGATATTCCCTGGGGCTGCAATGGAACCCGACACGGCACCATGGATGGAGTCGGGACCCAAAGTACGCATCACCAGCATGACGTGTGGGACGGCCCGCTTTCGGGAGGAAACCTGGCACCTCGCTCATGCTCACACGCTCGAATTGCGAGGTTGCGAGGCCGCGAGAGTTGCCACAGTTGAGGCTGGTGTTTGGGCCACTACTTGCCCCCGTCTTGAGGTCGTCGTGACGCAAATGGGCCTTGTACGGAGTAGTCATGAACGAATTACTATCCGTCGGCCTGATAGGATCACCTGCTCTCATCCTGAATGTTTCATGAGCTCATCACACCCTAGGCCGGGGCCACCAACCAGGTCGTGATATTTTTTGCAACGGTTGCCGTCGTCATCCGCGAAGCATCCATTCAACCCCGTCCATTCAGCACATTTGCCGTCAAATGATCACGATGAAGTTTGGTGCTGACCACACCATGTCCAAACACACAAATGATGGTCCAGCATAAGCAATTCGCCGTGTGAACCTTGCTTACCCGGAGTTTGGTTCTAATGTCCTGCTTGAATGCTGTACAACCCCATGCCCAGGCTACACCTTGCCGCACCACAGGCATCGACACAATCGGAGACATTGACCACAAACACCGGGAACATTGGCATCCCCAAGTACCCTTCATATCAATATCTATCGCCGTAAGAAAAATCGTCTCATCTAATCGTACCCCCGCCCAAGTGCTTCACAGTCTTGCAGTCTTTGTACGTAATCTGTGCGTATATCCAACCAATCCTTTCCACGCCAATGCGAATGACCACCCCGGATGATGAATTCTCACTATGCCAAAAGAACCCCCCCGCTTCACGTTGAAACGTAAACATTCACCCAAAGAACTAGAGCCTGGGGATGAGACACCATAGACGCCGTTCGAGCTGCTCTGCAGTCCTTGCCCATTTGTTGGTCGAAAGGGAATCATGTATGAAGAAGAAGAAGAAGGAGAAAAGAGTAAGGAAAGAGGAAGACAAGCAGAAAAAGAAACATAATGATGCAAGAACCGTGTCGTCTAAAGCTTATTCAGGAATGGGTGCACCGGCGTGAGCTTCGTCCTTCTTACCGCCCCAGCCCCAGCCTGTGTACCAACTCGTTCGTTTGTTGTCCTTGACTGCGTCTGGATGCTCCTGGACTAGTCGCAATGGACGGGGCTTGCCGCCCGCAAACGTCGTCTGCTTATCGCTGTGCGAGCGAGGTGGTGATTGAGACGGCGGTGTTGATGTCGACATGTCGCCCGACTCTCCACTGATACTTGATGTTTCGCTCCTCATGCCAGGAAAGTTTCCGGAAGATGCCTGACTTCCGCTTGGGTAGCGAGACGAAGCTGTCGGGTTGCTTGCCATGTTTGGGGTTGCAAAGAAAGTATGCGAGTGTCGTGGGTTGCCGAGAGGAGGCGAAGCGGAACCATCAGGACCCTTGTACATTTGGCTGACCAGACTCGCGGCGCCGGTGAACTGATCACTCTGCGGTCGGGATCGCCTCGTGCTTGTAGATCGTCCAAGATTCTCAATAGGAATACTCGGAGCCCTCTCCGGGTCAGTATGAGCCGAGGATGGCATGAACGTTAAAGGTCTTGGCTTCGGTTTTCCGACACCGACGGCAATAGACTTTGCTCTTTGCAGCAGCGCAGCGGCACTATTTGCTAGCACATCCCCGGCTGGTGGTGCAGGTAGGCTCTTGTCCATATGTAACGGACCCGTCTTGACCTCCCCAGACGTGTCTAGGATGGACTCGAATTCCTGGTGCTGCAGCAAGCGCTCGATGATCTTGTTAATATACAGTGTGAGTGCCTTGTTTTGCTCCTTCGCGGACTTGAGTTCTGCTTCTAGTCGACGGTACGCCTCACTTTCGGCCTCGGTTGCATCGGACAGCTCATCTGCCAGACTCGATCCGCCAGTTTTGCCTTCGAGGGCATTGAGAGCGTCTTGATTGGCACCAGCGCTCATATAACTGAAGTCGTTCTGGCCAAAGTCGCCCTTGAGTGTTTTTTCTTGAAGAAGAAGTTGGTAGCTCTCATTATCCTCCATCAGGCGGGCGTTGGCCATGCGAGCTTCCATTAGCAGGCGCTCGACCTCCTGAAGTCTACCACCGCCCTGGTTCTCCGATTCAACCAGCTTGATTTGCGCCTCAGCGAGTTCTAACCGCAATGATTCAATCAATTTGTCCTTTTGAAGTATGAGTTTTGAGTTGTTTCGAGAATCACTCCGTTGCAGCGAGGAGGGTGGCGCAAAACTACTTCCGTCGACGGACGGCGATGGGTTACCTAGCAAACGGGGACGGAGAGGGTCAGCGCATCTGTGCAACATGGTCACGGAAGATATAGAGAAGGCGATGTAGGGCCATGTTGCCATCATATTACTCCTCTCTCACCTTGTCTTGATGGTCGGCCATCATCGTCGGAGTTACTCCTCTGGGCCAAATTGTCCTTTAACCGCTGAATAACAGTCTGCATTTCCTCCTCTCTATTTGCCAGCTCCTCCTTTTCTTTGAGAATGGCGCTTCGTTCAGCTTCGTAGATGGTCTCCATCTCGCGCTTCTCACGCTTGGCCTCCTTCATCTCGTTAAGAATAATCTCGTGCTGTTCCTCATACTCGTGGAGTTTCTCTTCTGACTTGACAGCATCTTTAAGTGCCTCGTCTAGCTTCGATTGGAGCACTTCGGACTGTTTCTTGTGTTGCTCCGAGAGTCTCTCCTCCTTCTCAAGGCGCTGTTGGAGGTCCTCGAGGGCGGAGGCGGCCTCAGCTCGAGCATCGGAAGAGTCTCTACGGACTGCAGCGGCGCGAGCAGAAACAGGAGCGCCGCTTCGAGCCGATCTCGTGCGTACGTGCCCTGTCGGAGTCGACGATCTCGGGGAGGCGGTTCGTGAAGGAGAAGCTCCAGGAGACGCGGTGCCTGCTTCTGTAGCAGAAACTCGGCCCACACCGCCAGAGGGTGGCTTCTTGGATGCAGCCGTCATCTCGTCGGGCGGTGAGGTGGCGGTGAGCGGAAAGGAGCGGATGTATGTATGATGTGTTGTTTGGGGGGAGATTAAAAAACCTGAGGGAGTTGATAGATGGGATGAGCGCGGTTCCACGGGTGTATTGTCTATCCGGGGTCTGGTGTCGAATGGTTGCCGGGGCTATGGAATATCTCGAGCCCGGACTGGAGAGTTTCTGGCGGGACGTGCTCGACGCGTAATGGGGACTGGAGAACTGCAGATGCAGGCCTGTTGCTTGCCAGCTTGCTTGTAGCCGTCGCACCTCCTTGTCGAGTCCGAGCCCTTGGTCTTTGTCAGTTTGTTGATGCAGGCAGAGGCGGCGCGTTGGACGTGGTTGGTCTTGTTCATGGATCTCCTTCAAGGATCTCCTTCCCCTTTCACAGGACCGACCCCACTTGCTGCATCAGGCCTTGGACAGTGCAGTGCAGTACAGTGCGTTACCGGATGACGTTCAATGTTGGGCGGATTGGATCCAAGTTCCTCTGTAGGAAACGGAGGAAAAAAAGGTGACAAGAAAAGAAAAGAAGTACGAAAAAGGAGGTCGCGCGTCCCAGATGCCGCCAAAGGCATCAGCAACCGCCGAAAACAAGACGGCACGTGCATGAGGCCCTGGAATTTTCACATGATCTCCGATGTCAGGCAACCGCCACAGTCCTCCGCGCCAGCCCTTGCGCCCATCACCAACCAGGTTTGCCATGTTTCCCCTTCTCCATACTTTCACCCGCCACGTCGGTGCAATTTCAGAACGGCACTTGAGCCTATGCAGTATGGCTGCCAATGAGACGCGGAATGTCGACACGGACTACGGACTACGGACTACGGACAACGGACTACATAACATATACCGCCTACTCCCTGCCCCCTCCCTCCGTACTCGCGCGGAACTGGTTCGCGGCGACCACGTTGCAACGTCGGCTGCGTCAAGTTTTGGCATTGATGATGAAACAACATCGGAAGACCGGGTTACTCCGCCAAACAGCCGCAACTAGTTATTGCCCGGCTGCCGTTGCTGCCCATCCTCCCCTTTCTTCCTCCGCCTGGGAGGATGAAATTCCCAGTGCTACGGAGTACTGTCAATGCAGATTCAGAGTCCTTCATTCCACTTGCCAAATTACTAACTACAGCATGAGGTGCCGTGTCACCTGCTCCGTAGCCATTTTGCACAATTCCCTCGACGTGTTGCACACCAGCCTTTTGACCATGATGATACTCTACTCCGTAGTTGAGCCCCCGTTTATCAGAATGTCTCGTGTGTACGAACTGGCCGGCGAGGCTGATGGAGTCGAAAGCCACCATGACCAATCAAAGTCGTGCTAGGATAATCCCCTTGAGACATTGTCAACACAGAGTACAGAACGCGTGGCGCCGACGGCAATCCCAACAAAGACCAAACAACTCAATGGATTAGTAGGGCATTACGTATTGTTAGTAGTAGTACGGAGTACGTATTCTACTTCGCCAAGGCCTTGGCCCCCGCATTGTACATGCCATGCCTAACCCGGGTTCGAGTTCAGAGGCCGGTCTAGAGATTGCGGTACATGGGCATTTGTTGCAGATTCGCGGCGCGAACTTACGAACCAAGGTTGACGAGACAGCAGATTGTTCAATTACTTAGCGTCAAAATCAGGTTGAAGATGGATAAGAAAGTGGCAGGAGTAAAAAGGTCATCAGTTATATTGATGCATTGAGGTGACCGCCCCCCATCACCCGCTGCTTCACGCATTACGAAACGAGCTGAGTACCAGGGAGGTGAGCTAGACCGGCTAACAGCCAGCGGCCCTCTACCAAGACCTCTCTTTATCGCATAACATTGAATGGTTTTTGCCAAAACCCGTTTTACCCCGAAACGCCGTCTTATTTTATAAAAATTCTGTGACCACCTGGCCGATTAAGCCTGCTGGTCGCTGAGGATATCGGAGTCACCAGCGTCGAGGATGGCCATAGTAGAGCAGCGGAAGAGTTTACCACAAGCAGTGCCGAGCTCAATCTGTAATGTGTAAGCCAAAGTGAACCCTCCAAAGTCTAGGTCAAAGACTTTTTCTCTGGGTGTGGAGCGCAAGAGATCATTTTCTCGCTTAGTAGACTTTGCCTCTCGAAAAGAGACGGCAAGTGGTTGTAAATTCTCATGAGAAAAGCAACCCGATCATCAATGTGATCGGTGTGATTCATACACGAAGAGAAAGTTGGGTACTTACGTTGTTGCCGGAGAAATGGTGGATAGGGGCCTTGGACAGCATAGAGTAGTACTCAAGCTCGCTCTTGCGGAGAGGAGGAGTATTGCCGGCGATGATAATCAGTTTGGCCTTGCCGGATCGCAAGCTCTTGAGAGTTGACTTGTATCCCAGAGTGACTGTTTTGAAACCTCGTCAGCAGACTCATCCAAGCGATGGCAATTGGATCTCGCAATTGAATGCAGAAATGCATCCTTCGTACCTTTTCCTGACTTCATAACAAGCGCCAGCTTGGAATTGATGCTGTTGGCATCCTTCTTGCTCTTCTTCTGAGGGGCCATCTTGACGGTGTTCGGCTATGGGCGACACGATAGAAACGTGGGCTTGTTGGTAATGGAGAGTTAAAAAAAACTGATTCCTTTCCTAGCTCGCGATTTCGCCATCATCTGGTGGAATACCTTTGGCGGGGCCAGGGCTCCAAACGCTTCCACCAATCACATCTCGCCACCATTCACTTTCCAGCCCTAAAGGCCCGGCGTTTAAGCGAGATGCACCATTCCGGCTTACAAAGAGGCTGCTTTGAAATCAAGGTGGTGCGTTCCCGAGAAGGACAGGCGATGCTGGTTCCTCCCCGACACGGCCTGATCTTGCTCAGAACACATCAACTCTTCTAGGGCCACCAGCAAAATCCGACAAGATGGCTCGTCGTCCTGCTCGCTGCTACCGATACTGCAAGAACAAGGTAAGACTTCAATCTCGAAGCTGATACTACGCCGCCGATTTCTCTCCCAGACTTTCGGGTCGAAAGTTTCGCGGCGGTGGATTTCTCGTTTTGCCCTTGTTGCCGCATGACTGGAGATTCTGGAGAAGTTCACGCGCCGTTCACGCACTGTTCACGCACCACAAACTCGGCTATGCAACTGGACAGATCGACTCTGCAGCAAATATCACAATGCTCAAAAGCAAAATAGCTAATTGAATCTTCTGCTCTAGCCGTTCCCCAAGTCCCGGTTCAACCGTGGTGTACCCGACCCCAAGATCAAGATCTTCGATCTTGGCCGCAAGCGTGCCAACGTTGACGACTTCCCTCTGTGCATCCACCTCGTCTCCAACGAGTATGAGCAGCTGAGTTCTGAGGCCCTCGAGGCCGCGCGCATCTGCGCCAACAAGTACCTCGTTAAGCACAGCGGCAAGGAAGGTTTCCACCTGCGTGTCCGCGCGCATCCTTTCCACGTCGTCCGTATCAACAAGATGTTGTCTTGTGCCGGCGCCGATAGATTGCAGACCGGTATGCGTGGTGCCTGGGGCAAGCCCAACGGCACTGTTGCCCGTGTGAACATTGGTCAGATCATCATGAGCGTCCGGACTCGTGACGCCAGTAAGTCTTTTGAATCCGTGACTCGTCAAGTTGCACTTCTAATTGCTCCTCCCCTTCCTTAACAACAATAGACCGTCACCTCGCTCTTGAGGCCCTGCGACGATCGCAGTACAAGTTCCCTGGCCGACAAAAGATCATCATCTCCAAGAACTGGGGCTTCACTCCGCTTCGCCGCGACGAGTACCTAGAGCGCAAGGCCGCTGGCCGTGTCAAGGTCGATGGTGCTTACGTCCAGTTCCTCAGCAACCACGGTTCCCTGGAGCAGAATATGCGCCGCTTCCCCGACGCTTTCACCGCTTAAAGGGTTTGTTGGTTCATATGTGTTAAGGATGGCGTCATACTGGCATGTCAAATAAGGACTTCTTAAGACAGGCGGTCTCAATTGTCAACTGAAAGAACAGTGCACTCATCACAAGCTGCCTTCTATGCGTGTTGTGCGATTTGCGTGATGTGTGCAGGGTTGTGAAAAGGCTCCAAGTGTTCATTTCTTGGTGGCATGATTCAGCTGGCCGAGTTGTAGGGGCAGCAGTGGACTGGTATTGCCAAACGGATCCGTCACGTCTAGGCTGCAGAGAAATCTGCCACTCTGATCATATCCTTTCCACAGTCGCCTCTCCAGTGTCTCTTTACAAGGCCGAGCCCGTACTGGGCAAGGCACAGCATCTTCAGGCGCACACGGACACATGCGGACAAGTACAGGTATAATATACGTATGGAAACATACCGGAGCCTTGTGTGGTGCTTCTGCTCGGTCGCCCGAGCCGGCGCGAGGCGAGTCATCGGACGTCGGTCGCCAAGGCCCGCGTGACGTCGGAACAACTACAGCGCTAGACATGATAAACACCCCCCGCCATAGTCCAAGAGCGATCAAATTACAGCGGCTGGATGCGTTCTTCAGTACAATGAGGACAACTAGTATTATCACACCTGCCGTCTTCACCTCTGTCATTCCCGCTGGGCTCGCCATGTCGACAGCGCCACAATGGGCAGGGATATGTACTTAGTGATGGCCACGTGAGATGATGTTATGGACTTATGATTTTGTTGTACTCCGTAATGACAACGGCCAGTCCTGGCACCCAGGTCACCCTTGTCAAGTGTCCGACTGGGTCGCGTCCAAACGCCGGCCATGGATAATGCTTTGTGAGAGCCCGAGTCATTGTTTACATTACGCGCAGTGGGAGGCACTCCGGTAGGGTACGGGCCTGTTAAGGACCGCAGGAACATTCATGGATTGCGTCACTTGGTCGTAAAACGAGGTAAGGATAAGTACTTCCTAGACGGATGCTCAGCTGATTGTTTGGGGAGCGAAGTATACTTTACTTATCTAACTTACCTACTAAGGGAGTACTTGGTAGGTACTTTAGGTACTTGGTACCTACTTTTCTTAGTACTGCTATTACGGAGTACTTGATATTCAGCGCAGCGGGCCATCGAAACCCCGTCATTCTTGTCCCCTTTTAAGTAGCTAAATTTCTCCTCGTGAGCACCGAGCTGCCCGACGCGCGATTAACGGACACATACGGAGTACGCAGAACAGAAACATGACCCGCCAAATGCGACACCGCAGATGTGGTGTGATGAGAGGATTCAATGGCCCAAACGAAGTACCAGTAGTAACTGATGCGATGCACCTGAGCACGTTGGCCCCAATGGGGCCAGCACCGCTGAACGAGGTGGGACATTGCGCCCATGTCCAAGTACTGAGGACGTACCTAAAGTATCTACGTACTTAAGTAAGTACCTAGTGGCGAGTAGTGACCTGGGTAAGTACTTACCTACTTCAGGTAAGTACCTAGGTACTTGACGGTGGGTACTCCTACTAAGCACTCTGTAATTTGTGCTTTATCTGGAGCACCAGTGGAAGTGGGCTGTCTGGTCCTTCTAACTGCATGTGGCCTCAACGTAACTTGTCAATCGCCGTGCACCGTCGTCACGCCTGCGTCGTCCCTGGCCTGCTTATCATGTCGGGTTCCCTCTCGCATCGTCTTCTTGTTTCCTTGGCCTCTTGACCCATCTATCATCTTCGCCTTCTAAATTTTTGACACTTTGGATTTCCCGTCTGCGCCCCCTGATCCCTTGACTAGTGAGTGAGTGTCCTCTGTCCGAGGTGCTCTCGTTCCCCTCAGCTCTACCCGCGCATCGCCACGCTTTCGCTCACGTTCACGCTCACGCTCACGCCCACGCTCTCGCTCGCCTTGTCCCACTTCGGCAGACGGGGCGCCACCTCGCTGCGGCTCGACAGATAACTACTCCCTTATCGCATCATCCATAACCAAGGCCAAGGGCCAACACCCTGTCTTCCACCTCTGCTCCCTGCGTGACGACGGTCACACCCCATCAACGCCATGGCCTTGCAGCAACCGACTCGCCAACCTGTGCAGCGGACCGCTGCCCCGGCAGCCGTGGGAGAGGAGAGTGTTGCCGTTGTACCATCAATTTCTGAACAAGCACCAGAAGAGTCGCAGGCCTGGGTGCTCTTCTCAGCCCCTACCGAGACCACAGCTACGTCTTATCTCACAGAGTCAGAACACTCCCCAGAGACGCCCGGGCGGTCACGATTGAGTGATGTCGGTAGCCTGCATACTGTGGCGAGATCTGAAGCCTCACCTGTCGCCAGGCAACCCATTTCAGTGTTTTCGGCAATAGATGACCAGTCTGTCGATGACGACGCGGAGCTGGACAGCTTAGACAGCCACCTACCTGAATTTCGCTCCGTACCTGGTCTGAACACTCCATCACCGCGAGGCGGGCAGCAGTCTGCGCCGATATTTCCCTCTCATGATGGGCTGGGCTCGTTCCACCTAGGTCGGCCCGTCCTGGGTGCTGAGGCACAGGACCAGATATACCAGTTCGAGAAGTTCAACCCCCGCAAAGCTCGCCGGAGACTGGACAGCTTTGAGGACAACCGGATCAAGCAGGACAAGGTCCAAACTGAACAAGACGAGAAAAGGCAGCGAATCGAGGCATGGCGCCTGGAGCATAGCCGAGTCTTGCTGGACGAGATTCAACGAGAGACGAAACGACAACGCAAGTCCTTGGCATCGACGCACCGATCCCGGCGTACTGCGGATGCTGAAACAGACAATCTGACATGGCATGATGAAGACGCGTTCCAACCACACACGGAACAAGAGGGTTTTTTGGCGCGCATCACACGTACCGTCGTCAAAGACATTCTAGGCATCGACGATAACATGCTGTCAATCCTCTTGGGCGAGCAGCTACCTGACGATGGTGAAAAGGCACTCTCAACTGCTCCGCAAGCTTCCCAACTGAGCAGTCTTCCAATTTTGACTACGACGGACGAGCCCTCGTGGCAGATTCGAATTCTGGAACGGCTATCTAGAGAGCTTGGGCTTCTTGTCAACCAACTGTCAACACATCCTGGGGCATTTTCGACATATTCCAGGTTACAGCACTCAGCGCTTCCGTATGCTGGCCTCCCAGTCATTCCAGAGTGTAGTGACGTTACCACCGGCCCGGCGACAGAAGCAGAGAAAGCTAGCCAGGCGCCTTTCCCGGATTTTCAGCCTACCATGCACCAACGTCCGCAGCCAATTGGCATCCCGAGTCGGAGACAGACGACTGACGGCTCTGGTAACGGTGTTGACGCGACTGACACCGATTTTACCAAAGAGGAGTGGGAGAGAAGTCTGGACATCAAGCTGGTATTCCGCTACCTCGTTTCGCGTTTCGCTTCCCGCTCGGGCAACTCCCCCACTGCTGGTAATACTTCACACCATGGTGCGCAGACTCAACAAGATACGGCAGCCAAAGTAGCTCGCGTTCGTCAACACCACCCCCTCATCGCCCGCACGCGGCAGCTTGAGCGTCGGTCTTTCAAGGCCGTAGCGCCCAACAGCCCGGTCATGCTGCGCCACCACAGCAGTTGCGCGAGCCAAAGCACCAGACGGTCAGCTCGGAGAAGTAGCTGTTCATCAAGGCACTATTGGGATCTCGGTGGCTCCCTCGGCACTGGTTCGGTCATTGCCTCCAACGGCCCCATGGGAAGCTGGGGTGAAGTGTAGTCCAATCATTGCAATGCATGCCGGGCATCGTGGTCGTCATGGACCGAAACCTGTACAGTATCTAGCGAACAGATGTTTATGGAGTTTTGATGTTTTATTGCGTGGACCGAGGTCTTGAATGAACGACAGGGGCACGCATAAGTGAGGGAGCAGCATATACAATACCTCTCTAGTAAATTTTTAGAAGTTGAAATCCAAGAACATTTGAACAAGCCGCCAATTCGCATTTGCAGATACCAGCTTCCGCGTCTAATCAGACAACGCGTTGACTTTTGACGGAATTAGCCCGGCGATGGGGATTTTGTACGGGCCATCTCTCTGGACTTGAAGGGAGTAACGTGAGCCAAGAACATCTCAGTGGCGCACACTGCAAGCTTGATGCAGCACTTGCCAGAGAGGCGTGGGTGTGTACGCGTGAGGGAACTTGAGGGTGTAGCAGACGAGTTGCAGTATTCATTCGGTGTCCAGGTACACGTACACGCATGGCGCCGTGGCATGCATGGGGAACCTAATTGATGGTCCTCGTCGCAAAGTTGGCGCGGTCGACTGGCGACCAAATCATTGGTCTCCTCACTTGGCATGTATGCGGCTGGTGAGCTGCATCTTGCACGAGAAGGGTTCCCGATGTACTCCGCAGCGTAGGACGAGATGGCTGGACGCATGAATCTTGCACGGGATGGAACTTGGCTGCTGGCTGCATGGACAGTTGGCGGACCTTTGCTTGCGCGCAACTGCTGCTGACGGTGTGACGACGACGCGGCGGGTGTGCGTTGGTGCCTTGCAGATTGACAGCATCCGAATGCCCTGGGGATGGCATGACGCACTCGGCTGCCGATGACGATAGGACGGAGCAGCAGCGTGCTCGAGTTGCCGGATGATGCGATGCGATGCTATCCCTGAGGCTTCTGTCCTCGCGCGGCCTGCTAAGCAAGCCCAGAGGTTGTGCCATGACCCGTACCCGTCTTGTGCAGGCAACGTCTACGCCGTGCAGAAACGACGACGCACGGACAGCCTGGCTTCTCTCTCCCGCTCTTGAGTCTTGACCTCCTCAATTCGCGTCCTTGACAGAGCGCCGTCGTGTCGGAAAACGTGGCCGCCCTTCTTTCTTGTTTTCCGTCTAGGCCACCTCGGACAGCATGTCAACAGGCTACCGTAATTGGGACTTTAGTAGGAGTGCGTACGTACGTAGTTACTCGGTGCTTAGCTTCCCGGGATGGGCTCCTAGGCGGCGCCATTGGCGGGACGGCGCGACAGTAGAGCGCGCCCGTTGAGGTACCTTTGGGAGAAGGCGAAGCGCGTAAAGCACAGCGCTTGGCCGGGTAAGCTGAGCGTTTGCTCTCCAAGATACCTCGCGGGCGGCGCCGTGAAAACGCTCAGCGCCATTGTCAAGGTTCCTGCTGTGGGCTTGCGGGACGTGTCGAATCCGACCCCAGACACCTGCCCTACCTACTCCGTACTTAAGCAGGTACTCGAGTAGGTAATCGTGCCCGCCCCACTTTATGTGGTTCGGCTAGCAAAAGCCCTCACCACCAAAGGTGGTGCTCGACAGCAAGGCGGGCCGGACACCAAGGCGGGCCAATTTTCAACCTAATAACGCTATTAACCTCTTCGCCTATAATGTACACCCTTCTCGTCCCAAATTTCTACAGTACGACAGGGAGAGTGGCGAAAAAGGCATGTGGCGCCTGAAGCCAAGCGAGATCTTGCCCGACGAAAATGCGATTCGCGCCATGATCAAGCCTGAGGAGGTCAGTCTTCTGGATGCCATGCAGCTGGGAATCAAGGAGCTCGAGGACGCCGGCTACGATCCCCGAAATGCCAACATTGACGATGACGTCATGGACATGGATGCTGAAGAAGACGACGAGGATGAGGGCGGAAGCAAGGCGCCCAAGGGCGCCAAGAAGCCTGGCGAAAAGCAGGAAGAGACACTTGCCGACAAGATGGCACCTTGGAAAACTACAAAGGCCTTCATCGACGCCTGTGCGCAAAAGGCCATGCTCCAGCTGCACGGCGAGGGTGACCCGACTGGACACGGCCTCGGCTTCAGTTTCATCCGAACGTCCATGAAGGGAGGGTACATTGAGGCTGTTCAGGGCCCGTTGGCCACGTCGGCCGACGCCATGGAGCGTGAGAAGCGCGCTAACGGCGGCCACGCCTATAACGTCAAGAAGCAACAAGCAATGTACGAGGAGGGCATCAAGGAGATTTGGGAGAAGCAAAAGGCAACGCTGTCCGACGCCCGGGAGCACGACGACAAGGACGTGGCAGTCACGGAAGACGAGGATGATCGATTCAACGTTCACGCCGCCGCGACGCCGGCGCAATTCGACGACGGCACCAGCCAAATTAGTGGCTTCACATCGGCTAGTCGCCATGTCAAGAAAGCCATCCGCATCACGAGAGAGGTCCGCCTGCAGGACGGGTCGACGCAGACGCGAACCGAGGTCGTCCACGATCCCGTCGTCATCTCGCAGTATATGAAGCGGCGAACCGAGGCAGACTTGGAACTTAAGGAGTATGTACTCAAGACGATGCGATGCAGGCCCCGCGGGGAGGCCCCCCGGGTCTGGAAGCGGCTGCCGTCACGTGTCAGGGCGCTTCACAAGTGGGCGTGCCTGGGTCACACGCATCTCGGCCCCAAGAGACGACAAGTGCCGTCTCCAGGCGCTGTTGCCGACTACGTTGGGTTGGAGTTACGAGCACCTGCTTACGTCTACCTCTCCACAGCATCTACAGCTCCCGGCCTACGGGCAATGCCGACCATGACCGCCTTGCGGGCATTAGGTATGTGGATTGACGACCTGCCCTCGGGTCGCGCCAGAGACGGTGTGCTTACACGCAGCTCGATGCAGAATCAAAAAGGAACTCGAGAGACTCGAAAAGAACAAGGCCCGACGACAGGCCCGAGAGCAGCAAAAAGAGCTGCACCAAAAGGCCAGCGCTGGCGAGGCCGGATCACCCGGCGCCGCTGGGTAGGTACTCCGTAGGTGTCAAAGTTGGTATGGACGCTGGAGTCTGGAGCATGTTGACCTGCTGTCGGGTGCTCTTCCCCACTACATGCACCCCCAAGTCCCAAGATCCATGTCCCCATCCCTCCGCCTCATCCCTCATCTGGATTCTGGACCTCCGTCCGACTTGTGATGCCCTAGGCGCCGCCGTCTTTATATTTCCCTCGTTGCCCTGCGCGTGTTATCCTGCCTCCAAGCGGCCCCGGATGTGCTGCAAAGGTTCCATCTCCCGCCCAACTACTTAATGGGCCTCCATGCCACTCGCTCGCACTCGCTCGTTCCCACCTCAGCTCAGCGCCAGTAGCTCAACGACGCGACGGTCAATCGATCGGGATAACAATCACCGCCTGCCTTGCTCGTCTCGCCCGTCTTCATCCCTGTCGTTTGATTTCATCTTGTGCCTATTGATGGCGGCCTTGTCTCTCTTCATAACTGACTCCATGCTCATCTTGCTCGTAGTGCAATGAACTAGACCACTGCGTATCGCGAGCGACCCTCCTGGGGCCAGCGTAAGCTGCCTGGCTACGAGACCCTGACGCAGCTTCGCGCGAGCCGTTGTTCGAATCTTGTTTTCCCGTCGAATCTTGTTTCATCAAAAACCGCTTCGTCCCGCGATCCAATGGCCGCCAACCCGTTGAATCCCTCAGAAGCAGGCACAGGTCCATTCGCTATACACGCTGATGCTGCCCCGTCGCTGCCACCGACATCCCCGAGTCTGCCTAATGGATCCTGCAATTTCGTTGACCTGACGCCTGGCACTAATGGAGCCAAGTGTGGTTGCCGTCGTTTCTGGCCTCGCCAGGTGATGGGTAATACTGTTGTTGACCAGCCTGGATGGTGTATGTGTGCCCATCACGCGTGCTTTCATGACAACGATGGACCTCGTGATGAGTTGCAACAGCAACGGAAACAGCAACAACACCAGAATTCGCCGCAACGAACCAGTTTTGACCCCCTTGGACAGGGAAATGGGAGACCTTGCACTGGACGCGAACCGCTGAGCCCCGTCGCGGACGCATCCGTGCAAGGCGTTTCTACCGTCCCTGCAATTGACTTTTCTGCCTTGAGCCCCGACGCTCCCCTCTCTTTTGTTCATGAATTTGAGACCGAGGCTGAGGGCACCCCGAAGCAACAGGCTAGTCGTCATCCTCCAGGCTCCATGCCTGATACGTTGGCTTGGGACGAGTATATGCAAACCCCGTGGGAATGTCCAAGACCGTCCTCTGACCCCATGGCATTGCCTCCTAGCCCATCCCAGTTTCTGATAGCCTCTCAGACTACCTCGACCACCTCGTCTCATCAGGCAAAGTATCAAAGACCATTTGCCGGAAAAGGTCTTGGTACCCTTGATGTCACTGCCACTGGTTCCGTCTCCTCACGACCACAACACCCTCAAACGTCCAATAATACGAAATTTGCAAGCGTTGCGCCCCGGGACCCTGACACCTCAAATGGCGACTTTGTATTTGTTGACCGTAATATACCAGGGCGGGAAATATCACAGCCAAACACTGCTACTCAGGATGAGCCTCGGGTTACCGCGGCATGCCATAAAATTTATCCCGAGACTCTTCAACATCTGTCAGAAGTAGTAAGTGGCCATGAAGAACGCCTGGATCGTCTGGAGACTGTGTCATTCTCTGCAAACGGGCATGAAGAATGCGTCGATTTGCATGACCATATGGATTTACGGGTAACCGAATTGGAGCAGAGGATGGAAGGGGTAGAAAAGACGCTTGATGTAGCAGGTTTGACCAATAAGCAAGCTGACGAAGAAGACGATGGTGTTAAAAGTGTCCTCTCCGCGGCTCTCAGCTCCGCCAGCCTGCGAAACCAAGACGAAATCATGTCCCAAATAGACAGCCTGCGAGCTCAAGTCGGTCATCTTCAGTCATTTCTGCCATCACACGGCCATGCATGGACAATCGAAGCCGTCTTTTTACCTTTCCCGCTCAAGAGACTCTGGCAAGAAGTCTCGCAGTTCAAGACCGATGCCAGCATCAGCAACGACGACTGGACGCAAATTCCCATGGCGCTCAGCAGCCCAACTTTGCGGTCTCAATCACCGTTTGGCGGCGACGACTGGGACGTTTCCGATCATGACGCGGAGTGGCTCTACCCAAGAGCCTGCGGCGATAAAAGCACCCAGGACAAGCGGCTGCGGAGTCGAGGTCTCATCCAAACTGTGTCCTTGTGCGGTCCCGATGCAAGAAGCGTCCAAGCCGCCATCCACGAGGCCTTCGGTCCAGTCTTTCGGACCATGGGCATCGCCCCCCGACGGCAGTTTAGCGATCCCCGACTCTCCAGGTACCTTGGACTCCAGGGTTCATGGGTACCTCTTCGCAAGGTCCACAAAGACTCGCGGCTCCGATTCCTCAGCGCCGCCGAAATGCTCACTCCTACATCATGGGACGTCGGCTTCCTGCACTCGGTCGCCATGAAATCCGCTGAACCTCGACTCTTCATCACTCACCCAGACGCCTACATTCAGGACTACAAAGCATATGAGTCTGGCTGGGCATGGCAACGAATCCGTGAGATGGACCGTGCCTCAACAGGCGTGTCGGAATCACAAGAAGTCAAGGAAGCTGATGCCAGGGAGCACTGCTGGCTGTGGAACGAGCAACTCGACGAACTACCTGCCGTCCTAACGTCCCTCAACATGCGCCAGCGCCGCCAACGCACTTATTCCCCGGCGCTCGTCGCTCACGAACAAGGATGGCGCTCGGTTAGTCCTGCCGGCGTCCGTAATCCATCCCCGAGGCTCTCCGCTGGCCGCCGTTCCGCCCCGCGGCCGCCTCACATACGCACCGCTTCTGCCCCCTTGACAGCCCAGCCCATCCCAAGGGCCACCAGTCGTCGACGAGTCGTCTCCCACGCCGTCCAACCATGCGGGCACTTGTCCCCCCTTGCCCGTGGTCCAACTCAGGGCATCCAGAAGAGACGCTGCACACGCTCGCCAAGCTACCTGCACCACACGCCGCGGTGGACCGCGTCGCTCAGTCCGATGCCGTCGCCCATCAACGACCAGCAAATTGCCCGTGGCATGACGCCGCCTGCCTACGCCACGCCCTTCAGCAACGCGCCGCTGCAAGAACTGCGTCCTATTCGAGGCACCAGCGTCGCCCGCAGCGGAACATCCCACGTGCCCCTCGATTACCCAACAGACGAGCATTTTGATGTAGAAATCTACGACAGCGGCGACGATTCATATTGCGACGATCAAGAGAGTATCTCCAGCGGTGAAGTCATGTCCCGCCGTGAAACTCATCGTGGTCATGCAGGGCAGCTACCCGAAGACGAGCCGTGGCCCGGCATCGAAGACCGGGACCCATCCTCCAACGGGGAGAACGTGGACCCGGACGAGCTCCAAGGGAGCAGCGAAGGCAGCAGTCAGCCATCCGAACACCCCAGCGCACAACAGGCGTGGCCCAGTGATGGGATCGGCTTCAAAATCCACGAAGACGAGGGACACGAGGAATGAAGACTATTTGTTGATGTGTTTTTAATGGTACCATGTATGGCGTTATGATGGCCGATGAATCTAGACATGTTCTTACTGAGTTTTGATACTGGGGATCTTGTAATTAGATTGGAAAATAGCCCTCATATGATGCCACTCATCTCATGTTGGATATACTCTCTCAGATAGGCAGCACAGGACACATACGGCGCTGGCGATACATGAGTCTCGCACAATAAGGAGGGTACTCGTTTTGACCCTTCGAATCTCCTAGACGGTTTGGTACTGAAATAGATGTGGCCCAAGGTGCGACATCGCCATTTCCATATATGCACAAGCACAGTCGCTCCTCACGCAAGCAGCATTTAGTATACATTCAAGCAATACATGTCCGCCATCTATAACCATGGTTCAAAAAATCCAATCCAAGCTCCGGGTATCATATTTAGCCAGCGCCAACTGTACAAACTTCAACCCTGGTCTAATAATGCAGAGCTCAAGCCATGACCTGATCAACACAAATCCTTCATAATGAAGGAACTCCATAAATGGCACGACACCACAACCTATGGGGGCACACGTTTCCGACAAGATCCCAAAACGCCATCCTTCTAAGGATTGTACCTGTAGATTGTTCCCTCCGAGTCTAAATTTTGCTTCGGTAGAGACAGCAGCGGAAATCGCCTCTTGTACTCATACGGGGAATATGTGTTCATAAAACTTGATCAAACATGGCCACTTTTTCTTCTCACGTCTACGTGCCCAAAGAATGGTGGCTAATACCAGGTGCCCTTGGGATCAAGCTTGTAAAGAATACGGCACTGAGGCCTCTGGCACACCTTCGACCGGTCGAGTTGTTTGTACTTGGGCCCAGTAGGCCCAGTAACATAGTGGTACTGTCCAAAGAGGCGCCACTGCCGGATATCCGCCAAGGTGTACAGGCGGTCCCCCCAGTAGCCGTCATAATGGAACCAACCCGTCGGGGCATGGGGGTTCGTGGACGCGGGCACAAGACTGGGCGTGTGTTTGTGACCATCGGTAGATTCCTCGTCCATCTCGGTGTGCTTTTCCAATTTGTAATTGTAGTGATAGGCATAATTGTTCAGCGCGGGATCCCAGAGAGGCCCTTTGTCGCTGACGTCCTTCAACATCTTGAATGGCAGGACATAGGGGTGATCGCCAGGTGTGGCATACATGGCATGTGAACCAACAGCCGAGTAAATGACGGGACGATCGCCACGTTTCTCCACGGCTTCCCATGCGTACGCTTGGCCGCCCTCATGCTCAGAAAAGTAAATGCCTTTAGGAACGCCGTTTTGAAATCGAACCATGGAATGTTCCCAGTCGCCAACGTGGTTGCCGAAACGAATACCGAGGACCGTCTGCCCCAAATTGTACGAGTAAAAGAAGAACCAAAAGGCATCAATGATGCCTGATCCCTTATCTACAATAATGAGGACAGCAGGAGCTCGAGAATATCCGCTGGCGTCGGGCTTATGTCCTCGGCGCTCGAGGCGGGGCTGCAGGAGCGGGGGTCGTAGTCGGCGCCGGGGGCCGCGGGGCCGCGGGGCCGAGATGCGGTGCAAGGGAGTATCCTTGTCCACGTCGAACCATGTTGTGCGTTCGCCTCCAGCAGGTGCACCACTGCCGTAGTCGCCGGTGTTGTCATGACCGTCTCCATCATTGTCAAAGGGGCTTGGAACATTGTCATGGCTGTGTAGCCAAGGGGGTCGGGTTTCGACATCATCTAGGCTGTGAAGAGTGACAACGCCTTCAAACTGGTTGAGGCGGTGCAGATTGTCCAGTGTCAGCTTGTCATCAGTAATATTGACCAACTCGTCGTCAACGACAACTTCCATGTGCTGCACATGCTCGCGAATGTCTGACGGCCAAAACTGCTCGCCGGAATATAAATGTACCAGGGGTGCGTGTTTGAGAATGAAACGAGGAACATCTTTTAGAATTCGTCGTCTTTCGAAAAGGTTTCTTTTTTTATCATGTCCTTTGGCACTTGCGGCGCCAGAAGCCTCGGATCCTCTGCCTTCCCACAACAGGGGCTCAGCGGATCTCCTTCGAAGTTCGGTCCACACTTGGTCGTCGACATGGGCGGTGTCGTTGATGGACGCAGCGTTGGCGTTCGGCAGCGAGGCTGGGTCACGGCGCAAGTGATGAAGGCCGCAAAGGCTGAGCCAGCGACATAATTGACGGTCAATCCAATAGGGGCTGCTGCTCACCCAGAGGCTGTCGCGAGCCTGTCTGGCTGGACCATGGCTCGTTGGGTCGAGGACTCGCGGCACGAACCAGGCGATGAAAGAAGCCACCAACAACAGCACCAGCACAATGGTGCCGCGCCGCAGCCAATACATGGCTTCCTGAGGCCTTTGCAGAAGAGGTGCGGACCGATTCCCTCCTACTTTCGGTAGATGGATGCTCTCATGCGGACGGGACAGGCTTCAAGAGAAATTTCGTGGGGCGATTTCAGGTTGCACCGAGGACCGGAAGCAACGGCAATACAAGTCGGGTTGGGCGTGGTGGGGTGCGGGCGTCGGTAGGGCCTTCGTTCTCGTTCGCAGGCACGTCTCGGTCACGAACAGAGGAAACGACGGGTGGAGCGAGAGTAGTCGAGGAGGTCGGCGAGAGTGACCTGCAAGTCGCAGTGGTGTTGGCACGGCCAGGAAGTGAGGGCAGAGAACGGCCAAGCGATCCAGGTCTGTTCAGTGTTGATGCAGGCAGTAGCGGTCGATGGTCACTGGGGATAAAGTGGTCACCGGTGCAGAGAGGAGTGCAGAGAGGAGCGAGAATAGGCCAGCTATGTAGACGTGAGGGCATAACGACGAAGCGAAGGGAAGAAGGATGACACAGTGACAGTGCCGTCGTCGGCGAGCGGTCAAGCGGCAGAGATGGGCAGGGGAGAAAAGGTAAGGGAAGGGAAGGGAAGATAGTTAATGTCCAGAGCTTTACGGAGTACACGGCTGTCGAGAGGACGAGAAGGAACAAGAACAAAAAACCGGGGCCAGTCATGCATCGAGGCTCCGTGGGCCGCAGCACACGCACAGGGTCGAGAAGGGTGCGGGAACGGGACATGAGACCGAACAATACCGTTTGGGCAGGTACCGGCACCCGTGGTAGCCGAGTTCTGAGTTGGGGTGGCGGCCTGGCTGGTCAGTGGGCGCCCAGAGGCGAGGCCACTGCGTCGCATGGCGCTGTCCTCGGACGTGCAGTACGACTGCGTGCTACGTACATGGACTCCGCGGTGGCCCTCGACCCCACCAGTCCACCAGTGACCCCCCATGCTGCGCGCTGAATGATTGGAGGCGGCCTGTCACCTGGCCTCATGACACGTCTCCGGCGTCGGAAGACGGGTCGGGCGGCTCCTTCCTGAACACCAGAATACGGAGTACGCGCCTACGTTTAGGTACGTACCTGGGCACTGTAGTACTTGCATGAGTCGGCGCTCCTGCGGCTAATGGACCGCCAGACTTTGGTTACAAAGCCTCGTCTCGTCCCCGGTCCCGACTTGTGATATTTGTGGTTGCGTCTTTCTCAGCCCATGCCGCCACGCCAACCACCATTTGATTCGTCTCATTGTGTGAATGATGCTGTCCTTTTGTCTGCCACTTCTTGTTTGCACTCTGCACGCCGCCCCGGCTCCCGATCCCCGAGTCAGCCTATGCGCGGACCGCCACGACACCTCAAGCGTCCGGGACAGTCGAGTCAGCAGCAATAAGCAGGGGACCGCGTACGGAGTAGTGTCGTCGCCAATACTTTCTCCAGGCAAATGTGCCCTTGTCCAAGCTAAAACCCTGGGTGACCTTGCGTTGGTATAGTAGCCGAGCACGTTCCGCCAAGCAGACAAGACCAACGTTGACGCTTCCCATCTCAGACCGTCCCGGTATATCAAAGAACCCTACACCATATCTTGTGTTAGACGAATCATTGACCGCGATGCCACGCGATGACGCCAAGCTCATCTGGCGGACAAGTGCCGGCCATCCCGCCACATGGCATGCTTGTGTGGCCTCCTATCCTTCGTTGGCGATTGCTCCAAGCATGGAAGATAAAAACGTGAAGCCGTCGAATTTTCCGGGCGATGTTTGAACCACCACCTTCGGACGTGACGCGTCTTATGCATGGTATCGATATATTTTGTCGTTGTCATCATTATATAAAGACGCCGGAATTGATCTTGCTCAGACCAGTTGGGCAAAAGACGCGCACTAGCATACTGCATAAGCAACAGCGGCGTCAAGTATGTGCTAATCAGTTGACCCTAAGCGGCTAACGAATGATGCTGATTTTAAGCTTTGCAGACCAATTATGAGATGGCCCCTTAATGGCATGCACTATCAACCGAGCAGGCTAGAAGACCTCAAGTGCTGCCTTGAGTCGTTTATACACGAAGTCTTCCATAGCTTGCCCATCCTCTAAACCCATAGCTGGGAGCGACCATGGCTTTCACGTACAATCAGCTCTAATGAAATACGAAACGCCAGCTTAATTATACCACGGACCAACTCCACGCTTGAATTTGATCCATAGCTGCCAATTCGTGACACTACGCATCGAGGGTTTGCTAGTCTTGCGCGTGCGCGTGACTAGACACTCTTAGTTACAAGCTTTTCTTACTTCAGTCACAAAAACCATCAAATCTAGGGTATTGAGCCATTGCACACTTTTTAGCTTCAGTCGGTTCAATATCCAAGCATCAATGACTAAATCATTAAGCCACAGCTCGGGAAAAAGCTAAGGAGCTGGCGAACAACCTTCCAGTCTGGCTTAAAAACTGGCGTTTTTCAATTTTCCTTTTATAAGAATCATTGACCCAGCCAGTCGTCTATAAAAGGTGGCTCGATCCCGTGAGCAAAAAGAATATTATTGCTCGATGCCACCCATGGCCGCTGCTTCGGCCATGATACTTGCCGTCTCACAAGATGGGGTGTGGAACAGGATTGAGCATGCTCTCCGCCGGCGGCAATTTTCAGAGGCTCTGGTCCAAGCTGGTCCTCCTCGGTATCAATGCTGGCGCTCTGTGGTCCATGACGACTTTTGTGCAGGGCGTGGCGGCGGCACCGGCAGATCGTCATGTTAGACAGGCCCAAGAGAAGCCAGGAAGGGAACGCTTCCCGAACCCCAACGACCCCTTTCACTTCATTCCTTGTCTCTCTTCCAGGGCTACCCGAGCCATTCCTCTTCTCAATGATGCAGACCCCCAAGGCACGTGGACAAGATTGTTCGATCCCAACCCTGACAATTGGGTTTGGCAGGCATCACTGCCTCTCAACGCCTCAAAACCTGGCCAGCCCAGTTCCGTCGACCCTTACAAGGACAGAGGTCTCTATCTGTGCGGCTACCTGGACGTTCCCCTAGACTACCTCAATGAGTCCGACTCTCGAATCAGCCGACTGGCCGTTGTCAAATATCAGGTGTCGGGCGTCGGGAAGAAAAGCGAGAGGACCATTGTCGTCAACCCGGGAGGCCCAGGAGGAAGCGGTGTTCTCTTTGCCCTCCAAGGCGCAGAAATCATGGCACGTCATAGGACCAACGACATCTACGATGTGCTCAGCTGGGACCCTCGCGGCGTCGGCCTCTCACACCCCCGAATGAGCTGCTTCCCGTACAACGGCCTCTCAGACCGTTGGCAGCTGATGATGCGTATGGATCTCAAAGAGTCGCCCAGTGCCAGAGCGCACTTGGAGAGAGTCAACGCCATGAACGACGCCATCTTTCGCTCATGCCATGAGCGGCTCGGTGACCTTCCTCGATTCACATCCACCGTCAGCGTCGCCCGCGACATGGAGAAGATCCGAGCCGCGCTGAATGAGACCGAACTCACTGGATACTTTGCCAGCTACGGGACCACACTGGCCCAGATCTATGCCAGTATGTTCCCAGATCGCGTCGGGCGCATGGTCCTGGACGGCATGGACTTCGCCAGAGACCACAGAGTCATGGGGGGCTACGGGAAAACAGCCCTGTACAACACAACCGACGTCTGGAACGATGGTTTCCTTGGAGAATGCGTCGCTGCCGGGCCCCGACGTTGCGCACTTGCCGAGCCCATCAACGACACTGAAGTGACTCTCGACTCGTTGAAGCAGAGGATGCACAGGCTCCTCGACGGGCTGGCAAAGCGTCCTATACCCACGTACCACAATCAATCCGGGCCATTGATCATCACCTACAGCAACGTAGTGTCTTTCATCTCATCCGAGCTATACACGCCGGGACGCTGGGCAGGTACAGCCAGACTACTCCGGGAGCTGGAAGAAGGCAACTACACATCGGCCACCCGCTTGGCCGCCGCATCCTGGCAATACACGCCCCCGAACGTGATTATAAAGCCCGCTCCAGGGCAGGAACTATTGAACATGGTGGTGTGCGGCGACGCGAGCGACGCCGACACACCTACCGATCTGGGCTTCTGGGAGTCTCTCTGGAGGGACATGACCGCGCGGAGTTTCATCAGTGGGCAGGCCAACTTTGCAACTGTATTTCCCTGCCACAACTACAAGAAGTACTGGCCAAAGGGCGCAGCGACGTACCGGGGCGACTTTAACAAGCCCCTCAAGAACCCCATTCTGTTGGTGTCTTCGACACACGATCCGGTCACTCCGCTCCGAAACGGCAGAGAGCTCCTCAAGGAGATGGGTGTGAAGAATGCGAGGATGATTGTCCATCATGGCTATGGACACGGCTCGTGGTCTGACCCGTCGAATTGTACGAATGCTCTTTTCCTCAAGTACTTTTTGAACGGCACCCTCCCTGAAAGGATGGAGACAGATTGCTACGCTGATAAGAAACCGTATCGGTATCGGCCTGGGCCCAAGGAGGGTAGCAAGCCCGGCTTGGCTGAGCTGACAACTGCTTACCTGTCTGCCATTCCTCGGATGTAAACGCCGAGATGTAGCTTCGTTTGTAGTCGGTGAATGGAAACATGGGTACCACTGGCGAGTGAGATTGTCTGTGGATTAAATTGTCTGCCCCAGATATTTTCCCCTTGGCTCTTTTGTCACACGGTACAAGGCATAGTTAGGCGTATGTATGCAATGTTGAATTTCGCTCCGACTTGATGTTTGCCTTCCCCAAAGTGTCAGCCCTCTTGGGGCCGGACGAGTCGGGCACACAGCCACATTTGTCCCTCTATCCCAACTGGTTGCTGGAACGATGTTTGAACGGCTCACCGATAACTGGCTCGAGCCGTTGGCGTGGCAGTTCGCTGTTGGTGAATGAAGTACGGCCTCTGCATGTTGGTTATGCGATCATGTCCATTTTACCCCAGGTTGCCGCTTGGAGGTATACTTGGTAGCCGCCCCTCACTCAAAAGGCCGAAGACTAATAAATTGGCGTATATTATGATTCCGGAGGGGATGTTGTATGGATTCCAAGGGGCGAAAACGGACTCGATTCCCACCCGACTATCACCCCGCGTGGACCGTCTCTGGTAAAGTGAAACATTACCCTGTCATCGGGACGTCCTCACCGTCCTCTTCACTTGCCCCCTCATCCGCATGCTGTTTATCCAGGTCCTCCCATGTGGGCGGCGTCGCAGTCGACAGTTCAAGACGCTTTGTCGCACCCTCCCCAAGTTCCGTGGGATACCTTTCCAGTCTTGTTGCCAGACTCGGTCTCCCCTTCGGTCGTCTGCCTGGCCCCTTGTTCTTCTGCTTCCCGACATCGGGCTCTTGACCAATCTTCTTCCGTCTCGGCCTGTAATCGACCGTCTTTCTATCATCCCAATCTTTCCCCTGCCCGTCGGTAGCGTGGACGGTGACTTCGTCCTTGTCACCTCTCTTTATCTTGAGGGCTATCAGATTCTCCAGGAAATTGGCTTGTTCGGCGCGCTCGCCGGTCCTATCCTTTCCGATGGGGATGCGGATCTTGCATTCTTCCTTGATGGGGGCGAGGGTATCGACAGAGGGTATTTTGGGGCGAGGGATCTTCTCGCTCGTCATTATGCGGGAGGAACTGGCGGCCAGAAGGGATATGTCGCCGGGCAGAGTGCGGAGCGAAGGGAGCGTGGCCAAGTTGGGGGAGGAGGTGCTAGTGAGGATGACTTCAGTTCCAATGACTTCGGCCCAGTGGCCTTGGAAGAGGCGGCCTCTGTAGGAGAAGAGGGGGTTGGGAGTGTGGAGATCGAGGATTTGCATGTCTTCAATTTGCAAAGGTTCTTCTTGCTCGAGTTGGTCTTCGGTTCGGGGGGTTCCGGCTTCTTTGGGCTTTTGCGTGTTCAAGGGCGGACGGGCCGTTGCTTCGGCTTTGCCCTCGCTGAGGGCCAAGAGTGCTGGGTCCAGCGGCGTGCCGTCATCTTCGTAGTCTTGCTCTGCGGTGACGTCGTCGTTGTCGCTGTTGTCGCCTGTGGCCGGATTCGTCTCTTGCGGCGGCTGCGTGTGGGTATCGTGAAAGGGAGTTTTTTCCGCCCAGTTCTTGTAGTATCCGCCGCGACTGTGCTGGTGGACTCTTGCTGAGCGTTCCCTGAATTCGGGATATGAGAGTTCTACTGTCAGGTAGAATGTCTGTATGGAAAGCCGGTGAGCGACACACACGCACACAAGCGCGAGAGACAGACGTACCTCTGTCTCTGTAGCGGAGTACTCGTACTCCCATTCCTCCTGATCGTCGTTGGTCACCTGCGCGAGGACCTGGTCGAGAGACAAAGCCCCGGGTTCATTTGGGGTAAAGGCGCCCTTTGGTCTCTCCATCGAGCTGACTTTTGTGGGTGGACAGAAGCAAAGCGACCATTGGGGCGGGAGAAACAAGGGGTGGAAATCGGTGGCGCACTCGATCCCAGTGATGTGCAACTTGTGCTCTCTCCTGTTGCTCCCGCATGAATTGTCGGAGGCAGTCTGGATGAGGTGCAGAAAATGAGCTGTTGTCTGCAATGTGGGTTGAGTTTGAGGTGTCGGTTCCAACTTCTAGCTTCCGTCTTCCGTCAAATGGCTGGTGCAATTTAACTAAACTGTTTTCGGTCAAGTGGCAAGGGTCCTCCCAAAGGCACTAGTGGTTAACTAGTAGTTATCATGTCTTCAAGACTTTGATTCAGGTGAAGCTACCAACATGGTCATGGTGCTGATGGAGACGTGAATAATATGTTTAATGGTTCCGAGAGAGTTGTGTTTTACCGGATCGACGCTGGAATCCAGATGTCCCTGTGCCCCTAGTAGAGGCACTTCCCTTCGTCATTGTCTATCGATAAAGACACGTGGGGGGGGCCTTCAGTGCCCCGCCATCGCAACTGCATCTCATGCATGGGCCATGAGTCCGGACACTTCGTCTTATGCGCCCTTGGCATTCTAGATTCGACTCACCATTTTTTTGTTATGTGCGTGATTTCCGTCTCCCGACTCAGAAGCCCGACCGTCCACCCCTTTCCCTCAGCTCGGACCATTTTTACTTCAGTCGCCGCGAAACCGTAGCATCTATCCGCCCCGGTCCCCTGATCACATCCTCTCCTCCAACCTCGTCTTGTCGCAATCAGATAGCTTTTCGCCGTTTCTCACAAAGGGGGCTCACAATGCCCAAGGTTCACTTGCTAGACTACGTCGCCGGCAACATCCGCAGCCTGGTGAATGCCGTTGAGAAGCTCGGATACGAGGTCGATTGGATCCGGTCGCCAGAAGATGTGCCCCGGGCAGAGGTATGGTTCATCGTCATCGTCGTCGTCATCACCGCACCACGACCGGTGGCAGCGCAAAGTGACTCGAGCCGACTTGGCTGACTGCGACTGCGACGTGTAGAAGCTTATCCTCCCGGGAGTAGGCCACTTTGGCCACTGCCTCTCCCAGCTCTCGCATGCAGGCTACCTGCCCGCCATCCAGAAGCACATTGACGAGGGCAAGCCCTTCATGGGCGTGTGTGTCGGTCTGCAAGCCCTCTTCGAAGGGTCCGTCGAAGACCCCGACGTGCGCGGACTCGGTGTCGTCAAGGGATCCTTGGGCCGCTTCGACGACTCGACAAAGTCCGTCCCGCACATTGGCTGGAACAGCGCGAGCACCGCCGGCCGGTCCATGTACGACTTGCGCCCAGACTCGAAATACTACTACGTCCACACATACCGCTTCCCCTACGTCGAGGGCCAGCTGGAGTCGCAAGGGTGGACCGTCGCCAAGGGCACCTACGGCACGGAAACCTTTGTCGGCGCCGTGGCCAAGGGCAACATTTACGCAACCCAGTTCCACCCGGAAAAGTCGGGCGTGGCAGGCCTGCGAACCCTCCGCGCGTTCCTCACGGGACAGGGCGCCAAGACGCTCGGCTCGCCGTCCTCCCCGGCGGACGAGGCGTCCCCAAGTGCCGGAGACGGCCTCACCCGCCGCGTCATCGCCTGCCTCGACGTCCGCACCAACGACCAGGGCGACCTCGTCGTCACAAAGGGGGACCAGTACGACGTCCGTGAAAAGAACGACGCCCGCGACGTCCGCAACCTCGGCAAGCCCGTCGAAATGGCCAAGAAGTACTACCACGACGGCGCCGACGAAGTCACCTTCCTCAACATCACCTCCTTCCGCGACTGTCCCATCGCCGACCTCCCCATGCTGGAGGTCCTGCGCCAGACGTCGCAGACCGTCTTCGTCCCCCTCACCATTGGCGGCGGCATCCGCGACACCGTCGACACCGACGGCACCAAGGTGTCCGCGCTCGAAATCGCAACAATGTACTTCAAGTCAGGCGCCGACAAGGTCTCAATCGGGAGCGACGCCGTCATCGCCGCAGAGGAGTACTACTCCCTCGGCCGCAAGCTCTTCGGCAACACGGCCCTCGAGCAGATTTCCCGCGCCTACGGGAACCAGGCTGTCGTCGTAAGCGTGGATCCGAAGCGCGTGTACGTGCCAAAGGTGGACGCTACCCGCCACAACATCATCGAGACCAAGTTCCCCGGCCCAAAGGGCGAGCCCTACTGCTGGTACGCGTGCACCATCAAGGGCGGCAGGGAGACGCGGGACATGGACGTTGTCGAGCTGGCACAGGCCGTGGAGGCCTTGGGCGCGGGGGAGCTGCTGCTGAACTGCATTGACAAGGACGGCTCAAATAGCGGCTTTGATCTGGAGCTCATCACGCAGGTCAAGAGCGCCGTCAAGATCCCCGTCATTGCGTCGAGCGGTGCTGGTAATCCGGAACACTTTGAAGAGGTCTTCAGCAAAACTACCACGGATGCCGCTCTCGGTGCCGGCATGTTCCACCGCGCCGAGTATACAGTCAAGCAGGTCAAGGATTACTTGAAGGAGAAGGGCCTTGTAGTGAGGCAATTTGAACAAGACCTGTCATGATGTACATGTAGATGGATATCGAGGCATTTTATGCGTTTTGGGTGTTCCCCCAGCCCTTGGACGACTTTTTTTTTTTTGTTTCTTTTTTTTTTTGGTCGGGGTCAAATATTTATGTTATTTAGTCCACACCAACTCTCGAAGCTAAAATTTGGATTCAATTCGTCCGTGCATGATGCTGTGGTATGCTTCTCCGGTAGATAATGAGAGACAATCTCAAAAGTGAACCATTCCTTGCATGCTGCAACGCCACCGGAAAGTCACATTCCAGACCAACAAGTACAAACTCATAGTACGCGAAAGAAATAGGTGGCAAATAATAATTCGAGCATTACGCCAGGTTGAGATCCGTATCTGCCAGACGCCGGAACGTATTTTTCCACTCATAGTAAAACTGGAAAACAGCAACAAATAACCGCAAAACGGCAACGAGTCAGAAAGAGAGTGACAAAAGGAAAAAGGAGTTTGGCAACACGAGTTCGGATTCGCAAGATGAATTCCACTGCAGTCAAACCCTGGCTCCAGGACCCGAGACATAGCCCGTCACCCCTACAGTTCCATGCCCATGAATACCCACCGTTTGCTCGTGACATCGAGGTTATTTGCCCAGTGGTCCAGCGTAGTGATTTCGAATCCGACCCATTGCAGGCTTTTGGTCAATTCGTGTGCTTCCTCAAGGGGAATGCGGCGATCAACGCAAGTGACAATGTGTGCGCAGTTCAAAGGACCATCGGCAAGCTCAATCAAAGCCATGAGACTAGAAACAGGGTTTGTAAGGGCGAAGTTCAATCGTAGCGATGTATTGCATTAAAGGAAGGGGGGGGGCAACTCACGCTTTCTTGAGATCTCGTCCAACAACGCCTTCAATGTCAAAAAATACGAACAAGGATCTTTCCTGCCCGTTACTTGCCACAAAGGCCCGAAAACTCGCACCGCCAGCGTAGTCCCAAACCTCCATCCACGCATCAACTTCAAATCCTCGAGACTTGATGTCCATGCGTTGCCGGAAGACGTCAAGCAACGGGTCCTCTAGTGGCGGTGTTTGCAAATAAGCACCTGACAGGCCGGAGCCATCCATCGACAGGTTCCTCTCACCGTGGAATACTGCCTTCATGGACTCACAAAAGAATCTCTCACATTCTTCCCTGATCATGAGTGCTGCCCCCCCTCGCCGCTCCGGGCGTCGGCGACCCGGATTGTCGCGCTTCTTGTCCTTAGGAAGAAGAGCGAGCTCGTTGGACGAGGTCAGCGCGGCGAGGGGGGGGCTTGTCGGAGGGGAAGGTAGACCTGAGGTAGGGACCTCAGGAATACCACTCCGCCCCTGCACATTAGTCAGCATCGGGGTTGAGGAGATCACGATCATGGCTGAAAGCAGTCAAATGACAAAAGTGACGGAGCCGCATGGCATATCACATGCGGCATCGCGCCAAGTAGGAAGCCTTGAGGAACATACCTGCAGCCCCAGTAGTGCAGTAGTGGGTGCCCTTGAGCTGGGCAGCTGAGTCGACAATGTAGCAGGAGGCAAGGACGTTGACTCGGACAACTACGTCCTCGCCGTAATTACTACTACAATTCGAATTCTGGTTACTTAAAAGCGCCATTGTTATAGTTGTTCCACGATTGCTGTATTGAAATTGGATTCGATGGATTCGATGGGGGGTCGTCGCAGGTAAGTTGGCTGGCGACGTCGGCTGAGTGGATTGCGGTGGCGACGGGATTGTTGTATCAATGTAGACGCGTACGGGCGATTTAAAGTCGATGACGATTTGGTAGAGTCAGTGAGCAACACAAGGACGTAGTAGAGATAAGCTGGAAATTGTGCTGCGAAGAGGCGTCTGCGAGTGAAAAGGCGGATTGAGAGCGGCTTGTGTTGTGCAACGGATCATGTGCGATGGTGGAAAAAGGAAAAGCAGAAATGACCGGAGTCGGGGAGAGTGCTGACAAGTCACCCGAGACACCCGGGACTTGGATTCTCCCAGTCATTTCAATTTGCAGCGCACCATCTGGCTATCCATGAGACGGCGTGGGGCTGCACGGCAATGCCACTCCTCATACTGTGTACTTGGCTTTTTGTTAGCCGAACCCCGCTCTGCCTAGGTACCTAACTTAATACAGTCTCCCTCTTCTCCGTAGTTCCAAGTCACTGTCTGCAAGCCACGTGCATTCCTTCACCTCTCTAGCCCGCCAATGGTGAAACTCTACCGCCAAGCCCCGACACAGCCGCTTGGCAGTTGTGTGCATAATCCCGTCATCCTGTCACCAATCATGTCAATGCACTTGCGAGGGCTTGAGCATGAAATTCCTTGTACTATATGTCTCGTGACCAATTGCCCAAGGTTGACATGATACTGTCTTTGGACCTGTCAACTTGCACTCGGATATCACGGGTCGGGCTGCACGGCCATTATCGTCCGATTCGAATAATCAAACCCGTGTGGATTTTCGCTACTTTTGCTCTTTGATTGACACAATTCCCGTCACCCGTTCATTCAAACGATGCAGTGTACAGCATTAACCCATAGAGCAACCTGTGGGCTTGGTGATCTACAACCCGCCAGTTGAGGCATAGTGCCACATGTTCTGCATCTCTCTTCCTTACACGACGTAACTGCTTAGGTATCTATATCATACATATTGCGCTACTATGTACACCGAATGTGCATTGTATTCAATTTTGACGGTTCCCATTCTTTCCCTCTCGTTAGGATTACACATGCCTTGCGCTTAGACTCGCAAATGCATCTGGACTATGTCTTCCATTCGTCCAAGTCATATCAAGCCCAAGGTTCATGCTCTCCCTGCTAGTTTGCTTATTTGATATGAAAGGAACCGCTTGGGTCGAAGCTTGGTTCATGTACGGACTTGTATTTGTATTTTGAGGTATTGGCTGCGACGGACTGTGTGGTTGCTGGTTTGCCGAGGGCAGCAGCTGGGTGGATTGAGTGTAGATGACCTGATTTTCCGGTATACTTGGAGTTGCCGTCTTCATGTTTGGCCCTGCGGCTGCAGGGTTGAAACTTTCTTGTCCAGGTTGATTGAACAGCGCCATTATTGACGCTTTGTCATGTCGGGGTTTTTGGTAGTATGATTGTTGAGGATGCTGAACGGCAAGTGTTTGTTGGGCGAGCTGCTGTGTTTGTGGCTGTTGCTGGTGCGGCAGCTGTATGTTGGCAAAGAATGGATTTGTTGATGTCGGCAGCGGGTGAGGTGACGCACTGAGGAACGGCGACTCGGAGAAATTGGACTGGGCTTGTTCTGGTATCTGTATAAGGGCCGGGGAAGCTATCCTCGTAGGGGATCGTAGGAACGGATTGTTGGCAAGCCCTCCCTGTGCCGTGTTCACGTTCAGGTTTTGCAGAGCTGGAGCTGGACTCGACGGCTGAGAGAAGAACCGGTTGTAGCCGGTCTGCATGGGTTGCTGGAGCGAAGAAATCGGTTGCGGATACGTCATGCTGTTCTGGAAAGCCATGGGCTGATAACTCTGAGGGCTAGCGGGAGCCGACGGCGACGTGTGCTGCTGGTGGTACGGTTGCTGCTGCTGTGGCATTTGAAATTGATGTACGCCATTAGACGGAGGAAAGAATACCGGATGAGACGCGGACGTTGACACATGTAGACCTTGAAACACCTGACCAAGATCGGCTTGTTGCGAAGGAGCTCCAAAGGGGTTATTCGTGCTATTGTATGGGCTCTTATTATGCAGCGTGCCTGTAGACTGGGCGGTTTGAGGCTGGGCAGGTGGCATCATGTCGAAGGGATTGGTAGATGTTGTGGATGACGTGGTTGGTCTATCAAGCTTCGGCTTCTGTGGAACGTCCAAGGTCGGCCCAAGCCCAGCTGCGACTGAATTCGAATTCAACGGAGTCATGGATCTTGTGGCACGCAGTGTAGGTTCTCGAAGTGCCGGCACAGGTGCTGGGGATTGATTTCCACCTTCTCCTAGCCGGACCAAAGCCTCAACTGCCCGATCCAGCTCGCCGTTAACACCTTTGAGAACTATCGAATTGCGCTGAGAATCCTGAAATCCCATTTCGTAAAGCTTCGTCAGTTTCTTGTCAGTTTCATCTGGTCCGTCATAATCAATGGTGGCTCCGAAAAGCCTAGACGGCTTGTTTGGCAACGTCGGGGACGGCACTGCGCCACCACTCGAGCTGCTCACAGCTCGCTGCTCCTTCTTTGCGCGAGATGTCAAGGGAAAAATAGACGAAGCTGATCTGAATCCGAATTTGGTTGAGTTCTTGGGCGGTAACGGCGGTGGCGTCCCTTCGTCTGATCCCCGGCTTGGCGGCTTGCTTGGCTTGGCGGCGATATTGTGAAAATATTTCTGGCGAATAAACCGCTCCATGGCCGAGTCGACCTCGTCAGCGTCAATCGGCACCGGTGGTTTTCGACCCTGGGGATTGTATATCTGGTTCGAAGTGACGTTGCCAACCTTGCGCATATTCTAAACAAACACGTCAGGAATTTCAAGGCAGTCGGGTCTCATGGTAGCAGGCTCTCGCAACGTACATCAACCTGCTCGTTGGACCAGGTGTCCATACTCAGCGACTTGACCTTGGAGATATGGGTGCCTAGCTTTCGGTGTATCGCGGCACAGCGCATACATAGGAAAACGCCCAACTAGAGATTGATCAGTATCAAGGGGACTTCGACGCCGTTGGGTGGAAATACGTCTTTCATACACTCCATGATGCCCAAGCTGCGAGCGCGATTTCGTCAGTTAACATGACGACAAATGAGATCAGACGGGGAGGGTTGAACAAACCTGGGTTTCTCGCGTGGCAGTCTGCGCATACATTGTTGCCCGGGACCTTGTGAACGAGGTCTTGGAGAGCCTTTTCATTGCGCGCTTGCTGGCGCTTGCTCAGAGCACTGGTCATGGCGCCGGGGGGGGGGGATTATAGGTTAGGGCAATGTACGATTAGAGGAAATCCAAGGGCTCTGTTGGCCGCCGAGTTGAATGGGTATCTTGCAGGGTAAGGGAAGCAGGGTGATGGAAACCAAGATGAAGAGCAGTCGCGTGCGAGCGATGATGCAAGTTATTCAAAGACCATGGTGACGAGGAAAGGAGGGACGAGAGAAAAAAAAAGTGTGAAACGCAGACTTCAGGCGAGGGGTGAGGAGGACAAGTTTAAGAAAACAAAAGTGACGCAGACAAAGGGATTAGCAAAGCGCAGTGAGGCACCTCGGGACTCCAGCCGCCGTTGCAATGCCGCAGAGTTGTTCAAATCTCGAGGGTTCACGGATGGTCTGGCCGAAAAGGAGACGATCAAGACGTCTGTCTGGCGGGCGAGCTGCCGTCAAGGGTTAGGCCAAGCTGCGCTCTCTTTAGTGGGGGGCTTCGAGCCCAAAGCATGGCCGGAGACCCGCAGTGGACGTCAACTGGTTCGAATTGTCGGTGCTATCGAGCGCTGTGGGAGCACTAACCAGCCCAGGCATTTTCGGTGCCTGAGCCCGGGTGCCATCGATGTCTCTTCAGCGCCCACCCACCCCGCAGTCGTAGCGCACCATCCATTGTCGCGGGCCAGGAGAAACGGTGTGATCCATTCATCACACATCTGTTCGCGAGGCTGGACACGGATGTCGGCCCAGGTCAAGCAGTAGTTATCCAATAATGCCATTTCGGAATCTCGGGATGACTGACTCTTCGGTGGCGTCTGGCCAAGCATGCAGACGAAAGCGTCGTTGTCCGACATGGCGCCATTGAAGGCGCTGGGAACGAACGAGCCGAGAGTCGGCAGCCACATGCCTCCAACCTCAAATTTGTCGAGTACCGCCCACCTATAGCTGCTTGAGTATTTACGTACTTAAGGAAGGTACATGGAGCAAGTTGCAGACTGGACCTGGTTGGGTTCTGCTCTTTTTACAAGGGCGACGCCGGCCCTCCAAGCTTTGACGGGTTGTCACGGGCGCATCAGACGAGCCATCTCGACATCCACGAGTTACCTACCCTAGGTACTTCAGTAGATAACCTACCTGCTGCTTGTTCGGTTGGAAGGTTGGTCCGTGCCCCCCATCCGTCCGTGTCGCCGCCTCCAGGCATGGATATTCCATCATTCGTGCCGCGGCCAATATAACTGCCAACTGTCCATGTCCTTGTCCCTATCAACCCTGCGAAACAACAGTCTGTACATATCGGCATTTTTCAGAATCATGATTTATTAGAGTACCTACGCACGATACCCCAAGTAACCTGCCAACTGGTTATCAACTTGGTCACCTAACATGCATGGCCACGACCTGCACGAGCTTTGCACGTGCAGCTTGGACCAGACGCCCGCCCCAGTCATGTCTGGTTGGCCCCACTGGGCTTCCGCTGCTCGAGTCATGTCAGTGCCTGTTGCTCGCCCTTTTGCAGCTGATCTACTCCGTACAGCACCCAGCATCGGTTCCCCAGGCTTCAAATGTTGCCTGATGCAGCGGTCAGCCATGTGCCCCCAGCCCTGAACTGAACCGCAGTTCCGGATACTGAATCCTCGTTGGCCAACTCCACCAATTCTCCGCCGTCCTCGGGGCTGCGGTCCGCGACTCCCGACGGCAGTTTTGCGTGTGATACCTCGGTCGCCCACGTCCACTCTGCATGAGCGTTGCCATCGGCTTTGCATCTCTCCAACACTCGTGCCCTGCATCTTCGCCATGGAGAGTTGATCAAGGAGCTTTCCGCGTGCACCGTTTAAGGGGTGCAACCTAGCCGCACTACTGACCGCCATTGGCATTGCTTCCCCTCGCTCCAGGACCTCAGTGCCACGGCGCTCATCATGGCCGGTATTGAGAAGCTCGAGGTTCATAGCAAGGTACGAGCCACCTGTCACTCCCATCTCCCTGCGCCAGCGTCACCCACGGCCGTAAAGCGCTGCCTCTTGAGCCCGATCTGACCTCAAACAAGTCGTACATAGTCCGCTGGGTGAGAGTCGACCAAGACAATACTCTCTCGTGGAGTGTGCAGCCCAACAAAAAGTCCATGTGAGCCATCTCAGGACTGAGCCGTTTTACATGTCATCGCATGCGACTGCCGACTTGGCTGACACTATTGTATCAATAGCAACTTCGGTATCGTGAAACATCCAGGCAGCGGCGCAGCGACACTCCTCTCGGCGACTGGTGACGTGCTCGACAGTGCTCCTGTTCAGGGCACCACAGACGGCAAGGGAAGTCGATTTGCGAAGAAGGAGACCACCGCACAAGACTTGCTGATCAGCAAGGGCTTCATCCCGATCCTGTGGCATGGGAAGTGCGAAGCGGACAAGGTTTCCAGGGGTACACACGATGTTCATGTCGGCGATGGTGGCATGTATGGGCTAGTTTTTGATAACACCTTTTCCAAACAAACCTCCAAGACAGCCACATTCGTTGTCCTCACATATCCGACTGGGGCACCACCCCAGACAACCAACAACCTACCGAACCTGCAATTGCCGAATGCTGAGACCAGCCAGTCTAGCCTGGGAAAGTATGGGACTCCTCAAAATGAGAATGGTCCCTCCGCCTCGGTCGACAGTCTTCCAAGTCAGGGTCGCAAGCGGGCGCAATCTTCGGCTGCGAAGAGTGATGCCACGATAGCGCCGCTGAATTACCATGTTGGTACACTTTCAAAGAGACGACGCAAGAAGAGACAAGGCTATGCTCGCCGCTTCTTTTCATTGGACTACTCAACCTGCACTCTGTCATACTATTACAATCGAAACTCATCTGCCCTGCGTGGAGCTATCCCTCTCAGCTTGGCTGCCATCGCCGCCGATGAGCGCAGAAGAGAAATCAGCATCGACTCTGGCGCTGAAGTTTGGCATTTGCGGGCACCAAATGACAAGGAATTTCAGGACTGGGCACAGGCACTGGAGAGGGCTAGTCGCCTTGCTCGAGGTCTAGACACGCTGGCCAAGCCCTCGAGGCCTGCTCTGAAGCTTGACGATCATCACCTCGACAAGACACAAGATTTGTGCCATAGTGAAACCGTTGAATGGCAGCAGGTTGAGACGCTAGTCAGCCGTGTCGTGGGCACGCGCGATGCTCTCCGCCGGCTGACGAAGGAAGTTTCCCACTTGCCGAGGCCTTCACCAAGCGGACAGTTCCTGTCACCCGGCCTTGGAACCCCAAGCGAAGAGAGCCGGGACAGTTACTTCCCTGCGACAGTGGAAAAGAAGCCATTCTGGAAACGAAAGTCTAGTGCCCCAGGTTTGTCAAGCTCTCCCACTCCGCAAACCACAGCGTCAGGCCTGGCTCTGCCTTCCCCCGGCAGTGCCACCAGCGGTGCGGGAACCGTGGCCCGCCAGGTGTCTAGGCGAAGGTCTCGTGGAGGAGCTCAAGAGGAGAAGTCTCTGCACGATCACTGTGGAGCCCTACTGTCTGATCTTGACTCCGTCGTCTCCGAATTCACTGCTCTGATTGCCAACAGCAAGAGACGTCGTTTGCCACTCACCCCGTCTGCCGAGGGTGCTTCCCGCATGAGTATCGAAACGACATCTACGGATGAATTCTTTGATGCTGAGGACGCGAAATCCGGCGTCGTCAAGATCGATGGCAGCGAGGACGAATCCGCCGAGACCGAGGCCGAGGAGGAATCTATCCACGAAAGCTCATCCATTTCCTCCATCGAAGACGAAGAGGGGGTTGGCATAGAGGGCGCCGGCGATGTTTATCCCGTCAGGCCAAAGAATCTCAGTCCTCTGCCTCTTGACAAAGCCGTGACACGAAGAAGTGGAATACCGCCTGCGCTGGTCCAACCACCAAGTCTTATTGCATTCGTTCGCAAGAACGTTGGAAAGGATCTCAGCACGATCAGCATGCCCGTGTCCGCCAACGAGCCCATATCTTTGCTTCAGAAGGTTGCCGAGTCACTCGAATATGCTCAGCTTTTAGACAAGGCCTGTAGACAGAAAAGCCCGACAGAGCGGCTACTCTTTGTTACGGCGTTTGCTGTGTCTCAGTTCAGTGGTGGTCGAGCCAAAGAACGAGCCATTCGCAAACCGTTCAACCCTCTTCTTGGTGAGACGTTTGAACTGGTCAGGACGAACAAGGAAACACCGGGGGGTTTCCGATTGCTCGTGGAAAAGGTTCAGCATCGGCCGGTGAGGCTAGCCATGCAAGCGGACTCGGCAAACTGGTCATTCTCGCACTCGCCGGCTCCAGGACAAAAGTTCTGGGGCAAGAGTGCCGAAATCACCACCGATGGTCGCGTCCGGGTTGTCCTACGCTTGACAGACGGCAATGACGAGCTGTACTCGTGGAACGTAGCGACCATGTTCCTGCGCAACGTGGTCATGGGTGAAAAGTACGTCGAGCCTGTCGGATCAATGCACGTATCCAACGACACGACCGGCCACAAAGCCAATGTCGAATTCAAAAGCAAAGGCATGTTTGGTGGCCGCGCCGAAGACGTCCATGTAACTACGTTCAGTCCGGACGGCGGCGACACAGGCAGTGGCCTTGCAGGGACCTGGACGGGCGGCCTTAAAAGCGTCGGTCCCGGCAAAGCAGCCAGCGAAGAGATTTGGGAAGTGGGCGAAATGGCAGACAACCCATCTCGAACCTACGGCATGACGCTCTTTGCGGTGAGTCTCAACGAAATCACCGAGATTGAAAAGGGGAAAATAGCACCGACGGACACGCGACTCCGCCCTGACCAGCGCCTCGCTGAAAAGGGAGACTTGGATGGAGCTGAGAAGTGGAAACATAACCTCGAGGAGGCGCAACGTGCTCGGCGGCGAGAGATGGAGGATAAGGGACATGTCTATCGGCCGAGGTGGTTTGTCAGGGCAGAGGATAGTCCCGATGGCGAGGAAGTGTGGAAGATAAAGACGGGCAAGGAGGGCTACTGGGAGGAAAGGGCAAAGGGAACTTGGAGCGGAGTACAAGAATTGTTTGACGTGCCCGAGTTGTAGGCGGGCTTTGTCTTTTTCCCTTTTCTAGACCACCTTTCTTGGATAGAGTGTTTTGACAATACGCGCGTTGAATAGGTCAAGCTCTCTTGATGATGTGCGATGTCAAATATAAACTCATGCTGCGTACGGCAGAGGATCCTCCTTTAGTGCGTCAAAGGTGCACCTTTCGTGTGAACGGAAGCCCGTCCAATCCAAGGGAGGTGGGTTGAGAGCCGAGGTTTACCCTGGGCCGACGACGACGATGACGACGACGACTGGTCGCATTGCTGCTGCAAAACAAGAAAAAACTAAATCCTAACTGTGTGGCACCGCCTCCATCGAGCCAATCCCGACTTTGAAAAGCTTAATCAGCAGGTGGTGACTGTAGGGCAGGCAAGTACCTAATTTTTTAATAAAACATCTCATCGAGATAAGTCACCAACTACGATAAGTCACCAACTACGTTATTTTCCTGCTATTGAACTTGTATCATACCTCAAGCACTTGGTTACTGAACAGTTACTGCTGGAAATAAGCCGAGTTGCTGTTAACTCCAGAGGTTCCTCTGCATGACACTCCACAAATTTCTCGTCAGATCATCCATGGCCAAAGTTACAGGGAGTTGAGCGTAGATACGTGACTACCACGGGTCACTGGCAAGGGGGTGTGGCGGAGAAACCTCGTACGTGCCTAGCATGTATGTGCACATCTAGGCACCTGCCTTAGCTACTTAGGTACCTAAGTAGGTAAGTACTTCAGATTCGAATACAACATGAGGGGAGGGGACAGGCCGTAGCGCGGTCGCTCTTGGTCCCCTTTTATACGGATTACTCCGTACTAGACGCAGCACTAGCACGGAATACGAATCCGCACAAGATGAAGATGTGCACACTTCTTGCCGCCACGGCATCCATACAGTGTGGTGACGACGTCGCATTCCAAGGCCATCCTTTGCTTGGGGGGGTGGGGCGGGGGTTTCAGGGGCACTTGGGCCGTCTGGGCGGCTCCTCAACTGAAGCTGGGACGGGCAGTGCAGTGCAGTTGATTGACTGACTGCCTTGCGTTTGGGCGGATTCTGATGGCCCATGGGGGTGTGGTTGCGGAAACCAACAATTGGGCTGGCGAGGTACGGAGTACGGAGTACACGAGGATGAAAACTTCGACGTTGGTGGCACCTGTGACTTGACTCGGACGCTTGAGCAACTGCGCGGGTCAGGGGCCCTTGACCTTTCTACGGCTCATCAATGCCTCTCGAGATCCATCAGGAAAGGCACGTGTTGATGGTTGCGGGCTGACTTTGGAGAGTGTTCAAGTACTCCGTAGCTGGATACTTTTCAATGTTGCTCTATGGCGTCCGGTAAGTAATCACACATGCACAACTTACTTGAGTAAGTACATGAGTACTCGAGTACCTAGGCACTCAGGTACCAAGACGCCATGGAGACGAGATCAACAGGCGCCAGACGGGGCCAGCACTGGAGTCGGGGCAGCCTCAGGCAGCCCAAACACAGGGCACCAGTTGACTGGCATCACTATGGAGCACTGTAAACCTTCTTATTAGTGTCCAGACAACCACTAACCTAGGTACCAACCACCAAGGGCGTCCTCCCGAGTCCCCAGGCTCTGGTCCCTGGCTGTGGCTGGCCTTCGTTTCCAGACCAGTCAAGCTCTGCCAATCACTGCGCCTTCGTCGTGAATACTCCCACCCCCCTCCGACCCCTTTCAAACTGCCACGTCTTTCCTTTTTGTCTTGGACTCCGGGTGCTAGGTCGCGCTCGCAAGCCGGCAAGTAGAATTCAACCCAGGTGGCTGTGCCTGCCTGCTCCTCCCACATCTTCATCAGTGTCACTCTTTCTCTTCCTCCCGAACCCAACGCGTTACATCTTCGTGCGACTTCCTCTTCGTTGCCATTAATCCAACTCCCTCGTTGCTGGATTTTTTGTTTCTTTCTTGTCATCTCCTTCTAATCTCCTTCTAATTCCAGGTCTGGCCGATACTTATTTAGCCACGCCAACTTCCTCTCGCCGACGTCCCTCCACCCACTCACTCACTCTCTTGAGGGTTTCTTTTTTGCCATTTCATACGACTAGACCACGACAGCTGTAACCAAACACACAATTGCCTTGCCTCCCGGTATCGATTCACATCATGAAGGGCTTCGTATTTGCTTCAGCCCTGGCCGCCGTTGGCACCGTCACGGCATCGCCAACGGCCACCGAAAAGGAGCCCCCTACCAAGCGTGCCGGCTCTGTTGCTGTCACGGTTTCTGGCAACGGTAAGCCGCCGCCAATTGATCCGCTCTAAACACTTTTCGACATTGTCACCCTGCTGCCCTTCTGGAGCTCACCAGTCGACCGTGCTGGTCGAGAGCGCGCCCATCTTGTCACAACGTGCTCAGTGTGCTAACTTAGACTGCCCGCAGCCTTCTGGAAAGGCAAGGAGCGATTCTACCTCCGCGGCATTGACTACCAGCCCGGCGGCTCGTCCGCCAACGAGGACCCTATTGGCGATCCCACTGTCTGTCTTCGCGATATCGCCGTCTTCAAGGATCTGGGAGTGAATGCCATTCGTGTTTACGCCGTCGACAACTCTTTGAACCATGACAAGTGCATGCAGGCTCTCGAGGACGCAGGCATTTATCTGGTTCTCGATGTCAACAACCCCAAGTACTCCCTCAACCGTCGTAACCCCGGGCCTTCATATAATGCCAAATACCTGCAGAGTGTTTTCGCCACTGTCGATATGTTTGCCCGCTATCCCAACACCCTCGCCTTCTTCTCGGGTAATGAGGTCATCAACGACGAGAAGGACACTGACAAGGCTGCGCCGTACGTCAAGGCTGTCACTCGCGACATCAAAAACTACATGAATTCTCGCGGTCTTCGCAAGGTTCCTGTTGGCTATTCCGCTGCCGATGTCTCTTCAAACCGAATACAGACTGCCCACTACATGAACTGCGGCACCGATGACATGCGATCCGACTTCTTCGCATTCAATGATTACTCGTGGTGCAACTCAAACTTCAAGCAGTCTGGCTGGGATCAGAAGGTTAAGAGCTTCAGTGACTACGGCATTGCTATTTTGTAAGTTGCGCCTTCCATTCACCTGATTGACGATGTTCTGACTTGATCCCTTTTTACAGCTTGTCCGAGTACGGATGCATTGACAACGGCCCCCGCAAGTTTGGAGAGATTGGGGCCTTGATGAACAGCCAAATGACTAGTGTCTACTCTGGTGGTCTGATGTACGAATACACGTATGAGGCTAACAAGTACGGTATCGTCGAGCTCTCGGATGGGCTCAAGTCCTCGTCTGTTAGTAAACGAGACGACGAGTTTAACGCATTCAAGTCTGCTCTGAAGAACAACCCTGCCCCTACTGGTGCAGGCGGTGCGGCGTCGACCACTCACGCTGTCAACTGCCCTACCTCTGCTACTGGCTGGCAGGTTGACCCCAGTCTGGTCCCCGAAATGCCCAGTCAAGCTCAGAAGTACATGAAGAGTGGCGCTGGTAAGGGACCAGGTTTCGAGCTCGACGGTGATGGCTCCCAGAACGCGGGTGACAGTGGTACCTCGACTGCTGGCGTTACTGGCGGTTCGCCCTCTCCCACTGGCAGCGGTGCCAAGGAATCTGACAACGCTGGTATTAGCACCGTCGGTCCTGTCGAGAAGGCACCCTTCATCATGACTGGATTGGTCATGTTTTTCACACTGTTTGGCGCCTTGCTTCTCTAATTTCGTCTGCAAAACTGGCGATGATGATGAGATGGGCAGATCTTTTGTTGCCTTTTTTTCTCTCATAGGGGGGCAAAGAAAAAACTTTGTAAATCGGTTGAAAAAGATCTTCACTCTTGAGAAGCTCCGTGCTGTTAGGGGTCATTGGGTTGCTTCTTTGTTTCAGTAGTTGACTGGTCAGCGGTCAGATGCCGCCGGTCTGGAGGGTACGATAGTAATTCATGTTAGGCTGTGGCCGCCACGTTGATCAAAGTCATTGCACAATGTCGTCATGGAATAGAAGGGCACGAAAGTAGATGGTAAGGTCGTCTACCACAGGCGCGGTTGCTGGTAGCAAAAGCACCGACCGATGGCGGGCGCTTTCAAGAGATCATGTTGCATCATCGGATTGGCTGACAATGAATGACATGATACGCAGAGAGTTGTAACATCAGAAGCCCCTAAAGATCAACATGTTTTATACATGTCGACTGGCAGCAGCAGGCGTTGAAGACCTCGTGTCGTCTGTGGCAAGGCAAGACCATTGTTGATGAACCGACAAGCCCGTGGGTGTATGATGTATCTCAGAAGCAAGAAGCAATAATGCTCACGTGAGCGTCCGGAGCGGCGAGCAGTTTTGGACCTTGGTAACGAGAATCCAGCGGGGACCCGACGCGGCTAAATGTGGAGAAGCATCGCCCAGGACCTCGGCTCTGCGGCGATCAGCTCATCGTACGTATCTTGTAGGCCGGCTGCCGGGACGGAGCTTCAACCTCGACGGGCGCGTTTGACCGTGTCCGCCCAACCACATTTAAACCCTTTCTCCTCCGCCTCCGCCTCCCCCCGCGCCTTCCCATCCTCCTCCTCCTCCTCCTCCTCCCAGACCCCTTTGTCCTGATTCCTTGAAGTCGGCATCTCGTCAGCGCTACGTTGCGGTGACCGCCTGGAGTCATCAAATCCGAGGCTTTCTCGCCCCCTTACACGGCTACTTTTTTTGCGGGCGTCGAATCTGCCCTTCCTGAGCGCCGAGTCCGAGCGTGTGTCGACGACTCAGACCATGGCCGCCTACGCGCCGTACGAGTTCATGCGCGTCACGTTCCCGGCGTCGCATGTCGCGCACGTCGAGATCAACCGGGCGTCGAAGCTGAATGCGTTTTCGAGGCCGATGTGGCTCGAGTTTGGGCGCGTGTTCCGCCAGCTCGGCGGTGATGCCGACGTGCGGGCGGTGGTGCTGAGCGGCGCGGGGGACAGGGCCTTCACGGCCGGCCTGGACGTGACGGCTGCGAGTACCGAGGGGCCGCTCTCCGGCACGGGGGGGGAGGATCTGGATCCCGCGCGGAGGGCCAAGGCTTTGAGAGGCCATATCGAGGAGTTTCAGGAGTGCATCTCCGACATGGAGAGGTGTGAAAAGCGTACGTTTTTTTTTTGGCCCATTTTGCCGTCACCCTCACCGTCACCGTCACTCTACGGCGAGCAAGAAACGTTGGAGGTTGAATCATGTGATTGGGATTGAGCTAACTTTGGCGCCGTCTCGTCTTGTCTCGTGCAGCTGTCATTTGCGCAATGCACGGCGTTGCGCTGGGTCTCGCAGTCGATATTGCGTGCTGCGCCGACATCCGCCTCGCTGCTTCAAACACCGTCCTCGCCGTCAAGGAGGTCAACATTGGACTCGCCGCTGACGTAGGTACCCTCGCGCGCCTGCCCAAGATTGTGGGCTCGACGTCCTGGGTCAAGGACGTGTGCTTGTCCGCCAGGGACTTTTCCGCCCGGGAGGCGCTGCAGGTCGGCTTTGTGAGCCAGGTTTTCGAGGACAAGGCGCGAACGGTGCAGGCGGCGCTGGACATGGCGTCGCGGCTGGCGGAGAAGAGCCCCGTGGCGGTGCAGGGCACCAAAGAGCTCTTGAACCACGCGCGGGATAACGGCACCGCGGCTGCGTTGCGGTACACGGCCGTTTGGAATTCCGTGGCCTTGCAGGCCGGCGATTTGCGCAGTGCGTTGACGAGCGTCTTTTCCAAGAAGAAGCCTACGTTTGAGAAGTTGTAGTGACGTTTAGTGGGGACGAGGGCAAAAATTTGAAGTGCTCGGGTAGACGACCTGGCGGAACGTACGGCCGCCTGTGACTTTCCATGTGTACCGATGTACGTAATGGCTGGAGGTGGAAGCGTGCTCGGACACCATACCGGATCAGACGTGTTCGGCGGTGTTGCATGTCGAGGTTTCTTGCGGTTATTCGGAGCCCGACTCGTCGACGGGTGGGAGGTTTTCCTTGAGGCGCTGCGGATGCTTGTGAGCGGTATATTCTTTGGTGGGACAAGAGCAGGCCTATCTTTGTGTGTGTGTTCTTGCCGACGAGTAGGACGAGATTGAAACGCACATCTTCGAGTTTCTGCTTGAGCAGGGGAACCATATTCTCCTTGACTACGACTCTCTCGTCGTCCAGGTCCTCGATGATGAAATCGTGGTTGTCGCTGTCAATATTTACGATGATGGATTTTATAGAAGGATCGCACTCGATCAGCACGCCTGGCGTTGGGTTAACCGGCTATTCTGCTCGTCGGCTTGGTGGGTTGGCGGGAGGTGACGTTTGGACAAACCTCGTATTGCGCGTGGCATCTTCTTTTGGTTTTTTTTCTCGTAATCACGCCGCCTCGAGCGGGCGATGTGTTGACGCTTCTTCGGAAGTTGAAGTTGTGGAGGCGTGGAGGCAGGTCCGAGTTTGACATTGACGATGGCTGCAAGGTGGAAGTGCGGTCGGCGAAGCAAGGTTGGCGTAGTGGAAACTTTGTGGGGCTGCGTGGAAAATTGTTTCGGGCTTGGCTTTCCAGCCTGTGCATGATCTGGGCGGGCGCACACTGGTGGTGGTGATGGTCACGGGTCGTTATCTGATAAGGACAAAACATGCGTGTACGAGGCCTTTACTGCGCACGGAGCACTCCGTACCTAGTAGCTGCTACTTAAGTAGCTGGTGCCCAAGTACGGTCCGCTAGCCGTCCATCACAAGTACCGAGTACTGCCTTCAATCAACCAACCTAGTCCATGTGCCAGACGCCATCCTGTCATTGATGTGAAGGCCCAGGACTCTGGTCGACCGGAGGCGTCGACAGGAAGGCGCCTTGGGGTTCGCCACCGCCGCAGCTCAACCGCCCGGTACGTGCCGAGTATTTGCAACCATTTTGCGGCGTATTCGCTTGGCGGCTCGGCAAAGGCAAGACGTGCGTGTCCCCTCTCCATGCATGTGCAGGCGAAACTGCCTCAACCTTGTCCGAGACATCAACCATCATGCGCTCCGTACATGCGTGATTGAATCTGGCTTGGGGTGTCGATTTCCCATCTCTTTCATCCTTTTCTAGTCAAGGTCGACGAGCCATTGACACGAACCTTGGCCGTGCCTTGTTTGAACTTTGCAATTCTTGAGACTGTGATGTTTACGGAGTATCTGACGGGCAGTTTGGTACGCCGTGGTATCACAGACTCGGACCGTCAAGACAACCACACGCCGTTGAAACATCCATTCCCCAGGTACGACGACCAATTATTTCGCCAGCAGTACATCTGTCAGTCAGGCATAGTCCTGTGACCTGCTTGTTTCCAACCGTCAAAAAGCGTTCTTTTTGTAAATCCTGGCCCCCCGCGTACATACGACATGCCTGCGACCGACACCTCGGGCAAGTCCACAGAACCCTTAGTCTGGGTCATCATTCCGCTCATTGCCGTCTTCTCCGTCGGCACTTTTGTTCTCTTCATCTGGAACCGTCAAAGAAAAAGGTCGAGCCTCAATCGTAACGAGCTGCCGGAAGATAGAGTCCTCGTGGGCAGCTCCTATATCAGATGCAGGCGGGGCATGAGGTGGTCTCCATGGTCAGAGACACGGTCAGTGGAAGGCTTGAATGAGCTGGGCGAGGCTCCTCCGCCGTACGATTCGAAGAAGCCTCCCGCTATACACGATCAGCTTGCTGAGAGGCGCGAGGAGACCGGCCAAGAGGGTTCGGAGCTGCGGGATCTGGAGACTGGCCGACGACCGCCGGCGTATCCTGCTCCACCGCAGCCAGTAGCTACGAGAGACCGGAGAACCTCGTGACGTTGTTCTCGATTTGAACCTGATTATATATAGCACCACGCGACCGGAGAAGTAGCGCGAGACGGCAGAGGCAAGCATGCGGCTGGAGCATTAGGTTTGGTGTGTGTTTGGAGGTCGAAACGGATCATGGATGTGGCTCGGCGTATGATATGGCTCGTTTTCTTTTTCGACTCGTGGATATTCCAGTCATATCCTCTTCTGTTCTTGCTACAGATGTCCGCAACTGGACAAAGATGGCTATTCCACCGAGTCGTGTTAAGAAATACGGGTGGCTGCCAAAGCATCCCAGGTCTTTGTTTACAATCCTACACGCTCTGGGTGTTGAGAGATGGGCCCATGGGCGCCTTCTGCGTGACCTCGATGACCAGAGCAGAATCATTCCACAGTTTGGGAACATATCACTGTCAATTGGCGGCAAAGATGACGGGCTCGCCTATGCTTGGAGGGTGTATTGTCGACATGACCGTACGCCGCGGGGCATACGTACCTATTGTGTCGTGCAGAGCGGCATGTTGTTTGTCAGACATGGATGGATGACGCCGGACGGTATCAAACAATCGCTGGTTGGTGCGACTGGTGCTCGTGACTTATCGTGTACGGAGTACGGAGTATACAGAGTACAATCTTCTTTACCCCAGCCACTGGTGAAATAGAGCCGAAACAGTCTGGTGCTAGGTTACCTCCAGTGGCCCTTTTATGACCGTACTCCGGCGTAGAGTGTGATGTGGCCAATATACGTCAGTCTTGGGGGACCAGCCATGAGCATCGGCAGGATCGTAGACTCGATGCTCCGTTGAGGTAGTAGCAATAAGCATGGACACACACATAGTGGTCAGGACGGTATTAACGGACAGACAGCCATTACTTTCCAAGGGCAAATTGTTGCTGGCTCGGGCCATGGTTAGTTGCCATCGTGGCGGCACGACAGATACCACTTGACGCCTTCAAATCGTACGGTACTCCATGTGTACGGCATATACGGAAGATGCCGGGAATTAATATTTAGGTACTCCGTACAGAGTACTCCGTACATACTCTGTAGCTTTCAAGCGCATTACGTCGAGGTGTGCGTGCACAAGCCAGTCTCAACAGCCGAGTGCCATATCAACGTCCGTCGTCGGCGTGCTCATGATACAACAATGGCTCTACCTGCCTTTGCTGCCATCTGGCATCATGAGATGGGCCAACTGGTGTACCGTGATGCCGAAGATGAACCCTAGACGCACAGAAAATGGGTGTCCCTTGTAAGTTGTGCCTGCTGCCCACCCGCCGGGGGACGACGGCGGACGCCAAGGAATGCAATCACCACCCGCCAGCACTACAGTCTCCAGACGGGGGCGATGAATGGAGAAGCAAGTTGCGGAGGTATCATTTACTGCCAAGCCTGGATTTTCTCGGTCGACCACAGATCAATCCATACTATATTGGCCGAACAGGACGGGTGGAATGCCGGGCGGGTAAGACCGAACCGGGATGATCCCAAATTGAACGGTCTGATCGTCCCAGCCTGGCGCTACGTGGCTGGGGAACCAACGCGCGCATGTTGGAGGTTCTCATGAAGATGAAGATGGGTTGGTGAGGGAAAAAAAAAGCAGGGACCTCGTCAGGTTGACCGAGAAATTTGTTTTCCTCATCGCCAACAGTGCCTCTCCCATCTGATGGTTACCATGGCAGCAGGGCGACAACAACCCAGAGGTGCCGGGGGGCAAATTCGTGATTGGACAGTGTGGGCCGGTGTGTGGAGTCGTATTTGGCGCCTGGTGTGTTTGCAAATTGATGTGGGGCACGGGGCCGCATAGCAAGATAGAAGAAGAAAGGAAGAAAAAAAGGAGAAAGAAAAAAACACAGACGTCACGCATGAAAATTCTGAAACAGGTTTAGGTCCCCCAGAACGGATGGGGCTTTATGGAGAAGAGGCACGCTCCGAACTTTGTGGCCACAGGCTTGCATGGCAGAATGTTAAGTTGGTACGTACTCTGTACACGGCACTCTGTACGGAGTATCGATGACAAGTTTATAGTGGACAAGATTTTTACAACGATAGTCGCGCCGTATGGCTGAGACGATGAGATGAATGTCTGCTGCGCTCGGACCCATTGTTGTTGTTGTTGTTGTTGTTGGAACGACGGGCAGCTTCCCCGATGCCCTGGTGATACTATCTTATTTTAAGTTTTTTTTTTTTTTTTTTTTTTTTTTTTAAAAAAGGCAATCGCGGCAGCGGTCTGTGCTAGTATTAGTGCAATTTAGCGGCAGAGGAGGGAGGTGTTGAGACTGCTTGGGCGGGGAGAAAAAAAATAAAAGGAAAAAAAAAGAAAGAAACAAGACAAGACACAAAACCGTTGGCTTCATGTTGCTACGAAGCATACAGCATACAGCTGTGGACCGACAATGTTGCAGACTTTTTCTTCACGCTGCCGAATTGTTTGCAGCGCGCAATACTCCTCGTACAGAAGTGCGTCGTCGTGCACAGACTTGAATGTTGGTGCGTCCGGCCGTCCGGAGGGTTGCATGCATTTGTTGGACGGGTCGGCATGGCAAGGCGTATGTGTCATGTTGAATCGCACCAGGCGAGAGACGGCTCTGTCCGGGGACATGATATAATCGAGCGTCGAGCGTCGAGCGTCGAGGATCGAGGATCGAGTATCGAGCCCGTCACCGTCACCGTCACCGTCGCCGTCGCCGTCGCCGTCGCCGTCGCCGTCGCCATTATATTCCGCCGCCGTTTTTGATGGTTGAGACGAATACGTACATGATGCCTGGTCGCCAGCGTATTGGCCAGGCTAGCGTACCCGACGTGCCCACGCACCCACGATTCCGGGTCTGGTTGATCAGTTGATTCCACGTTCAAATGTTGATGAGATGATGATTGATGATGCTCGCGACCAGCCAGCAGCCACCCCCCGGGGCCCGGTGCACCCAGCTGTCCGCAGGCGTCGTGCAGGCGTCGTGCAGGTCGTCTGCAGGCCTCATTGGGTCAGCTCACCGGGCACCGCCAACTCATCAATCCAACCCCCGGTCAATTGGCCGTCGTGTCTGGACAATAACAAAGGCCTCGTCGTCCCATCGTCGAGCAGTGCTGGTGCTGGTTGGCCTTGCTTCTCGCTCCCACGTCCTCGACTCTCGACTCGTCGACTCGTCGCCCCTCCCTCTGCCCCGTCCGGGTCTTGGTGCTTGGTCCTGCCTCTGCCTGCCTTGACGGTCTGATGAAGCTCCCCAAGCCCTTGTGGGCCTGTCACTCGTAGTTGTGTCGCTCTCCGGCGTCTGCCACCCTCCGATTCATCCATCACTTGCACTCCATCCATCGTCTTGCGGTTCAAGCTTTTTTGGGAACAGGCTGCTGTTTGTTGCTGCTGCTGCTGCTGCTGCTGCTGCCGCCGCCGCCGCCCCCCGGGTTTCCTGTGCCGCTTGCTGCTTGCTGCTCGCTACTTGTCCGTTGGCCTCACCCGTCGCCCATGGACCAGATCCCGCCTCTCGTCATCGCTCACATCGTCATCCTCGCGCATGGGCTGCTCCGCTCAACGGTCTGGTTTTGCTGCTGCTAGGATCTGCCATCTGCGACCGACCTGCTCCGTATCGGACGCCGCTCGAGCCCACACAAGGTTAATCAGCAGCTCCGTACTCCGTACATACGGGGTTGCTCACGCTTGTGGCTCAGGCGGGAGCATCCTTGCTGCCGCTCCTGACTGGCGGACAAGCCATCCTCTGTTAGTCCGACGACGTCGACAAACAGACAGACAGTCTAGTCTGGTCGGAGACACTCTGGACACGGCCTCTTTCGTTGGCGTGCTCAACTGCGTCGGCCCGTTGCCACAGCACTGGGCTTGCGCATGGTCCGTCTTGTCACCATTGCTCGCACAACCGCCTCTGGTTCGTTTCGTTTTTCTCAAGCGCAACGTCTTGCCTTGCGACGCCCAACGGGCGATACAACGTCTTTGTTCTTTTTTTTTTTTTCGTCCTGTTTCCATTTTGCTGCCCTAATAATACCCTTTCTCGGATTTGCGCCCCTCCGCCCTCTTCAGCACGGTTGGGGACTCGGCCCATCGCGTCCAAGTGTAGTCAAGTGTGAGTCGTCGCACGCGCCCAAGATCTCCGGGACACAGGCAATAGTCCTTCTTCTGTGTGTCCTGTCTTGGCAAAGCTGACCTTTTGAACATTGGCCAGGTTTTTGCTTCTTTCCATAATTCTGTCGCACCGCTCCGCATGTCTTGATACCACCCTGGCCTTTTGATACCCTCAACCTCCCAGCCCGCCCCGTCCCTCATCCCAAACGCCGCCGCAGCTGCGGAGTAAGAGCCTCTCACGTCGCTCTAAATCCTCACTCCTGCCCCCTCTTTTGCACACCGGCACTATGGGCGCCGAGTCGAGGAAAGTACCACCACTTCCTGCCCCGACGGAGACGGACACGACAACTCCGAGCGAGCTGGCAACCGACCTGTCCAAGCCTGGCGACGAGAAATCTTCCTACTCCATTCCCGAGGATGGTACTCCGGTCACTATTCGCACTCGCGGCCACAAAGCTAGTAAATCTCAAACGTCATTGCTCATTGAGTATTTCGAGGGCGGGAAAACCGGCTCTGGCGGCCAAGATCGTAAACCAAGTGTTCGGGTCCGTCTGACCCCGTCCAAGAAGAGCAGAGGCGATCATATTCAAGTATCCGAGACCAAGGGATCCCGCAAGGCTTCTCTCACCCGCCGCAGTCCTCTCGACCAAGCCATCGCATCAAGGGAAATCGAGCTGCACGACGGCGAGGACGCGAACAGCATGACGTCGTATGCCTCGGCAACCGAGGAATCCAATGTTTCAAGAAATCCCATCGACATTGAAATAGACCGCAGCCACAGGCGACGACGGCCCGCAAGTCCCTTGATACCCTCTGCCGAGTCGTATCAGCCTGGGAATCCTTCCGAGATCTCTGCCATCCCGACAGACAGTTTTCTGGACGGCTCGGGTCCTGCGGGAGACTCGAAACGCTCTTCTAGCCCTGTCCGCGCTGAGGCGCTCATTGGTGCAACGGCCGCCGCGGGTGTGCTTGGAGGAGCGGCCATGGGCGAAATGAGCAGCAGCAAAGCTCGGGCAAAGGAGCGTGTTAAAATGGCGGAAAAATCAAAAGACAAGTCCGACAAGAAGAGGCACTCTAAAAGTAGGGCCAGTAGTGTCGCTAGTGAGCGCGCTGTTGATGAGACTCGGTCCCCACGTCGACGGTCCAGTCGCGGCCACCAGGAATCCAATACAAGTGCGGCGGATTCCAGTGTCGTGTCATCTCATCTCGCCCCAAGCCATCGCTCCCTTGACACGCGTTCCGTCCGCTCTGGGGCCTCGAGAACATCAATCAATAACCCCAAGCTTCTCGAAACTGTTGAGGATGCCATCCGGAGGCTAATCTTGCCCGAATTGAGCGCGCTCAAGAGAGAACAAAGCAAACGTGAAAGCCGCCGTGGCTCACTGACTTCGTCCGCTACCTCTGTTTCAAGAGAAGACGTCTCATCCGACCGCAGGCGGTCTTCAGACGGACGAGGCGAGAGTTCGCGAGATGGGGCAAGACACAAGGACCGGCGCAATCGAGAGGCGCGTCACGACTATGACGATGACATCTCATTACGCAGTCCCAGTCACGGTTCCATCAACGCTGAATATGAGGCACATGAAGGAGATGTCACTTCTCCAAGGCGCAGCAACAATCTGCTCAAAGCTGCCGCCGCTGGAGCCGCCGGGGCTGCATTGGCCAAGGGTGCCGGCTCTGCCATGGATGATGTTGCTCAGTCACCGGATAGAAAACAGCGTGAGAGACGCAGGAGAAGGGCCGAAAATACCGGAAGTCGTGGCTCGGGCCGCGAGCAGTTTGATACAGAACTGGATGAGGAGCACCTTGCCCCTGAACCCCCAATGCCACTCATGAGTGACGTGAACCCCTCCGAGGTCACTCGAACTTCCATTCTATCGGCGGAATCAGACCGCCCGCACTCTGCCAGCGAAGAGCTTGTGGCTGCGCCGGCTAGAGATCTTGTCCATGGCGAACAGATAGCTTCAGGAGCGTCAACCCCTGCTCGTGCCAAGTCCCCAGTGAACCAGGAGCAACATGCTCTGGCTATGCATCACGCAAACGTTTCTCATGGCGACCTTACGGCACTACCCCGCGGCAACAAGGACTATGTTGAAGAATATGAGACGGATGAGTACGGAAGAAAAGTCCCCGTCGGCTGTTACGACGACTACGGACGCAGCAGAGTCGCACCCGAGCCAGCTGACTATCCCGAGGACGATTTCGAAGAACGCTACTACAGCACACAAGACGTCCCTCCACCTCTTCGATACGTTCCTTATCAAGCCGGCGCCAGAGGACTCAGCCCTATTCCTAGCGTTTCTGGATACACCGAAGCTGGCAGTGAAGCGCCCCCACCCCGGGACTCCATGGAAATGCCGTCACCAGCCAGGTCGCCAGAGCGAACCCGTCAGCATTTATCCTTGCAACCAGATGGCTCTGCGGCAGGCAACGTGCGTAGTCGAGAGTTGGACCGGGTCTCTCCAGATGGTGGACAACAATTTGATGAGACTGCTACTGGTCAGGCTGTCCGCGGTATCGGAGCGAATCCTAAATTTGTCAATTCGCCTATTGGCGTCGAGTCTGCTGTTGCGTCTCTGGTGGACGGATCAATGCTTGACCAATCTGTCGTCACTGGAGCTTCGGGGAATGATCAAAACGCTGTGAGGGATTCAAACGTTTCGTACGAGGAACCGCACAAGACCCAAAGTTCTCGTGGCGTCGGCAGCCCGGAGAGGATGGATGTTGACCCTCGTGAAGTGGAGGACGAATGGCAAACAACACCAGGGCCCAAGTCTGTGGCACGGCACCACGAGTACTCAGAGTATGATGTTGATGAGCATGGAAGAAAGGTACCTCGAGCCAAGCATCGCCACTCGCCAACTGCGTCGGAAGCGGCCATCACGGCTGGTGCAGTTGGCGCTGCTGCTGCAGCGTTGAAGGCTGCCAAGGAGAGGAAGCAAGCAGTAGCCTCTGGGCAGTTTGGGGAGGACTTCCAGCCTGCAGGTGTAGCGCGAAATAGATCGTTTAAAGAGAGAACCATGCACCACGGTTGGGAGCCACGCAACACTCCTACTCACAGCATCGACAGACTGGATCTGGAAGAACAGGCCCCCAAGTTGGGTGCGAGTGGGCTTCCCGACATGGATGATCCTATGCCAGAAATCGGTTACGTCGATGACGAGCTGCAGACCAATCCCTCAATAGTCGATGAGCGGCTTGATGGCGAGCCCGTCTATGAGGAATGGTCCGGCAGGGCAACGCCAACACCACGAGACATGGGCGGATATGCTCCCGAGGCAAAGGGCAAGGAAGCTGAAGTTGGAGGCGCCCTTGGAGTTACTGAGGCTGTTGGAGCTGCCGCACTGGGCGCTGCCGCAGCCATGGCTGCAGCCCACAGCCACGACGCAAGCCAAGATGAGGAAGAATGGCACCGTACGTCTGACGAGCGGAAACGAGACACTCTTCTGACCAACCCCTATGAAGACGCCAGCCCCATCGTGAACCCTGAGCTGAACGACAAGTTGCTCAGCAGAGGACTCGAAGCCCCGTTCAACACTGGCAGTCCTGGTTTCGGTCAAAAGTACGACGAGGGCTATATGTCAAACGGTCCAAACCGAACCCCCGATCCGCAGGTGAAGGGCAAAGCGGTTGATTTAAATGCAGCCGTAACTGACGATGACCCATTCTATGTGCCAAAGTCTCATGCCCGGCACACGAGTGGCATGTCCCAGGGCATGGCCTCACCATTCTATGACGCGGCAACAGGTGTGGGTATAGAGCGTATCGAAAATAAGGATATTGTGGCCTTGATGCAACACGTAAGTTGCCCGGTGACGGGCCATGACTTGTCGGTACTTTTTCTCTACTGACAATACATAGTTGATGGTGCGCGACGCCCAGCGAAGTGCTCGGGATACAGAAATTGTCGCCTTGCTCATGAACGCTGCCCTCGAGATGCGAAACTCCTTTCGTGAAATGAAGGAACTCGTACAAGACACGGGAGATGATGTCATCTTCGCCAATGTGGAAAACACGGAGAAGCTACAAAAGGCCATGAGCGTACCTAGGCCGTATCCGGGTGCCGCCTCCCGCTCCCTGCAAAGCCCGTCGCAAGCTGGCACGTTTGATGAGGCTGCGGCCAAGAAGAAGACCCTCTGGAAGCGAGCCTTGCAGGGCCTCAGTGCCAAGGGTACCAACGACCTCACTCGCATCGAAGACATGCTCATGCAGCTTCTCGGCGAAGTCGATGTACTCAAGACGCAGACAGCGCCAGCAATTTCGATTGGAGGACCCGGACAATCAGTGGAAAATGTCCGAGAAGAGGACCAGCTTGAGCAGGACAGGGGCCACGGGCCAGATGGCATCTCGACGCCCACTCCTGCTACCCAGCCGGGAACAGCAGCATCTGCGTCCCAGTCTCGTGCCCACGCGGTCGGCGGTGTAGAGCGAAAGTTCTCCGAGCACAGGATAAGTACTGTGCCTGAAAATGAAGAGGAATGCCGGTACGACCATGTTAGTCCAAGAGCAGAGAGATCTGGCGGCGACCATGTCCAGACCCCAACGCAAGCCGAACAAATTCAGCGTGGGGGTTCAGTTCCTCTCGAGACGCCACCCCGGCTGGCACCTCCCGCGGATCCCCAACCCCTCAGCGCCGAGAACACACCACGAACTGACAGGGGGAAGAAGCACAAGTCCAGCAGTTCCAGTGGGTGGCTGCCGAAGATCTCGCGATGGTCGGGAACAACGGCTTCAAGCGTCGGAAAGGCTCTCCGTGGTAGCAGCTCCTCCAAGAAGGGACCGAAGTACGACGATTTTCAACCGCCCTCCAGGTCCGGGTCCAGTCTTGCTTCGTATGATGATGATCAAACGTTCCGCCATGACCCCTATGGCCAGGACAAGCTACACTCTGGGTTCTCGGATCCCAGCCTCCAAGGAATTGGAGGCGAACGCCGCAACTCGCAAGGTCCACCACCAACCTCACACATGTCACCAGAGGATCCGGATCCCAAGTACAAGGCCCACCGGAACTCGCTGAACCTGCAGCATCCCCAGCCACGACCTGGTCAAACGGAGAGATTCCGAACTGCCTTGGAGTCTTCAGCGCAGGAGTACAGCAACCCCATGACACCAAGATCTACCGACTGGGCCGGTTCGGCAACCAGCCTTAACCGCTTGCCTCCCAACACCAACAGGTTCAGCAACACCTCGTCCGTTCCAGGCCCCGAGGCTGACTATTACCTATCGGCTGGGCAGCAGTCCGGCCCGCCTCGTCCTCCAAAAGAACCCATGGGCTCTCCCGGCCCACAGACGCCGCCCAAGGCCACTCGGCTCTCCAAGATGCAGAAGGAGGGCAGCCCGGCTCCCCAGCAGAGCTCTGAGAGCGGGTACGGTACGATGACGGGGACATATCTCAGCCACTGCTCTGGAAGCAGCCCCAGGTTGGAGAACAGGAATTTAAATGCTGCGCTCGGCGTTCCCAGCCGACGACCCAGTGGCCCACGGGCCATGACACCAAAGAGCCCTGAGGAAGAGACGGCGAGAGAAGAAAGGCGACGAAAGCGAGGTATGTCTTGACGATGTTTTCGATTCCTGTGGAGATTACGGCTGAATTTTTGTTTTTATTATTTTTTACTTTTTCTAGATACATTTGGAACCGTGGCCAGTGAAGATACAGATACTTTCTGAAGCACGTACTACGCCAGTCGGACGCCCGTGTCCCCGGTCGGCCACGTGCAATGCTGAGAATTGGGTTTTGCTGATAGTAACAAATCAGAAGTGAGGTGGCGCCGCTGGTGACGATGTAGGTCGCGCAGGAAATGATTGAAAAGCAAGAAAGAAAGACATCAGCATAAATGGCCCCGGGGAGTGGGAGAGCCCGGACCAAAGTTCCAGGACAGAGACGGGAAGCCATGATGTCCTACTCATGTTTGTCTCCGTGGCTTGATGACGAAATGACGACTAGTTATCTTTGGTTTTTAGATTTGAGCATCAATGCCTGTTTTTTTGCATGGCATTGAGTCGGGACTTGTATCGACGGTGTGGGGGTTTGAGCATGTGACACGGGTACGGGTACATCGAACCCCAGGTATAGCCTGAATTCTCCGTGGAAAGCGAATGAAGTTGATTTGACCGTCATGTCTGATGACATCGTGGGCTATATGCGTGAGGCACTGTGTGGCCAAGCTGTCGATGGCGGTCAGTCAGGGAGAAACGAGGCTCGGCGAGCTCCATCTACTATCTAGCCTGGGCCATTTTCATCCCCCAGGTGGTAATCTCCACGGTCTCAATTGTGACTGAGGAGGATGCATTCAACTCTGAGACACGACTGCGGCATTCAAACGTTGCCGGGCCCCGTTTCAAGTCGGGCGCGGCGCCTAGTCAGCTCTTGTCAACACCGGGAACCCGTTTCGCTCGTCACTGAAGCCGGCGGCAAAAGTCCGGGTCTGGAAATGGAATACAAATGGCAATGGCCCCCTCCTTGCTTCCTTTTTTTTTTTTTTTTTTTTTTTTTTCAATTTCCTGCTCCTTTCTTTTTCCTTCCCCCCCGCGGATTTCTGCCGTCCTCAGGGGCGCTGACGGTTCGAATGAGATTTACAATTCAAATTGCCGGGGCTGGCAGGAACAGCGCCGCCACGTTGGACGCCGCTCGGCCGCCTGCTGGGCTGTGACTCGTTGGGCTGACGGGCTGACGCGGGATCGTCGCGCTCAATACCGTTGGGGCAAGCTCTTACGGACAGGACCGGGGGGGAGGGGGATCGTGGGCGGCAGCGGCACGAGCATCGTGATGGCCTCGGGTCAGCTTTTCGCTCACCATGTTTCTATTCTCCTTGCCGAGTCTCATGGAGACAGGAAGCTGAGGACTGTGAACAACCTGTCTCAGGATGCTGGTGCTTACGGCCCTGTGAAGCCGAGCTGCGAGTATATAAAGCTGTCTGCTCTTCTCCCGTCCGAGACTCCTTTTTTTCTAATTCCTTTGCACCATAGGACACTGGACAGCGAAAAGAAAACAAGGGACAAGCTGCTCCAGCATCAGTATACTCCGGCTACTTGCACGCTCTTTGCCCTGTCCTGCCCTGCCTATCTTGATCAACCCCCATACAACCGACAACATGAAGGTGTCCACTGTCCTCTTCTACATTGCCCTCGGCGCTGCCTCTGCCCGAGCCCTGCCCGCCGAGGCCGCTGGTGAGGTTGTCGTCGACCTCGAGGCCCGCGACTATGTTGAGGTGGAGGAGCCCGAGGTCTACGGGGGCGGCATTGACGTCCGCCAGGACTCCGAAGTCCCTGAAGGCGACTTGGACTTGGAGGCGGGCCCGGTCCAAGGCAGACTGGAAGCCCGCGACAACTTGCCCGGCCTCAATGCCCTCCAGTCCAAGTATGCCCGTGGCATCATCGCCCGGGCCAAGCAGGACAGGGTCGGCGCCCACGGCTGCCAGGCCGGCATCGCCACCGCCCTCACCGAGGTACGTACGTCCTGCTCCAGGCACGCTCCCAAACTGTCTTTGCTGACCTGCTCCCTGGGGGGGAGTCGGGCGCTCATCAGTCCGCTCTCATCATGTATGCCAACAAGGCGGTGCCCGCCTCCATGAAGCTGCCTCACGACCGCGTCGGCTCCGACCACGACAGCGTCGGCCTCTTCCAGCAGCGTGCGTCGGTCTACAGGGATGTCAGGTGCGACATGGACGCGGCCTGCTCCGCGGGCCAGTTCTTCGCCGAGATGAAGCGCGTCAGGGGCTGGCAGAACATGCCCGTCGGCACGCTTTGCCAGCGCGTCCAGCGGTCCGCGTACCCCGACCGCTACAACAGGGCTGTCCCTACCGCCGCAAAGGTCTGCAGGGCCGGCGGCCTCTGAGGGACCGTGATCCCGGCTTCGCGTGGCCGGTTCGCCGGGCGTCGGAGCCGAGGTGTGTACTGCGCCTGCATATGCAGCACGCCTTCTTGGAGACTCTCGTAGGGGCCGGGCCCCGTCCTACCGTGTACTTAGTGGGCGCGGGGTGCTCGTGAATATACCAGATTTATTTGGGTGCAGAACAAGGCCTGGAATCCATCTCAACGACGGTCTAGGTTGCGACGTGACACGTCGACAAGTTTTTGCCCTTGCCCTTGACCAGTGCAATCAGCGACATGCCGCGGAACCGTGTGGCGGAGTGATTGCTGCCTCTGTCTGTAGACCGTCTGCAGGTTGGGCAGGGCGAGCGGAAGCCAGTCCGGGCTCCAAGGTGGGGGGGGCAGAGCCGACGGGAGCCGACGGAATTGCCAAATCGGTCGAGCACTCGCCGGGACGTTGCGGGTCTCCGGGCCGCCGACCGCGGGGGCCCCGCAGAACCCAAAAGCGGGTGGCTCGATGCCGTTCGGGACGGAAATTAAGCAACACTGCATGAAAGACCAACTGCCCGTAGTTGAGAGGCTTGAAAACTTCGCCCCGTCGTGTTCCGTGGTCATTTATTTCCATGATGCCACACATGGCGCGCAACCCTTCCTGCCCGCCGCGCATTACACAGGCACCCATCACCCATCTGCCTTTCCCATAGACGGTTGGTCCAGGTAGGAGTTTTGAAAACCACAAAAAAAAGCCAGCACCAGAAAAGCCAAGGCTGAGTGACAAACAGCCAGACCGTATCCGACATCAAGGGCCCGACGCCTCGTAGCCCATCCACCCAAACATGCCGCAGGCTCCCGCCAGCAACGAAATCGTGACAAGACTCGCACCGACCCTGTCGCCCGCGGTGACAGCCTTCTGCCCCGGCACCGGTGACTCGTCGCCCTTTCCGCCGTTGGGGCTGCCGGCACTCGTCCCGCCCGAGTCGTGGGTCACGGGCGGCCTCGCGCTGCCAACCAGCAGACTCTGCACGGCCGCCAGCACGCTCATCTCCTGCCCGGCGCCCGTCTCGCCGACATACCTGCCGTCTGCCCAGTTCAGGCCGCACTGGCGGCCGTCGGCACCGCCGGTGCACTGGGCGACCGCAGCCTGTGCCGACTTGCGGAGGACGGGCAGGACGCGGCCCGCCGTGAAGGGCGCAATCTGCGTCGCGCTCGCGTACCAGCGATGCATGAAGCCCTTGTACGCGAACATGTCTGTCTTGCAGCTGTCGTGGGGCTCGCATGAGATTTCGACGGCAACGTCGTCGGGGAAGAAGGTCTTGAGGCCGTAGTCGATGAGCTTGTCGACTCGGTCTCTCCATCTTTGTTCGCCCTTTGTCTGGCTTGTGGAGGCGACGGGTCAGTTGTGGGGCGAGGTGAGCAGACATGAAATAGAACAAGGACGAGAGCAGAATCAAGCGAGGAAAGAGAAGGAGGAACCGCAAGAGATGAGTGGATTCACGCACAACGTTATACATAAAGGCCGCGCCCTCGGCAAAAATGGCGTTGTTGTACGAGTACTGGACTTCGTTAATGTCCTTGCAATCGGCGGCAACGTTGGCCCCGTCATAGACTGCGTAGTTGCCAGGGTCGATGAAGCCGACTTGTTCAACCCAGTCCCAGGTCTTTTCTGCCCAGTCGGAATATCGCGCGTCCCCCGTGTAGCGGGAAAGCCTGGCGGCCATGTTGAAGAAGCAGCCGCTGGAGATGCCTGCGCCGTGGTCAGGAGTCGGGGCTCGGCGCAACTCGGCTGCGCGGCAGCGAGGAAGAAACTCACTATTTTTATAGCCATAGCCATTGTTTGTAAATGGAATCTGCCACCTCAGGCCTCCGCCGCACGTGCCGTCGTGCCGTTGAGGGCTCGCCTGCGTGTTGAAGACGGCCTGAGCCAGGCCGAGCCATCCGGGGCGGTCGGCCGGGGGGTCGGGGAACTTGCTCTCTGCGGCCAGCATGGCGGCCATTCCCCAGAAGGCCTGGTCGTCGTTGCCCAGAGAGACCGTCACGTTGCGCGGCATGTAGTCCTGGCCCTCCCCGACCTGGGACTGCATGGCCTTCATGATTTCCCCGTTGTACGTCTCGTCGCCGGTCAAGGCCCAGTAGTGGATGAGCGTGCCCCACATTGCGCCGGCTTCCCACCAATAGTAGTCGCCGCCGGGCGGCGGTCCCGGGAGGATCCCGGGCGTGGCTCCGGACTCGTTGCCGTGATAGTATTGAAGCATGTCCCAGGCGAGTACGCTGGCCGACTTCTTGACTGCGTCTGCAAGTGGCCGTCAGTTGGGCTGGGCCGGCTTGGGCCTTGGGCACTTGGCTTGTGTGCGCAGAGACGCACCGTCAGAGTCGAGCGAAAACACGGACGCTGCTGCGGCACCCCCCCGCCGGCCAGGACCGGCGACCAGCAGCATCAAAAACGGGCATGATGACAACTTCATTGCGGTGATGAGCGCTGTGCAAACGATGCCGGAATCGTACAAGAACAGAAACGGTGCGACGACACGTCGTTTGCAGGGAGTATTCGCAACAAGCCGGCGCGCCGTGCCAACGGTTGGTTCAAGTAAACGGTCGCAACATGGATCAAGTTGCTGCCAGAAACGAGCTTGTCAGACCGGCTCGGAGTGGGAAATGAAGAAAGAGGACCCGAGACTTGGAAGAAGAGACGACCAGCTGTTGTGACTAGTTGCTTCATGTCATGACGACATGTCCAGAGGACAGCGATCTTGATGCCGACTTACACTTTTGACAAATGAGTGCACGCGTTCCGAGAACAGCCCGAGGAGAACGCACCCAACAACTTGTACCGTCGCTTTTCAAAGCTTGTTTGCCAGTGGGCGATGGGTTCCAGATGGAGTCGAACATGGTGGTGGAGAAGACGATGGATGGTGGCGGAATGCGGGCAGCCGTGGCTGGACAGCCTCGCGCAATCGCAGCCATCGGCCATTGCAGGAAGGCTTCGGGCGCTCCATGTGGCGGAGATTGCCCGTGGAGCAGCTGCGGTGGCGTGGTGAGTCTGGAGTTCTGGACATTGTGTCGTGTCAAGACGAGAGTCAAGACGAGACGAGTCGAGTCGAGACGTCAAGACAGAGTCGAGGTCGAGTTCTCGAAAGCTGCCCTCCGATCTCGCACTCGTCGTCTCCACCAAAAATTCCCCGTCCCCGTCCCGCGCCCCGACCTCGCTTCCGCTTGTCGATACAACTGAGGTCGTCGTCCTGGAAGCAATCAGAACCGTCCACCGTGCACACGTCGGGGCAGCCCTCGGCCGTGGCTCGTCAGCATGGCCTCAACGGCAGTAGACGCGCACATGGAGCCACGAGGCCCGTCTACTCCAGTCAGCAAGCCATCGTCGCGCCGGGACTACAAGGGCTTCGTGGCCGGCGTGTTCAGCGGCATCGCAAAACTGACGGGTGAGAGAAGCCAAGGCCCCTTCCTCTCCCGCTTCACCTCGTCTCGTCGCCCTCCTCCTCCTCCATCAACTCAACCAACCATCCGCTCCTGGATAGCATAATGCCCTTTCGCTTGGGTGCAAGCTGACGCGCAAAAAAAAAAAAAAAATCAAAAATCAGTCGGCCATCCCTTCGACACCATCAAAGTACGCCTGCAAACAACCAACAGCGGCCGATTCAGCGGGCCTCTGCAGTGCGTCACACAAACCGTCAAGAATGAAGGCATTCGCGGCCTCTACAAGGGCGCAACGCCGCCCCTGGTCGGCTGGATGTTCATGGACTCGGTCATGCTCGGCTCCCTCACCGTCTACCGCCGCCTGCTGGCCGAGAATGTCTTCCACGCCTCATCGTGGACACCCGGCGCCGGAGAGGGTGCTGGCCTCGGATTCACCGCCCTCCTCGACAGACTCGGAGTGCTTCCGGCCTCCTCCTCCTCCTCCTTCTCCCCCCCTTCATCGTCATCACCGACGACGTACCTCCCACCTCTGGGCCACGGCATTGCAGGCATCTTCGCCGGCACAACCGTGAGCTTCGTTGCCGCACCAGTCGAACACGTCAAGGCCCGTCTGCAGATTCAGTATGCCGCTCACAAGTCGGAACGCATGTACTCAGGGCCCATAGACTGCCTGCGCAGGATCTACACCCACCACGGCGTACGCGGTGTCTACCACGGACTGTGCGCCACCGTCATCTTTCGAGCCATGTTCTTCTTTTGGTGGGGCAGCTACGACGTGATTTCGAGGTGGATGAGGCAGCGGACGAGCATGAGCGCCCCGGCCATCAATTTCTGGGCGGGCGGGTTGAGCGCGCAGGTTTTCTGGCTGACCAGCTATCCCAGCGATTTGGTGAAGCAGAGGATCATGACGGACCCGCTGGGCGGGGGCTTGGGGGACGGCGAGAGAAGGTTCCCCCGATGGAAGAATGCCGCCGTCGCGGTGTACAGGGAGAGCGGGTGGAGAGGGTACTGGAGGGGCTTTCTGCCCTGCTTCTTGAGAGCGTTTCCGGCGAATGCCATGGCGCTGGTGGCATTCGAGGGCGTCATGAGGATGCTGCCCTGAGGACTGTGCTGTGCTGGATGGCTTCAGACGGCGTTTTGAGACGCGCGGACGTGGTCGCAGTCACACTTAGATGGGCGAGTTGGGACCAGTGCTCCATATACCCAGCAGCGACGGCATAAACCTCGCGTATGACACTACTAGATGGCGGAAGCTTGGACAATTGAGACCTGGAAGAAAAGAAACCAAATCACTTTCACATCATGCGCAATGCCGTCTTGCAGTCGCACCCAGAAACGGGCTGGCTGGTTTTATTGGGAGAATCGCGAGGCGCAAGTAATCCTAGAAACATAACCCTCTCAGAAGAGACTCATGCCCGTGCTTCCCACCCCCCAACCACCACCGAAAGACACCACTTCTCGTCGCTGACCAAGACTCGTCGAGTAATCACTAGGGACGCAGCGAAGCGGACCTGGACTACTCGTCGTCATCATCAGCCTCGTCGTTGACGACGTTGAAGAACTTGAGCTCGTAGACACCACGCGAGGTGGAGACGACACGCAGCCAGTCGCGGAGCTGCTGCTTCTTGAGGAACTTCTTGGTCCTGCAACGCAACGAATGGTTGGTTAGCACGTCCGCCCGGCAGTACGCAGTCGTTGCCGCTGCTCAGTTGGATGCGCAGAGGTTCACGTACAGGTACTTGAGGTAGCGACCAGACAGCTCATTGTGGGCAATGATCTCGATCTTGCCCTCACCCTGCTGCTGGACAATGACATTGTCGCCCAGGTTGTTGGTGCGGCCCTCGACCTTGATGGTGTCCTGGAGGAACTTTTCGAAAGCGGAGACGTCGAAGATCTTGTCGCTAGCAGGCTGCTGAGCGTTGATGATGAACTGGCAGTGGCATTGCCCGTCAGCACGCGACCGAGAGAGAGAGAGAGAGAGCAAAACAACTTACCTTCTTAGTCTGCTTCTGGGCCTTGCCCGGTTTCTTCTATCAAGACAAAACGACAACTTAGCCTGCTGCTCGTTTCACGGCGGAGCAAAAGAAGAAAAAAAAATAAAGAGTATTTTTCATCACTGTCCAATGCCGGCGATCGCGACCTCGACAACATTTTCCCACACAACTCAGGCGTGTGTCGGACTGGGTGCAGGCAAATGACAGAAGTCGAAGAGACTCATCGGCCGGTGGGCGGGTGGTATTGCGCCAAACAGCAAAGCGGGTGGTTACATACTGTCTGAGGAGCCATCTTGTCTCTCTCGAGGTAATGAGTGGGTGTTTATCGGGAAGAACGCAAAGAGGTCGAATCCTGCGCCTTTTGAAAATTTGTGCCTGCTGTGCTTTGAAAAGACCGGCAACGGGAGGGAATAAAAGAGAGCAGACAAGAGAAGAGGCGCCTCAACCCACTTTGCTAGCGATGCGGCAGCGCTGCTGCTTGGTGGGCTCGGCTCGGCTGCCGCAAAATCAAAATCTGGTGCGGGTGACAAAAATGGAAAAATGGCCGCGGCATTAGGGCTCCGCCGTGCAAAACTGTGGGTGCGGGGTGGGGCGTCGTGTCGCACAGCAGATTTGTCGCGCCGGTCATCATCGATGTCACGCGAGCACTCACGTGACCTAGCTGCTCATCCTTGCCGACTTCAACTTGTCCTGGTGTTTACCATATCGTATTGGCGTGAGACAATGCCGTAGTTGTGAGCCAACAGGTCCAAAGCACAGACATCAATCTCATTGCCATCGTATCTCAAACACTAAACATCTAAACATCCAACTCGAAAGCTTGACAACAATTCCATCTCAGAATCTCGTGGGCCGTTCCGACTCGTACACTTCATACATCGTGATTGTCCACAAAGTAAAAACATCATCCAAATATTCTCCTCAGCACCCCCTTGAGCCCGGAAGACTTCTTTTCCTCTCCCTTCTTGCTACGCTCCGTCTTTCTAGCTCGTCGCGCGTTGTCTTCGGAAGCTGTAGTAGTACTGCCCTTCGATGAAGAGCCTCGGGGAGCATCGGTTGACTCTCGTGTCTTCGTACTCTTGGGACGAGATTGGTCGGTTGACGGCCGTCCTGCTCCGGGTTTGGATCGAGTGGTGTTGGATCGCTTGGGAGCTTCGATTTCGTATTCATACTTGGCCTCTCCTGCGATCGTCGGGCGCAAGCCGCTGCCTACTATCCCTTCGCTGTTCTTGAGCTCAAAAAATCGCTTGTCAGAGGATTGCGCAACTGGTTCCCTTTCGACAGGAGCAGAAGCGGATGGGACCCGTTCCGACTTGTGCTGGCTGGAGTGGCTATGTCGGCGCGAGGAGCGATGGCTTCGCTCCGCAGGGGGGTCCACGTCTCTATTGTTCCTACGGTCTCTATGCGCGGAGCGCTCCGAGGGCTCCGAAGGCTCTGACCGTCCCCGATGCTCCGAGTTTTGTTCACTAGGCTGACGCTCGGCTCTGCGTCGTTCGTGCCCGGCTTGTTCTTCCGGTGTTCGCCTCTTGCCAGAACTTGCAGAGCTTTCTCCGGAGACACCGCTGTCTCGTCGCTTGGGCGTTCTCGGAGGCGACTTTGATGCCTCTTCCCGCGTGTCATCAGACTGACGGCGATGGCTTCGTGAGCCGTGAGACCCATGAGATGAATGGCGTCTGCTCTCACGGTGCTCCTCTTCGCCACGGCTGCGGCTAGATCGGTTAGAGTGGTGAGAAGATTGCCTGCGGCGGCGATGCCTCTCCCTCTCCCTTTCGCCACTTGACGCTCGAGGCTCTCTTGAAGATTCGTCTGCAGATAAGTCAGTATCAAGCTGTGTCAAGTCCTCCTCAACAATTTCCCGTGAAACAACCGAGGAAAATTCCTCTTCATGGTCCTGAAAGGTACCGGCTTTGGGGCTGGCGGGAGGGCTGAAAGCTTCAGCAGTGGCATAAATGACAACTGCAGCCGCAACTGCATCCTCGGCGTTCCTAACCGCGAGTTTCTGCTTGCGCTTCATAGTCTTGTTTCGTTGTTGATCGACCATTGTCAAGTCGGGGACAAACACAGCGGGTGTAGGGGCTCTTGAATCGACATCGCTTGCATGTGCCGTGAGGCCAGGACTGTGCGTTGGTTCGACTTCGGGTTCTGTAGCTGCACGAGAAGAAATCTCACCGGTGGGAGCCAATTTCTCTTGTGCCTCAGTGACGTCCCGAAGTTGCTCTGTTTGTGTTGCTTCAGCGGGTTCCAGAGACTTTTCGTACTGAACAGCTAGGTCTGCCAGACGATTTGACATGGAATCATGTAACTTCCCAGCAGCGGCGGCTACCGCCGCACACGGAAGGGCTGTTATCCCAGTAGACGCCGAGGCAATATCAACGATTCGGCTGCCAGATTTCTCAGTTGAGCTCTCGGCTTGGACGACCTTCTCCTCCGATGACTTTCGGTGCTCTTTAATTGCGGTTCCAGTAGCAGGCGCACCGTCTTCAACCAGGAGCTCGACTACCATTTCCCGGGGATACCGCCGGTCCAAGTCTTCGAGCGGTGAGGATACAAGCTCAGCAGTGACAGATGCATCCACCTCCTGCTGAGCTTCTTCAGAGGCATCGACAAATTCCTCATCGATATCAGGAAAACGAGCCTGTTCTGGGGAATCACCAGTAGCTGCTTCATGACTCAGCCTCATCTCGATCAAAGCCTCTGCCGCTGCCTGGACCACCGGTTCCTGATCTACAGCTATTTCTGCCATGTCTTTCCGCTCAACAGATTCAGTTGGCGAAGCATCGATCTCTAGCTTGGTCTTTGGAATATCAGGAATAACAAGGACTGCTTGGCTAGAGGTAGCCATTTCAGCTTGTGTCTCGGCCCTGGAACGCTCAGTTGAAGTTTCCATGGCAAGTGCTGTTGCCGCCTGTTCTGCTGAAGGACCAAGTGTCTGGTCCTCTGCCGCAATCTCTGCAACTTCAAGGACTGACCCAACTGACGGTTCAGCTGACAGATCAGAATCCGGTTCTTTGACTTCAACAATGCTCTCTACAGCTGCATCAGGAAGCGTTTCTTCCAAAGTGTTTAGCTCCTGTACTTCGGCTTCTGTTTCTTCGACCAGAGAAGCATCATCCGGAATCTCCGGCTGCGACAGGTCAACTGTTGCGTTGTCTTCAGAATCTGGGTCACAAGGCCCTTGTACATCCTGTTCTATGACGCTTTCCTCCGCTGACTTGAATTTGGAGTCCTCGGCGTCCTCGATTAGTGCCCAAGACTCCGACAGAGGGTCATCTTGAGTCAGTCCAGCAGCATTGTCTTCGAAACTTTTTTCGGCATCGGTTGCTATGGGCTCTGCAACTTCGGTATTTGTTCCTTTATAGCTGTTGTCAATAATGACAGGAGCAACATCTTCAGATTCTGCGTCGGCCGCTTCCTGAGCCACCAGCTCTTCAGGCTTATTATCCAGGGGCACAGTCTCCTCAGGGGCTTTCGCTGGAGGGACATTCCCCTCGACAATTGAAGATGTCCTTGATTTATCTGACATCATCAGGGATCCACCCATTATTGCCAACGCAATTGGATCAACTGCCCGGAGAGGTATGCATTCGTCTGACTCCCCGGCGACCTCTCGGATACTTGGCTCGCCCTCGATCGCAGCCTCATCGGTCGATACTTGCGACAGGATGGACTCTTGAGTGACTTCGGTAACAGAACCAGTGTCAGGTTTTGTAGCCAAAATGGACTCTGCCTTGATCCCGGAATCTAATTCGTCGGCCGTTTGCGCCAACACAGCCGGCGCCTTAGCTGCGGCAACCGCATCTCGGATTGGGACAACGCCGGATTTCTGTGCAGCCCCATGAGCCAAGCCTACTTTCGAATTGTCCAAGCTGATAGTGTCCTCAACAGACGCCACGTCCTGGGCGATGTTGACCAGCGCAAGATCTTTAGTGAGCAGAGGCTTTGGCCCCTCCACAGGGTTCTCATTTCGCTCGTCCAACAGATTGAGCTTGTCTGTACCTGGATATGACTGAAAGCCCGTGTCCAAGACAAAATCAGCAGACTTTGGCGTCGTTGGATGCTTTGTTGCCTCATCCACAATGGCGGCTTCACTAACAGCAGACCTTAGATTTTGGTCCGAAGCCGTCTCAAACACTTCAATGGCTGCCGCATTGTATTCTTCAGGATCGAGGGGGATGGTAGCGACAGAGCTAGCCGCCGTGGAATTGGGTCTCGCCGTGGACTCTAAAGTGGGCTCTCCGGCATGTGGAAGTTCCTCCTCCTGAGAGGCAGTACAAGAAGCAGATGCTCGGGCAACTTCAGGGATTGCTTCTTCGCTGACTTGAGGCGAAACGGACGCGTCCGTTGCAGTGTCATCTACGACGATTGGCGCCTTTTGGGCGGTATCTAACGCCTCAATTTCAACCGATTCCAGCTCTTCCGGAGCCTTTGGTGTTACCTCTTTGGTCGGATCGTCCAGCAAGACGGGCTCTTGTGTGACCGAGGAACTTAAACCTTTGGTAGACCCAGCCGGAACAGGCTCTAGGATAGCATTATCGGCAGCAAAAGCCTCGTTCTCGTTTTGAAGGCCCAAGACATCCTTGGTGTCGTCCAACGCAAGTAAGTCTTCTGCCATGGGCGGGGTTTCTTCTTCAGCCACGGCCATAGCGTGCTTCTCCTTAGCTCGTGCCACCGGCTCTTCAGTTGCAGCAGACTCTTTTGAGATATTTTCGAGAACAAGCTTGATTGCGGCTCGTTGACCCAACTCGTCTTTGAAATCATCTAGCACAGCGGACTCTGCGGTTTGGTCAGGTCGTGTTCTACTAGCTGGAGCCAAAGCAAGATTATCATTCTTTGTCAGACTCTGCTCCTCGGTCGCGGAGACCATAGTATTGCGCTCTTCGTTTGGATGGAGCAAAGGTCCTTCAACCGGAATAGCTTCGGGCCCAGGAATTGACCGCGGCGTTCGTTGAGATACTTGTTCCACGAGAGGATCTTGTTCAGCAGCAAGGACTGATTCCTCTGTTCCCACCTCCTCGATGGCGCCCATGGCGAGGTCCTCTGCCACCATGTGTTCCGGGGCTTTACGCGTCGCTGCAGTAGCCTTGTTTAGAACCTCAGTAGCAGCAGGCCGCAACTCGACTGCTTCCTCTGTTTCTGGTGACATCAAAGCGCCATCGCCATCGTCCTCTCCAGCCCTCCCGGAACTGGTATATTCTACAGGTTCCAAAAACTCGATCGGGGTATCATGAAAAGAATGTAGTTCCTCACCTTTCTTCGACTTGGGAGTCAATTTTCCATCTCTAGGTATTGGTCCAACCGTGTCCTTGCTCTCTTCTTCCTCGGGTGTCTTGGGCGCCACTGGTCCATCTTTTGACCCTGCGGCAGCGGCGAGAGCAGCTCCACCCGCTGCAGCAGCAATGCCAGCAGCAATGGCCGCGGCAGCAGCTTTGGGAGAGTAATCTTCTGTCTCTTCTGTCTCAGCCTCTCCCTTTTTGAGCTCTTCGATAGGCTCCAAAGGATGGGACGGCTCTGGTTCCTTCGCTTCAGCTTCAGTCTCTGGTTCTAATTCCTCGGCGGCCAGTGCCCCTGGCTCCTTCTGTGACTTTGCGGCCTCGGGATCGGGATCGGATGTTTCGGCTTCAGCAACTTCGACGGCGGATACAGGCTCAGCTTCTTCTGGCTCTGCAACTTCAGCAGCTGCCTCCTCTGTGTTGGCTCCTCCCTCTTCAGCCGCAGCCGCTTCAGGGGATACAGCTTCAGTCTCAGCGACGCCTTCTGCCCTGAGCTCTTCCGAAGCTGCTGGCTCCTGGGCTTCTGCTGCTGGCTCTGCTGTCGGCTCCGTTTCATCTTTGGAGCCAACTTGGGCTCCAGTCTCGTCGGCATCTGGAGCCTCTCCTAACGATGCCTCATCAGCAGCAACAGCGTCAGATTCTTCAGCGATATCTGCTTTGGTAGTAGTCTCTTCCGCTACCTCAGTATGTGGCTCGGGTCCTTTCGCCTCTGCTTCAACCACCGGCTGTGTGGCAAGAATATCGGCTTCTTCCTTGGAGTCTATTTCCGTTTCTTCTTCCCGTTCACCTTCAACAGGCTCACTAGGTGGGTCAGGGACCGGTTGCTTCTCTGCAACGACGGCATCTTCTGCGTGGACAAGCTCTTCCTTGGTCTCAGCCTGGGCTGGCTCCCCGGTCTCTGTGGGCGGATCAGGGGATGCATCCTCCACATCCTCGGCGGCAGCATTCGGTTCAGCGACCTTGGTAGCGCTCTCGGGAGCTACCTTGTCTTGGAAGGCTTCTCCGGTGGCTTCGACAGTGACAACTTCCTTGTCTTCTTCAGAAGCGACTTCAATCTGATCTGATGTTTTCGCTTCGTCTTTTGTAGGCAGACCATCCGTATTCTCGTCACCATGCTCTGCGGGAATTAGCGCATCTTCTTTGGGCGCCTGTTCTTCTGCAAACGATGCGTCCGCTGGACCATCATCTTCTTCTATCAATAGCTCATGTGGAGCATCAACGTTGAGATCAGGCTTGGCTTCAGAGGCACTGTCATCGACATTAGATTCCTCTGCTACCTCTTGGTCCTCAACTGATACTGCAGAAGCAGGAGGTTCAGCCGCATTGTTCTCGATGGCATCAGAGGGTGCCTCATTAGCCTCCTTCATGATATCTGTCTCGGCATTGTCCTCATCAGAAGTAAGGGCAAGGTTCCCAGTCGTATCAGCAACATCGTCAATAACAGGTTCTTCATTATGTGCAGGCTCCTCTTCAACAGTCTCAGGAGGGGCTTCGGGTATATTTGTTGAATCTTCATCCTGAACTGCCTCCTTTTCCTGCTCCTGTGGTTCAACAATAGCTGCACTATTTGTCTCTTCAAAATCAGGTATAGCTGCTACTTCAGCTGCTTCCACCTTATCCTCAACTGGCTCTACCGGAACGTCGGCTTCCTGGGGCTGGTCTCCAGCTAGGCCTTCAGTCTCTGATTCTGTGGAATCAGGAGACCGGGCGGTAGTTTCAGTTGCAGGAACGGCGGTAGTCTCATCTGTAGGCTTGACAATGTCATCAACAGGAACCGCCTCTTCAATGTCCGCAGTCTGTTCAGCATTGGGTTCTTCGGCAGCTTGGTCATCACTGGTTTTCACAACAGTGTCAGATGGCTCTTCAACCTCCGTATCAGCTGCTACTTCCTTCAATTCTGCTGGAGCGGCAGCTAGGGCTGGAGTGTCGGAAGTGTCCTCGCTTTCTTTCGTTTCTTCCGATTCCTTTGGCTTGGGCTTTTCTTCGGCTCCATCGGTTAGTTCTTTGACACCCGTTTCTTCGCCTGAGGCTCCGGGTCCTCTGATGACTGTTGATACCTGCTCATCACTCAGAGAGTCCGATTGCGGCTCTGAGTGTTCATTGTCAGGGGCAGGTGCATCTCTTACGTCAGCTTTGTCAGGCCCTTCAGAGACGGCAGATTCCTTATCCAGCTTGGTCTCAGCATTGTCAAGGCTCGAGCCTTCTGTTTGTTTGTCTTGCTCGTTTGTTACAGACTCGGAAACAGAGGCTGTATTTTCATTTGTAATGGGCTCAGGCTCTTTGGTCGCTTTTGTCTCTCTGGTAGAAATTTCGGCTGCAGTGGTGGCTTCATCAGCTGTGGCAACCTCGACAGTTAATCCGGCCGTATCACTGGTCTCCGATTCCTCTGCCAGGGCTTCAGCGGCTCCTGCTTCAGCCGAAGGTTGGTCTTTATCCTCCGCTCCTAGTTCGTCAGGCTTCGCACTTTGAGTTTCAGTTGGGTCCGTTTCAGAGACTTCGGAATCTTTAGTTCCATCAGGGGCACCATCTTCAGGTTTTGACTCATCGACAGCAGGCTTCTCTGGCAATGTCTCTTCATCCTGTGGCTCAGTTGTCTCGGGTACGTCATCGCTCACTGGAGCAGCTGCGGACTCTCCGCTCACGGATTGTCCAGCACCAGTTGTAGTTTCCTCTATCTTCACTTCCTCCGCAGCTTCGGCGGTCGAACTATCGGCACCTAACTCCTCTGGCTTCATCTCAGTAGCAGTAGGCTCATCCACAGGTGCAGTTGCAGCTTCGACGCCGTCATTGGTGGGATCAGACGGATCTTCTTGTGACGATGTAGCTGTCGTCATGTCAGTCAGCTCCGTGATTTCTGCCTGTGCAGCTATCTCTTGGGCTGGCTTGTCTTCTTCTATTGGACCCACAGTGTTGAGGTCCTCTGTCTGAGTGTCCGTCTTATCGTTCTCAAGTTCTGCAGCTCCAGTAGCATTGTCGGGCGGGTGCTGTTTAGGCTCTTCTTTTTCTTCACTAACGGAAACTGGTATCTCTATTGGTTCTGCGGCCCTTTCTTCTTCCTTGACAGCCTCGTCTAGAGCGGCTTCCGTCGCAATAGCTTCAGGTTTAGCCTCCTCTGCTGTTGGTTCTTCAATCGCACGCGCAGAGTCAGACGCAGGCTCGGTTTGTGAATCGGGCTCAGTATCGTCTAGTTTGGCTTCTGCTGCCGTACTTGCTTCGGTTTGAGATGCTTCTTCAATGGCACCATCCACTGCCTTTTGAGATTCTGAACCATCGTTTAGACATGTTGGGACAGGCTCTGGTTCAGCAGTCTCAGCGTCATCGCCTGTATCAGGTTCTGCCACTCCGGCCAAACCTTCGTGCGTTGCTGGTTCTTCAGCCGTCATTTCCACTTCCGCTGACTCCACCGGAGACTCTCTCTTAGATTCTGGAGTTGACTCTGGAGCTGGTGAAGAGCCAGCGTCCGGCGATGCTTCCGCATCTCCAGTCGTTAGAAGAGCTTGTGGATCCGTGGAAGCAGGCGCCTCTTCTTTAGCTTTTTCCTTTACTTCGTCAAGAGTCGACGCCTCAGTCGATGTCAACTGGCCCTCTTGTTCCTGGGCTGCTGACTCCTCCATAGCATCATTAGTCGGTCCTTCAGCAGAAACTGTACCGGAAGGAGGTTTGTCTTCCGATGCGGTTTCCGTTGTAACAAGAGAGTCCCCTGAGGGCAAATCTTCCGTAGCTTCATCTCCAGTAGGAGTGGCTTGCGCAGCCGTTTCCACTGCTGCGGGCTGGATGTCAGGTTCTTGGGCAGCTGTTTGCTCAGCCTCAGGACATTGATTTGGGGACTCCTCAGGAGCCGTAGTCTCGGCCACCGATTCTTTGGGGGTTTCCGTCGCTGGCTCGGGGGCAGATGTTTCAATCTCAGTCGCCACCTCAGTAGGTGCAGCTTCTTCAACCAATTTGGCAGGCTCCTCCGAGGTAACGGCTTCATCTGATTCTTCCATAAGCTTCAGAGAACCCTCGGCAGCTGGCACTGGAGCAGGACTCGTATCATCAACTGCAGCTACTTCTCCCTTCAGACCTTCTACCACGACGGCCTCGGTCACTAATTCTTCGGCTGGTTTTTCATCAATATGTTCACCCTCAGCAGCCTTGTCCACAGATGCCTCTTCCGGCGCAGGGTCTGTATTCTCGGACACCTTCGCTTCGGTAGGATTCGTTTCGGTGGAAGCTTCAGTGGCAGCTTCATCGCCATGCTTTCCCTCCGTCTCAGTCACTGTTCCTGGCGGCGCGTCTGCTTCCGTGGTAGATACTTCAGCTAAAGCATCAGCGTTTGTACTCGCAGCTGCCGGCTCTTCAGCCGCCATGGCCGTCTCCTCCTCTGCTTTCTCAGGCTGAGATACTTCTCCAGGTTCAGGGGACGAAGTAGCTGCCTCGGGAGTCGCCGCAGGAGTTGGCGTCTCTTCCTTTAGTCCTTCAGGTTCGGGCGCTTCCGTCTCAGGCTTAGAATCGCTCATGGCTGCCTCGAGATGGATTTCTGCCGCTGGTGCAGCTTGTTCGACAGTGGTGGCTGCAATGACCTCGGGAGCTGGTGCTTCTGATTCCGATACGGATTTACCAGGTTGGCTCTCCTCCTCAGCTTTCTCCTCAGCTGGGGCCTCAGTGGTCGGCACCTCAGGGGATACCTTTTGAGTCGTCGGTTCCTCGGCGGCCACGACTGTCTCCTGCTGCATAACCACGACCTCCGCCTCTTCAACCGCAGGTACGGGAACCTCGGAGCCAGCCGCCGCTTCCTCAACTGCAGGGGTGTCTTCCATCACCACTCCAGTGTCGGCCTCTTCAATCGTGTGTCGGGGGGGCTCAGGAGCTGGCGAATCTGCTTCCACCGTAGGCACGCCCTCCTCTTCCACCTCCCGGGGTGGTGCCTCGTCAGCCTTGGCGTCGGACTGAGGTTCCTTGATCGCAGGTGTGCTTGCCGCACCCTTATTCTTCTTCTTGCTGTTCTTCTTTTTGTTTTTCTTCGATGCCGTTGGTGTCGCTACGGGCTTGTCGTCATCCTCATGATTCGTGGCTTCCACATGGGTATTCGTCTTATTTTTCTGCTTATTTTTGCGTTTTTTAGAAGGCCGTGAGTTTTCTTCCCTCTTCGGCTCCGGCTGATTTGACGGCTCTGCACCTGGGCTATCTTCACCTACATCCTCGCCATTATCTAGATCTTCTATGTGACTGGGTTAGCTCTACTCCATTTCACTAGTCTGGTGCCGCCAGTCACGGCATCTCGGATGTGAGATATATAGTCTACCTTGATGGTCTTCCCCTGGCTCCGGTTCCGCTTCGGATTCCGATACGCGAGTGTACTGCACATTTGTGTAATCAGAAAATTGTACGTTTGATAAACCAACAGCTGTCCTATGTGGACAAATAGCAACAGTTTGATGAGAATCCATACTGTCGTTGGGTCTTTCCCTCCATCAAAGGCCAGAGGCTCTGCTTGGAGGGTGGGTTGGGCAGCGCTTAAATCAGTCACGGCCGCCATACAGAAAATGCTGAGTGGTGTCACAGCTTCTTCGACTTTGTATTGGGCTGTCGGGTAGATGCAGCCAGATGGGCAGCCAAATGTGTTGGATCGGGGCTGCTTGGGCTGATTCCAGAATTGGGGAATAACAAGTTACGTAGTCGTACAGACAATTATGCGGGTGCAATGCACATTCAGATGGCGTGAACAACAAGCTCAAGGGCAAATCAAAACGCAAAACGGCAGCACCAAACGACAATGGATTGGTGAAGTAAAACAAATTGCTTGTGATGTGAGGTGCAAATGCAACGATTTTCCAAAAACAAAAGGGGAGACGAAAAGAAAAATCTGTCGAACGGGGTGTGGTCAAAGGTCACTGACAAGACAACTTGACCGCTTCCTAGGAACGAAGCCCTTGTTTACATGGGCTCGTCTACCAGTAGTACGTACGTACGGAGTACGGAGTACTAGTACTACTAACTACTATGTACGTGCAAGATGAGGGACCCATTTTGGATAGGAGCGCGTACCAGACCCATGGCATGGCCGCTTGGTTCAGCGGAACCGAAATTGACATAAATCATGGGCGACCTTTTTGTTGCCTGATCAGCCACGAGAAGTACGTAGTAGTAGTAGTACAGAGCCGGCTCACCCTTGTCCAGGCCGCCAAGACGAAGATGGGATGGCAACATCATCAGTTGCATCTCCTGTCTTCTTCCTGTCTCTTATCTACTCCGCGGACACGATAACTTGTCGGTCATGAGGTTGTCAGCGGCTCTGAGCGGCGGGCCACGTCGGACAGCGATTAGGCTGTCGACACGAGACATGCCAGCTTCCAAGGTCGAGACCTGTCTGCGTGGAAACGGGACATGCCGTGGCAGGGGAATCAGTGGAAGGCGAATGCTGACTGGCAACTTGATACTGCTCCTCGTTCTGCTTGTTTTGATTAGTCTCTTTGGTGGTACTGCTGATGCCCGACAACAACGCAATGAGACCCTCTGGGGCTGCGCATAACGTTACCGGGCAATAGTTGGCGTCGAACAGCAAGGGTGCAAGCTGATGATGGGCAGAGGTTGTCACGAAAGCGGACCCCGAAGTATCTGTCTGTCTCGTGCCGGTGCGGGTTGGGCCTCGACGCCGCGTTGGCGTTGCGGAGCCAGCCCATGGATGAATATTTAAGAGTCGACTCCGGCCGGATAACGAACGGCGTGGCCCTCCTCGCCCAATGCCTGCAGCCAGGTTTGGTTAGCTAGTATGTACTACCAAAGAAGAGACGATCCGTGTGGCCCGGAAACGCTTTCGTGCCTTTTGATGCAGCAGTTTGCATTCTATCGTCCAAGAGCCCAGACTGCAGAGTCCAGAGACCCAAGGGCTTCGAGACTGCAACGTGGCTCGTGTCCACTGGTGTCGACGGGCCGCACAGACAAAAGGATCCATCCGTTGTGTTGGCTTGACTGCAGGACGCATGCACGAAGTCGGCGTTGAGGAAAGTGCTCCCGGTGAATCAGATGTGCTGCTCCGAACGGAGAACGGCATTGCATTTGGGAGTAGTGAGCACGGAATGCGGAGTAGTTTTTTGGTACGGAGTACGTAGATGCAAGTTGCAACTTGATGTTGATTTGTGCAAGCGCGACTGCCTGGAAACATTGAATGCTCGTGCAGAAGTGGACCCAGCGCCTGCCCGGTGTTACTTTGTGCACGGGACTATGTCGCTCCAAAAGGTTCATGGTCGTCTGTCTCTGTAAAGGTTGGCTTCGAGTACAGAGTACAACCTCGTCGATAACATTCTTCCGCCCGTCAGTTATTACGCTGGAACTTCGAGATCGACTGCGCCGTGCTCTGTGCTTGACGGAGATTTCGGCTCCAACAACATATCCGAGTACTCCGTACGCTGTAGTAGTATAGCCTAAATAAGTACCTCTGCATGAATAAATATCGCCAAAGCACTACTACTCCATGCGACGCTGGCCATATCCAACCTCTTTCCCATAAAGAAACTCGCAACGGTAAGTACTTAAGGGTCTAGCTTAGTTTTAAATTCACGACGGCGCTAGTCCAAATCCATCAGCTAGTGTCCTTTGCCTTTTTTGTATGTGTCATTTGCTGCTAGCCCAAGTTTAAAGAGGCAGGCGCATCGGCGTTTTTTTTTTAAGGCTTGGCTCCACTATCGCGAGATTTTACATTTTGGTGTTTTGAAGTAGTATCAACAGCGGCGCGCAAGTGATGAAGGAGACTGACTCTTTATGGAACGGTCTGGCGGGGGGATATAACGGCCATCACTTCGTTTCGCTTCAACACATTCTCTCCTCGCTCCAGTTTGGCTGAGGTCAGGCTCTGCCTTTGAAACCGAGTCTTGGACTGTCCCTAGTTGGCGAGCTGCTCTGGTGTCATTGCACGGTAATCTAGTCATGCGGGCTTGCAGGATGGTGGGGAGGGGCTGGGCAGGTCTCCATTAAAAACAAAGAATCATCGTCATATAAGAATTATCATCATAAACGGTGATACTACTGCTCCGCACGAATAATAAGAATCAAAGTAACCGCAGCGGACACGGAGTCGGTATCACCACTATTCTGGTCACAGCATGTGTACCATGACGCCTGTGTGCTATCCATCTCGGCTTTGAGGAGGATTCTTGTATATGAGGTACGTACTGAGTACTTAAGTACCTAGGTACCTAGCTACTCAAGTTGACGGAAAATATCAAAGTACTTAAGTAACTACCTAGGTACTTAGATCGGTGCGGTCTCGGCGGTGAGCAAGGATCAGATGGCATAGCAGGGAGATACCGGGGCGACCAACAACCGCCATAACCGCAGTTCGGTCAAGGAACAGCCATGGCTTGATTCAGAATCGGGAATCTACATGTGCTTTGGGGTACTAGCCATGCAAGCTCAGTTGACAGTGCTGCGAACCCCACGATCGCGTTACGATGAGCAAAAGTATCTTGTCGGATCTTCGTGGAATTCACCAGCCAACCTTTAAAATATCATGGCTCACATCTCTGGCATGGCGTCATCATTTCCCCTTATTGTAACTATTTTGTTTACTTCGAATATGGTACTGGTATCTCGGCAAGCATTGTTACACTCCCCTTTCAAACTGAGCGAGGACTGGCGACCAATTTCCACCGCACCCCATCGTCGAAAGCCCGATTACACTGCGTCAAGTCATTACTGTGACGTACAACCTTGGTCACCAAAAGCTACTCATTGGCGTTACCCTGCCTGACCACCCCTAGGAGGCAGGCGCAGCACCGCCCTGATTGCCCTCATCCACCTTGGGGACATAGTTGGCTTGTGCGCTGTTCTTCTTGATAACGTGTTTGACCTTCTCTTCAGCTTCATCCCAATCATCCGTGGGCAAGTTCACCAAGTCGATGCCAAAGTGCGAAGCAATAGCGTTAAGAGCATCAAAACTCTTTTGATCGTAGACGAAACTGATGCTGACACCAATACGGCCAAATCGACCTGTTCGGCCGATACGGTGCAGATACGTCTCGGCATCAGGCTCCTCACCTTTTGGACCGGGCTTCATGGGAATATCATAGTTGATGACCATCGAGACACTGGAAACGTCGATTCCACGGGATAACAGATTAGTAGTGACGAGAACCTTGCTCTCGCCACTGCGGAATTTGGCGAGCAACTCTTGTCTCTCGCTACTGTCAAACTCTCCGTGCAGTACGGTCACCTTGTGACCGTCGCCACTCATGCGCCGTTGAATTTCACTGGCGCTCTTTCGGGTCTATCATCTGACTGTCAATGTTCAATTCAAATACGCCATCACGACGCATACGCAGCATACCTTTACGAATATGACCGACTGTCCAATAGTCATCAACCCATATAGTTTGCAAAGAGTATCATACCGCGCATTTTCGTCTGGGCAGTCTATAAACATCTGCGAAATGCCCTTGACGGTGAGCTCTTTGGCTTTTAGAGTCAAAGTGTTTGCGTTCGGTGCGAACTTGGGGATGTATTCCTGTACTCGTGCCGGGAACGTAGCGGAGAAGAGTAGTGCCTGAGTACTGGCACTGGTGTCGGGTGGCAAAAGGCTAATATTCCTCAGTTAGATCAAGACAGCTGCTACTATGCGCGTGGAGGGTGTTTGTGACTCACTGGCGCTTCACTCGAAGGCATTGGTCGCCCAGACCAGCCTGGTCCAGCATGTTATCAGCCTCATCCAGGACAAGTACTTTGAGCTTAGAACCGTCAAGCTGCCTGCGACGGCCCAAATCCAAAACTGTGCCCGGAGTACCAACTACAACGCTAGCTCGAACTGCTTCTCCTCGAGGAATTTTCTGGGGTATGGCAAGCGCAACCTTGAGGTTTTCGATAAATCGTCCAATATTGAGAATGTTTCTGTAAATCTGGTCCGCAAGTTCTTGCGTAGGGGCCAGGATCAAAGCCTGTGGCTGTTCCGGCTGGGTGAAGTCGACACGAGACAGACTAGCTGTGAGGAAAGCAACAGTCTTGCCGGTACCGGACTGCGACTGGGCAACCATGTTTTTGGGGGGATTGCTAAGCATGAGCGGTAGGGATTTGCCTTGAATTCTGGAAGGCTTCAAGAAATTCTCTGATAGAAGGCCCTTCAAGATCGGTTCGGGCCTAGGAGAAGGGGGTTTATTAGTATTCCAGCTAGTAGTTTGACATGTCTGTCTACCGCACATACAGTCCCAAGTCTTGCCATGTAGCAGCCGAGTAGATGGGAGCAGCGTTATCACCACTGATGGTCACTTCGACGTCACCTTCGGCTTCGTGTAGGGCAGAGCCGCCAATGGCAGCGGATGCGCCATCAACTTGGGCATCTGAAGCTGCTGCATTGTCCGGTTCGTCGGGGCTCGTGATACGATTCGCAAGATCGGACATTGTGTTTGATGGCGATGATGTTCGAGAGGTCAGTCGAACGATCAGCCAAACTGGTGATTGCTAGTTTCTGGCTAGCTCGAGGATAGATGAATAAATCAGGGCTTCCTGAGACAGTCGACAAGGCCGGAGATTGGAAGCAATAGGTGGGCGGCTGCAATTTTGGCGGGGTGCGTGCTCAGAGCACGTCCAATTTTTGCTCCGCGCACATCAGACCCAGTTTTCATCCGCTCACACCCGTCGCCAGCAGAACAGGTACATTTCATACAGTTACTAGTTACAAGATACGTATGTGTAACTGGACGGGTTGTTGCGCTGGGAAGCTGATCACGCGGCCCGTAATGTGCACTATTCAACAAAAACACCAGCAATCGCGCTTTTTGAGCGATTTTCCCGCCCGATGCGGCGTTGTTAGAAATCTGATATGTTTCACACAACACGGCCATATTTACCTAAGTACTTGATATCGTGACAACTGTTCATTTGTACTTGAATGTACTAGGGGAGTGTAGCAGCCTGCCGCTAACCCAAAATAGTTCTTCTGGGCCGCAGCTAAGTACTAACTACCTGAAGTAGGTACCCATTAGGTCGTTCCGTCCTTTATCCGACCCGCCTCACTCTGAAGTCTTTCACTTAGCCAAGCTAGACACGAACATCGAGAGTGCCGTCACAGTATTCAGCTTCTGCCTTTTACTACGGCACACAATTACAATTCATAACCCTGATATTGTTTTTACTTCAGGTCAACTGTGTCGTTTGTCCACTGCAACCGCGCCTATTGGCGTCGCAAAGTCTCAATGGCCGCACCAACGCCTCCACCCTCATCAAAGACACCATTCTCACTTTACGATAACCTCTTAGATCCCAATGATCCGCCTCCTCCGGCCACGATATCCTCCGCTCCAGTTCTGTACGGTCAAGCTGAGTCGGTCGCCGAAGCCAAGAAGTCGCTAGATCCAGCTCTGCGGTTTCAGCCCATCCGCCGCCCTCCCGTAAAGCAAGCAGCCAAAACCAAAGGTGCCGCGTTTCCAAAGTTAATAGCAGCTTCCAAGCCGCTTGGCACTGCAGAGCCGAGTGCAAATCCAGTTCACTCGGCACCCCATGCCTCGTCGGCCTCAGCTACCGGGCAGTCTGCCAAGAGTACTCTCGCAGACTGGGCCGCGACGGAGGAAGACGAGTGGCGGTACGGCGTGGGTGAGAAGCGCCAGCGTGGTGGGCGTAAGAAGAAGAAGAAGCAACAACAGATGCAAGTCGAAACGGATTGGGATGAAATATATGACCCAGCTAGGCCGACAAACGTTGACGAGTACTTGAGAAGTGATGAGAAGATAGACGAAGTGAGAGAATGGAAAGCACTGCTCTATCGGCACAGGAAGAAACCGGATGAAAGCGACGCATCAGATGATGAGGACGAGGATTCAATGCCAGTGCCATCAAGTCAGCACCGTCCTTCTTTCCGTGACCGTCTCGTTGCACACATCTCCAGTACTAACTCAAGTTTAGAACAATTCGCACCTCCCCCTTCGTACGCCTACGTGCCGCCACCGCCTGAATCGCCTCCAGCACCACCACCGCCAGACGAGAGCGCCGATGATGCCTACGCCCACCGCTTGGCCTTGTCTTCCAACAGTCAACCTCCGCCGCCGCCCTCGCCGCCCACGCAACCAAACGAGCCGCCTTCGATTCCACCACCGACAGACTCAACGACCATATCCCGCGCCCCCGTACACTACACTCAACCCAGAGACTCTGGCGAAGAAAACGATACCAACTCCCCGCCCCCAACTCTCGGCGGCGGCAGCGACAACGACGAGATGTGCAAATCAGAGGCTCAGCAACGCTCAAACCGCCCCGGCCAGGCCGGCTTCGCTCACCGCCTCATGTCCAAGTACGGCTGGACCCAAGGAACGGGCCTCGGCGCCAACGAGACCGGCATCACCAACCCCCTCCGGGTACAAGTCGAGAAGCGCCGCAAGAAAGCTGATGCCGAAGGTGGCGGGTGGGCAGAACCCAAAGGTAAAGGCAGAATCATCGGTTCCAAGAGCAAAGATGAAGCCGGCAGCTTCGGCCCCATGAGCGACGTGATCGTTCTGCAAAACATGTTGGAGAACATGCCCGATCTGCAGGCCGAGATAGCCGACGGCTTGGGCCAAGAGATTGGGGAAGAGTGCGGAGAAAAGGCGAGTGTTCCCTGCATGGCGCCTCATCCCCCTGCAATCCATTCACTAACGCATCATGCTGCAGTACGGCCGTGTGGAACGTCTCTACATTCATCAGCCTACTCGCCAGGTATTCATCAAGTTCACAGACCAAGTCTCCGCTTTGCGGGTATGAACCTTGTCCCACTACATTCCAAGTCCCTTGGGCCGGATCACCTGCTAAACTTGGAACACAGGCGGTCAACGAACTAAATGGTCGTATATTTAACGGCAACGCAATAATACCCAAATTCCACGATTCAGAAGCGTTTGAGAGGGGTGTGTATAATGTCTAGTAATGTCTTTCTTCTCATTCAGGATACACGGGTACCCAAGTACCCTCGAGCCATGAAACAGTTGCGTCGATATTCGACGTACAGTCTGTCACTAGTGATGTCAACAGCATGTGCAATGCACTGGGCTGTTTCAGCATCATCATCACATTTCGCCGGATGCAGTGACGCCCCTTGCTCTGAGTGTGAAGAAGCAAGTAGATACCCGCTTGAAATACACACACCCAAAGGTGTCGCGGGGCATCGTAATACAACAAATGGCGTGAAGGTATCATGTAGGTGGCATCATCTACACTTATTGGCAGATGCTGGTACGTAGTGCAATTGCGGGACAAATAGAATAAATATGTTCACTTGCATCATCTGTATTTGCACGCCTTTGGAATCCGGACGCCCGTTGATGTGGTCGCATGGCGATGGTCATTCTTTTTAGTCTCTAGGACCTGACCGATGGGTATTGTTTGTCCTGAAATAGCTAGTCGGGATCAAAAATGGTAAGAGCTGGCCAGCTGTATTTTGTGGAAACTACCATCTCCAGTAACTACTTTCCGAGCCATTCATGGGAGAGGAGAAAGAGGGAATACCGTGGACTCCCGTTTAGTCATCTCCAAAGATGAATCAAATACAATCCATTATTAAGTCCTAGCATGTATGAGACGCACACGGGCCATGTTCGTCTGGGGCACTCAACCCGCCCGCCTACAGGTGAGGGCCGGTAATATACTACCAACTACCGATTAAAGAAAAGGCGAAACATATGTCGAGGAACAGCTGAACGACGCCAACATCAATCAAGTCTGATACTTTTGTATCCGGATGTCTTAGATCAATTGCGCAAATCCAGCAACAGCAGCAAAGCCCAGCAGGGCGTGGTTGATACCGAGGCTAACAGCGGCAGAGTCGGTGCCGTTAGTTGAAGTGCCACCTTTGCCGCCCTCATTAGCCTTTGCATTGTTTGAGGTGCAAGACGCCTTGCCCTGGATAGCCTTGCTCTTCGACAGGCCGTTGAAGAAGGAGCAGAAGGATGAGATGTCGGTGGTAGAAGTCACGGTCACGGCGCCCTTGATGTCGTTAAGCTTAGGCATCTCGACACTGTTACAAAAGGATGAGGTTAGCACAAAGACCGCCGTAAGCATGAACTGGGGCTTGTGCTTACGTGTTGAAGCTACCAGCCAAAAGCATAGCACCTCCTATAGTCGTCAGTTCAGGGAAAAGGTTGATCTTCTCCAGAGCAGTATTGTTGCGGATGGTCATGTCGCCATTGATCTTCTCGAGAGAAGTGAAGGAGATGTTTTCCAGCTTCTTGTTGTTCTCCAGAGTAAGGGAGTCCTTGATTTGGGTCAGCTTGTTGGCGGAAACGGAAAGAAGATCTGGGCTCTCCTGGAAGCTAAGACGGTTGGCAGTCTTCAAGCGAGGTGCATCGAAGTTCTTGATGGATCGGAAGTCGAGCTCGCCAGCGGATTCGAGGTTGGGCATGTCAATCTGCATGCTGCCAGCATTGTCAACAATAGAGATAATGTTCGTAACGTTTTGGATTGTGGAGTTGAACGTGTTCAAACGACGGTTGTTGGAAATGGTCATATTGTCGACGGTAGCAACGTTAAGACCCTTGAGATCCGAGGCGAAGGTGTCCTGAACTCTGACTGTCATAACCGTGATACTCCCGTTACCAACCGACAAACTAGTGAGCTGGGGGAGATTGATAAACTCGAGGTTCCCAGCCTTTTGGAATGAAGGCATCGAGACAGCGTTGAGAAGCTCGCAACCTTGGATACGACAAGTACCATCAACGGTCCTGAGCGACGACGAAGAAACGCCAACAAGTTGTGAGGCGTTGTTGATGATGAAGTCGCCTTTGATCTGTCTAGGGCCCTCGAGGGACAGGCTCCCGGCAACACTCGCATCGACGGTGACATCACCCTCGACAACGTCGCAATCAATGACAGGAGTAGGCTGGGTAATCTTGACGTCCTTAGAGCAGGTAGTGGCAGCTATTTCGTCGTCAGAGCATGAACACCCATGGCCCAGCAAGTAGAGAGCTTCTTACCGGAAGCGACGCCAGCAACAGCCAGGATGGCCGGGAAGAGCGTGACAGGATGCATTTTTATCTGCAGAATTAACTGGTTTAGAACCAAAACATATATGGTTGATGTATTGTACGGAGCGATCGTGCGAGCGTGTGGAATAGAATGTTGGGGATTCGACAGTTGTCGGCCTTGATTGATTTTCTGGTGTATATAACTCTATCCACTGCAGTCCAAAAAGGGCTTCGACAGCTGGCAAAGAATGTTTGTCGAAATAGACTGCGTTCCCAATGATGCAAGATACGAGGAAGGATTTTCTGGTCGAAAGTCTCGACGGCTCGCGACCCAAGCGGGCACGCCCCGAGGCAAGAATCGAAAGGAGGGTTGGAAGAGCACGAGAATTCGGGCAAGACCGAATTGGGCGATGACTTGTGTGTAGGTAGGAAGGAAGGGGATTGGAAGGGAAAGTGGCAGGAGCAAAGCGAAGTTGGAGACGAAAATTGGGTGGATTGGAATTGGGAAGCCACGAGCGTGCGATGACGAAACAAGGTGCAAAACCTACCGTCTCTTGTCTTTCAATCCTGCTTGCCAATGTTTTGCAAGGTCGGCAGGCTATATCGCCTTGCTGTTGGGCTCCAAGGGTCGGTCGAGAGACGGGTTGGCGGTTATAAAAGAGGCGATTTGCAACCTGGTGAACGAATGGCGGGAATCGAAAAAGCCGAAACGATGACACGACGGCGACGACGACAAAAGGCGAAAGCAGCGTCAGGACGAGGGAAAGGGAACGGGAGGATGGGCAAAGAGGATGGGCAAAGACAAGGAGGAGACAGAGCTAGGGATTTTCTCCTTCTATCTCTCTGACCCTTGCTGGCTTCAACCAAGTGGACCGTGGACCGTGGACCGTGGACCGCGGACCATGGTCAGGCCAAGCAACCTGGACGAGCTGCCCCCCAAACAACACCATGCCAGGTCCCGTCGACATCTGATAGCCCCGAGGCCTCAAGCCCGAACGGCACAGACCAAAGCCATTCACGCTGGGACCGCAAAAAGGGGGGGGTGTCCTGGCGGCCGTGTTAGCGGCTTTGTGGCATGCACTTGCAAGCCTGCCTCGTCTCATTTGCTATTTGCTTGCCAGCACTCCGTACGGTACGGTACGGGGCCTTGAACCAACTGCTTTGACAATTGGATGCCACTAGACGAGCTTGGGTGAGAGGGAATGGAGTTGTATGTTCATCAGGGGCCGACGGGTGGAAATGCTTCCTCTGGCTTTCCGGTGCCCAACCTCTACGCCGTCAATTCACATCTTGACACTGTCAGTGACACTGTCACCACCGCAATTGCAATCAGAGCCTGGGCGTCAAGGCGGACGAACACTCGCACAGGCCCCACGCACCCACCAGGGCTCAAGTCAACACCCTTGCGACTGCGACGACGACGTGGTAGCAGAAAAACAACAAACAAGCAACCACTCAGCTATATTTTCTGCGACCCGCGTGCCTTGGTCCTTGGACCTGGCAGAGGCACCCACGACCGCTCCACAGCCACCAACGCCACCATCGGCCTAAACGGCAAACCTGGTTTGTTCCCACTTCGAATGTACACCCGGAGTTCGGTCACGGGTGTTGTGCTGCTACTCCGTCTTCCGTACCATGGCCTGTCCTGGCCTGTCCTGTCCTGTCCAGTTCAGCTAAAGACGTTGACTCGGCCTTTCACTAGAGGACGAGTCATCCTTCTCTCTCTCTTTTTTTTTTTAATGCGGGGTCAGTAGCTATCAAGATTACGGCCGGTGCCCTCTGCCCTCGCTCTTGCGCCAGCGCTGAGGCTGGTGCAATCGTCCGAATTGGCAAAAAAAAGACGGACAGCGGGAGAGGCCAGCAGTAGTAGGAGGCATCCGCCCAACAACGACGGAAAAGGGTACGGAACCATGCCGTGCCCATGCTCCCATTTTCAAGATGCTTGCTGCCGCATCAACGACCGACACTCTCGCAGCCGGGTATCGCCTCACTCCGAGACGCCATCTGTGATGATCAATCACGTGAGTTCGCATTGTAGAACGCAATGCAAAGCATCTGAAGGATCCGCTTTTTCCACTCCCGTGAATGACGTCGGTGAAGGACGCCCTTCACAAACCTACCTTGGGCTGTGCGCCGCCACCCCCTTTGGCGGGATAAACACCCCCTGTGGCATGCAAGTGACCAGCGCCCACTGCAGATTGCTAACGCAAGACTCATGTGATTCAATGAAGCTATTCACGACTCTTTTCTCTACTCAACGTATCCTTGCGAGCATGCGGTGCAGACTCGTTCTCAATCCTCAGTTCAACGGGGGACAGCCTGGCAAGCCAAAGGCCACCCAAAAGGCAACGGCTCCCTACACAATCATGACTCATGACTGACGGCAAGCGGCAGTCAAAGTGCTTCGATTATGCCTAGGATGGCAATAGTACCTACCCTGAGTTTCAAGACAAATTTTAATCAAGGATTTGAACGGCTGACGCAATTGTCTACTATTTTGTGAACAGGCTGGACAGCAGCCGATAGCTCTCATTGAGTCGGCTGGCCTCTACTGTTGAGCAAGACTGCCTGTTGTCTGTAGTAAGGCAGTAGCAAAGTAGTACGTTGCTCTGTAAGTAGTTTTAGGTGGCTGCTCGGCTGCTCCTGTTGAAGTACTATACTTGTTCTAAATTCGTACTGTCTGGGAAGCAATACGAGCTAAGGAGCCAACCAGAGGTCAAATGAACAAACTGCCTGCAACAACTTGCAGCTCCAACTCAGCTCCATCTCCCAAGGCACCTTAGTACTAAAGGTAGTAAGTAGGTAGGTACCTAGTTACGTGGCGACTGGCAGTACGTACCGAGTCCTCGGTTGGAATTCCAACACGACCAAAGCACCAGGCAAAGAACCAGGGGAGGCGCAGCTTCGATTCCCAGCGCCAAGCCGGCAGTCTTATACACACGAGGGAAGGACAGTCATCTGCTCGGTCTGGTAGTTACGTACTTAAGTAGGCAGTACAATACGGATTATGCGGGTGTGGGAAACGTGGTCCCTCGAGAGTCGAGACACACCGTTGTCTTTGGCGCTCGTGACCGTTCCAGGGCCTTTTTCATTATTAATCTGCATGTTGATTTTGCTCCGATTGTCTATCAAGGCAGTCTACGGAGTAACCCCTATTGAAATGAACCGCCCGCGACGTAGCAAGGTTGCGGGCGCAAGAGGCCCCTGCTCTGTCAGCGATCTACGTATTCTAGATGAGCTGCTGTGAAGCAGTTGGCAAGAATACCAGCAGACCCTGGTGGAGAACACCACCTAAGTAAGCGCTTAGCAGGTAAGTAGGGTCTATAATTCTTAGCATCCTCGCGAGGCTTAGCTAGAAATCTCTATTGGCTACCTTGGTATATGCCGCCCCTGTGAAGTCTCGCATGGTTAATCAAACAGGGGTTATACTGGACGAATAAATTCATACTACTTAATCAAGCAGCTTTTCCTAAATGAAGCTGGTCGCTTCCATCAACCCGGCCAGAAACGACGACGAGTGGTCTGCAATTGGATCGAGCGGTACTGCGTAATCTCGCCAGCATTCCCGTCACGCTCGAAAGAAGGAAGGGCGGGAGGGTTGCCGATGAGACTTTTGCTGCATGCAACAACAAACAACAACAACAACAACAACAACAACAACAACAACGGGAGCCATCTTTCAGTTTTCAGTAAAATAGGAGCCGTGCTGCTTGACTCTGTAACTGAGTAGGTACGTGCTGCTGCTGCTTTTGCTTTCCCAGACCGAGGTTCAGTGCAGCGGAAAGCACCACAGGAATGCGGCGTAGGGAAAGCTTCCCCCCCGGGGCTCACTCCCCTCGCTACTTACGTGGTACGTTTAATGTTCCTCGACATATGCATTTGAGGCAGCGGTTCAACTGCTTCCCGAACATCGTCCGCGACCGTGGCGGAAACTAAACCGCAGGCTGGGGATGCTCGATGAAAGTATCAATTGATGGCCGCTGGGATTGATGCCAAGGCTGGCAGCAACTGGGTGCGATGCCGACCAGTCTGAAACAGGTACCTAGGTACGTTTCTTAAGTATTCACGACTTCGTGAGAACCGCATACTTTGTCCATACCCACCTAACTACTTGAGTAACTCCCTAGGTAAGTAGGTACTTAGTAGGTAACGCGTTCTTCAGTACATAAAGTACCTAAGTTCTTACGACAGAGTTCAACACCTGAACCGCGAACATTCGCACCGCCCCTGAATTGCACGCACAGCTTTGAGACTGCACACGGTGCTTGTCATCCATCTTAAGCTTCATCTCGATCGGCCGCGCGATCGGCACCTCGGCCCTCCTGGAAGCCATGAACCAACGCCAGTGCGACGGCATTGCATCGCGGCTGTCGCAGAGTATTGGCTCTCCTTGGTACACGTTGGGTGGCATAGTCAATACTGACTGTGGTGGTGTCGAGGAGCAGCAATTACACATCTCAACACGGCTCCTGCCAGCCCACGAACGCATCGTCCGAGTAGTCCAGTGCGTGGTTTGAGAGGGTGAACAGGCAGAAAACAAAAGCCGGCTTTCCCAGCGATGGCAACGAGGCGGCTCCAACGCAAGGCTCCGAGCCACAATGTCAAACGTCAATGACGCCATCACCATCTGTTCGTCGCTCACTCGAGGGTGCTCACGTCGGTACAGCTATCCTCAACTCTCCACATCAACCACATAAACAAACTCCTGTACGGCGCAAACTTTTCCGACATTTCCAACATGTCCTTCTCAGACATGTACTTCCACTTGCCCCCCTTGGACTTCAGCTTTGCCACGTCCCTTCCCACAAACGCCGCCATGCCTCTCTGGACGCCCAGATCCCCGACAGAAAATACATCCATTCTCTTTAATCCGAAGCAGGCAAACATTTCAACGGACCACCTCCCCAGACCTCGCACGGCAATCAGCTTGTCGACAAGTTCCTCGTACGGCGCCTCGTGTAACATCTCGGTGCTCAGGTCGCCATTCGTAAACTTCTCCGCGAGGCCTTTGATGTACTCGGCCTTGCGCTGCGACAGCCCTGCTGTACGGAGCGTCTCGACGGAGGCGGCAGCCACCTCTGACGGATGGGGAAACCGCGTCGTCGTCTTGTCCTGCGTATCGAACAAGGCTACGAATCTAGCCTTGATGGACTTGGCAGCCGCGCCGGAAACCTGCTGCGAGATAATCCCGCTCGCCAGGCTGTCGAACGGGTCGATCTTCTCTGCCAGCCCTTCCGGCGAGAACATCCTGCAGTGATTCCGTTCTACCAGCGGCCGCATCCTCTCATCCACACTGATCAAATGCGCACACGCGACGTCAAGTAGATTCTCCGTAGTGATTCCCGTAGCACCTGGTTCCTTGGACGGCGACCCTGGTCCTATATCCTTGGATGCGACCACCCTCGACGTCTCTGGCGACAGGAGCGCGGCATTGGTGGCCCGGGGATCAGCTAATCTTGCAACCGCTGCACGCGTTGGACGATTCGTGCTTTCTGCTGGCGCCGCAATGACTACTGCTGTGCTGGGGGTGGGTGTGTATGGTGGCTCGGGTTGGATGCGTTTCGCTGGTCGCCTTGTAGGTGTGACGGGCGGTGTTGCTTTTGATGTTGAGGCCTTTCGCTTCCGGGTGTTCTGTGCGGAATTTTCAGTCTGGTTTTGCAGCTGCGGCGAGTTTCGTTGGGATGGTGGTCTCAGCCTTGCATCTGGCTGGGCACTCAGCCGTGATGAACGTCTCGTCGCTGCCATGGCGGCATTCGCCAAGGATCGCGGACGTCCGGAAATGAAAGGGTGGTGAGGTCTCAGTGATGGTGTAAATGATGTAGCCAGTCGTGACGTCATGTGAGGTTCGTATGAGTGTTCCGAGAATCCGGCCGGGGCGAACAGCGCTGTTTCTGTGGTGTAGGAGTGAATATTCTATCCGACAACAAGATTCCGGTTCGATGCACTTGATACTCCCTGTCGCTCAGGGGCGTCTGTCGTGTTTGAGGGCGCGGAGTGGCGCCCCCTCACAAAAGCAGGTACAGTTTCTGCCATCAAATTGCCATATTTGTGCAAGGTAGCGAACACAAGATGAATCTATAACCAGCATTCCTTTTCTTCCCTCTTCTTCCCACCGAGTGTTAACCCAAGCAAAGAAAGAGGCCAAAACAGGTGCAAAAAGAGTTCGATGTCAACACACTACTCCTTGTCAAGGTCCCGGGTAGGTCCCCGTAGTCAAATATAGCCGAAGTAAATCCGCGCAAAACAGTGTGCAAAATTCATCCCAAGGCACAGACGCGGTCGCAGCCATCCCGTCAACATCGAATCAACTACCTCAAATATGAGTTTCGTGCCCGTCAACCCGCGGCCTATGCTGCAAGAACTCGTCAACAAGCCAGTCTTTGTCCGCTTGAAGTGGGGTCAGGTCGAGTACAAAGGCACTCTCGTCTCCGTCGACAGCTACATGAACCTCCAGCTGTCCGGTACCGAGGAATACGTTTCCGACAAGCCCACCGGATTGCTAGGCCAAGTGCTCATCAGGTATGCTGCCTGCAAGCTGTGCGCAATCCGCCGCATTACCACACCGTCACTAACAGACTAGGTAGATGTAACAACGTACTCTGGGTGCGTGGCGCGGACGATTCCAAGGACGCTGCCATGTCAGGTTAACCGACGACAACCATAACCCGTAAGGGTCCTTGCGGACATGAACAAGGAGGAGTGGCGAATCAGCCGATGCGTGGACGAATCTTCTGTCGAGCTCTGCTCTATCCTCCGAAACGCCATGCGCCTTGCACAGCTCATATTCGCCTGTTGCCAGCCAGTGCGAAGAGCCATGTATCATGTTGATCTAGAGCAAAGATTTGACCTTGGAACAAACCCCAATCAAGGCTGTGGGCAAGGAAGTTTGCTTGCGCGAAACGATACCATGAAAAGATTTTTTTTTTTTTCGCATGAAAAGGCCATACATAGCACACAGATAAGCGGAGGTTCGAGTGGCTGTAACTCCATAGCCCAACTATCGGTATCAGATACCTGCCAGGATTGGCGCGGCATTTGTCTGCCGTGCAGGAGCATATCATTGTCTCCATTTCAGCTCAGGGCTCCTAGGGGACGAGGGAAAGAGATGAAGGCTTACTGCCACACAGCCTACTAAATATTATACGGTGCTTGGGGATCATTTAGCGGCAGTGACTGATTACTTGTTGAGGAAGCGGCTGCACTCTGGAGCCAGCGTCTAGCGCTGATTAGACGCCGGGGTGTCTTCCTCTTCCCGCGCTTAATCGGGATGTCTCTTGTGCTTCTCTGATACAACCACTCCCCACTTCTTTTCCAAAACTACAGCTTCAGTAACGTGGCGCGACGTGGTGGACTTGTCGCACGATGCTCATTCGTAGCTGCTTGCCGCGCCGATAATACCCAGCTCGTGTCGGCCAAGTACCGAGGACCTGTGGTATGAATACGAGACCGCCGGATGAGCATTGTTCCTGCCAAGTGTGGCTCTGCACCTGGTTTATCTGATGTTGGTGCGAGTTGAAAGCCTAGTCCGAGGTGAGCAGCAGAAAGTAGCCGACCTCACAAGTCCTGCCTGGGGAAGAAGTGACGGCAATAGCACGCGTGTTCAGCAACGTAATGGAAGCGAGCTTTGTCGCAGAGTACGAGCTACCATGTGAGGCCGTCAACACGGGACGCTGCCCAGAGATTCGCAAGTGGGTTGGCGCCACCGGTTACAGGAACAGGGATGGACCTGGCCAGCAGCACATGCTTTTCCTACGTCATCTTCTCCTTTGCGGCGGACTCATAAGAGAAGTGATCCGTCGCTCACGGACTGCATAGCAGGTGCATGTGCCGATTCATGAGCTTGGGAAGAAGTGAGGCGTGGTGGGTATCGTCGATCTACGCATGGTCGTATATAAGAAAGTGTCCTTCATTAGACATTGAGGACGTGTGTATATGAGTTGGGGCTCGAGGTATAGGTTGAGTTGAGTTGGTGTGATGAGGGATCATATGCCCGTTTCCAAAATGAAGTCTACCTACCACATGGCAGTGCAGTGGCAGTGCAAGTGATTGAGGACTGAGGACCGAGGTCTGGTACAGCGTGACCAAGGCGATGGAGTACCTAGGTACACATAACTTATGAGATGATATTATTGTTAGTTAGTACTTTGGTGGTCGCTCAACAACTCTTTCGCGGCCGCTCTCGGGTACAAAGCAAGGTGCATTCCTGGTCGGAATAATAACGTCGTGTGACCGTATAGCAGACACGCCGACAGCCGATTATGATGAAGCCAGACACGAACGTCTCAAAAGTGATTGTAGAAGTACGGAGAACCTTCGCCCGTCTCCGCATGTACCAGTCCTGATCAACTTGCGTGCCTGGGGACCTACATAGGGGTGCTTAAGTACCTAAAGTACCAAGTACCTAATACTCCGTAGAGTACCTAGGTAGGTACCTGGGTAGGTCCCCAGGTTCTTGGTACGTACTCTTGAGCGTGCACGTCCGTTGCGCCAATGAAAAACGACGCTACTCCGTGCGAGGAACCGAACCACGCTTCGCCAAGTCGCCAATCGCCAATCAATCCCCTCTGAAAAGGTCAGGCACTCGGGTGCTGAACGCGGTGCCGACTCTGGAGCACCAAACAGAACCGTTCTTCAAGCACTCAGCACTCCGCGATCCGCGATAACATCTCCTCTCGTCTTTCTGGTCTTGCTCTGCCTTTACCGAGTCTCCCTTTGGGGCTCCATCACTCGCTTTGCCACATTGTCATAACTTCGCCGTCGTCTGCGCAATCGCCATCCCTCGGCGAAACCCCTGCTTCCGACGACCCAAAGGAGCCAAAGCTCAACAACACACACGACGACCGAGCCCGCGCACGAGATACTCTGTGGTGCCTGTTGATCAACCACACATCTTCGTAAAGCCTTTCAATCCGGCTGTGGCGCCTTGCTAGCATCCCAACCGCCCAGCATGCTTCTTGCAAAGGGTGGTCTGAATTGGAAAGCTGCCCGAGCACAATTGCCGCCGACCCGTATCGTCTGGAACCACGTTGCACGGTCGCGCCTTTTGCTCCTCGTTGCAGTCGCTGGCATCATCTTGTTGCTATGGCGAGGTATTAGCCGGTCAGCATCGGAAATGCAGAGGTAGGTTTCACTTTTCCCATGCACATCGATCCCTAGTGTTTTGGGGCTGCTTCAGCAACAAGTCAACATGACTGACAAGTAATCGTTTTCCTCACGTAGCTTTTACTGCTGGGGACCGTCGACGCCTCCTATAGAAATGTCGCAAAACGAGTATGCCCGGTGGAATGCGCACATGCAAACGCCCGTCATCTTCAACCACCATGCTCCTCTCAAGGTCCAGTCGCCGACGATACAAAACGTCGACTTGAACCCAATCAAGTCCACCCGAAAGGCCATGGCAAACGACGAGAAGATTCTTATTCTCACCCCGCTCAAGGACGCTGCATCTCATCTTTCCAAGTACTTCGAGCTCCTTGCCGAGCTTTCCTATCCCCATCGACTCATTGACCTTGCCTTCCTTGTTTCCGACTCTCAGGATGATACCCTGGCGGTACTTGCGGCCGAACTCGAACGCATCCAAAAGCGACCGGATAATATTCCGTTCCGAAGTGCCACTGTTGTCCAGAAGGATTTCGGTTTTCATCTCAGCCAGGATGTTGGGGAGAGACACTCCTTTGAAGCTCAGGGTCCTCGCCGGAAGGCCATGGGCAGAGCCAGAAACTACTTACTGGCCAGCGCTTTGAAGCCGGAGCACTCTTGGGTGTATTGGCGTGATGTCGACATTGTCGACAGCCCCGCCGGGATTCTTGAGGACTTTATTGCTCACGACAAGGACATCTTGGTTCCTAGTAAGCCATGGCGATGACGCGCTACAACTACGCTCTAAAGTTCTGACAAGCTCTGCCTAGACGTTTGGTTCCACCGCTATGAGAAGGGCGTTGATATCGAAGGTCGATGTATGCCGTTGTGCTACCTTGCTGGCTCACAAGGACAAAGGCTAACAACACGCAGTTGATTACAACTCATGGGTCGAGTCGGACAAGGGCCGCAAATTGGCGGCTAGTTTGGACCCAGATACCGTTCTCGCCGAGGGTCAGTCGTTCCGCATGCCATAGTCGCTGAATAGGCCACTCATATGTCTTTGCAGGATACAAACAGTACGATACCGGTCGCACCTACATGGCAAAGATGGGAGACTGGCGAGAGAATAAAGATGAAGAGATTGAGCTCGATGGTATTGGCGGTGTGAATATTCTTGTCAAGGCTGATGTTCACCGATCTGGTGCGTATATGGGTTTGCCTCATGATCACAAAATTTTCTGACTCATGACTAGGCATCAACTTTCCTTGCTACGCTTTCGAACATCAAGCCGAAACCGAAGGTTTTGCCAAGATGGCCAAGCGAGCCGGCTACCAGGTCGTTGGTCTTCCCAACTATGTCGTCTGGCACATCGATACTGATGAGAAGGCCGGCAACTTGTAAACGGAATCACGTCTGACAAAACATGGTTCGATGGAGGAACCCGTCAGACACCGTCAAAATACGATCCACACGTCTGATAATTCGTCTGGACTGCTTTGAATGGTCTCGTCGACCTGCTAATGTTGGAGGAACACAATATTATTGTATGAGCGTTCATGATACTTTTCACTAAAAATACTTGAGGGCGCAGGTTGGCTGTACCGGATGACCAAGGCTTTTTCTCTTGCCTCCAGTTTCTGATTGTTTAGGGGCGACGAGGTGTTTAACTCGTGGCCTCCACCAGGATTGCAGGGTTGTTCTGGCTTTCCATGGATGGTGGAAAGAGCTGGTGATTTGGTTCCATGACGCTAGGCTGGGGGAAAATGGGCCATTACTTGGTCCCAAGACAGCTAGAAGCAGACATTTTCATGCATAAGGGGGCGCTTCCGTTTTGTTGTTTTCCGTTTTTCACAGCTGTCATACGAAATATGGCGTAGCCAGAGGCCAATTCTTTATTTCATGTGCGTTGATGCCCCCTATATCGTGTGACAGTGTTCCCAATCGACTACTAACTATGCTGTGGGTCAGCTTTGGGACATTGCTGTTGGTTTTGGGCGTGGACGATTCATCATGTAAGGCAACGGGGGTTTGAACATTGAGACACAAAGAATAGATCTTAATGCACTGCGTGCTGCGATGTGCATATTGCGATCTAAAGATGCTTTCGGATTCCGACTCCTTCCCATGACCGTCTTTCGTCTACAGCAGCTCGGTCACTCCGCAACATGGCGTCACGTGACGGACGGGTGAAACACGGCTAAACATGGGACGACCCGACATGTGCCGTCATCAGCCAAAGGCCCGCCGCTATGGAGTCACTGTTGTCCCGCCGTCCCTCATCAGTGATCACGGATGACTGACTGCCCACGCATCCCCCGTACGACCAACAGCAAAATCAAACCAACAAGAGCCATCTCTTCACATCAGTCTACGGCCATCTACGGCAGAGCGGGATTTGCCTGAAGGCATCTATTCCTCTGCCCTGACTACGCCGACCGAGCTCGCCTCGCGATTTCGTCTGTCGAGGACGCCCCGCCGACGCTGGCGCCCACATCACCGCGACGAACCATCCAGCCGCGGCCGACGGCTCTGACTCTAAATCCCCTCGAACACCGGCAGGTGTTGACTCTGGCTGGCTTCGCGTAATATTTTCCCCAAACACACGTAAAAACTTGTCAAGCTGCCAGCGACAACCCGGACGCCCAACATGTGGAGCTGGTTCGGCGGTGGTTCCGCCCAGGCTCGCAAAGATTCTCCCAAGAATGCCATCCTCGGCCTCCGCTCGCAGCTCGACATGCTGCAGAAGCGAGAGAAGCACCTACAGAGCCAAATAGATGAACAGCACAGCATTGCGCGTAAGCACGCAACCACAAACAAGACTGGTAAGAACTGCAGCGTGCCCACTACTCCCCACCGGCGGGCTATTGAAGGTCTTCAAGATGCAAGTTGAGTCACGGGGCGAGAGAGGGATCAGAGACGCTGACGTGTGTTTGATCTCAGCGGCCAAGGCAGCCTTGCGACGCAAGAAGGCGAACGAACATACACTGGAGCAGACCATGGCGCAAATAGGCACCCTCGAGACACAGATCCATGCCATAGAGTCGGCCAATATCAACCACGAAACTCTGCTGGTGATGCAGCAGGCAGGCAAGGCCATGGCAAATATCCACGGCAAGCTTACGCCAGAAAAGGTCGACCAGACAATGTGGGTGTCATCCTTGTATTCCACGAAGTTCGTTCGGCGTTGTCTTGCAGCGCCTTTTGAGATGTCAAGACGCTGACCTGGACTGGTGTAGGGATGAGCTTCGTGAGCAAAACGCACTCAGTGAGGAGATTGTCAATGCCATCACCTCGAACCCCATCGGCGACGTCGTCGACGAGGACGAGCTGGAGGACGAGCTGGACCAGCTTCAGCAGGAGAAGCTGGACGAGGATATCCTCAAGACGGGAAGTGTGCCCGTCGCAGATATCGTGCACAAGATGCCATCGGTGGCAAAGCAGGAGCGTAAGTCGTGTCATGATGCTGTTTGGGAAATCGATGGCCGGCATTCACAGTTGCTGACAATGGACGCCAGCCGTTTCCAGCAGGACCCGAGCTGCCGAGGAGGACGACGAGGAGGCCGAGCTCAGAAAGCTTCAGGCCGAAATGGCCATGTGAAGGCGGAGCGTCAATGTCGACAGTTTGTCGTAGAGCATATTTCTGGCGGGCAGCACGAGGAGATTCGGGAGGGTTCACCGTCTCTCGCAGCATTCCACCCGCGTCATTCGCCTGCGGATGATGGACGAGTGTTTTGTGTCTGGCGTTGGCGCATCATAGGTTCTTCTCTTTTCTCGGTGTCTACCTTGTTCCTTCAGCATAGTCGATGGGCGGGAGGCGAACAGCACAGTGGACGTGGTGTTTTGGCTGATGGACGTTTCCCCGTGGATGTACCATTTCGAGGTTGAAATAGAAGACATTTGCGTACTCGTGTGCATTCATGCAGACGCAAGTCTGTGCCGGCTCGCTCTGGTCACGAGACGTTGACAAATGGTTGGGCGCAGCAGTTGTGCCAAGAATAGAGCCTCTACTCTTGGTGCATCTACGGAGCAGCACAAGACAAAACCACGAGGCCGACTCGGGATTGCCGGCAAAACCGTCCTCCACCAACACGGTGAGGTCAGAGGTGGATGCGTGCCCGTCCCGAGAGAAGCTCTTGATGCCAAAAACCCAGGCCGAATGTTGCGGAACGTGCGACAGCAGCAAGACGAAGAGAGCCTGCTGCCCGCCCCCGGCCCGGCCTATTTTAGACACGGACGCGCCAAACGCCCCAATCTGCAACGACTGGGCTGCAACACGAGGCTTTTGCCGACATGAAAAACGGCTGGGCCGGTGACGATGATGGGTTTCACCATGACGGCCGTCGGCTCCTGGCTCTTGGCTCTTGGCTCTTGGCTGTCGCGCAGGGGGCGGGCGGCGCTTACGTCGGGACGGCTAGGCGCCGCAGCCTCACAGCCACTCCACATCCCCATGCACAGTCCAGACGGTTGGCTGAGCTGGCGTGGGATATGGGTTGAGCCGTGCCGATGACACAGGTGAGGATGCGATGATGCAACGCGGGCGGTTGCGAGGCGCTGGTGTCGCGGAGGGGCGCGCGAGAGGAACCGGGAGGAAGAGGAGGAAGAGGAAGAGGAGGAAGAGGAGGAAGGGCAGAGCAGAAGGCCACGGGGCCGTTGACGTGGTTCCTCGCCGACGGCTTTATTGCTTCCACGTCGATGTTTTGCTTCTACGCGTCCCCCTCTTCCCTCCGGCCATCATCGTCGTTGTTTGGATGCGGATGTGATGCTGGCCGTCTCCTGTGCCAGACGGTCCTGAGTCCCGAGTCCTGACTAGGTGAGTCGACGGCGGCGATGGTTTGGCTCGCACGCACCCGTTGCCTCCCTTCTCGCCGGCTGACAAGACCTAGATGCCTCCTCACAGAATGTCCAGTCCCCGACGACTGCTGCTGCTGCCGCTGCCGCTGCTGCCGCTCTCTCCCACAGTCTTGGCCGCCGAGACGTCTCGCAGAAGCTCCAACCTCACCGTCCAACTGGCCGAGGTGGTGCCCGCCTGCGCAGAGGACTGCTTCATCTCGTTCCTCGACGCAAACTACGGCCTTGGGCGGTGCGACGACGTCCCCTCGCTCGAGGACCTCTGCTCCACGGATGGCAACACGGGCTTCACGGTCGGGGAGGGCGCGGTGCAGTGCATGGCCGCCGAGCAGAGGCTGGGAGCGTGCTCCGGCAAAGAAGCCGACTGTGAGTGTCCATGTCCTCCTCGTCTGATTATACAAGACGGCTGGTCGTCACGCACGAGCGTGCGCTGGGGCTAATGCGGTTTCATACCCTCCTTGTCCCTCGCAAAAGCATCGGCAATGTATAGAGCGTACCAGATGTGCAGCGACCAGCCGGGCGCTCTCACGCCCACTCACGCCGTCATCACGGCCACCTTGGCTGTGCCCTCCTCCGGGAGAGGACCCGTCTCGTATCCCGCGCCTTGGAAGACGAGCACGGGGCCCTCGGCGAGACCGCATCTCCCCTCGACGCGGCCTGTCGACACGCATGCCCCGACATCCACGCCGTCTTCGGGCTCCGATACCACCTTGAGAACGGCCGTTGTGAGCACCACCACGGAGACCACGGGGACCAGCTCTTCTTCGTCAGAGCCCGCGGCGGCAGCTGCCTCCGGAGGGTCCCTGACCCCGGTCCAGAAGGCGGGCATTGCTGTGGGCGTCATCGGCTTTGCGGCCGTTGCCATCGGGCTCCTGTTGCTGTTCAGGCTGCACAGGGCGAAGGGGAAGCGTCGGGGACACGCACCGCTGGCCGGTTCGCCACGGAGACGGGACTCCTGGGGATACAAGTCTGACGAGAGCCGCCGACAAGGCAGCAGTGAGCCGTCGTGGATGGCGAGTCCCGTCGGCCCGCCAGACGATGCTGGGAGAGGACTCGGAGGAGCACAGTCACCGTCACCAAGACCGCAAACACAAGGGCCAAGACCAAAACCACCACCACCAAGGGCGTACAACCGATCCAGTTGGCGCCCGAGCCTCATAGGAGTAGCCCTGTCGCCCTCGCACGCCAGGCGTGCCGGCCACATCACATCAGCACCGCCGCCGCGGCCCGTGTCGAAACTGCTCCCCGCGAAGCCGAGTCTCTCGCCGGACATCCCCAGGAAGCCGCCCACGCCTCCGCCAAAACATACACCACCGCCCCCGGCGTCATCCCTCCGGAGCCGGCCCGAGAGTCGCCCATCGCCCGAGCACAGACGGATCACATCCCGGCCGCCGGTCCTGCCGAAGCTGCAGATCCCCCGGGGCCACGACCTCCTCCACGTCCCCGGCTCGGCGAACAAGCCTCGCGAAAGCACAATGACCGAGTTTGAAGAGGATGGACGCCACTCCTCGACCGTCCTCTCGTCGGGGACTCAGCGCTGGAACGCGCCCTCTGCTGCGCCGCCCTCCTCCGCCGCGACCCATCGCGTGGCTGACGGCCGCGGTAACTGGATGCCCGGTGATTCGAGTAGTGTGCAGGCTGCAGAATTGGAGGGCACCACGCCGCTCGGCGCGTGTCCCGAGCTCTCTACGGGCATGGCTGTCTTCCCAGCCGTGACGGGCGCCCCGGCAGAACAGCCGGGCCAAGGGGCCGCGAAGCGTCGTGCTCATCGTCGCTCATCGTCGGCCCCCTTGCCTCCCCATCCCGCCCAGCAGTCCGTCAGGGTCGTCACCGAACCCCTCACGGCGCTCAACGACGGACAGGATGATGCCGTCCCGAGGCCCCTGTTCTCTGACGCGGGAGGGAATCCGCGGAGCGCGACGACCTCCGCTGCCGCGCGGCATTCCTCGGGGCGCAACCTGACAAAACCCCGCGTCGCATCTGGGGACGGCGGAATCACCAACATCAGCGTCTCGTCCGACGAGCATCGTGAGCCTCACCCGCCGAGGGTGTCGCAGGCAAACCTCTCACCCGTGACGGAGTCGCCCCGTCCAGCAAGCGGCGCCAAGTCCCCGGTGTCGTATCCCAAGATCCCCGGGAGGGAGAATACCATCAGCAGAAAGGAGACGTGTGCTCAGCCGCTGAGGATGCCGATTTTATACAAGTCGGCCCACCACCGGACCGCCTCGGGAGGTATAGGAAGCAGCGTCGCCATGCTGACAGTCGGGTCTCTGGCCCCGAATCCCAACCCGAACACGCCTCAGGGGACGAACCGTGCCGCCGGCACAGCGACGCTCACGACTGCGCCGGCGCCGAGTGCATCCGAGCCCGTCGTTCCCTCCACGAGCATCGTCACGGCCTCGCCTTACGCAGCGGTGGGCGCGCCTCGTGGGCCACGGCCGATGCAGAATCCCGCGCTCCCTCGCACCGGCTCTCCGACGATGCGCATCGTCGAGCCTTCCCCTGAGCCCGACGACGACGACAGGGCCATGCTGCCGTCTGCCCGCCCTCGCCGCGTGCAGGCCCCGGAACAGTCACCGCCCCAGAGGCAACAGGCGCCGTTGCAGTCACTGCCCCAGGGGCAACAGGCTCGGTTGCAGTCTTGTCCATTCCCGGCCCCCCAGCACCGCACTCAGCCGGAGCATTCGACAGATGCGCCAACCTCCCAGAAGCGGCATCAACAACAGGAGGCAACGCCGGCCACCCAGCACCACCATCGCCAACGACATCAACAACAACAACAACAGCAACCCCGAGACACACGACCGCAGCAACCACACGCCAACCACCCACGACAGGAGCAAGCACAGCCGCAGTCACAGCCGGCCCCCATCCCCCAACTAGCTCCGGCGCAGCAAGCCCGAGGGCCAGACGCGCCCAACTGGATCTCCGGGCTGCCCGCGCACCCTCACCCCCTCCGCCGCCCCCAGCACACGAGCACGCTCTGGCTGCCGCCGCAAGCCCGCACGCGCGACTCGCGCAAGCGGCGCGGGACGATAGAGACGGAGCCAGACCACCACGGACAGTCCCCCATGCGGCCTTCGCGACAGCCAGCACCGCCGCGGCACGCCCCGATCCAGCCGCGTCTGCATCATCGTCGAGACGCGGGGACCCCGCCGCCCTTCAGCATCCTTCAGCAACCGCAGGACCAGACTCCAGGAGAGCCACACCGACGGGAGACGTACATTCACCCCCGTCAGCAACACGCCTATCCGTGCCCCGACCCCCGGCCCTATCCAGACCAGGGTCCAAGCCATCACCATCCCGCGTTCTGCCCTCGGCAACAACCGCCTCAAGATGCGTTCTTTCAGCAGCAGCAGCAGCAGCAGCGGCAACCACCCCAGGCCACCATAGTTGCCAAGCGCCTTGGTCACGACCGGGCCGTCGACATGTCTATATCGACAGACTACGCCTCCTGGGCGAGCAGTTCGAGGAACCGGCACCCGACGAGCGGCGGGCCCGTGTGTCCATCCCCAGAGGTCATCACCCCAGGGGCACGCTCGGGGGACCTGCCTTGGACGCCGACGTGGTTGCCCAGGTTGACTCCTACGAGGCGAGGCGCTGATTTGTACCTCAATGTCCACTGAGGCGAAGCACACAGGACAAGCTTGGACACTTCTCGTTTTCCCACAGCATTCTGGACACGTGTGTGTGCCTTGTAAAACCAGACGACCATCCTCAATGTCGGCATGCAAGTGAAGGGAGAGCATTTGGCGCAAAGTAGACGTCTGTCATGCGCATGGCCAAGGTCATTCATTCATTGTATCATACTATTGAAGACGAGTTTAGGATCGACGAGGGGAAATTGGTCATACCCCAGCACTCAATATATACCGCACTGTTTCCGTTCAACAATCTCTTTGATGCCGTTGCCCCAACTCATCGCTTGCCTCGTCGTCTCCTCTCGACTTCGCCTCCCTCGTCCGAGGTTCGGCTCAGTGCACACTCTCGCCTGCCACGCTTTCCGTGCTCTTCCAAGTTCCTCATCTCTATTTGATGACCAGCGTCGCTGCTCTCGTCTGTTCGACGCAATCTTCTTGCACTCCATTTCTTTCCATGCCAAAGATCATGTGCATCTCTTCGGAAATCGCCTAGTTGATCATCCAGGGCGTCCATTCCTTGGTCCCATGCTTCTCTGTTGAGATGAGCACCAGCGTCAATCAGCTGATTCTTCTTCCGGATTTCCTGCCAACGCGTCATGCCACCGAGCTCAAAAATGTTCATGCGGCGTTTTTTGCTTGTTGGGTTTCCAATCATGGCCGGCCGCCACGCCCTCTCCTCGTCAATTATGGCCTGTGAGTTACTAGGCATGGAGACTCGTCGAATGGTCGAACGCCGACGGGCTTCCACCAATCTGTCCATTTCTTGTGATTTGGACTTGGGGACGATTTGAACTTCCGTGAAACGAAGAAGAACGAAAAGCAACAGAAGAGTCAATATAAGCAGTATCCCAGCCACAACACCCGTGGAAACTTGCTGTCCCAGTGTTCTGGTAACGTATCCGCCTAGAGCAGTAGACCCTGCAGCCAAGAAGAATGCTAGGGCATGTATAGATGCGAATCCTGCCGTTACCCGTGGAAATGACGAGTAATTGGTTTTCTTCTGATTCTTGCCCGAACCACCTCTTTGGCGTCCAGTCATCACTGGAGACAAATCAGAGCAATCAAAAGCCTCCATGACAAGCCCGTTACATTCTGAGATGGCGAGGCTGGAAAAGAAGCCAACAAGTCCTGAAAAGAGTGTTGGTACACTGACGTGTATTGGTGGTCCCGATGATACGGCCGCATAGCCAATTCCGGCCAGAGGCAAGAGAAGTGTAAAGATGGTCCGGCGAACCAGGTGAGATGACCAAGCAACCTTTCTGTCCAGCGTGGCTAGATTGCTGTTTAGTTGGGCTTGACGAGACCGCGAGAATAGATTGGCTTTCTGGAACGGTGTTGCAAGCAGTGCGCCCAATGCCATGCATCCAACGAACAGGCCGACTTCAGTGGAACGCCTGTAATAATACCGGGAAACAAGTGACCCCAAAAGGATGATGATCAAGACCACCTGGGCGTAGATCCAGGCAGAGTAAACTGTCAAGACTGCAAATCCCGGCTGCCGTAGCATTTCACAGCTGAGTGCGATGCCATGATATACTTCCTGTCCCCACCACTTGGGGCCCGTCTTCACCCGATGCATCATGATTTCGCCACGCGCTACTCGCCGTGAGATGTCTTCTCCGGTTCGCACCTCAGCTACCGAACGTCGATACGCTGACCGACGAACCTCGGGGCACACGACGTTGAGAATAAGCACAACGGCAATGGTTATGATGCTGACATAGAACCCCCAAGCTGGGGGATGACTGTCAATGATGCCGGCGCCGACAAGAAATCCAACGCCCAGAGACCCAACCCAAGACCAGGTCCAGATACCCAACCACACACCCATGCCGCCGCCATGCCGCCGGGCATCAAAGTCGTCGACCACCTCCTGATGAGGATTACAACTCATCAGGGAGGCTCCGAACAAGTCGGTCAGGATGGAGTGAAAATTCATACTCGCAAACCCAAGAGACACTCCCATGAGCGTCCTGCTCGTCAGTAAGGTACACCTCCACAAAACAGCGCTCCTGAGCCTCTGGGAATTGACGGAAAGGGCCTGAGGAAATAATAGAGGCATAGCCAAGACCAGGCTGGAAAGAATGTACGGCTTTCTTCCATGTAGCAAAGGCAATGGCCAGAGGAAAAAGGTCGGCAGAGCCAGGCCGAGGAAGCAACCGGTGTTGCCGTGGATTATAACATGAGATTCGTCAAGGACGTAGTATTGGATAGAAGGAACCAAGCCAGAATATATGCCCAATATGATTCCAATCAGTCCCGTGCTGATGCATGCTACGGCGGCGACGAACCGCTTTCGCAGAGGTGACTAGTCTCGAGCGATTGGTTGTCGCCTGTGTGACTTTGCGAGACTGAATCCTTGAGCTCCTCTTAGACTAACGTGCGACCGCCGACGAAGGCTAATACCATGGTCTGTGTGCAAAGGTCTTCCAGCAATATCACGTTCCGGGAGCATGTCGTCAGTAGCCGCTAGCGGTCCGTATGTTGGGCCACTTGCACCAGTTCTGTTGCCGGCTTGGGATTCTTGAGGCGGCTTTTCGAGATTCCCCGCGAATTCTTTTGCGTGACTTGCCCTGGGGTTTTGAATAGCTTGATATCCTACTGCGGCTCCGTTCTCGAGCTGTGTCGTGGCAACTGTTCTCAACTTTATGCTGGACTTCCTTCGAGGAATTCTCAGTCCACCTCTCCCTCCAAGACCTTGAGTGCTTTTTTGGTCAATACCGTCTCCGGAGGAACGAGTGTTGAGAAATTCGTTGAGCCCTGACCGCGGTTGGGCCCTTTGCAGTCTTCCGGCCTGACCTTGGACTGCCTCATCTTCAGAGACTGCCGGGCCCAAATCTCCGCTGCTCCCATCTACACTTGGGGTTGCAAATACGACATGAGAAACCTTGGCCTTTGCCAATCCGCCGCCGATGCTCCTACACTGAGATTGACAGCTTGGGGAATTTTGCTTGCACGCGGCTTGTTGTCCAGTGGAAGTTGGGTGATCGACAACCTGCGTTGCAATGGCTAATGCCTCGTTCAGGAGTTTTTCCAGGTCACTTACTGCACGTTTAAATCCAATGCGGTCAAACCTTGACGATTCGTTTTCAGGTGACAGGGAACGTCTTTCTGGTGAATTTGGAAAGGCAGTACAGGACCGTTCAAATTTTTGCTCAGGCCATGTATTGCACATTTGCTGAGTATTTTGACCAGGCCGGCTTGTATACTTTGGCGAACGCGTTGGAGGGTGTTTCAATACATCCTTCAGCCATTGAGTCGTGCGTTTGTAATCAAACATTGAGCCTACAGCCTGGGTATGGCTCGAAGACCCGCGTGAACTTGCAGCATGAGCCTGTACACCTTTGTCTTGGGAGCATTCATCCGATGCTGTCATAAAATGGGACTCTTCACGCTGACTACCTTGACCCGGGTAGTCCACAACATGTCCTACTTTCGAGATGGAGCTGTGTTCATGGGCTTGAAGATTGCTCGCGGATTCCGTCTGGAAAGCCGGACGGACCTTGGAGACGGGTACTGGGGAATGAAGCATGCGGGAATATGATTCAGGAGTCGTGCGTCTTCCGGCAACGGAATTGGGTTTCTTTACTCTTGTCAGAGCTTCTTCTGGTTGTGAGTTAGCCAAAGGGTATTTACGAGCGAACTCTTTGTCAGATGTTTCCCTATTCCTTCCGGACAATTGCAATTTTGACGCGCCAGAGCGTGTGTCGTTGGTATTTGCCGGAGTTCCGCATCTTGAAAGGCCGCCACCATTAGGAGACGCAGACCTCATTACCGAGTGATTGAGCGCCTCGTCAGCCGTTAGAGATACTTTGTATGATGCGGGACAATTTTCTATCGAGTGGTCGCCACTTGTCATCGGCACCATCATTCTCGGTGAGCGTGGATGATGATGACCCTTGTGCGACCCAATAGTACTGAACGAATCGCCTCTGCAAGAAATCTCGTTAACAACGGAGTCAAGTGTTGGCTCCGTTGAGAAAGAGCTCATAGGGACGTCTGAGCAGATATGGCTCGGCGTGGGGTCCAAGAGGGTTTGAACTTTTGGGCCAAAAATTGGGTAGCTTCCGGTTCGAATATCTAGGTTTGGCTCCGAGGCAAATGGGCGAACCTTGGAGACCGGCACTGATAAATCATTATAGAGAATGGGGGTTGTTTGCCCAGAAATTTTGTCCGCTATTTGGCCTGATAAATCGTTGCCTTGGACGCTAGAGCACCGACTAACCCCATAGATGTCAAGATGTCTAGGCATTTCATTTTTGATGTCTTCAGTGGCGTGTGAATTTCCTGCAGAATTCTCCTGGGGTGACGTATCTGGAGAGACATTGAAAGAATCAGCTGTCGGTGGCAGGGACGTCAGCTTGTCATCCAGAGAATCAACCATGTGTGCAGTCTTCTTTCCTGTGCCAAATAAAGCGACGGCGCTGGGGTGGTGCTCAGAATCCAGCCTTTGGCTACGTCCAAGGGCCGCAGGTTCGTGTGCTGGATCATCTTCTTCTGCCGGTCGAACTTTAGAGACGCAACTATGCCCTTGGCATCTTGTTACAAGCTTAGGTTCACGTGGAGAGTGCGAAACAATTTCAGATGACGGCATTACACCCGTTTCAGCTGCTATGGCTTGGAGGCTCGGTGCAGGATGAGCCATCGACGAGGATGCCGGTTCGAGAACGTGGTTCAATTGCTGGTGTTTGGCTAGCCCGACAATTAGCACGCTGTAAAACCATTTTATCAAGTGGAAGATACAAACTCGGAAGAAAAGGACTGGATGACAGCGGCCGAGGCTCCCCAGACCAATGAACCTTGGCAGAGAAAGGCACACGAGTTCCCTGTAGAGGATGCTCGATCTTTACTTGCACTTTAATACTTTGGTTTTCAGGACTCAACTGCGAGACTTTGGCGGCCACCGGCTTTGCTATTTTTTCGCGCACCGCACGATTCTCTTGATGAACAGCAAAAAGCTCTTGGCTGGGGACGGATCGACTACTTTTCTCAGCAAGATCCGAAACTCGACTACCGGTAGCCGTAGCTTTTCTGTCGGCGATGCAGGAATGTTTGCCCTCGCTGCCAGCCAGCGACAGCGAAGGCCGATTGCTCGGAGGTGGTGTCCTGTCAAAGTCGCCAGTGGCCACAGGTGTGTCCTCAAAAGGCTCGTGGGCATGTAAATGGCCGAGAAGTGCAGTGAACATTCCGAGGACGCCCTGTTGCCGCGGGCGCGATGTGAAACAGTAGACAATAGAGCATGAGCGCCGCGGTTCGAAGAGAAATCCACGAGCCCATTGATGCGGAGACGGTGTGCGGTTTATGCCGTGAAGCAGCAGTGAAGCACGCACGGTGCGGTGGATGCATACAAAGCGATATTCTCGTCAGGGCTTGATAAGATAGTACGGAGCTGAAGTAGATAGTCGATAATGATGGTGAAATAAATTAAACCTGTAGCGAGAAGTCTGTAATTTGAACAGGGTAAGGGTAAGGGTACGGAGAGGCGTCAAAAAGGGAGGTGGTGAAAAGAGAGGATGAAGATGGCGGTTCGGAAAGGGAGCGGTTGGGACAAGATGAATGGAACAAGACAAGGTATTGCAACGCTCGCTTCTCATGCTGTAATATTTACCTACACGACGCGACGCCGCGAGGGCTTGGCTTGACAGCGTTGCGCCTGCGTCTTGTGTCGGCATCGAAGCGAACGAAGATGGTAGCGTTTGAAGGCACACGAAGGCGCATTCGACCACCACATGGTCAGATCGGTCTGGTGTTACCTGCACACGCGGAAGGAGCGTACGGAGTACGTTACTCCGTACCTGGACAGTAACGTTAGGTCAAGTTGAGTCAGCTTGGATGCTGGTGCCAAGCAACCCTGACCCTACTCCAAAAACATCTCGGCCCCTTTGCGTACCTACGTCCCAACGTCAATCCGCAACATCCATCGAAACCCATCAATGCCACCCTGCCGGCTGCTTGCCTGGCTGGCTCGCTGGCGCACCACCACCACCACCACCACCAAACCCGGGCGAATGGCACTGAGCGGCAAGTATTTCCCTTTTCTCTTACCGTCATCCGTGTCCGCGAAACAACCGTCCATCCCAGGAGGGACCACTTTGCCAACGAATCAGACCTCATCTTGACCCTCCTCTACTCGGCACTCGAGCGAGGCTGCACACATCCCCCACACCCAGACATCCAGGTGCGCCCGATGAGGCAAGCTTTGTGAAAACTAGCCGGGTGAGGGCTATTTTTGGTTTCCGGGTCCCCTAATATATCGCGTGGCAAACCACACTGGTCCGCCTGGGTTATGCTGTACGTACGTACTGCCTTATACACACCGAGTACGGCGCAGAGCGGTCAGACTGCATCCCTAACAGCACTAGCTGGTCTCTCGTAGCTCAATTCACACCCAAATATGACTATAAGGCTTTTTGAATGGGACCAGGATTCCGGGTTGCTCCAAGGATACAAATCCTTTTCTTTTGCTGCTGGCATACGGAGTTCGTAAGATGGCAAAGATCTGAAACACGTCCAACTGGGGATAAACCGCTGTGCTAGCCGTGTCTATAGGTCTTACGTGTCTTTGAGAACAATAACGTGTGCGCCATGAAGTCCAGAATGATTAGCTGTAGCACGTCGTGGGCCTGGGAGTTCAAATTAAGAGACACGTCAACTCTTTTTTCTATCGAATTGGTTATTGGTGGCAGCCAGTGCCATGAAGCCTTGATTTGCGACGATTCCGGACCGCCACAGCCGTGATATCTATGTCCAGCACAGCGGGATCAAACATGACGGGATCATATGGGATCGTCGTCCTGACGTGTTTGCAACAATGAAAAGAGAGCGGGAAGACCATGAACAGCAACCTTATATACCCACGAGGCTGTGTGCCATGCAACAAGAATTCTAAGCCCAAGCCATGTCTGAATGTCTCTCAGCTCAATTGCACCCGCTTGGGATCTGAGAGGTCTGAGTGCCATGGACAGAAGAGTCTGGTTCACCAACTCCACATCAGTCAGAGTCTCATCAACGGCGTCCATCGAATGATAGCTCCAGATGAGAGGCCAGAGAACTTCAGACAAGGGAAAAAAAAAACAAAAAGGACGAAAGAGTAGAAAATAAAAAGGTGAGCATTTCAGCAAAGAGCAAAAAGACAATGAGCCGTCATTTCCCTGAAGATGACCAGGTGCAAACATGGCCAAATGCCCGTATGAAGCTCAATCCAGGACTTGACAGAGTGAAGTATTGTTACAGCGGTTCAATGTTGACCCGCAGGATGAAAATCGGGGAGAATCCAAAAAGTCATAGTCTCATGTTCGTGTCTTCGATAAGGTTGTTGCGTCACCAATGACAGTCGAGAAAAGCGCGAGAAACGCCGGCAAAAGTTGGTGGCGCAAGTAAGGCTCACAGTCATCCGCGGCCAGCAAGTAATGAGGTAAGTCCAGACGGATTGGATGAATACATATAGCTCACCCAATCTCGAAACTCAAATAACTCTAGCCTGGTGAAATGCCATGACTGACAACCCGTCACCGAAGACAACACCTTTCACCGGTAGCCCTTATGGCTGGACCGAGAGCTATAATAGCCCAAGTCAGAGTAGGTGTGTGACGATGCATACTGGGCACCTTGACTTGAGTGTGCGCTGCAGGCATAGCCAACGTAGATTGTGCGTTGTTGAATGTCGTGGCCTGGTCTTCCATAGCCAGCACATCGATCAATGGCATGTTGGTAGTAGAGACACCGACATGCTGAGTACAACTCGACGAGTTGGTAGCACATATCTAATCTAATGCAACCGAAGTAGTCTGGAAAGATTCGCACTTCCTGCCCGCAGGGATGGCATCGAAGGCTGGACCACGGGCCAGCTTAGTTCTGATGATCAGGCCAACAAAACAACACTGATAGTACTCTCTCTCGGTGTAGCAGGAAGAAGCTCTCGAAATTACCCTTGCCGGGATAGGTGTGAGCTGTGTGGGTTGAGGGTTGGTGTCGATAAGTGATATGGATAGGACGATGGGGTTCGAAACAAGGAAAACGGCACAATAGTGTATAAAAGAAGTCAAGACAGGAAAGAAAAGGGTTGGAGAGAGCGTTGTGTGTTGACGAATATTCGTAGAAGCAGACCAAGGCAGGCAACGACGAGGCATCGCAGCCTTTTAGACTTGGGAGGCAGCCTAGAGGCAGGCAGGGTCTGGAGTCAATCAAGGTGTAAAGGGAATGAAGCCCACGAGGCGTCAACTTAGCTTTAGCACATATCTGCACGCCCTCCTAAGCTGGACGGATGGGCGGAGACTCTCACCAAGCTCACGCCTCTCTCACCTCCCGCATACACTCTCGTTCTCGTCTGAACAAGCCTGAAAGTATGAGGACGGGGTGCAGCAAGGCATCAGCCAAGCCGCATATAGAAAATGGGGACAACTCTGACTAACCTGACAGGTGACTAAAGTGTCAACGTAGAGGACGGTCTAATGCAGCCGCGCCGTGACAGGGCCAGGTCAGCCAGCGCGCAATGGACGCTGGGGAAGCTCCATGGCCCATGGCAGGGTCCCAGACTCCCAGACTCCCAGCCGCGGCGCGGCGCCGCATTGAAGCAACGACCCAGGAGTCACTCACTTGTCCAGGCCGTTTGGCGGGGGGCGTGGCGTGTGCTCGATCGAGTGTCATGGACTCATGGGTGAAGGTTTTCACGGTTCAACGTTGGTTGCATGGGTCGAGGAAGGACAATTCACCTCGCTGTAGCCGGAGTTGGGGTCGTTTTTGCGGACCTGCACCAGGCCATCGACAGGCCGACAGATAGGGCTGAGGCCGGGAGGACGTGGCGGAGGCCGCCATAGTATCGCGAGCCGACACAACACACGACGTGTCCCATATTCGAGTCGAGTGCTTCTCGGGCAGCCGAAGCGGTCAATCAAAGACGAATACTCGAAGCTTCCTCGCAACAGATACGGAGCACTCACGTCAATCCCAAGTTGCGGCTCAAAATGCTCGCGTCTAGCTCGACTCGGAAGACGGCCGACGGTTTTTGGCGAAGGGGTTGAGTTGAATCATGGGCGTCCTCTCTGCTTTGTCAGGCTTACTGTAAACGTCAATCGTGATGTCAGGCCGATGATTATAATCGACACCGAAAGGCTCTCCGCCTGGAACCCGCCCGAGACCGATGTCGATGTCGTGTTCGACGTCGTTTCCGGACTGACAAATGTGCCAGCTTTGGAACTCGAGCATGACATATTATGCCATGGAGCATCATGCGCGGGCGTCAAGAATCCAAATGCCCCCGTCACTGGTCCTCTCTCGTCTCGGTCTGTCTCCGCTTGGCCTTGGCAGCCTAGCACCCCGTAGCTGCCTAGTGCCGACCCCCAGAGGGCGCAGAAGCAGGCGCGACCGAGTCGACATTGACCGCAGTTGCCCTGTATCGCTCATTGTCTGCTCATCTTTGCTCTCTTTGCTCGTCTTCTCTTCGTCTTCGTCTTCCTCTACCTCCGCAGGCAGTCCTGTCCGACTTTGAACCCCCAGATTGTTTGTTATCTGGCTCGGTACGCACGGCGGCTCCAGCAATCCGTCTCTCCTTCAATTTGAGCCTTGTGCTCGTAAGCCATCCTTTGTACTCCCGTTTCTCCCCTCCGTCCCGGTTCGTGATGCATGCGATGCAACATACGGCTCCAACCTTCACACGTGGGCTGTCGATGCAGGCAGACAGGCACCAACGGACCAATTGCTTCCATGGCGCCACAGGTCACGGCAAAGACATCACAAATTCCCAAGTCAAGCCGCGACGATGACGACCCTGGCTCTCGCACAGTGAATGGGCCATGAGCCACATGGTTCACACCCCCTCCACCACCATCTTCTTCCCGCCTGGTAAATGAACTAGTATATGCTATATGGAGAATTGAACGGGCCAACGGGAAGGAAAGAAAATAATAAGCATTCGGCGACATATAGGTCCCGTCTGCCTGTCGACAGTTGATTCCATGCCTTGGAACGCTGCTGACGATACACTAGGTCCAAGGATCAATTACTCCCATGGTGCCGGCAACAAACAACTCGAACACTTTTTCTGCCGAAGAGGTCATAGGATCGATCCATGCTCTCCGCGGAACCCGGGAACGCTGTCCCTAAGTACTCCGTAGGTCTACTCACGTCACTGGGGCTTGGCTGGGGTGCGGCTTCGGTTTAAGGGTCGAAAAGACGCCAGCGACCGATCCGCCTTGTAGGGCAGAATAACGTCAAAACAGAAGTAACTGGGCGCGCCCGACACTCAGACGCAGACGGGTCTTCATAAGCCAACGCCGAACAGTCTCGGCCATCAGTCCGCAGCCAACCAAATAATCGTTTTACTCTTCCTGGCCCGAATAGGTTGATACTGGCGACATCCATACATATCCTTCAGTGTGGCTCTGGCGAAATGACTGTCCCGTACTTGCTCTGTCCTCCCGGGGGTCGCTGCCCCTGGCCCGCCACCAGCTCGGGTACCGTTTTCATGTCTCTGAGTGGCATGTTATATCCTAGAAATGCCGCTGCGCGTCTCGGACGGCTCTCTCTTCCAGAGACTGCAAACGTATCGTATTTGGCTAATGATGCCCATGCCACGCTTTGGCGCGTCCACGCAGCCGCGGCCTGGCGGCTTGCAATCCCTCTTCACAGCACCGACCCATCATCATTAGCACGGCTTCGAGCATTGATTATTGCCTATTTGTCACGCATTCTGATGATACTACAGAGTCAGGAAGGGAGCAAGTAGCAAGACGAAGCAAAAGCCCACTTTTATTTGACAGACTTCTCTGGGCAGCCATTACATTTACTTCAATCATGTTCACCGAAATGCTCCGAGGATGAATCAAGTCAAGCCGTCCGAGAGACCTAGGGCTCATCGGGGGCTGAAACAAAACTTCGAGGTCTGTTAAGACTCATAAATTCGTGACTCACCTGTGGGCGGCAAATGCTCAGCGTGCGGAGTACGGGCTGCGGAGAGCCATTACTGAAGAAGTTGTTGGCGTGAGGCGAAAGCAAGTTACTGTCTCGTAAAAGAGCCCGACATTGTCCGCATGTACGGTCGCCGCCATTTCTGACAGGCAGTCACACCTCTTCCGCTAACTTATAATAGGATGACACGGCATTGGACGATTATTTAAGCTGATCGCGGCCCATGCGATGTCTAGGCCAGACCCAAGAGCCTGGACCTGCCCTTGTAACGAAAACCGGCATTCTGGAATCCGTCAATTCGTCAGAAGCATATAAACCTCATCGGGAGAGGAGTTTAGGGCCGTGCAAATCCAGCTGACCCTTGAGAACGAGAGTCCTCTGGTTCCGGTATTAGTCCTCTTCCAATAAATAGTATTATCCAACAGCCAGGTGAGTAGACGCAAGAATGAAAGAGACTACCATCTCACGAGAGATACACGGCAACGCGGCCCGGATCAACATGGGATCGTGACAGTTGGCCCTCGTATTGTGATGCTGGCAAATGGCGGTATGCAATAGTTGGGCGCTGACGTTCATTGCCGTGTTGCTTCAGAGCAGAATAATCTTAAACGATAACAACGCGGGGCGTCTGCGTTACCCCCCCCTTTCCCCGAGGACACGGCAACCACATGAGGCCCAGGGCCCGGCTCTTGACCTCACGGCTCATAGCCCTGCCGAAAGCTTCAGTCTCCCATGTAGGATGCTTAGCAATTGGAAATTTTGGGCCACGACGCCTTTCCAATGTACAGAGGATCAGGACGACGTCGGGATGCGCAGCACTGCAAAGATGGCCATGGACTGGTGGGCTGCGCCTCGCCCCCGATCAGGGTCCTTTCGTTTAGTGTTTTGACATATGGAGAAGGATGCTTGGCCTGAAGCTTGACGAGACTCCCCAGAGTGTCAAACGGGGTCCCGCTCTCCGCCCGCCAGCCGCATCCGCGCCGGAGTCGCCGGTGCGGTTGCGTCATACGGCTTGCGGCGCTTTTTGATACGGCTGCATTGGCGGTCCCAAGTCGCCAGTCAGGTCACCCCTTGCGGGCTTGTGCTGTAGGGTTAGTTGGCTTTCGTCTCGTTCCCATCCAAGGCCGGCCTCCGACCAAGCAAGCCGCGTTGACGTGGCTTTGGGCCTTGCCGAGCGTCTACGGGCCACGCCGCAGTCTGCATCCGCCTCTCTCGACAGCCTCACCAAGGCCCTCGGGCACATGTCCGACCGATTCTATTGAATGTACGGAGTACTGATCGTTCATCGCATACATACATACAACACGATGCGATGCGATGCAAGGCAAGGCAATATCCATGTGCTTCCCTGACCCATCTCGCTGGATACACGCCCCCCTCCATGAGATGAGACCGTCTGGTATCTATCAGGTTCATACGTGCAGGTACGTACTCGTTCATGTTCAGACGAACGTCCCACCAAATACCCCTACCCGTCTTCTCTACGGGCGGGCGGGCTTGTCAGGCCGAGCTTGACAAGTCTCCCGGCACATCACGCTTCGGGATAAAAGACACTCAGGCACGTACTTACTTACTCAGGTCCCTAAAGTAGTTGGCGCCAATTATAGGCAAGTCCAAACTGCCAAGCACGGCCGCCTCGGATTTGGATTTGCACCTTGTTGCGCCCGATGCGGCGACGCGGCCCCGCCATGGCCGCATCGAAAATTCTCAAGCTGCCATTTTCTCGCTTCCGCTGTCGCCTGCCTGCCAAGCTTATTTCGGCAGAGACAAACATAGAAACAGACCAGACGATGCCCGGCCAATTCTGCGGCCTCCGACGGATTGATTCCCACTGCCGTAATACGGCTGCTCCGTACAACGTGGTCCCAAACTCCCGGCACGAAAGAAAGGACATGACGTCCATCGTGGAACGTGTACAGATCAAGTTGCTCAGCAGTTCTCCCGCCATCTTCCAGTTCGTGCCTCGCTCCTCGACTTGTGCATCGGCTCGCCAGTCACCATCGTCGGTGGGTGCCTCCAATAGTTACATGCACCATGCCTCTCAACGGTTTCACCTCTGGGATTTCAGGTACTCGGGTATGGAGGCCTCAGATATTCTTGTTTCTGTGGTAGTCACACAGCTTTGCTATCTTCTCTATGCTTCATTCACGTAAGCTTCTTTTTTTTCTTCATCGTGTGCAAAAAGACACCTGCAACGCGTTTTCTTCTCCGTCTCTGCCCTCATCCCCTGGCCTGTGTGCCTCATTACTCGCACGCGGCTTCAATGACTTGTCAAAAATTCCACGACAACACTCTCCCAACTTGTCCGCGAACCTGACATGGTCATTAAGGACACATCGTCCACCCGCCAACGCATCCATTTCAATGCCTTCATGAATAGTGTACATGTCGTTGAGAGGTAGTAGTAAAGATATCAAAGGAAAACACGGGTTTCTCCCGACAGGTCCCAATAACACACGTTTCATAACATGCCGTCACTCTCCTCGTGTGCTTTGCGCCAGCGTTAGGTGGGGATTTTGAATGGGAACGTTATCATGATTCCGTCATACCTACCGCCGTTGGTTCTTGGTATATATTAAAATGAAATGAAAAACGACAAAGGGTGTCAAATACAATGAGAAACAAAACCAAAATCGCTTCGATAATATGCCTCTCTAGCAATCAATGCATGCTGAATTGTCATTTGCCGACGAGACTTTATGTCTTGTTCTTGAATCATCGAAAGACTAAATTGAAAAGTCAAAACGTCTTCAGGCACAGTAAACAGCCGGTAGCAATACCGCTGGCTCCCCAGGATATTACTGTATATTAGACGGGAGACGAGCCCGTCATGCTGCAGCATCGCAACCGTTATACTCGTCGGCTCATTGCGGCTGACGCACCAGCTGCCGCAAGGTCCTGTCTGCCACTAGCAGTTCGACCAGCGGCTCGAGGTAGACTGCTGATGCTGCTGATGGAGCCGCCCGCACTAGTTCGTCTGTTGATGCTAGCAGCCGTGGCTGCCGTGGCCCCAGAGATTCTTCTTGAAGCGCCAGACACCGGCTTGTGCGGGCTGTTGATGCCGGTCCGCGCGGAACTACCAACCCCTTTCCCAATAGAAGCTGGAGGGTCAGGTAGAGGGCGGGGGGTTAAAAAGTGGGTGACTTGTTTCGACGGTGATGCTTCCCTTGCTGGCAGTCTTGGGATGATGACTGGCACTTTCTGGCCCGTGATGAATTCATGTCGAACGGCGTCCTCAGGCCTTAGTCGTCTGTCGGGATCCCATCTGAGACAACGAGCAATGAAGTCCAGGAAGGCTTCGTCGTCACATTTCAAAACCTGTTGAAGGGTCTTTGACGATGGACGACGACGTCGGCCTTTCGACGATACAGTCAACCGTGGTTTGCCCATGGAGTCGAAGAACAGCTTCTTTCTCGTGCTCTTCTCAATCAAATGCTTCTCGGGAGGTCCGAAAACCTCCATAATGCATGCCAGCTGCTCTTGTTCATTCTCACCAGGGAAAATAGGGACCCCCGTGTACAATTCAGCCAGAATGCAACCTACACTCCACATGTCGATGGGCATGCCATATGTCATACCTAGGATTACCTCTGGTGACCGATAGAATCTTGATTGGATGTATGTGTATACCTTCTCATGCTCGAAGCAACTTGATCCAAAGTCGATCACCTTGATTTCAGAGTGTAGCGGGTGTCTCAGAAGAATGTTCTCTGGTTTCAAATCGCAATGAATGACCTTGCGCTGCTTCAGCAGAACTAGAGAGCTCAGAATCTGCTTCGTGAATCGCCTAATGATTCTCAGGGAGAATCCACGAAAAGAATGCGCCTTAATAAACTCGTAAAGGTTCATGTCCAGGAGTTCCGTAGAGATACATAGGTGACCGCGGAAATAGAAACTCTGGGTGAAATTGACCATGCTGTGTCTATTTTTGGGATCCTGCAGTCTTGTCAGTGAACCATAAACATTATGCCATCGAGTATTACTCAGGGCTTACCCATTCGCGAAGCTTTTGAAGGATATTGACTTCCACAAGAGCTTGCTGATGGAACCTCTTCTTGTTCCTAATGATTTTAATGGCAACAAGAACACCAAGCTTGTGGTCAATGCATCGAACAACCTGTCCAAAGCTTCCCTTTCCAAGAATATCCACAATCTCATATCTGTACGCGAGATGATCACCTGGGATGATAGTGTAATCACCGCGGTCGTCATCGTAGCCAAAATTTGGAGTGTCGGACTGCAAGTTCCCCACAACCTTTCGGGCATTTTGGGTTCCGCAAAAGTATACGTCGTTGTAATCAATAATTTCGCCCCGTTCATAGATATTCAGCATAGCAATTCGTATAGCGTCTTGAGATCCCACGCGCTCCTTGGGCGTTGCCTTCCTTTTCAAAGCATCCAACGCTTTGCCAGCAACCTCGGTCTCCTTTCGACGAGATCCTAGCTTTCGCATTTCTTCCTCAGCAGCCATATCATCTTTGTCCGGATCGGCCGTCCAAGAACCAACAGTACGGAGTCCGTTGGCGGAAGACTTGGGCTTGGCCATCTTTTTCGATACGCTACTAGCGATTCTGGTGGACGGCACCGTAAAACAATCGGACGCTTCTTTCTGAGCATGCCCGATATCGCTCTTAATACGATTAGGGGCATTGGGGCCACCATGACTTGTTAGACTTGCTGCCGAGCTCTTTCGACTTCTCATGTCAGCATTGGCTCCAATAGAATTTGTACTCGCAATCGAGCTTGGATGAGGCTGTTTGAGTCCGGAATAACCGCCAACTACGGCAGATGCTGAGGCAGGAATGCGAGGCGGCGGCATGCTGTCAGCGTTGGAAGATTGCTGTGCGCCGAATTTATCGATCGTGTCACCATAACCGGACTTGGAGTTACTTCGCTTCCACGACAAGCTGAGCTTCCTTCGAAGGGATGTCTTTGATGAAGGACTGTGAGGTCCTTGAGTCTCCGTCGGATCAGGTGGGGGAGACTTGGGTATAGGCCTAAACGTGTTCAGTTCTTGGCGGCCAGCAGACTTGTGTTCACCACTGTGCTCAGAGAAAGTTCCTGTGACGGTGGTGCAATCCCCTCCAATTTGAGGGCTCTTCAAGTGCCCGATGTCAAAGCCTCCCTTGGGCAAAGATGACGACAGGAAAGGCGAGATGCTCGATTTATGGATTGGCTCAACCAAGCTAGATGATGAATCCGAGGAGATACCATCACCATCAGGAGGACTCGGCGTAACTCGACGAATATGGTGAGTGGAGGTACTGCTCCTAAGAGACGGAAGTTCCAACGTTTCGTCATACCGACTTTTGGAAAAAAAGGAACTCTTCGATGTCGTCAGAGGGGTTGTAGGGGTCTTGGGAATCCGACGTGAAGGTGGAGGGCTGAAATCCCGATGAGAAGGGTCTTGACCATTCATTTTTGAAGTGGAAGGGAAGTTCAACGGCCCAATATTGAGAGGCGGTAGTCTCAGTGGTTCCAGCTGTTTCCTAGCATGGGCATCGCGCTTCTCCCCTTCAATGGCAGAGATCCCAGCATATGAGCTCTTTCTGACATTTGTCTTTTTCTGAACATAAGAAGGTTCACGATGCATAGGTATCGATATGCTACTGGTCGAGTTGCTATGAATACTTGTTGCGTCGAGAGAGTTGAGGCTCGATTTCTTCTTTTCCGCGAAGTACGTCTCAGCATGTGATTCCTTTGGGGATTCATAAGCTTTGGGTATGGCAGGAACAGGAGGAACGTCTTCATTGTCGTCAGCTTGCTTATTGTTGTGCGTGTTGCCATGCTTGGGCGCCGGCAGCCGAGTTGCAGAGGATGATGGAGGAAAACGAGGCTGAACAGACCCCGTAGACGTCCGCACAGTGTTATAACTGGCCGCAGAGCCTATCGAGAGGCCGGAGCTATATGACTTTCGGTTGTTTATATCTGGCGTCGTTCTGGCGGAGGAAGGGGTCAAAGATGCCTTTCGTGGAATCATGGAAGGAGATCGTGATTCGGCACGGACATCCATGGAAACCGGTGGAGGGGGAGGGGGCGCATTGGCAAGCATATTGAGGCTCTGTGATTGTGGCATCATAGACAAGCGTTTCATTCTTCTCGTGTCTGTTGGGCTGATGGTGCGGGCTCCCAATCCTGTGGCATGGCTGCCTGGCATCATCGACATCCTCTTGCCACCGCCAGATGATGGGGTGCCCGTCTTTCCAGTAACACGTGGAGATTGAGGCGCCAAAGTCGACAAACGATTTTGTTCCGTCGTAAGGGTAGAACTCCCGAGGAAGTTCGTCTGACTTGTCCTCGGAGGTGGCTGGACAGACTTTGCTTTGATTGACCGCGATGTTGGCAAATTGCGTGTCGAGTCCGAACTCGTTACAGAACCACCGTCAATAGACCGCCTTGTAGAGTCCCGGGGGGCAATTTTGTCGCCCAGCACACTGGCGCGCCTGACAGGTGCATGCCTGGCGGCCACATCGGAATCTGCGACGACTCCAGGACCCACGGATTTCCGAGGTGGCCTGGGAGCAGCGGTCTTTAAAACTGGGTGGAATTGACTGTGGCGACGATTCCGCAGGGCCGCGGGAGCGGTAGGGGCATCCAGTGTGCCCGATGAGGAAGACACAACCGAGGACACACTAGTTTGTCTGCTCGAGGTACTCGGTCGACGCAAGACTGATCCCGAACGACCAGGCCGAGAAGGCGGAGGCAGTATACTTCCACGACCTGAGCCGGTGGTCTGTGCCATGATTGGTCTTTCAGTTGATTTCTTATCCGTCAAGCCTTTCGCCTCAAGTATACCTCCTTCACCTGTGGGTGAAGGGAACTGGGCAAGTTTGAAATCGGTCGAAGCAGATTCAATACTGGTGTGCAGATCATCGAAACTGACGGACGGGAGGAAATCAAAGGATCCAGCCGATTGAGAGGTGTTTCCATTATCGCCATTTCGATCGAGGGAGAGTAGAGAGTAGTGTGTAGAAGGTGCCGACAGCATTGGAGCGTTGGACATCAAGCTGCTCGACCTCGAGGTCGAAAGGGAGTGAAGATTGGACTGGGTAGGGCCTCGTCTACAGAAAAGCGACAGTCAGTACCTTGGTAAACATGTAGATACCAAACAGAATACATCCCCAGGACAGAGTACTTTTGCGAGGTTTGAAGGTCCTGAGTTAGGCTGTTTTGAAAAAAAAAAAAAAAAAAAGGGGATTCACGAGTCGGAGAATTGGCCGGCCGTGGCTCATTCGGTCCCTTCTGCGTCACCGTCATAGAGAGCAGGCAAGTTCGAGTTGACGATGCGAACAGAAAGGTGTGTGGTTGGCTTTGGCGGAGCGGCGTGGCTCGTCGTCGCTAGGACAGAGGCCTCAGTCCGGTCAGGGAGCTGAGTTCATTCGAGACAACTACCTCATTCCGAACATGCTCAGAGAGCCGCAGTCGATATGGAGGCAGCGACCGAATGACGGCAGTATCGAGGTGAAAGTTCAATCGAGCGTCCACAGCCAGATGGAAAACCCCGATCCTGCCGCGAAACGGCCTAAAGCGAGTATTGTTTGCGGGCTAGAGAGCACGAAAGGGAGGTGGATGGGTGGGAAACGAAGATGTCGTCGGTTGTTTTTGACAGTCTATGCCATGAGGGATGGCGGCAGCAGCAGCAGCCACTGAAGTGAGTGGGTGGTGCGGGCAGATTGCGGAGGCCAGTGGAGCTCGCGGAGTGGGCGATGGTCCCTTCAGCAAGTGATGGGAAGGTGCGAATGCCAGCCTTCTGGTTCTTGCTCGTACCTGCCGCAATTATACCGCAATTGAGCCAAGGAAAGTGCCACTCGTCCAGGATGTCGAATCTACAAAGGTTTCCGAGCTGGCCGGGACTAATAAATCACCCAGACAATCCGAACTCTGCCTCGTCATGTACAGCCGTTTCTCCTATTTTCCACCTGTACAGCCAGGCGCTTGCGGTCGGGCCACCAACTGTGGTCGCATCAGTGTCAATGTTGCGTACCAAAAGCAGATTTAGCCTTGATTGACAGCACTGGTGGTTGGTGGCTGGCTGGTGGGCCGTGGGGTATGGAAACAGCAATGAGCATGAAAGGTGGGTCCACAGTACGAAGTACGCGGATCAAATGCTGGCCTGCTGTCAATTTCAGTGCGCAAGGCGGCAAAAAAAATCACAATCAGACGCCGTATTTTGTCACCTACACACTGCGGCGAGAGAAGATTGGCGATGTCGCTTTCTTCCAACTGACTGTGTTTACTTTATAGCTTTTCGAAATGGTCAAGCCCGAGCGGCCATGGATTTTGTAGATGGGCAAATGGGATGGCGGCGGCAACAGTCAACGGCGAGGGGGGCACGAGCTCAAGTCCTCAGAGGTTCGATGCGAAGTTATTCCGTACCCGCCTGCACGCACAGGGGGTGGCACCTTCCTGAGCTACCTAGGGAAGAGCCCAGACAAGGCAGCGGTTCCTGAGACCGGACACTCAGTTGACATGGCGCGCAACGTTGAGAGTGATGCGGCAGAGTCGACGTGAAATGTTCCCAAACTCGGGCGTTCCAAACTCGGGGCTCACTCGATTCTAAAGCTGCCAGCCTTGCTTCACCCTGGACAGCGATGCCGTGTCGGTGTGTAGTAATGGTCCATATGTACGTTTATGGCGGCGTGCAGGCGGCTCGCATGGCCTCGGGGACAGATGATCTCAAGTGCTGCCATGCACCGAGCAACGAGGACAAAGACGCGCAGACCTATTTCACGTCAATTGGGACAGAGTTCAATGCCAGCCAGCATTGGCGAAAATGCATATCAGGAACGGGTTGTTATTACTGTCGTAACTTGCCAAAACAATGTCCCTGTCTGGACGACCGGCTGCCCGCCACCCCTGGCGCACCCCCTGGCGATTGCTATGCAGCAACGACGATGCCATCGCTGGTACGTACTCGAGTGCTTATTATACTAGGCACCTGCAGGTTGCAGCCATTCCGTAACAGTGCCGTTGTCGTTGACGACTTTTCGTGTTCACAAATCTGCTGCTGGATGACGACGGCTAGCTGGGATGAATTTTGCCTCATCACTCTTGATGAAGTTGGAGGCCAAATTGGGCGGTTTTCGAAATGCCGGGCCTGAGGACGCGCAACGCCAGACCTTGGGGGGCACGACCCATGGCGCATAGCAACCAGGGTTGACCAGGCCATTTCTGTACGGGATCTATGTATATTGACGCAAGGGAAAAAAAAAAAGGGTTCAATGTTTCTCCGTGTTGCGCTTGTTGGGGATGTAATAAGGCGCATTAACAACCAAAGTCGTGCCAAATGGTGTATCAATTCTTCGTCCCGTCAGGTCCGGTCATGGTCATGTAGTAGCTCGCATCACAGGACCAGGGCAGGCCAGGGCAGGTTGTCCGGGAGGCAAGCCTCTGGCAGACCCCGGGCAACTCAACTCTCATCTCCCTGCATTGATTGGGCAACTTCATGCTCCTCCTGTAGATTGTCTGTGCTCATTTACAAGCGTCCAAAACCTCAGGTGCTCCGTCGAACTAATAACACCGGTGGTGGTCTGCAGAATCCAGAGTCCACAGCCCAAGACGTCGGATGATTAGAGCCCACATGAGCCGCGCCTACCAAAGCATGTCTTAGCTTCCTAGTACTCCGTATCAGTACCTGGTATGGAGCCTTTTTTCCAATTGCGGTGTTGATCTGGAATTCTATACGTGACCCTCGATACCTGAGCGCGGCGGCAAGACCAGGCCCTCCCCTGGCCGCTCGCTGATCGGCAAGACAACAAACTTGCTTGCCACTTCGGACACGGAGTACCGAATGCATGTAGGCACTCGATGTGCACTGACATTATGATGCATGCCAACCAGTACGAGTGCATGCACGGCCGCGAGCATTGATCCGTTAAGGTCCCTCGCTGTTTCGTTCTGCTCTCGAATTGCCGACGATGGGTGTATCACACGTCGGCGTCGGCATGCCGTTCTTGAAATGCGGCCGGTGGTGGTGGAATTAGTTAGGTTCAGGGGGGAGAATGGCGCCAGGGCCAACGCCTCGCTTAGTCATCTCGTCTTGTGTGCTGGTAGTGGCTTGGCTTCCAGTTGGCCTGAACAAGGAAGCTAGGTACGTATTGTCGAGGCGGGATTGCATATTCGCAATAAAGCACTGTAGGCTCCTGGCAGACAATCCGACGAGATGACCAAGTTCCTGACCATCACATTAGAAAGGGACCTGCGCAAGGTATGCCACGGAGCTTCGTGCCTGGCGAAGAGGGGACATCAAGGTTACTTTCAGAATTCGGGGTAGGTAGGGCACGTGCGCCTCCATCCTCCATACTGGTTATCCACGACGGCGACGGACATCTACCTTGCAGCGAAAACCAACGTGGTAGAGTTTCAATTTACGCGGGAGAAAAAGAGAGAAAGAAGAGAGGCCAAATCCCCGCAAAAGCCGTGCCACCTTGGAGACGACTGGAATATTCCATCCATTGTGCTCCGCACATATGCAGCGTTGGCACAGTCCCGCCCGCCAGTTCTCGAACCCTGAATCCAGTGCCCCGGATTCTTGTTAATCCCGGCCGATTTGCATGTGGCAGACCGCAGCACCGCCCAAACACTGCCTACGTACTCCATCAGCCGAGCTTCACGTTTGGCCAACCTCGGCGGTGGAGCAGCAACACACGGGCGTCACTCAGCATCTCCTACATAGCATCAAATGCCATGACGAGAGTAAGAGGACCAACAGAGCGGCTCTCTTCCACCAATGGACGACTTTTCGACCGAACTTGACGATTCCGCCCAAGGCGCAACGGATGCCAAGGGTACCAGCCAGCAACCCGGCAAGCAACCCGACGAGCAGCAGCAGCTAAAGGGGCAGAAGAGAGGATGGGCAGGACTGTCAGCTCTGCGAGACAAGACCTCGATCCAGGATCGACTGGTGGAACGGTACGGAAGGCACCTGATTCCCGACACCAGAGAGACGCGCCCGCCTTGCTAACAATCTACCGATGCCCACCAGGCTCCTCCAGCAGGTGATTCCCGTCGATGGCTCGGTGCAGGACAACAACGAGGCGGTGCCGAATCCCTTTGAACGGCCCAACTTCAACCTGACAATCATGTCCAACAACTTCCGGCGCTTCAACTCGCGCATCGGAGTCGTCTTCCGGTTCCAGGACAAGGTCGAAGCGCTGCTGTCGTGGCAAACGACATCCCACACGGTTTCGTACCTGGCCATTGCGACATTCATCTGTCTGGACCCGTACCTCCTGGCAGCGCTGCCCATAGCGTTCCTGATATTCGGCGTCCTCATACCCGGATTCGTGGCGAGACACCCGGCGCCCCCCAAGGGCACCCTGTCGAGCGAGCAGAGCATCGGATACTCGCCGGCCGGGCCGCCCCTGGCGCCGGCCGCGACGCCCAGGCCCGCCAAGGAGCTCAGCATGGACTTTATCCGCAACGCGCGGGACCTGCAGAACCAAATGGGCGACTTTAGCAACGGCTACGACAAGGTCGTGGAGCTGCTGGTCCCCGTTGCCAACTTCAGCAACGAGGCGCTGTCGTCGACGGTGTTCCTGTTCGCCTTCCTCGGCGGCATTGTCATGATGCTCGCCGCGCACATGCTCCCGTGGCGCCTCATCTTCCTCGTCGCCACCTGGGCGCCCGTTGTCCTCTGCCACCCGGCCGTCACGAAGCTGCTCCATCACGCCCGCCAGGAGCAGGGCAAGGCGCAGGAGACGCTCGCCCGGACGTGGCTGGACAACTGGATCGCCGACGACGTGATCCTCGACTCGGCCCCCGAGACGCGCGAGGTCGAGATCTTCGAACTCGAGCGGAAATCAGCCACCGGCGAATGGGAGCCGTGGGTGTTCTCGCCGAACCCGTACGATCCGCTGTCTCAGGCTCGCATCATTGGTGATCGGCCAAAGGGGACGCGGTTCTTCGAGGACGTCATGCCGCCCAATGCTTGGGAATGGAGCGAGAAGAAGTGGGCGCTGGACCTGTGGAGCCGCGAATGGGTCGAGGAGCGCATCATCACCGGCGTCGAGGTTGAGACGGAAGGTGAGCGGTGGGTGTATGACATTTGGAGCGACAAGGGCGATCGGACGGGCGTCATTGACACGCCGGAACCCGTAAAGAGCACGGAGATGGCGATGCGCCAGACGAGCTGGGAGGAAGGGGAGGATGCGATGCAAAGGAGAGGGGACTGGCGAAGGAGGAGATGGGTACGGTTGGTCAAGAGGAAGGCTGCTCCGGAGTCTTTATAATGCACATGTACATGTATGGTTGGTTGCCCTTTGGAGAACCATCGTCGACAGCCTTGGAGTCATACGGTCAAAGTCTCTCTTTCCAATGCCTCCACCGGACCCCCAGTATGTACATGATGAATCCATGGTCGTTTCGCAGTGACACCTTGTCGCGTAAGCTATCAAACTGTGCTAGCGGCATTATATGCGCGAATGAGATCCCAGAAACTCCCAACGCCTCGACGCTTCGACAACGGCCCCATCCACTTTGTTTTGGAACCCCTTGCAAAGCTTCCCAAGGCAAATGAATGACAATCGACATGCTCTCCTCATGATGCAGACAGACACAATTTGGCAACATACTCGAGGCCCCGGCCCGACGCTACTTCTCAACAACCATCTTGTCCAAAATCTTCTGCACGCCGTGGGTCTCGCCGTGCCCGCGATCCATCTGGCTGGCCATCTTTCTCGCCCGCGCAATCAGTATCCCGATGACATTCCTCGTGTACTCGAAGCTCCCCGTGCTCTCCATGTAGGACACGGCATAGCGCTTCACCTGGACATCCGTCGTCTTCTGCTTGAGGATGTTGATGAGCTGCATGTTTGCGGGGTTGGCCCGGATGCTGTGGATGACGGGGAAGGAGAACTTTCCCTCGGTCAGGTCCTCGCACAGCCCCTTGTTGTCGCTGTACTCGCGGCTCGAGAGGTTCATGTAGTCGTCGCGGATCTGGAAGATGAGCCCGATGAGGTTGACGAGTGGCACGCAGTCGACGCTGGAGGCGGACTCGGCCTGCATGAGCTTGATGCCGAGGCGGAACAGGCCGCCCGTCTTGTTGCCCACCATTTCCAGGTAGTCGTCCTCGGTGGGGCAGGTGAGGGTGTCCCGCCAGAAGAGGTCCATGCCCTGGCCGCGGTGCAGGTTGACGAGCTCGCTGGCGAAGACGGAGATGACGGCGGGGTTGTTGAGCTTCTGGAGCTCCTGGAGGGCGATGAAGTAGATGTAGTTTGCCGAGTTGATGGTCTGGGGGACGCCAAAGATGTTGTGGGCGACGGGGAAGCCGCGGCGGAGCTCGGAGGAGTCTTGCACGTCGTCGACGAGGAGGGAGGACTCGTGGAGCATGCCGACTGCCTTGGTGATGATTTCGAGGCGGTGGGGGGGCACTTGGAGGATGGTGTTGAAGGAGTTGATGAGCTGGAAGCGGAAGTCTTTGCCCGGGTGGGAGGCGACGTAGTCGAAGGGGGCGCGGACGACCTTTTCCTTGTCGTCGGTCCAGGAGCGCTTGGGGGTGAAGTTGAGGTTCTCATATTCGTAGCGGCGCGGGTCGGGCGGCTGCGAGGGCTGCTGCTGGTTGTGGTGCATGATGAAGCTGGAGATGGGGCTGCTGGGAGTCCTTGGCGACAGGGAGTGAGTTGGTGAGCGCTGCCTGGGGCCGCCAGAGAGGCCAACGTCTGTTCCTGCGGAGGGGCTGAGGATGTCTGGCAGCGGAGCGGGCGGCGTGAAGCCCTGGTGGTTGGCGGAATGGCGAGGGGAGGACGAGGACGAGGACGAGGAGAAGGAGGGAGAGGCGGCGGCGGCGATGGTGACGGCTGACGACGAGGTTGCGGTTGTGGTTGCGGTTGTGGTTGCGGTTGCGGTTGCGGCTGTGAAGCTGTTTCTATTCAGGCCCGTGCTGGATGTTCTCGGGGGGATGGTGGGATTGGACTTGGGCGGTGAGGAGGAGAGGAGGGGTATCGAGTTGGAATTGGCACTCGGCGATGTGGCCATTGTGAGAGACAAGAAGCGCCAACGCCGGGCGCGTGGTGGCAGATGAATAAATAGCACAATGCCGGGGAGAGGACCGAAATCGAGCACACGGCTCCAGGCGGCTCCAGACGGCTCCAGGCGGGAGCTGGAGAGCCGGAGCGCTGCAGAGCTGGGACGGGATGAGGTCTGTAGTTGCGAGTCGGCAGTCTCGCGTCGCCGAAACGTCGGTGGTTTTTCGTGGGGCGGGCGGGTGACAAGACTCGAGATTGGCTCGTCTTGTGCCGTCCCTGGATTAACCTTCCTGTTTTCAACAGGCTCAACACGGGGTATCCTTGTATCCTTGAGCCCGTCGGACGACGGTAATGATGATGGGATGCCTGTTAGATGATGCTTGCACAGTAAGGGTGGCGGCACTGTCACGATAGAGCGCACGCCGACCCCCGACCCCCGACTCCCGAGGCCCGAGCCCCGGCCGTGACCTGAATGAACAGTGAACTCGTGGACGTCGATTGTTCTGCAGGACCAAGAAGAGAATGACGCAGGAACAAAAGGAAAAAGGGTCAGTCAGCAACTTGGTATTCTGTCTATCAGTTGTGGGCCGTGAGGCTTGACATGTGAAACAAAGATGGGCCGGTGCCCGAGATGCGCCACCAAGAGGCACGGACACGGATTCCTATATGAGTTTCGGGTAGGACGACGAAGGATGAGTCTGCGTGCCACCGCCGCGCATGTCTGGGAGTCTCCATGTCGGAGTGGCGGCGCGTGGATGGAAACAGTGAAGCGGGAGGAAGCTGATGCCGATGAAACCAAGGCGCGAACGAGCTGTACTGTGCACATGCGCTGGAGGAATAACGTTACTCCGGGCTTTGCTTGGCGACAGCCGACAAGCAGCATCAAAGCGCGCCCGCCAAACTTAAAAAAGCCAGCGTCGAAGCACCGTCGGTTGCGATGTCACGGACAAACGGAATGGACCACGCTGCTCAATTGGGACGGGGCCTTTCGTGGGGGCGGAAAACATGCTTTGACCCTGATTTGCGTTTGTTTCTGCGAGGTGGTAACTACTAACTAATAAGAAAGACGTTTGCGATGGAGAACCCCACCCCTTTGTGCCTCGCGCAAAATTGCAGAATCAAGGGTACGGAGTACAGAGTAGGGAGTATCGTACCATCATGGTGCATGATGCGCCCGTCACATCAGACCATCGCCAGGTATGGTTTTGTGAATAAATTGCTTGCATCATTGCTCCCCTCCTTTGACCCGTCGTGACGCAGGGGTAGGTAGTTGGGTGCTTGAAATTCGAGCCCCGAGGCTAGCTAATACGTAAATAGAGCTGTTTGTTGCGCGGCCCCGTTGCCCTGGAAACCAAAATGTATGCATGCATGCACTCCAGATGCTCCCAGCAAACGCCGCCTGGGGCCGTGTCTGCGACCCAGCAGTGCCAGCACTCTCACCATCTATAACCGAGCGTCCGATCCAGACGGTACGGTAAAGCACCAGACGGAAAGCGCCTCGTGGACTCTCTCGCTCGGATGCATTTCCACCTCTACCATCTGTGCTAACGTTTGCGCCTCGCGCTCTGCGCTCCCATCGGGCTCGCGTCGGTGAGCTTTCGCTTCGATATAAGCCGCGCAACTGCTCGGCACTTTGAAAGCAAAAAGGCGCACCTGCTCTCTGCCCCCAGAATCAATCGAATCAACCAGACTTGGCCGCGTGCCTCTTTGCGCGCGTCCCCCCACCCGACGCACCTCCGCCGCAACCGGGCTACGAACAGAACACGAGACCGGCAAAAGATGGAGGCACTCTTGTCCCTCGCCTTTGACAACCTCTCGTCCTACGACGGCCCCAAAGTCCGCAAGGGCCTCCGCCAGGTCGAAGGTCTCTTGGCGCAGATTTGCCTGTCCGACGGCAGGGCACCCCCGGCCCAGCGACGACGGAGCAGCGTCGACGACGAGCGAGACCGGCCCATGAGCCCGCCGAGAAAGGACCTCGGCGAGCTCTCGCAGGACCCCGCGTTCCGCGAGTTCTTCAAGCTGCAGGAGGGATTCGAGTGGAACGTGGCGATGCGCCTCATCGGCACGCTGGACCGGCTCATGGCCAAGGGCAGCGACGGCCAAAACGACCTGCTGATCCTGAGCGCACTCGACCTCATCCAGGGCGCGCTGCTGCTGCACCCGCCCAGCAAGACGCTCTTCTCGCGGGAGCAGAACATGAACGTGAGTCGGGCCCCATCCGCCGCCGCCGCCGGCACGTCGAAACACCCCCTCTCCTAACAGCGGTCCATGTACCACACAGCTCCTGCTAGACCTCCTCGAGCCCTTCAACTGCCCGGCGATCCAGTCGGCCACGCTGCTGACGCTCGTGGTCGCCCTCATCGGCACCCCCGGCAACACGCGCACCTTTGAGGGCCTCGACGGCCTCCTCACCGTCACGTCGCTCTTCAAGTCGCGCAGCACGTCGCGAGAGGTCAAGCTCAAGCTCGTCGAGTTCCTGTACTGCTACCTCATGCCCGAGACGCCGTCGATACCGCGCGCCGACCAGCGCGACTCCGTGCCTGCCATGCTCCAGCGCAGCCCTAGCAAGCTGGCTGGCGCGTTCAACGCCGAGTCGCGTCGCAGGCGCGCCAGCAGCGCCGCCCTGGTGACGCTGACCACCGAGGAAAAGCAGGAACTCCTCAGTCGACACCTCAGCAGCGTCGAGGATCTCGTCAAGGACCTCAAGAACTGCGCTCCCTTTGGAGGCGTGGTGTGTTGAGAGAGCGCGCAGCAGAGGAGCAGAGGTCCGACGTGACGAATGTGCGTCGGTGCCTGCAACCGGCCAGCGTTGGAAGATTTTTTCTTCTTTTTTTTCCAGGATTATTCGCCATTGCTTTCCATTACTGCGATATGGTTCTTTTACGCGTTATTCATTTCCCCCCACAACCCAGAGCGCAGATTGGTTCTTCTTCCTCTTCTTCTGTTTCCTTGGCTAGATCGTTTCTCTTGTTTCTCTGGAGGCGTTGGATGGGCAATATCTTGACGGACGGACTAGACTGCAAACGCGTGGATTCTGCGCTGACGGGGGGGTTTCTCGGTTTCAGCTGGTATTAGGCAAGTTTTATGAATATCGTGTACGAATAGGCCTGGCGTTGTATAGATAGACGAAAGGGCTTGCTATTTGCTCCGACACACCTGCTTGTCTGCCTTGTACTCGTGCTCCTTGTCCTCGCCACACCTCATTGCTAGGTATTGCCGTTGTGCCCTCGGCCGTGTCTGCACATGACGCCGTGGCGGATACCACCTCGACCTACCTCGCGCGGGTTCACACCTGCTGCTTTCGTCAGAGGTCCTCTTTCTCCTTTTCGAGCTCGTCGCCATCTGCTACACCTTGCCCGGGCGGCTCAGGTATGCACCTGGTCCGGAGCCGGGGCCGGGGTCGGATTCAGGGGCGTGGGCCTGCGACGACGCGTCCAGCTCGAACGGGCCGTCGAAGGACTCGACGTGAGGGCGTTCCGGGCCCGGACCTGCGGCGTCCGGCTCGGGCTCGTCCTCGGCCATCTCGACGGCCGGGGCGCGGGCGAGGCTGCCCGTCATCTCTGCGCGGTTCGCGACCGAGTCCCGGGCGGCGTTTGCCCGCCGCGCGCGGCGTCGCCTGCACAGGGCGAAGCTCCACGCTGCGAGGGCGATGAGCAGCGACGTGCCCAGCGCGACGCCGACGCCGACGCCGGCCTTTGCGCCGGGCGACAGGCCGCCCAACTCAACGACGGACATGGCGTCTGGGCCGGTCGGCGTCGTCGTCGAGGGGGCGGCGCGCTTCATGACGCAGTTCCCGTCGGCCTGGCAGTCGGCGTCGTAGGGGCAGCACTTGCCGCCGAGGCTCGACGGGCACAGGTAGTAGCTCGTCTGGGGGCATTTGCGGCCGCAGCAGCCCTGGGTGGTGGCGTTGGCGGCGTTGGCGGCGTTGGCGGCGGCGAGGCCGCTGAGCGTGGTGGTGCAGAAGTAGAACTCGCTCTTGCAGGGCGAGTCGGCGACGCAGTTGGATCCGACGGGGCAGCAGCGCGCTTCGCCGGCCGCGTTGACGTAGCAGTAGTTCTGGTTGCTGCAGCATCGGTCGGGCTGGTTGATGTCGAGGCCTGGAAGAGGGGGTGAGTGAGTGTCAGGGCATGGGATGGGATGGCGGCGATGGCGGCGGTGACGATGGTGACGGTGGTGGTGATGGGCAAGAGTTGGGGTTGGGGGCTCAGCTGGTCACTGAATATGCTGGGCCGTCCGTGTCCGTGTCCGTACAATTGTGATGCCCGTCTCCGCAGGTCTGGTCTCGCCTGGCGAGCCGGGGCGGCGATCCGCGAGCTGCTGCAGACGTGGGCGGTGGTTTGTGAGGCTTCGTCGGTGCCGAGACGGCGCGGGTGCGCGTGCGGGATGGAGAGTCGGGAGACATGGCCGAGGCGAGGCGAGGCGAGGCGAGGCGAGGCGACGAAGCTGGGCTTCCTGGGCCCTCTCTTGTTTCTCTTGGCCGTGCGGACGGCCGGGTTCTCGAGTTTCGCATGCAACGTCCGCAGGCGTGATGCGTGGTGCCGTGGCCGCGCCGTGACGTGCCGGACGGGTGCCTCTGTCGATGCCGGGTCGACCGTGATGATTCTATTCTGCCCGCGTGGGCGGCGCGCATTTGCCCCAAAGCTCCCCCGTCTGTGCACGACGCCTCTGCCCCTTGTCTGCTGCCATTGTTTGTCCGCGGGCCAGGGCTGGTGTGTGAGGCCGAGCTGTTGGTCGGTTGGTTGGTTGGTCTGTATGCAGACGACTCGACTCGGACGCCACCGAGTAAGCTTGTGTTTCCAAGAGCATGTCTGCATGTCTGGGCCGGCTGAGGGAGTTGGGGATTCGCGGGAGAAAAGAGCTCCGGTGTTTGTCTCATAAGAAGCAGCCGTATACTATATTCGCCGCCAACGCATGCAGCACAGTCACGTCATGACTCCCCCCTCCATCCCGGTATCAGGATCCCACGATATGCCATGTATGTCAAGTGTGCGGAGGTCATTGACAGCATCCTACGGCCCGCGACAGCCAGACACCCCGTCGCATCGTCGTATCGTCGTCTGGCACAAATAAACAGCACCACTCCGTCCATGACACATCCGACTGCCGCTCCTCGCCCCCCCTCGGCCTTTGGAGGCCCCAAGTACCGCTCCTCACTCCTCGAAATGCCCATCTAGTAAAGCCAAGGTGCTCAGACACGCTGACAAAGACGCTAGGATAACACGGACGCACAACGGGCTTCCAGCACGTCGGTCCCCGGTCTACGAGCCCGACGACGGTGCCGTCGACGAGGACCGGGCCGCCCCGACCCGCCTCGCACGTATGCCGCCTCGAACCCCGGGTCGCCCACGGCGAGATGCAGGATTGGGCGCCGACCAACTTGTCGCACCCGCTCGGCGGCACGAGCCTGGTCCTGGTCCATGTTTCACGACAGGCACCGCGGGAGACGTGGGAGAAGAACAACTCGGTCAACTGCAACGTGATGCTCTAGGCGCTGTCAGAAACTAAACCAGTACATACAAATCCAATGCGAAGCAATATACCCGAGGGGGAAGCTCCAAGCGCCGCCGTCTCTACGTCCGCGAAACGCCACGCTCGGCGCAGTACTTGTCAACCTCCTTCCGCAGGGTGTCCCTCTGCCGCAGGGCCGCGTCCATGATGCCCTCGCACGTCTTGCCCAGGCCCCGCGCGTCGTCCCTGCCGGCAATCTCGTTGATGTTCACCATCTCGGCCAGCACGGCCTCGAGCTGGTTCGGCAGCCAGGTGACGATGGGGCTGCCGCCCGTGGCCGTCGGGTGCGAGGTCCTCTTGAGGATGTACTCCCTGGCGAAGCACCAGTGGCGCCAGCGAAAGTCGCGGACCTGGTCGAGGATCTGCAGCCACAGGCTCCGCGACTCGCGCACCAGGTCCCTGTCCTCGTCGGTGGCGGGCCTGGCCCTGAGGGCGAGCGCGAAGCCGCGCAGGTCGTGGCGCTCCGAGACGTCCTTGACGTGCAGCAAAAAGTCCCTGTGGTTGCTGGGCCGGTACTTGCGGAAGTCCTTGAGGATGTCGGTCAGCGGCGTGTTGGGCATGGGCACCTGCAGCAGGTTGTCCATCAGGGGCACCATGGAGTCGTTGGCGCCGCTCTCGCCGCGGAACGACATGGGCCTGTCGTCGTTGAGGCCCTCGTAGACGACGCCGTGGGGGAACATGGACTGCGACGTGATGCCGAAGATGAAGGTGCGGAAGCTGGTGTACTCCGTGGGGCGGGACTTCCCCCACATGGTCTCCATGACCGAGTTGATCTTTTGCAGCGCGCCGAGGATGTCGCCGAGGCCCTGGTTGAGGGCGGCGCGCTCCTGGCTCGTCCCCAGGGGCGTGGTGACGCCGGACCCGACGCCGAGGCACTTGACGGTGCCGGCGACGAGGGGGCCCGAGTTCTTGACCATGTCGACGTGGACGAGCACGAAGCCGGCCTCGGACGAGGCGGGGTCCAGGCCGTGCTCGAAGGCGCGGATGAGACGGAGGTTGGAGTAGTCGAGGCCTCGCGAGGGGTCTTGGAGGCGGTAGTTGTAGAGGGCGTACGAGCCGGCGTACTCCATGAAGGGCATGAAGCCGGCGCTGTTGGCGCGTGTCAGCGGCACGATACGTGGGAGTACAGACGAGAGTGGCAACGTTGCGCGGCAGGGCGTGCTGGTGCCGGACACTACTCACATCTCGGCACACCGAGCAATGGGCCGTGAGACGTTCCTGGGCAGAGTCTGTCGGCCGAGGCCGTACTCCTCTCCCCGGACGAAGCGCTCGTGGCAAGGCTCCAGCAGATAGGCAGAGGCCAAGAAGGAGTAGTCACGGTACAGGGCGTTCATCATGGGCAGGTCATGCTTGTACTTGTCCATCTCGTCGGTGAGGTCGGGGAACTCATTGTCCACGACGCCGCCCAGCCTGCCCGAGGCGAGAAGCCCGGGCTCCCCGGAGAGCGTCTTGACAGGCATGCGCTGCAACAACGACTCGAGGGGCTCAAACTCCTTGGGCAGCGTGACGACGGGGTCCAGGCGAGGAAGAAATCCCCGAGTGGTGGACACCATGAAGGCAGGGAGGGACTTGTCGTCCGGACGAGGGTCGTCGAGGACCTGGAACTGGGAAGGGGGGACGGTGTCAATAGAGCCCATGGTGGACGGCTTTTGCGTGACTTGGCGTGTAAGTGTGTGGTGTGTGGTGATGGAAGCGTGCAGGTGGTGGTGTGAGTGGTGGTGTAAGTGGTGACTGCGTCCAAGTCGAGGGGATCGAGTCAAGGGAAGCAGACGAAAGAGAATAGAGTGACGGCTGGCACGCCTTTCTCGAGGACGAATGGAACAGAAAAGTCCAACTCGAGATCCGGGCTCGCGGCGCCGCCTAAGTACTCCGTGGCCGGAATGCATTCCGGCCTCACAAGCGGGGATGCATTGACGATGTGCGCAACATCGGAGCGCCAGACCCTCGGCGTGGCTGGTCATTGGAAGGGTGGCCATCGTGGCCTTTCCATTTGCCACGTAACAGAGATGCCATGTTGCTGCTGTCGCGGCCAACGACGGCCGATGTGCGCGCGGGCGGACGGGACGAGGACGCGACTCGGCGGCTCGCGGCCGACGGCCAGAGCGGCTCTCCGGCGTGTCGGGCCAGCGTCTGCCTGCGCAGAGCGTGAGCGAGAGCGAGTCCTGTCTGTTCTGTCCTCTGCTGGCTCTGCTGGCGCTGCTTGCTTTGCTTCCGGCCGTGCCGCGGAAAGTGCTCGAGGCTCTGAAATCCGGGGTAAACGGTCATGATTTACAATGCTCTCCCTCGCACTGGTCGTCCTCTTCTCGCATGGACACGAGGGCCACCAGCGGGCGGGACGGGGAGCCCGACGACGAGGAGATAAGGGCGTGCCCCACAAAAGACCCGCATCATGCCGACTCTGCCCGGCCCCAATCTGGCTTCTCGTTGGCCCATTGGCCGGAATCGTTCCGGCCACAGACGGCGAGATCGGACCCGGCTGTTGTGCCCACGCAATCAGACCTGCGGGCCTCGACGCCCCTTGTGTCGTGCGACGTGTGTCGTGTCGTGTCTTTTGGTACGGGGCCTCGTGCGGGCGGAGTAACAAGCCCGGCAAGGTTAGGCCTTGGAAAGTTTATTACTCCTCATGGTTGCTGCGCAGACAACCCCATCCCGGCACATGCATCGTGCGCTTCCGGGGTAGACACGCACGCGCGTACTTGGCGGGCAGCCAAGCAAAAAGAGGAGCTGGGACAATCTTGTGCTACCGAGTCTCGAGCCCCTCGAGGGCCTTGACCGTTGCATGTTCCGGCCCCGCCTATCACGGAGGATTTCCATATATATATGCCCAACAAATCCTGTCCCGGGACATGATTAGATACGTACTGATACATAAAGCAATACGCTCCACTGCCGAAGCCAAAACAAGGTCCAAAATGTCCGAAATAAACACCCTATCCTGCTGCCGCGTTGTATAGCCTGTATCCCCTGCCTGTCCCTGCCGCCATTATTCCCTCCTCTCGCCTTGCCGTCTCCTCCACTACTTGGATTCAGGTACCAGCACCGTCACGAAACCGGCCCGCACCCGGGGAGCAGCCTCGCTGGCTCCAGTTTCAACACTCGTGGCTGGCTCGGCCATCTCTGCCGCAAGGCCCCGGGTCACGGCCGGAGTGGCCATGGCAGCTGGCGCGCTGGCCGACTCGGCCGCGATGGGGACCACGGTGACAACCTGAATCTTTTCGCTCGGGCTGCTGGTCTCCGGAGAAGAGTCTGCTTCCTGCTCAGGCACGCTGTTGAGGGACTCTTCAGCTGTCTCGGCGCCGGTGTCGTCGTCCCCCGGCCCCGGGTCTGTAGTCACGTCTAGAGTCGTAGTTTGGTCACCAGGAGCGGTGGCGACAGTGTCCGCCGTGGTATTGTCGTTGGCGGATTCATCGGGAGCGACGCTCACAGATTCCTGGGATGCTGCTGTGGGATCCCCTGCCGTCCCGGTTTCTTGGACAGTCTTCTCGTCGACGAGCTGGGACGGTTCCGTCTTCTCGACAGAGGTGTGGTTCAAAGACTTGTCGTCAACTGCGACACTCGCCGCCGGCCTTTGATGCGCAACTTGAGAATTGTGGCCGGCCGCAGTGCCGTTGGAGAATTTGGCGGTGTCGTTGGAGAACTGCGCGAAGCTGCCAGAGCTTGGCGCCGCGGGGACATTGTGAGACACCTTGCCCTTGTCGATAGTCCCGCTGTTGCTGGCTTGGGGCTCCTCCGTGACACGGCCAGAGTCGTCGGGTGTTGCCTCTTGGGCAGAGCCCGTCGCTTTGTTGCGTTGTACAGCCGTGACTGTTGAACTGACAGTGGTCGTCCTGGTTATGGTCGTCGTGACAAAGTTGCCATTGACGGGCAACGTCTTGACTTCGACACTTTCCACCGTAGCTGGCACGACCCGAGTCAAGCCCGTGCGAGCTTGGCCAGCCGAGACCTCGGACTGGGGGCGATTCGAAGCCGCGTTACCGGTAGAAGGAGAGGAGTTGGGGTTTGCTTTGTTACCTCCCCTGTTGGGAGCAGCACCGCCCTGAGCAGACGACCCCTTTGTCAAGTCACTTGAACCGGCGGACTTGCTGGAGCTCTCACCACTGAGGGCAGATTCCATGCGGCAGGGCGCATCTCTACGGAACAACGGGTGTCCACTTACCCGTCCGTCGTCGTTCACAGCGGCTCTTGCCCCCAGATCGTACATCAAGTTCTCTGCGTCGCAGTCCTCATCAGCCGTGCTGCCGGAGCCATGCTTGTCAGAAGTCGGCTTGGATGCAGAGCCGCTGTTCTGACTTTCCCACGCCTTCACCTGGGTCTCGAGATCCTTCAGCTTGGTCAAGATACTATCAACTTCTGAATGAGGCACGGCCACGGCATCGCGCTCCTCTATGATGCTGCGCGCCCGCTTCACCGTGTAATGAAAGCGTTTGATGTTTGTGGCGTAGGACGGGATTCCTTGAACATAACGGTCGTGCGGACGGGTGCTTTCAGCACGAACGAGCGCTTCGTTGTCGTCTGAACCAAGGCCCGGAGGTGGATTGAGTGACAGGGCCCTGACGAGGTTGCCGAGCAAAACCATTGCAGCGACGATGAAGGGGTCAGGTGTAGAAGCTGCGGCAGAAGAGTAAAAGACGTGGAGCCTCTCGTTTGCTGTTTCTGATAAGACGGTCGCATTTCATGGGCTCTGGGAATATATCTCTTTTACCCTTGATGCTTGAAGCCGTGGCGAGCAACACATTCCAGTAACGGTGCCGTCAACGCTAGCAATTCCGCCCATGTGAATCAGGTATTGTGCTGACAGAAGGTGTCTCTGGGCCGCTCCAGGGGTCGCCAACATTCCAGAGGGCAGCTGGGGGTGTAGGTCACCATTTTCCGTCAAAGGTTTATGGTTGCCATGTCTGTATCAAAACTAATCTGGTAGTGAGTTGGCTGCAGTAGGAAGGCTATGTATGATATGACAGGTGAAGCACGGAGGCTTCTGCAGACATCAGACTGGCGTTGAGTTGATGCTTTGATTTTCCTGGTCTTCCCGTGGATGATGCTCCAACGTCAAAGATATCCCTTGAAAGCTGGCCAAAGCTTCTCGAATATCGCTTGGGGTCATCATTCCATAGAGAGGCAGCGAATTCGTTGAACTGAACTGGTGACGCAATCGGTTTTGGAGATTATTTCCCCAAATCGATGCCACCGTGACGGTGACAGCCTTTCACAGGGGATGACAGACACCCACCTACGTCGTAAATTTACCCGGGGCAGTCGTCTTGACTGGTATGCAAGACAAATTGAACAGAAGCTCATTCTTCGTATTCAGCTCTTCGACGTAGGTCTCCGGACATTGCAAACTATTTGGCATGTGGCCATGCCAGATGATCCACCTGCATGATACAGATAACTTGCATGCCGAGACAAACCGAGATAGTACGGCACCAGGAATGATGATTCGACTCTTCAAGTTTGACCGCTTGAATAGCCACCCCTGTGGCGTGGAGGCTATGAGATCTGTCATGTGTGCATCCATCGACTTACAACATATACCTCGATGTGTAGGCTACGAGGCGACTTCAGGGATCATGTTCTCTTGTGCTCTTGGCTCATTTTAATTTAATCGACCCATGTGCTGATATGTTATAATGACCTCTGATTACACAAAAGCCACCGAACGCCCTCAGAGCTGCAAGGGGGTTGGGAGTTGGGGGTTTCGGCCAGCTATTTTCAAGCACATTAGCCACGCTGTTGACGCAGAAACTGTCGTGCAAGAAACTCGCATATTGATGATTCCAAAGAGCGTGTATTTACCGTGACCAGAGGCTGTGTCTCAACTACCGTCCCAAGCTTCGAATTACTTGGCCACATTGCCAAATATGTACTGACCGCTTCAAGCAGTGTCGATAGATGATGCCGAAGAAGAAGCTATCAACTATCAACTACTCCGTACCCAAAGCTGAAAGTTGGCCAGCAGTCTTGGTCCTGTTTTCCACTTTTTTGTCTTTCAGGTCAACCCCCGTCTGTATCGGACTGAGGCTTGGTCATTAAATGGCCTTGTCTGAGGCTCCCGCTGCGCAGTGATCGAGATCTCCCCGCCAGACCATGAGAGGTGGTGAAAAAGGAAACTGTCTGAGCCTGGATTTGGAACACCCGCCCCCAAAGGACATGTTGGCGGTAGGGTTTCGAATTCAGTGCCTTCGAGCAGGATAGTGAGATTCAACTCAGCCCCTCGAATCACACTGAAAGATATGGGCACACAAAGTTGATGAGGGATTGGCTGGTCCGACTCCCATTTTTGCAGAGGGCATTCGCCGCAGCGTCAACAACAAACCTGGTTGGCCGGATCCTGGATGTAACGGGGATTGCGTCAAACCCCTGGTTGTTCTTGGTTTGGGAGCATGGGCCATATTCGGGTGGTGAAATACTCGGCAGAGAAACGAGAGACCGGGAGAGCGCACCTTGATACAGATGTAACCAGAAGTTCGCGCAGATGCCGCACTCAATTCGTGGTCCGCGGAGTCGTGTGAGGACTTGGAAGGCTTGAGAGTTGAGTCTGATCAGGCAAGAGCAACCCTGTGGGGCCCGGCGGGTCAGTGGGTCAGTGGGTACCAAGTTACTTGCACAACGGCTCTGGCAGGCTCACGGGCCGCTACCGCTCACTGGCTGATACTGCGTCAACCACATCATCGCTTCCCTTCCATCTCCCTTCGCCATCTCCCTTCACCGGCTAACAGACTAATGAGACAGTTTTAGATCTCGTGCGAGCCAATGCCTGATTATTCACGCTTGAATCCGTCACGGCCAAATCAATACGCGTATCATGTCCGCAGACGCTACCCCAGAGGAAGAATGCACTAGAGATTCCGCACTGGACATCGCCGACTGTACTCTGTACGTGCGCGTCACTTCGAAGGCGATGGGGCATACTAGTACTTAATGCAGACCATGTCAAAGGCGTGGGTATGTCTGAACTCCTGGAAGGTTAGCAGATGACGAACATTACGGCAGGACCTTTAGATCCATGGAGCGAAACCAAAGGCCCGAGAGTCTACAGTCAAGAAGCAACGAAGAATACATCTTCTGTCAGAGCATTGTCGTCAACCCAGACGTTCTAGTAGCTGGTTTCACTTTTTCGCCATTCGAAAGTACAATAGAATCGTCAGTTCTTTCCGGAAGAACCGTGGCCGAATCTTTCAAGCATTAAAGTGTGGCAAGTTTAAATTGAATGCTTTTTGAGTAACGAGAGGCATCTGTATGCGCCCGTCAAGTTGCTTAGCGGCGTGGGAGACGACCGGTTCTCAAGCTGCACACCTTCAAGACAATTCACGCTCCCGCATGAGATGCCACAAAATGCTTCGTGAACCGATGACATCGCAATGGCTGCCACACGTTCTTTGCCCAAGTGCCCTGAGTACTCCATGAAGATCGAGAAACTGGTTTGCCAGCGTCGCACCGTCACGAAGCCCTCCACCGAGCCCATTGTCACATCATCCGCCACAAGGAACATCATGAGTGTCCTAACCTTCACTGGGGACCCTGAGTGGTGCCAATTTGAATAAGCAGTCCTCCTACTTCGACTTGAGATTTTTCCTCACCTACCCGGCATAAAAGTGACTAGAGCCGGGGAATGATGAATGCGGCGGACCCCCGCTGGTCACGTGGCCGGATATGGGGTCCAGGCTTCAGCCTCCAGGTTGTTGTGCTTATTATCTCGGAGTATAAATTCAAAATCTCTAAACATCGCCTTGAATATTCAAATAAAACATAGAAAATTACAAACATGGTATGCCAATGAAATAGACTAATTTTTATTGATATGTTCCATATGGATTAAACTGCGAATCGCGTTTCCCATTACGAGGAATACCTGCCCTGTCCATTATGTCATCAGACCCGATCTCGGCCACGGCACAGAGGAAAAACTGCCAAGGTTCAAGTCGGAAAACCCACCTCGTCGCGAGAGTCACCCCTGGTCAAGAGCTCTTTTCCAGCTCTCGTTCTCGACATCACCAAGTCAATTGGCTTGAGAAGCGCCCAAAATCATGTTCTCTCCCACATCTGTGGCGATGCGCACCGCCGCCCGCGGAGCTTTTCGACAAGCCACATCGTCGTCGTCGTCAATCACGGCGGCTCCAAACTCTAACCGAGGCCTCTCATCTTCGCGTCCCGCATTCAATCAGGCCGCGGCATGCATTGTTGGCCGGCAAAGGCGAGGTTACGTTGCCACGACGAACCCCAACCCGCCCCTCGGTAAAAAGAATGCCTCCAACGACATCCCGTCTCGCATTGGCCTAATTGGAGCCCGAGGATACACCGGCCAGGCTCTGATTGATCTTCTTGATCAGCATCTCTACATGGACCTGCAGCATGTATCCTCACGAGAGCTCAATGGCCAAGCGCTCCAGGGGTATTCCAAGCGCGAAATCATCTATGAGAACCTATCCCCCGAGGACGTGGCCCGGCTGGACACGGATATCGACTGCTGGGTCATGGCTCTCCCCAACGGCGTCTGCAAGCCTTACATCGAAGCCATCGACCAGGCTCAGAAGCATACCGGCCACAGGAGTGTCATCGTCGACCTGTCCGCCGACTACCGGTTCGACAAGCAATGGACGTATTCCCTCGCCGAGCTCACCAAGCGGTCCACCATCTGCCAGTCGACCAAGATCTCAAATCCCGGTTGCTACGCGACTGCCGCACAGCTCGGCATCGCCCCTCTGCTGCCCTTCATCGACGGCAACGGGCTCATTTCCATCTTTGGCGTCTCGGGCTACAGCGGAGCTGGCACCAAACCAAGCGACAAGAACAACGTCACGCTTCTCGCAGACAACCTCATCCCGTATTCGTTGACGAACCACATACACGAGCGAGAAATCTCTCACCATCTCGGCGGCGCCAAAGTCGGCTTCGTCCCGCACGTCGCTTCGTGGTTCCGGTTAGTTGGCGTGATTTGAAAATCGCCGGATTCCCAAGCTCCCCTGACTAATTGACTGCGCTGCAGCGGCATCCACCTGACCATCAACATCCCCCTCAACGAGGTGATGAATTCTCGCGATATTCGCCAAATTTACCAGGACCGATATGCCGGCGAGAAGCTTGTCAAGGTGGTGGGAGAGCCTCCCATGGTCAAAAACATTTACAAGCGCCACGGCGTTGAGATTGGAGGCCTCGCCGTTGACAGCACGGGCAAGCGCGTCGTCGTGTAAGTGGGCTGGCGACGGTTGAAGTGGACCGGTAATGCTGACTGCGTGAAGGTGCGCTACGATAGATAACCTGAACAAGGGCGCCAGTACTCAGTGTCTGCGTAAGTATCCGTGCCAAAGCGAGATGTATTGGACTTGCTAACGGGCTTCCTCAGAGAACATGAACCTTGCGCTTGGATATGCAGAGTATGAGGGCATTCCCACCATGTAAAGGCGGTGGGTATATTGAATGGGACGTCCTCGTGGGAGTCGGCTTAGATATCTTACATATATATACATACATGGTAACATGCATGCCTTTGAGGGAATTTGTCAAGGTCTGTTATAATATCTTTGATAGAAGCTTTTATGCTGCATGTACCTCGTGATCTATTAACCATGCTTCCGTGCTACCCTACTTGCCCCGTACTCCAATTGATCATGATGCTTTTGACATGTATTTGAGTGCAGCAGTTGATCGGAGGATAGGTACAGCACGGGGAGAGAGGGGGGCCATTCCATCAGTGAGCAACTGTCAGTACTCATGTGTAATATAGACAGGCCAGGCCTTTGTTGTTGTCTGTTTTACGGTTAATTGGAGCATCAACCCTTACAACACAGTCAACAACTGGGGTTGTGTTGTATTCGGACATGGTCTGGCCCAATCTCCTACGACCGCCAGCAAGGTTTTCTTGATTGCAAACCATGATCCTTATCGAATGTACTGGATGACAATTTTCCCCTCTTGTACGTTGAAGCAAGAGCGGAAGGCCTTTGCATCAAGTTCCTGTGACGATCGGATATCTGCCTACATTGTTGGGCACGGAAAAGACTTGCATGACATGGAGGCAGCATTTTGCTCGGTGCCAGGATATATGGCGTTCCCATATAAATCAAAAGGAATGACATATATCACAACTTTTTTTTTTCCACATCAATCTGTATGATTCGCTGTTTCCAGGTCCATCCCTCCTTTTCACCGCATCTTTGAAACCGGACAGCATCGCCGTGCTCTTGAATGCAATGCCCTCGGGAGAATTCCGCGCGATGCCATCAAATACGGTTGCCAAGCGTTGGCTCGACCGCACGGAACTCTCAATCCCACTGTTGATAACTTGTTTGTGCATCCAGAGCTGGTTGATAGGCACAGTCTTGATTCGGTCCGTCAACAGATTCACTGTTTCCTCCAACTCGGCCTCGGGGACGGACTTCAAAACTAGGCCCATGGATGCGGCTTCCTTGCCATCTACAAGGTCGCCGGTGAACAACATTCTCTTTGCCTTTTCAGACCCAATTCGATGCGCCCACATGGCTGTCGTTGGACAACCCCATACTCGACTCGGCGGGTAACCAATCCGAGCATCATCTGCCATGACGACCAAGTCGCAACGTAGGGCGATATCACTCCCCCCCTGCGACAGCTGCCCCGTGAACTTGCGCTATGGTGGGTTTGTGGCTCCGGAATAGCTCTGAGTGACAGTCGGTGGCTTCGCCCATGGTCAAGTAGTCTTGAAAGGCGTCGTAGCCTTTGCTTAGGTCCTGACTACCTTCGGTTTGACCACGTTGGCCATGTTCGGCATAAATGCCCAAGTCATAGCCCCCGCAGAATCTGGGCCCATCTCCTTTGATGACGATGCAATGTGCCCTTGAGTCCAAGTTGGCTAGCTGAAGGGCGGCTCGTAGTTCAGCCGGAATATTCTGGTCGATTGCGTTGAAGTGCTTTGGCCGATTGAGGACAATGTACGCTACTTTCCCATCTGATGACGTTTTGTAGATGACGGACTTGAACTCGTTATGCTCCATTGTGACCCATGGACTGTAGGGCAGCATCGCTTGTAAAGTTGTAATGAGAGGGGGCAATAGGCACGCCACGTCTTGAGATTGAGATGTTCCGCAATGAGAATTCGGAATCCTTGTTTTTTCGCTTTTCGAAATTAGAGATGTGACCCGCGACAGGGCCGTGCCGAGGTGGCAATGATGCGATAACATCAAGCAGAGAGACATACCTAGGCAGTTATGGCTTGCTCGTGAAGCCGGGGCCACCCCACATTTCGGCCAGCTCGTCTTCCCGCACCCGACAATCATCACGAACGTCTTTCGACAAATGTCTTCCTGGTTGTTCTTCGGCCGGAAGTCCACAGGGCCATCGCCGCATTCGTCTTTCATTACACTTTACATGAAAATTGCATGGCGGTTCACATAACCTGTGTTGCGCATGGCCAACCAACAAAGTCCGACTCCTGACAGGCAGGACACTCCTGCAGGGTCATTGATGCGTCTCGAACGAAGTCAAAGTGGGTTGATCATCCTTTTCTGGCTTATTACCACTGGAAGCTTGTGGAGTTCCTCTGGCGTCTGGCTGGCTGACTTGGCTGGACTCTGTTCAATTTGCTGCTTGGAGCTGAAATGTTCACTGTGACGAACCAAAGCCACACGACCTTGATTTCCAGAGTCTGGACCACAGGGATGTTCTCTGCCATACACAAAGGCTTTCAGGAGCGTATCGACCTGGTGACGAAAGTAATCCAACGACGATCTGGTGGAACCTCTAATCTCTGCCAGCTCAACGGCCGTGTGATGCCTTTGGGGGCGCCGCCATCACAGGCTCGTAATGGGGTTGGTTGACTTGCGGCTGTCGGCCGCAAGAAAGCAGCAGGTTTGAAGCGTCCAAGAGCGCCCAGTCGGAGTATTGCTCGACGCTCTAATAACAGATGCGAAGTGGTTGGCGTAGCACACGACGATCTTGTATGCTGTTCACGTCATGATCGCTTCTGAAAGAAACCACAAGGCTGAACGTTTCGCAACCCCCTTCCACCCTAGTCGTCAGTATCCGTCTCTATCTGAAATTGCAATACCAAGCGGGATCAGCGTGGGTGCATCAAAAGCCCAGGTCATTGCGGTCTCAACACGTGTCTGGGGAAGGTAGCGAGTCAGGCAGGCGATCGCTCTTTTGTTGCTCCCGTCGCATGCCGACTTCTTGAGACTGGCCGATGATTACCAGTGCCGAGTGGCTACGACCATCAATCCGGGCTCCCTCGCCACCTGGCACCTGGAGCGTGGCTGGAACGAGATGGAAGCGGCAAAAGGTTGTGCTCGAGAATCACCACCGCACTTGAGTCGTCAGACATTGCGGTGGAGTCCGTGGCCCGGTTTCGAGGCAGCCTTGTTCTTCGTCTGGCGGCCTGAAGCATGAAATACTGAACAGCCAGCCAGCGGGGGAAAAATTAGCCTGCACTCCTGCATAGTGTTGTTCCTGGGCACAAAATATGCGTGTTCATGGGTTCTACGTCGCAAACTTCACCATGTTGCAGGGTCGGCAAGTTTTCTTTGTTCTGTTCCTTTCATCACCCGGCGCTCTGCCCAAGCCCGGCTGTTGCGATGCTATTCGCGGCCAGGATCGCTCCTGCCCACCAGTGGATGCGACACCAGCGTCGAACGGATCATGGTACCTAGCTCCCATTAAGGGTAGCAGAGTAACTGGCAGTGTGGTGTTTCAAACCTTGAGACGCTAGTGCGTACTTTGTCGCAGGTGCACGGTACACGCGACCTCTTGTTTCCAAGCGCGCCCCTTTTGGTCGGGTCCCTAGTCGCTAAGCCGCTTTGGGCAACACCACTCAATCGGCAGCAAAGGAAGGGCAGGGTCGGCGGCGGGAAAGGAACCTCCAAAACCCACACCCCCTTCGCCTGTTGGTCTTGGGTGAGCGTCACGGTCCAGCGTGCGCCAGCGTCGAAAGAGAGAGAGAACCTTTGCCCGATTTCTTGTGCGCCGCCTCTGGCACCGAAAATTGAGGATGAGACCATGGTCTACGAGACAACGCAACCCCAGAAAAAATGAAAGCGCCTCCGCCCTCCCTCCATCCCCAACTCTCCCCTCTTCATCATCCTTTTTCCATCGCCATCATCACCAGCACCATCATCGCCGCCGCCGCGACTTGAGAAAAGGAACCCACGTGCCTCCTAGCATCACTCCAGTTCAACGCCGCCCGACGAAGGCCCCTGGTCTAACTCAACTAGATCGCACGTTCAAAATTGATGCTGTACGGCATCACAGCCATTATTAAACAAACCTTGACCGTACATTACACTTTGTCATCGACCCGTACCTACAGCACTGTTCACGAACCCTCGTCCATTTTTGGAACCAGGACACTTGTTCGCCTTTGTTCATCATCAATCGGCTGAACAGCAGTCGTTTTGTTCAAGGTTTGTTGCGGACATGTACCTGATAAATCTCTTGACCGTCTACAGCAGAACGAATGCTTATACATCTTATAAAAAATCCAGACCTCGTACGCGACATTCCGACGGTAGAAAAGCGCACATCAGCGGATATGCCTCCAAAGGGTGACGGTCGTCGTAAATCTGGCGGCAAGCCAGCCCTGTTGGTCACACTCAAAATCACTGCGTCTAGATTACGCGAAGTGATGCACGCCGAGTCTCCCGATGCTGAGTCGCCCGTCCGAAAAGAGTCCTCCGAGCCGAAAGACTCTGGCGCCTCGCCCGCTCTGTCTGCCCAATTTGCCGTGTCTGGCGTGTCAAATGGCGACAATGCTTCTGATTCCAACACTGCGACGCCGGCAGCCGAGGGAACTCCTGCCCCTTCGTCAGTGGCACCTCCAACAGATGGCCGAAAGAAAGGTGCAAAGAGGTCTGCAGCTACTATAGATGGGCTGCCAAAGCCACGTGGGAAACCTGGCCCCAAAAAGAAGCCCAGATTGTAAGTCTTGTCTTGCCGCCCACACATCCCCTGGAACCTGCTGGATGTTCGTTACACGGTTCGTAGTCAAATTCTGACATATTCACCTTGCAGAGAGGATGGCACAATCGACCACGCCGCTGTCGCTAGGATGCAAGCAGCCAAACTTGGCCCAAAGGCCAACCAGGGGGCCATCAATGCCGGCCTTCGCGCGCTGGACCGATCTGGAAAGCCTTGTCGCAAGTGGGCTCGAGGTGGCTTCAAGCTGAAAAGTTTTACCGGCGTAGTCTGGGAAATTCCTCGCTGGACTGCTCCAGCGGCAAAGAAGTCTGGCGAAGATGACAACGACGAGTCCGGCGTTGCCTCGGCTTCTGCTGACAATAGCAGCGGCAAGGAGAATAAGGTCAATGGCCAAGAAGAAAACAGTGCCAATAATAGCAACGCTGGAGGAGACGTCGAGATGAACAGCGTTCCCAGCATCAACGCTTCCTCACCGGCTCCCATTGCACTCACTGCTGCATCTTAGTTGGCGACCTTGTTTCCAACTATTCTTTGCCCCTCCTCCTCTGCATTTCCGCATTTCTTTTTTCGCCCTTTCCACTTTCCCATTGCCCGGGGTTGGAGCTGGCCAGGCGTCTACGTCGGGCCATCTGGTTGACTGTTCCCACATGTTTTCGGGTTATCACGGTACTGGACCGTTGGCGTTTCATGGTTTCGGGGGCGAGTCATTGGAATCACAGCCTAAGGATTTAAAGGATATAACACGGTTGGCGTGCTGCATGTACATTACTGTTAGAATCGGGTCCGTGTCAATAGCGAAGTGGCCAATACATTGTGGTATCTCTTGGTACACTGCAGGGAAGTCAGACTGCAAATAGCTGACGGCTGAATGGAAACAGTCTCTCACATATCCATAACTAGAAGCCCTGGGCCCCGAGCATTAAATTAGTGCAGGTGTATCATGGGCCATGGCCGCGGCCAGTAGTACCGATGGACGCTGCTTCAATGCCGGGTATACACATTCACACGAATACATAAAATGCATCAGAAAATCCACAAGCGCAGTGCGTGATACGCAGCAATCTAGCGGTATGATCAACTGCTGTTGACGTCTTGGATGTTCCAGCACACGAGGTCGGCTCACGGATCACTGCGTGCATTTTCCGACTAGTTTGCAGGTGAAACGACAGCCGACTTGTACCTGGTTTGGACGCGACAGTTCAGTGCTTTTACTGGATGGTGCTAGGCAAGAAAACAAGGGGAATTCATCCGTGATTCAGGTTTGAATCGGCCCTTGTCGATGCTCGGGCAGACAGACGGGGGCTTAGTCAGGCGAGCTCGCGGACGCTTTCGGCCAAGGAAGGGCCTGCAGCAGGGGCAGCGGGCTTCTTGGTCGTGGGCCGTGGGCCGTGGGCCGTGGCCGTCCATGCCCATGAATTATTACAATTTACATGCTCCGTACGGGCCTCGTGTTGTCACGGCAAGGGGTCGGGCGGGTTTGTTTATCAGCATCGCAGGTGTAGGGCGAGGAGGGACATTTGCTCGTCGATGGGTGGCGCTGAAAAAGTAAGGGCAGACACACGTCTGCTTGGCGGCCGAGCCCAGACGACTGATACGTTGACCGCAATGCAAGTTGGGAAGCGATGCAGCAGTGATGGAGAGAATCTGATTGACCATGGGGCCAACTGCCGCTACCCAAGGAACGGGCGGATTGCTCAAAAGGTGACGAGGCAAATGCCAGCGTCTGGTTGTTCTCGTGCGTAGGGATGACGAACGTGGCATTCGTATTGAGGGGAGGCGTGAAGGATTACCACCATCCCGATGCAGAGACGAGACGGCATGAGCTGGACGAGGAAGTTGCGACGAGGCGTTTTAGCGGCCAGCGGCAGCAGCCAGCAGCGCAGCAGCAGACTCGACTTTTTACCAGCCTCTCGGTACTTAAGTAGCCGGCCATCATTGGAAAACTGTGGACTGCCACTGGTGAGGGCAAGCAAGGAAAATGTCAAGTGCTGGCTGTGAAAGCTGCACTCGATTTTTTACTCGGCGCCCCGTCGACTGACCAGCGAGCCTGCACCGAGCCTGGCACTGTGTTGTGTCGTCCGCAGCGCCTGCACAGCGCCTGCACAGCGCCTGCACAGCGCCTGCACAGCACTGGAGCAAGGCCGAACCGCCCCTGCGCGCGGCCCACTGGTGATATGCACGCCGCGTGCGCACCAGAACCTGCCCGTGCCCGTGGTGCCAGTGGCAGCTGGTTCCTTGCACGGAGCACCGAGTGCCCAAGAGCTCCGACCCCCCTCCGTTGACGTCCCAGACTCCCCTCCCAGCCAGTCTCCTCCAAGCGCTGGCATCTGCCTGGTGTCAAGTCTGCTCATCCAGCAGCCTTCAATGCCTGCCGACGACACCCTCGTATCCCTCGACAAAGCTCCATTCCAAGCCAGCACGGCGCTTGAACCTCTCATCCGGGCCGTGATAGAATTCCGCTGGGCAAAGAGGCCAACGTGTCGCCTCGTAGCACTTGACCCGACCCGGGCCTCAGCAGCTACATGCTCGTACCTCCGCATCCTGGGATATCGGGTCTGGTGGCACACCGGCGCACTGGTCACGTCGAGCAAGCAATATTTGAACCCTTCAAGCATCACCGGCTCAGGTGACGAACTCTAGTCCAAGAGAGCCTGGCTGCTCAAGCACCCACTTGCCTGCGTGGCTCGCTCGCTCTTGAACCAGCCCTGTTGAACGGCCATCTCGCATCTCGCATCACGGCAACTGCCATCCACCCGCACCACCCGGCCAACCCAACTTTTGAGCCCCCCAGGCACGCACAACACCCCTTCCTGCTCTCTGATCTTACTATCATGGCTAGCCTGGAGCAGCATGGCTCTTCTGGTTTCTCAGACTCAGACTCGTCAGCTGGAAGCCCTGGTCGACCGCAATCCCGCAACGCCGCCACCTACACCCCCGACCCGCCGCGTCGCTCCGGCCTCGGTTCTCATTTCTTCACGCATCCTTCCCGCACGTCCATCCTGAGTCCCAGTGGTGGTCTCCTGCTCGATCCCGTGCCCGGCCTCGTCTCAGCGACGTCGCGTGCCGACAACAATAACCTGCACGACTCTGGCCTCCACGACGTGGCCACCATGTGGAAGACCAGCGGCACCCTGCCTTCGTTTTCTCGCGGATTCGACATGTTCATGGCCCCGATGTATCCAGAAAGCTCAGAGTCTTCTTCCAAAGACCACGATGCCTTCTTCGTCCCGTCGTATCTGTCCGAGTCCACCTATGTCCACAAGTTGGAGGCCGCACACAGGTCCAAGCTTCAGGCTCGGAGAGAGGCTGTCAAGCAACACAACCAGGAGATGGCAACTGGATTGGCCCGCAGTCAGACTGGTCTGAGGATGTACCCGACGTCAGTTGGCACCAGGCCCCACACGGGTCTGGAGAGGCCCGGCTGGCCAAAGTTGGAAGACGATCTGACACCTCTGCCGAGTCGCTGGAATCCCGGGGACTCGTGGGGGTCTATCGAATTTCTAGAAGCTGGCCGATCTTTGAAGTTTATCGGGCCGAGAAGTCATCAAGATAGGGACCACGAGGCAGCTGCCGTGCGAGCTGATTATCCCATGCCTGCAGAATGTGGAATATTTTACTACGAGGTCCAAGTCCTATACGGAAAACGCGACGAGTAAGTCAAATAGGCATGGGAGCCTCGCTCCGACACCCGTCAGCTCACGCAGCGAACTGACAATAGTGCAGTACTACCATTGCCGTCGGCTTTGCCACAAAAGCTGCTACCATGTCGCGGCCAGTAGGTTGGGAAGGCGAGACGTGGGGATATCATGGAGATGATGGCCGTTGCTTTGCCGGCCAGAGCTCAGGGCGGGCATTCGGTCCAACGTTCAGCACAGGAGACGTCGTCGGATGCGGCGTCAACTTCCGCGATCACACTGCATTTTTCACCAAGAACGGCGTCAAGATTGGTAAGCCTTCTCGGCCGTCAAGAAGTTACACATGTGGATGGCTCTTCTGATGTGACATGTCCAGGCGTGGCTTTTCACGACGTCACTCGAACTAAGCTTTTCCCTGCCATTAGCCTTAAGAAACCGGGCGAACATATCATGGTCAATTTCGGGCAGGCCCCTTTTGTTTATGATATTGACGATATGATGAGAGTGAGTATTTTGCACACATAATTTTTGAGACCATGCTCCACGCCATCACATCTACTAAGCCGGAAATAGGAGCAACGGAGCAAAGTCCAAAACGAAATTGAAAAGACTGATATTTCCAGGCTTGAACCGGGAATGAGCGAAACAGATCTCATACAAGCCTTGGTCCTACAGTTCCTGCAGCACGATGGCTATGTGGAAACAGCGCGAGCTTTTGCGGAGGACATAAAGCTGCAAAAGGAGGCTTTGAACTTGGATCCTAATGTTACCGTCGATGGAGTCAATATTGAAGATGACGAAGATGCTAACAACAGGCAAAGTAAGCTGATGCGTGGCCACCTGCTCACCACTGGTGCTGGCTAACACGTCATGCAGAAATTCGAAAAGCAATTCTCGAGGGCGACATTGATCGTGCGCTGAAGTACACGCAGGCCTACTATCCCCCAGTATTCGAAGAAAACGAAGATGTTCATTTCAAGTTGTGTTGCCGGAAATTCATCGAAATGGTGCGTAAAACGGCACAGCTGAGAAGCGCAGTCGACACCAAGATGAGCAACGGACATGGACCCGGCTCGAGCTCTGTTTCGCAGGACATGGATGTTGACTTGAATGGCGGTGACAACATGACTTGGAACGAGAATTCCAACATGGATGCCGATACGCAAGATGTTCAGTTCGAGCTGCTGAAGCTGGAACAAGAAATGCTCAGCTACGGACAGTCCCTAGGAGCCAAATATGCAAGTGACCCGCGAATTTCCGTCACCAAGGCGCTTGGAGAAATATGGGCACTGGTGGCGTATGCCAATCCTCTAATGGAAAAGAATGTCAGCTATCTGCTCGATAAGAAGGGCAGAGGAGCTGTGGCAGAGGAACTCAACTCTGCCATTTTGGGTAAGTGTCGCTATGAGGCACGGCGTTCTGTCTAGGCCAAGTTTTGGTGCTGACCCACGGACAGCGTCGTTGGGCAAATCTTCGCAGGCATCTATTGAGAAGCTCTATGCGCAAACAAGTGTCCTACTGGAGGATCTTGGAGCGGATGGCAGCGCAGGTGCGTTTGTTTCGGTGCAGGATGTTGTGGACAGCATCAAGGCCGGGCCACGACTGTAGAAGGATTGGAACTAAAGATGGTCTGTCACTCATCATGGCAAGTTATCGAAGCTGTCCCTTGTCGCTGTTTTGTATTAGTTGTGCGGCGTTGATGGCGCTTGGTAGCTTTTCCCTTTCGCCTCGGTTTGGCCTCTTTCTCTCTCCTCTTATTTTTTTCCCCAGTTCAGCATGGCAAATTGGGCGTGTAGGTGGGTAATGAATGGTCTTGTGAGCATGTGATATCTGGATTCAGAGGTGGCGTTGCATGCATTTCACCTGCGCTCGTTTGATTTGCGAGATTGGATGCTTAAGAGGGAACAGTGGTATTGTGCATGGTTCCGTTCCGATCAGCACCTAGGGCCGTACGTGGTAGATGGTGACTTTGGGGAGGGCACGTGTAAGTCGAGAGAATGATAACGGATACGGAGCAGCGAATTATAGACGGAGTCCATATCCCGTCGTGGCATGCAGTTGTTCTTGTTGGTCTTTTGTTTTTCCGAATGGAGGCTGGCGGCACATGTGTGCTGTGAGTAGTTTACCTGGCCGCCGTATTCGTGCGGAGTTTCAATAGATGGGATGCCTGCCACACCGGCACTGCGGCCAAGCCATATGTGCCCGAGACTGCTCATCCGTGCTCGCCTCGCTAGGAATTGTGTGAGCAGAAGCCCGAGTCGCACATCAAATCTAGACAAGCACAAGGGGCGGAGAATAGCCGGCGAGTCACGGGTGTTTCCAGACATTGAAGCCGCCTGTATAAATAAAGCCAATGCAAGTAATGCTTGCCATGGCGCCTAGCGTACAGTAATGTACAGCTCCAGTTCCAATTCCACCGCAACTTGCATGTTGCCACGTGCGCGCTTGCGCGGCTAGTGCCAGCACCGCTCGTAGCACCGCTGCCGGTGCTCGGCCAGATTCTCACAGTCGTCGAGGCAGGCCCTCAGCGCATCGTCCTGCCATCCGAACGAGGCATCCAGAATGAGGTGCGTGTACGCAAAGACGTCTGCGTCGAACAAGCCCGGCTCGTGGGCGCCAAAGAACCACTCGTCTGAGGATAGGAGCGTGTCTAGCGCCCGGAAGGCGGTTCGGGCGTCCGCGTACAGCTGCGCGGGGACGAGGAAGGGCCGGCGTGTGGTTTTGAGGATCTCGGCCGTCGCGGCGGAGCGGAGGGTGTGCAGGAGCGGCGTCGACACGAGCCGCGAGGGGGGGAGGTAGAGGCTCGTCAGGAGGGCCGTGTGTCTGGGCGAGATGTAGAGCGCGTGGAGCTGGGAGCGTGAGCAACGAGCATGTCGGGACACGTGTCGGGAGATGTTCTCGAGAGAGAGGGAAAGGGACGTACCCACGCTGGACGGATGGACTGGGCCATGAGCGAGAGGTACGCTTCCGTCCTTGGGGACGTGGACTCCCGGATGGGCGAGTATGTGGAGTGTTTCTGCGCGTAGTGGGCGATCTTGCTGCCCGTGAGGGCAATGTCTGGTCTGGAGTCGGTCGACGGGGGGAGCAGGAAGGGGAGGGCGCCGGACGGGGAGGCGTGGTTCGTGGACGGGACGAGGTCGACTTCGATGTTGGCCATGCGCAGGTATGTCTGGTGGTTTTTGTTTTGTTTCCTGTCAGATGCACGCGGGTCGTGGGGGTCTGGGGTTTGGGGTTTGAGGTTTGAGGGGGGGGGTCGGCGAACCTGCCACTTGAGACAGGTGGGATTGAAGCTTGGCCGTCCTTGGAGCGCATCCTCGTGCGACGAGAAGACGTAGAGTTTTGCGCGGGGACGGGATCGGTCCGGTGCGCGGACGGGGAGAGGCTCCGGCCCGTAGGTGCACAGCGGGAAGAGATTGAACAGGGAGCGGATGGGACGGGGGACGGCAAAGACGCCGGCGTCGGGGGGCGCGCTGGGGGCCGCGGGCGCGGCGGCCATGGCAAAGGGCCTTGTTGGGATGGATGGGATGGTCGTCTGTCTGCGTTGTCACGATGTCGAGGTTTGGAGATTTTTTGGAGTTGCAACCGTCCAGGCGGGGCAGGTGGGGCGGTGGTCGAGCTGGCCCCACACGGCCTTGGCGACGGGGAAACGTGGGGAGCGACTCCAGGCCGAGCCGGCGATGGTTGAAGCACAAGATGCGTCGCACGGCCAGCCGGCAATCGTGCACAGGTCTGGAAGAGACCTGTCCTGCGGACGCCTTGCATCTGCTTGTATGTCACAGATGAGCCATGTGTCTGGCGCGCGCGCAAACAAGCCGTCTTGGGCCGGCCACGACGACGCTTTGTTCCACGACAACCAAGAATTGTTCGCGACTCTCGAGCGGTGCAGTGGCCTTGGGCGCCGCAACATGACTGATTGCCTGGGACTTGGTGGCAGACAGCATCTTTGATCCATGAACTATCAGGCAGGGTGGGCTGTGCAAACGTCCATGTCGGTTGGGATAAAATACACACCACCACCAGTGACCGGCGACCTGACCACAATCTCCCGTCACCACTCGACCCTCAACAGCCAGGAAATATACTGCTCCCATCCGTCCTGCAGGCCCAGCCATCGCCATGCCCACCGTTGTTGGCAAGCAAGTCGGCCCAATCGGCTACGGCCTCATGAGTATCAACCCCCCCCCCGTCATTCCACAACGTCAAACCTTGGGCCTCGAAAACCGCTGATCGGCCCCCAAACCTCCAGGCCTCGGGCTCGGGCTCGGGACAGCCCCCGACTCCAACTCGGACGAGTCCAGCCTGGCCGCCATCAAGACCGCCGTAGAGTGCGGCTGCACGTTCCTCAACGGCGCCGAGTTCTACGGCCGCGGCCCGGACGACAACTCGCTCGCCCTCCTCCGCCGCTACTTCGCCAGGTACCCCCAGGACGCGGACCGGGTCGTCGTCAACATCAAGGGCGGCCGACACTCCAACATGGTCCGCTTCGACGGAAGCAAAGCCGCCGTCACAGCCAGCATCGAGCACTCGCTCCAGCAACTCGGGCCCGCGGGGAGGATCGCCCAATGGGCCCTGGCAAGAAAGGACCCGAGCCACGACTACCAAGACGAGACGCTGGCCGCCATAGACGCCTTCGTCAGGAGCGGCCGCATAGACGGCATCTCCACGAGCGAGATCAACCGCGAGACCCTGCGCAGCCCGCAGGTTCCGCATCACGGCCCTCGAGACCGAGCTCTCGCTCTTCCACACGGACCCCCTGACCAACGGCTTGCTCGCGGCCTGCGCGGAACTCGACATCCCCGTCGTTGCGTACTGTGAGTTCCTTGTCCTCCCATCTCGCGCCGCTTGGCCTCGTCCACTGTGCTCGACTCCTGCAGCGTCTGCTGATCGACCCCGACCCCAGCGCCCCTCGCACGCGGCCTGCTCGGCGGCCGCATCAAGTCCATCGACGACCTCGCCCCGGACGACCCGAAGCGCCGCCTGCCGCAGTTCCAGGACGGGAACCTCCAGGCCAATCTCAAGCTCGTGGAAAAGGTGGCCGCCCTCGCCCGGGAGAAGGGCTGCACCCCGGCCCAGGTCTCGCTCAACTGGCTCCTGTCGCTTTCCAAGCGGCCCGGGATGCCCGTCATCATCCCCATCCCCGGGTCTTCCGACCCCGAGAGGATCAAGGAGAACGCCACGATTACGCACCTCACAGACGACGACCTGGCAGAGATCGATGCCATGCTTCGGGGCTTCGTCGTCGCCGGAGAGAGGTATCCGGCCGCGTACATGGGGCAATTGCAGCTGTGAGCGGCAAGCTGATGCCGCTGCGTGTATGGAACGAGTGTCCCAAGGTGTTTTCCTTTTCTCTTTGACTTTGACTACAACACTACATTGATGTCGAACCCGCTTGCGGCTACGTCCGGCCCCAACATGACCCGGGGGGTTCTTTGTTCTTGTGTACGTTTCAACGGTGAAAGCCGCCGGTCAGCCCATGGTTTGATTCGATGCGCCTTTATTATCCTTTTCTTCATCCTGCGTTGCCCGCTATTAGCTATTAGCTATTATTATTAAGAATGCAGCATGCGCGCGTCGTTGAAATGACTACCAAAAAAAAAAAAAAAAAAAAGATCTGATATGACGTTTACAGCACATGTCATGTCACCCACGCCAGTGACCCCAGTGATCCGTCCACGGCCAACCCCAGCTCTCGCACGGTGTCAAGGTGACGAAATACATCTCTCAGGGCCATGTCAGAACGAAGTCCTGACGGATACTTTGCGCGTGGAATAATTGTAGAACCGGATACAATGCCCCGAAGTGGGCGAGTTCACCGACTTCTGCAGGTTGTACAACTCCTCCTCGACCTTGATCCACACCTCGGGCTCCAGCTGGCACGTCATCCAAAAGTTGCCGCCGAGATCCTTGCCCAGCACGGCGCAAACGCTTTCGTCCAGATTCGTGCTCTCCATGAGATAGTACGCCGTGGTCACGCGTCCGGGGGGGTTCCACCGAGGATTGTCGAACTCGCCGGCGCACACAACCGCTGGCGAGAAGTCGGCGGCCGAGAAGAGTTGCAGCGGGGAAAAGTTTTGGAACTCGAGACACGGCATGTTTGACACGTCGCACATGGGGAGCGGGTTCTTGCCGCGCCTCTTCTTGTCGATAATGTGCCTCGCTAGGGCGAGCAGTTGGTGTTCCGACATCTGGTCCTGCATGTTGTGCTTGTGGTGGAGGGCGATGGCGCCGATTGTATCCGTGGCTTCTTCGGGAGACATGTACGAGTAGGCCGGCAGTGTCAGATTTTGGAGATACTCTCCTGACGGGTCGCGAAGCGTGGAAATGCGGCACCGTAGGTTGACCATGGACGTGGACAAGACACCCTTAGGTTTGGGGTCAGCTGCGGCCTGTAGTTTGCTCATCCAGGCCAAGATGATGTCCGCGGCGCTTGTCATTGATCGCTGGACGTCGTCTTCCAGTATGCTGGCGATGTCTTTGCGAATCTCCTTCATGAAGCTGTCGTAGATAGCCTGGGGGATGAACACCATCCTACTCTGCAGTGGTTTGTGGCTCCGTCGTGTCCACCATTTCGAAATCGGGTTCTGCGACAAGGCCTTGAGTTTTCTGTCCCTTCTGAGCTCGTCGAGGTTTCTCTCTCGTTCGGCAATTATAACCAGCTTTACGAGCGCATCCTCGCGCGCCCCAAAAACAGTGGCAACCTCGTCTGTGCGTCCTGCCATGCATAGCGACCAGTTTTGAAGGAGTGCTCTGAAGCTTGCCGTGTCCATGGAGTTGGGCGGCCACGAGAGGGTTACGATGGTTGCGTCTCGGAACGAAAGAACACGAAGGACTAATTGGGACAATCCCCCGTCCACAATGTCCTGCACGGTTGAGGGGACTCCTGGCGGAAGGAAGTGAAGGCGGTAGTCCGAAGGATACCTCTGAGTGAAGGCCCTTTTGTTCGGCAACACGAAGTGCTTTCCAACAGGGTCGCTTTCAATAGGCGTATCGAAAAACTTCTCGTGGAAGAATGTGCAACAAGGGGTCTGCGCGGAGAATTCTTTTGGGGCATATGCCTCCATGAAGCCATCACCCTACGACATGAAATCATCAGTGTCGTCACGCCAAAAGGACAGCATGTCGTTTCCACCATTCTTCATGTCAACCAAGGAAACCAAGGACTATGAACTTACCCGGACCCGTAGTCGAGTCCCGAGCTTCTTCCAGTCCCCAATCTCCAGCAGTTTGCAGAGAGATTGGTGCAAGAGAGCTGCAGAGAGCACGTCATTGAAGCTCAGGACCCAGGTGACCAGTTCCTGCTTCAGTGTGGACTGATCCAACAAATGTACCGGATATACCACCGCGTCATACACCGGAGTCGACTTCTCTATCGGGGCCTCTTCAGGCCGTGAACCACAGCACAACAAGACCATCTCGACGAAATCTCGGTACTGCTCACCTTGAGCTAAAGCTCGGGGACCATGGGGAGACAGTGCCGAGAAGCAATTCACAATTGCCCTCGCGAGGGGCCGGCCGGGGGGGATGGGAAGACACGCGCTTTTGTAAAGAAGGTTGACGCTGTTCAAACCAAAATGGGCCTTTTACTCAACTAAGGGTCTAAATCAAACGCACCCGCGTCGAGACATCTCTGTGTGCCGCATTTCCAACAGGACCGCAACAGGAGATGGCTCAGTAGAAAAAAAACCCCAAGTTGAGACGTTCTCAGGAGATCCTCCAATGACAATGGCTATCGTGAGAGCCTGAGTCGGCACTGGCAAGGCGAAGATGGGCATGCTAAAGGTGAGACATTCTGTTAGCGGAAAAGTTTTGAATACTAGATGTGTTGTTGCTTCTTCTCTAGCCCCGAGTCCTGCTTCCGCCTTGGAGCTAGGCCCGATAGAAAGTAAATCTCCCTACATGCGTACACAATGAACAGGCCAAGCAATCACAACATCATTTACTGGGTTGGACCTGGGTCCTTTATACAATAGCGGTAATGTTCTCTGTACCTTTTTTTTCCTTCCCTCTCCATGGACTTGGATGGCCGGTTGATGCATCACTCGTTGAGAAACTTGTCAAGTCAGCGACACGTTGTCTCACTGTTTGCGGTAGTCACAGCAACATGCGAGTCTTTGATGATGAGGGCGACTATTTGATACCAGATGCGCATATCTACGTAGTCTGGATCAGCATATTTTGTGGCTTGTCTATTCCGACAGAAACGCTGCGAACAGTAGCGTCGGATTCGTGTGTTGAGCACTTGAGATCTGATGTCGACTCCTGCGATTAATTCCACATTGCCGTGGTCGGCCGTCCCAAAGCCAGTTATGTTTCGACATGACGTCTGTGTCTTGCGGATCAGAAAATCCTGGACTTTTTGCTTCTTGCTAGCCTGCAGCGGGGAGTTGGGCACCTAGAATGAATTGACAAGTTGCTACCAGTATTCCCAAGGTTTCGGAAAGCCATCATGACTTGACGATGACGGGAAAGGGAGACATGTAGGATGCGATTTGCAGGTCAGAAGAAAGATTCGTGGCGGAATCGCTCCACTGATAATGGCCTTGTGGATGCAGCTGTCGTAGAAGAAGACGACGTTGGACGTTTGTCTTGAAGCAGCTATTGTGGCTGGATCGAGGTGAGGATGCAGCGTGATGGGTGATGGGTGATGGGTGATGGGTGATGGGATGAGAGTCCCGTCGACGTGCCGAGTGCCGCAGGTGTGGATTCGTCAAGCCACTCTTGGCAAAAGACAGAAAGGGAAAAGGCCTGACCGTGCCTGGCATGAAGAGTTGTGCTATTCGCGCGCCACTAAGCTGCATTTAGCTTAGTGGCCCGCTTGCAGCGCCTCCCCCACCCCCCCCTAAAATCCTCACACACACCCACATGGTCAAGGCTTCATTCATGTCACGAAAACCAATTTGTGGTTGATTAGAATCGATTGTTTTTTTCCCCGCCAATTCTCAACAATACAAGCAAGAACTAACGCCAATTCAAAGTGTCTTAATCAATGCGTGCGCGCTCACAGACCGTCAGCTGCTCGGCTGCCGCCGCCGCAGCGCTGCCTAGGCTCCGAATGGGTCATTGTAGTTGACAATTTAGCGGTATTGTTAGTGTTAAAAAGTGAGCTGCCAGGGCGGGCAGGCCCCTGTTGCCCAATTTCACTGGTGTTAGGTGCTAGCTTTAGCGAGGCTGCTGCGTTGACCTGCCAGTCACGGGGGCGTGGAGCAGGAACCCTTCTTTTGCACGGACTTGCCAGCCATCAATGTGTCCCCAGCAGACCAATGTGCGAAGAGTCGAGGACCTGACTGCGTGCCAGATGTACGGGCCACGATTCCAAACGCTCCGCAATTGTCACTGCAGCTGCGACCTACGAGTCATAACTGCACACGCAGCCAAACGTGCCGCATGTTCTGTTGACAAGAAATTTATAACCACAGGGTTATATAATTGCGTTGTAGTAAGTCAAGCGGGGCGAAAAGAAACTTGGCCAAGAGCCGCTCCACTGAAGCACCTTGAGCTCGGGCTGGCGTGGAAAGGTGGGACTGCCCTCCGGTCAGCACCCCTCAGTCCATACACCCAAGTCAGCAAACGACGCCCCGGCCCCTGTCAAGGGCAATTTCTGCCGGCCAAGCAAGCCCCTTGAATGTTCACTAATGAGTTAACTCTTCAGTCTTCACCCCGTCCCAGGGGAACGGCTCACGTTTGGCGTTTGGCCGTTGAAGGGGTCGACGACGGCTGCTGCTGCCGTGCCGCGCAATCCGGCATCCCGACTGTCGCCCGCACTGGCCCACGTGTGCGTACTCCGTATACTCCGTACCCGGGTATTTATGCGTCGAGGCTGTGCACCGCGAGGGTTGCTCCTGCCTTCCCCTTTTCTCCTTGAAATCTCGTGACTTCCGGGCGCCTGTCCTCTGAGCCTCTCTCTCTCTTCGACGTTCGTCATCACTCTGCCGTCGTCGCCCTCGTCGTCTTCTGACACCCTTTGTTTCGCCTGATCTGTGAGAGTTTTTCTCTCAGTTCGCTCGCTTTTTTCGGGAGACGATTTTTTTTTTTTTTGGTGGTGCAACAAGGAGTCGAGTCGTCGCAATCGTTCCCGTCTCACGTCACGTCCCGTCGGCTACGCATACACAGATTCTTTTCAGCCTTGATCTCACTTCCATCCCAACTTTGCTTCGTCCTCATCGACTTTCGCCCCAGCTTCAGCATGATCACCTCACGTCTCTCATTATCGTTTTTGGCTCTGGCGGGCGGTGCGCTCGGCGCCGACCTGCCATCCATCCTGATGAAGGTACGACGCAGAGCAAGTCCCAAACACGGCACCATGTAGCACAAGACAACTCAAGTAGACATGATTGACTGACGTGGCACCCCTCCCTTCCGGTGATGCAGGGCTCCAAACTTTTCTATCCCAATGGAACTCAATTCTTCTTCCAGGGTGTTGCGTACCAGCAGCAGACTGGCGCTGCCGGGTCGACACCGACTAATTCGAGCTACCTTGATCCTTTGGCTGACACCAAGCGCTGCGAAGCCGATGTCCGCAATCTGGTTCAGCTCAGGACCAACGTGATCCGAGTGTACGCAATTGACCCTACCAAGGACCATTCAAGCTGCATGAAGACCTTGAATGACAACGGCATCTATGTCATCGCAGACTTGGGCGAGCCCAGTCTTTCCATCAACCGCGATGATCCCGCCTGGGACACCGCGCTCTTTACTCGCTATAAGCAAGTCGTTGACGAGTTGGCCAAGTACTCCAATACGATTGGCTTCCTGGCTGGCAACGAGGTCAGCAATCAGAACAACAACACTGGCGCATCTGCATACGTCAAGGCGGCCGTCCGTGATACCAAGGCGTACATCAAGTCGAAGAAGTACCGCTGGATGGGTGTAGGCTACGCTGCCAACGACGATAAGCCTATCCGTGACCAGATTGCCAGCTTTTTCAACTGCGGTCCCCGGGAAGATTCGATTGACTTCTTTGGATACAATATTTACTCGTGGTGTGGCAACAGCAACTTTGAGGCGTCCGGATACAACCGTCTCATTGAGTTTTTCAACGGTTACTCGGTCCCTACGTTCTTTGCCGAATATGGCTGTAACTTGCCGAATGGCGGCGCGGACCGCACATTTGAAGAAACGCCCGCTTTGTATGAGAAGAACATGACTGAAGTCATTAGCGGGGGTATTGTCTATGAGTACTTCCAGGAGACCAACGACTATGGTACGTTCTTTTCCTTTTCCTTTTTGCTTTTTTTTTCCTTTGCTTCAGCCGGACTAGAGCTTCAACGCAACTAACTTGGAGCTGTCTAGGTCTGGTCGAACTCGGCAGTGGCGGCTCCGTATCCAAGATGAAGGACTTTGCCGCTCTCCAGAACAAAATGAGCAAAGTCAACCCCCAGGGCGTCAAGATGGACTCGTACAACCCGACAGCCACGGCCAAGGCTTGTCCTGCCGTCGACTCAACCTGGCGAGCCAGCTCGACGCTTCCCCCCACCCCCAACGACGAGGCCTGTGAATGCATGTTCAAAGCGTCTTCTTGTGTTCCTGCAAGCAGCCTCAAGCCTGACGACTTCGGTGACATCTTTGGTTTCGTCTGCGGCACGGACACGTCAATCTGTGCTGGCATTGACGGAAACACCACGACCGGAAAGTATGGCCCGTACAGCATGTGCTCCAGCCGCCAGAAACTTGCCTACGTGCTGGATGCGTACTACAAGAAGAACAAGAATGCTGCCGGGTCGTGCGACTTCAAGGGCCAGGCTACGACTCAGAGCGCGCGTGGTTCTCAGTCCGACTGTGCCAAGCTGGCTCCCTCAAACGGCGCGAACCCTACCTCGAGCGGAAACAGCAGTGACAGCTTTGCCGTGATGACAGCGTCGCCGACCCGAGTGGGAAATTCTGCCGTCGGGCTCTACTTGGTTGTGGCTTTGTTTGGAGTGGGCATGGTGGCCTGGTAGGAAACTGTTTGGCATGCGCAGTGTAGTATAATATTCGTGTTGCGGAGTTGCAGAAACCTGCAGGGTGGGCGTCGTTGCCAATTTTGGCGGATGTCCTTGTCCTTGAGCTTGTATAAGTGAATATAGAGTGAGACATTGTAACATTGTCCCTGTTTCGCCGACCGTCTGTGCAGGACTGAACCACGTCGGTCAGCCATGGAACAGTGTGGTGTTTCAATCAGTCGCTCAAGCCTGGGAACGTAAAGTTGGTGGCATTTGGCAAGGCGCATCACATACGGAGTATCGGCGTCGAATGAATTGTTTTTTTCTTGTTTCCTCTTGTAGCCCGACGGCCTCGCCGCCAGTCCAGCGAGACTTTTCCGCCAGTGAGTTGGTGATCCTACCAAGGGGTCCCGGTGACGGGGGCCACGATCAGGCCAACATGACACGTTGTGGGGACCGAGTGTGACGGTGACACCGATCAAGGGGGCGGATGGTGGCACGTTTGTTGATAATAACATGCTCCATCTGCTAACGTTATTACTTGGCGTGTACTCTGTATGTAGGCTGGGGCATGACATGCTAGTATACGATAATTCGACAGGATCACGGAGTATACTCCGTAGGGCGCGTCACGAACAATGCCGACCGGGATGGCAGAAATGCGCAATGTCGACAGCCTGGGCGTTGCTACTGCTGATAGACCGCCGTTCCATCGTCATGTCATGAATGGTCACGGTCATGGTCATGGTCCGTGGATCAAACCCTAGAGGACATGGCTAGTGATAGCGGCCGAGTCGCAGCATGCATGTCCATGTCCATCCATTTCCATGCTTGCCGTGGTTGTGCGTGCAGGGGAGGCAGTTATGAATAGAACCGAACGAAAAAGGAGCCCCTGACATGGCGGATGCACAAGATGCCCGTGGTGAAACCGCGCTGCGCTGCGCGGTGACGGACGTGGCTGCGTTGTCGCGGGCGGTTCGACTCGACGGCACGCAGCTGCACTTCTCGCACTTGGCACTTTGTCGGCGGGCGAGAGATGGATGATGGATGGACTGGTTGGCGCCGGCTAGCTTTGGTTGTTGCTGGCGGCGCCTTTTTTTTTTTTTTTTTTTCAACGTTGCGCGGATGGTGGTGCATGTGCCTGGCTGGGTACGGAGCCGAGTACATGTACGGAGCGCACGCAAGAGAGAGAGAGCATCGCATCAACGATTCATTCACCAGCTCGGCCCCGCATGTGCACACCGTCGCCGCTTGCCAGTCAATGGTCATTGGCTGCAGACGTCCCTGTCTGGTTCGTCAATGTGCCCACCCTTCTGTCGGTCATTGACTCGCGGCCGGCGGGGGAGCCAAATTCAAAAATGCGTAGGGAGTACGGAGTACCAGCTTCCTGTACGGAGCAAGTACTGCCTAGGCAGGTACCTAGCTAGGTACTTAAGTAGGTGCTACTTCGGGCAAGGAACTTGGTCCGTAGCGGCTCGTTCCCTCTCTCCTCCGACCGAGAAGCCTTCCACCTCCCCAGGCCGAGGTTCTTCCCAAATCCGACCTCGACAGCTTCGTATCGCAGATACCGCCAGACGGCCGCACAGGTCGACGCTCACTTTGTTTCGCCTTTCCGCCTCCTCTCCTGCTCTGCTCTGCTCTGCTCTGCTCTGCCCTGCTCCTGCTCCTCCTCTGATTTCTGAGCTGTTCCTGAACCCGTCAGCCGTTGATGATTTGTTCCCCCGCAAACGTCTGCCATCTGAGACCCCTCTGCGACAACCGCAACCCCGATTTGTCGGGGTTTCCCCGACTCGACACCATTTCGGTTACTAAACCTCGGCCATCGTTCCTTCCGCATCTGGCGTCCCATCTCCATCTCCATCCGAGACTGCATGCACTACGACCGCATCTTGCATCTCATCTCTCCCCGTACTCTTTGGGGGCCTCGCTCGATACAGAGACCAAAAAAAAAAAGAACCAACCCCGTGCAAAACCCGACTCGGCGAAAAGTCGCATCGCCTTTGGCTTCATATCCCCACGCTGCCCACTCCGTACGAGCCCCTCTATTCAATCTCGCAAGGGAACAACGACGACAACTATCTTTCCTTTTCTTTTCTTTTCCCTCCCTTTCCTTCTTCCTTTCTTCTTCTTCTTTTGCGGCGCAAAACAACAAAAGCCACATGCTCTTTTTGCCGAGCCGAGAATGAACGCCCCGATTTCGTCTCCCAGCGCCGCTGGCTGCTCGGCCCCCTCGTCGACGCAGCAGTCCCCGACCAGCACCCAGCCCTCGCAGTCTGTTCCCAGAATCCCCCCCGTCGAAATAAAAGCGCCTTCCACCGAGGCCTTTCTCAAGGATGTCAACCTTGTTGCTGAGGCTGCCAAGCGAGCCCAACTGGCCTGCCTGGCGCGCGATTTCGAAGACTGCGGTCTCTGAGCGCTCACACGCCCTGCGGTCCAATGTGTCTCTCTCTCTTCTCTCACTTATATAGTTATTCCATCTACACACAGCCGGCGGCAAGCAGGGGACCTTGCCGTGACGGGGCCTTGTTCGCCACGACTCCACGCTGTGCCCGTACCGTTCTCATCACTCTGCATTTAGTTTTTTTTTTCTTTTTCTCGGTCCTCATCACGTCAGCGGTTTCATCCGGTAGACTTGATGCATCAGCGGGGGAGTCTATCGTCTTTTGGTTTCTTTGACGGCGCGTGATATGCCTGTGCGACAATTCGTCGTCGTTCTGTTTTGCTTCTTGTCTCGGTGGCGCAACAGGGGGGAGGAGGCGCGGGGGAGCATCATCACTACACGCTACACGGGGAACAAGGTCGGGCTTCGGCCTTTTCCGTTTGCTACTTTGGAGGAAATGTTTTCTGCGGCCACTGCTTTTCTTTGGTGGAGGGAGCCGCCTTTGCGGATATGCAGCCTCGTCTTGTCCGTCTTCAAGCAGGAATGATAGATACCCCTTGGAGGAGAGAGCTAGTACGATGTGTAATAAGACAAGGCGAGGTTGACACATGGCTATACCACCTCGTTTCCGTGTTTTCCGTCCCTCGATGCTCGGCAGTAACGTTTGATACAAGTCTCTCCGGGCACAAGCCTTGGAGAAGACACACTCTGGTTGGTAATGCCAGTTTCTAGATCTTGGCCATCAACGATGCGCCCCCGTCTACTCTAATCAAGGCGCCGTTCAGATATGACCTACGCGCGACTTGTTTTAGTCTCCACAAGACAGCAAACTCGATCCATGGACAGGGTGCTGAAACCCACGAAAACCACCGACGACGGGGGGCAGAAGAGCAAAAAGGCGTCCCAACTCACCCGGCTTTGCTGGCCAAAAAGACAGCGGAGCCAGCGACGTCCTCGTCGCGGCCGATCCTCCCGAGGGGGATGTTCTCCGTGAGCACGCCCTCGGCCGCATCCAGCGTCGCCTTCATCATCTTGGTCCTGAAGGGACCGCAGGCCAGCACGTTGCTCGTGACGTTGCGGAAGCCCAAGTCCCGGGCAATGTGCCTCGACAGGTGGTGCAGGCCGGCCTTGCTGGCCGCGTAGGCAAAGTTGGCGAGGGTGGGCACGCGCAGGCCGTCGATGCTGCCGATGTGGATGACGCGGGCGGGATCGTCGGCGGTGCCGGCCCTCTCGAGCAGCGGGAGGCACAGCTGCGTCAGGGTGAAGGCGCGCTGGAGGTTGAGCGTCAGGAGCTTGGTCCACGCCGCGTCGGGGTGCGTGTCCAGCTCGGCGCCCCAGGTGGCCCCGGCGTTGTTGACGAGGACGTGCAGCCCGGCGGGCTCGAGGCCGGCGAGCGACGCCGCGAGGGACTCGCACTCGTCGAGGTGCTGGAGGTTGGCGGGCAGCGCGTGGATCGAGCCCGAGAGGCGGGCGAGCGGCTGGAGGGACGTGACGGCCGCGTGGCAGGCGGCTGCGTCGCGGCCGGTGATGTAGACTTTTGCGCCGTTGGTGATGAAGCCTGTCGCTATCATGCGGCCGATGCCTTTGGCGCCTTTTGGGGGGGGAGGAGACGTGGTGTTAGCGGGGGGGGTTTTGGATCGAGGTGGAGGGACGGACCGCCGGTGACGAGGACGACTTTGCCCTGGGTGGTGGTGATGGGTCAGCGGGTGGTTTTCTTTGGTGTCTTTTCTTTCTGCCTGTTCCATTTTGGGGGCGGAGGGGTTACCTGGACTCCAAAGAGAGTGCTGACATCCATGGTGCTGGTTGGGCGGCCCTGTGGGTGTCACGATGGAGGATGGATCAGTGTGGTGTTGGAGGCAGGTGGTTAGCCATTGTTGGATGGATGCTCGGCGCCGAGTTCGACTGAAGCTTGGGCATGAGGTCGAGATGCCGAGGCACAGCGTTGCGATGTGGAAGCGGGGCCGGCGAGGGCTGGCGTAGGGTTAGGGTTGGGCACTCCACGCAGGCCAGCCCGCACAGTGCAGGCTGCATGAACCGCTCCTCGACACGGCGGCGATGATTCCGCGGTGCGGCAGCAAAGCCTCGCGCGCAGGCTTCTCGCATCGACGCCTCGTCGCTCCCGCCGCAAACGGCATCCCTGCCAACCAACGTCGACCGCCGACAATCGCCTCACCTCGACGCCCGTTCCCAGACCGAAACCAAAACCTTCACTTGCGCCTGGCGTCTCTGCACCGCAACAAGGTTCATTCATTGCCCGACGTCGTCCCAGATCCGCTGCCCGCCCCTCCCTCGGCCCGGCCTGCACCATCCCGCCCAATGAAATGCCCCTCCGTTCGTCGGCCACCCGAACCATCGCGAGCCTGCAGTCTCCCTCTTCACTCTACCCTCTTCCCCGTTTCCTTGTCTTCTTCTCTCCCCAGCTTCGCTTCTCCCTCTTGTCTCGCCATTCCTCTTTCGCGTTCTTCTCTGCGGCCGCTCGGCCCCGCCCCGTCAGTCAATCCACTCCCACCCATCGATAACTCCTCCGCCAACCCATCGCAACCATGGCCACCGCCGCCGAGCCCCCCGGCAGCCTGAGCCAAAGCTTGGAGAACCTCGCCTTCGCCGCCCGTTCATACAAGCAAGGCATCCGGCCCTGGGACCAGGACGGCCCCTCCGACGCCCTGGAGGAGCTCCTCCTCACACGACACGATCTCGTGCCCCCAGCCCAGACCCGAGACCTGCAGGGAAATCCGATCCGTCCAACGGCCCTCGTGCCGGGCTGCGGACGCGGCCACGACGTCCTCCTGCTCAGCAAGTTCTGGTACGACGTCGTGGGGCTAGACGTCAGCCCGGACGCTCTGCGCATGGCCGAGGAGAACAGCCGCGAGGCGGAGCGGACCGCACGGCTTCAGCCCGGGCGAGGCTCGGAAACGGGCACCATCAAGTGGCTCCAAGGCGACTTCTTCTCCCCAGACGTGCTGGGCGGCCTGGGAGCCGGCGGCTCGGGCAAGTTCGACCTGATATACGACTACATGGTGAGCACTTGTCGCGCGGCCTCGGCGGCGAACCAACGCCCGAGCGGCGCCCTTCAGCGCGCGCGCCTGCAACGAACGAGTCCGCGGCTGACGGCGAGTGCGACGCGTAGTTCCTGTGCATCCTGCCCCCCGAAGCGCGCCCCAAATGGGCCAGACGCATGTCCCAACTCCTCCAGCCCGCAGGCCACCTCGTGTGTCTCGAGTGCCCGTCTGGAAAGGCGCTCTCCGAGGGCGGCCCCCCCTGGGGCGTGCGGCCCGAGACGTACGAGGCGCTGCTGGGCGCCCCCGGCAAGGACATCTCGTACGACGCCGACGGGAGCCCCGTGGTCGCGACGGCCGCCAAGCCGGACGCCAACGCCCTGCACCGATCGGGCCTCATCAGGCCGGCCAAGACGCATCCCGCGGGCACCAACGCGGACGGCACCGTGTCGGACTTTATATCGGTCTGGAGCCGCTGACGTGGCGGGCACGGCATGGCACGGAGACGGTGGGAGGACGGTGGGTGGAAAAGAGCATGACGCACGCACGGGTTCGCGCACACCATAGAATTCTACATCAGAGAGCCGCTTTCGACCGGAAGATGCCACCACGTCCCTGCGCCCCCAGACGAGAGTGACCAGCCCAGGAGACGGCCTCACCCCCGCCTCAGGGAGTTGTAATGCTCGCCCAGCCCGTAGCCGTGGCGGTAGTACGCCAGCCACAAGACCTTGCCCGTCTGCGCGCCCTCCTCCTCGCCGATCCTCTCCGTCCTCCCGTGCTGCACCACCCGTATCTCGGCGCCGTACCGCCTCGCCAACGCCGTGAGCTCCAGCTGCCCCCCCCACTCGGCCGTGTCGCGCATCCTCGCCACGTAGCTCCCCAGGTCGCCCTCGACAAAGGGCGCAAAGTCGTCGGCGTGGGCGCCCATGAAGGCCGCCGCCGCCCGCCGCACCGTCCTGTGCTCGGGCTCGGCCGCGTCCGTACGGCCCGTCGGGATCCCATTCTGCGCCAGCTGGTCCGCCACCGCCGAGAACAGGCAGTGCCCGTCGGGCTCAATGTCCTTCTCCACGAGGCCCAGCGCCGCAAACTCCTCCTTCATGGACGCGCTCTCCATGGTCCGGTGGTCCGTCATGCCCGCCGCCTCCGACTCCGCCCGCCGAGCCGCCGTCTCCTGCTCTGCTGCTCGCCGCGCCAGCCGCTCCTTCTGCCGGCTCCGCTTCTTGCCCGGCTGCGGGAGAGCCTTGCCGATGCTCGGTTTCAGCTCGTCTGCCGCCGTGTCTGGGGCTTCGTCTTGTTCCGGTGCCGCCCGCTTTGCCCGCTCTGCCCGCCCCGGGCCGTAGAGGTGGGCGCGGTCGTCGTCGTCGTCGCCGTCGTCGTCGTGCTGCTTGGGCGTCACGTCCCGTGGCGTGTTGCTGCCCTCGAGGGTGGCAATTTCGCCCGCTTGCTTTTCCCGCAACTGCCGCTCCATGGCGGCGCACTCGTCGTTGACGCCCTTGCGCGTCTTCTTGGTCGCATTCTTCTTCTTGCTCGTGGTTCGGCCTTGGAGCTCCTTGACCTCACGCCGGTGGCGGGCCGTCATTTGGTCGAGAGACTCGCCTTCCATCTCGCGCGTCCCTCCCTATGTGGTCCGGCCGACAGTCATGACAAGCGGCGTATGTCCGCGCCTGTGTGTGACGTGCTTGGGGATGTCTAGGCAAGCGGCGGATGCTTGGCCAAGTCGAGGTTGACCGTCGAATCTGAGGTGGTAGGTCGCAACCTTTCGTGGCGGCGGGGAGGCAGCCGGCCATGTGGGGAACACGGGAACACATCTGACGCGTGACAACGCCAACTTGTGCTCCTCTTCTTGAGCGGCATTCGCTTCGTGCGCCGCTCTTCGCAGTGCCACCGGCATTTCCGGCTTCAACAGTCTCTTTTCACTTTATTGCGAATACACATCTGAAAATTATACTAGACTAAACGCCATGCATCATACAGGAACCTGCCAACGGGATCGATGCTGCTATGTGGAAGTGGCCACCGCATTCGTCTAAATACACTCACATACGCATACACACAAAAAAAAGGTGAGGCTCAAGGGTATCCCGTCATGGTGTAAAATTTGGGGCGTCTTGCGGCAAGCCTTGGATGCCGTTGACTGCAAAGTGGCATCGAGTTGGTCTTCCACGTGACTCTAAAATCCCTTGAAAGGGTCGTCACGAAGAAAGTAATCTTCCTCCTCAGAGCATCTTCCTCTGCTGTAGGCTTCCTCGTCTCTTCCTCTTCTGCACGGTTTGCTGCTGTCCCGCTGTCGGTTGCGGCTGTTCCTCCTCCGAATCTCCTTGCTTCGTCGTCTGGAGCTTTTACGATAATATTCACTCTGTTCATCGGGGTACTCGTTGTACTGAGAGTAGGCCAGTGGACTTATGAATGCTTCCATTCTAACAGTTCCAATGGCATCGAAAAAGTTACTAGGCCTAGATGATGCCTCGGATGTGCGCTGCGATGATGCTGTTTGACTCATGTTCCAAGTCGTGTTGGTAGACGCTTGGCTCGGATGCGCTTCAGATGACATCGTCGTATCAAGACTTTCATTTGCTGTACTCTGGCCAGAGTGCTGAGGTCCGCTACCGGCTCCTGCCGGTCCAGAAAACCCTCTAAATGATAACGGAGGCGCCACATGCCCTCCTGTGTTGCTTCGTTTTCGACCGTGAGTCCCGCTGGGGTGAACGCTTCGCTCTGAGAATCGAGGGATGAACGGCGGCTCTGCCGCTTCTCCAGACTGCTCTCGGCTGTGTCCCCCAAAGCCCGCTGATGAAGATCCATGGCCACAAAGTCCGGTAGCCTCGCTCATTCGAGACGATGGAGCACTCGGAATACTAGGTACAATGGGAACGCCAATCTTGGCGGCCGTTCTACCTTTGGCGAGCCTAATAGAGTCTCGTATGCCGCCTCGTTTATGTTTTGGCTGTGGTGCTTCAAAATCGGGCGGCGGCTGGTGCTGATGCTGCCGGTGCTCCTTCGTATTCAAATGAGGAGCCGAGATGATCTCGGGCACCGCTTGGGACGAATGAGCCAGGAATGACAGCGCCGTGAGCCAAAGATAATGCCTCTCGACTGATGACGCCGTAAATTTCAAGGCTCTTTGAGGTGTCAAAATCAAAATCGAGCGGTTGAAAACTGTGGGCATGACCTTGGGGGCTGGATTATCATCCTTGACATCCAGGACTGACTGGATTGTGACTGGTACTTTACTCTCAGCAACGCGTTGCTAGCTCCACAACACACGAGACTGTCAACTTACGTTTGCGGCCAGTCTTGCCTAACAAGGCGTTGCCTGACGAGGGTTGTTTGCTACTCCAGAGTATGGACCTTTCATAGGGTGCGAGCCAAACCCATCTCCTGTGCCGGTCGTTGCTGCTGTCGTCCTTGCCCGTGTTTTCAGGAACACTAAAGGACTTGCGTCGTCGAACATACTTCAGCATCCACTCACCCACCATGGTTTGGGCAATAGCGTCAACAACACTTATCGTGTGAGAAGAACTAGCGTCTGTTGTAGGCCCGGTGTTGTTAGTGTTGTCCGTGTTGATAGACAGGCCATGCCGATGTTTGCGATAGCTGGAGAGGATCTTGTCATGTCGACTGCGTGGAGTAGTTATATCGTTCTGAGGCAGAGGTGGCAAGCCAGGGCTTTCCGGTGCCTCGGTTGATGGAGACAATGGCGGCGGCGATCTACTTCCGTGCTTACGGTATCGATGAGCTCTCGGTAAGGCAGCAGCAGAGCGAACTTTGCGGATGCTGTGCGACTGATAAGACGAACGGCTACTACTACCTCTACGGTGCCACATTTCTCCCCTCGTGGGACTTTCATGGCCCTCGCTCGGCGAATAGAGACCAATTTGTGACCTTCGCGAGCTTGCACGGTTAGGTATAGGAAACGGAGGATGCTTGCCATCGGGATGACTGGGACTTCTGGAGCGACTTTTCTGTGTAGCGATCCCGCTCTGAATGATGGCTGCCTTCCGTATTGTGCTGGTACGATTCAGTGAACTCGATGTTGGTGCATGCAGTGGCTTTTCAGGAGCTCGACTCAACAACTTCTTGTGAAGTCCCTTGGAGCGATTCTCCTTGTCCGCAAGGTCGATGGAGCCGTGTACTTCGGTACCGACAGGCTTCACTTGACTTCTAATCAACGGTCTGACCCTGTGCTGTTCAGATGCTGTGGTTGCGGCTCCAATAGATCCTCGCTTTGTCGACCTAGTCGAATTTGACGGTGGTTTAGGTGCAGACAAAGCAGTTCGAAATTCCGCGTCACTGCCATCTAGATCACCGAATTCGTCACCTTCCTCAGAACTAGCGGTATCAAAGCCAGCAAAAATGCTGCTAACACGGTTGCTATGTCTAGTGGTTCCTCTTTGAAATGGCGCTTGGCTGTCGTCATGTAAACTCAGAGAGCTGTCTCGGAGCTTCTCGTCGTCTCCTCGAGAAGTGACAGGAGACGATGCCAAGTCAGCCTGGTCATGACTATTTGTCAATCGCTTCGGGTTTCGTGGCGGGACCGGGGTGAAGTCATTGTCTGATTTTGTCTTTGAAGCGTTGGGCGAAATTGGACACGATGATATGGACGAGGGCTGCAGATGCGCTGGCAAAAGGGCCAGTCTTTTATCGACTTGGATGCCTTCAGTCTGCATAGAAGCATCGCTAGTTGGAAGCATGGATGAAAGATTTACTTGGCATCCAAAATGCTTGAAGTGCTGCGGCAGGCGAGGCTCTTGCGGAGTAGTTGGCCGGCTCGTCGGGGGCTGGATGTTGATAGTGGGAATACGCAACGGGGGCGGAGAGGGCGCCCTTTTCGAAGGTAAGGAAGCGCCTACATCGGGAGCCTCTGGTGCTTCTTCTGTCTGTGTTGAGGATGTGACCAACACAGGAACCTTTTCCGAGGTTTGAAGCTCAATAAACGGTGTCTGCGGTGTTTTAGGCGGGCTGAGCGGCATCTCCATGGTCTGAGCAGCTGCGGAGATCATTTTGTTGTCATAGTTTGGAGGCCCGATACTTAGCGGCTGAACGACCTGCACCCTCTTCTTGCGCTGGTTCGCCTCAACTTCTGTATCTGCCCGACTAGGTGTGTCATGTTCTGACTTCTTAGGAAGCTGACAGGCGGCAACTGGAGTCGCTGATCTGAATCGAAGAGCTGAGGGTGAAGGGGGTGGAGAATACTGTATGCCGGTGTCCATGTAAGATACCCTCGGTGCTGTTGTCTGAGGAGCCTGTGATTCCATCTCTTCATCCACGCCTTCCAATGCTTCAAGGACAGCTGGGTTCATGAAAAGCCTGCCCCGAGCCACACTTGCCGGGCGCCTCAAGCTTTCAATGCTCTGGTTTCTGAAGTGAAATCTTTCAGTCACACTATCACGACTGAAAGTTCGTATGTGTTTTGGGCTTGTTTGCATGGACAAGGCGCTCTCACGTCCATCAGCATCTGTCTGGTCGTCATCAAAGTTCAGTTCATCAGCTAGCGAATTGCCGGGATACGGTATTGGACCACTTATCGGAGAGTGTCGAATGCTGTTGGTCATACTCATTGTCCTAACGCTGACAGCGTCATTCTCTTTCTCACTTTCTTCCGCGTCGCTCTCGTGGTCATGAAGAGCACTATATGGAGTTCCGTCCACGGTACTAGGTTGAAAGGCGGCAATTTCATCGATGACCATCTTCAGACGACTCTCCGCAATATGTAGCTTTCGCTCATACTTTCGGCGTTCATCCTCCCAGCCATCTTTTTCCTGTGCCCAGAGCTCATGAACTCGCTGAGAGTCATCTTCTTGGCTGCGAATCTTCCTTTGCGCCCAGTCCAGCCTCTTTTTTGTCTCGGAAATAGAATCAACGGCCGCGTCTCGTTCTTGAGCGAGTTCTACAAGCGCGGATGACGACCCGCCCTCGAGAAGCGAAAGTTGTCGTTTCAAAGACCGACTCTCCTTTGAGGAGGAAGTAAAACTCTCTTGTAGTTGTTCATGTTCTTCCTTGACCGAGTGCAGGGCATTCTCTAGGTTCTCGATTTGCTTCGTCTTCTCATCTTGATCCCTTCTCAACGCCAGAATCTCCGAGACTAGGTTCGCATGGAGTGTTGGGGTAAATCTCCGAGGATCTAGAATGCTAATGGTCTCATCATTTGTTACGTCTCTGGATAATCTCTTGTTCGTGCGATCTGATGCCATGCTGGTTGGTGAAGAGCCTCTTGTCGGAGACGTCACTGTTCGTCGAGAGGATCGCTTCGATCTTGTTGAAGGCGTTGGGGAGTAGTTCGGCTTTGGTTTTGTCGATGATGTAGACGTCTCCAGCTCTTGGGTCCCACACTCATCATATGTTTCCCACTCCGTCATCTCAATATGATTTTCGGGGTTGTGGGTGGGCAGTCGTCGAAGAACGTCACCCACAGCTCTTGACAAATCGGTCTACGCATCAGACAACGCGATCCAACGCGTAACTAGCAGGCAAGATTTCCAGGACAGGAAAATATAAATGTGACACAGCACTTGCTCTTGCATAAAGATGCAGCCGGCTCGGCGGTTGGCAACTGACTATGAAGCAACGGCCCATTCAGCAACAGCATCTACGAGGCGATACCTCTGTGAGACTTTCGGTGCATTAGCCTCGAGCAAAAGAAAAATAAAGGGCAGCGCCCGAAACAAAGCCGCAGTTGCCGATGCAACACCTGTACTCAAGTGATACAGCACAGTTTTTCCAAGGAGTGCCACTCACAGTAGCTGATCGCAAAACTCTGGCAAATTGGACACCATGTGAAAAACCCGTTGGGTTAGCATGTGAGCTACATGCGACCGAATCATCATCAGTACCAGTTAGCCATCATTGGAATCAGGCATATTCAAGGAAATCGTAGTAATCCTAGTAACACCCACCTGACAGACTCACCAAGACACTGCCAAATATTGCAGGCCAAACACCATGCATGCCTCGGCGGCCCGTAGTTCAATCACGACAAGCTACCAGAGGATTTTCAATGGCAACTAAATTGCCGCTTCGCTCGGATATGGTGATGTCCTAGCTGAGAGATCGTTCGAGTGGGCGTAGTGTTCGGTTGCACACAACAAGACAAGCTGTCATTGAAGTTGTCTCCGAGGGACAGCAGCAGCCGGAACAAGTGCAAGTAGATCGGTGATGAAGATAGTACTGTAGCACGGATACCTATGAAAGTCCAGGGGGGGGAAGTCCCAAAGGAGATCTATGGAAGCTTCCTCAGTTGGGGATAATTTAAAATGACGTATTAGTATCGAAAGTTGCTGCTCCCCCGGGCCATCGCATTAGGGGTGTTAGAACTCGTCGACAAATAAGTGTCCAGTCGATCCACGGCGTGATGGTTTATTGAAACAAAGCGGCGTCAGTCGTCATGGCCAAGGCCAAAAAATGAATAGGCGATGGGAAAGCAGTCACTCCGCACAGAGTGGCGAATGTTTAAGAAATCTCGCATCGACAGTCCACGTCTAGCTGGAAAGTAGCCAACGGCGAAGAGACAACGAGGTCCCGCAGGATTGATCAAGCTGGAGTGAGATGCTGGCCTATTATGTATCCACCTTTGACTTGCCGAGATGTAGGACTCATGTGGCCAAGTCGGTGACCCGGGAAATTATTTGTCGAAACAGGGTGGCCAAAGCAAGTTTCGACGATGCCAGGTATTCGGAGCCTCTGAGGCGAGCCAAGGGCCAAGGCCCAAGACACGACGACAAAGGGGCCGCACGTTTGTTGGCTTACAAAAAGCAGTCCCGCAGCCCAATGAGTCTCAAAAGCTTCTCCATGCGTTCATAATTCAGAAACGAAGAAAACAACAGCTTGCGGCGCCAGTACGGAGTAGAAGTGAAAGGCTCTCCGCAATTGTTTTCCCGTACCCTGGCTCGGTCATGGTCAATCTCCTAGGGTCCCATTTAACTACTCGAGTGGACTTGGCCTCATGTCTGCTAGTTATCGTGACCAGGGACTCCCTGTCGTCTGCGGTCACAAATCGCCGTCGTGGTCCAAGAGGTGAAGCCGGTCAGAGCAGCCTGTCGGGTGGCATCCGCAGGGGACGATGGGACGTGAGCCGGCAGGCATCAGGGTGGCGTGAAAGCGCGCGCGGATGGAGGCATTGGAGCCTGGAGTGCAGGCTACTCCGTATTCCGTACTCCATGCTCCGTAGCATGTCTTGTGTGTCATGACAGCATCGGGCCACGAGGGACGGGGTCTGTTGTGGTTGTGGAAGAATTCTGCATGTCTGTTGGCCCGGGGCACTGCAAATTGATTCCGAAGAAGGAGCAGCGCACCGTCGCCTGCCGCCTGCTGCCAACTGCGTGGCGGCGGCACTTGCCCGTTGCCCATCACTGATCATTGCATCACTCGATGCAACTTGTTGCTCGCCAACCAACCAACCTTGGAGGACTGCTCCGGAATGCTCCGTCGACCTCTATCGCGATCCAACCACGACGGACTCGAATTTGGCCAGCCAGATCCTTCGGCTGCGAAGATTTCTCCACATCGGTCGAGGACGCTCCGGGCGTGCAAGTCGGCAGAGCTTCCTTCGCCCACGACCCTTGAACCGTCAAAATCGCTGCGAATTCGGGCTCCGCCCTCCTCCCCAGGTTGGCGTTTTGTTGTTCCCTCAATTCCTGGAGCGACAAGCGAAATGCAACTCTCAGACGCACAACAGCAATGCTACATGCTCACTTCTCATGCGCGTTCATCGCCGAGCTAGACCACGGGTCCACTGAGAATGCCCTCTCGACGCCCGCCCGTTATCGCGACTTGGGACTGGGCAACCTGGCTGCCAGGGTCATTGGATCGCCAGCTAATACAATGGTGTCCGTACACTAAGGCACCATCCATGTCGGACAGAGTCATGATCGCTACGGAGTACGTGACCCGTGTTCCCGGTTCTCATCATGATGCCGCTGCAAACATGTGCAAAAAATCGCACCAGCATGCCGAGTACAAATGCAAAGAAAATGTACTTTCGCCTTGCGGAAGTACTAGAGCAATCTGGTGGCAAGCCGTATCGATGTCATGGAATCATACTCACAGAGGCTTGCACAATCTTTGCTGCCGACTTTGCGAGCCTACCGACGCTCGTCCAACTGAGTACTCCGTACTCCGTACAAACGCCATCAATTCCAGCTGAAGGCCCAACCGCTGCATGCATGCATGCCTGGCTTGCTGTTGCTCGGAGCTGCACGAGCAACCACGTACGGAGTGGACTTTTTGAGCCTCAACCGATTTAGCAACAGCGCAACGCCAAGTTCTTTGTCCTATAAAGATCAACAAGCTTTGATTCTGTTCTGGTTACATTTTGTTTCAACTCATGTGGAAATTGCAAGGGGGTTCGTTCCTCTTCAGCATCGCCTTGGGTTCGTGCAAATGTCACAAGCAGGCTCTACCGTCACGTCCCAGGACAGGAACCTTGTGACAGATGCCAGATTGACCGTAATTTCTTTTTCTTGTTTGTTCCCTTCGGCCAGAGTGGCCGTCACGGGCCGTCCTCATTCTCGGAGGACGGGACCTTGAAACCCCTGGTCAGGGGCGAACTTTGTTTTCATACTCTGTCCTCATTACGAAGAAGTTACCATGAACGACAGCAGATGCCTGTGTTTCTGATGCCGTCCTGTCCTACGCATCGGATGCAGCACAAGTTGGCGCCAAAAAAAAAATCAAGAGGTCAAAGCTGAGTGCTAATGCAAGCCACCCTGGGGACATGGAAAAGCTCTCAACGTCAATATAATTGCGACCACTGCATATCTAACCCAGTTCGAAAGATGGCGCACAAGTTGCATGTGTCTCTAGCCTCTCTTGCCTAATCTGTTGGGGCAAACCGCTCAGGGCCCTACAATACTGAATACTAGTTGACGAATTATCACAACCACCTCCGTCGTGGCGGGCGACGGTCTATTTACAGCACCGACCAGTCACGTTATCACGCGAGGGAAACTTTAGCCTTTCTTGGTTCAAAGCACTGACGGGATCTTCCATGCCCGGGCCGTCCACGCGCCGGCGAGCCGCTCCGCCTTGACGAAGATCTTTTAGACACGATGCTTGGTAAAAGAAGGGGAGTGCAAGTGGAGAGGGTAGGGAGTTTCTTCCAAGGGGCCACTTGTCATTAATTACAGTTCAGAACTTGTACTATGGATGACAGAGAAGAACTCAACGTACGCCAGCCTTGGATCACTGACCAACACTACGATCGGTATTAACAACTAACGAGTAGTATTACCAACGGAATAGTACGGAGTACTAGTTACGAGCCATGGCACTAAGACATGCTGGTCATTTTGTAGCTTTAGATGCGAAGTAGGGGAAGTAGTTATACGGTACTAGTTAGTCAATGCCCAACATTGTCAGATCACTACCCTCGTAGGGGGTCTTGTGCCACGTTGCAACTGCCAGGCGAGTACGGAGTAGCACGATGTTAGGGAGAGAACAGGCCGTGGCCAGCTTCTTGCAACAGGGCTTATCCTCATCCCTTGTACTACTGCTACCTCCATGCTGCTTTTGTTGTTTCACAACTGCGGCGTTATGCGGGGGATGTTCCTGCAGGGTATTAAATCACCTCACATGTATCGGTATTGTCAGCTGTTATTGGGAACGAGCACATTACAGCATACGTACTACTACTGTGCCTTGGTCTCGTTTCAGAAATACATTCAAAATGCAGTTCCATAGTCGCGAGTCCGTGCCCAAAAACGATAGCCGCAGGTTCGTGATTGATGACATGTCTACTTGTCTCCCGGCCGCGTTGAGATCACCGGGAAGCAGGAGGTCATCTTCAGACGATGGGATGGAACTGCAATTCTCGTACGTACACCCAGCTTGCGTTTCGGCGAGGCCAGGAGCCAGTATGTACACGGTAGCAGGTGTTGTATCTGCGCAAAGGAATGTTGGCCGTGTGTTCCGGAGAGCGCGGTCCGGGAAGAATCATGTCACAGGCCGGCCATCCTGATCCTCAGTGCTCACGTTCATGAATGGCGGCCACGCGGTAGGACGTGTACCGAATTCTCGGGACGTACGGAGTATTGCCGCGCCCAAACAAGCCCCGAGACGCACGCTCCCGCCCTTGCGTTGACCGCATCATCAAACTTGCATATGCAAGTCTGCCGTGGGAGAAGCACGACGTGGCAAAGCCCAGCACAACATCCAATCTCGACCCGAAAAGATCGCGAGCCGGTGTCTCTGCGCTCCCTGCCGGAGACTCAATCAATGTTGTCTGGGTTTGGTCTGGTCTGCCGGCGTCTCTGATGGTAATGGTACCTTGTTGCGAGGCCTTAAGGAACGGTTCGTTGCCCCAACATTCACTGCTGCAGACGGAGAACGACTTCTCCTCGTGGTCTATGAGCAGCCTCGAGCTTTCACAATCAAGACGCGCGACTAGCAGAGATTGTGAGACGGTGTTCCGCCAGCAGACCAACCGTTGAGGCAGAGACGTGAAGAGGACTGGGGAGAAGATATTCGACATGTGTGCGTAGAGACGGAAAGGAAACCACTGTCAGAGGGAAATCATCGGGGACGAAGTATGGTTTTCGGTCCATGCCAGTGCCACCAGGTCTTTCCCGAGAAACATATTCCCAACCGTACAAGGCGGCGCGCAGCATCGGTCAGTCATTTGCACGACCAAGTTCGACGTGGCTGCTGCACTACCCTATACCAAGCTCGTGCAAAAGGACCACCCAAACAGCCGCGGGATGAACACAGTCGAGCATTGTTTCTCCCTCTTGAATAAGCCAGCGCTCGGTACGAACAACCGAGGAAAATCAAAAGGAAAGAAAACAGTGCACGGTATAGGAAGGCGTGGACTGGCTGCCCGCCCATCATGTGATCTTCCACTCCAACCGGCGCAAAGTCCCAACCTCGACGGTGGAATCAAGAATTAAGAATCAACCCATCTCTCGGCGCGTCTGCGTCTGCGTCACAGACAGAGCGAACTTTGCAGACCGCACAGAAGAAGCTACCGCAGACACAGCCCGCAGGGCACCGACCGCACCGGCAACCCACGCACAATGTCGTCCGCCGCGACAGTGCCGCCCCTCACCTCCATCAAGGCGCTCGCGTTCGACGTCTTCGGCACAACGGTAGACTGGCGCTCCTCAGTCACGGAGGAGCTGACACTCCGCGCGTACCGCAAACGCTCCGCCAGCCCGTCGCCAGCCCTCAAAGACCGCCTGGACGGCCTAGACGAAGACGACTGGGGCCGCTTCGCGCAAGCCTGGCGCGAGGCGTATATCCAGTTCGTAAAGTCCTTCGACCCCGAGCGGGACGCATGGAAGTCCATCGACGAGCACCACCGGGACAGCCTCGTCGAGCTCCTCGAGGCCTGGGGCCTCCAGGGGCTGTTTACAGATGCGGAAATAGACTCGCTCAGCCTGGTGTGGCACCGCCTCGTTCCCTGGCCCGATGCGGTGGACGGGCTGGCCAGGCTGCGAGACAGCGGGAAACTCGTGCTGGCAACGCTGTCAAACGGAAACACGGGCCTGGTGAGGGACTTGAACGACTTCGGGGGCCTGGGCTTCCACCGGCTGTTTTGCGCCGAGACGTTTCGCGCTTACAAGCCACGCCCGGAGACATATCTCGGCGCGGCGAGGGAGATGGGTCTGGAGCCGGAGCAGGTTGCCATGGTTGCTTGCCATATGGGCGACTTGAAGGCCGCCAAGGCGTGCGGTCTGAAGACGATATACGTTGAGAGGCCGGGGGAAGAGGCGTGGGACAAGGAGGGCGACGAGTTCAGGGCGGCGAGGAACTGGGTGGATCTGTGGATTGGCGAGGAACACGCGGGCTTTGTCACCATGGCGGACAGGCTCCTGGATGTCTTGTGAGAATACTATCGTCATGTATCGTCGTGAAAGAACGGGCCACAACGTGGCGGTAATCCAGCCCGAGGACGTAGTTGTGAAGCTGGGGGCGACCCTTCTCGTCGCAGCCCTACAAAAGAGATCAGAGAACCTTGCTCAGCTGCATTCTTGGCTGCGCCTCTTGTGTGTTTCTCGCGTGTTTTGATGCTGATTTCGGTGTTTCTCGTGTGATTGTGCACGTGCGCTCGCCGTACGTGCAAGTCATAGGAGTCCAAGGATGAATACCGTAACATATTAACCAACCAATTCAATTGCCGCATTGTTTGAAACAACTTTGCTATTTCAGTTTGACAAGACGCAACAAGTGACCGGGTGAATATTGCTGCACATTCAATTCCAAAGCTGGCAAGCACAAGTCCCAACCACAAGCCGTCATTGACCAACTCCGCTGGCCAGAAAACAATATATGATATCCTAGCCCTTGTCGCGATGATGTCTAGGAAAGCAGCGCCGAGATATTTTGCATTTGTCGTCTAGATGCCGATTGGGATATGTAAGAACTTGTGTCCAAGAACCACCTGGTGGGCCGTCCACCCGTTATATCGCAAGCATACCTGGATACAGAAAGTCTACACCGAAGCGCAAGACATGGATGGATGCACAGCATTGACTCTTCACTTTGATCGCCTGTGCACACTTTCTGGTAACTAAGCAGAAGACGAGCACGTCTCTCTTTTGGCAAATAATATTCAATGGTTCCAAGGAATGGTCAAACCAGTTGACAGGGATAGCACCGATATTGGACTGAAAAATCATCAATAATGAACCTGCCCGAGAGAACAACAAATGACAAGCGACATGCTTTTTGTTGATCGGCCAACTGAGCTTCACACACGCTGCAGGCTCAACATACTAAGATGATGCCCGTAGAATATCAGCAGGAATCAACCCGGAGAGATTGACAATGACAATATGCCGAGAGAAAACAAGGTCTCGAGGTGCCGCGAGCGAATGTCAGATGCTGTGTAAGCTGTTCTCTAGTTGTGTGCTGTCTACGTCAAGTCAGGCCCCCGATAACAGAGGCCGTTTGGAGCCGTTTGTCTGGTAGTTACCACATAGTCGTACTCCAGGAGGCGAGTCGGTCTGTAAGCCGTGCCGCAGACGACGCATGGTATAGTGCAGAGGCTGCCTGGGCATTTTTGCACCGCGTTGTATGCACCGCGTTGTATGCACAAATGTGGTAGTAGATGTACTGACAGTATTGCCTGAGGAACCCGGAAGAATTGTGCTCACGTATCAGGGCAATCAAGACATGCGCAGACGGAGTTCAACAGAAGTCGGCAGAGAGAGCGACCACCCACCCCAGCTGAACATGTGGTGGCAGCGGAGAAAGATGACACCAGCACATGTGGGGTGAAGTCGTTGGCTGAACCGTCTAACTAGTATTCATCCCGCCATCAACGCATCGCCGGAGGAGATGCGGATGGACGGCACGGCCCTGCCGTGTATGAATCAGGTCTCCGCAGGGAGGAACCACCCATTCGTGACGGCCCGGATGGTTCTACCTCCGACGATATCGATCGCAACCTTTTCTTATTTGGCAGCTGTCCGCTGCAGTCGGTCTAATGTCTTGCTGTCGTGTAGCACGAGGGACCTAGCCGTGGTTAGAGTGGCAAATCTGGAGCGTTACGAGACCGACGAATGAAATGGCCAGATCGCGCATTGATATGAACTATTGCATGTAGTATGCTCCGTACTCCGTATCCTTGATACCGATGATAATGCCAAGAAGCGTGGACGAGCGAAATGACGCCGCAAAACGAAGAGCTGAGTGGTCAAGCCGACGGCCGGAACAACAGCCGTATGGCAAGGACGTGTGGCCGCAGGAGCAGAGCCTTGGAGCCTGGAGGTCCAAACGCAGAGGTAGAAATAGGAGTTGGTCGAGTTGATTTGGTATTAAGACGGGTGAGGTGTGAGAACCGGGGTGACGAAGTCGATAGCGCGTGGCCTTGGCAACGTTTCGTTGAGGCTTTAGATGTTGGGACCAGACAAGAGACAACGCATAGAGAGGCTTTGACAAGCGCCGGGACCACGAGATGCAGGAGCAGGCAGGAGTGGTTTAACGCTCCTTCCCTACTATGCCGACGAAATACTTTTTTCCCCTCCTTTGTTGCTCTATCTCCCCATCTTTTCTTTTCTTTCTCTTTGGTTTCCAAGGCGGCACGGAAGTTCAGTGAGACTCGTTTCCTTGGTGGCTTGTACGATTGCTTGCTTGTATCTGTGTTCTGGTTTTCTTTCCTCATCAATCTCGCCCTCTTGCCTTTCTCTGGGTTGCTGAGAGTCATTCTGCTTGCTTTTCCTCACTACAGCCCACCGAGGTGTACCAGAGTTCGGGGTTACCAACCACCAAAATCCATAATATCCAACTCCGTACGGAGTACGTAACTAGCATCGACGCAGCAAACAACGAATGGTCGGGGGGGGGGGGCCGGGGGATGCTCAAACAGCCAAAGACCCGCACATGTGCTTGCTCGGGCCATCCATGGCTCATGTGAACTTGGTGTTTGTTCCGTACAAGAGGCTGCCGGCTAGGCTAGGCCGGGGTCAAGATTGTGACTACCACGTAGATCGACGTCCGCAGTGCGGAGAGACGTGGATGCTTGGTGCTTGACGGTGAAAATTGGTAGGCCGCCTCTGTTTTGTGTCCCTGGACCCGCCTGCTAAACGAACATGCAGCCTCGCCATTCGAAGAACAATAATAGGTGGTGGCGTTGGTTGCTGTTCCAATCAAGGCATTTTGTACTGCGTACGGAGAGTACGCATGCTTCATATTCTGGGCCAGTTGCGTCGAGTGCAATCTGCGATGCTGATGATGACAGCTCAAGCCGGCACCGATTGGCCATCCCAGCAGTTTGGTAACCTGGGACACGTTACCTCGAAGAATGACAATCTCTGTGTCATTTCATCGCCGTCACAGACTCTGATTGCCCATGCGAATTCCAGGAGCTATGGCTGACTAATCGACTCGCAATGACTGGACATGGCAGCGATTGGGCACGCAGGGTCGGCATTGCGCGTACTTCCATACTCTGGGACTTGGGACTTATCTTTACTCGAGCAACCTGGCTAGGTCAGTCTGGCCCGCACAGCATCGCGGTGTTCAAGTTGCCTCGGACACTACGGAGTATTGCCCCATCAACCATTGGAGGGCTCCTCCTGGTCAACGCACAGCAAAAGCAACAAAGACCATGACCATCACCACGCCTGCGCGCTAGTTTGCAGTGCAATTGTATCTGCCCCGTTATAAGTTACTCTCGTCAAAGGGCGACCCGCTTGGCCGCTCGAGACCCCTTCCAGCGACGGTCATGGCCAACACCGTACTCCGTACCTGGTTCGACCAGGTATCTCTGGCTGGTTGTCTGAGAGAGGCGACGGCAGAACCGCAAAAGGTCAAGCTGCTGCTCCACTGGGTAGTCGAGTTGAGGAACGCTAGCCAGGCCCTCCTCCGACCCCCAACCGCCTCCTGGCGGAGCCATGGCCTGCCAGTGTTGCCGTTCACGTCGGTCGAATAGTCGAGGTGAGCCTGAGCATCAGAATGGCATGGCAATGTTTTTGCTTCATCCTTCTTGCAGTATACTCTGTACGCGGCGACTTTTGTAATACGCATGTCATATGGAAAGTTGGCAGCCACGGACTGCTGGTACTGTGCTCGCTTGCGGCCCATATTATTTCCAATATACTCCGTACAGTTCAACGTACATGCTGTCGGGCCCGCCAATCATGGTCCCATTCAACCTTGGAGCGCCGGTCTCGTCTCTATGCTTCGTCCACGGGCTCAGCCCTTCATCTGTACGGAGTATGTTGTATCAGATCAGCCTTGGACAGCCCCGGACCATCCCCGGCAAGCTGAGCATGTCCTCCAGCAACTGGCCGTGCACGCGCGTGGTTCCCTGTGCACCTTGGCTGCGAACCTATCAATCTATCTTGGTGGCCACTTGAGCAGCCAGTGCGTCCGCGGCCGATGGCCGCCCGTGCTCCTATCGGCCGCCCACGGCCGCTCTGTAACATGTACATGTACAAGTACTCCGGACGGCACCGAGTGCCAACATGGAACCATGCTCACTGCCAACTGGCCCAGGCTGGCAGTCAAGTCAAGTGGCAGTGGCAGTGGCAGGGGCACTGGGCTCTGTCGTTGCGCCTCTACGGGGTACGGAGTACGGACTTCTCCATGCAACTTTAGAAAGCAGCAGGCATGACCCGCTCGCCCACCGACTCCACTCGACCCTCTGCCCACCCGAGAGTCCAGCCAGCAGCTCAAGTGCTCCCACCGCAGGCAAAACGCCTCAGCAACATCTTACGGGAGTCTTGTGCTGAGGGCTGGAGCCAACATCTTTGACCCGACCATCCCTCTGCTCTGTCCCATTGGCGTCGAGCCGCACAATCACCACGCTGCTGTCCCGTCGCGGCCTCTTGTTGCAACACCGAGCTGCCCTTGGACGACCACCTTGCTTGCCTCCTGACCGAACGTCTGTCCTGTCAAGGACGAGTGCATCATCTCCTCCGCACCTCCTCTCCTCGACTAGCCTGTCGGCGCACAGCTCAAACTCTTGCCCAGCATGGCGGGCCGCATGGTGCTTTACAAGCTGGTTGTGTTGGGCGATGGTGGTGTAGGAAAGACGGCCCTGACAATCCAACTGTGTCTGCAGCATTTTGTCGAAACCGTGAGTCTGAAGCCCAATGTCCCTGCGACCTTCGCCGTCCAAAGGTGGAGGGCGAGGCGGGGAAGCTAATCCTCCTGTTCTGAGCCTCGCAAGCTGATGCTGCCTCGTGACAGTACGACCCGACGATTGAAGATTCATATCGCAAACAGGTGGTCATAGATGGCCAACCCTGCATGCTGGAAGTCCTCGATACCGCTGGACAGGAAGAATACACAGCTTTGCGCGACCAATGGATTCGCGACGGCGAAGGTTTTGTCCTCGTCTACAGCATTTCATCCCGCTCCTCGTTCACTCGCATCAAAA